GGGGGGTGCGGCTGATGCCACAGCAGATAGGCGGGAGCGTTACCTAGTGGAAGAAGTTGGGAGGCCATGACGATTAGAAGTGGACGGACGGTGGGGTTGTTGAATCAATGTGGGTGCAGTGAGTTGTTGGAGTCGCTCTGGTGCGGCGTTGGGAATGCCTGTTGGTGTCGGCGTTAATTAAGTACCGTGGCGCGACTCGCGGTGGTTGTACGCACGAAGGAATACGGACGTGTTGAAGACAGGTGAAGTTTGATCTTCGGCGCCAAGGCCAAATATAAAAGCGAGGCCTTGCAGACACGCCTTCTTACCATCGACTTAGCATTGGCACTGGGATTGACATGCATACTGCAGGACTATTTAGCTCATACTCCCGAGATCTTTGATATGTTATAGACAGTCACTATATCAATTGATAGAATTCGATTCTGAGGAACTCGCCGCATTCTCAAGGCTAATTAACAAGGTGCTATTTCACAGGACCCACCGTGCCTAACTCTCATCATCCGCTCTGAACGCCGTCGCTTATATCAATCCCATCGTCAGGGCCATTGCCGCATGATTCCATCATTCATAGCTCATCGTCGGGGGGTCCCTGCCCATACTTCTCCCGATTCCAATCCCACGGATCTCCACCTGGCACACATAAACCTAGGCGCCAGAAGTAATCCCTGTGCGCGAAGAACAGCTGCCAGAGCCTGTACCTCTTTCCGATGCCCCATAGAGCCTTCACGCGAGAGCTATCTTGATCTTGGATCTCAGCATCGTGATCAAGGTCCACGTCTGCGCTCGTCTCGACGCCCCCCGCAATACAATTGATGTCTTGATCACCGTCGCAGAACTTGAGATCCTCAGGCGCAGGCGGCAAACCCGCCTTCCCGATGAAGATCTCACCAGCGTGCATCCTATAACCCCACTCTTCTAGTGGTAGCAAGGGTACGGGATCATCCACATGCGTGACACGCCTGAACCGAGCATCCTCAACATGTTCAGCGCCCAGGTTGAAGCGTTCGTCGAGGAATTTGTTGAACGCTCTGTTTCCGATACGTGGTTCCCCAAAGGTCGTGACATATGGCTCCCAGCCTCGGGCAAGAAATTCCAGGCTAGCCAGTGCAGCGACTGCACCACCCAGTGAATGGCCAACAAGCGTCAGCTGGTAGTCCGGGTGGTCGCGGAGTGCGGCCTCAACGTGCGGCACAATGATGCAGCGGGTATTGCGCCAGGAGGTCAGGAAGCCAGAGTGAACGGTGCAGTTCTTGCAATCGGGCACGGGGTTAGAGCGCTTCGTTTGTTTGACAAGCTGTGGAAGGAGAGGCTCTTGAGAGTTCTCAGGGCGAGATACCGGCTGTTGTTGCGTACAAACAGAGTCGTTTTCGTGATCGGAAGGGAAGGGCGCGTAATCGGCAGGTGTGGTAGAGAGATCTGCGATAGTATTCGCGATCGAGTATGTGCCGCGGAATGCGACAATGACTCGTTTAGGGTGAGGATCGTGCGAGACAGCAATATAGCCGCTGGAGTCGGACAGTAGAGGGCCAGTGTTCCAAGTCTGCATTAGTCAGTCATGAGTCGGGGTCCAGAGGTGAGTTCGTACAGTGACTAGTTCAAAACCCTCAAATTCATCGCATCTGCTTAGACAACTGAAGGGTTCCTGTATACCGGAAGTTCCGACACAGTAGGATATGTCCACAACGCGGGCGAGTTCTTCCAGAGACTCAAATAAAGGTTGGGAAATGTTGCGTGCTTCGTAGATGGACTGCGCTGGGAGCGCCAGGGCAGCGCTGAGCCATGCTGAGAGGCTGAGAAGTCGGTGCATGCCGACTGTGAACATCTGTTACATATTATAGGAGTACGACCTAGGTGTATCGGCTATAGGGTTGTTGAGGGGGGAAGCAAGAAGTCAAAGTCGAATGAAACCGTCACTGCCGATGCAGCCACGTGACAATAGGCGTGTCAGTGGCGTAGGCCAAGGAAATGGTGTACGGTGAAGCAAGAGCGCGTGTTTCCTCAGGCTGTGTGGAAGTTCATTCATTGTCTGCGCGGTGCCTGACTTACAACCTTGTATAACAACTCCTACTTACCAGTGGCCATTCCAAATCAAGAGCCTATACAGATTCGACGTCTGTATCAGTCAGGGGACAGTAGGCCCCCATACGGCTTGGATTCAATGCAAGCCAGGTGGTGTGCCTGCTGTCCCTATGGTGAGGACCAGCAAAACAAAATCGTAACACTACCCGATCGAGCATGGTGAGCAGAAAGCCCTCGTAGATGGCCTCTGACTGCATGCGACAGAGTCACGAGGGCCGCTTCTGACGGATTATCGCCCTTTGAGACCAGCAGCCTGGAACTGGCGACGTTCGCAAGAAGGCGCCAAGACTTTTACTGCCTGAGACCTGCCAATCAACCACGACATCGAGAACAGCAGCAAACCGGCAAGACTGTAGGACGACTCATGATAGGGTCTTAGAGAGGTATGAGCACCACCATGCTGACCTTCATGAAAGTGCTGGGGCACTCTGTTTCTCATGGAAAGACGAGGCTGAGCTCCCCTGGGGTATGGCGTAAGAGTCCACGTCGATTAGGCGAATCCGCCAGTATTGCCCGATGACACGGAGAGGAAGATGCTGCAAGATGGTTCTCCGGAAATTGTTGTTCGAGAAAAGGATTGAGAGGACAACAAAATGATCTGGGTCCACCATGTAATACCCTGGCGGATGCCTTTCACCGCGGCGATGAATGACGCCAACCACCATAACGCCCACAACGACGGCAACAGTTCACTGCGGTCTCAACACCTGTGACAAACCAGTCTCTGCAGCGCATCTTGAACTTGCACCCTGTTCACACATTCAGCACACGACTGGCAACCACCTCCTACCTTTGTGCAGACACAACCTAGTGCTTTTGGGGAACCAGCCTATTTTCGAAGCGTCGCACTTGATACCTCAGCGCCCTCCGGGACTCACAAGATCGGCATCCTCATACCTCATTTCTGCGGACGACTTCGACAATAATAGTCCCATACCGCAAAACACCGCACTGCTGTGCAAGATGGTTTCCTCCACTGCAGCTGCCGCTGCCACCTCCAAACAGACCTCGATCAACCCCATCTGGGCTCTTATAACCAGAATTTTCGTCTCTTGCATCCCATGCCTGCGCATTCGCGCTTCGCCAACCCGCAATCACCATGGCTATGCCATATACTACCCCGAAGGCAAATCTGGCTATCTCTTGATCTCACATCTGGGCACTGGCACGCAAGGCGCCGCTCTGCTGGTTCTCTCGTTGGCCGACCACCAACTTTACGTGCGAAAGCGCAAGCGCTTTCCCTGCGCACGATTTCCCGCCGCCAACGAAGCTGAGCTCGCCCTTCCGCACAGCAACATTCCCATCCTTTTCTTGCAGATACCGTACCAAGGTATCGACCTGGACGGAGATCCATCGAGCACGACGGCAGATATTTGGCGTTATTGCAACGGCGGCGATCTCGCTCGTGTTATCGACATTTACAAGGAGAAGGTCGAGTCGGTCCCGGCGCCAATTGTCTGGCGATTCTTTAGGCAGTTGCTGAACGTGGTGCTGCATATTCAATCTGCGAGGATCATTCACCGTGACATAAAGTCAGACAATGTGTTCCTTCACTGGACAGGTGGTAAGGATGCCTCGTTGCCTGACTTCTTTCTGGGCGACTTCGGGATTGCGCACCGGCTGCCCCTGGGCACAGCGGCGGGCGCCCACACGTATGACTATGTCGTACTGCTGGGCCTAGTCAAGCAATTGATGAATCCGGCGCTGGTTGACCTCGGGAGGGTGAGAATCCCGAGCGGCCAGGAAGGCAGTTTTGCTGCACTTGAAGGGTTCTTGGCAAAAATGGAGGCGGCACTGTTCCGAGTGAGTGGGGATGGGGATTTGGGGGGGTTTGAGGCGGCAATGAGAGCGGTGGAGAAAGATCTGGCGGTGGAGGGACTGAAGTGGGAGGTGGAGTTGCCGGGGATTGACTTGGGAGAGATGAAGGTAGTGGAGGAAGGGGCAAACCCGATCGTGTTTGAGACGAGGGAAGCTCTGTTTGGGGTGGAAAGCCAGCCGCCGGGACCATGGCAGGTGGCAGAAGTGGAGAGGAGGGGGAAGCAGTGGGTGGTGAAGCGGGTAGAGCAAGAGAGACACCGTGAAGCAGAAGCAATGTACTCTGCGGATCATAAGGGAAGAAGTTAGCCAGTGGTGTAATGAATAGAGGCCATCGTGCCGAGACTGTTGATAGTTGTCACATTGACAATTCTGTGCATCCTAATCTCCTGACTGCAAGCTGTTGTCGCGCCTTCTAATCTTCGAGGATAGCTACATCTGAGGATGAGTTCATGAGGTTGAAGATGATCTGATCCAGCTGGCATATTATACGGTGGCGTGCAGCATCGCTATCATGGTGCCAAGACGAGGCTCCGCCGGATCCACCAAATCTGGTGATCTAGCTGCCCTGCGATCCTCATCTTCATCTCAAGACACGACTCTGCATCTGCACACTGTACCGACCTGAGGTCTTCTTCGACGCATTCGAAACCATACATCTCCGACTGCACAACTCTGGTTGGCCAGAAGGTCACTCCGAACGTCGCCAGCCCTCGGTGACCACTCGCATCACATTTCCTCTATCATCAGCGAATTGTAGCTGCCCACGATGCTGCAGCCACGGCCATCGCTCCTCTCCTACCTCTCAACCTTAGCAGGCTTCTTCAGACCCTCGTCTACCACTCTGCGACGGTTCAGTTCTCAACGAGTTCTCACCAGTCTCTCCACATCCAAGCGCGCAATCCTGTCGTCGAATGCGTCCAGAAATGCGGTTCCTGCAACATCCTCGACACCTGGCGCGTTGTCCACGCAAGTACGCGGTATGAAGACCAGATCATCGGTGAAGAGGCTATGCAACGGCTGCAAACCCGTGCGAAGGAAGGGTCGAGTGTATATTATCTGCAGCGAGAACCCGAAGCACAAGCAGCGGCAAGGCAAATAAATGTGTATGAAACTACGAACTCGATGCTGCGCACGGCTGCAGAAGTGGTTTCCAGCGAGCAGTATAAACAATGTACGATCAGGAGCAGAGTCTGCACAATCCTCACTGAGAACATGTTGAGAATAAGAAGAAAGAAGGCTTGGTAATTCCTCTCAGTATACCCTTTCTACTGATTTCAGAATTACTCTGTGAGTGCTGCAATGCATTTCGAACCCGTCTAACTTCCAAGTTCCTCACACAGGCAATGCATAATGTGCAAAGCCAACTATCATAGGCATTTCGTTGCTCGTCGCCCTCGTAGCCTATCCTAACAAATAACCTCACAGGAGAATCATGCCAATGCCGCACCGCTTGGTATCATCGGGCAGGTTCTTCTTATCGACGCCTCCGCTGATCGGGGGTGTCCGCCAGTTGTAGAGATAGTAATGCAGCTGTCCATCGCCAGCGCCAAACTTCAGCTGCTCCAGGAAGAAGGGGTTATCTTGAAGGGTCAATGCGTTGAAGACATCGAATTTTGCCTAGGACAATATTAGCCATACGATCCGTCATAATATCCAGGGAGAACGTACATTTTTCGCCTCAATAAGCGTATCGGTCATCAACTCCTGCAGTCTGTCCTTCAAACCCTTCTCCTTCTCGGTGAACGCCATCTCGGTGGCATAGTAGAAGCAGTACGCGGCGTGAATCTTGTCGTGGGTCTTGCTTGCATCGCCTAGCACACTAGATTCCAGGCTGTAAAAGCTGGATAAGTCGGTGATCTTTCCGTTGTCATCTTCCACGACGAAGGCCCATACCACACGGTCCGTGGGCTCGGTGTTTCGGTTGATGAACCAATGCTCAATTTCTTCACGGGTGAAGTCCTGGGCAAGATCCATGCGTTTCAAATATCGGCTAAGAAGATCTTGAACCGCGTCGATATCCCCTTCTTTCATTGGCCGCCAACCTTTCGTGCTTGTGGTGGCTGGAAGAGCGTTGCGGGTAATCATGCGCTGCTTAGTCGAGTGAGGTGGTAGTGGTGAAAAGCCTACTTCGTAGAGCTTGAGCCAGTTAAGACTGCGATGATAGTAACGGCAGCTGCCAACAGGCGTGGGAAGCATTACTCCAGCGGTGTATATGGCTTGATAAATGCCCTGGAGGTGCACACGCCGTGTGACCTCCTTGATCATGACAGGTGTCAATCGCTTAGAGCGCAATTTCTTGTGGATGCAGAGGAAGTTGATCTCAACGACATCTATGACATTCTGCCGGACGCGAAGCTTAGTAGGAATGCCGAATATGCTGGCAACGAGCAGACGACTTGGTCCTTTGGCTCGGACACCAACGTGCCACTCTCTTTTCCATCCGGGAGACTTGAGCGCCCAATCGAGAAAAGGCTTGGAGTAGTTGAAACGGAACATAGCGTTGTCGTCTTCGACATAGTGGAAGGTCAGAAGATTGTAGACTTCTTTCAGCTCCTCCTCGTTAGTGAGGTCCAGCTCAACCCATTCGTAGCCTTCCGGTAATGGTGCAGGTTGCTTGGGGACTTGCTCAGGAATGACCTCTTTGATGGGGCCGTCAGGCTGCGCAGTGTACTGTTCTGGCTTTTCATCGAAGCGGGGTACTGGCTGCGTCTGCCAGAACTTGTATGATGCCATGTCTTTCTGGTTCTTGTTGTTCAGTGAGAGACCAGTCAATAGCTGAGACACATCCATCTTCTTGAGTGCTTCTTGCGCTTGAGCTGGCGACATCTTGGAGAGCTCACCCTTCAAAGCTGGGTTCATCTCTAGCAATGTCTGGATCCCCTCGTTGGACATCTTTGAAGCCGGCTTGGAGGGATCACCCTCCTCGGCTTTATTTCCAGATAGTGCATTTGCGATCTTCTTCCTCTTGGACTTTTTCTTCTTTGTCGAGGCTCCGCCCCCAGTCGCACTGGTGTGTGCCTCATTCTGGTCGATCACTTGGTCGTCATTCTCGGATTCCGATTCCGCGGTGGGCTGCGTGCTTGCAGGTGCACCCACAGGTGCCGATTCTGCCATCGTGACAACTTGCCAGCTGCGTATTGAAGCAAGGAGCAGATCAGAAGCACTCTCAGAACTCAAGTTTACTCAGTCGATCGCGGTATACGTGTCGGGGCTGATAGTGTGTGCTCAAACGAAGTGAAGTGCCCCGCCTTCTGGTGTGGAGAAAGTGCAGCCTTGTCTGGGCATGATGAAGCCCCCATCCCAAGTAACTTGAACAGAATTGCTCAGGGTGACTTCTAATCCGATCGCATTACCAATAGAATATACGCATCGATCAAGGACTTGCTATGGAAACCTTGTGCGCTACGACTGTCAAGACCAGCAATGTCAAAACGGGAGAAAGGTGATGGCGAACGACTGCAGCGGAATCGCAGGCGAAGAGCGGCCACTGTGTATGATGCTGTTGCCGGTCGCGTTGGTTTGAACGGCTTCTTGGATCCGGAACAACGAGCATCGAGTTCTGCTACGCCCTTAGCCCCTGAGGAATTGCTTTCGAAAACCGCCAGAGGCTCTTGGTTGCGAGCAGATCAATACAACGCCGAGGAACTCCGGGGAGATCTCGAGCAAGATCTGCCAGACTCAGACCTACTCAAGTCGATACACGCCTATGCATCCGACTTCTACGACAGGGCAATCACTGACAGAGGCCAGCATGACTTCACGTCACTGGATGGTACTGCGCTGATCGCCATCGGTTTCCTGCTTGAAGAGGCTACTCGTCAAACACTGGGCGATAACGGCGATATGGTGCTGGTGGAAACACGCAGGCTCGAACCCGACCCATTCGAAGCGAGCATAAGCAGGCATCAAGTCTTTGGCAAAGTCAAACCTCCACCAACGCCACAAGGCAGCGAGTCTAGTGAGACCGATTCAGAAGGCATACCAACGAAAAAGAGGCGTACCTGAGTATGCATGCTCATTTTCGAAAACAGACGTCTTTCGCCAGTGGTCGCCATCAGGCCACTGGGATAGACAATTTAAGTTGCCTCGCGGAGCATTTGAGCGATGGCTGGACTCAGCTGCTATGGTAGTTCCTCATAAAAGCGCGGCTGACTTCGGCCACCATCAATTGGATAATTGAAATGGCTTCAAGGAGAGGGTGTTGCGACAATCCTTGTTTAGCGGAACCGAAAGGTGTCCCGCGAGCAATTCCCTGTCATGCATCATGTTGATAGGAATTCTTCGCTAGCCAACATTCTGACCTGCACTCGCACATACTAAAAACATCATTGAGCCAGTACTTGTATGTACATATTTGGGTAGCCGGAGCACTGAGCTACTATCGTCAAACAGTCCCATTCGACGTGAGAGAATCGAAATTCGAGATTGGCAAAGCTTAGCCCTCGAAGCTTCAGGTGCCATGCTTAACGTCCAAGCACGGGCATTTGGGCTTTGCTCGCCCGGCTTGGTGCACGTGGATGTTCTCGGGTTACATCGAACTCCTCTTCCACGTAATTACTGGAGTTTGCTCATACCTGCATGGAGTTAAAGCCTACCGCATTGAAGGTATTCCGCGGATGCAGAAGGATTTGCCGCCTACTGCAGTCAACTGGATGCCCATGACGCGGCTTTGCACCCTGCGCGGGCTGCATCGCTGCAGCAAACAGGGGCGGGATACGGCCTTCATCGAATGACTTGGACTAAACGCAGACGACCTTTTCCATAATATGCTCTTTGAACCTTGTTTAGGTGCTGATTGCGTACCCTGATAACCATCGCAGCCAAAGCTGATCATGACAGGCAATGTTGTCACCGCCATCATCAAGACGATTGCGCAAGCCCGTGGCTCGGAGGCAACTCGCAGAAGAGAGCTGGCTTTGGAGGGCATGACCACTTCTACTGTGTAGTGGCACCACAGGCCACGGCTGATAAACTGACCCCACCCCTAAACTTGATTCGGCGGTGGTCCCAAAGAGAGCCTGGGAAACGCCCACCCGAACGCCCATGCGCAGGCCTAATCGATGGGGGGCCGGGGTTGTATCCGAATCAATGCCGATGCACTCGATGCATTGGCTCTGCAAACCAAATCCACGGTGACCCGATAATCCAGTGATCAACTTGAATACACTTTGAACTGAGGTTCCTTGACCAATCTGTAGCCGGGTCCAAAACGGCTTTGACACTTTCTCACCCTGCACTGTGTTGCGTGAAATTAACTCCAGGCTCATTCACACCACTAGGGTTTGGGATCCCTGATCGAGCCACCCGAGCGAGTCAGCTCGGGGGTCCAGCATCGCTCCACCGGGCGTAGACCTCCCCCAATCGCCAAGTTGCAAGGAGGCGACCAAGCTGCCTCAAGCCTTTTCCCTCTTAATCCTTTACCAAGTCCTCGTTCTCTCTATCTCGAAGCTTGGCTGCTTGATCGATGTCATTGCGCTCGCCTGCGCCGTCTCGTCCCAAGAGTTCTCTGTCTTCCTGGTCAAGCAAATGACCCGAACTTTACGGTAGAACCAGACTTGTTTTCGCCCGGCCGATTGGAACTTGACTTCCCGATCCTCGTCCACGCGGGACCTCCATCTGCTGCAGCCTCTTTTACTCGCCTCGCGACAACCTAAGTCTTCGGCCACGAGCGACACGCCGAACACCTGTCAATCCCCCACCACACGTGCCGTCGAACGATTCGGGCCTTCTCCGCAGCCTCGCTGTATGCAGTGAGATTGAAGCATCGTGCTGGCAATAGAGCACGTATGACAAATTCGAAGACGCGCACGCCGATAGTACTGTGAACACAGCCACACTCCATCCTCGACCTGCTTGCAGATCCTCACCCTATGCGCTTCCGAGTCTTTTGAACCCTCAAACTGCGGCGACAACCACCAAACTCATGGCGACGCGGGCAATGAACATGTCGTGACCACTCTACCATGGCAGACATAGCTGTGGTGATGCCGCTGGACACGTTATTTACCAATCCGAGTCCGGACGTCCCGCGGTCCAAATCGATCTTGTCCCGCTTTTCGAATCCTCTGTCCAAACATGCGCGAAATATGTTCGACCTGGCAATCGAGCCACTCGATCCCTTCAAAGTTTACACGGCGGGAGAGACAGTAAAAGGTCACCTCGTCCTGACCGTCACAAAGGGTTTCGATATCACACATCTCGTTGTCGCGCTGCATGGATACGCCAAAGTCTTCAAACATCAAGTCACCACTGGCGAAGGACTTGGGTCTAGCGACTGCGTGGTGAATGGCAAAGGGACAAGAGGTTTCGAATATCACGGCAACGGCTTGGCTTCCCTGTTTCAGGAGGAACAGATTCTTTGTGGCAGTGGATTTTTGAAGAAGCAGGTCTACAAATTCGCCTTTGAACTGCAGTTTCCATCGAAGAGCATGCCCAGTACCCTTGATTTTGAACGCGGGACTGTCGGCTACATGATCTCGGCGACCCTGACGCGGCCTGTCACCATGGTACCAACGCACAATGTTTTCAAGACGATAAACTTTAAGGACTCGCTGGATATCGAGCCCATGAACACACCCAAATCTCGTGTCATTTCGCTCGAACCCGTGTCGAAACGCGGCAAGGTCAAAAGAGTGAATCCAGCCACATCGGTTGGAACCGGTAACACGTCTAGCCGAGGTCGGTTGACGAGACAGGACACACAGAACAGCACTGCTACCAGCAATACAACAACTGCGCCTTTAAACAATCCTCCTCTGAGCCCGTCTCCAAGCGACGACACTGTTGCGACCACTCCTACAACAAGCTCGACTAGCTTCCGCCAGGTCGAATTAGATTCGCAAAACCGCAAACGTAGCGATGACACTCGAAGCACAGCTACTTCTTCGTCAGGATCGGCTGTCACAGCAATCGCGGAACTACAAAGGCATGGAGCCTTGCCTGGCGATTCAATACCCGTAAGGGTATCAGTCACTCACACCAAACCCTATGTGAAAGGCATAGTCATTGCTACCCTATATCGTGTTGGCCGCATCGACATGCATCCTGCAATTCCCCTAGCGAACACCGGCAAAGGCAAGCGGTCTGAGTACGAGGACGTATATCCAAAGTCGCGCACAGGTCTTGGCGGTCTCTACTTCGCGAGCTCATCCCCCAGCAGTGTCTTCCGCAAGGACCTATCTCAATCGTCCACCATGATGGTGATTGATCCCACAACTCTGACTGCTGACATCAAGACTACTATCAAGGTGCCTGAAAACGCCTTCCCGACCATTGCTAATGTACCGGGTGGCATGATTCAGTTTACATATCATATTGAGGTGGTGGTGGATTTGTTCGGCAAACTGGGCGAGACCAGGTTTCTACCACGCCTGACGTCCGGCGAGCCAACCTTTACCACGGCTCTGGGCAACAGCAATCAACTGACCCATGAATGGTCGAACAGTATACTCGATACGACATCGTTGCGACGCAACAAGAGCGTTGTGACGTTTGAGCTTTCGGTCACGATCGGAACAAAAGACAGTAGTAGAGGGAAGAAACCCGCGGTTCCTTTAGTTGAGACGCAAGTGTCGAACGACCACCCATCGCAAGATGGCTATGATGAAGAGTATTGGAATGGCAACACCGATGAGTACTGGTACTATGATGAGAATGGGCAACCTCAATATTACGATCCGTATTATTATGAAGGCTACGAAGGCGACTACGGTTACTGGGACGGACAGCAGTATCCGCCACATGGTGAACCCCAGCACCGACCTCCTCCAACCGCGGAATTCCCACCTCCAGCACCGCATCAAGAGGGCGATGAGAAGACGCGCCTACGGCGACAGGAAGAGCTGCTGATGCCATCTCAGCCTCCTCAGGAAGGCGAGTCGTCTTCTAGCGATACTCGATTGTCGCCGTCGGCCCCCGTTCTGGACGGCGGTGCACGAGACGCCGAGCAGGCTCGAAGCGGCATCACCACGCCTTCGACCCCAGGACCTCCCGCGTCAGTCGCCTCGGCCAGGTCGGCGGACACTGTTCGTCCCTGGACGGCTTCACCGCCGCCGCCGCCTCCTCCGCCACATTCAGCTAGTGCAGACATGCATGCGACAGAGGACAAACAGGAGCTGGAAAGGAGACGTATTATGGCTCAAGCCAGCGCGCCACCACAGGTTGAAGCTGGTGAGGGTAGTAGCAGTCGACCGGTCCCTGCGCCAATGGCGCCTTCCGCACCAGTTCTCCCTGATGACGGCTACATCCATGTCGACGGCCATGATCAAGAGCACGAATTGCCAGAGTACCAGCGTTGATGTTGTTTGACATGTATTATGGGATCATAGCGAAGGCGCTGGAGGACTTTGGGATTGCATCAATCAGGCGGGGCACAGAAAAGAGACTCGGGAGAATCTCTCTCATATGATACCACACGTATGTACAAATCAGCCATGTCGTCGACAGCTGGACAACCAAGCTAGCCATCCGAGGGGCTTGCAATGAATTATACAGATCAACGACTTTGCCTCCCACTCACACTTTCTCTTGGGTGTGTTCGCTTAGTCTCGTGCCATCGAGCATCGGCTACTCCACTGCAAGATGATGCAAGCTAGGTGCATGGACACGCAATATGGACGCCTAGACTTGGCCTGCAGATGTCGAAGGGCACACCAAGGCCTTCTAGAAGCAATGTTGCGGGTCCGTCCGTAGCGGCGATCCAAACTGTGCGTTCACGAGAGATTGGGCTCAGGTCACAGTGTACTGGAAAGCCTTCATGGAGAAAAGCGCCGTGGCAGCTCGAGCTCCACCCACTCTTCCGCGGCTCGCCTTTTCGGCTGACCAGCCAGCTGCGCTGCAACTCTATCATCTCTTGGGGGTCTGTCTTCAGGGCCACCTTTGTTGATAGCTGTTCTTTCTTTTCTGTCAGCCTCATTTCCGGTCGCGTACATATTGGTGCCTGGACTGCGATATTCTCTGACGTCCCTCGCGTGCCCACCATTGACTTCTGGAAGCGTGCAGATTGCGCACCAAGATAGAGCTGTTTGCTTGTAGTGCTGTCTGCTGTCTATCTACTGCAGAGCACACTACCGGGAAAACATCTCTTTGGGTTTTCCTCTCCTTCGAAGAAGAACATTAGCGACTCATCGCCTACGACCTTCGACCGCCATCAAAATGGGGAACCTCAAATTTCCCACGCTCCTTATCATGACCTGTACGTTGCCCACTTCCACCATTCCCCATGCCACCCCTCCTCTCAGAACTCCCAGTCTAACAACAACTGCTAGCAACCTCCTTTTTTCTCGGCCTCCTCTTCTCCCTCTTCCCTTACGACTACCCCCTCCTTTGGGAGGCCGGCCCCGTGCCAGCCGCGCATCTCGATGCCGTGGAAGCCAACTACAAACTCCTATACCACTGCCCCAAGATCTGCTTCCAGATCTTCCACTTCATGATCCTCGTGGGATTGGGCGCGCTGATCGCCAAACTCTACAAGCCCTCGGAGAGCAACATGCTCTTCGACGGCGGCAGCCTCGTGCTCTTCATGGTCGCCGTCATCATCTACCTCTCCAACATCGCCAAGGGCCTGCGCATCGTCGACCGCGGCGTCTACGGCATCGGCATGCCAGACCAGCCTGCCGAGGGCGAGCAGGAGTCTGGCGTCCCCTGGGGGAAAGGCGACGGGAGCGCCGGAAGCAGTGTCTTGGGGCGTGAGGATAACCTCAAGGTGTTGGGCGCGAGCAACACGATCTTGGCGCTGGTGCTGTTGGGTGTCCTGGTGCTGCAGGTTGGGCAGTGGTACGCCGAGCGCGCCGATGAGAAGACCATGAAGGAGTATGCGGAGAAGGAGGCCCAGGAGGCCAAGGAAGCGGCGGGCAAGTCGGACAGGGCCACGAGTCCCAAGGAGGGCCGGAAGAACAAATGAAAGCTGAGTGAAGGGCTACAGTAGGATCTGTGGAGAGGCGCACGATGCAGGCCTGGGCTGGCTGTGGCCAGCACCCACCTTAAGTTCGCATTGTCGGGCTGAGGTTGTTGAACAGAGAGGAGCTTCCCGACCAACAGCAGTGGCGGGATATCAAAAACAGGTACAAAGAAATGCTCAACTATAATCGCTACAGTTCAAAACGATCGCTGCTTCCGACGCAGTTTGATCGCCATTTCGAAAAGTACCACGGTGTTTTCTTCCACGGACTCTACAGTGTGACGTCGACCTCAATCTCCCTTTGCGAGCGAAATGTGTGCTTAGGACTACCGCTCGGGGGGGAAACAGAGAAGTTTCGAAAACATCAAGACAAGACCTCGGGAAATGTCACTCCGAGAAGAAGAGCGCACAGAAAGGTCGTATGTATGTAACAGCGCGTAGGCTATGATGCTCGCTTGCTAAAATGTAAATTGATCGCTGGACCGAACACCTCGCCATTCCTTGTGAAGCACGACATTACGATCAAAGTTGCCACCCAAGCGTGTATAGAATGCCCGCCAGACACCCGTCAATATCTCCAGCCAATGCTCGCCATAGCCTGGTTGTCAGAGTGATGACCGACACAGCAAAGTCGCTGCCAACAGCTTCACAAGCCAACCTTACTCTCCAGCTTCTTCATCCAGCCACTGACCTTCTTCTCTCCTTTCTCTGTCCTGCTCTCGTAATGCGAACCCGACTTGCTTGGTCGTTTCCCATGGTGCTTTTCGTGGTACGCTTGAGCCTCGGCCTCGGTGGGGCGGTACACCTGGCCGTGCACGTCATAAGGGCTTCCGCCTTGGTGTTGCTGGTTTTGCTGCTGAGCCTGCATGTGCGCCGGTAGCATTCCCTGCTGCGACGCGGCGCCGTAGTTGAAGTGCGCGTAGCCGCCGGGTGGAGGCCCACCGCCAGAGGACAAGTAGTCCATGTACTGCGGCTGGACGTGTTGCAGCGGCTTGTGCGGTGAAACGGAGCCGGAGGTGCCCACGGGGTTAGGAAGTGTATTGTAGAACTGTGAGCCTGGGGTTTCGACAGGTTGGTGGGCTGTGGGCTGGTAGCTTTGTGAGTTTCTGTCAGGGACATACTGCGCAGCGGCGGTGGAGCCGTGACGAGACGGGGTCGTGGAAGTGGCACCGATTGCGGGTGATGCTGTGTTTGGCGGTCCAGCGAACGAAAGGGGTGTGGACTGCGGCGGTGGAGCTGTGAAGGGTGAAGTGTAGCGCTGTTGGGTCGCGGTGGGAGGGCCTCCGGTCCAGGGCTGTGATGATGGAACACCTGGTTGATAGGGCTGAGCTGAGGGCTGTCCGGGGTGATATGCTTGAGAGGGTGGCTGTCCGGGTTGGTAAGGGCGTTGGTCATGTATGGCCGCTGCTGCGAGCCCCGTGCCATGGCCATCGTCTGGGGGCGGGGGGGTGTCCTCACGATGGGCGATGGGCTCGGGAGCAGGGGGAGCTGCTGGGTCGTAGGCCATGGGGACAAATGCCTGTGGCTGTTCCTGTCTTGTAGTGGATTGCGGTGAAGCAGTCTGAGGTGAGATGGAATTGGTGGACTGGTGAGGATTTGTTGGTGGAGGTGGTGGAAGATTCACTGCCTGAGGGTGATTCTGAGAGTTTCGGGTCTGACCGTTCTGGTATGCAGGATCCGATATAGCAACGTTCTCTAGGTTCTGAACCAAAGGACTCATCATGTCAGCTCTTGCGTTCTGGACTGGTGCTGGCTCGGGCTCGGGCTCGGGCTCAGGTTCGAGCTGCACAATGTCAAGTTGCGCGGGCTGGAGAAGACCCCGCAAATTGTCCACGACGAGTTTCGCATCTTCTTGAGCCCAGAAGTAGATGTCTAGAGTATGCAACCTGTATTTGGACTTGCCGGTGTCTCTCGGATCGGCACTGAGCAAGCGCCACTCTTCAGGGTCGCGGGCTTGTCTCGATGACGGTGAGGATGCGCCGGAGCCCGCACCGTCCACAACCAGGGTCATGAGGGTGGGAAACTTGTGCGAGTTGATGATGCGACAATTGTCAAGTTGGCCGTTGAACGCATCTTGGTCAGGTGTGCCAGGATTATTTGCGACCTCTATTCTAGTGAAACCTCTGGTGCTGTTGTGGTAGATGTAGAAGTAAGAGGCCTTGTCGAAGCGGTGAAGTACAGGTCGAACTGTGGGCGGCGCAAAGTAGTAGTGAATGTCGGCATAGCTACAACGTCAGCCAGGTAGTGGAGGTTTGGTGAAGTCGTGCATACACTGTGACCAGTCTCTCTTCCCCTGGGAGTGGTGGCATGTCAGCTCACGGGCGCAACTTTGTGGAAAGCCTCAAGGCTTCGGCCGACAGCTCGGTGCGATGACGGAGGAAGCGCAGTGACGATTAGATCCTGGCCTCGCAGACGTTGCTCGAGGAAGCCGTTGTGCAAGCTCTTCCAAATTCAAGCTGGGATGCACGGCGGCTATTCAGCGCTACGCAATGACTGTACTGCCCAGGTTTGATGACGAGGCTGGATCGCCCGCTGGCTTACCTACTAAAAGGCGAATGAGGGGCAACGGCGGCTAAGCTTTAGGCGGAGAGACCTGGCGCTCCAGCCAACTGGCAGCTGCTCGTCTCTCCACTATGTTACCCTTTAAGTTGGATCTTCATCAACTCCTCAGATGTACGGGTGAGTCCATACTGCATACATGTTAGGCGAATCCATCGTCTCGAATCTGCACAGAACACTACCCCAGGAAGTGGCTCTCGTGCAGTCCAGGCTACTACCGCAGGTACTTAGGCGGCCCATGCGCACGATATCCCTCGTCTATTGGCAAGCTGCATTCAGCCTCGAGATGCTACATGCTACGATGGCGGGCGACGCCCTAACCCCATGTGCGTGTACGGCGTCCATAACATCCCTGAACGATGTCTGTCGTACAGATCTCCTGTTTTGGCCAGCAGGGCATAGTCGTGCCTGAGCAAGGCCTTCCACGCCTTATATATGGCTTTACATGTCACACTTGCGGTAGGATTTCTCTTCTGTGCATTTGCGACTCTCAGGAAACCTTCATTGGTGAAGCTGCAGATCATGGGCTCCGTGCCAGAAGACATCAAACTCGCCGTTGGTATCATTGGCGCCGGTATAGCTGGGCTTGGTGCTGCCATTGCCCTTCGAAAAGCAGGCCATAACGTTGAGGTGAGTCCTGTGGGCAGTCCAATCGTACTTTGATGACTGACACCACTTTAGCTATTCGAGCAATCAGAATTCAAGTACGAAATCGGCGCAGCAATTACTCTAACGCCCAATGGTGGCCATGTTCTGGAGCACTGGGGAATAGATCCGGCTCAGGCAGGTGCTGTTCGTAGCAGCGGCTATGAGCTGGTCTCAGGCGACACTCTCGAAACGCAGATGCTCGTTCCGCTGACAGACAATGTTGAGAGGTACGGACATCCAGTGCTGAACTTCCATCGGGTCGATTTACACAACCTCCTCCGACAAGCGGCCACTGACCCTGAGCGCGCTGGAGATCCCGCCCGAATAAATCTGGGCTCCAAAGTCATTGAGATTGACTGTAAGAAGGGTCAGCTGGTCCTTGAAAATGGAAAGAATCTCACCAAAGACCTCGTCGTAGTTGCCGATGGCATCAAGGTGCAACGCCTAGCGTATAACTTAGCTTCAGTTCTAACTTGTGTCAGACTCGATGTGTGCCGACGATAACAGGCCAGGACATTCCTCTGATTGCCACAGGCAGGTCGGCCATTCGAGGGCTGGTGCCCTTCTCGGCCATCAATGCACACCCAGAGCTTGAAGCCTATTACTCGAAACGACCGCTCAAGCCTTGCTACTGGGTCCCACACGATCATCATAAGACGAGCGTCGTTACCTACCCTTGTGGCAATCACGAGATTTTGAATATCGCGCTCCTTCACAGCAGCATGCCGAACCAGATGGAGGGAGGCACCTGGACAACTCCTGCATCCTTCGAGGATTGTCTAGCAGTTACGCAGGGCTTCCATCCTCTGGTGCACGAGTTGCTCAAGCGCTCGACCGACACAAAGATCCACAATTTTTACTCGAGAGGATTGCTACCCGTGTTAGCTAGTGGTAAAGCAGTAATCATGGGCGACGCAGCCGGTCCCCATCAGCCTCAGCATGCGCAGGGCGGCACCGTGGCCTTGGAATGTGGTGCTGCGCTGGGCCAATTGTTCTCAGAGCTACCGAAATCCGTACTTCTCACGCGGGACAAAGTCGAGGGCGTTGCTGATCCTCTCTCCGAGCTCGTCTGTGCTCGAACAGGCATGTTCAACGAATTGATGCGCTATCGAATTCATCTGACGCAGCTCATGTCGTATTGCATTCCATTCAATCCAAACGACCCTTATATGGTCGAAACGCGGAAAAAGTTAGAGGCGCTGATGGCCGAGAGAGGAGTGCCCTGTCCACCCAAAGATTATCCGCCTTTCGGAGAAGCCGTGCGTGACATCCTTTACACGCACAACGTGATCAGCGAAACGAGGAATTTTCTCGAATCAAGAGGCATCAACAGCACACCAGCTTAGGTGTAGCGAGGTGGGAGATACTGTCAAGTGTCCGAACTCGGTCGTTCACAAGCCGTCAGCTGCGCCGTGCTGATTTACACGTCCTCTGGTGTTGCGTAACCAGAGAATGTCGACTTGTTCGGTCGGGTAGGGGACAGCTTTCATTCGATGGACACTGCTCAGCAATAAGGCCAACGGGCCAGGGTATCTCGTGTGATCCTGAAATTAATAGCGCAAACCAATAAGCCACGTGCAAGGAGACTTGTCCGTACTGTACGTGGTATGACCTTTGTTCGCTTGTCGGTCGACTCTTGATCCCTGTCAATCCCGTCTCGGCCGTCAGAAGCTAAACCCAATGAGGCAAGAGGCTCTCTCTATCATGACCCCTGCAAGACAGCATCAGATGTCTACTCTTATCCATGTTACAGCACATGCTGCTGTATATAATATAGCCTTGCGCCGCTCGCCATGGCTAGATTGAATCCTACAAGCCACTGTAAGAAACCGACTTCTTCCCAGCGCATTCAGACCGCTATTCCCGAGGCCCATACTGACGACCGCGATTTCCCTGCAATCCTCCAGTACTTGATGTACACCTCTACCGCCATCCAAACTGACGCCTCCCTCCTCTTAGCCATACCCAGCCGGGGCGATCTATACGAGAAGCAACATTCCGACCTCATTCAACTGCACTGTCTCGCTCGCGCCGATGACTTCCAGCGCAAGCTGCCCGAGTGCTTCTCCCTTCGCCAAGAGGTACGCTCCTCGTGTCCTTACTTCTGCGCTTCGTCGTACATCACGTCAATCTGATGGATCAACCCAAGCCTCGTCTTCGCCTTCGTCTTCCGCCGTCCTGCATCCCACCTTGAGCAATCACTAACTCTCGTTCTCCAATCACAGCTCCTTAACAGTCCAACACCAGCAAACGACCCTGATTCTACCGCGTCCCCTCTTCTGGCTCTACCCTACGACATCCTCCATCTAGTCCTCTCCACCATCGCCTACGCCCCCTCTCAAATCGCTCTCCTCCTAACCTGCAAGCGCCTCGCCCTCCTCTTCCCATCCTACCATCTCACCCTCTCCGCTACCTCCCCCAAATACGCAGGCCACCTCCCCTCCGCCGTCTTCGACGTGCCCGCCCTCCTCGGCGTCCTCACTCCCGACTTTCCCAAACACCTCCGCCTGTGCGCACACTGCCTCACCGCACGGCCCTGCCCGCCCAACGACACCGACTACTGGCCCCACGTCGCCGGCTGCGGCTCCAGCAGCGACTTCTGGATCCAGAAGACGGGCTGGGAGTTCCACGGCGGCGGCTGGAATAAGGTCGTGCACGACATCTGCCCGCACTGTCACGGCACTTGCAGTCTCGGCGACTTTGGCGACTGCGATGGCTGTAGCGCGCTGGGGAGGCTTGGTGATGTGAATTGGCAGCGCTTGGGAGAGGCGTGGCGGAGGAGGAGGGTTGAGGAGGAGCTGAGATTGGGCCGCTTTGCGACGTGAGGCCGTGAGTGAGAGGTGCGCGCACACGCGCACTCAGTCTGCTGACGGGGACGAATCGTTCTCGTCTTTAATGCTGGGATGTGGCACGGGAGTCGATGAGCTGGGCTAGCTTGAGCCTTTCGCGGGACTTTGTGCGAGAAAGGCGCAACGGACAGGAGGGGCTTATTGCGAACTCATAGACTCGGCGCGGTCCTGTGATACACGATGTACTTGCTAATTGCGAGATTCCAGGGCGGAGAGGTACAAGCCCTGAGGGCTGAACGCGAGAAAGCGACAGAAAGAGCCATATTGGTATGAACTTAGAGCAAGACGCGATAATGACGAGACATATCATTTTTCCGGGTCGTTATCTCATAATCTCATCCGACTTTCACGCCTTGATCAGCGTCCGCTGCCGCCTCGTCCTCGTCGCTGCTTCCGTCGGCAGAGGCCTCGTCGCTGTCATCAGAAAAGGTTTCAAAGTCGGATACAGCGTGTGAAACTTCGCTTCCCTCTTCGCCTACGTCCGATGGCTCGGGCACAGAGTCCGCGGCGTCTTCTGCCAGCCTGGCGCCGGGCATCTCTCCAAGCTGGCCTTTGCGGCCTTTCACGACCGCTTCATCCGCTGCAGGAGTGGCTTCCACCGCACCTTCTCTCTTCGGCGGCGGAGTAAACCAGGGGATCTTGCCGCGCAGGAAATCGTTGATCACCATCTTGGCCACTCCATCCACATCGGGCTCCCCGCCTTTCAGTAATCTTCCGCCCTTCCGAGCCAGAATGCTGAGGAACTCAATCGGATCGTCGTTGTAGTCTGCATGTTTCAATTCATATGTCCGCTCGATGTGCTTCGTTTGCGTGCGTCGTAGAACAGCTTCAATATATTGCGCAGGATGCTCGACGTTCTCCACACGTACGACGCCTCGCAGGAGGATGTCCTGCTCATTGTCGCCATGGCTTGGGGGTACGACTCCAGGGCAGTCGATGAGGTAGATTCGTTTCATCAGGGTGATGTATTGCCACACTTTGGTTTCGCCTGGAATTGGCGCGACGGTGCAAACTCGCTTCTTGCGAAGAGTGTTGATAATTGATGATTTACCAGTGTTTGGGTAGCCAATGAATCCAACCTGAATTTGCTTACGATTGGAGTGCAAGACAGAAAATTGACGGAGGAGCGTGATCAGCGAGCCTTTGCCGAACGAGTTTGTTAAGGAGGCGTGAAAAGCGAGGGTTGGGTATTCTTTTGATAGTAATCGCACCCATTGGGCCTGAAAAATGTTAGCTGATGTGTGAAACATTACTAAGAGGTCTGCTATGAGATTGACCGCAGGTCACTGCGAGACCTCAACTCAAATGGGACACGCCGTGGCTCAAGGTGATGAGCTACCAGAATGGTAGCCATCGAAGAGCACCGTGAAGGCGCCGAGCCTGGTCAATTTACCAACGCTGTAACAGGCTACTTTCATGGAGAAATGCGAGAAGCAGAAAGAAGCCTTGACTTGAGCAGTGGAAAGGGATGAGGTCACAGGACAGAAGGCAACTTACTGCAATGGTGGTGGGCACCAGATCGCACTTGTTCAGCACAAAGATCAAGTGCTTGTGGGGTGCTTCCTCTTTGATATACTTCTCGACGCTGCGACAACGTGTGCCTTCGGGATCGCGTGCGTCGAGAACGTGAATGACAACATCGGAGGAATCAATGACCTTATACAACTCATTCCAGATTCTCTTGGACTGTCCCTTGGAGAAGATGGGTTCTCTTGCAGTTGTAAGCTCACCGGTATCGTTCTGCGTCTGGTCTGTAGTCTGGCCGCTTAGGTATTTGGCCTCCTCGAGGCGCTCGAGATAGTTCTCTTCCATTTTTACGGTCTCGTCCGCGAGGTCTGTGACAGAGCTGGCGCTCAACTTCACCCGTTTCCGTTGTGATTTGGGACCAAATGTATCGGCGAAAGGCGACTGTTCAACAGCAATTTTTGCCTTGTGCTGCTTTATGCCGTTCTTTGTATTCTCCGCGTCCCGGATCAGACTCATGGGAAGCTTGTTGGTTTTCATCAAGACCTGATAAGGGTCTTGTTCTCTTTCAGCGACAGCCTGTCGAAACGAGTCCAGAGCACCTTGGGAGATGACTCTAGTGTTCCCAAACCATTTGCGATTTGGCTCAACTCTTGCTTTTGGAACTTCCCTCGACTGGTACGGGGCGGCTTTCGTGATTTTTCCCTCTGCATTTCGCTGCGCTTTGCCGTCCTTGAACATATTCAAGGTCTTGATCTTTTTCGCATTGCTACTGCGAGTCAGTTTTCATAATGTCGGCACCAGGCCGCTGCTCGACTCACCGGTAAAAGTTCTCGCCTTTTACCTTGACGTTGGCCATGCAATCTCCGGTTTTGCCTTGCCGCTCGCGGCGACTGGCTTCCTTCTTGCCGGAACCCATCGTGTAGATCCTGCGGCCGAAGTTCCGTCAGGAGAGATAGTGAGAACAGCGTCCAGATGTGGCAGAAATCCAAGATGTTGCCCGCCCGCTATTGCTACGAAAAAAAGTTCGAGGCGCAACTTTTGATGGAGTTCCGCCAAGCCAGAGCATAGAATCTAGTCCTGGAATGGTTAGTTCGGGATTTACGCCGACTCGTCAAATGAACCGCTCGTTCAATCTATAACGACTTCTGCTCTTCATTATTGACTACGCTATCAGAAGCTTTGACTTGTGGGCATACTAGCCGGCAGCTACTCGCTCAGGTACCTTTGTCGATCCGGACCTGAATCATTTGCTGAGTGTTGCACTTCCGCCGCCGTGCCCTTCCGTTCGATGACTTGCTCAATATCGTCCCGGGCCAGCTGATGGTGTACCAATACATCGGGCTGCCGCCAGGAGTACATCACGTAGTAGTATCCACCACAGAACAGAGCGCCTCCAACCACGTTTCCAAGCAGCACTATAGTCATCAAGAACGCCGGATTAGTAGCTAACTTTAGGCCATGGATCGATTGCAGGGGGGAAGAAACAAGGCTACTGCTCTCTAGTGTTCAATGCCCAGCAAGAAGACTTACCCGGCAGAAGTCCTTTTCTGATATACAGACTGACTGTAATTTGCGGGTGTTTAAGCCAGATCGCCATTGGTATGAAGAACATGTTCGCAACCTGCACAGACCATCAGCTGCGAGACGACGCCAGGGATCTGCTTAACTTACCACGTGGTCAAATCCCAACGAGACAAAGGCAAAGATTGGCCAATAGAGTCCCACGACCTTTCCCGTCAGATCTCGTGCCTGAACGGCAAAGAAGCATCCCAAGCAGACCAGCCAGTTGCATCCAATCGCTCTGAGGAAAATCATGGGCCACGTCGGGGTCACCTGTCTGGCTGTCGTGGACGCAATGAGTGCAGATCGCCAAGGATCGTTGCTGAAGACACCGCCATCTGCTTCAATCAGCGCCCTCCTCCCGTTTCTGGGAGCCCATACAGCCAAAGACGATACAAACGGTAAACAAGGCTCCAATCAGGTTACCCCAGAAACTCAGTCCCCAGTGGAGCAACGCCCTTTGAACGGCAAGACGGCGACGAAGGACTGCAACAGTGGTATACTAATTGAGTCAGGGAATCATGCCAACCGCTGACCAAGCATGATTATGCTTACCATGAAAGATGCAGTACAAAGGTCAACACCTGTAAGTACAACCATTGTAATGCCGTCTAAGAAGTTAGTGACACCACATCGCTATCAATGTCCAATGCGAGAAGATAGGTTTCGGCGGGATGGAGCTTGAAATACGACCATACTTGGGCAAAGCTACCTCAAAGAGGCCTTGCCACTGATTCTGAGATGCGATTCAGGTACTTCCGTTGTCTGATGTGGATGTTGCAGGACTGGAACAACTTACAAGGGAATACAAGTGCGCTTAGAATACGAGCCGGTCCCGGCGCGTTTTCCGACAGCTTCAATAAACGGTCAGCCTTCATACCAGCCAGGGTGTGCATGTGTCAACTGACCCAAGTTGACGTTGATATAGTCGCAGCAGATGCTGCTGCGAAGGAGAGCAAGCAGCCCGCGCTCACACCAGACAGAAATATCTTGAGCGGATGCATCCGGGCCTTCTTCCTCCCTACCTCGCCCACCATCGCAGTCACCTCGTTTGGGGTGTATGCGTCGAATGAAACCATTACGTTGCCTCCGAAGCAAAGCAAGCCTGGATTGGTTGATGAGAGTCAACATAGAAAGGGTTGGGAGTTGAGGGTGCGTCTCTATATGCCCTCGATCCATCCAACCCGTAACTAGATTGACGATTGCCAACACTCACTTCGACACGAGCTTGAGTGACCTTGGCTGCATCGTCATTGCGACCGCATGAAACGGCTGGTATGGCGGCCGCCGTTCAGTCCAGCCTGTCTTTGTTTTCGGCTACAAGGCGAATCTGCAGAGGTTGGTCTAGTCATGAGACTCGGCATCTCATGGTGAGCCATAGTCACCCATCAGGTGCGCGGATTTCCATTCGCTCCTGGTGGATTCTCAACTTGCCTCTCGCCCCATGCGATCGCCCCTTTATCGATGTGCTACAGCGTAGACATGGCCTTCGACACACCCGAGGATTGTGTCGCAACAGGCAGGAACGACAGGCGTTGCCGCCTCCGTGTTACCCATGTTGTCCCACTTCAAGACGGGGTCTGTTGACACCTCGACCATCGACAAGGTGCTGGAGCAGGCTGCCGCTGCTTTGTTTGCCAACTGCGCACAGTCTATAGGTGGCAGGGTGCTGCTGAAGGCTTGTATGCATGACCTATTATAACCTTGTCTGTGAAGCCAGTCCAAGAAACGCTGCCACCCAGTCATTCGCTCGGGCACGCATAGCCAAAAACCGATGACCTCGGCCGTTACGAAGACAACTTACCATGCAGTCTGCGTCCATTTCAAACTGGGCTGGAGATGTGGGGAAAGTTGTCGTCCTTGCATACGAATCTGCTGGCCAGTCTCGCAGAGCCATGTTTGCAATACTCCCCAGAGCCACCCGGAAACAACAGATATCCTGGTGAGAGCTTCTGAAGTCCACAACGCCCTCCGACCACGAGGATGCTGACGGATCGTCTGTGGCAATACAATAAAACTGTCCGACTTTATGAATTGAAGCTGACCTGTAGAGGCACCTTGTGATTGTTCACGCTTTGGGGACAGTCCGATCAAAGCTTGACGTCGACAGTGGTCGAGGCTGGTCCCTGCATCGATCGCGATCGGACTCTTCACGAATGCCATAATTGGATGTTACCCGTATCTGGTATTCAGTCCTTGAGCTCGGTCTCGGGATAAACTGTGCATAACAACCGAACGCGAAAAGGTTCAAGCTCACTTCACGGAAACTGTGCTTCGTTCAACATTCCTCGGGGAGAAAACGCGACTCAAGATCTCACAGAGAGTTAGCGACAACCTTGATCTATTGAACTCCATGACTTTCGACGCTATCCGCTCGCGCGAATCGCATGTGGCGGGTTGTCCTCGGTGAGTAACTAAGCCACTCGTACTTCGCAGACGAATCATGAGTCCGCGTTTCGGAATTCCTGTGCCCACTTTGCCAGACAGCTCAGCTCAGTAAGCGTGACGAGCATAGGCGTTTCTCTATCATGTGGTTGTCGGGTATAGATATACACTGGCCGACTTTGGCAGGTCAAGCGGTGGTGTTGCGCGGCATTCCTCAGTACTCAATATACTCGAAATACAGCGTCCTCGGCGTCCCCGATTTGGAGAAAGGGCTGGGCAATTGGAGCACAGCCAACATCGAATTTGGGGACAAGAATGGTGGGCGTCATGGTACCAGTAAAACATTGATACTCCTTTACTGCCTGACCTCGGTATAATCATATGGGAAAGGCTCCGTAAGCAAATCTGCCATAGCCATAGTCGCTGCCATCGACACCTCTACGGGTCTTGAACCGAGTCAACATGGCTCATCGCATTCTCATCACCGGCGGCTCAGGCTATCTCGGCGGCTCCCTGCTCGCCGCTCTCCCAACTGCCGATCTGCCCCCATATGAGAAACTCTACGCGCTGGTTCGCACTGACGAGCAAGCTGCTGCCGTCAAGCAGTACGGAGCTGAGCCCGTCTCACTTGACCCAAAGGACGAAGCGGCCGTTCGCAAAGGCATAATCGATCATAGCATCAATATCGTCTTCTTCCTCGTCGATGCTTTCACATCTGCCGCCCAGGTCAACTTCATCAGAGCGCTTGGCGAGTTGAAGAAGACAACGGGAAAAGACGTGCACTTTCTACACGTGGGTTCACCCCTCCCGATCACCCTTTCGCCTACATGAACTAACATGACACCAACCTCAAGACCACCGGAGCCAAGATGTTCTCCTCCCACACTGGTGCCCCCACAGACGGACCTCTCAAGGACGACGACCCCAATCTATACCAAATCCACCAAGCGCAGAAATCCCCAATCTCCATCATGCAAACGGTAGGCCTCCTCCCCCTCCGCCTCCCACAACGGCCCCCCTCCCACCACCACCCGCTAACCCCCAGCTCGCACGCACAAAACAGCCCATTCACACGAACCTCACTGTAACGGAAGAATCCCTCGCCCACAACGTCTCCTCCTACATCTTCGCCCCCTGCATCGTCTACGGCCGCGGCACCGGCTTCGGCAACGTCATCTCCATCCAAACCGCCGCGATCGTCCGGGCGGCGAAAGCCACGCGAAAAGTCTACAGCGTCGACGACGGCGAGCCCTGCTGGCCCGTCTGCCACGTCTCCGACAACACGGGCCTCTACCTGGCGTTACTCTCCGCCATCTTGGCCGGCTCGAAACCGCCGTCGGGGAAACAGGGGTTCTACCTCGCGTCTTCCGGGTTGGTGAAGTGGGTGCACCTGTATGCTGCTATGGCGGCAGAGCTGAAAGAGCAGGGCGTGGTGGACACGGCGGAGGTACGGCGCGCTGATGAGGCGGCGTTGGAGGCAATGGCGCGGGGACTGGGTTGTGGGACGCAGATGGTCGGCGTGCAGTTGGGCGGGAAGTGTACGTTCATGGCGGAGCATGGGAGGAGCGTGGGCTGGGTGCCTAATTATAAACCCGAGCATGTGTTGGAGGCGGCGGGGGAGGAGGTAAGACTGATACTGGAGAAGCAGAAATAAGATGGTGGTGTTCAATGCTTCGATTGCCTGGTCTCTTGTAGTACTGCAGCCACCAAAGAACTGAGTGAGGACAGTGTTCTTGAGGCTTCCGAGTCGCCGTTGGCAGATGGACTCACGCTGTCTCATGGACGCTTTGAAGAGTTTTAGAACAGACGACAAACGGTTGGAGCACCGAGGCTATCGTAAACGATCAGAAACTCTCGTGATCTGGCTTGTCATGTTAAGACATAGGGATCGATGTCGGCATTCGCGAAGTCCTGATCGTGGCCAACCCTCAGCGGCAGATACTTCCGGGGTATCTGGCTCTGCGGACTGAGAGACCTCGAAAGCCGTGAGAAGCACTCACATAAACTTTCGGTCGGCTCAAGGAACCCATCTATGCTGGTCTCGTTGGCAGGAACGACGTTCGCTCGTTGGTGGCGCCTGCTCATGCTGAAGACTCACCTTCCGCGGCCTGTAGGCAAGGCCTGCAGGCAGACTGTTGGGAATGCTCACAACGCACAATACTCGTATTAGCTCATACTGACGCAGTGTGGATGGCTGAGTCAGTAGTAAATATCCTCCGACGCTTCATTGGAATGCAGTCCATAAAAGAGTCAGCTGGTAAACGGATTACAAATGGTGGAAGTTGATAGGGCAGAGCTGGCGAAACATGCTGGTTTGGGACTCGGACGTCGCTCGGTCTTGCTAATTTGGGATATTGTAGAGCGAAGTCGTTGCGGGGGAGGGCGCGGCCAATTCGTCAGAAGCAGCAGCTTGAACGCAGGCTTGATGAGGACGCAGGACTGACGAGCTTACGGTTTAGGGTATATAGAGGGACTGCTGCTCTTCTGATGAGCTTGTCATCTCAGCTGTTAACCTCCTAAAGCTGGGTCGAACTTACAATTCATCAACAAAGCTGACTTCAGTTTCTTGCACGATATCCACAAGCACAAACGAGACATGGAGCCTCTTAGCCTCGACGAGACCTTCATCTGCTCAAGCCCGCATTGTCCGGGGGCGAAATGAGGCAGCATAAAATGATTTCCAATCTGAAGGCAGCTATCTGCGAACTGAATCATCTGAAGGAATTTGCGTCTGCTTGAGCTCTGTAGCATCTTGTCGAGGACAAGCACTCTGGAAAAGACTGTGTCGCCTGCGATGCGGCGTTTGCCTGACGTCAGTTGTGTAATAAGGGATATTTTTCGTGGAGGAAGCTCTTGTCAGCAAGCGTCGGATCTATGGGCATTCAATAGCGAGATGCCACTGCGCGGAATCTGTTGCGGATTGGTATGGTGCTCGATGGGGCGGGGCACCTGTCGATCAAGCGGCGACAGTGCTGCAATGCTCCATCAGCGTACAGCCTAACATGTGCTGGTTCCTGTCTGTTTAGACGGATCTGAGCTTGATCTGGATGTTGACAGAAGCTGGTTTGAGAAGATGATGAAATCTCTTGGGCGAGGAAAGCAATGTTGAGCAGCCAGGTGAATATGCGGCAGTTCCGACCTGCGTGCTGGAACGCTAAACGAAAGTTCTTACCTGAACACCCGGGCGTACGTCGACGACGGCTTTGGACGACTGAACCATACTTCGGATGTGCAGCGCCGATGACGGCCTGCTGAGGGTGATGCGGTCAGATAGCGACGTCGTCTGGCGATCTCTCAGGGTCAAGCTGCCGGTTTGGACGAACGGTGCTTGCCCAGTTCGTTCATGAATTTTCAAACCAGTCGTTCCGAACAGAACGTGACAGTAGCAATTCGAGATACTAGTGGGATAGTACGCAGTGGTAACGAGATCCATCGTGGCCACGGGCCCATAGTCGGAACCGTCGACAACGCCTCAGGATGTCATGAGAACCCGCTGTCGAAAAAATTCTATACCGCGGCTCGAAAACCCCGAGGGCTTCAAGTACCCATTATGAAGTTTTGCTTGCAGGTACCCAGGGCTAAGCCCACGCTTGACGTCGATGGGGAGACGTTCCGGCTGTAGCTAGAATGGATGGATAGCCCGACGCACACTCTTAGCGCGAGACGCGTTGCGCGACAAAGGGATTGTTTTTCCGGTGAGATCCCAAAGAGGGTCGCGTGGACGCACGTTTGATATCATACCTGCAGGATGCTCTTGCATAGGCGCCAGACAAGAAGCGATGAGCATGCATCATAAGCGGAGCTCCGCCATGGCTAACGGTTGAGGCAGCTGTCATGGTGCCACAACGAATTCGGTGCTCCGAAGCTTTGATTTAGTAGTCTCCAGGACTTACCAGATGGTGCTGAGAAGCGAGTGGACGATAGCAGTTTCGATAACAGCAAGTAGCGATCTGGAAACGCAAACAGACCTAGAGGCAGAAAGAGTGCTGTGGCTGACGGCTTCGCTTATCAAGATCATTCTGCCGGAAGCATGCAAGAATGATGCATGCCTTGATCAGAAGCTGAGCCACAGAGCGCTTGTGATGCGGCTAACACAGTGTGTTGACTTCTAATTTTGCAGCTTGCAGTGTGCAAAACCTGATTCGCGCCCATGCGGCGGAGGCAGACCGGAAGCCATCGTTTGAAGCCATTTCTCTCGGCATGGCTGGTCCGATTTTACAGGGAACCATGACGAAGGCGGAGAAGGAGACCAGTTCAGAGAGCTTAGGATCCTGTACCGGTGCACCGGTGGTCGACACAAATGACAGGCACGCTTTCTCGGCTCTTAGCAGGGACTTTGGTCGTGACCTGTTTTGAATACGGTGAGCCTGCCCGGCCATGCTGTCGACCCCTGTTGATGTGTATCTCGCCTGGGCCAGAGTTTTGTCCATCATCCTAGCTGTGGCGCCGAAAGAGGAGCGGAGAGGCGGCGACTCAGCGACTGGGCGGGGGTGGGTGAACGCGCATCCTTGTTGCAATTTAAGCCAAATGAGCAAAGGTCGCGACGCGTCTGTCATTTCCGCTGGACACCACTGGGAGGTTGGATCGGCCTCCCGAAGCCTGGATTTGGTGGTGGGATACGATAGCGTTCCGCAGCTCAAAATACGCATTTGATGTTGACCCCATTCAGGGTGTATCTTGAGTATTTTATACCAGGATGGCTCAAAGATACGAAGCCAGCCAACCTTGCCGATATCAGTGCTACACGATAGATATGCTGTGCGACCGAGCACATTCAACGGCATCTCCTGGTCTGCATGGCATTGGTTTCCAGGTAGACACCGAAGCTGTCGAATTGTAAAACGATACGGAGTACTATGATTCTGGACTGGCCATGGGCTTTTTGAGACTTCAGCCAACTCCTGCAGATCGTGGCCGTCGGTGTCTCACCTCGCATTTTCCGGGGTCAAGAATCTTGCCAATAGCTGTAGGCATGGCGCCACTGATAGACCGACCATCTAAACCAAAAGCTTGTTGTCTATCCGACGCCACGCTTCATCTCGGTCAGAAACTGGCTCTGAATTCACACCATTGCACAAGCCTTGGGACATGGACGGTCTGTAGTACAATCTATGTAGACTGACATTGTCCATGTAGCCAGGCGAATTGGTTGCAGCAGTCAAACAATGTTCTGACACAATGACCGCAAACGTTACGCAGGGTACCGGTCGGGCGTACAGAAGCAGCTCGCGTCAATGTTTGATCCGGACAGCCCTAAGACAGGCAGCTATGAAGTTCAATCCCACGAAAACGGTCAAGTGTGGATCTCTTTGGCGATGGCACATGGGCTTGAGGGTCTCAGATCTGCACGACCCCCGACGCGACCGGTGGACGTGGACAGGCTGATTCGTTTCGGACTCGTGTGACGCGGTGCGGATGGATGCTGAGCAAAGGCAGCGCAGGTGGCTGGGGTTTGGTAAGGACTTTGACGTCGACTAGCTCTCCACCCTCAGCAGCTTATGAGCTGATGGCGCGCTGTCGATGGCGACAAGACGGCACAGGATCAGGGACGCGACATGGGAGGCGGGCCAATGGGCAAGGAAAACGCGGTAGAGACCAAAACCACAAACCCTCCTGGTGCGCTGGCGAAGCGTAAAATCCGGGTAACAGTGTAAGCCGAGTAGACAGCTGAGCTTTAGACCCCGAGAATCATCACCTATCAGGGCCAGCTTATGTCAAATGTTGCAGACGGCAGAAGTACAGCCAACGCGCATGACAACACCCCTGGGGACAGCACTCACAAGTAGACTTGGTGCGCGGAGGGGGGTGCATTTCCGATTTAGGCGTGCCCCGGTGCCTGGTGGCACGCCTGGAGCCGGAACTCTGCTTGCCCAATCTTTGGCCGGGCCAGTGATACCGGCTGGAAGTACGCGTTATGGGCGGTACAGGCGTTTGTCTTACGCCTCTCCACTCTGCTCCATCTCGCTGCGCAGACGACGGCTTCGTAGCTTGGCCCAGACGCCAGCAGGGATTCGGAGCACCACCGCCAGACCCAATCAATCCTCTGCTTTCCGACCTCTTCGATGCTTCTTCTCATCTATCCTACTCCCCTATTCCCTTCGACCTCTTCTTCAACCCGCCAGAGGATCTCATCACCCATCCTCATATCCTCTTCACCTCCTCCCTGTCGTTGGACGATTCTAGATACCAATCAGTGTTCGATAGGTTGTCTTGATGTCCACGACCCTCCTCTCCTCGACCCCGACCTAGTCCTCCTCCTGCTGAGCCTTGTCTGAGTAAAAAGCATCCTGTCTGCTTACCTGTGGCCTATACATTCTTTTCTGCGGACCCTCTGGATAGCTGTCTGCTTGCCTGGCCTTTGTCCTTTCAATTGCTACTCTTGTGTAGCAGCTTCGCAGGTAAGCAAGCTCTCTCCATTTCTGCCTCGTTTTCCGCATGCATGTGGGTCTCGTATCAACTCCAGCTTTTCGATATGGCCGTCTTCAATCCAACATACTGCCGTTCCAAACCTCTTTTCGATGCCCTGGGCTGGGCCACTTACGCTGCCTTTCCATCCTCGATCGATCCATCTATCAGTCCTTCAATCCCTTGCTCGAAACCCCACGGAGCATCGAGAATCGAGCATGGCTCTTGCTTCGAAAATGAGGATCTTCCGAGGGGGCAGCAAATAATTTCATGGCGGCTTCGCAAAGCTGTGATGGAGGAGTTGAAGGGGTCAAGACTCCGGCCCGTGCAGAGTCACCTAGCACCACTACTTGGGGTATCTCAGTGAATTTCATCCTGCCCCATTGCTGAGCTCAGGCCTTCATTCACACGCAAGGAAGGAGGATTCTGGATACGCTGTTCAGTCACTGATATGTGGTTCTGCCTGTTCAACGCCTCACCGCCTTGTTGTTCACACGCATGCCGTATAATTAGATTCAATTTGGACGGCCGAAAAAATCCTTCCCACATGCACCTCTCTTGGAATCACTTACCTTGCATCAAGCTAACACTCTCATCGTCTTAGATTCTCAAGACAATCAATCCTATCCTCAGCGTTAGGTGCCTATCAAAGTCAGCGTGGTCATCCCTCCCGCAAAACGCAACTGTGTTCGGACACTTTGCAGTCTTCGCACCATACCCAGTAAGTTGACCAAATCTCGGGTGCAGAATAAGAAGCTAACATCAGCTAGGGTTCCAACTAAGGGCGTTGAACAGGGCGAACAAGCCGACATTCCTCGTTCGCGTTCTAGCTTGGATAAGTGGAGGCGTTCATTCGACCTTCCACCCCCTCAATCCACGCCCTACCTAATTACCCTAGCCATTCCAATCTGGCCTCGATGAACGGATCCTGACTGGTCTGACGTCGTCCCATTCCTACCCCCTGTCCAACAGGTACGTGCTTCCCACTTGATCGCTCTGTTAACTGACCAACGATCCAGACTCCATACGGTCTGTACGCCATCTTAATTAATTCACGGCACTGGCCTCCTCCAGCTTCAACATATCATCCAGTCACTCTTTCACCAACACATTCATTTGAAGACTTTTCCAAGTCGACGACTGTCATTCATTCAACCCCGTCGTTAGTTTTCGATCCTCGCATATCTCTGAAGCCCATCGTACCCATCAGGGAGACCAATATCACCTATCGAAATCAACGTCGTCATGGCTTTCAACCGCATCACTTCCTTTGGCTCGACCGACAGTGGTTACGAGAGTTCGGGTGCTGCTGAGGTCTTCGACGCACAGTCTAGAGCCAAGCAGCAAGACCATGCTAGAGAGGTCTCCCGTCACCGCCAGCAGCTTCTTGCCAACGAATTGTCCCGACAAGATTCGGAGGAGTATGGTCAAGATATGCTAGAGCACATGCTTCGCATGGACGGAGAGACCCTGCCTGATGTTGATTCTATTGACATTCAGACTGAGATCCAGTGGTTCATGCGGCCATACCTTCTCGACTTCCTTGTCGAGGCCCACTCTGCCTTCCAACTCCTGCCGGAGACTCTCTTCCTTACCATCAATCTCCTCGATCGATACTGCTCCAAGCGTGTTGTGTACAAGCGCCATTACCAGCTCGTCGGCTGTGCTGCTCTGCTTATCGCCGCTAAGTACGGTGACAAGAAGGAGAAAGTCCCCACGATCAAGGAGTTGAAGTCAATGTGTTGCTCGCTGTACGATGATGACATGTTCTTGCAGATGGAATGGCACGTCCTTTCTACCCTCAACTGGAGCATCGGCCACCCTACTGTCGACAACTTCCTCAAGATGGCCACAAAGGATTCTGTCTACGATCCCGAGACGGAGAGCTTGACGTTGTACATCCTCGAGATTGCTCTCTACCACCGCGAGTTCATCTCGAAGCACTCGTCTGTTCTCGCCCTGTCGGCTCTTGCCCTCGCTCGCAATATCCTTGGCCGCCCCCAGGCTCGTCCCACCGAGTGGGCCAATCAGTATGATCACAACATCTTCACCGAGCTGTCTCAGTTTCTCAATGAGCCGTCCAACATCCTGTCTCGCAAGTACAACTCAGCTCGCTACTGCGGTGTTGCAAGACTTCTATCCAACTACCTGGCACAGAAGGCTTTGATGGCCAGAGCCCCACCAACTCCTGCCTACGAGCTCACTCCCCCCACCGGTCTCTCGAAGCCTGGTAATGCTGGCTACTTCGGTAGCTACGCCACGCCTCAAAAGACTCACTTCTCGTCCCTGTCCCAGCATGGTCTCTACACTCCTCCCATCACCCCTGAAGAGAATGTATCGAAGCTTAGCTTCAATGGTGGCAACATGCTCCCTCCTACGCCCACTCCTGGTGCCCCTCAACACTTCGAGTTCACTGGTGTCCCTCAGTACCACTCGACCGGCCACGCGTGGACCTTCTCGGGGTACTAGGTGGACATGATAGGGGCGGACTGTTCTTAGTTGAACATATCTGCCTCATACAACCTTCGACAACTCACGAAACCCTGACCTCTAACCACTGATACCCTGTATCATCGGATTTCAGTTCATGTTCATTCGATTTCAAGCATCGCAAGCGAGTCCTTTCAGCACAGCAACCACCAACCGAAAACACCTAATACCACGAAAAGCGAGTTCTTTTTTTAGTCTGATCTTTGATGGCGGCTCCGATCGCCTCCGAGAAGACCACGACATCGCAGTGAAGGGTTGCCCCAAGATTGAACCACGGTGGAGCAAATTTTCTATTTCTTTTCTAGACAGGCAGACCAAGAGGAATGTCGAATGGAGGAAAAAAGTTGGCTCGAATGTCGAGCAAGGTGCACTGAATCGTGTCTCGGCTGAGGCAAAAGCAATAACGGCATGTGGACTAAGCTGCTAGGAGGAACGGATTGTCATTATTGCCTTCAGCCTTTTGAGCCCTAGTGATACCCTGGTTAGATCGCTCAAGAGAGAGCGGATCCGCCGAACGAGCCTTTGTGCTCTGTATTCTAGGTAGTGGCAGTTGAGAAATCCCAAACCACAAAGGACGATGATAACTCGAAAGATTCAATTCAATACGCTCGTTGCTTCACTCAACATCTCCCCGTATAGGCATCTCCACGTATAGAAAGACACGTTTCGTCCACCGAACATGCTACTGATTACACACTTCTGCAGCGTCCAAGGTAGTTCACATTTTCACCCCGTTATTACTTAGACCCTAGAGGTCGATCTCGACGTACAGTTCCCCTGGCAAAGAAATTGGGGTCCTCTTGGCTTTAGTGCCCGCATACCTCGTTGCCTCCTCCTTCTTTCGTCCCTCGCAGCAACGGCAACTGTCCACTGGGCAGCATTGTTCCGGACCCCCACAACATTTGTGTCGAGAAGCCACTTGTGAGTGCGGGCAACAGACTTTGGTATCCAGGGTGGGAAGTGCAAGGGTGACGGCAACCCTTTGCCCGCTCCGCTATCAGTCGAAGAGATCCGTCGTTTCCGCCCACACGGTATGTGCTAATCTCGACAGTCTAAGAGTACTCTGCCCTTCTCGCTTATGCAACACGGCTCCTGCCATGCAAAGTAAAGCAAGCTTCTTGGTGGGTAGACAGGCGCCTCCCAACCCCCGTCTCGCAATGCAATGACCGGCCGGCAATAAACCTACAAGGGCAGCATTCCCGATCACTATCGCCACCTAGTAGGTCGATCATTTCATTTCCCACGATGGCTGCTTCTCAGCTAGAGAAGGGGCGTCAATCACAAAAGGTCTTACGAAGGAGTCGGTAATCTTTTCGACTGCGAGCTTTTGATCCTGCACCTCATTCTCTGGAGAGCATACCACATTTAGGACAGGAGTAACATTCAGGCATCCACCACCAGCGCGCCTGACTCAAGAGAGACAGGCGTGAAGTTTCTGAGATTGGCATACTGTGGACAAACCTCTCTGGACCAATACTGCAAGGCAACCCGCCAAATTCACTTTTGTGAGAAGCTATGCCTACTCACTAAGCCGATGCCTGTTGAGTTGCCAGCGAGGCAATGGCAAGACTCGATCAGCTACGGCACTTTGCGTTGTCGCCTATTGCACAACTGCAGGCAACCGTGCCAGCTTCACTTGTGCTTGTGGAGGGTACTTTGCAGCCAGCGTGTTCAATATGTACCTTCCCACAGGCTCCAGCCTCAACGCATCTATAATTCGAGGTAGGTGATGCTCAACACATCTGGATCAGGTTGAGTACTCGGTACGCGCTATACTTCGCCTTCATAGTCAGTAGCCATCGTCCACCTGTCCGCTGCCTCTGCGCCTTCGACGAGCCATGGTATACTCAAATGCTGGGTACCGTCCAACATGGCGCTACGACGCCAAAGGAAGGCTGATCCTGCTCGACATTCCGAGTTCGGTAGACAAAACTCCCTCCTCTACTTCTCACTCAGCTAAAGGACCATGTAGGTGGACCTTGACAGATCCATACAGCTCGCCCGCAATGGCGCCAACCCGGACAGCGTCTCAACGAGCTTACACAGCAGCGTCCCATTGTTATCTCTTCCCACCGAGCTTGTCCACCGTGTTGTTGCGTGCTTACACCCTATCGAGCGCGTCTGCCTCGCCTTGACCAGCAAGGCTATCTGCAGTAGCATCTTGTCGGCTCCTCGAATCCCACCTTCACAGTTCGCTGAATATTGGCCGCCTCCACGGAAGCAATACCATGTCAAAGGTGCACCCGTCGATGTCAGCGTCCCACCGGAATATCACGGCCTGCTCTTACGGTTGGCGATTGGGTGGCTCGACAAGCGACACTGGCGCTATTGTGGCACCTGCGGACGGATCTTGCGGCGGGACCAAGATATGTGGCGCAAGAAGCTGAGCCTGACGTGGAGTGCATGGCTCAAGGGAATTGTATGCCAGGGGAAGTTATGCAACAGGAGAATGCCGGCCTGGACCGAACACCTCGCTGTGAGGAGGGAAGCCTGGGAGGCAATGAGCTGGACCCAACGCGGGGAGATGATGGTCAAGAAGTGGTGCACATCATCCCGCCCGTCCCCCACCTGCTACGGAGCTGGTGGTTCATCGAATGCTAGCATACCCAGTTCCGATATTGAGGCTCGGTCTTGTGCCCTCCGAGGCCGCGCAGGCTTCCGATGCTCAAGTCGATCCCTGCGTCAACGCAGCATCGACAGCTGCGACGCACTCCCAAGTAGGACAATTCCGGCTCCCTACAACGCCGGTGCCTCGGTCATTGGAGTCAGCGTTGTGGCCGAAGGCCCTCTTACATCAAATGAGCGGACCGAGCTCACGAACAACCATCTCCCGCCACAGGGCCATCAAGACACCCTCATCGGGGAATGCGAGGATGTGAGTGTGCCGTGTCCGCTCTGCAGCTGTACTTTTGAGTGTCCGCTCTGCAATTTCGCCGTTCAGAGACCCGGCAAGCTCGAGCTCATGCAGCAGAGATGGCGCAGGAAGGGGCGCTGGGGAAGGGGAGCGGCGCGGTGGCTCCTGGGTCCACTGAAGTCTGCACGGGACGTCTTGTTGCGGGCATGGGAAGGGGTGTGGTTGGGAGTGAGGCTCGTGCTGGGACGGGGTGTGGTACGGTCGTGTGGGAGGGAGGGGTGTGGCGTTTGAGTGTTGCGTTAGGGCGAGGTGAGAATCTAGCTGGCTGGTTCCGTGTGCAGGCATTGAGATGGATGTGTATGTGAGTAAATATAGAAGAGGTGGATGGGTGCATCGTTCCATGTTAATGAATATGAGAGGAGAGGGATGCACAAGACAGGAGGCATAGATTATCAAAATGACAACGAAGCCACAGGTCATGCATGGAACTAACATTTTCATCCTGCTCCTGCGGGAGCACGACAACACGGCAGAACACAGTAAATCAACGAAGAGCAAAACGCACAGATCGGCACCAAAGGGTATCGTCGCTTCGATCGCACCGCACCGCACCGCAACGCAACGCAACGCAACTCGTAGATGCATTACTTATCCACAGCCATTGCCGCAACCAGTGTGTTCCCCCATCCCTCTTTCCTCTTCCCATCTTCCCAGTAGCAAACTCAGGCCCTCTGATCAGGCGCCAAATCCAACGGCTCGTTCACCGCGCCGCTCCCCGTCGTCGTGGTCTGGTGGTGAGCGGACGCAAAACCGTCTCCGAACCCTCCAGTACCCGTACCGGTGCCGGCACCTACACCGGCACCATTGATGCCGCTGCTGCTCCCAGCATGATTGAAGCCAAAGGAGCTGCTCTCGCCTTGATTGATGCCGAACGTGCTGCTCTCGCCGCCGTGGCTGACGCCCGTGGTGGTGCTGCTCTCACCATGGCTGATTCCTGTGGTGCTGGACTCGCCATCCACGCGCGACTGGATGGGCTCGAGGTGCTGGCCGTCGTAGCCGGAATGGTGGTGTGCGGCGGCGGCTTTGGCGGCGTCGGGCGCGATGGCGGAGCTGCGGCGGCGCTCGGTGGCGGCGGTGGCGGTGTTGAGTGCTGAGGCGGTGGAGACGGATTGGCGGTGGCCGGTGCCGGTTATGAGCTGGTAGGGCTGGCGTTAGTAGAGCGTTGAGGTAGAGGGTCCAGGATGGGGCAGCGATGCAGGGTCCTGTACATACCTGGAAAGGGTCGCTGCTGAAGTTGACGGCGCTCATCTTGCGCTCTCGCACGGCGTAGTCCTGCGCGGGGGTGTTGTCTGTCTCGGCGATTCCTTTTGTCTGTGCCTTGTCGACCGCCTTGCGGGCGTAGTATGGATCGTTCTGAGGCTTGAATCCCCCGTTTGGGGTTAAGCTGAACTTGCGGAGGTCGACGCCGTTGACGCTCATCTTTCTCTCGCGGTTCGCGTATTCCTCCTCTTCAGTCATGCCACTGGGGGCTACACCATCGATCTCGGCTTCTGTGAGGGAGAGTGTCAGCGCGGCTTGATAGTACACGGCATGTGCCACAACGTACTGGTCACGGACTTGCGGCCGTAGTAAGGATCGTCTTGCGGTTCCATGCCGGAGCTTCGACTGTTGCTGAACTTTCGAATGTCGACGCCATTGATGGACATTTTGCGCTCTCGATTGGCCCATTCTTCCTGTGCGCTTAGGCCAGAAGGAGCGACATCTTGAATGAACTCATCTGTAAGGCGGTGGTGTGAGCGAGGGCAACGTGCGGTGGGGAATAGGAGTGAGGGTCAGAGAGTGATGAGGACAGCAGGGTTGTGTACCAGGGACAGGTTTGCGGTGGTAGAAGGGGTCGTCAGCTTTGCTGCCGCCGCCAAAAAGAGGCATCTTTGCGACGGTGCTCGTAGATGCAGGCGGATGGGAAGAGACTTCTCCTAGAGCAGGCAGTGACTACAGGTCAATCTGGTACAACAAAGCACCACGGTTAGCCAGAGGGAAGTCAAGGGGGGCAGCAACTCAGAAGGTACTGAATATATATACTCTCGCACACATGACCTCCACTCCGGACCGCCTGAACTTACACTGCTTGACAGAGAGCCGTGACAGTGGTAGCACCGACCGGGGTGGGGGAGTCATGACACGACAGAGGTCAATCATCCAGAAGGAGAGGAGGGCCAGACCCCCCTCGTCAGTGGTACGGACTAAGCAACGCTCCAAAACTCATAAGCCTTCTGTGAGCGGCCAGCGCGGAGCTTCGTATTCAAGCTTAAGCGACGAACAGACAGTGACTCGCGAGTCGAATACGCGGGGATTGAGCTTTGCTATGAGGTGATGGGCGCATGACCCCTCCCTGTCTGCGTGAGCTTGTCGAAACGCGAGTTGGTCCAGGCGCTTTGGGTTTGATAAGTACACAATAGGTGAAGATTAGGGAACGGCTTAACCCCAGCTTCAAAAATAGGCGACGAACCCTTGTCCGTATTCGGGGCCGGTGACGTCGACAAAGCTTGCACATGGACTTCTAGGCATCGATTTACATAGGGCTCTTGAGATGTCGACCACCACTAGTTGAGGACTGGGTGGCGAGATGCAGTCATTCATGCATTGGTCGTTCCTTCAGCTCTAGTCGAGCTCGCTCTTTCTATCGCAGATTCTTCCAAAGCATTCGAAGATCTGGCCACGACAGTTTCAAGACTAGAAACTGTCAGTCGGCCCGAATAGGCTATGAATCCGGGGCGACCTGAGGATTCGGCCGAGTGTGGGGGCCTGGAGCCTAAAACCTGGGGTAACGGAATCGCCATGGCATGAGGAGATATAAGTCCCTGAGGTGTCCAAGGTATGTGGCTGCCTTATCCTCGGCCGTCTCTAGGAGAAGGGAAATCATGTCGGACATGTGATCTGGACTAGATGCTTGAACTCGTGCTTTGCCTAATCGACAGCAATGTTGGCGGCTATCGTTCTGTGTTACGCTATGTTTAGCTGGTTGCCTCGTTTAGGGGCAGTATTTCATGCTCCCGTGAGCAAAGTGACCCCGCAAACCCAGCGCCCTCGAGCATCGTGCGACTGCTGCCATGATCCTGTCCATTCCATCCTGATAGTCCTGTTCCGTCGTGATTCATTACCCTGACTCGCGGTACCTGAAGGTGCCGACAACAACACTTTCCGAGCTGACTTCATCCCAGGCCCGGTATGCCTGCGCCCAAGCCTTCCACGCCGACTTCCTTGCCTACCACAGCCGCCAGGCCACCAAAGCCTTCTCGCCGGAGCCGCTCAATCAAAATGACACCCTTTTCCCTTTTCTTCTGTCGGATCTTCTCTTCCAGCTCATGTACTTGTGCGCTGAGCATCTTCCGACTATCCTCCAGCCCCAGATCAATGAACTCTTGCTCGTACTTCCTCAGATTCGCAATCTGGCCCTCGAGTTCCCTGATAGATGCATCCAGTACCGCCGTTGGCGATTTCGTATCTGCATGTATACTTTCATTGAGAAGAGCCAATGTAGATGGCTTCGGGCTCGGCCCGGGCAGAGGCATGCCGTTGCTGCCATTCATGGACGCAGCGTAGCCCTGCTGGCTCAACCCTCTGCTCATAATTGGCGGAAGCGTATTTGCACGGTCTGGGGTGATGCCCATCGTTGATGCCAGCGATCCAAGCCCGGGCGACGTGCTCACTCGGGTGGACCGGTCATCGCCCGGCGACATCATCATGGCGCCCTCCGCTATACTCTTGACGCCAGGCAGTATAGGCCCAGAGGATGTGAAGCTGTCGCTGTACTTGTGGTGGCTATAATTGGAGAAGTCTGGCTCGGGAGTCGGTAGCTCAAGTTTGCGCATCGGGGTAGCTGGGTTCCCCAAAGCAGATGCCGAGGCAGCAAGTGGCCGCTTGCGACCTGCCAACTGACTGACGCCAGGAAGAGAGCCACTATCCGATGCGTGAGATTCCCGTCTGCCGCGTTTCTGGTCGAATACATTGTCAGCGAAGCCAACGGTCTTCCCTCGAGGGTCTGCCGCACGAACACGTCGCTTCGAGGCCGGCTTCTCCGACTTAATATATGCAGTGTTAAAATGACAGCAGCGACAATTGCAGACTTCTTTGCATTTTGGACACATCCAAGATTCGCTGTGGCGGAGTACGTCGCCGGGTGACATGTCGAAGTGCCGGAACAGGCCTCGATAGCAGAAAAACGCCGTGCACTTGTCACACCGTCGACCCTTCCACTCTGGGTGATCGATGCGGCACAAATGACAGAGACGGCTGGTCTGGGACTGCTTCGCTCGCATGAGGTCGTTGACGGCTGTGCCGAGCGTTTTTCGGTCGTCCGCGATAATATGGGTTTCGGGTTGGAATCCTAGTATCTCTCGTGCTCTGGTGAGTATTCGAGTACATTGGTCTGAGGGGACAATCTCGGCCCAGGCGTACGCGTTAGTGTGCTCGCAAGACCGACCGTTTAGATAGCAAAGCAAACATAGATCGAAATCGGTGCATTGCGTACAACGCACGTGGCGATTCCAAATGGCGGTGCTGCAGAAATTGCAGGTTGCAATCACGGTCGGCGGCAACGAGACAAGGCTGATCGGTGTGGCTAGAGGTGAGTCAATCTGCTCATCGTGAACCATCTGTCGGAACAGGCGCGACAGAAGTGGTAGATCTGGCGGCAATGGCACTGACTGATGCATGCTGGGATCGTCCTGCAGCAGCGACATCATGGCACAGGCTAATGACAGATTGGTCCGCGCCAGATCGGGATGACACAGACGGTTGAAGGAGGGCTGTACGTTTTGGAAGCCAACTTCGAGTGACAGCGGATGGAGGATGTTCCACACCATCTTGGTGCAGAGTGTTGACGGATTCCAGACTTGATGTGCAGTTGCTGGTGGAAAGACGACCAGGTCTCCCACCCGCTGATCGTACACGTAAAGCGGAAAGTCGGCCTTGAGCATTTCGTCTGTGTTCAAATTATACCAGTCGAGGTGTGGCGAGACTCCTCGGGCAGAGATGAAAGAATCGTACTTTTTCTGTGAATCAAAGTCGGTGCCTATGCAGACAATGGGTCTGTCTGTGCAGAGTTAGTCGAGCTCTCGAGTAGTAGGTTCCGAACACTTACCATCCGATTCAACGAGAAGATTCAGTGCGACCGTGCTGGAGAAGCATCTGTGAAAGCCAGAGCTGCTCCCTTCACTCCCGACATAAGCCATCATGACCTCGCTCCGAGCGCACGGCGGCAGCCACTGAAACAGGTCCAACTTGCCGCTCCATTGGAGCTCCGTAGGCAGAACCTCCTCGCACTGTTGAAGCCATTCTGGAGGGCATGGTAGATCCCTGGCGTAGAGATTTTGGAACTCTTGTAACGACTGCTGCGCACTATCGGCAAACTTGCGCAAGGTAAAGGATAAATCTCTGCCAGTACTGCAATTGCGGATGGGTATATTCTTTTTCGTGCTCAGCTCGATGAGCCTCTCAATGCCAAAGCCGGGCTCCGAGCCATCTCTGGGATTGCCTTTGGGCCATGACCCGAGTTTGTCAAAGTCGGCCAGCACGAATGGCTTGCCCGACTGTAGTCTCGTTTGAAGCCATTGGGAGAAGGGTATGGGATTGCCCTCATGGTCTTGTTCGGTTTGGAGGTCGACAATGCTGTATCTCGGAAACTGGACAAATGGTTTACCGAGGCGCAGAAGGTGTTCAGCGGATGCCTCGGGCGGGACAGTCAGTGAAGGTGTCGGAGGGATCATGCTGGCCGTGCAGCAAGTCCTACATATTCAGCGAGGAGCTCGGGCGGGAGTGGAAGAGAAGTAAGTTAAGGCCGTGAGTTTGCGAGTGGTTGCAGCACCCCAGAGGATTGCGAAATCTTGGCCCAAGGCCAGGCACTTTGCACTTTTGAGTCTCCGGGCGGGGAATGATGCGGGTGGTTGACCCCCAATGACTCCTCTTTCAGGCGTCTCGGCTTTTGCCGGAATGCCTAGGCAGACGGCAGTTGCCCCTAAGACAAGCTAAAGTCCGGAACGCGTTCCCCTTGTCTTCCCCTGCCGAAGAAAAGCCTCAAAAGGGACGGCGAGATCCAAAATACGTAGCAGCAGGCGAAAGTGTTCGGCAAATGCAGTTCCTCTAATCCTTTCTGGACAACGCTACGTGCCCGATGTTCAGACGATGCTACCACAGAGGGCCTCTGAGATCGCATGTTGCATACACATTCGCTTAGCCACTCGAGCATGCCAGGGGTTCTGTGCTCGTCCATGCCACGTAAGGCTCACTGCCAGCTAGAGACTGTCCCTTTCATGCAGGTAGTGTTGTCGTTGCTTACCACCTTCAGCTCGGTCTCTTTTTGCGCTGCTCCATCCGCAGACATCAACACCCTGTAAGGCTCCCCTGCATAGACGGGGCTTGTTGCGCGATAATCCACCTTTCGGGGGTAGATGATCTCGTCTCTGCCCTTGCCCAGCCTTCGGTTGACAGTCTCATCCCGCCACAAATCTAGCATGGCAATCAGATTCAGTGGACCGTGCACCACAATATTCCGGTGACCCTCGACTTCGGTCGCCCAAGGCTTGTCATAGTGGATTCGGTGGCCATTGAAGGTCAAAGCCGACATGCGGAATAGTTGAAGTTCGTCCCGGTTATATTCTCGAACCACACTCCCCTTGTCTCGTGAATCCAGCTCTGCCTGTGAGAGTTCTGACGGCTTTTTGGGAATTGGAGCAGGCTTCGAGGGATCCAGAGCCTCTCGGAAGACCCAGTTTCGCCGGTCGAGCAAACACAGATTGCCTTTGCTGTCGTGATATTGCTTCTCAACCCCAACTAGTAGCATTGCGTTCCCATCCTTCATTACTTTGGGGACGCAGCTCAGCAGTTTGGTTGTTTCCGTAACGGTGTCGCCAACCTGAAGGTAGTGATTCTGGGAAGAGGAAGGGTCTGCTCCAGGCCACTCGACCGAACCTCCCGCCCACATTCGCCGAGTAAATGGTGCATTGGGGTTGAAGGAAGCATCGGTACCATCAAGGCCGAGAATACCTGGCAATTGTGCAGGAGTGAAGTAGATCCAGTGGTAGGCCGGAGGTATAGGCGTCCCCGCAACTGGCTCAGCCTCCTCCAGGTGACTTGAAGCTATTTTCGATCCTGGCCATAGATTTGGTCGGTCGAGTGTAAGTGAAAAGAGCCGAAGTTGGTTCGCGTCTAGCAGCTGGGAGCGTGTGAAGATCTGGCCGTTGGCAAATTTCGAGAGAAACGCATCGGCGACAGCTTGGGGGTCTGCTTTCCGCAGTTCTGCCGTCGAGCTGAATCTTCTCGACCTGGAGGCAGCTGTATGGGCTTTGCTAGCAGCACGAAGAGCTCTGAAACCTCTCATTTTCTCATTCGGTTATACGTCGCCGAGCATGCGAGGCGGCAAGTGACTGATCGCTAGCAAGCAGGAAAACGAGACTGTGCAACCTCGGGCCGCAAAGACATCGACTATGACTAGCTATGAGTTGTTATTCAATGCGAGGGCAATAAGTGCTCTCAGAGAAACTTCAAGCTCGCTCACATATACAGAGGTACGGCCGGACGCGGCAGGACGCGACCGAGGCATCCCCGCATGGCTTCGAGACCATCTCCGAGAATCGGCATGACGAAGAGGTGTCTTCTCCGAGACGCAATCTCGAAGCCGGTTTGTCCACGGGAAAGAACGATGTCGGACGCCCAATCCTGATATCATAACGCAACTCTGGCAGTGGTGTTGTAAACATCCTCTGGGTTACTTTGTCAACATTCTTCGATAGTCCATAGCTTCGGGTATCGGACTTAATTCCCATTTCCCTGTAGGTTCCGTGGTCGGGGCCACTCTCTTCGACTGGGCCTGAGTAGCATCTCTCCTGGGCTCGCAGAGACCGCGAGAATTCAGTAGCTCAAAGCAAATAGTTGTGAGTGAACAGTCAGTGTGAATGTGATGCATGCCCTTTGCTTGTTCCTTCTGCCAACCCCGAGCTGTGGAGGCTTGGTTCCTGCCAAGGGCCAAGACATTGCTAGAACGGAAATACTTAGTGCCGGATACACATTGCCGTTGCTTCCTGCATGACGCATTTCAACTCTTGCCGCCACAAGCCAAGCGCGTGAATCCTTGTTTGATGGGTAGGAGCTCCCTGCCAACGGTTCAAGAGGCTGATGGGATGGCTTCTTGTTCTGTTGATTCAAATCCCATTGGTCTCGCTTGAACTTGGTCGATATTTGTCTTGTCTTCTTCAGTAATCCGCCATGCTGGCCACGTTCGCGCTTTCAGCAGCATTGCTGCAACTCGCCCTGGCCCAAGGCCCATCGTCCTGCGGTCCAGCCCCATCAGGGAACATTCGTCCTTCCATCGCTTCCGGCTACCACTATCAGGTCGTAGCCACCGGTTTGTCACGGCCTCGTGGACTTCACTTCGACAACGACGGTCACTTATTGGTTGTCGAATCAAGGGCTGGCCGAGTGGTGGCCTTTAGCCTTGACGAGGACGAGAGTGGCTGCATAACCGCCTCGAGTCCTAAGCCAGTCACAGACGACTCAGACGTATGGTACTCGCAGACCTTGGAAGCTCCTGCTAACCACAATAGCTCAACCATGGCATCGAGATTTCGCCCGACGGTAACACCCTCTATGCTTCAAGCTCGAACGATGCTTATGCTTGGGATTATGACTCGTCCGACCAGTCTGTCTCCAATCAGCGCACTATTGTCACCAATATGGAGGGATCGGATCACGTCACAAGAACCTTGTTGCTTTCGAGAGTTACACCGGACTGGTTGGTCATTTCTTTCGGAAGTAAAGGCAATCTCGACTTCGAAGCTGCCGATATCGAATCCGGTAGCGCCACCGTCAAGGCTTTCAACTTGGCCAACCGTAGCGGCGTGTACGACTATCCCACTGAAGGCACTCTCTTGGGCTGGGGACTGAGAAATGAGGTCGGTCTTGTGGAGCATCCGAGTTCGGGTGGCATTTGGGGAATCGAAAACTCTGCCGACCAGCTTGAACGATATGGTGTTGATGTCCATGAGAACAATCCTGGCGAAGAGCTGAATTTTCTGGGCTATCTGAATGGAACAGACACTCCGGAGCAGGGCTCAAACTTTGGGTATCCGTGGTGCTACTCTGCGTGGTCAGTGGATGAGCTTCCCGAGCACCAGAGCTTGGAAGTTGGCACTCAGTTCGCTATCGACGTAACCTCGGATCTCAACGGCGAGAACAGAACGGATGAGTACTGCGCTAACCAGACTCGGAGCAGACTCGTATTTGAGGATCATATGGCTCCGTTGGACATCAAATTCAACGACTCTGGTCGCAATGCGTGGGTGACTTTTCATGGAAGCTGGAATAGCCCTGATCCAGTTGGATACAAGCTGTCCTTGGTTGAGTTCTCGGAGGATGGTGAGCCGGTAGACGAAGCCACCAGCAGAACAGCTGCCACCGATATCTTCGCCAACGAGGATGTCTCAAGATGTGCTGCTGATTGCTTCCGGCCAGTGGCGATGGCCATTGACCAGCAAGGCCGCATTTTCATGTCCTCCGACTCAACTGGGGAGATATACATGATCGCCAGAGATGAAGGTGCAAGCAGCACGGGTGCTTCGCCTACTTCATCTTCGACTTCAACTTCAAGCGATAATGCCGCGCCCTATCTTACTTATTATACAATGGCTCCTTACCTCGCACCAGCCCTTGCTATGCTGGTATGAATTGACGAGTACGTTAGATGAGGGAATCTTGTACGAAGCATGAGACGCTAGCAGGGACTATGATGTATACATGTGCAGGACGCAAACGAGCTAACAGAAAAGGCCGCAGTTCAGCTGCACAATCGATATCCTCAGTGAATAGCAACGAAGTCGAGAGGCCCGCCCGAATCAATGAATGCGGCACAATTTCCTGACAAGGCTGCGGTCACTCAGCCGTCAGTTGCTGCAAAATCACCTTCTGGCCTACCACTTTTACAACCCTGCTTCAGTATCCAGTGGATGGTGGTCCTTTTTCTGCTTTCCATACAACGGCTTCCGTGGAGGTCTGCTTGTCGTTTCTTGTCCTGAGCAACCAGGCACTGCTTTTCTTTTCCTCCCCGCTCCCGATCTCTGTTCCTTCATTTTAACCCCGAATCCTCACAACGCTCTCACCCGCCAACATGGCCCCTGACAGCCCTCCTCGACGGGCGCCCCCTCTGATATTCCATCTGCCTGATGATGAAGCCTCGGATTCAGACCTGAGCGATGTTCCCGCCTCTCCCACAACTCCTGAGCATGTTGGCCTTACACAAGCCATCCAGGCTCCTTCAACACCTGATCAAAAGATCATTCCGACGAACTTGCCGCCGCAGAGACGTGGTCGTCTAGTCCGAGACACCTACATAGACTCAGATACCGATTCTGACCTACCAGGTACGAAGAGAACCAGAGCTAAGCAGTGGCGAAGCCCATCGACACCTACGCCGACTTTCTGTAGGCGGAAGCAAGCACACCCCTCCAAAGCGAAGCAGCCGCAAAACGAGTCACTCGAGTCCGATGCAGATGAATCAGATTTCGAGGTCCCTTTCAGCCCTCCCTACGACGACAAGCACCTGCGTGTCGTACTTAAGGATTCCCTGGAATCAGCTAACTTGGCGCCCATCGAGAAGATGCCGACTGAGGTACTTTCCCCAATGAAGTCCCTGACCTCGCTAACATTCGTAGATCATCGAACGCATTGGTATTGCGACAAGCAAAGACATCGATCATCAGAACTTGAGCAATTGCAATCGCCAGCTGAAGCACGATCTCTCTACACCTGAGTCTGTCATCTGGCGCGAACGGTTCCTGGCTCTCTATGATGCTCCAATGATCAGGAGCCCCTACGATTTCTTTGCTGCTTACCGAGAGCGCAACTTCGTTCTGAACAACGCTGTCGAGTTTCTGCATGGGGCGGATGATCGCCTGCCCATCCAGCTGGAAATCCTCTTCGAGATGGTGGTGGAAGCTTACAATCCCCAAGCCCCATACCTACCCACTCCAGAGACGTCACGCAACCTTCAGCTCTTCGCTGGACAAGAGCTCTGGATGCGAAGTTTTCTCTGCTCGCCTTTCTACAACTTTGGCGGCCCATCCCACGGCACACCGGAGCCTCTCTTCGATAATCTTCAACTGACGTTCTCATATCTTCTTTTCTCGCCCAAATACCGCATTGCCAACATTGTTACCTTTTCGCGCGATGACTACGCCATCGCCAAGGTCTACAATTGGGGTAGCCCTTTAGGTACCATTTTCGAGCGTCTACCAGAGAGCGAGCAAGACAAGCAGCCGCCTTCAAATCCATTCCCTTTCAAGATGTTCCCGAACCTGCGAAGCCCTTCGCCACCTTCTGGTCCAAAGCCCATCAAGTACACGCTGAATACTCACGTGTTGCTGCATATCCGCAACTTCTTCCATCGCCACCTGATCCACGATCCTATGGCAGAGCGGCTGGTCGGCGATATCGATGAAGACACTTTTTGGCGTGCGAACAAGAAGCTGACGCAACTTGGTCACATCCCTCGTCAGTGGTCAGGTCCTCTTCACAAAGGAGATGAGAATGTAGAGGCCATTCTAAACGGCAAGTTTGTCGGTTTCTACTCGAGCGTTCTACGATGGCCAAAGACAGAATTTGATCTGCAAGAAATTCAGAGTGCTGCCCAAGATTGGTCTGGTGTCGACCCCCTGGTAAGTTCTGCCCTGCTTCTTTCGCCCTTACATTCCTATCCCGGGAGCACGAAACGTGTTGATCAAGACTGATGACTTACCAGACCTTGAATTTCAATGCATCCACCACCAATGTTGTCTCTGGTGCATTCGTTTGGCCTGAAGTCTTCGCCAGCTTCCCTTGCTTTGCTTCCACAGTGCCAAGCGTTCAAGAAGCCGCCCAGCTTCGACAGGCTGGGTTTGGTCACACATACTACATCCAAGGCAGCGCCTCTTTTCTCGACATCGAAGCCGTTGATGACACGACCAGTAACTCCAATGCGGCCAAGTCTTCCAAGGGCAGAGCTGCAGCGGCCACCAACGGCACCAGTAAAAGTGATCAGCGCAAGTATCACCCGTACAACGCACTTCGCCTTCGCGGCGTTATTCACCCTATCCCATCAACATTCGTCCCACCAACAAAGACGGTTCCTGGTAATCTCTGGCCTCGCGACTCACCTGTCGCCCTGGTTCCACCGCTTCGCATCCCGGGCTATCGCCGCCTTGTCATGGTGCTGTTCAAGCCCACTACGGTATCTCTGATCCGCCAGCTCGAGTATGCGGACGAGAACTTCGGTTCCACCTTCGGCGTGAGCGTCACTGACCAGATCTCACAACATACGGCTGCAGGCATTGTGGTGGGAGCTAACGGAGCAATCTTGAACCCAGAGGAAGTAGACAGCTACTTGAAGAAGCATTTGCAGAAGTTGATTCAAGAGCGTGAAGGACTGTCCGATGCTGCCGACAAAGACGATCTCACTGGCGATGGTAACATGCGCGGTACTGGTGATCATATCCTTCAGGCCAAAGGCAAGGCCAAAGCTGGCTCTCCATCCGCTGAAATGTGGTCGCTGCCTGACATTGTTGACCTCGAGCGGCAACTGTACCAGGATGGACTGGTCAGCTGGGAAGACATCGAGTATGCATATGCGTACGAAGGCGTGCTGTGTCCAGGTGGAAACGTCATGCTGGGCCGATGGTGGCGATGCGGATTGGCAGGAACCGGCGTTAGTGCTGGTGGCGAAGTTGATGTGCAAGGAGTGGGAGTGCCGGATGGCACCGAAGTTGGTGAAGCTGGGGCCGGTGGTCAGGTGAGTGGTGCTGGAACGGGACCAGGACAGCCCGGTGGCACTACTGGCGCTGGACGTGCGCGGACCCTAGCATCTCTTGAGCGGGGACCATTTGTGTTTTGGGGCATGAACAGCGACGTCAACTGATGCGATTCGCATCACAAGCCTACGTGTGCAAGCAAGCCAGATCATATCGTCTGGTGGTTGGAAGACGTCTCGACGAGTAGGAAGTGGCCTTCCGAGAACTTTGTGCGGAGGGCGCCAGGATACACATACGCCTACTCACAGTCACGATGCTGGAGTAACAAGTCGATAACGAGCAAAAAGAGCAAGGGCAGCCGACAGTGCTCGCTCAAAGCTCTCACATCAGCTCACGATAGCTTTACCTCCTTGTAGGCTTGCTCTAGAAGGGCCAGGAGTCATAGCATTCAGCGTAATTAGAAACGAAATGAAAGAGCGAAACTCTCTACTCTACCTCGCCCTATTCGTCATGCTGCGATTCTGGAATGTGCGTACTCTCTCGTGTCTGGGTCTGGGATCTTCAGTGGCTGGCTGTCCTATGGGCCGTCAATGCTAATCACTAGACAGTATATGCTCGGTTGCAACCACGATGTAGTTATACTGTAATCTCATTTCCATAGGCCAGATGCACGGGAGGCTTGCGAGGTTCGAGCAAAGCCCGCCGCGAAAACTCGCTCGCGTCCTTTGGCATCCGCGGCGCTTATCCCGGGACCACTTTACAGTATATGCAGGAGGGTCGAGCGTCTTGAAAGTCTCAGTCTCAGTCTCAGCCTCAGTCTTTTGAGGACCAAGAAAAACTCCGTTTCGTGCATCTTCATCTTCATCTCCTTCTCCTTCGGCCCCCCTAGCAGGCATCTCGCTGCGTTGCAGTCACCGCTGTCGCAGCCGTCGCCCGCCGTCAGCTTCGGGTCAGGCCTGGGCTTTTAGTGCCGCCAGCTCCAGAAAGTCAACCAACCCATCATCTATCCAGAGGGTTCACGCCGTGCGAGTTTCCCAGCGTGAAAGCCACACGCACACACATAGTCTCTTAGAACCCGCCTTCCCACTCATTCATCGTCTCGGTCCAGCGACTGGTATCCAAGCCATCCCACCAATGCTGTTGGGCCTGCTCACCTCTCAATTGCTGCTGCTGCTGCTGCTGCTTCGGAAAGACCTCCTCGACATTCCCACCATTTAGTCACGCCCGCTCCTGCGACGCCATGCGGCCCGCCACCTCACTCATGCTGACCCTGCGCGCACCGCTCATGCGCGGGCTCATCTCCGGATAGAACCTGCCGCCGGGGTGTAGATCGGTGCTGGCTCTCCCCGATGGATACTCGTCCGCCGCACTGGTGTACATGGCGTCAGCGTCACTCGCGTTTGGGATCTGCACTGGTGCAGGCGGCACGGAGCTGGGGCGCGTCTGCCATGAGCCCGTTGGCGCGGGCGCCCGCTGTGGTTGCTGCTGCTGGAGGGTCGCAGGGTCGAAGTCTGGCGCCTCCAGGTCTGCGGCCGTAGGCGCAAAGACAGTGTTCAGGTCTGGGAATGCGAAGCTGTTGGGGTCGTGGGGACGCATGTCGAGGTTCTCGTTCTGCTGCTGATGTAGGCTCTGCGGGGGGAGGGCCTCGACTTGATTTCTCCCCGCGCCCGGCGTCGGCGATGTAGATTGGAGGTCGTTCTCCTTGACTTCCACCTCACGGTCTCGGATTCTCCGCATCAGGTCGAGGAACTGGCTGTTCTGGAACTTGGTGCTGGTGTCGTGCTGCACGAGGTTCAGGAGGTGGCCGGCCGTACGCGCCAGCTCGTCGGCGTCGCGCACGTCCTGGTCCGGCGTACGGTTGACGGTCTCGGTGTAGTCTATGGCGTCGGAACCGATGCGGATGGAGGATTTCTCGAGGCTCGACGGTGCTTCGTCGACCATCATTTGGTCAGGTTGTGTCTGTTGTGTGTCGTATTGTTGTTGTTGCTGGTGGTGGTGCTGTTGCTGCTGTTCTTGCGAATCCTGCATCCTCTCCATCTCCATCATCGCCTCCTCGAACGCGTCATCAAAGTTTGCTTGCTCAGTGTGGTCTTGCACCCCAAGCATATTGCTCTGCGATTGCTGCTGCGGCTGCTGCTGCATGCCCCCATACGCGCCCATGCCCATGCTCATGCCCATCTCCACCGGCGCGTACGAATACCCAAGCCCTAACCTTCCCGAGTCCATCGTCGGCTCACTCTCCACGGCCTTCCCTTTCCCCAGCGACTGCTGCTGCCGCACAAACTCGCCACCCCACGCCCCAGCCGCCGTCCCCGGCACTGCATGCTGGCTCTTTATCAACGGCGCCTGAGCGCGGAATTGCTGCACCGGTATCGGGCCCGGACTGGGCGTCTGGGAGATATGAAGTCTCTGGAAGTCGGCCGCCCAACCGCCAGCCGCAGTGTTCATGCGACTGGGTGCGTACGTCTGCGCGAACGTCGCTGCTGGCGGAGGAGCATGCTGCTGCTGCTGAAAATGTAGTGGATGCGGCTGCGCATGTTCGAAGGCGTGGAGGTCCGCATCGAGAGAGCCGGCGCGGGGGTCATGTGTGCGGAAGCCCTGCGCAAAGCGGAAAATGTCAGCGCGGGAAGTTGGCTTTGAAATAGTGCGCCTTTGGTCGTTACAGCTGGGAAGGCACAGAGATGACTTACCTGCTCGGGTGATGTGCGCCCGGGCCCGACGAGACGATCTTGCTGTAGGGTGCGGTCGAGCTGGGTTTGCTTGCGAAAGGATTGGAGCGAGTTGGAGGGGCCGCACAGGGCGTCGGCCATTTCTGAAGTTATGCTCGGTATGTGTTCAACACCGGGAGACCTAGGAGAGCACGTGGGAATGGAGGATGTGACGAAAGTTCACCAACTGAGGGGGCGTCTATAGAAATTGGAACTCTTTGTCAAATGCTCGGGAGTATTGGAAACGGAGGCTTCGCCGATGTCATGCCTGGCAGCCTGAGGGTGATGGCGCAAAGGAACCTCGGTTGCAAGGCTGGGCGGGAGATGGAGTTGCCGCCATCCCCGAAAAGTTGCCCCCCCCGAGCACCCCCACTGTTCACGGCGAGAATTGCCTCTTGAAGGTGACGAGCGTATAGTACGGGTCGCTGAGAACGGACCTGAGCCAGGGAATCGTCCATCTGAAAACGTATCTACTACAGATACTTGCCGCAATCCGGCTCAGGATATCCAAGTTATGATCAAAAGAAGCACGCAAACCCCAACACCCTGCTTGGACCGTCCTCTCGTCTACAATTCAAATCCCATCACGTCCCGGTCATTACTCATGATCCGTCCATATTCCATCAGCAGCCTAATCATCACGACTTCCAAATCCTCCTTCCTGAGCGTGCGTCTCGCCCAGTCGCGGCCTTGCTCGGCGATTGCCTTCCCGATGACCCTGCCCTCCTCCTCCTGCGTCAAGAAGCGCATCATCTCGCCCAGCTCCTCCGCTCCCGGCGATACCGGGATGAAGTGCACCCACGGCTGAAGCCGCCCGTCGTGCCATTCTTTGAAGCTGGTGTGCTTGAGTACTGCACTGTTGCTCTTCAGCAGGCGGTAGTATCGCCCAGAATAGGCATTGCCGTCGATGTCGAGCGCGTACTTGTTGTGCAGTGCGGCGTTTCTGTCTTCCGGATGCAAGCCACTGCCGAAGCGTTCCTGCATGGCTTCTCGAGCCGTGTCGTCACATTGGACTAGGGCCGTAATGCGGAAGTAGAATAAGTCGTCAATTTTATCGTAGGTCGAGTCTCGTGGCTGCCAGAGGCCCGTCTCATTCCTCTCGAGAAGTTTGACTGGTGCGGTTGAGCCCGGCCCTGTCATCAAGGTGAGGCGCTGTCGATGCATTTTCATCCAGTTCTCGGCCGTGCTGTAGCCTCCTGTCGAAGACCCGGCCCAGTAGACGCGGTCCATTTTCTCATCCCAAGGGAAATCGTCTTCGTCGTGGTAGTCGCCGTTAGCCATTTCCAGAGCGTAGTATGGGCTTGGGTACAGAACGTCGCTGAACACACTCGGCTTGCATTGACTGAAGATCGGCGCCAATGAATGTGTCAAAACCATCGTGTCAGGAGCAGACAGCACACCATGTTGGTGCAGCAGATCGTCGCTCTCACAGACATCCATAGACGCTGTGATGTTGCTGACGAATGGAAGCACATCTGTAGTAGTTTCTCCTTTTCGTGGCGAGCCACTCCGGGCTGGCGAGTCGATATGACAGGATGAGACCATTGCTTCGAAGGTACCCTGCTTGCCGATGCTGATCCAATTGATGTTGTTAGTAGTTCCAATGGTGTTGTTCTGCGTGAAGTCCTCCGAGCTGTGATTCTTTGAGAGCTCTGCCGCTTTCATCGCATGCTCAATAGTGTCGTACGGCGCAACGACCCGCGGTTCATCGAAAGCGCTGATCACAAATTTGGCCTCCGGGAGCACCTCATTCCACCTCGTTGTGTTGATCATGCCTGAGAGTGCACTGGCATAATAATGGTCTGAGACATAGTCCACACCGTTCTTGCCGACCGTGAGCGCAATCATGTTGGCCGCTTGCTCGACAGAGGCCACGCGAGCCCTGAGGGCGGCTGGCGAGATACCCCAGTAAGGCTCCAGGGATTCCATGATTGTATCAAACTCGTCAATCAGTTGGAAGTCCATGCTTTGCGCAATCTCGAACCATCGGTCAAAGTCTGGTGGCGGCGCCCGGCCGTATCTACGCCGATACTCTCTGACCGCTTCCTCGATGGTCTTGGACTTGTTTCCCAGTGCCATAACAAACTTCTCATTCTGGAGATCTACCAGACGCTGAATCGGATGCGTAGGGCCAATGGCGAGTCCTTGTTGGGCATCTGCAATCTGCGCTGGTACAGCGGTGAGCAACCAGCTCACAGCGGGTAATAGTAGTAACACGTAGATCCAGTTATTGCGTGTTGATCGTGGAAGAGTGAGCTTGGTAATAACCACAGATGTAGCGGTCGTGAGAAGGAAACGATCTTTCGACCAGATATCAACCGCATTGAATATGCTGGTAACAGCTGCCGAAGACGTTAGCAGAGTGGAAGCGGTTATCGATACATGATTGAAACACTGGAGATACTGTTAGCCACATAGTAGACCCCAGTGACTAAGAACGAACCAAGAAAGTAATGGCGTAGAGCTCGAGCATCCTCGAGCAGGTGAACGCCAAGGTCAAAAAATGAACTGATGGTCGGCCCGTCGAGAAGATCACCAGATACAGCGTGCAGATGATGAAAGCTTTGGAAGCCACCGAGCCAAGTACCTCAAGATGATTAGACAACTTGAGACTCTGGTAGCCATCATGCTCCGAATTGGAGACGGCTTCGACACGTATGCAGGCGTAGGCGAAGGCACTAGCAAAGGCGAGCGCAAGGATGATGACCCGGTAGTCAATGGAGTTGATGGTTCGTTGGTATATTAGGCCTAGTGGTACAATGCAGCTGAAGCCCACGAATGCAATGGCTGCCATAGGACCATCGAAGTTGCGGACAAGTCGGGCTTGCCATGACGACGAATTATCCGTAGATCGGTCCAGCCACATGACTTTCAGGTACAGGGTAAGTAGTGGTATCACCGGCTGCGATATGTGAGCAGTGAGCAAGCAGGCCATGGGATTAACTCACAAAAGCCCACTGAATGGCAGGCCGTCCTACGCGAAGCGCAATAAACTGGGCAGCAGCAAGCAACAGAGCGATGCACCAGGCTGTGAGGTCTGCAACTTGACGCCTTTCAACAAGCTGTGCTTCCTTGTCGGCACCCGAGTCGGCACCGGCAGGTCGGCGGCGAAGACGAATGCGACAGCAGAGAGCCAGAAGCCCCCAAGCGGCCCATTCCGCTCGTCGCCTCTGGTCGACGCTGTATTGAGGGCTTGTGGTGAGATAAGAGCTGCTGACCGAGGCGACAACATGGGCGATGGCGAGGAGGACAGGTTCGGGGCTCATTGCAGTGGTTGAAAAGGCTAGCGTATCATCTTTGAGACGGATGCTTCTAGGTGATTCAGCCCAAGCAATCATGCGAGAGACCTGGTGTAGAGAGAAGTAATTCCACTACTGTAATCAATCAGGCGGAGACAGTGGTCACGGTGGCAGTATAGGAGACCTGCTGATGCAATGAAGAAGGCAAGTGTGACAGCAGCAGGGATTGCTTGCGGAGTGAGTGACTTAGGAAGAAGAAAGACGGTCGATAATCAACGCACCCAGGCTTGGTAGACTGGGCCAAGAGGGCAGCGGAAAGCCACTCAGCTCAATGTGGTGGTAGCACACCATGCAACCACTGCAGTGTATGGACGCCTTCAAGTTGAGTTTCATGGGTAACGGGAAAGTCTAACCTCACAGCCACAAGAAGAGCAGGCGGAAGAGCCAGCTCGATTTAGATGCTGATAACGGCATGCCCGAGGTGCGGTTCGACGAGTGCTGCTGATAACGCACATCGACACGTTGCTCCTACATGTACTGTGAAGGACAGATAACACCGTGTCAGAGAGACTGGGCTTGTGATGTGCTTGCAACAAGTGGCCGCCGTGCCACTCTCGTTCTCGTGTGGACCGTAGCTGGGGAAACCACGCCTGGGCCACCATCATTGGCTAGAGACGCGATCCTTGGATCCACCATCATCGACGACAGGCCTCTTCGAGCATCCTGGGGCGACCGTGGCCAGCTGAGCGAGGGTGCTGTAGAACTGTGTAGTACATATTCTCGTTGATTGTTGTCATCACGACGATGATTTCTCCCGACTTGCGTCGCAAAGTAGCAAAAAAGTCGCGCGTTTGCATTTGTATGTGGCAGTGCCTCTTGTTTATATTTGGTAGTTGGATCCGGCTACAAAAACCATCTAATTCTGAACTCAAAAGCAACCGTTGCAAATACGAGGCGTCAGCTGTGGCCGTAACGAGCTTGAGCGAACCATCCTACCTGAACATGACGGCTTCAGAGCATGGGACGTTGTTTCCTCGGGCGGTGGTGCAGTCATTATTGGAAGAAGAGATCTTGTCTTTTCTATCTATAAGGCTGCTAATACATGTGGTTCTAACTACATATTATTTTCCTCCACTGCGGCAGGTTCGATGGACAAATCGCTCAGGCCACATATTGGACCTCATGTTGCCATCCTGCACGATGCCGCCCTGCTGCGTCTTGGTAGACGCTTTTTACAAGCGGACGAAAGGGTCGAGTACTCCACACAACGTTGCGGCGATGTCCCCGTCCATATATGTCCACGCCGACCGGAAGCACCTTTCGAAGGCATGCTGCTCCCTCCTGCAGTGCTCAAGCAAAATCCATGAGCTCATGTACCTCCTCACTTCTTGTTCCTCTCGCTCTGCGCCTTGAGGTACTTCGCAACCAACTCTTTTTGCAACTGCGGCAGCGTCTGCGCATAATGGCTGAACTCCATACTGAACTCGCCCTTTCCTTGCGTCGCCGCCCGCAGATTGCCACTGAATCCAAACATTCCGTTCAGACTGACATCCGCATAGCACGTAAAGTCTTCGACATCCGTCTCGGAATCACTGATGACCGCATTGCGCTTTTGCAGGAGACCAACGACATTGCCCTGGAACTCCGTAGGCGCTGTAATCACCACCTTCATGATAGGCTCCAGCACCGCCGGGTTGGCTTCCATGAACGCCTTGCGGAACGCCTGCTGCGTGGCATTCTTGAACGCCATCTCAGACGAATCCGTCATGTGCGTTGCACCGTCGTTGATCACCATCGACGTGCCCAGCACTTTGTGGCCGATGAGCGGGCCCCTTTCGCAGGCCAGGTGGAAACCTTTCTCGCAAGCGAACAAGTACTTCTCATCAATCGACATACCCACAACTTGCTCCTCAAAGACGTTACCGTCTAGGTCGCCCTTGGGCTCCATCCAACCTACAACACGCGCGTAGTCACCAGCACCACCCGTCTGCTTCTTGAGCAAGTGGTCAAAGTCGACATGCTTGCCGATCGTCTCGCGGTATGCAACCTGCGGCTGGCCCGTCTCGCAATCGACCCGGTACTCGCGACGCATACGCTCAACATAAACTTCTAGATGCAACTCTCCCATCCCGGAGATGATGGTCTGCTCAGACTCGGCATCGAAGTGAACGCGGAAAGTAGGGTCCTCGCGCTGGAAGCGTGCTATGGCCTTGGAGAATGCAGGCAGCTCCTTGTTGTGTTTCGGCTTGATGGATAGTGAGATGACAGGTTCGGGTACGAACATAGAAGTCATGCTGTAGCCGAGCTGGCCGTCCGTGAACGTGTCGCCTGAAGCGCATTCGACACCGAAGACGGCGCAAATTTCGCCAGCACCGACTTCGTTGACTTCTTCCATTTCGTTCGAGTGCATACGCACAATGCGCGCCATCTTGACTTTCTTGTCATTGCGGGCATTAAATAGGTACATGCCCTTTTTGATCTTGCCCTGGTAGACGCGAATGTAGGTGAGTTGGCCGAAATTCGATTCTTCAAGCTTGAAAGCCAGACCGACAAAGGGGAGCGAGTTGTAGGGAATTAGCTTAACTGGCGCTTCGGCTTGTCGTCTATCGAGCGCCGTATTGCTGATCTCGGACGGGTTCGGCAGATAGTCGCAAACAGCATCTAGCATAGGCTGAATGAACTTGTCTGCCAGCGCGGACCCCATGAAGACCGGAGTGAACTTGAGTCCGCAGGTGGCACGGCGAATTGCAGCCTTTAACTGCTCGATCGTTGGCTCTTTCTCCTCCAAGAACAGCTCAGCAATCTCATCATCCACGTCGGCCACCGTCTCAATTAGTTTCGCCCTCTTCTCTTTTGCCAGATCCGCAACCTCGGCCGGGATCTCGTCCTCGACCTTGATGATCTCGCCTCGCTCGCCCTCCGCATACATGGTTTTCATGGTCACCAGGTCGACAACACCACGGAAGTCATCCTCCACACCGATAGGCACTTGCATGGCAGCTGCGGCGATCTTCAGCTTGCTGTTGATCTGTTCAATCGGCTTCCACGGGTTTGCGCCCATGCGGTCCATCTTGTTCACAAAGCTGATTCTTGGTACATTGTACCGTCTCATCTGCCTGTCGACCGTAATCGTTTGACTCTGCACGCCAGATACGGCACACAGAATCATCACCGCGCCGTCCAGCACCCGAAGCGCTCGCTCAACTTCGATAGTGAAGTCTATATGTCCAGGTGTATCGATCAAGTTGATATGATATTTCTGCTCCTTGCCTTCCTCGTGCTTGACCCAGTCGCAGAACGTCGCGGCGGACTGGATAGTGATCCCTTTCTCTCGCTCCAGGTCCATCGAGTCCATTTTCGCGCCGACGGAGTCCTTACCGCGGACTTCGTGTATTGACTTGATACGGCCGGTGTAGAAGAGGACACGCTCGGTCACCGTGGTTTTGCCAGAGTCAATATGTGCCTGATGAGATTAGCACAGGCATGACAGAGGGTGCTTTTGTATGCTCATACAGCGATACCTATGTTCCGGACCCGTGATAACCGCGCCCATTCATCAGAAGACATGTTCTCGATGATCGTCTCCTGGGACAGCGCGTCCGGCTCGGACGCCTCTTCGAGCCTATCGCTGTCAGTGATAACACACTCAGTGCCTCATGCAGCTTACATTGCAGCAGCCGCTGCTGCAGCACCCCGCCGCTGCTGCCACCGCCTGTCCAGCGGCCATTGCTGTGTCTGGGAAGCCCGCGTTGGCCCGCTCAATGCCAGTGTCGATGCGCATCTGCCACACAGCCATGACCGACTCGTCCGTGCTGTTGACTGTCGCAGAATACTGCCCAAGGCTCGAGATGAGCTCTTTAGGGCTTGCGACGCACTCATTGTTGACTGGAACGGAACGAGAGGGAGAACGGTGTAGCTCGTCCTAATGGTCGACTCTCGTGTTCTCGGGTAAAAAAAGTTGCAGATCGGTTTTGGGCAAGTGCACTTCGGTCCTTTCGGGTCACCGGAGTAGCAAGCAGCCGCACCTACACAGTACAACCATGCAAGAGAAAGACGTTATAATTGTATGGAGAAGAGACTGGAGGGCTACTTATTCGCTGCATAGTCATCGTCTTGCTCTTCACCAAGGTCAAAGATTTTACGTGGCTGTGTAGTAGCTGCACCTTGGTCTCGAGCCATTCCACAACCTCTCAATCGCCTTCTCTGTCATACTGTTGGACAACCATGACATTGCGCACCATACCCTCACCCCAACACTGCAAGAAACACCCCTGAATTGCGCCGTCGTAGTCGTCTGGAAATTTCACACGGTGGGCACGTCTTCCCGCCTCTCAGCCACAGCATTACCGCCCATGACCAGTCGACATGCTTCAGAGACCTTAACTCGCGACCCTTCTTGGTCTTCCAAATTCGATTCTTCGGCAAGAACTTCCAACAATTCCTGCGGGGTTGCTGGTCTTTGGGAATGAAGCACCACTTCTGTAGATCGACTAGACGATGTTCCTTGCCGTGGGCGTACCGACGGTCGTCGAATCGGATCACGCCAGATTGAGTCGAGTCGGCGTTGCGTCCACGGCGGCGGCAAAGCTGCGGCAAGCAAGAGAGAATGCAATCTGGTCGCGCGGGTGAGGTAGAGTGCCGTAGATTGCGGCCAGCACCTCGCCTGCTAATCCTGTGGGGTTCGAACGAAATGATTGGGCATAAGTCTGGGGCCGGTGGTAAGTGTCTGGGAGATCCATCCTCTGTCGTAGCTTACCACGAGTGGCAGTAGTAGCCGGTGAAGGAGCACTTGCTTCGCCTCAATAACTACAGCGGAGTTGAAATCCATGGTGTGCCGCCAAAAGCCCAAGTTGCCCGCACCTCGACACAATTAGGATCCTGATGAGGGCAAAAGGCCGATCGTATTGTGCAGCCGAGCACATTGTAGTCAGCTAACCAGTACAAGTCATGGTGCTGTCGCATATCGTAGAGCCAGAGTGTCAACTTTGATCTCAGTGACTCAAGCGGCCGCCTGGTAGGCCCCCTTTCTACATGAATTCGTGGACGTCCCATGTGTAGGAACGAAGGGCTGTCTCACGGAGAGACTTGTTGATTCAGACGGTTGCAAGTCTGGATTGAGACACTTACAGTTGCTTTGCAGGGACCAGTATTACTGCATGTTCTTCGCTTACGGTCTTGGAGGTTGCACCAATATTGCCCCCACGGAGGTGGCCATGCCACATTCTCCAGACGTTGTCACTCAAATCGACGATATACACATGGTAAGCGTTCACGCTCCGTTTGTAAGTGCAACTGCCGGCCCACTTGTGACTCGTGAACGTACTTGCACGTCTTCGATGATAAGCGTATGCATCCAACAACAGGCCTGACGTGCCGACGATGAGCAGAGTAGAGATTCAAATACTTTGGCAGGATGAGCTGACGAGTGGGCGATGGGAGGAGATCACCGTGGGACCGGCGGGTAGTCGAGTGGGTCAGCCTGCTTTTGTAAGTTGACATGGCACGACAACACTTCAGCAAGGATGCCTTGGTGGCATCCAAGCGGGCGACTCGAGCGGGTCCCTGTGCATGATGATGCACCCTCAGACTGGAAACCCGCCGCTGCTTGGTACTTCTCACTCGAAAATCTCGAGTCATACATATAGCTTTACGACGGTGGCCATGATTACTCACGCTTCCAGCTTCCGAGCGTATAAGCGAGGGCTACGCAGCCCTGGGCCCTCAAATCGCATCTCGTGCGATGATAAACAACGGTCGATTCTCCGGCACTTGGGTGTGGGCTTTTACCTAACCGAACAAGAGGAATTGTCTCCGTACCTCACCCGGACGGGCTCATTCAGGCGAGATGTGAAATCTGAGTTGCGGCTACTCATGGCCGAAATTGGTGGTGCCTGACGCCCGCCCGACCGCAAAATCTTTTGGGTGTGAGACTTTGAAGCCTTAGTGCTGCTAATCAGTGGGAGTGTTCGCGGGCGGAAGGGGTATTTGCATGTCTGAATGAGCAATGAAATGTTGACGCTACCGGATCGCAGGGATCTGCCGTGTAGTCATCGGCAGTGGGACGTCAGATGGATCCGCAGCGCCCATCGCAATCCCACTGAAGCTTCAATCGGCCTAGCCCAAAGTTTGAGCCTGCCATGCGATGCCATGCATGGCTAACGGTCGCCGGTACCCACATTGTTCTCCTTGAGGCTTCCTTTTTCCGCCCCGAAACGCGGGCGAGTATGCCTCACCTGTGAAGCTTAATGAATAGTGGTCAGTTCCAGGTGTTGTTTAGGGCCAATCTCGGCCTCAGCGGCCTTAGTTTGTAGTCCGCACGACACGGGAACTCTTCGACGGCTTCTCGAAGGCTCCAGGATGATGTCAATCCACTTTATGCCGGATGATGCTTCACGAGTCGAAACACCTCTCCACCAGCGCAACCTCTTTACCGAAAGCTGCCCAGTACTGGCCCGATTCGCTCGGTCTGTACGGCGCCGAGTAAGTGACGTTGATCCGCGGTCGCCCCTGTAGTGAGAATCCAATCGTGGCTTCTGAGCACCTTGAATAGGCTCTCGGGGTCCGGGCATATACTCCATGGCTGACTGGCTAGTCATGCACAGCTCTGCGCCGGAGGGCTGCTGCACGAAGGTCTTGTTTCAAGAGCACTGAGTCGGACTAAGATCCCATGCTTAGGCTGCGCTTATTGCCACGCTCCTACTATGCAATCTCGGGTGACCGAAAATCCAACTCCACGCTGCTGCGTATGCACACCGCTCGAAGAGGTACATTGACTGATAAACATGCGCACTTTTCCCCCCGCCGCTGTTACCAGCCCCTTAAGAGCCGTTGGCTCCCAGAACGTTGATGTCCGACACAACCACTACTCACTCATTTCCAAAGTACTGTTTGCGCCTCCACGGAGGCCTCTGCCCACTTAAGGGCAGACTCGGAATTCTTGTCGTCAACTTGCCGACATGTGTGAGGTCCACCTGACTTATTACGGATGTGAGTCCTGTGCCTGGCGCGACATCAAATCACCACTTCGGTCGCAACATATGCCGAATGGGCTCAAGAAAATCAATCCGCAACGTGAAGTCGAGAGGCCGTGTGAGAAACGGCGAAATGTCAAGGGCCATGCGGACAAGACAATTTCAACCGAGTGGACGTATGTGCCTTATCCGGATTGCGAGCGTTGCGCCGAGCGGAATGGCCGAAGAAGATGACACCCTTTGACCAAGTCGCCGGACCACCACACTACACCGACTTTCACCATCAACGCATTCGGATTGGTCCAAACCGATGCCAGCATGTGTACCGGCAAATCGGATAAGGATTGCTTCGATCAGAAATCGACTGGAGGCGGTAAAGAGGAGGAAGGGCGCTGGAGATGACTCGCAGCTTCGAAGTTTCTGCACTCCACGACGGCTGGAGCAGGGTGTATTGACCGGCGTTGCTTCATCACTATGTTATGTTACTATTTCCGATTTGAATCACCCGAACTTAGCGAAGGCGTTGGATTAGACGGCAATATCTGTACAAAAAGAGCATGAGCCAAACATTGTTGGCGTTCGTTCTGGCTAGTAAGGCCAATTGAGCAGGATTGAATAGCACGCAGTCCGAGGCACGAAGGCGAAGGTAAAGTTGTGGTTGGTGCCAAGCTTTCCAGGTGGTGCACAATGGGAAGGAGGAAGCTGCAGCCAGCCTTACTCGACTCGTCGGCAGAAGAGACGTTCCGGCTCTAAATTGGGCATCTGACAGCTGTTGGCATCTTGGTATTTGATGACCGTGCCCAAATTCTTATCCCCGTGACCAGCCTGTGCAGGTACTGAATATTCCATGCGTATTCCGAAAAGCCCGGATAATGGCCCATCTATTAAGACGACTTGCTCCTGCAGTAAGTAGCCTGGATATCGGACTATGCGCGTGGTATCTCCAGCGATTGCAGCTGGCCGAGTACGAAGAAGTCGTCGTACCAGAGGAGGCCCATGATTCCACACTGGGTAGTCAGCTCGCATGACCAGAAATTTATCAGCCAATTATCACTGAAATACCGCGAACTGGTGTTCGCTGCACAGGCGAAATCGGAAGTCGCTGTGTTGCATCTTCCGACACCAATGAAAGGGCAGCTTCACTCAGAACGCAAAGCTAATTGATGGACAGCGGACGGGGCCGAGCGTCTTACAGCGAAGCGAGGCTCAAGCACCGATACTTTGACGTAAACCCCAGCTTTCCCGGCGTGGAGAGGACCCTGAGACGACGAGATGGACCGCATCAGAGCCAGTGCGGACATCCAGTTTTCAAGCCGCAGCCGAATCCAGGCGAAGTGCGGGTAGCATGCGACAGAGACTGCATATATCACTATCACGCTCGCCCTTGCTTTGGGGCGGTTTCACCAATCTGCAGCTTCTGCCACCGACTTTTGCAGGGCGCAGCGCGCCAACATAAGAAGAAATACCTGTACCTCAGCTGTTGCGGTAACGTGGGTAATATGAGTCGTAGCAGGTAATGCGAGAGCAGTGGGAGCTTGGCAGAGCTTTTGAGTGTCGAAGGGCACCGAGGTGGTCCCGATACGGAGTACGTGTGTTTGCGCGTCGGTGAGGCAAGGAGGAACAATATTGAGCAGTGCTGATCCTGCCCACGCAGCTCAGCTGTTGGTTGTTGACAGCAGCCAACACTGTCTCCTGGACTGAAGGAAAAGGGAGGTCACCTGTGGGCGTGTCTCATTAAGCGCCGACGAGTCTTGCGGCACCCAACGCCTGATTTTCCATTGGACAAAAACTCGAGCTAATAATAGGGCTTAGGGGTGCCGCCGGCGCAATCCTGGCTCCAACCTCGCAAACATCAGCGATCATCGCCCTCACCTTTCTGGAAGGCCCGCTCTTCTCCAATCTCCTGGGATCTTTGGTGGTTCTTAAGCGCCCGGCTCTTGCATCCCGCATGCCACCGGTTGGCCTCTACGCGGCACCGAGCGTTTCATTTGCTGCGGCATCCCATCAGCTGCGCGCTAGCCTGGGGTCGAAAACGTGATTTTTCGAACCAAATGTTTGGGTCGCAGATCGTCTCCTGGGTTGAAATCTAGTGCTTGCTAGCCTGATTGAGCTGCCGGTCAAAGCGGCGACGAGTCTGTGTTGGAGGGGCAGTTGTGTGCTTGAATGGAAAGATTGCCTTCAAGCGTGCTGGCATATGCGACGACCTCGGCCCTAGGTGCCACAGGTTCTAATTTCGCGTTCGGCGTTTGCCAATTGATCCTATTGAGCCCTGCACACAACTACCTGCATGTGAATACTTCGGGCTGCTAAAACTGAGTCGCCCCCGTCCTTCTTACTCGCCACGGACCCCGGGCTGAGATAGGCGTCTGCAGTCGCCCAGATCTGCCAGCAAAGAGCTCTCGGTGGCTGTGATTGGACTTACAGTTGGCATCCTCATTGTGCAGACCAAGGCGCAACTACTGTGTACATGTCATGTGGACAGCATGCAGAGGAGTGTGTCGGCCAACTCCACGTAATGAACGAATCAGGACAGACGGCGTCAACCAGCGTGGGTAGATCGACTCGAAGAGCATCCAGCCCATGACAACATAGTCAAAGCCAGAGTCATGTCTGCATGGATGATCTGCATGGAATTGTGGGTGCGAGTGACGTGGCCGACGCCCTTTGGTTACTTGGATTAGAGGCTAAACACAACGTGGCCTTCGTTCGCCAGGGATAGTATCGATTGGTTGTGAAGTTATCTTCTTCATTGTTTGGCCTTATGCGCGTCCCAGCAGGACAGCCACAAGGCCACGGCAACATAGGAGCTATTCTGCCCAATGGGGGCTTTGTGCCTTTTCCGGCTGCGCGAAATTTTCGGTCTCAAAAGGCAAAGTCTCGAATCGAACGAGCCAATGCCGCCTGGCCCGTCATCTCAGACCGATATCGTAAGCTGCATAGCGCAAGCTCCATTCCCCAACGCCGCTGTTTTCCTCCGCTGTTACACCAGGGCCGCAGAAGCGCCGCGCCAAGAAGAAATTGACGGTTGGATTATCATCCAAGCATATGACAACGCTGGCCATAGGCTTGATGCTGAGTATCACTCGTATGTCACAGACTCCGAATGAGTTGTCGTGGGTTCTGCATCAAGCAAACCATAAAGAGGCATTAAGTCGTAAAGCTGTAGTCGAACAATCACGCAACAGCAGTAGGTGGTGCAGGGCTCGTTGCTGATGGTGGGGGCATTTCTGATGCTTCTTCGAGCTTTCGTCTCTTGCCCTTGGGAGCAGGATCCAGGGGTGGTGATCTTTTGTATGTGACAGTTCTCGTGACAGTCGATCTGACAGTGACCGGCTTGCTGCATGCGCTTCGCGGAGCATCAAAGTACTTGCGCGATGCAGAGTCAAGGCTCCAGTCAGCGGGGGAGAAAGGGGAGTATATAGCGCTGCCTGAAGGTAGACTGCTCATGGTTGTCCGCGGAGACGGCCCACAGGTGCTGGGAGAGTACGCTGGCGAGTGAGGGATACGTAGTCGTCGCAATCCCGAGGAGGTACGGCGATAGGGAGTTGGCGGCTGAGAGCCGTTGCTTTGTGGAGACTTCTGCTCTTCGCTCTTCGCCGATGCTGGGTTTGAAGTGACACTGTCTCTCGTGGCAGTAGACTCATCAGACATGGATCGAGCGAGGGCGCTGGTGGGAGGACTAGCAAGCACCGGAGTGAGTGCCTTCAGATAGTCCGTATAAGCTGCGGGCGGGGTAATCGGAGTCTTGAGACATTGCTCCTGCTTGATGACCGCAGAGATGCGCGCAGAGAGGGGTGTCTCAACTATCTCGGAGGGAAGGGAGGCACTCTTTGTAGTCTGAAGAGGAGGGAGGACTGGCTTGGTGACAGCGGAAGGCATGTTGTCGACGACAAACGAGTGACTCGCCCACGAAAGCCCGGGTGCGGGTGAGGGTGGTGACGGCGCTCAGAGAGGGAGGAGGGTGAGCGGTGTGGAAGAAGAGCAAGCCGTGGAGGGGAGGAGCCTCAGGCTGTGCTGCAGGGCGAGAGATCTATTTCTGGGAAAATTCAAGCACAACAGACACTGCCCCTACCAGGATGAGACCAGCTCAGTAGACGGCGTGAGAGAGGGAACAGTAGCTGCAGATTGCTCTTGAATGGACGAGTTGGCGCGTAGAGAAGAGTGAAAGAAGTTGAGTGGAGGATCGATCCGCCCACCTGGGTAAGTGATGGAGTGGCACCTGGAGCGAGCTGTAAAAGCGGCGCTTAAGGAGAAGGCGTCTAAAAATGTGGACCTGAGGACTTGGCAGGCGATGATTGGCTCTGCTCGATTGGATCGTTCAACTGCTGTCGAGCTGTCTCATGTCTCCGTGGTCGTTTGTTGCTGCTCGGTCGAGAACCCGCGAGAGCCTTCTTCAGGCAAGACTTTAGCAGTTGCTGCTACACAGGGAACGATTGCCGGATCCCCGTTCTGGCGAATCAGACTGCTGGACTGAGCTCGGTTGTCGTGTGCTCAGTCCGACACCAGTGATGACTGGGCTCGATAATGGATTTCAGCTTCGTTAAGTAGTTTGCCGAGATCTGTAATCGAAGTGAAATGGATGTTAGGTGCAGCTGAGGCTAACTTCGTGTGCAGGACACGAGACCTGGAGTTGGAGTCGGGCTCTTTTGTACAGCTGTTGTTGCCGCTGGCCAGCTGGCCGCCCGTCTAAGCTCCCTACGTTGCTGATGACACGAGTCGGCGCTATCGTGATGAGGAAATCCCGATTCTTCACCAATGAGTGGCTTGTTGGCATAAACAATTCCAACCACGCTCGAGCGCGCGGCACCCTCCCACCTCATGTTTTGTGCGGTTGTCCAATTGTTGGCATCAAGACCAGATGATTCTGGCTCACTCATGGTGCCGTCCGACGAGATTTTCGAAATCAGTTCGAAAGCATTGTCGCAGTATCTGGCATTTGCGTCTGGCACAAGAGGAGAGAGACTGTTCGCGACTCCCTCATCATGATTGCCAATGATTAGGACCAGTCTAGCAGTCCTGATGCACCTTGTCTACCAAAGTAACATGCTTCATCAAAGCTGCAGGCCTACAATAGTGCTCACATAGCCTCGTATCAAACTGCACCAACGGATCTGATGATTTGCAGCTGCGATCCGCCTTGACAGTTGTTAGCGCTTCGCCCGGTTCAGTCTGCTAAGCTATTGTTGCTTCTTCTCATGCGGCAGGCGCTCTCTCAAACGAATCAGGAGTGAGACCCGGGATATGTCCAGGGTACAATAGATGCTGATGACATCCGAAATGATGCTGAGTTGTCGATAACCCAAGAAGGTGCATGCTTGAAGCTTGTGCCACGCGACACGCGCGGCTGCTTAAGCAAGCCCGGAATTCATGTACCAGCGCACTGGATCATAGTGGCCTTCAGTTGGCCGCATGAGGCTGCCAAAGACCCAGCGGCTCGCTATTGTCTAAGCCACACGGTCCGTAGATACGTGATGTATATACCTCGCAGACCGATGTTGAAGGTGGAGTAGGAGTGATTGCGGCAGCCATCTGACTGCCGGTCTTTTCTACATGCTTGTAGAGCAAGCGGCAACGAGGCAAATAACATGCGCTACATTTGACAAATGATCGTGCAGCATGGCAGAAGTGTCTGAGAAGAGGTGTAGAGACCATTCAGACAGATCCACCCATACTTACGAAGAGGACCAGGAGCCATGCGCCAATCCCCTTTGGGTCTGTCGGCCTTGGCGGAACCGCCGCTCCGCCTGCATCGCCAGAATTGTTCTGCTGTTTGCTTGATGCGACAACAGCAATTCCATCGAGTTCGCGGTACCATTGTCGCCGCTTCATTTCACTGGTGTCAGTGACACTGTCTGCATCCTCTATCCCGGCGGCTAGAGTGAGCAGAACTTAGCGACCCTCAGCCAAGCTGAGCTTCCTGCAGCGGACCAAGTACTGCCTTTTCAGTCCTCCATCGAAGCAATCCAATTCTATGTCGCACCGGTAGCATCGTCTTCACATCGGCCATGTCACTTGTCAACCTAGCACACATGTGCTCGCACATACAAAATGTGTCGAAGGCGCGGCTGGGATTCACATCGATCCCCGACTCAAAACTACACCTCAGGCTTGCATTGGCACTACAAAATTCCGGCTTCATATCAACAGTAGTGCGTGGCGGCCCTACGCCGCCACCTGCCCACAATCTGCTCAGTCACCCATCATCCAACAATGAGGGCGCCGAAGTTGAACCAGTCACGCGACAGAACATCGCTTCACGGCGACTTTGGCTAGGAATGAAATACTGGAATAGCGAGCCTGTTCTAGAAAAGATGTCTTTAATAAGCAAGCCCACGCGGAGGATATGGATGGACACGGAAGGATTGAAAAAGCTGGTATTGGGTCAGAACAGTGGCCACGTGAAGGGTCTGACGACCCCAGGAGAATGTCTATACGTGAGCACCGATCGTGGTATCTTCGAAGCCCGTGAGTGCGTGGAGAGGAACATCGGCGGCCAACTGCTGTGTCGAGTGAGCTGATCGTCTTGTGGTAGACCAGCGCTGGGATTGTGATGTACAAGTAGAATTATGTATGAATACATGATCGAGAAGTCACGGCGCATATCGCCTCTTTGGGTCGCACTCACGACTCTTGTGCCCTGGATCCAGGACTCTGCATCACTTGCGTACTGGTGTCACCATGATAATGACGCTGGAATGAGCGTACAACAGCCCACAAAATGTATGCTACTCCCGCTTGCCGCCGCATAAGAGCCTCAAGACTCCAGCCAATGACAGAAGACAGCTGTGTCGCCTGACTTCGGCATGCACGCTGGACTGACTTCATCGTGATAAAAGTCACCAGCTGCGCATGCTCGTTTTAGACTGTTCCGACAGCAACATGCCTACATCGAATCTGCTCACTCTGCAATGTCACAAGCGGCTAACCCTGTCCGCATCGTTGTCACCGGCGGGTATGGTTTCTATGGAAGACATCTCTTACCAGCGTTGAAGGAGCAACTCCCGAATTGCCTGATATTCGTCTTGGATATCATCCCCCCGACCGCAGTGGGTCCCGAACTAACTTCACATGTCACACAAAGCTTTACCGTCGATATAACATCGGCGGACGAAGTGAGGCAAGCTGTGAGCTGGATCAACCCGGATGCTATCGTGCACACAGCTGGGATCAATCCACCATTGAGCGAAAGATATCATCGCAGGATCGAGAAGCAAGTCAAGTCTGTCAATGTTGGAGGAACCAAGAACTTGCTCAATGCAGCTGTCGAAAGTGGCTGCAAAGCCTTCATTTACACTAGCTCTTGCTGTGTGGTCACGGACAATCTGCGTGGGTATTTTGCGAACATTGACGAGCGCTGGATATCTTCCAGCAAGTTGTTGGTCTACGGAGAGTCAAAGTCGGAAGCGGAGCAGGCAGTGTTGACGGCTGATAGCGAGGAGATGGCCACATGTGTGTTGAGACCGTCCGTTACTTGTGGGGAAGGAGATTATATACTGATTCCATCGGTCCACGCCTGCATCGCAAAAGGAGAAACACCATTCCGTCTTGGAGACGGCATGAATTTGTGGGTGAGTACTATAACACGTATCAGAGGAGAGAACGTCTTTTGTTGCATCCCAGAGACCGCCCTCGCTGACCAATGCATTCATCCCATGAATGATTGCTGACGGCCCTTACAGGATGTGGTCTATGTGGGCAATGTTGCCTATGCGCATGCACTGGCGGTCCAAAACCTGCTTTCGACGAGGTCTGCACACGGTGAAGCTATGGTAAGCCCGTGACTCACGGTCCCTGCGGACCTGCTCAGGTTGCATCGGGATGCTGCTGAGCTGCCAAACATATCAAGGTGGTCGGACGGCTGCAAGAGCCTCTCAGAACCCTTTGGAACTTCTTGCACTGCCACCCCTTCCGTTGCAGAACTGTCGTGAACTGTGAAGAATGCTAATCTCAGGTTTCTGGTCAATATAGTTTATTCAAAACAACGAGCCCATTACATTTCGAGAGCTCAGCCTTGCTGTTTGGAAGGAGTTCGGCCACTACCCACCATTCGAGGTGAGTTTCGATATTGGCCGCTGGGGTTGCTCGCTTCTTACACAGCTACTCAGATCGCGATACCAAGCAGTTTGGGGCTACTCGTTGGCTACATTGCTGAGCTGTGGACTAGAATAACTGGCGGCACAACCACGATCAGTCGTGGCAGCGTTCTGGACGCTTGCGCAATGCGATATGCGAGCGGAGAGAAGGCAAGACGAATTTTAGGCTATGAAGCAAGGATATCGCTAGAAGATGGGCTCCGGCGGAGTTGTCAAGTGAGTTGTGTCCCGTACCCGCCGGTCATTACTTCGTTGTCGCTGCTGGGTTGACGTGGCTGGATTAGGAATACGCACGTCGCCTGAAGCCAGGCGCCTGAAAGGAACAAGGCCTTGTGGAAATTATTGGCGTGATCAGCGTCACAAATGGCCCGTACGATGCAGGCGACCTCGGCTTTCGTGTCGGACTTCGTCAATCTGTCGAGAGCCCCGACATCGATAAGCGGATAGTAAGCCCTCCACAAGTGAATTTGTCACCATCATCAAAGGCGGAGGTGAGAAACGAGTGCAACTACCAATTTTGGCCGCCGGTGATTTCTGAGAACAATCTTACAATTCTCCGATGAGAAACACTTGCGGCCGCGAGTGCGCGTTTCAACGACAACGCCGGAGCACTTGCTGCTTTGAACATTCGCTGACGTCGCCAGCGTCTGCTGGAGCCCGGGTGAGGCTGAAGGAGGGTGGAACGTAGCGGGCGCGGCGACACTTCAGACTTCACTGCCGACACTGGTCTCTTAGTCCTAGCCAATCATGTCTGTTCTATATGGGCTTCTAGTTTCCTTCCAATCTTCTTCTCCAACCATACCAAAACACCTGCCATCCCCGGCGAGGCCCGAAATAACCCCTATTTCTTCATCGTAGCTTGACGAGCTTTCCCGCCCTGTGCTGCTCCTCAAGAGTCAGCTGTCGGACCTCTCGGAACCGTTCTATTGCACTCAGCTAATCAGACGACGCCAGCGGTGTGCATATTGAACTTGCAGCATCTGAACAGGATGTTCCATGCCATAGGTGATAAGCTGCCCAAATGATTCTCGTCAAAGCTACAGAGTCCTCGTCACCATTCGCCGAATCCCTTACGCTGCTGCCGCCTCACCCCGAAGCGGTACTCGCGATCTGTGCCGATCCTTTCCAAGATCCACAAACAGGGCCAGTAGCCGTTGACGAAGCTTTTATTTAGCTCTTCCGCAGGATGTGGCTTGGACGCTTCGCACCTCTTTATCGAATGGCAAGGTCTGCTTTCCTGCCCCTTGTGGAGGTTCACGAAATGGCAGAACGTCAACCGAGAGACCTAAGTCGCATCAGTTCCTTGACTCCAGCCAAGACCCGTCGGCGGGGAGCCACGACTCGACGACTCGATTCGCCCCGAGTTTTCGCGCAGCGACGGAGGTGTGGCACATCAGCATCCACCGGATCTAGCTTTCGCGAATTTGCTTCTGAGCTACGTTGGGCAGCCACTGCTGTCAACGGGCCTCACTTTGGTCCTCGTGACTGAGGCTCGCTGCGCTGTACCTTTCGAGAGCTCTGATATCGAGCATCGGGCTCCAATGACATGCTAATCGACCGCGTAACACAAAGGCTTGACGGGATTTTCACGGCCCGCCATGACTGGCATCGACCTGCAGTATCAAACATGGGGTCAGGCGACTCAGTCCTCGCCCCATGCATCTCTTTCGCGATGGATCAAAGCTGATTGACCTTCATCCGAAGCCGGATGCCAGATTCGGGCTCATTTTTAACCAAGTGCAAAGCAGGAACCCGCATTTGCCAAGGCACAGGCATACCCATCGTTTCAGCCCCTGGTAGTAGGTGGGCCTGGTAAGAAACTAGCACCACTCCCGGGGATATGGCACATTCATGAAACCACCTCTTCCAGAACAACGGCTGTCATGCTCCGACTCCGCGACCTTCTCGTCCCACGTGGGTATCCCTGCAATAAGACCCATGATTCGTCCTGCTGCCTGTTGGAACATTGACATACAAGACCCGGTCTATGGCAGCAAGGCAGCCCTTTAATCCGCCGCTTTATACATATCCCAGTCGGCCCCTCTCGCCTTCCGAATTCCCTCTGTTTAAGTCAAACGAGCACAAGGAGTTAGGCATCACTATTGTCAGCCGTAGCTGTCACCATGTTGATGCTGCCCTCCGCCGTCACCGGTATATCGTCCAAATATTCCACGCCATTTGACTTGGGTCTTCCTCTTGCCCTGGATCTGTCCGACCTCAAGTTCGCCATGCCCACCCTCGACGAGCAACAACCAGTGGGCATGGAAGCACAGCACCCGACTACCGAGAGCCCATCTCTCGTTGGGTATCCCAGGTATGCTGCCCAATCCCTCGGCTAACTCCTTTCGTGAAACGCCGTACGTTAAAGCGCTGTGCGACTGACGTCCGGCCTCTTCAGATTCTCAAACTTCACCGCCCCCCCATACGATCCATTCTCTTCAACCGGACGCATGTCGCCATCAGATCATCAAGAGCGCCTTCGCTCCCGAATGCCTCTGGAACTCCATAGTGCCACTCGTGGCCTTCCCCGGTCCGTGCCGGGTGAGGGGCTAAGGCCGTTGTCCTTCACGTCGACGACATCCAGTATCTACTCGAATGAGCCACCTGTTTACGCTCAACACGATCTTCTAGCCCGCTCAAATCCAGAAGATCCCTTACGGCGGCAGAGCCAAGAAGGCTATGGCAATCGCTCTGACTCACCTACGAATCGAAGCTACGGTGAATACGAGATCGAAAACAGCAATCGGCGAAGTTCGGATATGAGTAGACCAGCCCCACGTTATCATACCCGAAGGCGACCGTTCAACCAGGACGAATTTGATGGACCGTCGCAACTTCTGCCCTTGCCCCTTCCTCAGCAGGAGCTAGCTCGATCACAGGAGCTCCCAAGCCTGCCAGTCAATCTCAATGTTCAAGAGCAGGACGAAATCATGCAGCATGTCAACGACGTTCTTTCTCAATGCGCGTTCCATTTTATTGCCAAATACCAGTTCCCTATTCCTCTCGAGAGGGACAAGCCCAGAGTGAGAGCACCTACGGACCGCGAATGGACCGAGTGGGCCTACCTTCTGAAGAGACTAGCCACCAAGAGACGCATTCCTGCCCGCGTGCTATATGAAAACCAGATCAAGCAATTCGTCACCACGCTTGAGAACTCGATCGCGGCGCGCGTGAACCGCGACCAGCAGTCGCGAGTACCCAGGGGCGATAGATACATGTTACAGCTTGTGAGTGCGGGCACCCAAGTCGCAAAGATCCTCATGGACTCGCAGTCCATGGAGCAACTCGACAACCTTTACACCCAGACCGAATCAGTAATACTCGAACGACGAGCCAGAGCACGCTTCCAGTAATTGTGCATCTGCCAGGATAATGCCCTGCTGCACGCAAAAGCCCAAGCACTCATCCCGGCGATGGGACCAGGTGTTCTACAACGACACACAGCAATTCGAGCCATTTTTTCTCGTGTGCTACTTCGGTCATGATCAGTTCAGCGGTTAGGACAGCCAGTTGCAAAAGTCGAAAAGCCATGGGCCCACTTCTTTCGTCGACTGTTCATCATGTACAGTTCCTTTGTGCTTGTTCGGCGCTTTTTACAGATGCCTGGACTTAATATCAGTCCAGCACGGCAGACCCAGGACGTGTTGGTAATCGAATTTTATGAAGAGGATTGATAGATCAGCGAAGATGATGAGCGAGACTATCATCTACTACAGGATGTAGTTCAAGGCGTATCCGACACCAGGAAGTTACGACTGGGCAGGTGATTCCGGCAAGATAGATATTGGAAACACTTGGTGTCATGGCGACATGTAATCCAGTGTGACGAAGGTGTCCATGACCCCTAATGACCATAGATTATGCTGGGATCTCGAGACGCAGCCTAGATTACCCCGAGCAAATACCATATTCTTCTCTACGTCAACAGTGCACTATTCTGGTACTGGCAGACGCGCTCTCATGGACCTAAGCGATCAGGAAGCTACGAGGCACAGAGATACTCGCAATTCGAGCCATGTTAGGCTTCTAGGTCTCAGCACTCACCAATTACGATGACGGCAATCGATACATTTGCAAATCATCAATGTCCCTGTCAAGCAGTCGGGCAGCATCACGGGCAATCGAAGACGAGCGAGCGAGCGAGCGGACGTCCTGGCACTTGAAGGTGAGCGCAACCAACCTTCCCCGGACAGTACCCAACGATGCTAGCTTCCTATCCCACCATTCAGAGCTCCATGCCCGTCGCTGCCTGACAGGGTCTCATCCCACGTGCGACCACCAATGCCCAATATCGGGATCTAGACTCGGTCAGTTCGAGTAAGATCTTTAGACCTCAGATGCTGCACCAAACTTTCAATCGCCTTGAAACGACCTTCTGCCGTCTCCCAAGAACCCGTATCCTGGCAGTCGTGCCATCCAGTCATTCTTACTCGACGCAACGATCGACTTACCGTCAGGCACAGATGCCTTAGCGCCTCGCGAGGGGCAGCTACGACCAAAAACGCACTGCCAATTGTACCTAAACCCAAAAATTCGTGAACACGTATGCGGGCCGATAGAACCTGAAACAAAGTCTCGAAGTGTAGCTCATCTTCAATGCAAAACGTGCCTCTCGCACGCCCATACCAGATCTCATCAGATCTCATACCGCAAAATGGAAGTTAGGGGGAGCTCACGATTGTTGATCAGGCCACCCTGCGCTCGTCCCGGCGCACGTTGCGCCTCAAATTGGGAGGCGAGTCGCACACCCTCTTCGCCCATCCTAACAGCTACTCCGTAGCGAGCTAGCGTTCAAGATGAGAGCGTTGGGTCCGAGAAATCGCGAACTACGCCGAGTGGCGTAAGACTTGGCGAGGCGCTAAGTTTGGCATCAGATCGCGGTAGAAACGCCACTGATTGTCGACTAACGCCAATATTAGCCGGACATGATCAACAGCCGGCACTCTGCGTCATCTCCTGTTCCGCATTACCTGGTGCAAAGATCGCCCGCAGGGAGATGGATGAATTCACTCCCGGTATCCATCTCAGCGCGACTTGCTACCGAATGTGAACGAGCACTAGTATATGTCAATGTGTTGCATCTCTGACAGCCGTCTCATGCCCACATAAGCAATAGCAACAGCGCCTGTATTGGGCAAGCGCACCCCAGCCCACGGGAATGCTGTTGGCATGGCATACCGTAGCTGGCCGTCGTACCCGGCCCTTGCAAGATAAGACACAGTGAGATTTAGGGCCAACGTTGTCATCACGAGCCGCTTGATGCGGAAACTGATGCCAAACCCAGGACCTGCTGGACGCTGGTGAATCGACGACCGATGGCGCCCTGCCTCCGTAGCGCTGACCATGACTTCTCGACACCGGGATCACCTATCGAGAAGCGCCCAGCCGGATCAAACCTGGCTGTGCTAGGCCAACAACCTGGGCAAGGCGCAAGCTCAGAAGGAGCACGGCGAAAGAGGCATCCGCGCGGCAGTATTGACGAGGTTGAGTTACTTACTTCTGCAAGGGGTCTGCCACTCTTCGCTCTCACAACGCATTCCTCAAAGGCATCAGGCATGTCGAGACCGGAATAAACCCACAGTGTTGGGGTAAATCAGTTAAGACCAAGTCTACCCTTTTTTATGACAAATGCGTTACTATTGCTACCTCTACAGATGCGAGTCTCGAGACGATCAGCACCATCTGTGAGAGGAATGTCCGGGCCGCTGTCATTCACAGGCCCGGTCGTTTCAGACTGATATGCATACCCACTAAACCCGAAGGAGGTCCCATCGAAGACTTCAAGTAAGGTCCCGTGCGTGGAATGTTCGATTTGTGGACCTGCATGGGTTTCAAGGTGCTTTGAACCAGGGAGGTCGTTGTTGATCGGAATGGCGGATGTTGATTCCGTGACATTTCCGACATGGCTACTGGCCAGCGGCTTCGTGCTCGGCAATATTTCCAAAAGTACTATTCCACAGCTTTGCCATTCCCGGAACGCCGAGGCAACCTGAGCAGCTGCTTGAAGTTGACTGGCCCAGAATTGCACCTCATCAAACACTTGGGCCAGGGCTGTCTGCCTTACTTAATTACTTGATATTGTTGGCAGCTCTGGCTGAGTCCCTGCATCGAGCCCCGCACCTTGCTCGCACCTTGGACCGAGTTAGGGAGGTACTCAATATGCCGAGTCTCCTCCGCGATACAGATCAAGTTGTGAGTCGCATCTCATCATCTGCGAGCTGGGAACCTTGTCGAGCATGTATCTGACACCTTGGTGCATCTGATGTGGCTTTTACATTGTCAAAACTGGCACAGCGACTCGTATGGCATAGTCAGACGACTCCGTATTCCTGCTCCCGCCGTGGACAAGCCTCGATCCTTCAACCAAGAGGAGCGAAGTGCACTCCATACTCCGTACTTCAGGCGGTACAAGCGGATCCTCCGACGTCTACATATTTCCTTGCATCTACATCCACATACGGACCAGGTTATTCCGGTGAACGAGAGGACCCGGAGTTCCATGACTAAGCAGGTAGTGGTGTTACCTGTCGATCGTGCTTCCCTCGACTCTGATGCCTTGCATACCATGCCGGATAGTGCCGCTTCTACAGTTTCCAGCGCTGGTTCTGCTTAAGCGAATAGAGAGGAATTTCCAACATCTAGGCGAACGGCCGTGTAGCCGGAAACTTGGGACACTTTCCTAGCGACCAACCATCAACTCTGTGTGTCAGGGGATGCCCGCTGGGGCCAAAGTTGTCGAAGCCTTTGTGCGGAGTAGAACTGCCGATGTTTCAGAGACCCAATCTTAATGCGAGGAGTGCTCGTGCGAGTCATGCTTTTCGACAATGGCGCTCGTTCGCAATTCTCGTATGGAGCGTCAAATTTTGGCCACAATGATCACTGGTCAGGTACGAGGTATGGTGGCGTAGCGATGACCTCGTGGGCCCTCACTTTCCTGCAGACCCTCGTGGTAGCATCATTTCCATCATACCACTGTCAAGCTCATAGAAGAGGCCCGTTATCTGACCGGGCAAGTGTCGTTGCGCTTGAGATAAGGGTGGTTAGGTCCAAGACACTTCCCGGCTTTAACTGGGGTTACCCTAGCCACGATGTATGCCCCCGAACGCGCCGCTCCGTTTTCTGCGACCTACCTACCATTATGGAGTACAGGACTACAAGCGACATTCCAAGGCCATGACTTCCGGAGCTTGCAATTCCGCATCGCCTCGGAGGTTTGATGGGCTCGGGGCGAAGAAGGCGATCACCTTGGGCCTTTTTGGCTTCTTCACACGATCGCCAGAAGACCATAAGATCTGAGCGAGTCTTGTTCCTTCTGTGTGCCAATAAGAAGCTTTATGCAGAGCGATACCAAGCATAACTCTTCTCCTCACAGCCGCGATTCAGTTCCTACTCGGACAAGAGCTGCGGTCCTTGGATTCTGAAACAGCGTCCCGCAGGCATTCAACTCTCTTCTTGTTGTATCTGTAATTCGACTCCACCTTATCGATGCAAGGAAGGGGAAAGTCTCAAGCGTTCACTTGATCGGCGGCACGGCTGCCTGTTGCAACTCCCCGGTAGGCTTGACAGCTAGCATCATACATCTCTGGGAGGTATGGCTACGAAGTGCATGAATTTCTCCGCGTCCAGCGTCCAGTTTACGATCTCAGCAGCGAGGCTAGCCCGACTGACGAGCGTAGTGGTTCCTTGTCTACGCCGTTTTTTTCTCCGTTGTCTAGGAGTTCATGTTTCCCCTTTGAACCTACGGGACGAACGGCGAGTTTCCGGTGTTAATGGCAACTTCTTACTGCCTCTGCTGAAGTTGTCGCTGACTCCTCTTCGCTGAAACTAGGAAGGCAACTACTGCAGGTGGAAGTCGGGCCAAAGCATCACCTCCTTAAGCATTGTCCTCATCCGCACCATCCGCCCCAGCCATCCAGATGCAAGCTCGCTCGACACCCACAAGCTGCAGCAGGTAAGCCGTCAATCAGTCATGGCCGCGGATGTCAAGCAAGATCCCGGTGTTACCGGTCGGTCGAGGCGCCGCCCTCCGCCCTCCACTATTCGGTCCCCGTCGTTCAAGATAGCAGGTTTTGTCAGCCCCATAAGCAGTGCGCTCACCGCGGACCTATGGCTCCTCGTAAACACCGACACGCGACGTGACCTCCGACGGCCGATGTGAGGCGAGGCGAGGCGAAGCGGCGGGTTGCATCTGCCGCCCAGTCCTTTCGTGTATGCACAAATTGGTGGAGCACCGCCTGACTTGTGGCTGGCGGTGGAGGAGCACGCACCCGTGAAGTTAGGTCTGGAGTCTGAGCACCTGGTACGGAGTAGCGCAGCTCTGGAAGCCTCTCTATCAAATGTAAGAGTCCTTGGCCTTTCCAAAAGCAGGCCTTCACTAGAACACCGTGGGACGAACGAGGTAAGTCAAAAAGACCTTCCCGCTCATCGGACACCAGGAGTGCCAGAGTAGTTTGTAGGTAGCACGAGAACAGGTACCAGTGCAGACGTCGTTGAAGCTAGTTGCGCACACAGTAGAGTATATACACATTGTCTCCGTCTCGCGCCGGCTATCTAAGCCTTAAGGGAGGTGGGTAGCTATTTCCCAGCTAAAGGTAGAAGCTAGCTGGGCCCAATGTTCCCAAAAAAGAAGGGACAAAAAGGCCTCTCTTCCTCTTAACTCAGTAGAAGTATATATAAAAGTTATGTACGGTTCTGTGGGTCCATGTACAAATCGAATCTTAGAGAAGACCGAGAGGAGCGAAGGCGCGAAGCGCTCGCCCCCGTTTTCCCCCTGGTGCCACAGCTTCCTCCTGGTCCTGATACCTGTCTACCCCGACGGGCGCAGCAGACTATGTCGTCGATGGAGTTGAGAGTGGCCGAACGCGAATGCCGAAGTGAGAGCGAAAGGGAAAAAGGGGTGCTCGTCGGTCTGTCAGTCTGCGTAACATGACTTTTCGTTTTAAGTCCGTCTTCGGAGAAACTTGCCCAGCATCACAGCCACGAGCAAGTCCCCATTGACAGGCGCAGTATCCTTCTGGAAACGATCAAAGCCGGGTCCACGCGGATGTGTATCACCATAAGCTGGGGCCGAGGACTCTAGCGTGCCAAGATTGGATCTCGAGCATAAGAGCAAAAGGTAAAGAGCCACTTGCTCTGACGATCACTCCGCTCTTCGACGGGGGGGGGAGGGCAATCACGACTCGTGCTGGAGCTCACGATCGGTGCCGCGACGGACTGTAAATCTCCGCGCGATCACGGCTGAAGCTTTCGGTCGCTGTTGCTCTGTCCAGTATGGCGTAAACTGTGTGAAGAGTAGGCTGCGAAAATCTCCGGATGGGCTCTGTAGACGATGGGTGCGGAGTATCTTACTCAACCAGGGAAAGACGGCGAGTACCCTGTTTCATCCAGCCTGAAATCGTCCCTTGATTCCAGGAATGTGCTTCGGCCGAACAGGCGCAGAGGACGACCGAAGGAAGTCACACGAGATATGGCGGCCTGTACCAGGCCGCGGCAGTTGTTTGGTTGGGAGCGGTAGATTTCATCAGGTATCCTTCCACCACCTCTCTGCCAACATTTGCGCCTCGCGGATGTCTCTCAAGTCGTCTTCGTTGAGAGCTTCGTCATCTATGCCCGCCGGTAACTGTAGTCGTTGTGTAGAGTCCCTCCTGCCCTGCACCGTTTCTTGGCGTTCTCTTGCTCTGTGCTTCGCCTTGCTCGCACAGCCTTCCGCTTCTCGTCCGCCCGAGCTGTCATCCCTCTGCCGCTTCACCCCACTGACCACTCTCGGCCTGTCCTCTTCTTGACCGCCCTTTGCTTCTTTTGAGCGTCCACGCGTACGCTCCCGCACTCGGCCGCGCGTGCGTATCTTGCTTTCTCTTGCACCTGGCACGTCCCCTGCAATGTACCCATAGCTCTTGGCGCGAGGCGAGGTGAAGCGCAGATTGGGCCAGTCGCGCGTATACGCGTAAAGTCCGTGTTCGGGTCCTGTTGAGTAGCCCTGGCTGGCAACGTCGTCATCAGCTTCTATTGCGCCCTCAGGCTCCGCTAATGGATGGTGTCCATTGTCGTACGTTCCTTCGCGGGAGAAGTCGAGGCCTGGTACAACTGACCGTTGTAGACCGCTAAGTGTAGCTGGTAGGACTTCAGGAGGAGAAGATGAGATCCCTTGATCGGCGTACTCGTCACAGCTGTGGCGAAGACGTTCAGCGTGCCACCATCGATCAAGCGATGTCGGGGTAGCATGCATTGGTTTCGATGGGACCACCTGTGCCTCAAGCGGCGAAGGTAATGTGGAAGCCGCACCTTGGTGGTGTGCTGGATGCGAAACCGACGCGTCGGGCTCAACGGAAGGTGGTAGGGTTTCGTGATCTTGGATTCGAGGCTGGCTAGAATTAAATGATTGCCCTTCTAAGGTGGAAGAGGCGGTCGTTGAGTCACCAAGACAATGGGCCGCGGCCTGCTTTGATCTCCTCGTCCGACTGGACCGCCGCATCCGCACCATCTTCAGACTTCGTCCCCTGGCGCAGCCAAGAGGCGGGCTTGAGATTCGGGGTCGCCGGGTATTTAGGGAGTAGCGGCTTTCGCTGATCCCGCGGCTGGAACGAATAGAAGCGAGGGTGGCTTGCAGGAAGGCTTGATTTGGTAGATGGTGGTTGTGCGTATCGTAGTCCACTTCCGGGTCGGGTGTCATAGGCGATGACAGTCTCGTTGACGGGGGAGGGATGACCAGGGGTGGATGGATGAGGTCGGCTATGGAGAGACCATGAGAGATATTGGTAGGAGCTGTGGAGGCCTTATAAGAGGTTGATGCGAAGGAGAAGTTGGTTGAGGACGCTTTTGATGAGGCGACAGAGGTGATACTGGTAGGATGCGCTGTGCTTTGGTCGGAGCTCCTTTGGATGTATCCGTGATTTATGAGCTGGACCGGTGGTGGTGAGGGTGAGAGACAGCACTCAGAAATCTGATCTTGGTCCAGTGGAAGGGCTGGCATGCCCGCAAGATCTTGCCTGATGCTTTCAGGATATCGCAACGGCGGTGCAGGAAGATTGTAGGATGCTTCCCGCCGGTCAATGTAGTTGCTGAGACAGACAATCGCTCCGTCTATAGCGTTGACCTTGTTGGTGCGGAAATCGTATACTCGTCTGGAGGGAGATGACTGGGCAAGAGCGAAGCGCCTGTCATCGGCATTCAGAAGCATATCACTGCTCATAAGGATACCAGTATGGTCCACGGGCTCGACCTTAGCTACGATACTCTGACTGAGCGGGTAGACCGTATCGCTAAGGCATGCAGATTCAGCTGAATGAGGGTCCTTGAACTTGTTCCAGTTGATCATCTTCGGTCGCGGTGATGCAAGTGGCCGACATGAGAACCCGCTGTATATAAGATGACAATAGCTGTGCCGGGAGTTGTTCAGATGCTAGGTCGGGGCAGCGGGAGCATTGATACAGTTGGCTAGCGCAGTGGGCCGGTTAAAGTTGACAGGGTGCCAGCGTTTGAGAGTGAGCTGCAGAATGAGGAGCTGACCAGGAAGGAGCCTTGGACGTGAGACGGCACCGGTAGAATGTGAGGACAATGTGTAGAAACGGAAGCGTGGCTCGTGCCTGTGAAGTGGCGGCAGCTTTTAGCCTTTGGACACCGAGTCTAGCGGGTCGCGCATTCATCGCCTAGCGACGAGGAACCCAGGGATGCGAAAGAAGGACTATCAAATATGCATGGAGAGCCGTGTACAGCAGGATCAATGGATGGTGGACACCAAAGGACCGACAGCGGTATGTTGGATGGCCTGATAGTTGCAGTGTGACGGTGTCAGATCGAAGGATGCTCCCCGATTCGTGGCGGAAGGTCCCAGCAGATCCACGGGGGGGATAAATGTTCGGGCGTGCAAGCCCAGTGTCAAATTGCCTATTATGACAGCAATGCTATCTGATGATAAGGGCAGTGGCGAGAAGGGGGGATTGTCAGAGGGACGGAAAGATTGAGCACGATGGCTACGGGCGAGAGCTGAAAATGATTGAGAACGGAGGGAAAAGCTGGGGAAGACAATTATGTCCTCCTGCAGAAGTTGGCCAGTTCGTGCAGCAGACTAGAGCCAGGGTAGACGGAGCTAGCAAGAGGCAGGATCGTGGAATAGAACATGTCGGACATGGAGATGAAGGAGGGCTTGTCTCGAATCGAGTCAAGAAGCGAATGCGCAGGTTCGTGGACGATTCGAGGATACGGACGATCGACCCAAAGTTGGTAGGGCCATGTGTCCAATTGTTTTGGTGAACTCAACCAGCACTTTTACGAAACCAGAGCAGGGAAAGTCGACGTGTTGATTGGACGGAGGTCGTTCATCGCAAGGAGGAAGGGGGAGCATGACGGCAAGCCCGAGAGCTGTCTCCAGCTAGCTAAGCTGGCGCTCAACACGGGCGGGCTTAGCCGTGCCTATCGCAGCCCCCAGGCTCGAACTAACGCAGCGGATGAGCACCCACACTTATCCATGTGGATGCGGCATGAGTCGGGCGGCCCACGCGGGCGCCCATCCCGGCGCTGCCATCCAAAGTCAGAAGGGGAGGGGCCGACGCGGAGTATGGCGAATTGATGCCGCAGGGGGGGTTTTCGTCAGACTGTCAACGGTCAAAGTGCTTCAAGCAACCGAGACGGGCTCTGAGCAGCACCAGAACACCCGGCACCAGGATTCAGTCGGCAGACGCCAACATGAGACGACCAGACATCAAACCCAGATCCCAGGGGCTTACGTACACAGTACACAGTGTTGAGGAACCTGAGGGACCGACTCCATTTTTGACGCCGGCAACTGTCTTCCGGAGCCCGTGACGCCTGTTGAGGCCGCCTAATCAAGCAAGTTGAGCGCTGCAAAATTGGACGGGACCTGCAGCACCTGAATCAAAAAGAAAATGCCATGGCTGCTGTGCAGTTCGCGGCTCGAGCTCGCCTGCATCATTTAGGAGATTTACCCTGGTCAGCGGCGAGTCGTCGGCTGCCTCAAACCTATTCTGCTTTAGCTCTAAGCACGGCTCTGACAGCTAGCCTTCCCGGTTGATTATTGCCTGCATACAGCGCACACTAGCCCTTTCGGCCCTGCAGGGCACTCGCCTGTGTGAAGGCCGGACCCCCTAGGCAATCAGACCATGTACCACAGGGCATCCCCTTCCTCTTCCATAGTAGCTAAGCAAGGAGCTAGACCTTTGCGACCTGTCATCTTCCCTCTGGCATGTGGGGGTACCCCAAGCAGTCTCTTCACCCTGGACGGCCTCTCCCTGCGAATCGGCGCGTGTCCCGCAGAAGCTGACGAGTTGCATTGCACACCAGAATTCGGGGAGTGCCCCTTCCGTCTCGACAGCCTCGTGCTCCGATTTGCTGTGTATGAATATGCGCTCAACTGAGTCGACTTCTCGATTGATGCCCCCGGAAGATGCCTGAGTGATCGTCTGTTGGCGCCGGCAAACTTGCCAAGAATAGTACAGAACGGCGCCAATCTCGACAACTTGGGTAAGTGTTGAGATAGACCTGGAGAGTCTGCTCGTCAATCCCGCCCATCGACGGTCTCTGGTTCGCTTGTCTTGCTCACTCGGCGCCTCGGTACTCCGTACAGGTCGTTGGTGTTAAAGTGTTGCGCCGAGTCTAATCTCGCACCGTCGCCAAAAGAAACCTAGGCATCTCATCTCGTCACAGCGTCACCACCTCATCGTTGTTGTTATCATCACATCGTGCTACGGCTCCCGCACTCCGATGGCTCAACTGCAGCCGCTAGCAGCCATCCAGCAGCACGTTTGGGATGCACGACTACCGCTCGAGGTTAGACTTGCCCCTTCGGAATGCCGTACTTACGATCAAGCCGATCCGTACCTGGTAAGTAAGGGTCTAACATCGCTTGCTCGCTGATGGTACGGAGTACATTCACTAAGTCTCGTCAGATCGCTTGGCCGCGCATCTCGTACATTCCCTTACTCCTGGCACGGCTACACTCCTTCTTCTCACCCCTTTTGATTGTCGATCCAGAAGAACTAACTCCTGATGCTGGATATTTCACGTATGATGGAGTGCCACTCAAATGGCACCTTCCCCTGGGATTGCTCTACGATCTCCATGTTTTATCGGTTGGCGACTCAACCGCTGATCAGCCGATCGCCGATAGCATCCCCTTCAGGCTTACCCTCCATTACACGCCCGACTCTGCCAGCGCCCATGTCAATCTGATCAATCCTGACCCTGTCAGAATGCATGACTTCTTCATCAATGCCGTCAAAGAAGCTGACTTCTTGCGCTCCGGTACGGCCAAGCCAATCATGAGCCTATCTGCGGCCGACAGTAAGGCGCTGTGGGCCTCGACCCAAGACAATGATCTAACAGTCTTCGCCAAAATCCACCAGTCATTGCTGCCTTCGGCGGGTCAGCTTCGCAACGTGCCCTTGCGTATCTACCTGCCTATGCCGCCTGAGGAGAGTGAGAGTGCTGCACAGATGAGAGTTCTGCAAGCTCAGGTGTCTCCTACCCTTCCCCTCCAGCCTGGCGCCACGGCCGCACAGGCTCGAGCTGCTTCGACCGGTCAACCGCAAACGCTTGGAACAGCCTTGCATAATCTCATCCCAGATCTGTTCCCTTCCCGACGCACTCCTATCCTTGCCCGGCCTATTCTCCACGGCGCTCCCATAGCGCTTACCGCCAACCTGGAAGACCTCACCAAATGGGCTTGCTACGCCGATGGCTGGATACATGTTGTGGTTGCGATCAATCATTAGGTTTACGCCTCGATTGTCAAGACGCCGAGCAACGCAAGCGAAGAACGTACAGCAGGGATCTGGTGCTACTTGCCACGACAGATCTAACCCTCAGGCAATCCAATGAAACGGCTCTTTGCAACAGTCGGACATTGCGATTTCGCCGCTGCACGTGTGCCGCAGATACGGACGATTCCCATCGAGACTTCGTAGCGAGAACACCAGCCAATAACGACGAGCTGCTACCGTAACGTCGAGTGCCTGCGCGGGGTTATCACTCGGCCAAGCCTCCGCCAAGTATAGGGCGCAACAACATCGTCATACACTCCTCACAACGGCAACGATCGGAACATCACACGTCTTGGGCCGTGGTGGGACACGTTAGGTCTCAGCCATCGAACACGTCGCTCTGCTACAAGAACCATGATCAGGGCGGATTCCACTTTGTCTAGACTTCTCTCTATACCACCACCACCAGCCCGGACATTTACACTGTAACATCAAACCTACTAGTCGCAATGTCTAATATGCAAATCGCCCTCTTGTCCCTGACTTCGCTGCTGGCAGCAACTGTGCAGGCACAGTCTGCACCCCAATTCGAGGTCGTCGTGCAAGAGAACCTCCCAGTCGCATACCAGGCTTCTGACACTAAAGTCACACCTGGTCTTCTCGTCCCACGCAATGGTAGCTACATTCCGAAGGCATTCGCGCGCAGTGCCAGCTAACATTTATACCTTAGACACACTTGAAGCCCCCGCTGTGTCTCTGCCCTCCGGCGCCCCAGACAATGAGACCTACATGGTTTTCATGATCGATCAGGACGTACCTCGCAATGGCTCTACATTTACGCTCCTGCACTGGTTCCGCCCGGATCTCCACCGCTCAATGGACAACGACACGCTCACTCTGCTCATGATCGACGACAACACCCCCTCAATCGAAGGAGCCGACTACATTCCGCCCACACCACCCGGCGGCAGCGGCCCCCATCGCTACACGTTCTTGTTATATCCCCAGCCTCCGAACTTCACCATTCCCGAAGCGTACGCCGACATCAACCCGCCCGCCGACAGCGCCGCGCGTATCGGCTTCAACCTCACGGCCTTCGCCTCCGCCGCCGGCCTAGCCGACCCCGTCGCCGCGAACTATCTACGCGTGCTGAACGGCACCGAGGCCGAGACCGCCTCTGCAGAGTCCGCGACCGGCACCGTCGGTGTGGCGCCTACGGAGAGCCCGACCACCGTCGCCAGCACGACCGACAGCGAGGCGGCCGCGAGCGCGACGGCGTCCGAGGACTCACCTACGGCGACGATGAGCGGTACCACGACACCTAGTCAAAGCACCACTGGTGATGTGAACCCACCGACGGAGAGTGACTCCGGCGGCAACGTGAATGTGGCGGCGCCGTATGTGGGGTTGGCGCTGGCGGTTGTCGGGGCCGGGATGTGGATGGCTTGAGACACATAAAAACCCTGGGACACGCTGGATTCCGGTTTGCAAGCTCCAGCAGAGGCTCCGGCGTCTCATAAAGTTATGCCATTACGACACACCATAGAGGAGACGGCTGGCTGTCTCAAAACAGGAGCCCGAACAGACCTAGAGTATTGATACACCCTAATAATTTAGAACATCCAGCCGAGTATGTCATTGTCTGCACATGCTGAAGATGAGTATTGAATCCAAGTGCTCCAAAGTCTCGCTCCAGCTCGACCGCGCCTTCGACTGTTGATGTGGCTGTTAACGTCCACTATGTGAGAAAGGCTCCGGATCGCGTCACATTTCCCGCGCAACCAGTTGCTCGCCTGGCCACGTACACGGCAGCAGTTCCATTTGTTTGCGCCCCATGTGTCCCGGCCAAGGCAGGGTTTGTAGTCAGGCTGACCACGGAGTGCAACGGACCGGTGTCCCAGTCTTCCCCTCTCAAAGCACACAGCGGCGGGCCAGGTTCAATGCCATGATCGCCGTGCAGGCAACCCTCATCAGCGAGCCGCTAGGTGCTAGATGGCGGCCCAGGACCGCTTCCGATATCTCGATGATACAAGGGCTGAGTGCTCGGGTTTTGGTTGCAGAATGGACGTAGTCTCAAGGCGCATCGACTCTCTTGATCTTTGTCAAACCCTCGACCAGCGCGCTGAAATCCTGCCTCTTACGCTTCTTGTTTTCACCTGCGCTCCAAGACCCTGCATTCTTTTGGTCTCCATCACCTTCAACTTCGTCACCGGCACTCTCGCCGGCGTCGCCTTCCGGAATACGCCATACACCCACTGTCCCATCGCCATGGGCGCTGATCATCTCCAATCCATCCCTACCTCCGCCTCCCTCCCCGTCGTCCTCGCGCCAAACCATTGCGTTAATCCTGCCCCGGCCGCGCAAGCTGTCTACCTCCCTCTCTTTTGCAACGCGGCCCTTGTGCACCCCTCGCACGGCCATCGTCCCCCTAGCATCACCCTCGCGCAAGCCAAACACGCCAACTTCTCCTCTCGCATCATCGTTCGCCCACAGCAAGACCTCTTGCGTCGCTTTCCTTGCGTACCCTGCCGGCGCAAGCAGCGGTCCGAACGGTCCGAGCCTGGTGTTCTTGAGCCGCGGCCCGAAATGTACCAATTCGTTCCTCCCATTCCCAGAGTCCCAGACCCTGATTCGTTGATCGTGCCCCGTCGTCACAAGCTTCTCGTGTGGATAGCTCGTCCATTGCACACTTGTCACTGGCCCAGTGTGCGCCTGCGACGAGTAATTCAGCAGTTGGCCGGTCTTTCCACCTAGGCGGTTCTTCTCTATGGCAGAGACACCTATAGCATCGTCGAGATCCAGGCTTGCGAATGCCGCATTAGCGCGCCGGACGTCGAAGAGTAGAACTCGACCGTCATTGGCCCCTGACGCAAGTACATGGGAATGTTTTGGCGACCACGCAAGCGCGTATATCGCGCCGTTGTGACCGGGAAGCGAGTGGGTCGCGAGACCGGAACGGAGATCGAGGAGGCGAATTGCAGGGGAAGCGGTACCGGCTGCAATCAGAGGGCTGTGAGTTGGAATAGGTGATATCGCGTGCGTATGAACGGCGTACTGAAGCGGAAAGGTGTGTGCTGGGACGAGTGAAGTGGGGGTGATGGAGGTCAGGAGCAGATTAGTGTCGTAGGAGGTGCTGACCAGAGTACTGGGGACAGGATCGAATGGATAGATGCTGATTGACGTGAGGGCATTGGTATGGCCTGTGGGAGAACGAGAAAGTGTCGCTCGTGGGTGATAGGTGGCAGTGCTAGGGGTCGAATTGGGGGAGGAGAGGTCCCAGAGACGGATACAAGCGTCGGCACCACCTGTTACCAGGACATCAGAGCGTACGGCGAGGCAATTGACGCCGTTGGGATGCGCGACGTTCGCCGATGGCGGGATATCGCCGGCTAGGCGCGCCAGCGAGAAGGTGACCTGCTCATCGTGCCGGAGCGAGGACAGTGTCTGTTCCTTGTAAGCTCGCTGTACAGGGAAGGTAGAGACCGCACCAAGGCGATGCCCAAGATGCAGATTGTTCATACGTCGTGGCTGGCATGACAACCTATCTCTTAGAGACAGAAGTAAGGACAAGGCCACATGGCCAGCTCCAGGGAAGCACGCCAAGAAAGAAGGCAGCAAACCCCCGAAAAGGGAAAGGTGCGGTCATGACGTCGCCTAGCAGCTCCGCCCGAGGTATTCCTACGCTCTCCTCACTGCAGGGTTTTGGGCCTCAGTTTGGTTGCTTCAAAGTTTGATATTCAGAGTCCAGCACAGCGTCTTCCGATACCGCTCGCTGAATAGGGCTTCCCGAGTTACATTGCTCTATCATTCGCTGAGCTGGCACCTACGGATGAACGTTTAAGAGTAAGCCGGTGCTGCGTATATATAGCACGGCCTGAACCACGCTGAGAGATCAATTTCATCTTTTCTTGGACCTTTCGCTTCAGTTGACGTCAACTGAACGACACTGAACCTCTTATAATGGCCACCAACGCCCGCAAAATCGCTGTGATTCCTGGTGATGGCATCGGCAAGGAGGTCATGCCCTGGGGCGTGCGATGCCTTGAAGCCGCTGCCAAGGTATACAATCTAGACCTCGACTTCACCAATTTTGAATTCGCCTCCTGCGACTACTATCAGAAGCACGGCGATATGCTGCCCGCGGACTGGAACGCCACTCTCTCCAAGTTCGACGCCCTCTACTTTGGCGCCGTGGGTATGCCAAACCTCGTTCCTGACCACGTCTCCCTATGGCTCTCGCTGCTCAAGTTCCGCCGGGAATTTGACCAGTACATAAATCTGCGCCCCGCCCGGCTCATGCCGGGCGTCAAATGCCCTCTGGCCGGCAAAAAGCCGGGCGACATCGACTTCTGGATCGTCCGTGAGAATACCGAGGGCGAATACAGCTCTATCGGTGGTCGCATCTTCGAAGGCACCCCGCGTGAAACTGTGATACAGGATACCATCATGACGCGCACGGGTGTCGACCGAGTACTCAAGTACGCCTTTGACCTGGCGCAGAAGCGGCCAAAGAAGCATCTGACCTCGGCCACCAAGTCCAACGGCATCTCCATCACCATGCCCTTCTGGGACGAGCGAGTTGCCGAAATGCAAAAGAACTACGGCGACGTTCGTGTCGACAAGTATCACATCGATATCCTGTCGGCCTGGTTTGTGCTGCGACCGGAGCTCTTCGACGTCATTGTCGGTAGCAACCTCTTCGGAGACATCCTCTCAGACCTCGGCCCCGCGTGCACCGGCACCATTGGTATTGCCCCTTCCGGCAACATCAATCCCGAGGGCAAATTCCCCAGTTTGTTTGAGCCCGTGCACGGCTCTGCGCCTGACATATACGGCAAGGGCATTGCGAATCCTGTTGGCATGATTTGGGCCGGCCAGATGATGCTGGAGCACTTTGGTTTCGATGAGGCGGCCAAGGGGATGCTGAGCGCGATCGAGCGCGTGCTGGAGACACATGACGATGCGGTCATCACGGCAGATATGGGCGGAAACGGCACAACGGAGGCTTTTGGCAAGGCGATCGAGGAGGAAATTCTGAAAGGCAAGGCATAGGTCTGGAAGGCAGAAGTGTATACGTCTTGGCGGCATACTTTCCTCCCTCCTACAAGTAGGAAATGTGATTAATCATGAAAATCGTATCGTTCTCTGCCACTCAAGATCATACGGAGTTCCCGGATCTTAACCCATACTCCCTCCGCTACGATTCTGGTCCACAATCCCCGCCATCTCCAGCAGGTGCCGCGCGCCATCCTTGTCGCCTCCAAAATTGACGCCTCGTCTCCGCGCCGCCTCCGCCTCCTCCCACTCCAGCTTCTTCCGGTGTCTCTCCAGCTCGTCGCCGCCGCCACCTCCGGGAAAGCTCACGCCCCAAATTTCCAAGGTGTCGATCTCGAACGTCTGCTTGGCAGGGTACTTGGCCGGCTCGCGCGCCTGGGCCTCGCAAAGACCTGGGTCAGGCACGAAGGCGCCCTGCCCGGCATCGAGGTCGTGCTGGAAGGTTGCAGTTGCGATGTCGGTGTCGATCGTCAGCGAGGCGGGGCCGGGGACGGGCGGGGCGGGCGGGGCGGAGGAGCGCGGTTGGGGAGGGACGACGCAGCCGATGGCGATGCCGGTTTTGTTGCTAAAGTAGCTGATGGGGATGTGGCGATTGGCTGGGTTGGCCGGGAAGATGGCGTGTCTGGGGGCGAGCTGGAAGAAGCAGGCTCTGGAGGCGGCGGAGGCGTCAGGACCGGAGGGCTCTTTGTGAGATGTCGAGGAGTCGCGCCAGCGGTCGGGCAGGTAGGCACCGAGGATGATGGGCTCGGAAGTGGCGTTGGTGCCTGATATTACTAGAAGAGTTGAAGTCTCCCAAGAAGTGACTTGGCGGGAGAAGGATGAGAGGGATGTGCCGTTGCTTGAGGTCGAGAAGAGTTGGTTGAATCGGACGTCGGAGCTGTAGATGTTGGTGGGTGAGGAGCCAGCGGGGCCAAGGTGTATGGACATGGAGAGTTGAGACAGGAGAGTCTCTGTCAGTAGCGATGTGGTGGAGTCTGACGGTGGGTAGATTAGTGATGTCTTGGGAATGACTGATGTTGCGGCGGCTGTCACTTCGCCCTTGTGTGCTGAGAGGTTGATGTTCTTGCTGAACATGAAATGCTCAAACAGAGCATTCAGAGGCTCGAACGTGTCCGGCATAGTCGTGGACAGGACTTTGACGAAATTTGAGTAGCGGATACCGTTATGAGCTGTGTCTGGTTCAAATGCCTCAACGATAGATGAAGCAGCATCTTCAAGTTGTTTCAATTTGCTATCGTCCAAGGAATCGCCGTATTCGGATAGATTGCTTTGTGGTTTCAAGCCGCCATACAGCAGGAGAAGCATGATTAGCCGCCTGAAGTTGTCTGTCGGTATCATCGCATGGATCATCTTCTTGTCTATCTTCTGAACCTGATCTTGCTTGAACACCTCGATCGCATCTAGAGAATCGAGAGCGGCCAGCGCGAGGTCATCGTCGTCTTCGTCCTCATCATCGTTTGCTGGCTGGTCAATCGCGAATCCGCCCACTCGAGGTTGACTATCCTTGGCAGCGGCTTCTTCCTCAAGCATCTGATCCGGCTTCTGTTCGTCAATTATGTCTTTCATGCTCGGTTTCTCGGAGAGTGACGCGATACTCGCCCTTCTGTCGAAGACAGCCAGACTTCGGAAGAGAAGCTTGGCTTTGTCACGATTGCCGCGCTTCAGGACCTTCTTGTATCGCCCAGTCATGATCGTGATGACTTTGATCATTGCCTCTCGAGTGAGGATACACGGCGCGAGAGTTGGGAAAGGGAAGGCGCCCAAATATGTACTGCAGGCGTTGGAAGCATCAATTAATGCCTACACTTGGAAATGGAGTGTTGTACAGGTTGGGGTGAATCTTGGGGGAGATGAGGCTGGATTGAACCCACCACGACACGACACCGACTAGCAACAGTGATATTCCTAATGGTATAATGTCGAAGAGAGGGGCTTTTCAGGGATTTGCAACTTACCACATTTGATGAATAACAGGCCCAGCACGTAAGGCTTCCGGGAGGCATAAAAAGCGATTGATGGTGTCTTCCTTCCAGTACTCGAGCGCATCCTGGTGATCGGCGAGCGACTTGAAGTTGTCTTTGTAATGAGTGATCTCAAGATGGCTGTAGCATTTGGACGCGAAGCGCAGAGCGAGCTCGTGGCTCAACTGCTCTGAAACGATGCTCAGCTCATACACCGTACTTGAGGATTATCGGCAACCTACCAATAGGGACCTGCCTCGGAGGCTCCGAGGACTGCGACTGGCCCATGATGGCCTATCTAGTCAAGTCTATTAGCTTTAGTGATTGAGCTGTGCAGAAAGCAAAGATGTGGTTGATATGTGGTTGAAGGGAGGGTGATGTCAGCCGCCAAGCCTTGAGTGTTTGGTGAAATGCTGCCTGGAACAGTTTTGGGCACAAGCCACTGCATATCACAGGAGTTGAGAGAGAGACAAAGTAGTTTGGCAAATCGTACGAATGTACTGTCTATCTTGGGTATCACAAAAATAAACGTGTTCTACATCAGAAAGCACGAGCACCGTCCAGTCTACCCCGAGACCGACCCTAGCCCTCCATCGACGCCGGCCCCTTGCGCTGGATTGCTTCCATCTTGTGATCGCTCTGCTCTCGTTCATTTACATACAAATCGATCTCTGATGGTCCGGAGTGCATCTTGGACTTGACAGTACCAGTGAACAAAGCACGGAGATAAACGCCACTCAATATGTCGGGCAGACCATCTCGCTGCACAACAGTACGTTGTTGCCGTATCAAGTCAGCTGCTGTATCTGAGCTTTCAGGTCTTGCATAGCCCTCGACATCTCTAGCCTTCTCGCTTTTCGAGATCCACACATTGCCCAAGAAGAGATTGGCAAGCAGAGCTAGACCGATGAAAGGCATGATGGAGATGAAGGCCCACATGACCGCATCTGCGCCAGTCGAACGGATAGCTTCCTGGACCTCAGGTGGGGCTCTGTTCACTGCATCTAGGGACGCTGTGTTGTGAACATTGACGCTTTCCCCACCAACGCCGAGCTGTTGCGAGACGGCTGGATTTCCGAAGTAGGCAGCCATCTTGTTCTGGAAAACGGCACCCATGACCGTGAGCGCCAATGTGCCGCCGAAAGGCATGGCGAAGCGGAGCATACTATACGCTGGGGCAAGCCTGTTGCGGAACATCCCTGCCAGGTGGAGACTTTCCGGCATTAATCGAATGCCAGTACCAAACCCAGCAATAGCCATCATGGCATTGACCAACGTGTGGTCTGCATTTTTGGTGGCATAAGTTAGGGCAGAGAGACCGGCAGTCTCAACAACGGAACCGAGCAACAATGGCCAGAACGTCTGGCGGGGATTGACGTTACACATGAACATCGCGGCATAAACGCCAACACCTAGACCAGGAACATAGTAGAGCAGCTGGAGGCCGGATTCGCCTGATTCATAACCTTCCACTAGGGTAAAGTAGATGCCGATGAAGTAGAATGCCGAGTACATGGCAGCGCCTGTCGCAGCGGCAATGACGCAAACGAGAGCAACATCCTTCTCTAGAAGGATGTCGAATGGCACCATGGCTTTAGTCCTGGGGAAGAGTCTTGCCAAAGGTTTTCCAGGCTCCAGGAGCTTCTCGTAGATGATGAAGCCAATGAAGAGGACAGCTCCAATAACAAGTGGCGCTATAACACCAGCAGATGACCAAGGGTAGCTCGAGCCGCCCCAAGACGTACCGAGGATGATGAGAGCGACACCAGCAATGAATAAGAAGGCTCCTCCAAGGTCTAGGCTGGCGCAACCAGAAATCAGAGCATCCAATCGAGGAAGCCACGACCCTGCGTCAAACAGCGAGACTTGTCCGGCTTTGAGGTCATGCCTCAAGAAGACGATCGTGAAGGAACTCACTGCACTCATGCCGGCGCAAAGCACAAATGTGTAGCGCCAACTGGCATTGGTAAGATAACCACCAATGACAGGACCAACACTGTAGCCGATGCCGTTCAATAGTTGGAAGATACTAGTGTTGATTGCTTGCTCTCGAAGAGAAACTTGGTCGGCAAGGATGATCATTGAAACGTTGGTCATGCCTGCAGCACCGACACCCTGCAAGGCTCGGCCGAGCAGTAGGACTGCCCAGACCGGAGCAGCGGCACATAGTACGCTGCCAATGGTCAATGTGACGACAGCGAACTCGAGAGCTGCGAATCGACCGAAGATGTCGGCAAGCTGGCCAAAGATGGGGATGAAGGCGGTATCTGTGAGTGTGAACGCTGTGACAATCCAGTTGAGTTGATTGAACTTGTCGAAATGCGAGGCCATGAATGGCAGGGCAGTCGCAACGACGGTCAAGTCCAGACTGGAGGTGAAGAAGCCGGGAAGCAGCAGGAGAAGCAGCTTCCATCGATACTTTCGCGCGGCACTCTTCTCTGCGGCGCAGATCTCACACTTCGGAGCATCTGGTTCGGCAGCCGGTCTGTGGGGACATGACTGCTTCGACGCTTTATTTGATGGTTGCGACTGCTCTGTTGAGGCCGAGGACTTGTTCTTCTGAATCTGTTTCTTAATGGTGCGATAGGTCCAGGTAACGGGTCCCTGCATGGTGACTGCTTCTGCGACGACCAGATAATAGCTGGTGAGGCCTGAGGTCTCTTGTTGCCAAACGCTTAGCTTGAGTCAAAGCCTGTGTCAGGAAAAAGAGCAACGAGTCTATCACGATATAGGGCGGAATGTGAGGTGAAAATGTGAAGCCGTTCTGAAAGGGCGAAACATCGACATTAATACTTCGTGAGGCATCGTGGCATGTTGCCCTTTTGGTTCATGACAGTAGTAGCTCGACCTAATTACCTGAACGGTCTTCGTTCTTTGCAGGCTGTTATCGATTTCGCGAAGGGAGCCCGAAAAAAGGGCTGCCGCGCTGCGCGAATGCCTTTAATGGGGCGGTGCCCACATTTCGCGCTCAGTACCCCGAAAAGGTATAGACTGTACTAAAATGTCTGTCATTTAGCACTGACCCGGGATGAACGCAAGCACAAGGATCGTCATTCAGGTCATTATAAACTCTTTGTTGCTCATCTTCACGCTAAGCTCTTTCTGGTGCCAAATCTCGAAGCTCCACAATCCAAATCGACGTACTTGTACATTGCAGCTGCGTATTCGTCTTGGTCGGTCCTGGCCAGTGCTATTTCAGTCCGAGCACCAGAGCAGCGTCTGCTCTGAAGTGGCGAAATCTGGAGTCAGATCTGCCATCGGCTGCAGAGGCTTGTACGTTCTTAAGGCAGTGCTGCTGAAGCTTCTCTGCCTGGCAGCCCTGAATCTGCCTCGCCTAGAAGCCTGGTGTTGGACCTGCTTTGTTTAACGATCTACATACATGTTTGCGCTCAGACTGGCGGGTCTGCGCTGTGCAACCTCGGGCCAGGTGCTTTGAGTCCCATGCTTCCAGGACGTCCTTCGCTTGATTTCTTGGGTAAGCCCCACACGATAGTCGAACTCGGCTTTGGCCCCGCCGTTGAGAATCACTCACTTCATCGCAAGCGCTCATGATCAGAGGCCTCGCCGAGGCCCAAGACTGCCAACTTCAAGAACACCAGAAGGGCTGCCTGTTATTCGTGGATATGATCGCCTAGATTTGGAGACTGGGTTCTTCCCCCACACGTGGTTCGGAATTCAACTGGAGTATGTGCTTCGGCTGATATCTTCGTATGTGGGTTGTTGGGGTATGCCCGGTGATTTGGAGCCGATACATAATGGTCGTAAACGCTCCTGTACGAACATTGTTGAACTCCAAACCCAGCTTTACGCGTAACACTAGTCGAACGAGTTGCTGCAGGGCCACACTACAACCTTAGCGCAGTCCCGGAGCTACTTCGCGACTATGGGCTCTATGCAAATTAACCACTATCCCGCCATCATTGTCGGCTGTGGGCCCTGCGGCCTCACGACGGCGATCAACATCGCCAAGGCAGGAATCAAGACACTCATCCTCGAGCGCTGGGAGACCGTCGATAAATCACCCCGCGCGGCCGCCTATCAGCCATGTGCACAAGCCGAGCTTCTCGAAACCGGCACGTTGGACGACGTGCGCGCCCACTCGGTCATCAACGACGTTATCACTTTCTGGAGCGGTGGCAAGCGTGTGGCCTACGTCGAGAAGCGAGAGGGCGGCAAGATATTCCCAGCTGCCATCAACTGCCCGCAGCCGAAACTGGCCGAGATCTTGCTCGAGCATCTCATGAGCAAGTACGAAGCCGAGGTGCGCTTCAGTCAGCGGGTCATCGGAGTAGAGCAGGAAGGAGATCTTGTCAGGGTCACGGCGGAGGACCCCAAGACGGGCGAGGTCAGCGTTTATACGGCAGACTGGGTGGTAGGTGCGGATGGGGCAGGTAGCGCCGTAAGGAAGCTGAGTGGCATCGAATTCGAGGGCTTCAGTTGGCCCAAAGAGGATTTCGTCGCAACAAACCTACGTGGGTACCCCTTCTACGAGGAAGGTTTCACCGCCGCCAACCTGGTACTGCATCCGGAGCATTGGGCGGTGGTGACGATCCTCGACAAGACGGGCCTGTGGCGCTGTGCGTTCGGGGTGAGAACTGGACTAACGAACGAGGACATCCGCAAGGAGGTGAACGAGCACTACAAGCATATCTTTCCGAATTGGGAGAAGCACGGCGCGTGCTATGAGCTGGTGGAGCTGAACAAATACAAGCCGCATCAGAGGTGTGCCAGCACATTCAGGAAGGGGAAGGTGTTTCTGGCTGGCGATGCAGCGCACAGCAACAATCCCGTTGGCGGTCTCGGACTGACAACTGGGTTGCTGGACGCGGGACCGTTGGGCAGGGGATTGGCCGCGGTCATTAGTGGAAAGGCACCCGAGTCCATTATGGACAAGTGGGCGGAGGCCAGAAGAGAGAAGTGGTTGACCTACACGAATGCGTTTAGTATTGAGAACAAAAGGGTCATTCAGCAGGGAGGGTACCAGAAATCTTCAGATGATCCGCTAGGCGTCTGGGAGATGGACGAAGTGGCAAAGGAGCACAAGATGGAACACTGGATTGAGGAGGCCAGAAAGGTCACAAGAGATGCAGATGAAGCAATGTATAAAGCGATGGAGGACCCGGCTGCCCAGCTGGCTAGTAGGATGAAGCAGTGGGATATCACGATAGACCCACTGTGGATGGCCGAGTATGAGGATCCGGAACTGGTGAAGCTGAGGATGAGTTTGAGACCGGCAGGCTATCAGGTCCCTCTTGAAGCCTGATGCATGTGTCCGGGATCGATGACAAGTAGTCCGAAGAGAATAGTTGAAATGCGCTCTAGTCATTAAAAGGACAGCAGTGGATGTAATCCATTGCTGGAGATAAATTGGTGGGACAAAGTGCGTTGAGCACGACTCCGTTCCGGCTCTCCCCAGTATATCCTGCCTCTGACGCCTGCTGAAATAATATCACAAACAATATCTGAGACCTGGACCGACGTTTCGGCCTGTCGGGGGCGGCTCGTTTGTAAATCAGCCGTGCGAAACCATCGGTGTATGCGAATGGTCGGCCTGAGCCCACGGGCAGCCATTTCCAGGACATGCCAGACGCATTGGGTCGGCTAGCACTGACAGCCGCCAGCGCCTTGCTGAGTTGATTCGGGCCGCAAATCCACGCCTGGGCGAGTGTTGGCTCTCAAGTTGCGTGGACCGGCTTGATCGAGGGGTAATTTTTTCGCAATTGCGGTGAAGAGTTCTTTGACGTTGGTGGAGGTTTTCGCAGAAGTCTCAAAGAAGAGCAGACCGGCCTCCTTAGCATACTGCTCAGCATCGGCAGTCTGGATAGCGCGCTTGTCGGGGTTATCGGTAACCATATCTGACTTGTTGCCGGCGAGCGCGATGACGATGTTCTCGCTGGCCTGGCGTTGTAGCTCCTTCACCCACGATTTCGCCTTGTCCAGAGACGACTATATCATTAGCATTTCTCTTGTTCATTTCTCGTTGCGGTACGCACGGCTTGGGTGATATCGTATACAACAACTGCGCAGTTCGCATTCCGGTAGTACATTGGGGCCAAGGACTTGTATCTCTCTTGACCGGCAGTGTCCCAGATTTCGAATTTGACCGTGGTGGTGTCATCGAGTGCGATGGTCTGTGTGAGAAAGGCAGCACCGATTGTTGACTCTCGATAGTCGTCGAACTGATCTTTCACGAACCGCAAAACTAATGAGCTCTTTTTGCGCGTTAGTACTCAAAGCGAGCTCGGATGAGGATAGCGGCGTACCTTGCCGACAGCAGATTCACCTGCGACATGTCAGCGACAGTGCTAGAGCTGAGCGCGGGCGTTCATGACTTACCGAGAAGGACGAGCTTGAATTGAGCGAAGCGACCGCCTGGCCCAGGGCGACCTGCTGGTCCTCTTGCGGCCATGCTGACTCTTGACTGTGGATGCGTCGGAGTAGTCGAGAAGGCTTTGAATTGGCAAATAGTGAGGCTCGTGCGGTAATGAATGTCGAAGATATAGTCGCAACTGCGCAGGGTAACCGGGGAATGAGATGGCTATTGCCTACAAAGAGGCCAAAGACCCTGCCTGGAGCCGGGTCACGTTGGCTGTTGGGGGCGTTGCATAGTCGCCAAGAGAAATGACGCAGCCACAGCCTTGCTCGCCGCCGCATCATTCACATGGTGGTCCAACCGTCAATTCATGACTCTCTGCCGTTCTCACTCGCTCTCTCATACTCGCAAAGCCTCTCGCCCAGTGGCTATTCTTCTCTTCTGTTGAAGGAGTCTCGGTGTCCTAGCTGGTCTACATACCTAACAGCTACCATGAGCATGGCCGCCCTTCCCTTCCGCGATATCAATGTACATGCCTCTACGTCCCACTATGCGTTCACGTCACCCTCCACCCCTTCCGCGCCGACCCTCGTCATTGAGCGCCCATCCGGAGATATCAGACTCAACAATGGATCACTGCTCGGTAGCAAGCGAGTCTCTAGTATTGCTGGGATTCTGGGCATCATCAAGCTCAAGCTCGACAAGTACATTGTCGTAATCACCAAGGCTCAGCCGATGGGAAGGCTGCGAGGGCATATGCTGTATAGGGTCGTCGCTACCGAGTTTCTGTCCCTTCGAGAGCGTCCAGTCCACGACCCGGACGAGGACACCTATCTGTCGTATCTTAAGACGCTTCTCTCGAACGGTCCAATGTACTTTTCTTATTCATTGGACGTCACCAACACCTTCCAACGCCAAGCGCAATCGGATCTGGCTCAGCCGCTCTGGAAACGAGCAGACGATCGTTTCTTCTGGAACCGCTTCATTCAAACCGACCTTATCGACTTCCGCATGGGCGGCGGTAGTGGAAGCGGGCTGCGTGGGACTCAGCAGGCCGGAGTCGATCCTTACATTCTTCCGGTCATGTTTGGGATGCTGAGAATAACTCCAGCTAAAGTGAAGGGGACACCGTTCACTTTCGCGCTCATCACGAGACGGTCGAGGTTCAGAGGCGGTACAAGATACTTCTCGCGCGGTATTGATGCGGATGGCCATGTATCCAACTTCAATGAGACTGAGCAGATTGTCATTCTCAATGATGTTACTGGCGCGCCGACAGGCTACGCCGGAGGGCAAGCCGTCCAGAATGGCAAGGTTGGCGCTAGCTCTACCAATGAGACGCAGATCATGGCCTATGTGCAGACACGGGGCAGCGTGCCCGTCTTCTGGGCCGAGATCAACGACCTGCACTACACCCCCAAGCTTCAGATTAGAGGTGTGGAATCGGCTGTCGATGCTGCAAGGAAGCACTTCAACGAGCAAATTCGTATCTACGGGGAGAACTACTTGGTCAACCTCGTGAATCAGCGCGGCCGAGAGGAACGCGTGAAGAAGGCCTATGAACAAATGGTCAGAATTCTGGTTAGCTCGCCGGATGAAAACATCGAGTCAGACCGTCGCACGGCTGAAAAGTTTCGCGACATTGAGCCAAGTGGCAATCAGCGGATGGACCGTCTACACTACATCTATTTTGATTTCCACTCGGAAACAAAAGGGCTGAAGTGGCATCGAGCCGAGCTTCTGCTGGACGAGCTTATTGATGGTCTTCGGAAAGGGCAGTACTTTAAAGGTGTCGAGATGCCGGGTGACAATACTGGAGCTCTGGATGTACGTCTGCAACAGAGCGCTGCAGTCCGTACCAATTGCATGGATTGTTTGGATAGGACAAATGTTGTTCAAAGCATGCTTGGCCGTTGGGCCATCACTCAACAATTGACCGATGCTGGTATTCTTCAGCATGGCGAGCGTGCTGGGGATGACCGGGATTTCGAGTACTTGTTCCGCAACATGTGGGCCGATAATGCGGATGTTGTATCGAATTCCTACTCTGGAACCGGTGCACTGAAAACTGATTTCACCCGCACAGGCAATCGAACGAGAGCGGGCATGGCGCAGGATTTGAACAACTCAATTACCCGCTATGTCAAGAACAACTTCCTCGACGGCCCCAGACAGGATGGCTTCGACCTGTTTCTCGGCACATACTTGCCATCCACTTCTGGCGTTGGTTCGTCGCTCACCTTTGCCGACCGACGACCTCTGCTGGTACAAGCTGTGCCGTACATTCTGGCTGCATCGATGTTCATTGTCCTTCTGTCAATGTTCAGCCGTCGGCCGCCGGAATCAACCGTTTGGCCAGTACGATTTCTCACACTACTCTGCGTGATCGTCGCTGGCTGGTCGATCCAGTTCATCATTTCAAACGGCATGCTTTACGTCAATTGGCCGAAACTCAACACACCAGCATTTGCGGCCGAGGGCTATTCTGATGCCCTTACTAGGGCACACAAGGATAAGATAGTTGGCCAGTTCATTCCCGTTGCTAAAGGCCACGATCGCAGAGGTCGTAATTTGAGCGCAAGCAATGTGGGATTCATGGAGGAGGGCAAGAAGAGGATAGAATAAGATCCAAGAAGCACTGTATCATAGAAATAGATGGTCTCTAATTCTCAGTAATGGCAAGCTTGTACTCCAACCTAGCTCAGAAAGAGATGAATGAATTTCATTGGATGGGGACCTTGAGCTTGGCAGCTCTTACTTGCATCCATTGAGCGGCGGGTGTAGCAGCACCTGTTTTGATTCTCTAACACTTCTCTTCGACATCCATTCCTGTCCAAGGAGCCAACTTCACACTCCGGCATGCGCAAAGCCAATCCGTGAATTCAGGGTCGTTAAGTCTCTAGTTCAGCTCCTTCTTGATTGCGTCATGACTGCTAGCTTCGCTGGTGTTTCGTCTTGCCAATAGCCGTTGTCTAGATTTATCTGCAGATCCTATTGATATGCCTTCAACCTGTTGACAGAATGCTCAGAACTTGTTCCCAGACACGACCACTACAAGTATTTCTTCGCAAGCAAGCAGCTCACCCACATGCCATGCCTGTCCGGATCGTCCAGCGCATAGCCACGCCTCCGGCGCAATCGCCACACTTCACTCAATCCCGCCAGTTTTCCATCACACCGGCCGTCCCAGCCTCTGACTATCATGACCCGAACACAACTAATTCCCAGGAAGAGACTGTCTACACCGTTAGTCTCTCAGTCTCTCCTCAACTCCACGAGAGCATGAACCATCTGCGTTCAACTTACTTCCCCAAGAAGTTGAACCGTTTGTCAGCTCACCTAACGCTATTTCACGCACTCCCAGGTTCCGAGCTGGAAGCCCGGATCATTCCCGTCATTGACTCCATTGCAGCCAAGACACCATGTTATCCGATTGAAGTAGGACGTCCGGTCAGAATGAAACATGGCATCCTCCTTCCGGCTAGGCACATGGGCGAAGAACGCCTACGTAGAACAGAAGAGATCCATAAGGAGATGAAGCGAAATTGGGAGCAGTTTCTAAGCAGGCAGGATCGCCAAGGGTTGAGACTGCACTGGACTATCATGAACAAGGTAGATGATTCAGGGAAGGTCGACAAGGCCGAGAGGGAAGTGGGAGGGTTTCTGAGATCCAAGCAGGAACAATTGGCGACGAGAAGCGAAGTCGAGGGCTTCGTGACCGGGCTGGTCCTGTGGAGATACGATCACGGACGGTGGAAGGAACCCAGAGAGTTCAAGTTCCAGCGCCAGGCAGATGATGTGAAGGTCTAGCGCGCAGCCGCCTTCGAGCCATCCGACTGGCAAATGATAAGGCCAGCTCCGACAGCTCCCTTATTATGAGGAGTCGTTGATGCTGTGACGACACATCTTCGATGTTGGGTCTTCGGACGATTATAAACATGCCGACAGCAAGCATCGCCGTGCAGCTTGTCATAGCCATGAGTTCGTAGCTCTGACACGAAGATATCTGTAGTCTTGCTTCGTGAGCTTGCTCTGTACGACGAATAAAGTGCTGGCGTTTACAACCATCATACATGTCCTCGCTATCCATCTCAAGTTCCTGGCAGAGCCAAACTGCAGGTGTGGAGTTCCCCTTTGCTTGGCAAGGCAACCATAATAAGGCCATCATCACCTTCAGCTTCAGATAGAACCATCATCCATGCACAGCTTTATTTCACTTTGGTGATCATATAGCTACGTATAGGGTCCACCCCTGAAGATCATCAAAGCGTGCGACAGCCTCCTCTGCCATAGCCATTCTACCGCAATCAGCGTTGAGGTTCGACCCATATTGGTGGCTAGATGCGAACCGCCGCTCTAATACACCGATATGCGCTGTTCAACTTGAACCACACTAACTCTAGCCTAGCCTCGAGTGTGAGATTCGATACAAAGCTAGCTCACCTCTCAGTAAGAGATGGCTCGACTTCTACAACAACCAAGTCGTCAAGCGCTCAATCCGGAGGTTCTATTCGACCCAAGGACAAGCAGTCACTGCCCAACACTATGGGAGCGTCGGGCACAGAACAGGCTTGCAACATTTCTAGCACTCCACAAGCAACGAAATATACTCTTGCATTATCTGTATCGCCGCAGCTGACCAGGTTCATCACCCACCTACGCAGAACATGCGGGGATCACAGTCTCACTACTCAAAACCCACCTTTAGCACTGTTCTCTTCGCTTCCCCCTTCAAAGCTCGAGTCAACTGCAGCAGCCGTCGCCTCAATTGCTGCCAGGACGCAACCCTACAAGATTACAGCCGATCTGACTCAAATCAGACGTCGCGCCGTCTGCGTAGGCGTACAAAGCGCATCAACTCTGAGAAGATCAAAGAACCTCCGAGATGACTTGCTGAAAGCGTGGACCGATTTTGCAGCGCCCGGAGGAGAGGCTCCAATATCGATGTACTGGACCGTGACTAGTCCGATCAATGCTGCGCAAGAGAGGAATCGAATCGAGCGTCAGGTGAAAAGTCTTCTCAAAGCAAGATGGAAAGGACCGCCAGTGCTAAGGTCAGATGTGAAAGGAATGGTGACAGGACTGAGCTTATGGCCCTGGTCGAATGGTGCCTGGCTGAACCCCATGAATTTTCCGTTTCGAGACCAGGAGCACGTCACGTCTAAACTGGTGCAGGCGGACGCTGAAGGAACACCGAACCACGCATCGCCGGAGACTGATCGCCTGGAGAGATGGCGAAGGGAGAATCCTGATAAGTCTTCGCGCAAGCTTGCGGCCTCTCTTATGGAGGACGATAAACCACCATATTGACCACAACTTTGGGGGTTTCCGAATACTGAACAAGGTACGAACCGTATCTTTGTCCTCTCGTCTCTCATAAGTCGCAAAGATCTCCGCCGAGTCACACGCCTCTGGGCCACATTAGACACGGCAACCGCAAAACTCGTCCCGAAGTTTCCGGGAAAGAATACTGAAGGAATAGCAGACAGCCTCGCCGAGTGCTGGGAATCGTCGTTGGCCGATCACACAGGGAAGACTGAATTTGGAGCAACGGAGGGTTGAGCTCAGAAGTAATGGCCAGAGGCTGGAGATGATGCTGGACATTTGACCACAGTGGGAAAGAACGAAATTGTTCTCAGCATTCACGAGCAACCGCAACCTGTTATTGATTCTCCGTGATCATAGACCGTGGTGGCCAGCAGTATACCCAAAAGCTGCAGGCTAGCGGGTATCATGGGCTGCAAGGTACGTAATATGAGAGCTCATCAGCAAGTGACCGGCACGTTTACATGTGACTGTCAAGGCCAGGCGGACATATCTATGTTGCCGCATACACTCGAAGCCAAGGAACAGGCTGCGGTATATCAAATTTCTTCGAGACCATACTTGAGCCTGGAGACATTGATCAGGGCGACCACGTGAATCCAACAGAATGTAACGCGCAATGAGCGAGATCAGGGTGTGATTGTTCTCCGGCTCGCCAATGCAATAGTTGATCAACCTGTCGCTCCTCAGGCAGTGGAGGCATTTCAATGGAGACAAGTACACCATGGTAAGGCTGAGCATCAGCCTCGTCGTCCAAATTTCCTAGCTGCGTCTTCCGTAATGTACGGCCACCGTCTTTCAATGAGACTTGCGCCGCTCTTTAATCTTTCCATTCATCGACAGCAGCGGGACAGAGGTATTCGGTGACCTTCAAAGCGGCGCTGCCTCCAGGGCTGAGCTTATGCTAGGCACAAGACTGCAGACCACCCGATATGGAGGCTCTTTCGCACTCTGTCTGCCGGAGCTGCCGCACGAGATTCGTTAGCGGCGTCAATCCTTCATCACGACCCTTCAGTAGCACGACGACTTCGCGTGCCATTCCACCCGAGTCTCCGCTCTTCGTCGATGTCCCACGGTCCTTCCAACCCGACCTTCGGCGCCGGCCTATCCAGAAAGGCTACCTACCTACGCCCAAGCAAATCTTCCCACGTAGTCGACCTGAGAAGCTCACTTCAGAATACGCCCTCGCCGCTACACCATTGCCCAAGAACCCAGTCGACCTCAATGATCCTTCCCTCTCCGAACATGCGCGCTATAAAGCCCGTATGGCCGATCTGCGCAGATCTCACCTTCGCAGCGGCCTCTCCGAGCTGCAGGTCCGCAAAACTTCTCTCGACAAGCGCACGCAGCTGCGCTCGCAGATGAAGCGAGCCGAGTCCGAGCGCCTGGTCCACCAGGCTCCGCGTGAAGATGAGCGGCTCACCAATGCTTCCATTCCGGCTTCTATGAGCCCGGACATCAAGCACCACTTCTCCCCGGCAGAGGCCCTGGCCCTGCATGAGCAGAAAATGCAGAACGTGGCGAGAGCCGCGTCCCAGAAAGTGGCGGAGCGTACTGACCAGCTGCACACATTGTACGTCAACGCGAAGAACTTCATCACGAGCGAGGAGCAGCTGCTCGAGGCCGTCAAGCGGGAGTTTGCGCCCGACCGCTTTGGACATAATAATAAGAGCATGTGGGACAAGAGGAGCGATACCGGAGCGCACAACCAGAGATTCAGCAAGGTGGGTCCGGAGGGCATCCAGGACATGTTGCTGGGCCAGGGAGTCTCGGGCGGCACAACTGAGCCCAGGGGCGCCCTTAGGGATGCATTGGCGAGAAACGATGCTGAGAGGATGAAGAAGATTGGTGAGAAGTTGAGTGGTGGTAAGATCTAGGTGAAGCTGCGCAATAGTTGGTCTGCGAAGCGCTGGGCTTGATGAGAAGGGCTGGGGTCGACGTAGTGGGCCATGTGTACCCAGAGATCAGAATGAAGAGGTCGTCCATAGTGAAAGAGCAGTCTCAGACGTGTACACTACAGCATAGCATCTTCAGCAGTGTCAAGACTACATACGTTAACTTCCACACATCGTGCCTACAAGCCGTCTGTGTTTTGCTTGGCTGCCATCTGGATGCCCCATTGCCCTGATGCATCTAGAATTTTTTGTCCAAACCAGCTGGACTACCACATCGTTGCTCTCAGATGCACCTACCATAGCTTGTACCTTCCTCACCTCAGCGCTCGAACCCCAAGGCCCACACTTCCAGTTTCGAAACCTTCCACCATCCCAGTCCCCAGACACTCCTCCAGAGCCCACACAAAACGTAACCCCCACAAGTTCCGCCATTTCTTGGTCTTCGCAGGCATCACCTCACTAAACACGCCTCTAACCATTCTTGCCTTGCTCGCACTGCTCTCACCATCCACCGCGCCGTCCCACCGCTCTCTCAGCAGATACATCGGTGCCTCCTTGTAGCTGGACTTGTTCAATAACTCCACTAGATGGGCTCGGCCGGCGTTGAGCAGACGAATGTACGCGCCGATGTTAGGCACAGAAACCAGGAGATGGGCGGTGGAGGATGAGGAGGCGGAGGAGGTGAAGCGTTTGGCAGACCCGACTCCGCCGAGGTTTTCGAAAGCAGCTTCACCGCCGACGGCACCGGAAGAGCCGGAGAAGGCGCGAGAGATGGCGGAGGTGGCGGTGAGGGAAGAGCCGGAGAGGGACAAGTTGCGGGTTATGCTGCTGGTAGAAACGAGGAAACCCGCTTTAGTGAGGGCTGTGATGTGGGTTGGCGAGAGGAGACCTGAAGGGAGGGAAGTGGCGCGGGGGTGCTGCTTGAGAAGGTGTAAGTAGTTGTCGGAGACATCTGCAGCAATGCCAGAGTCGTGAAGCAGTTTCTGTAGAGAAGCTGTGGTCATGAGAAAGTCAGAGGCGCCACTGATGTCGTTGCCGCGACCAGCAACCTTGATTCTACGAATTTCGCCACTCGCGATCAGGGTGCTGATCTCGCGTTCTGTCTTCGATGAAGCAGAGATCAACGCATGGACATGTGCCAACGAGACCAGCGGCGGCAGATTCTTTTGAAAATTTAGCACTTCTGCTATACGCGTGCTGTTCATTCCTGCTCTCTCCGGTATCGAACAGAACATTGATTCTGTTGCGTGGCGCATAGCAGACAAAACGTCTACCACCGCAGGGTCGGGCATAATTGACAGCGTAACGCCGGTGGCATCGAGCCGGTCATCCTCATCCTCTCCATCATTGTCTGCAGCATTGGCCTTCACGTATGCCTCCGCGAGGGACTTGGCGCGTTGGATCGATGGCTTAACTCTCGTGGCGCCGGAAAACGGGGACGAGGAATGCCGCCGAAGCGAAGCAGAAGCTGGTTTTCGGATTCGAGACGAATTCAGATATGAAGGCATCCGCGAACTTCAGCTGGCACTAGAAGGGGACCGAGACAGTGATCCAGTGAGTCGTGGCGGACGAACAAAAACGACGCGAGGCCGCCCATCGGCGATGGAAGCCCGCCCACAGGGGTGGGAGGTATCTGGTAAGTTGTGTCCCGACCCAATCGGAGGTTTCGCTGGGGCCAAACCCAAGGAAAAAACCGGATGTGAGAGTCCGCAACGTGGCTTTGTTCCTGCATCCCGGAACCTGGCACATTCGGATTCTCTTTCCAGAAGACCAGACCACCTGCGTCATCGTCCTGCCTTGGAAACTTGACAGCGCAAGCTTGTGCAACACGTGCGAGTGCTGGTAGTCGCGTCGTCTCGTCTTGTTGGCGGCAAGTGTAGTGGGCCACGATGCTGTCTTCCTGTCGCCGGAGCGCGGGCCGCTCCAAATGCGCTCCAGCAAGCTCGGATCAATCCCTGCTGAGACCTCGTTTAACGACAGAGACGTCAGCTTGGGTGCTCGTACTCTTTCGCGTCCTTGCTTTATACTGTCCCGTTACATTGCCTGGTTGACCTATTCTTGCTCCTGATTCGCAAGCCTCTCCAGCGTTCGTCTCTTAAGAGGTGAAGGGTCAGGTGTTGTGAACGTCCAGACTACTTGCGGAAATGCACAAGCGAAGTTCTGGCTCTCCATTCTCAATTGTTCATCTTTGCTGCCGCACTGTCTCAAGCCAGTATAGTGCTAGATATTCAGTTCACAGCTTCACCCGCCTGCTTGGATGAGAGCCTGACCATACCAACCTGCAAGGCTGGACTCTATGAGGTTAAGAGGTCACGACTTCTTCACTTGCCTGCAGAGCTTCTGCTCCGAGAGCATTCCTGCCTGTTTCCATCCACTTCGGAACAATTCTCTAGAGTGAAGCCTTATTCACGGCAACAACGGATATCGCTCTGTTCACCTCAACAAAATTACGCGCCTACAAATATTGCATCGGAAGTCAAGCTTGCATTCTCCCTATCACAAACATCCTCAGCAAACATGACGCTCTTTGTCGCTTCGCTCTTTCTCCCTTACACTATCAACTTTGATTCAAATGAGTCTACTCCTGAGGATGTTTCCAGGCAGTCAACAGCACCTCCATCTTATCAAGATGCCCGCGAGAGCCGCATTGTGAGTGTATGGACGCCGGGCGCCGCCGTGACTGGCTTGCCAAGTGCTAGCATACCGAAGACCCCTGGAGCCACCACCAACCTGGAAACTATCTTCCAACCTCATGTCGAGCGGCCATTCAACCTCATGGCCCCGTCTCCTCGCGGAAAGGGCAAGCAAAATCCAGGTGCAAATAACTCGACCTCAAACCTCTCCACTGTCTCAACGCACCGCAATCCCCACCTGATGCCACTGAGTGATCTCTATTCTCCCTCCGAGGTCAAGACTCCGTACTGGAACCAGCCTCTCTCTCGCGCCAAATCTCCGCCTCCCAGGGACATCCGCCATTATAAGGCTCAACTTCAGGATAAGCACAGTAGTACTCCTTGGAGGGCGACAAGAACTACCCGCGAAAGATCGCGAACCTCCAGCAGTGAGCGCAAATTCAATGAGGAGAATTTCACTATCCAGAACGCTCGTCGTGGCAATGGAGGACTCTTCAACGTCATCAATACTGTCAGTGACGCCGGATTGTTATCTGAAAAGACCTGGGTTGGTACTCTTGGTATGCCTACCGATGCCCTGCAGGATCACGTTAAATCAACCATTGCCGAGCGCCTGGAAGACGACTACGAGTCTTTAGTGTAAGGTTTTACCCCAGTAAAAGCAAAGTCATCTGCTTACATTGAATCAGTGTCTACATCAGCGACGGTGATGCTGACGGCCACTACGAGCACTTCTGCAAGACCATCCTGTGGCCAATCTTCCACTATCAGATCCCCGACCATCCCAAGAGCAAGGCATACGAAGATCATTCGTGGTCCTACTACGTGGAAGTCAATCAAACCTTCGCCAATCGCATCATTAAGAACTACAAGAAGGGTGACAAAATCTGGGTGCACGATTACCATCTCCTCTTGGTGCCAGGCATGCTGCGCGAGAAGCTGCCCGATGCCGAAATTGGCTTCTTCATGCATACCGCGTTTCCCTCGTCCGAGGTCTTCAGAGTTTTGGCCAACCGTAATGAAATGATCGAAGGCTTACTCGGAGCTAACATGGTGGCATTTCAGACCGAAGAGTATGGCCAGCATTTTCTACAAACGTGCAGCCGGATTCTCAACATAGAGGCAAACCGTGACGGCGTTGTCCTCGACGATGGTCGTTTTGTCCACGTCTGCAACGTTCCCATGGGTATCAATCCCAAGAGCCTTGATAAGATGAGAGCTCTACCTGAGGTCAACGAATGGACTACGGAGATTGCGGAGCGCTATGCTGGCAAGCGCATCATTGTCGCTCGTGACAAGCTGGAAGGTATTCGCGGTCTTCGCCAGAAGATGCTCGCCTACGAGCTCTTCCTCGACCGCTACCCAGAGTATGCCAAGCAAACGGTGTTGATCCAAATCGCCACTTCTGCCAGCGAAGGTGCCGAACTCAGTGCGACCATCTCCGACATTGTCACGCGGATCAACTCTAACCATTCGACTCTAGCACATCAGCCGGTTGTTTTCCTTCGACAAGATATCGATCATTCCCAATATCTCGCTCTTCTTAGCGTGGCAGAGTGCTTGCTAATCACATGTCTTCGCGAAGGAATGAACCTTACTGTTCACGAATACATATACTGTCAGGATGGCAAGTTCAATAACAACAAATGGTCGCCCCTGATTCTGAGTGAATTTACGGGATCAGCTTCCATATTTGGCGACAACCCACTGCTTATCAACCCTTGGGATCATGGTGCATGTGCTGAGGCCATCAAGCAGGCCCTTGACATGGGAACGGACGAGCGCAAAACGCGCTGGCATAACATGTACGGCCGGATCATGAACCAAAACGGCACTCAGTGGTACACTTCGTTCATGGAACACCTCAAACACGCCTTTGAGGAGCATGCGGTACGTGATCTTACCGCCGTTCCTAGACTATCCATTCCAAACCTTGTCAGCAAGTACGCCAACGCGAAACAGCGGCTGCTCATCCTTGATTACGAAGGAACTTTGGCATCCTGGGGTGCGCCTAATAACATTATCGCATCAACCCCCAAACGTCTCACTGACACTCTCAATGATCTCATCGATGACCCAAAGAACACCTTGTATGTTATGAGCTCACGGATGCCTGAGGAGCTGGAACGACTGTTCAGTCTTGTTCCCGGCCTTGGCCTAATCGCTGAAAATGGCGCATTCATGCGTGAAGCTGGTATTGCGGCCTCCGATGAGTGGCTTGAGCTTGCTAACTTGGATCACGTTGCGAAATGGAAAGGCGGGGTCAAGAATATTCTGAACTATTACGTTGAGCGCGTCGAGGGTTCGAAAATTGATGAACGCCATTCTGCTATCATCTTTGATTATCAAAATGCCGATAACTCCTCCTCGGCCTTCAAGTCAGCTGCTGAGTGTGCGAATCACATCAATGAGGCTTGTACCAGCCAACATATTCAAGCAGTACCCATTGATAATGGGATCTGCATCTCAGATGTTGACACCAATAAGTCGTCCGCAACTACCATGATTGGTGACAATCTGCGAAAGAGATCGGAGGACAAGGGCATGCCAATGCCAGATTTCCTGCTTGTTATCGGGGATTCCCGAGAGGACGAATATGTTTTTGAATGGGCTCATGAGTTGGAGCGAAAGGATGTCATTGAGAGCGTACATACTGTCACCCTGGGCACCCGCAACACCACAGCCAGTGCGACACTCACTCAAGGTGTGACGGGTGTGATCTCGACGTTGCGAAAGCTTGCAGCTTGCTCTCAGGACTAGAACATCCTCAAACTCACTTGAGTGAGCTGCTAATGAAGTATGATCGACACGACGGACTGTGATGGTCGCACTGAACGATTTGGGCTGAGTGTCATGGACAGACCAGGAGTATGGGCAGAAATTCCACTATAGCTAGACCGATACGCCCTAGACCGACCTCATATTAAGAGTATCCATATTCTGGCAGCATTCTTTTCGTGCCCAATGTAGCCTGTCATGTCGCAATATCAGAACTTCTCAGCAGCTGGTCTCATATCTAACTCATGCACCCATAGATCGCTCTCTGCTTCCATCATATTGAGGTACAACTTGCCGACGCTTTCCGCTCGAATCTTCTCTCCTCTCATAACCTTCTCTGCGTCCTCTCCCTTGCCCTTTCCCTCTTCTCCTCCATGCCAGTCATGGTACTTGTCGGTGATGCCACCATTCGCAATCGCATGCACGACATGCACGCCCTGCGAACTGAACTCGCGCGCCAGACTCTGCGCCAGCATGCGGACGCCTGCCCGCCCCGCGCCGTACGCGCCAAACCCAGTGTTCGTACGCAGCGAACCCAGCGTGCCCGTGAAGACCAGCGTGCCGCGCTTCTGCAGTGGGGACTCCTCGGGCGTGTGCGCCGGGTACTGCTCTATCATCCAGCGCAGAGCCAACTGCGAAAAATTCATCGCCCCTGTGACGTATGTCTCCAGACTTTCCGAGAAGGCGTTGGGGTCCTCAGACAGGAAGGGCGTCTTGTGCGAATGTTTGATGTTGAAGATGGCGAGCTTGAGCTTCAGGTCTGCCGGGGCGTCGAGCGAGGCGCTCCATTTGCGGATGTCGGCGAAGGCCGCGTCCAGGGATTTGCGCGTCGTGTCGGTCTGGAAGGCTTTGAGCGTGCCGCCTTCGGAGGTCTTGCTGATGTCGTCGGCGAGGGAGGCGCTGCCGGTGCGGGAGAGGAGCGCGACTGCGAGGTTCCCGTGAGAGGGGGACGCGAGCACGCGTGCGATGCCGGCGCCTGTTGTGGGACCGGCTCCGAGGAGGATAGCTAGACCGGAGGGGGCCATGGGTATATGGAGATCGGTAGGGTGAGTGGGGGAAGCAGGGATGAGAGATGGACGGGTGTTTGGATTTAAGTGGTCAGGCTGAGTAGACAGGGGGCTGTTGCGAGGCGGATTCGATGAGGGAGAGCGAGACTTGAAGAGGCGAATTAAACCAAAGTACTTACACGTACTCTTTAAATGCTTCGGATAATCTCAGAAGAGGGAGTGACTTTGTATTGCAGTCAGCATAAGCTCTCCAATGCCACCAGGTGACGTAGATGCACAGTCATCGCGGAGTAGCTTTTTGCTTTCTGAATCGACAGATGCGGAGATTCGACCTATGCGGAGATTCGACCTCCATCGTTGCCGGGGAGTCGTGAGTGATTTCGCATTGCCGTGGGGTTCATCGTAAGTTTACGTCCACTCCCAAGTAGTGAATGTAGCATATGTCTAAGCCAAGGTGATGAGCAAAACTCCTTCGGTCGAGTCTTCTGGCGATAAATGATGTTGTGAGGAGAAGAATAGATACATTCAATTCGCTAAATCAAGACGTAACCCATGTACATATTGTCGTTTCCGCCATGCCATTGAAGGGTGACATCCGTCAAAATGTACCTACTCAGCGCCAGCGCGGTCTCAGCAGTCATTCCCAATCTCCCCCGTAGCCTAATAGCTCGATAACAACATTGCCAACAGTGCTTAGTGTCCACAAGGCTATCAAGCCGATTCCAACCCTCCGGTCCATTCGCCAGCCGTTCAGCGGCACAACCAGGAGCAGACCAACGAGCGTCACCAGTAGCGTCACGCCACTGATCATAAGCGTAGTGCTCACCTCAATCTCGTACGGCTTGTACTTGATGGGCCGACCAGGGTGTTTATGCTGCTTATGCTCCGCATTTCGGATTGTCAGGTACGTGCCCGAAACACCGATGCCGAGTAAAATATTGAGCATTGGCCCACCGAAGCACGCACTGAGTGCCATGACGGGATAACCGAGCTTTGCGACGGTAATGTCGGCCACCAAGTCGCCAAGGGAGTTGCCCACAGCAAAGATCGTCAGACCCAGAATCGCATCCGAAATGTCCAGAATGACGCCAATGGCTTTCAGCACACCAACAACTTCGTTGGCGATTGTGGATATCCAGCCAATGGCAACAGCAAAGCCAAGAAAGCATAGCAACGGACGAGATGTTGGGGGGCGATCATGTGAGGTGAAAAGGAGAAGGAGGAAGAGGATTGCGAGACTGAAGACAAGAGAGCCCAGGAACAGCTTGATATATAGGCGAAGGCTATGCGAGTCATCCATGTTGGCCCAAGTAATGGTGACGACGAAGAAGGGCGCGGTGAAGATTTGTATGATAACGAGCCATCGATTCCAATCCTTGGGCGTTGGTGAGAGCGAGACTGCGTCTGTGAGAGGTCCCTTGGAAGGGTGATCGGACGTCTGTTGTTCGGGTGTCCGATGTGGGCGAGGCGTCTCTGGTCCAGTCTGTGGCGCGATAGCGGGTGTATCCGGTGGAACGACTGTGAGAGATGGGCGTTGAGTCCCATTTGCAGGAGTTTGAGCACCTGAGATAGCTTCAGCACCAGGCTCGTCTTCCTCATGGTCTTCGCTCTCGACGATAGGCAAGGTAATCGTCAAAAGCAAAACTGAGGGAGCAGTAAGGATCCCTAGAATTTTGTCCAGTACGCTCTTCTTTCGCCAGTCATACAGAGTAGGGAAGAGAGTAGCAGCAATGACTTGCGGAGGCGGAAGGTGGCTGTAGGGCCACCAGGAGAAGACCTGCATCTGTTCCGATTCACCATCATCTATAATGATGACGCCGTGCGTCGATTCTGGGGAGATGCTAGGGGCGGGTAACCGGATGCTTCGAACGCTTGCGGATCTCGAAGATGCTGTTGACACACTGCGAGAGCGCGAGTGTATCCGTGGTGAGTCGGTGGCCGGATTAACATGAGGCAGGTTTGACGAGTGCTGATGATAATTCTCGGGGTGAGGACTGTGCAGTAGCGGTACTTGAAGAGTGGAAGTTGCCTCCCGCGGAGACACCACAGGACTTCTGACTTGTTCTCGTCGTGATGGTTCATCGTAGTGTGGACTGTGGAATGTATTTGCGGGTGGGGCCAAGCGATCAGCTGAGAACGTAAATTCCTGCTCGCCAGACTGCATTTCCGAAGGGGAAACAAGTAGACTTGGCGACTGCGCCGTCTGACCTGGAATATTGAGATGCTGCAAGTATTGGGCAATGGGCCGTTGACTCCGACCATGCTGTCCTTCTGGCAACGGTGAAACGCTTGCGGTGGAGATCGCTTGTTCATTGTCCGAGATTGGAGTTAGGAGGTCAGTGTTGAGCTTGAGACCAGCCGCATCGTTTGCGGATACAGCCCGGCTTCGACCAGAGCCGCTAGCACTGGCCTTCCGAGCCGACTCAAGTGGCGGGTCGAGCACAATGAGATCTGGATGTGAGGCCGTATGGTGATGCTGTGACTGATATCCTGGTTGCGGAGATGGATCATCCGAATACCGAGCAAGGTTGATGGATTGGCCTGTGCTCTTTCTTTCCAGGGAGCTCAGGACGGACCGAAATTCGAGGGCTCCAACCAGACTTGGTCTGATCGGAGTCATGGTGTTCCGCCTTCCTGACCGTGGTTGATTCAGGCGCATGTTGCTCTGCAGCTCTGCAAGATACCGGTCTCGGGTTTCGTCGTCTTGGTCTTCGGGCTGTATCCATGAGGGAGTCTGACCACCTAGACTGTAAACGGAATCTGTAGACCGACCCCTGATTAGAGGTGAACGTTCGCTGGCAGGGACTGTCTCGTCATCTACCTCGATGGCTGGGGCTTCAAGCTCCTGCTGTTCGGGGATGTGTAGTTGCATGCGTGCTGCAGTCTCGGCCAGCTTGATGCGCCTGGAGCGAGTCAGGTACCAGTGCCACGCGACCACAAATGCCACATAGAAGACGTAGAAAGCGATCATAGCGACGCACTCCCACACGTGCAAACTCCCATCGGCGAGGAAGACAAGACTGAAACTGGCAGCCACGGCGAAGAACAGGACGTCTCGGATGAAACTCTTTCTAGCCACCTTGAACGGCTTAGTGATGGCCATTGCCCCTGACACGACTGCTGTGATGAAGCTTGCGGCTCCTATCAGCTCCCCAACTGCCAGACTGCCGCTATTCTTGCTCATGGCCGCAAAGGTGGAGAAAACGTCGGGGCTGCCATTACCGAAGGCAAGAAATGTGACGCCAGTCAGACTCTCGCTCATGCCCAGCAATGTCGCGATAGTGCTTAAGTTGATGCAGAGAAAATCCGAAGCAGCGATTCCTATCGTGCTGAAAAGCAGACTGATCCACACCACGAGTATCGCAAACCCGACAGGTTTTGCTTTTCCAAGCGAGCAGTAGTACATCTGGAGATATGAGACGAGGCCAGCTTCTTCATCGGGGCAATTGGCTCGAACGAAATCGCACTGGGCTTTTCGGTCAGCTCCATTGACAAGTCGGCACTACACACGTTAGTCTTGGAAGCTTGCTGGATCACATGAGGTAGTACTTCGAGGTCTTGGGAGAGCAGTGCTCTGGCTGTAAGGCGCGCATTGCGTTCGGAAACGGCGGGAATGGTATGCTTGACGATGCTGTAGCAAGCAAAGAGCGTGACAACTAGAGCCGTGGTATAGAAGGTCCGAGCATGTGGTAGCGGGCGAGGACGAGCACTGATAGTACCTGCCATCGTGGTTGTGCGAGTCACATGCTGGACTCGTGTGAAGGCGGATCACTTGAACAACGACGTTATATCAATGCTGCGGAATTAATGTCATATTCAGGGGTGAAGTAAACATGCGACAGTAGCGGTGCCTGGTTACGCACTGCAGTCCATCAAGTGCATTGGAGATGGAGAAGGCGGCGGCGAGTCAAGTCGAGACGACTGCGCCCCCTCCGGCTAAAGGTTATGAATCGTCATTGCATGCTGATCCTGTGGCGCTCTGTGCCTTGGTATGCGCTTGCTGCTGCTTAGCCACACTTCCCATCACCGATCTCGTAGCGGCTTTCGCAGTCAGCGAGGTTCAACAAGAGCAACCAGATTTGCCGAACACGAGCCACAGAATCTGACGCCCAAGGTGAGTTGAGAATGACTGTGTAAAGGGAAGTCAGGTAGGCAGCTTCCCAGCGGGAACTTCTCACTGTGCACAGTCCCATCGGTGTTGAGGCCATCCATTTACTCCAAGCTCCAGGCCAGAGCCGCAGGCCGAGGCACGAGCTTTGGCTGCGTTCTCTACATCCTCTGTTTGCGCTTCTAATCACAGCTTTCTCTAAGTCCCCCCAGGGATCGTGTCCCGTGCTCGCGATGCGGTGTCAATAGAATTGACTTGACTTTGACCCGCGATGCGACCATGTCGCCCTACACTACGTTCACAGACGTGTGCCCCATCACACCGATATCCTCCCACCAATACGCTGTCGAGCTCAAAGATGAATGGTGCATAGGAACTGTTCCAAATGGCGGTTATACAACCTGCAATTTCCTTATCGCTGCGCGCACGCATATGCAAACCACTCACCCGAAGCTCAATCAGCCCAACCCCTTCAACCTACATCTCGAGTTTCTGCGCCGTACCGCTGTCGGCCATGCCTTGTTCACCGTGCGCGATGTGAAGCTCGGCTCACGCATTTCCAATCTGCACTTGACCCTCTCGCAGAACGGTGACCCAACCCCTATCGTCGAAGGCTATATCACGATGACCTCCATTGCCGACGAGCGTGGCCTTTCTCTGCCGACCTCTTATCAGCTGCTCCCGCCCCGACTGCCCGCAGACCTAACTCTTCTCGCCTCCACAGGTGAAGATGCCAATTACCGCCGCCGAGGACAGGAGCCCTTTCCCTCATTCCGCCGTGCGGCGCTCAACGTGGCTCTCTACCTCGTGAAACCATCAGCACGACCCGCATCGCGCCCCAAATCCCTAAATGACCAGTGGATCCGCTTTGCGCCGCGCAGCAACGGGCCCAACGCCCTGGGCTCGGGACGCTGGACCAACGACGCCCTAGGCTTCCTCGTCGACCTCTTCCCACAGATCATCGAACAGTATATCAACCCGGTCGCAGAAGATGCGACGATCACGGTCGACGACCCCGCAGAGATGCGCAAGATCATATCTAAGATCACGGGCAGCGAAACGGAGCCTAAGGCGCGCTACTGGTACCCGACGCTGTCGTTGACCCTGAACGTGAAGAAGCTGCTGCCGGAGGAAGGCGTCGATTGGCTGTTTGTGCGGGTCAAGGCCAAAAAGATTCACGAGGGCAGGTTTGATTTGGACGTCGAGGTATGGGACGAGGCCGGCGAGTTGGTGTGCAGTAGTTATCATGCGAGCTTGGCGTTGGATAGCTCCCGGAATATCACAAGGAATGGGAAGGGAGTGAAGCAGCAGGGCAAGTTATAGTCCCCGTCGGGAGGCCGAGAGGTTGCATCAGTCGAGGACACGTTCATGCCCCTGGCAAATAAGGGTGAAGGATTGACGAGCTGATACGTTCACGATATCTACAGTGGGAAAGAGTACCCTTCAGACAGTAGATATTGTCCATTGCAAGATTACACTATTCCTACATTCAACCAGTATGCACCTTGTCCTGTACCTTTTGTTCCCACTCCATGCTCGTGAGTTGATACAGGAGCCTATCGCAGACTTACAAAGCAGCGCCAACGACGGCAGCCACCCCCAAGAATTGTGCAATGCCCATGGCTACGAGGGTCGGTGCAGCAAAGCTGTCCGAGGACGTTGCAGACGCAGCGCTCTCAGAAGCCGAGGACGCTCCGGAGCTTGCCTCGGAGGAGCTCTCGCTGGCGGTGGACTCGGGCGAGGACTCGCTCGCCGTCTCTGAGGCGGTGCCGGAGCTCTCAGTGGCCGTCGTGGTCGTCGACGCCGTGCCGTTGGCGGCCGAAGTGCCGTTGGCAATGGTGTCGTTGCCGCAGAAAGTCGCAGCGAAGGCCAGAGTTGCTGTGGGAAAAGAGCCTTGGTCAGTACGTTGGACAGATGATTGGAACGGGGACGAGATTTCTCAATTGGTCTGTTGCGTACCTTGGACGTCCGCCTCGTTGCAGCCGCCGGGGGCGGTGATGCATTGTTGCACGCCTGACAGGAAGCCTTGGTTGCCGCAAATGCAGGCGTTGTCGGTGACAGCGCAGCCAGTCGAGGAAATACTGTTCAGTGCACAAGTGGTGGCGCAGGCGGGCAGATCGCTCAGACTCTGAGCGGCAACAAGGGCAAAGAGGGATAAGGCAGCGAGTGTGAAGGCCTTCATGTTGTCGTAGGTGCTCTCGTGTGCTTTGACAATACTGTATGGAATCGCGTGGTCGATAACAGGATATACGTATGAGGAACACACTGAGAGGTCTCGTAGTAGACCTGCAGCATGAGGCGCCTTATATGTCCGGAGCATCTGTTTGCTGACGCTGGAGCAATAGCTGCTCCTTGAAAGCGCCGCACGATGGGCCGGGGCACACCCTGTTTAGGACGCGTTTGCCGGACGCCATGAAGCAAGGGCACTCTTCTAGCAAGTGAGGAATCGACTCCTAGTTCATCTTGCAAAGCTAGAGAGCCATGTATGCTGCTCTGACTGGCTGGAGTGCAATAGTTCAGCAACCCCAGGTCTCGCGAAGGACGGTGGGGAAATAGGGGGTGGCCAGGCCCCAGGGTGCCAAGCCAGCGCCGAAGCTCTCTTGGCTGGTGCGTCTAGCCTCTTCAACACTCGGGGGTTCTGAATGACCTCGGAGATCACTCAGGTATGCGTGTTGGTACAGCACGTTCGCGAAGCATGTGCCCAATTGATCGTTGCGGCCTCCTCATTGCGCAGGAAGGACAGCACCTAGTTCGCTGGAAGCAATACGTGGAGCTAGCCATAGGCTTAAGGTAAGCATGCAGGGCTGCGGTCACAACGCTACATTCTTTCGGACTACGATGCAAGCCACCACTTCTTAGCCAAGTCAACAAGCAGGACCTGCAATCGGACCATTATTCCGCTTCGATACGAATTGAGATGCTTCGGTTCTTGAGCTTCAGACAAGCAGTCCTTCTCAGAGAGCCCGCTGTTACCGGGATCGGGATGCAGAGTTCCGAGCGCTTTTACTGGGGATGCTGACAGCACTTCCGAGCCTGCTATAGCCTGTCAACCGAGAATTGATCTTCAGCTAGGGGACTGACACCTGTCGCTACCGTTCAGCCCTATCACGCTCCACATCGTGTCCACGCGTTGTTCGCGTGCAACAATATTATGCAGTATGACGATTGGAGTCTTCACAATAAGTATTGTTTTCCCGCAAGCTGTCGGCCTGACCGCTCGTTGTCCTCCTGAGGCACCAGTAATAGCAGCCTACAGTTCTGAGATCGTGGCTCAGGCAGCGGTCAATGGTCCAAGCACCCCTCTGTTGTGGACTACCACCATTGGATAATATGCCTGGTACCTGTCAGCTCGACACAAGTCCTGCCCAATGGCAGGCTAGCGAAGGTAGGCTGTGACAATTTGCCTTTTGACGACCAAGACAAGGTGTAGTATTCGCAATACGTATAAAGGTCTGCGCAATTCACGAGGTATGTCTTACCATCGGCAAATCCAGCAGGAGATCATATCGTCAGCAGATTTATCCGTGCTACTTCCAAGCAGCATAACCATAGTGGCATCAAACCCAACTTACATCAAATGTCGTCGGCGTTTTTCGGCTATCGGGATGCTACATCTCGTAACACGACAGTCCGCATTGCCTCCAGCACAGCAAGGCCCACATGCATTGGGCAAAAGGCGGACGGTTCCAAAAGCGTGCTAGACGAGCCGCGTACAGAACACCGTCAAAGTGGTTCAAGGATTCCAGCTTCAGGTCTGTTAGAAGGGCAGAACAGCCATGGTCGAGCAAGAGATCTTGGGGGGAACAGGTGGTCATGAGGCAGGCTGTTGTGCTGCATGCGGTTTCGTAAGCTCCACAAGACGAACGGTATCATGCTACGCGAACCGAGCTGCCACCTCCATCAAAGAACTGGATACTCACGAAAATCCTCAACTGGTTTGGCGACGGCTATCGATGTCTGATTAGCAAGCAGCAGTGTTTGTTTCTGACAAGTCAGAAATTAGTCATGTTATATACCTTCACTATGCAGGAATTGATGTATAAGGGAGGTTGTGTACACTGAACCGCGGCTCGACGATACTTGTTGGCCCGACTGTGGAGATGTCAAGGATTACAATGCGGGGGCCCAGCTACCGACTATATCATTCCACTGTACACCAGGAGCTTCTTTGCTTTGCTATTGAAACTCGTCCGCCAACATGTCTTCACAGGCCGGCGTTCCGCACCTTCTCGAACATCCCGTCTCTTCATACGCACAGAAGGTGAAGATCGCCCTGCGCGAGAAGAACGTGGAATTCACAAGCGAGATTCCCTCAGACATCTCTTCCAGTGCCGATGGACCGTTGCACCATTCCAACCCTCGCGTCGAGGTGCCCGTGTTGATCCACAACGGCAACAAAATCTTTGATTCAACTATCATTCTCGAGTACATTGAAGATATGTGGTCTGAAAGACCGCTGCTTCCCAAGGACCCCGGCCAGCGTGCGAAAGCGAGGATGATCGAGGATGTCTGCGACACGCAGTACGAGGCTGTCAACTGGGTATGACTCCTTTGCCCCTCTTGGTCCTTTGAAGCTACCCATCGAGCCCCACACCACCGATCAGTGCTGCCTCATCATCCACGTCTCAGGGAACTCGGCTAACAGCAAGCAGGGCCTCGGCGAGATCCGCGCCTTCGCACGCGCAGAAGGCGCACTTAAAGATCAACTTGAAGGAACGGCCCAGCAACAAACGGCGACACTGCAGGACTGGCTCGAACAGCAACTTGAAGGTCCCTGGTTCAATGGCTCTTCGTTTGGTTGGGCGGACGCCAGCGTCGCGCCCATCGTGAATCGCAGTGTCGTCTACGGCTACGGTCCGTCAGAGGGGTCGAAGCTGAAAGCCTGGCATCAACGGTTAATGGAGCGCGAGAGCGTCAAGAAGACGTTTGAGGAGTTCGAGAAGGGTCTTGGGGGGATGCGCAACCCGGCGATCAAAGAGATGTATCTGAGCGGGCAGATGCAGCGGGAGTATAGAGACCACAGGCTCGAGTGGATGATCAAGAGCGGAGGAATGGAGATTATTCACAAGGGTTTGGAGAAGGGCAACATCCGATTCAGCTGGCCTTAGGCGGTGGGTGAGCGTAGACTGAGTGGCCGTCAGGCGCAGAGATGTCCCTAACACAGACACCGGTAGACTGATAGAACACGCATTGGACGCCTCGATGAGGCAACTGCCCCGGTACTGTCGGCGGGTGTCTTTCTCCGATTCCACGGATCTCGGCGACACTCATATAACGTTCGAGATCCATCTCCATTACTACCATCAGAGTGGTTGCCTCCATACTACGTACCCCTGACCGAAATAGATCATGGGCTCCCTCGTGGCCCACAACGCATCAGCCTCCTACGCCTCCTCAGGCTTCTCTTGTCGCATGGGCTGGGGCAAACGCCCTGCGCTTCTCCTCATTGACGTCTGCACCGCCTACTGGAGCGAGGGTTCGCCACTGAGCATACTGTCCAATCCTGATGGCGCACGGTCGCCAGAATCGATGCGCAAGCTGCTGGCCGCGGCGCGTGCTGGCAATGTCCCCGTGATCTGGACGGAGGTCAAGTACCAGAACAAGGACATGTCCGACGCGGGGTTGTTCTGGTGCAAGACCAAGGCGTTGGATGTGTGGAAGGAGGGCGACACGCGCGGGTTGGCGAACTGGCTCCCAGGGCTCGAGCCGGCGGAGAGTGACGTTCTGGTAACGAAGCGGTATCCGAGTGCTTTCTTTGGGACGGCGCTGGCGACGGATCTGCAGGTCTCTGCTGACTGTTCGTACATGTGTGGCACGACGAGCTAATTTACGACAGGTGCTCGGGGTTGACACGTTGGTTATCTGTGGCGTGAGTACTTCGGGGTGTATTAGGGCGACAGTGCTGGATGCTATGCAGCACGGTTTCAGGCCGATGGTTAGTCGTGATCTCCTGCTTCACCAGCCAGAAGACTAAGCAACCGCAGATTGTGGGGACGGCTTGTGGGGATCGAACGCCCCAGATTCATAATTCGAACCTTTTCGACATGGATGCGAAGAATGGCGACTGCGTATCCGAGGACGAGGCGGTCACGAAGCTTACGGCAGGTTGGTAAGTATTTGAGTGCTCTGACGCCGAGAGCGATGAAGATGAATGTCAACACGGCAATAGATGGGAATAGGTGCAATGTTGTTATAACCGGTGCCAAAATGGCTGAACAGCTTGTGTGATTTCGTTAGTCAATAGTAATGTACAACATTATGTGCGTTTCTTCATGCTCGCGTAACGCCGTCGTCGTATGTGCTTAGGATCGGCTTTCCCACCACTTTTCTCTTCCTTCACCCTCACTGCTTCCTCTCCTCCCATGATGCTGCGCCTCATTCGCTTGCCAAGCAAAGCCTCTCGTCTCTTCCGGTGTCACAGGACTGATCGCGCCCATCAGACTCTCCCTCTGAGTGCCCCTAACGATCCGTGGCGTCGATCTGGGGACAGTATGTTGTTGCCAATCCTCATCATTGGCTTCCCGTATGGGACTGACCATTGAGCTAATGCTTGAGTCTTGCTTGCTCTGTGTCGATGGTTCCGAAGAGGACGAATTGCTCCCTGGCTGATCTGGCATTACGGGACGAAGCCGGTCTGGCGTTGTGTCGTAGCTCAGAGAGCGGTACTGTCTGGGTGTGGGAGGCACTGCTGGCGCGGGTGCCAATAGATGAGTTGTGACATCGCCGTTGTTGGAGCTACTAGATGCTGTGCGGGTCCAGTTCGGGCGACTGGCAGGTAGGGGCCAGGCCTTACTTGAGGACTGTGTAGAGGAACGATCCATTGAATTGCGTTCAACGTCCGCACGCGCCTCCGCAACACAGTCATCATAATTGGTGGTAAGGTTATAGGTCTTAGCTTTCGAAGACTTGTGAGTGGTGTAGTTGTTTTCGGAGGAGTTCGATTGTGAGCCGGACGAGGAGTGGCCAGTAGTTGCCTTGTAGGCGTAATCAGTGGTGTTCCGATGTCGAGGGTGATCTTGGCTGTTGTATGGAGTAGCGAGCTCGAAGGGAGGATGAGGTCGGTCGACCGCTGCCATCTCTTGTGGTGGCAGCCTTTCGCGGGAATTATTGGTTAGGGTGGTTGTTGGGGGCGTAGAAGATTCAGATGATACTTGCTCTGATGCATTTGAATATGGCTTCACCATATCTGCGTTTAAAGAAGATCTGGAATCGTTGTCGCCTCCCTTTGAATGAATGACCGGGCAGGAGCTGCCGTGGATCCACTGCGATATCCGGCTTCTCTTGGTGCGACTACTTTCGGTTGATCCAGATCGTAACATGCCTCTGCGGCGAAGAAGGAAGATTACCAAGATGATGATGCCGATGATCAATAACGCTATTGACACTCCTACAGCAATCGCTGTTGTGTTGACCGATGAGCCCGAGCCCGAGTTAGTGTCGCCGGAACCGTCGGAGAGACTGCCATCTGACTTGTACGGATAGTAGTGCTGAACCTCTTGGGTGTATCTGGTCGAAAATAACTTCTCAAGTTCTGGACTTGACCAAGCAATCTGACGTTTGACAGCTCGACGATTAGCTGTCGAGATCTTTTCTGGAGCTTTATACTGCTCCCAATCATCAGGGTGGTAAACATCTTCAAACTCGAGCTTGTTCAGGTTGAAAACTTGAATGAAACCGCCGTTGAGGCACTGTGCTTGATTTTGGTGAACACCGCCGATCACAAACATCTTGTCAGGATAGGGCGACACACACTGATGTCCACTACGACCATGATCACCATTGCCCTGGTAAACTTTGGTCCAAGTGAAGGCAGGCAAGCTGAGAACCCAGACATCGTCAGACGGAACATTCGTGGCATCTATGCCGTTGTAGCCGCCATAGATGTAGACGTTGAATGATGAACTGTCCTCGTCAACAGCGACAACGGAGCAGAACTGCGTAAGCTGAGGCGGCGAGTCGGTGCCTGTTGTGTTCTGGACGAACCACTGTTCTGATGCAATATCGTATAGTGGAAGAGAGGTCATGAAAGAAGGGCTGATTTCTTCTGATTCTGACCTCTGGGTACTGTTGAGGCCGGCAGGATAGATCTCCTCTGGTTCTGTAACACCCCCTACCGCGACCAGAACACCGCGCTCGGAGACAGGTAACCACACCAGCTCGGCATTCGCTCGGGGACGAACTTCATCTGGCAGGGTGAGATTCGTCCACTCCTCGTCGCGCATGGTAGACATGTCGACCTGGATCATGGTATTCGCCGTAACGTTTGCCGAAGAGTCCTCGTAATGTATCTCACCCCAGTCAGGGGCGCGCATACCGCTAAAGTAGAATCCCAGATTTTCGCTAGGCGCCGATACGCCGGCGCCATTCGTAACGTATCGAGTGACGTTGTCACCAGAAGATCCTTGGTAGAAGCCAGGTGTCCAGCTTGATCGATCAGGACCGTATTGATATGCTTCATAGCCCAGCACAGTGTTGTCTGTTTGCCCGGATGAAGAATCGGTCAAACGAGGAAGACCGCCATAGAGATACAATTCCCCATCGTTGGTGAACATGGTCCCATCGACATAGTTGGGAGCGATATTATTGCCAGCGCCGCCTGCTTTGGGCATAGCTTCGAGAAGAGCGGAAAGATTAGTACTGCTTGTGTCAAAAGGCCGAGACAAATTCAAGCGATACATATCTCCGCCTTCGCCTCCATCGCTCGCAACGACAGGCGTTGAGCCATCAGCAAATGCTGTCTGCCACCATAGCAGACCGCCATCAAGGTAAATAGCATCGCGAATGATTCCAGTGCGGAGACGGGCCCAATTGCATATCGTATAGTTCTGCTGGATGTCAGGAACAGCGGTGCTGATGCTGAAAAGCGCTAAAGTGCACAACAGGGAAATCTGATATGATCCCATCATGTTCAACATGACATTATATCATTTAAAGGTTCTTTGTTCCGGCAGTGGTATCAAAGCCATGGGAAATTGGATTGAATGCCGCCCAGCAGTAAGATCAGTGAAGTGTGCAAAACCAGCAGAATCAGAAGATACCAGCATGTCTCATGAACCAACGTGTCAATGAGCTCGCAACTCGAGCGAACTCATTTTGCCACTGGGTATGCGTTCATCCTGCGACTGAAGGCGCCGGAATGTACTCCCCGCTGATGCAATAGGGTACAAGCGGCACACAGCCAGCGTGCGACGTCAGTCTCTACAGTAGGTCAGGGTCCAGGGAGGGTTCAGATCTAGGCTCGCCTTACTCCGAGAGGTCTTGTTTCTAGGGCACAGAAACCAGGCCCAGGAAAGCTCGGACAGCTTCTAGACTGGGAAAGGAAATACACTTCCTACTGTGGCGGTGTCGCATTCGACGACTAAGGGTGCGCGACCAAGAGTCATGAGCGACAAGCTGCATATGCGCTACCAGTGAGATCGAGAGAAGTGCTTTCCTGGTCGTGAAAACCGGCAGTTGTTCGTCGGCTTAGCGAGCGTTCAAGACATGGACTAGAGCACCTGCGAATCAATGGATGTGTGTTGGCACGAAGTCGATCGTGACCAAAACTTGTTTTCGGGTCGTTGAATGTCGTCGTGAGAAGCTTCCGGCCCCACCGCTCTCCAACCCCCTCTCCCCACTCTGGCCGCCTTCAACATCATTACTTGCCGTCCCATCCACAAACCTGGTCCAAGCCCCGGCCAGCTTCATCGGCCAGCGTTGTGGCCTGCATGTGGCTGCATTGTGCCTGAGCACTGATTGGCACAGTTCCTGCCTAATGTGTTCTCGTTCCAAGACCAGGTTATCGACAAGCGGCAGGTTCGCCCACTTCGGAGGGCCGGACGTCCTTGTACATGCTGCATTCGTCCCGTGGTTGCCATCAGTGGTACGAGTACTACTGGAGCAATGACGAGCGATCATGAGCTAGGGAAGCCACGTTCCATGCGACCCATATCTGCAGCTCTGGTAAGTACATCCAAAGCTTCCCCTTCCATAACACTTTTGTCCAGCTCACCGATACGCATCTTGGTGTTTTGGATCCTGTCTTTCGCTCTTGCAATGCGCTGAGGCCCATAATCAGCATCGTCCTTCGTTTGAACTACCCTCGCTTGGTGTGAGTATACAAGTACATATTACACCACTGTTACCATGGCCATCCTCAAACAATTCGGCTGCTGGACCGCTTTGACAGCAGCACTGGCAGCGGCCTCTGGGACAGAAACATGGGTTCCTTACCCCGTCCCTGTTGAGACGAGCATCCTCACCAAGACGCAATATTCTACTTGTCCGCCACCGGTAACTGTGAACAACACACAGTATCTGACCGCAACCACAACCATCTATGAGACAATGTTCTTCACGGACATTCTCACCACCACTCAGCCTACGACAGAGACTGAAATTACTACCGACGTCCAGCTCTTCACTGAGACTGAGACAACCCCAACGACCGAAATTTCTATTCAGCCCACAACAGCAACAGAGGTTCAGCTCTTGACAGCGACAGTAACTACGCCTACCACAGTCACAGAGACCACACCAGTCACTGAGCTAGTCACCCTCACCGCTACCCAAGAACTCGAGCTGTACACAACTACGACGCGACTCACAAGCCTCAGAATTTGTCCCACGCGTGTATCTAACCCGACGTTCACCGTCGATGTGCCCATGCCCACCCAGTGGACGTAAGTCTCATCTAAGCCACAACATGCTGCAAGTACTGACTTTTCTAGTTGGGGCTGTCCTCCTGGTTGGATCTGCAAACCGCAGCAGGAGAACTGTGACTTCGAAGCCGGCCTCCCCGATCGTAACTTCTACTGCTCTCCGAATGAATGCGTGCCGGCATCCGTACTTCCTGAACCTCTACCGAATTGGGGCAGTGATATCTACAGCAATTCGACACCATTGACGGATCCGAGCCTAGGCGTTGTTGCCCTTGCTGACACCTTCAACATGAATCCAACAGATTTTGGTCTAACATATGATATTTTCGTAGTTGACAAGGAGGTTGTCATCACATCAACATTCATTGTCCCCCCGGCCGCCACCCAGGCCGCTCTTCCGGCCTCGAATAATACCTATACCCGCTTCAAAGGCCGCCAAGCACAGACCACGATCCCTGCGCCGTGCTACACATGGTGCAATAACGGACTGCTAGAAGTGCAATCGTCCGGCAAGACACCTCGCATCTGTCAACCAAACTCAGCCTTTCTGATCAGTCTGAACTCATGTAGAGCATGCGTTGACGCTCACTGGGTTGACGCTCCCACCCCTGACACGTTGCTCAGGGTTGCACCTCAGTTCCAGCAGTTCCTCGACTATTGCGAAGGATTCGTAACGACCACAACGACTGGAACTATGACCGCCACCGAGGTCTCTGGCTCAGAGACACTCACATCTGTCGTCGAGACATCATCGGTTACAGCCATTCCGACAAGCGTCGTCACCTCAGAACCTTCGTCATCTGTCATAACATCGGCCGTGGTGACCGAAGTCACTAGCACTTCAGTTTCTGGTATCGCGCCAACTCCTGCATCGACGTACACAGGTTCAGAAGTGACCGACCTCACAGTGGTAGTCCCTACCAATGGTTCATTTGCAACGCTCTCTGGCTCTGATCTGATTGGTGCAACTCTTATAGTGCCTGCTAAGGGCGCGTCACAGACAGAAGTTATCACTTCTGGCTCTAGCACCTACACCACCGAAATCACAGTGGCTCCATCGGCTTCGCAGACTCTTGGTGATCAGACCAGCGCTCTGGAGCCGCCTGAATCAGGCAGTGCGACAAGCTCCGGTCCCGCAGTCGAGACCGGCGACAGTATGGCTGTTGCCATCGAAGTGCCGGTTGGACTTCTATTAGGTGTTGCTGTGATCGCGGGCGTACTATTGTGAAGATAAACAGGAACTGTAATGGTTACTGCAGTTGTATGGGGCTTTAGGATTCACAGTACACGACTTTATGACCTTCTACATGGCTACGAGATACGAGATGGCACAATAGCCTAGCCTGTCTAATACCCGTTTACAGATAGAGGATACTTCGAATGATCGAATCACTGAAAGTGTGCATGGTTCAGTCATCGTCTGAACGGTGATGAATGTGAAGTCTATCTACTGCGCAGAAAGATTTGCATGTGTCATGATTAAAATGTTGCCTTCGGATATCAGGCATCCGACCGATAGATGTGGGGGACCACTTGAGGTTGCTGCTGCGCCAGAACTCGCTCATGAACCTTTGTCGATTTGGTAAGATCCGCTCTTGAGGTCGATAAGTCATTCCGCTTGGTTAGGCGCTGAGTGGCGTTGATGGCGAAGATCGATGAGCGAATTGCTTGCGACCCGTTACCGTCTTCCAAAGCAAATCGCTTCGTGAGGCGACTTCAATTCAAGGGCCGCCGACGCTCGGCGCCGATCCTTCTAGCACCTCCAACACTCCACCAACGAGATGCAAGCTCCCTGTCACGAGTACGACCTTTCTGGTCGCCTCGTCAGCGTCATCCCTTCTCACCACCTCGAGCGATTCTTCGATAGTGCGCCGCACCTCAACGCGCGCCTCCGGGTCAACACCACGCCATGTTTCGGCGAGCTCGTTCTGTACACTTAGCGTTGCGACGTCGGTCGTATTGGCGCCCACAGCCATGAGATCGGGAGTGGTGCCAGCGGTGAGGTACGTGGTGTTGGTGCAGAAGATGACGGTGTCGAAGGCAGAGGTGTGTGTTGTGGGGAGAAGGGGCGAGAGGGTGCTGTGCAGAGCCAGGGCGAGGGAGGAAGCGCTGCGCTCGCGGGTTTGTTGGTTGAAGATTAGGTAGGTCTTGAACTTGGTGGAAGGAGAGGAGGTGGCGAATGTGCGGAGTTGGGAAGCGAACCATTTGCCGGCGAGGGTGATGGAATCTAGCGTGTGACCGCCGTCGATGCACCAGGTTATAGGGCCTTCGTGGCGGGTGTCGCAGCGGCCGGGCCAGGAAGTGGAGGCTAGGCCTGCGGCGATGAGAGACTGTGCGGACAAGGTGGCGGCGTCAATAGAGCTTTTGGAGAGGAACTCGGTTGTGACTGCTACGGCGAGGGAGGCGTTGGAGTGTTGAAAATCGGCTTCTAGACCAAGTCGCCAAGTGCGATTCGCTATGGAAGGATGGGTATCGACGTATGTGAGCATTGTAGGCACTTTGGAGGCAACATCGTCTAGTACAGCTTTGGCAGAGGGATCTTGTGAGGAAGGCGTGAAGCATTTTGCCGATGACTTCATGATACCGGCTTTATGCCAGGCGATCTCGGGCAGGGTTGAGCCTAAGACGCCTACATGGTCGATGCCCAGGCTCGTGATGCTAGTAACAGTGGGGGCGAGGAGGACGTTGGTGCTGTCATAGGCGCCGCCGATACCACATTCAATCACGGCCACGTCAACGCCTTCGGCTTTGAATGTATGAAAGGCCATGAGCGTGAGGAAGCGGAAATAAACGGGTTTGCTGGTAGGCGCCTTCGGGTCCTGGCCTGCAGAGACAGCAGACTGCTCTAGCCTGTCCCAGGTCTCGAAAAAGTAGCGCGCAAACTGCTCTTCGGTCAGCGGAGAGCCATTGACCTGAATGCGCTCGCGCACGAAGCGCAGATGAGGTGATGTATAGAGGCCGATCTTGGTTGGGACAGCAAACTCCGTCGAACGGCGGAATTGGTCGAGTATGCAAGAGACGAATGCAGCTGTAGAGCCTTTGCCTTTCGTTCCGGCAATATGTATCGCATTGAGCGAGTTCAGATCCGACGTCTTCAGGCGTGAGAGTCAGCAGCTGTTCATCATGTCTGCAAAGTTTCTCACTCTGCGCGTACTTGATAACCGATCTTTGCGCACCACTCCACCATCTCAGGTATGGCGTGCTCATTCATCTTCTTTCCCGATTTTCGAATAGCATCGATGACCGCGAAATTACTCTGGAGCGTGTTAAGAGCCGCAACGGCATCCTGCATCGCTATTAGTAGTGTGCTTGGTGTCAGGCAGTGAATGGGCTTACCCCGTAAGTGCGCGCCATGCTTGCGCGAGACGTTGAGAGGCCGCGGCTTGATGGAAGGAAGATCAGCCTGGGACTGATCCATCGCCGAAGCATTAACGAACGCTTCGATAGCGCACCCCAGCTCCCTGCGACATGATTGAAGTTGAGTTGTTTCTCCGGCCCGCAGCGAGCAACGAGTGGAGTAGAGCGCCAAGGCCGGAACCACTGTCCAAAGAGAGGCTCGCGACGCGATTCTGCTTTCACTTCGTCTCTGCTCTTCTTCATCACTTTGCCTTCTGGTACACTAGCACCAGTCGAACACGGAAATTTTAGCTTTACTGTATTGTTATTTGAACATCGCGTTAAGAGGACCAGCAGCTACGGCTGCCAGGGGACATTCCTTGGCTAAGTATCTGACACGACTCCTCATACTTGTAGTATCCCTATCTGCGCCCGTCGACGTCTAGATGGCTCTCGGATCGTGCCAGTTCCGGAGATAAGGCTCCCAGAGCAGCAGCTGCGTCAACACGCTTCTGCTCACGCTGGCCTTTGCCAGACTTTTGCCGCTTGTCTATACCGTTGCCTCTGTTACCGGTATTATCGGTGTCCCGCAACGTCTTCGCTAAGCTGATATTGTTTCTGCGTTTGCCCTTGCCGATAACGACCCCTCGGAGTCATCAGTGAGGTCACTGTGCTCATCAGTCGCGAATCGGGCTCAGTTATCAGATGCTGCATCGTCCAACAACTATTGTCGAAATATCGCGTGCTTCGCCAATGTTGTGGGAGATCGCAAAAGCTGGGCTTCGTTTTCATGCTAGTCGCGGCTGCTGTCCTGTAATGAACCGCCGTCATCGTCATCACTAGCTTTTCAACATGGCGGCCAAGTGTGGCTCACGAACAAAGTCGTCCAACTCCAGTATGAAGACGTTGGCCTTAAACTATGTGACATTGTCCTGAATACTCACAGACGCGGCATTGTCTGCAACGATGCTTACCGCACCAAAAATGGATCAAAGCATCCATAAAAGAATGCTTACTTGGAGTAAAGTGCATCCCTCCGTGAAAACTGTTGTCCCTGTGTCATTTAAATGTGCTCTGACCTCGATTTCCTGAAACGACCCTGCCTCCGCTCGCGCTTAGTTTAGCCTGCGTCCGAGATAGATCCACCATCAATCCTCAGGCTTGGCAAACTCGGGCACCAGTTTCGACACCCCACCCTTGACCTCGGTAATATTACCGTCTGGAAGTGGTAAGTAACAGTACCAATTTAGTGACCTTTCATGTCGATTTGCAGGGGCTGTTTTGCCAGGATTTAACAGTTTTGTAGCCGGTGGCATCAGTCCCACGTGATTGGACGTTCTAGCCTCGCCCCACTTAATATGGGTCTTTTAGTCGTGAGCTCCAGGACCTTTTGCAACGCAGACACAAGCCTCGTTGCTAGTATACTGCGCTATGGCCAGCTGCGTCCCAGTCCAGCCTCATCAAGTTCTTTCTGCCATGCTGCCTCTAATTATGGTCAAAACATCTACCGGGTCAGTATTGTAGAGGCGAGCCCCTTCAATAAGCCCGCCACCTGAAATCCCTCTTAACGATGTAACTGCGAACGCGACCTGCCTGCCGTTATTATTAATGGTAGCTACACCTTGCTGATAATCTACAATTGACAACTCAATCGTGCGCTTGCTTGAGGCCAACCCTGATGGGGCTTTAAAGGACCACGATCTGATACTGTGGCGCCTGTTCCCTTTTCTCAAAGTGATATGGCGCCGTTGAAGATACGTCAATGTCGAGTTCCGGCCACGTATCCACCTTTACCATCTGCTTCGTCAGGCCTGGGATATCATTATTCACAGCGGCGCGCCAGAATGTCGCTCGGTGATTCCATTTCAGAGTGAACATACCAATACGGCAGAACTGGTTGGTAGTCGTATCTCGACGTTCCAAAACCAGGCCCCGAGTGACGCGAACGTTGGTCTTCTCTACGAGGCCCTGGGCCTCATATTGGGTCACCTCATAAGTTGGCATCAATAAGCACGTGCGGTGCTCTCGATAGTGCTCCCAGAAGTCGAATTCTACGCTGACGAAGAAGGTGTCGGCTTGCTGCTTGCTGATGGTTTCGACAATCAAGCTTGCATGGTAGTTCCCGTTGTGGATGCCGTAACTTGTGCTACCGCCACCGCCACTAGCGAATGCTAATGGCCATAGATCGTCCAGAGGACGGTCCTCCTCGAAAGGCAGATACTCAGAACTATAGACGGGGGAACCATTTTCAGGCCATGCCCTCATGTCGTGTCTCCCCTCGGGCCAAGTCTTGATCTCAGCAAAGTCAGGGAATCGGATTTGCACCAGGAAACAGCTGATCTCCAGTGGCAGCTCGCGGAACCGATCCATGGGTGTCCAGTTGGCAGCTAAGGCATCCTTGTTCGTGATCTGGCAGAGGACGATCTCACAGAGGTCTACACCTTGTATTGCGCGGTAGGATTCTTCTGAATCCACAGACTGCCACTGAGACAGCATATCTATTTCACCGAGGAACGAAGCCCATGACCAGGACGGCGCTATCTTGGTTACAGGGATGCGTCGGTGCGTACCTTTGGCCTGCCGATCAGGATCGTTGCCAAGCCTCCAGGCCAGTTGACTCTCCATGTTGCGAGTGAACAGTCCGGCGACATACAAACAGGAATAAGTTTGAGCCAACCACTGCGCGATGCCCTCAAGCGCAATAAGTCGGTCAGTCTGCTTCGTCAGTCCTGCAGATGTGTACGCTTTGATGATCGGTCTCCAGCTGTCGTGAAGCTCCTGCCCAAGCGGTCTGTCGGTGACATGCCTACAGCGCAGTTTGTCAATGGACGCGCGGACGCGCTTTTGAGCAGGAACTAGTCCCTCGAGACCGGTCGGGCCTGGAAATCGCTCGCACGCGGTCAATGAATCGCACTCCCAAACCAGCTGATCTTTGTCAAAGTGAAGGACGCGCGGGCTCAAGATCCGTTCCTGCACTGCCCAGGCACGGCGATTCAGCGGCGACTCTTCCAGACGTTCCCACACGAGGTCGATGTCAGTTAGGAAGAAGACACCTTCTGAGTTTGCCCAGGTTTCCTCGACCGTTTTCAATGTCTCAGCTAGGTCACCATCTGTCTGTTCTGACGCAGGCATCATGTCAATTATGGACAATCTGAAAGGCTGCACAACCTTGGCATGCCTCTCACGGAAAAGACCCTCGTGGCTGTTCTTGGCATCTGTTGCTGCAAGGGTCAAGTAAGCATTGCCGTAGACACTCTGCATTGTGATACACTCTGTGGCCCAGTCTTCAGGGTCTTCCTGCATAATGCAATAGCAATCAATCCAAATGTATTCCAAGTGAAACTCTTGACACACTCTGATGGCCTCTTGAAAGGTCTTCGCGAGCTCAGCGATTGATACGCCCTCTTGAAGCACCTTTGAGTTGTCCTTTCTCAGACAAACCGCTCTCGTTTCGCCCCAGCAGTGACTCAATGCTGCGTATTTAGCCCTGTCAGGGACGCTTCCACGGCTACGCAGCCTGACGGCCTTGTTTTCTGTGTCGATGAATAGTAGTCGGGATGGACAGTAAGCCGGATCAGGTGAGCGACATTCTGGATGAGTCTCTTCGCACTGCCTGAGCCATTCTTTTGATTGGGCGAGGCTGCAGGGCGAGCCAGTCCATGCCTCGTGTCCATGTTTGGCTAACTTGTCGACGAACTCTTGTCTACCTTCTCGCAAAATGAAACGTAGCCGCGTTCGGGCAGTCCCGTCTCCAAGTAGACGGAGGAGTGCTAGCATGTTTCGATGGAGCATGACAAAAATTCTGTTATTGTCTCCGAGTTCGATTTCGTCCTTGAACGGCTTATTGAGGGCTACATTGGCGAGGAAAATGGCGCAGCAGTGACAACCCGCATCGGCAGACTCCCTCATTTTGCCCATGTCGCGCTCAAGACCGTGAGCAAGAATTGATAACTCCTCTCGCTCGCCAGTCCAAAAGTGGTAGCAGTAATCGCAGATTGAGTCGACGTCCATAGTATGGGGGACTGGTCTTTCTCTGATCGCTTTCGATACGTTTGCTGATTTAGAAATCGTACCTGGGCGGTTTTCGGCGCACTGTCCATCGCCGATATAATCCGACATGTTGGGTGCGCAGTCTGGTTGAATGCAACAGTGATAGATTCGCAGAATGCCGTGAGAGCACTATATAGCAGAAGCCTACTGACAACGGTCGATGTGAGTCGTTCGTGTACCCGGTCGCTGCTAGAAGCTCGAACGTCATAGATGTGTGCCAGTTCTGCACAGGATTTCGCCAAACTGCAGATCTTGGTCGTTGTTCGACGTCATATCGGGGAATCTTGTGAAGACGTTCCAACCATACCGCCACGGTCCATGGCGCAGTACCTTAGTACGATGGTAGCCGACACTAGCTCTCTGAACTCCAGAAACTGTAGAGGAAGCTGCTCTCGTATCCACCGGGCAAGTTGGGAGTCGGCCCCAGCCGGTATCAAGCCGGGTAGCCAATTGAGATGGCTCGGAGCAGGCTGTTATGCGGCTGTGGCGTCGTTCACCTTCGCTCAGCACTTTGGCGTTCTTACAGTATCATACACGGTACGATACCTTTTCGGCCCCTTCAGCCTCGTTCCTCGTCTCAAAACTGACGAGCCAGTCAGATATCGCTCAACAGCGGGGTCAATTCTCGCGACTCAACATGCTTATCGGACTCTTTGATGAGCTAGTTGGAGGCTGTATCCCAATCACTTACATCTTGGTATATGGCTACCTAGCATCAACAGAGTTGTCATGTAGGTTACAGTAGGCTAGAGCGCCATAAGATAGACCAATCTCAGATGCCGTGGAGCGAGGCCTCTGTACCCGGCATCTGCTCATGTGAGTTCAATTTGGCATACTGACCAGCCTACTTGATTTGAGAGAGAGAAGGACGGTAAAAGGTGAGCTCCAGGATGGCAAGCTTGTATAAGGCCCCATTTCTGGGACCTCTAGGACACCAGTTAACCGTGGCTATCTAGAGCCTTATGGAAAGTGTTCAATTTGCGGTTCTTCATCTCAAGGCATCCTAGATTGTTAGTAAGTTAGTACCTATATCTAGGCCATGACCGTAGCTTCAGAAATGGAACTTTATGATACAGGTGACCTTCGTCAATCTCTGAAAGCTGCTTTAAAACTCGGCTGCCATTTTGGCCTTCTCGGCTCCACTCTTATCTCTAACAGGTAACCTGGGCGTAGGGGCTGACTGAGCTGAATGGTTCATTGAACTCAGGAGGAGTGACCTGTGCGTTTGTGAAGTGGCTCCACTACAGCTGTATTCGTCAGCCATCGCTTTTGCGTCAAGAGATAAGGCAGCTAAATGGGTCCTTCAGTTATAGCAGCTAGAAGGCCATACTAGCTCTATTACGACTGTAGCCTTCTCACAGGACAGGTCATGGCTGGAATATACATCCCACGATCAGACTGTGCAGGTGTGGGATGCCAGTACAGGAGCTGAGGTACAGAAGCTAGAGGGACATAGTAGTTTTGTCAGTGTGGTGGCCTTCTCGCCTGACGCTTCACTGCTAGCGTCCACATCCCATGACCAGACCGTGTGGGTCTGAAATCCCAGAGAGGGGATTGTGGTACAGACATTTGAAGGACACTAAAAGGTGGTCACGGGCGTGGCATTCTCACCCGACGGCTGCCAGATTGTGTCGAGTTCGCTGGACCAAAAACTTAAGGTGTGGGATGCAATTCTACGTCTCACCGACAGGGCCAGCGTCTCTGATTTATCAGGCGTGTCTTCTGCACCATCAACAGGGTCTCTACCATCCTTGACTAGCGACTCGTCTATTCCATTGTTTTCGGCTAGTAACATCGCACAGCGTGCCGGTCAGGAATTCGCAGGCTTGCTTTCCAAAGATCCCGTTCTCCGACCATTATATGAAGAAGGTCTTAAAAAGCTCGGACTAGTGCGATTTAGCGCCAACCACGACAACTTGCCTAAAAAATATTTCAAAGACATCAGGTGCGAGCACCCGAACTCCGTCCAATGGGATTACATTCGTGTTCTTCGCAACAGAGAACAGCGCAATAACATCACTTCGCTGGTCATCAACGCTATTGGACTGTATGACGGCGCGGTCCTGCCACAATGATATCGGTACGAGAGGCTCAAGGAGATGCCTATAATATCAGGCAGTGAAAGTCTTGGCGCATGGGACTCCCTTCTCGTAACCAGCTCTGGCCACGCATGGACAAGATACGAGGAATGCTTGTCTTGCGGTAATCCACATCTGCCAGATCCTGAGGTGGTTCTAGCCTCTGTCTAGGCTTCTTATTGGAGCGACAGTTTGCTGCAGTTGCCGCTCAGGCAAGACGGTAAGCATCGTTCCTGCAGGTAGGCCGTGGTCCTGGTCAGTACAAATAGACCACAATCAACATCGGCGCCTGGAACGCGGTAAGCTTCGATCAATTCGAGAGCTGCGGTGGGGTTTCACTGCACCTGTTGGAATTTTTCCGGCGTTTTTGCCTGTGCCGGGCCACGGCCAAATTCAGGCTAAAATTGAACTTTCGAAAGAGCGACGCTCCGCGCTGTTTCTGACCCCCGCGCGTGTGTGGTAGATGGACACATTGAGCTTCGGAGAAGTGATCCCTCCAGCCCCGTGGCCTTTTCTGACAGATACAACACAAAAGACTTTGCGAACATGTGACGTTTCATTTGCTGCAGGGTACTGCCGTCGACTTAGCCATGGAGGAAGTGTGGTGTAGCCGACCCAGGTAGGTTCCACTCATCAACTGCCTGATACCCCGGCATCTTCTGGGTTGCTCGTGTCCCACTCACGGGATAAAAGATGCCACGGTGCTCCAATTCTGCCTGTTCACCTTAGAGCTCGGGGCTTATAAGACAAGTGCTGCCCTCTGCAGCGTTTCCTGTCTCGTATGTACCGTCTATTCCAGCTTACTCGTCAGCTGCCCGCCCGCTTCGCAACCACTCGTTCCACGTTCGCGCGTCTTCCTACGGCCAGAAACTCTTCCTCGGTCGCCGTCATGTCTGTGCCTACGGTCAAGCTCAACAGCGGGCATACCATGCCCTTAGTCGGCTTTGGCCTGTGGAAAGTCAACAATGACACTTGTGCCGACCAAGTTTATAACGCCATCAAGACCGGTTATCGTCTTTTCGACGGTGCGTGCGATTATGGAAATGAAAAGGAGTGTGGACAAGGCGTCTCGCGTGCCATCAAAGAAGGCTTGGTCAAGCGTGAGGAGCTCTTCATTGTCTCTAAGCTGTGGAACTCCTTCCACGATAGCGACAAGGTTGCGCCCACCTGCAAGAAACAACTCTCGGACTGGCAGGTGGATTACTTTGACTTGTTCCTCATCCACTTCCCCGTCTCGTTGAAGTACGTTGACCCTTCGGTGCGGTATCCGCCAGGATGGGAAGACGAGAGCGGCAAGACCATCACCTTCGGAAATACTTCCATTCAAGAGACCTGGCAAGCGATGGAGAAGCTCGAGGAAAGTGGCCTCGCGAAGTCGATTGGCATCTCCAACTTCTCAGCCCAGCTGGTCTTTGATCTCTTGCGCTATGCTCGCATCAAGCCTGCCACACTCCAGATCGAACACCACCCCTACCTCCAGCAGTCCGGTCTCGTCAAGCTCGCCAAGGAGGCAGACATTACCGTGACGGCCTATTCATCCTTTGGCCCCACCGGCTTCATCGAGCTCGACATGAAAGAGGCTGAAGGCGCACCGTCTCTTCTCGGATCTGACGACGTCAAAAAGATTGCTCAGAAGCACGGTAAGACCGAGGCGCAGGTGTTGTTGCGCTGGGCTACCCAGAGAGGCCTTGCTGTGATCCCCAAGTCCAACAACCCTGAGCGCCTGGCACAGAATCTGGACTGCAGCTCTTTCGACCTGGACCAGAGCGACCTGGACTATTTCGCAGGTCTGGATAAGGGTCTCCGATTCAACGACCCGCGGAACTACGGCATGAACATTCCCATCTTCGCCTAGGCGGTGGTTGGAGTCAGGAGAAGGATATGCGGTTGCTCCCCTTCGATACAGGTCTGGCAAAAGATAGGCCCGATGATGGACCGTTCAGTAACGAGAAGTATTCGGCAAAGGCATTGCATTGGGTGGCGGCTGGGGCGCACTAAGTGTTCAGGCAAGTAGAACTAGATGGCTTGGGTTCGAGGTGGACTTTTGAGATGGACGGCTGCACAAGAACCGAGGTCTTCTGGTCAGCGCAAAGCAGTGAAGTGTTTCTCAAGGCGGAGGATCCAGGCGGGCATGCTTCGAATGAGATACAAAACGCAGCAACTCGCCAATTTCTATACTGCTCGCGCGTGTCTGTTGTTCCCAGTGGCACATGAAGTAAAGAACCATAGAGCCAGCAAGTGAGAATGGGCGGCCACGGCACACCAGCGGTGCAGCGTATATCGATATTGCTTGCTGCTCCTTGCATATGCAGGCTCATCTTATAGCAATTTGTCTCTCCTACGTCCGAACCTACACTGTAAATGATGGCGTAAGGTGCGCGACTGAGCCTGTGGGCGAGCTGATTTCTTTGGTTTCAGAAACATAATTTGGCTTGGCGGCTAGGCGCGGTTGCAGGCGAGGCAGGGCGCTGGTGCAGGCGCAGCGCCGCAGAGCAGCCAGCAACTCCTCTTCCCTCTCACTGCCCACCACCACCCAAGACACGAGACCACCTCGTTAATGCCGACTCTCGTTCCCACTAATATGATTTGACAAATTGTGCCCTCTTTGCCTTATCGTCTGCCTGTACTTTCGCTTCATTCTGCCATCTCTCGACCAGAAACAACTTCAACACCGGTGTCGAGCAACCTGACACAGCCACTCGCTGCCTCATCGCACATGTGTCAATCTTGGTTGTTTGCGTTCTCTAGCCGTTGATGCGGTGTTCGCTTCCTGTCTCTTGACAACTACCTGTATTCGTATCTTCTTTCGACGTCCTCTACCTTGTCCATCGGGACTGCCCCGACCTGAACCGCTTCTCACACATCTGTCACAGCCAGATCCGGCGTATTCTCTCATCTTCCTGGATGTGTCAATAGCTGCCACCTTTACTCAGCCCGAAGGTGGTATCTTTCGTCCTATCGACAAGCAGCCATGCAGGTACAAGAGATGGTGATCGAGGATGATAGTACGGCTTTGGCCAACGCGCAATACACACCTGTGACGAAATTGACACGCAACGATGTCCATTTCCCTCTGACCACTCCGCGCAGGAGAGCACCGTCCACGGCTCTGATTGCAGATACGATGGAGGCAGACGGAAAATCCATGGGTCGCTTGACCATCAGAGCTGGCGGCCAGCCGTTCACTGAGTCCGGAGACACTCCAAGGAACGGCTTCTCGCAACCAGATCGCGTCGAAGAAACGTCGACATATAATCAAACGTTGTCCGATCTGCCACTCGAGGTGCAGGGCAAGGTGATCGATTTTATCTTCGGCGATATGCACTCCGTATCCCCAAACAGTCATTCGCTTCGTGGCAAGAACGTTTCTTCTCTAATGCGCCACCCTCGCCGCAAAGCAGTATCCGACTTTGCACTAGTTTCTGCCGCCTGGAGAGATCTCGTCCAAGAACGGATCTACCGCCATATCAAAATCAAAGGTACCCGGGCTGGTCTGCAGGAATGCGAGGATTTCTTCGCGTCCAACATGCACCTCTCGGCCCACGTTCGACATATCGAGGTATGGGTACCGGTATGGGGTGATAAGGGCAGTCTTGTCAACGATGAACCTCTAGCCGTGCTACGAAATGGCGGTCCCCGGCATCTCAACTACCCGCTCGCACATCAGCCTGACGACATGTCTCCCGCTGCAGACCCACTTGGATTCACCTTCAAGATGGCTGCACAGACTGCAACTCTTTCTGAAATCTTCAGCCACATATCTGTCTTCTTTGACAAAGCCAAAGTGTTCACTTTAGAGGGCGGACACTGCAAAAAGTCAAACATGATCCGACACTTCCCCAAGGTTCTATTTACTGACCCCAAAACCCAATCGCTCACACGTCTCCCTCAAATACGCACATTTGCCATGCGTGGCTCCTGGAACATCATGCGATCTCATGCCGACTGGTTGACTATCGAACGCGCGCTTCCAAATGTTGAAGAATGGCACTGCGGTTACGCCAAGCCTCGCATAGAAGCCGAACTCACCATCAATGATATCCTATCCACATCACCGTCTCGCTGGCGTTCAGTCAATGTTTGCCTGGACGGAATGTATAGCAAGGACACCACTACTTTAGGATCCAGCTCTGGACTTGTCGGCGCCAAGCAGATGCATCTCTGCGAGCGCCTCGGCGATCTCTTGCCTCAACTCGAATCCCTCAGCTACACAGGCAAGGTCTGCGAGTGCTTATGGAAGTCGGCCCTCGCTCGGCTTTCCAAGAGTAAGGTAGAATGCCGTCTACAATCTCTGGAAATCGTGGTCAAGTCGTGCTGTCGACAACGTGTGACAACGGTGGATACAGTGACTGGCGAGGCTGTCGAAGAGGAACTGGGCGGCGTGATGGCTGATGGCGCTGGCATTAGCAATCTCGTGTTCATCAAAGCATTTGAGAGGCTCGTACTTAGCACAGTCGAAGCACTGCGGTGGGCCGTCAATCTACGCTATGTGCGGATACGATACATCGACCTTGACAGTGAATGCACACACCTCAACCCTTACTGGATCCTGAATGGAGACCATGTATGGGGCATCTGGTCAGAGGAAGTTGTGGAGCGCCTTCAGGAGTGCAGACCGTCAGCCGGGTACGTTGAGTTGGGCGATGGCATCGACATAGGCGGAAAGGTTGCCCAAGAAACGGAAGGTGATGGTCGTGGCGGGTCTACATGGATCAACGTTCCTGCAGCTGCCCATAACACGGGTGCTGCATACGGTGCGGCTGCCAACGGGCCCGGCTTTGGCGGCATAGGGTATGCAGGTGCTGCACACGGTAACCCTGAGAGGAGTGTTGCAAGTTTGTATCCAAGGCTGAAGCCGAAGAGCATCAAGACGAGCAGTTATAAGATCTTGTCGGAGGCGAGAGGGAGCTAAACCTTGTGTCTGGTCACTGAGCCAATAAAGGAGATCCTCATTTACCACCAACAACGACGTCTGGCGGAGGTTGTCATGAGATCGTGCCCCTCCGGAGAGAAGAGCCATACTGTATCCAGCACCAACCACAGGCCGAGATCCTCCTACGAATGCCAGGCATACACGATGTTGGACAGGACGTTCGCAGAGTATCCGCAAGCACTATGATACAGCTATCACCAAAGGAAGATCAGAAGAAATCATGGCACGTTGGGGCGAGGCGGAAATTTTCGGCCATAGCACAGCGTGGTGCACAGATGTCAAGAGACGAGGAATTGGAGCGGACAGACACAGACACGTCAATGCAAGAACCGATGAGATTCAATGGCGGTGGCGTTGACTGTGTCATCTGATCATCAACGTGGCCTACGAAGCTGTGCTGCAGAGACCAGGTCTAGTCCCTGTGGTGTGTGCTCTTCCCATCGAAAAATCGAAGCACGGTTCGCGAGATCTGATGTTCAAGGCAGTAGGTTGTGTGAGAGCCTGCTGCTCACCACATCTCAGTGTCAGTAAGGCGTTTGGAAGGAAGGATTTGATAGAAGAAGCTCGAGGACATCAAGGTTCTTTTCCCAAGATTATGAAGAAGACATCATTGACTTTGTCATGCAGAGCTTTTTGAGGTGGCGTAGGAGACCGCAGTGTGAGATTAGATCTTGAGTGACTTGGCTTAGGAGGAGTTCGAGATGGGAACACCGTTGTCTGAGGCCTACGTGGTACTTTCGCTCCTTCGAAGTCCGGCTTACTGATTTGGCGTTCATGCCTCTTGTGGCTGGCAGGCTCCGATTACGCCCAGCTTCAGCCGAGTGGTGGTGACTCCTCATCCACGACATTGCTTTCTTCGCATCTCGTTGTTTCCTCTGGGTCGACGTTCTTTGGCCGAAACCATGGTATGTCACCTACTAGAGCGCATAGGAGCCTGGTATAGGAAGGTTTCGTTGCGGCAAGAGGGGGCCAAGACTGGGTTGGGGCCGAAGGTAAGTACGGTCTTAGAGGAGGAAGAGAAAATCGGAAGACGCTCTTGCATGAGGATTGGGAGGGGGCGACTTTCGTGATTGTGAAGGAAACAAGTGGTCTGGCTGGTGGCTGGAATACGGCCTTGCGGGTAGAGGACAGATGCGTGACACCAGGTGAAGGAAGGGGCCAGGGCGGCACTAGAATATGGTTTGGGAAAATGGCGACAATGATGCGCCAAATCCCGAGCCGTGCTGGCCGTTCCGGAGGGACACTTAGATCTGCCGAGGTGCAGTTGATTGCTTTGGTCTTTGGGAGCTATGCTGATAGCTCTGTCATATTCAGAGGGCTAACAGACCTAGGCCTCGGAATGATCTCGGTCGCGCCCTCGAGAGGCGTCGACTTAGATGTCTTGCGCCGGCATGGGAGCTGCATTGATGATAGGTCGCTCTGAAACCCACTTTGCGGCTCGGCTAGTCATGTAAATCCTCGGTCTGAACCTCAATGGCGATCCTGGGAGCACTCGGGAGGGTAGGCAGTACTCGATATGGCGAGGTCCGGGAATTACTTCCCCTGGAGATGCTGTTGGTGGTTTCGACCTGCATATCAGCGGTGTCTAGATCGGTCAGAAGCAGAAAGCTGTTCATGGTTGTTGGAGAGTCCACAATACGCTCGCAGACAGTAGGCAAACTACCAGCGGCCAACGAGCTGCTAGAACCATAAGTTGGCAATATCACAACCGCACGTCCATTTGTGATCTGCAGGAAGTAAGGAGCCGCGACCTTTTTCGTCGCTGGCATGCAGGGATCACGTCCGCTCTGATCAGCAGCTGATGTCACCAACACCTTCTCAATGAAGGAGCCAGGAGAAATCGCAACCAGGCCTGCAGATTTAGGCAAGTCTTAAGTTGAGTCGTCGTGGTTGACGAGTATCTGCCAACCCCACCATCTGCAAGTGGCCTTGGGCTGATGCGGATATGAGCTCTCAGACTGAGACCCGAGCTGATATGACAGCGGGCACCTGCATTCTCGTTATGTCGCACAATCGACCAACATCGATCCTTCCCAGACGATAGAGGGGTTCGCCCGTCTGGGCCGGTAAGAGGAAGAGACGTCTCGCGCGAAACGCGGCCGACACAGGAAGGGATTTGCATCTGTGCGCGTTAACTATCATCGGTTCGTCAGGAACTCGGATGGGCTGCAACATCAGGATGGCGCAGGCCGTCCTCGGATGAGCGACCCCTGCTGTATCTAGTGAATTGTGGCATGCATATCCGCAGCACATCAAAGTATACTGGAGCACTCAAAGATCGTCGAGGAAGGCGGCTCGTCCCAGATGCACACCTCGAAGACATGGTCTTTGGAGCTCGAGGGGTTTTGCCAAACCCGTCGGTCCGTCGTAGGCATGCATTTCACCGGGTCGCGGGCATCACAGCCGAGAGCGCAAGCGACGGGGCTAGGCAATGTGATAGTTGTATACTGCAAGCAAGATCGACCGTCCGCCCGCTGCTGCACTACTGCAACGGGCTTCCGGCTGGTTCCCGCCTGAAGGCGAGACGCAGGGCTTTGATGCCATGGACCGGAATCGGCGACATCTTCATGCTTTTGGCGGCACAGCTCGAACGTGGTGTTGCTTCTATCATGCCAGGCTATGATCTCGCTGGCATTGACATGTGAGACGGGGCTGGATCTCTTCTGGTGCGGGGCTGCCACTAGGGTGGGCAAAGAAACTAGGAAATACTGTCCTGCAGGAGTCGGTGGCTAGCTGTGCATTCCGCATAGGCGAATGTTAATCACTGCCGGTGCATTACTGCTGTGTTCTCACAATCCAACACATTCCAAGGACTGGAGTCGCTTGCACACGCCTCGACAGCGCTTCAGGGCTAATGTCAGGAAGCTTTTGTCGGTAGATCCATCTCGTATGCACGACCGTTATTCGTTTAGTTTAGTCCAGCACATCGCTGAGATTCGGATGCACGAGACTCCAAGAAGTTGGCCAAGGCAAGGAAAATCTACACCATACATAATTTTGGAATGCTTTGCGTGCTCCAGAACTGCGGGTCCATATGTACTGGTACTGGTACCAAGTACTCCGTACCTAGGAACGACTGAGGGGCGACCCTGCACCAGCCATGACAGTGGTGGGGCGAAATGCAACGGCGTCAGGCAGAAGATCGAGTTGGAATCCGCGCCTGGAAGTTGGCGTTGCCCCGATCGTGATGAACCTTGATTTTGATGAGATCTGGTGAGATGGTACGGAGTACCCTGGGCGCCTCTAATCGGCAAAGGCGGGTCTCATCTCCAACGCCCTTGAGTAAGTGCCGTGGAGAGATGTCAGCGACTGATTTGTGCTCAGTGAGTGAATTAGATCCAGCTTGCGCACCGTACAGAAAGGTTGGCATTGAACCAGAGCAAGAGAATCTAGCAAGACGAGACCCTATCGGAACCGCATAAGCGGCGTTCATTTGACACATTTCATTCCAAGCGGCCCCGGTCGGGGGCACAGAGCGTTGATCCACGTGGCTTCGGTGGCGTTCCGCTTGAGAGCTGTCGTATTTTCGAACCCTGTTAGCGATAAATCTAGCTGGGGAAGCGATAAGCCGGCTTCTGCCTCTTGATTGTGTCAGCGTACTGAAGCAGTCCTGTTCCGTTCGGGGAGTTGTCTTTCTATATATTGGCACATACGTCCCCGAAGGCTCGATTGGAAGATGGACTTCAATCGTTTCCATCGCCTATGTGCGGTGCAGTGAGGCCAGACCCTGCAGAACTGACGCCCTTAGGCCGGGAGCTACTGCTACTAAGGCCCAAGTTTGGTGCACGTGCGATATCATTATAGACAGAGATGTTATGACTTGGAAAAACTCTCAGTCGACCTAGCGTCAACTCGGATGGCCCCACTGCCTCACTTGTAGACGGCAGCATCTGTGCCTGTGTGTGACTTCAAAGTCTTGAGCAGTAGTAGACTGTGTAGTGGTTGCAAAACGGCATTTTCCTGTTCTCAATCAGAAGTTATTTGAGGTGGTGTGATGTGTTGCTCGTATTGTAATACGGGTAATGGACGGTATCGTGGGCGGCAGCATCAGCACCGGGTCCCGCGTATGCCAGATATCTGACAGCTGTCAGCTCTCAAGCGATTGCACGGGCCTTGTGCAGCATCAGAATAAGATCCAATCTGCGTGTTACCAGATGCCGCTGTGACAACTTGGTTTGTTCGCCATGATTTACCTGGCTGAATACGGCAACAGAAAATACGAGACTCGAGTGTGGCTGATTTCTTTGGCCCCGTCAATCGAAACCTTCAAGCTCGCTAAGATCCTTTATGCCCTTGGCTACATTTTTGACATCAGACCGTACCAAAGATGTGTATCGCCAGAAACCAGCATAAAACCCTGCCGGAAACAAGCCATGCAGTGGAGGATAGAGTTTGACGCAGCAGCCTGGCAGTTGCCCGAGCCGGCAGCATCAAATAGATAACCGAAGTAGGCCGAGAAACAGTTCCTTGTATGCAAGTACTCTGGAGTGGCGGAGCACGTTATAGGCTGGAAAGGCTTCGGAAAGTCATCGAGCAAGGGCCGCATGTTGGAGAGCAGTGGATGGCTTCGGGGCCCGATTGAGTTTGCTGTTGGGCATCTGCACGCCCCATCGGTGGCACATCTGTACATCTGCGCATCTGCCAGTGCCCGGCCATGCCAATCGTGACGATCCACAATCCACGTGTAGCAATGATCGTCTTTCACCTGTGGGCGCTGTTTGACACCACAGGTTTGAGAACAAGCGGCGTTCCTCGGGTCCCGCTCATGTGTGCACAACATCTGTCTCGGTCACAGGCATGCCCAAAGGGCGGCACAAGCCAGCACAAGCAAGTGAAGCTCAGGCCGTGCCGTGTCTGCCGGAATACCGGGTGCTATACGGCTACCCAAAAACTGGCAGATCCAGGCGCGGGCAATAATGAAGCTGGAGCACCCAAAAAGCAGCCTATAGGGCAGAAGCATCAGAATCAGGGTCCAGTGCGATCGGTGATCAATCAATCTGGCCGGAAGCATCCCGTTGGTACCTGAGCCGGTGCTGCCTATCAGGTCTGATCGACAAGAATGCAGTTGGTACTATGTACGAGAGGCGCATTGTGTCTTGACAGAACACGAGTTCGAAGACCTGAAGCATCAAGGCCACCCGGGATCTGGGTTACGAACAGTACCGGCGACGGGCGTGACGCTGACGCATTATCTAGGGGTCACGCACCCAGGTTGGGGGGCCGCCGATTAGCTCGGAACGTCACCTGTGATTTTGTACCCGTGGGCCCGGCAAGCTTTGGGTCTTACGAGGACAAAGTCGAACCAAAAAAACTCACAGCATAACCCTGTAGAAATTCCAGTCGTGCTGCGGTCCCGACAACGGTCATCTTGACTAGGGACCCATCCACTAGCCCCTACCGACCCAAACCACCCCCGGCTTAAGGCACAGTCCACTGTGGGTGCTTTGCTCGACCCCCCTTCTTCCAAGCCTAACGCTCCTCAGCGTTTGGCCTGTTACAGGCGGCGCTCATAAATAAACGCTAGGCCTGCCAGATGCACGCTGATCCTGGGAGGGCTGCTTAGCGCGATCTCTCGATCTCTTCTAGCTCTTCTCCGCCCCATCTCGCTCTCCTAGACTTGCTCCTCTTCTGTCCTGCAGTCATCCCTCCCTCTCTCTGCGGCCCGTCAACACTTTCCCTTTCATCCTCCCACTTCCTCCCTCTTCCGTCCAAACTGCCGGCCACATCACCAGCTACTACATCTCTACTGCCTTTACAACAACCGCACACCAGTCTCCCACTCCCCATTTGCACCTTCGTCAACGTATTTGATTGCGATTTAGCGATTTTCTGCAATATAATCTCGGCTACTCGCCATTGCGTCGATCCCGCACCCTCGATTACCGTTGAACCAGCACACGACCGCCCCGCCACCTCGATCCGTCTCTGCTCGGTTGCGCGTGCTGCACTGGCTGCATTCAACGTCCTTGCCAATCTACGTCTTTGGTCGCGGTGACAAATATATTCCGTTCAGCGCTCAGCCCTTGGAAAGTTGCGAAGAGCGCTTGTAAGAGACGGATATCTGCCGCCCTCTCTGTGACAGCCCTACATCAAATCGCCGGCAACGTACAGCCACCACGAACGTGAACACATTTGTCCACATGGTTGACAGCTCGATTGTGGACATTTGAAGCCTTGCAGAAGAGTGCTTGTTCAACCAGAATGGCAACCGCCGACGGTCCCAATAGGCAACGGTACAGTTACCCTATTCCCAGTGCTGCGTTGTTGAGTACTAATTCGTATGTTAGCGATGTACTGCCATCCATTAGCCACTTGGAATTGGATAGACTGAAGACTGATCGACCTGAGACGAGATTCCCACCCATAAACGGCCTCAGTGTTTCGACCGCCCCCATGGACAGTCCCAATACTGTGCATTCCGGACCTCCGCCACCATACTCTTCATATGCACCTTCCACCGCAGGCTCGAATCAGGCTATCTCCGGGTACATCTCTCCGCCTGAATCTACTACTCGCCGATCCACCAGAGAAGACGAGAAAGCTTCACCTGGCCGCAAATCCCTCCCGTCAATACACGAAGCTCTTGGTGGAGAAAGGTCGCTTCCGTTCTCCGCTGGTTCCCAGCCGGCCTCTGGATCGAATCCGTCGACTGCGATCACGCAGAATTTCCCTGAGGCTCCCAGAGGGCCTTCCAACCCTTTCTCAGCACCGTCATTCAGAGATAATACTTTCTCAAGCCAGCCACAATCAAATCCTCAACCGCCTTCAGACTTACGCTCGAAGGAATCCGCGCCTTTCCTCCATCCACCCTCTCCGCGCACATCGGCGCCATCATATCAAACTGGCCCGCTAGCGAGTTCGACATTCAATTCTCGGGTGGATCCTCAACCTCCTCATTCACCTTCTCATTTGGAGCAGCAACGTCAATCGTACAGCTTCCCTCCGATTTCGAAACCTACTTCATCAAGCTACAACAATGAATCTTTTCAATTCCCAGGAGCCACCAATCTACACGAACAAAGGCCTACGTTCGCTCGGGGCCCGGAGGTATCCTACGAGCAGACGATCAAAAGACATATTGACGTCCATGAAGCGGCTAAAGATCTGAATGACGTAGGCACATGACTTGACGGTTTTAATTCAATGCTAATTCGGAGTAGGTTCGAGAAACATCACTCAGGTTTTACGATGTCTCGCAGAATTGGACGCATCGATATCATCAAGGAAACCGCTCAGGGTTCTTCCAGGATTCCCTCCCACCCCTCCACGAGATCGATGATATGATGCGCAATGCGCATCTCATGATGGATAACCTGGCTCGCGTAAAAGAGGTCGTGATTCAGCAGCAGAACGCACTGTCTGAACATCGTGCTCGATTTGCTCGGGGTTCTTTGGAGGACGACTACCAAGGCATCGCCGATGACTATAAGGCTGGGGGTTTCGCTGGGGGTGACGCAAAGAAACGACGAGGCGTGAGTGGCAATTTCTATGGCCTGCTTCCTTACTGACACTTGTGCAGAAAGCCGCACCGCCTGGCCGATGTCACAGCTGCAATCGCGCCGAAACACCAGAGTGGCGAAGAGGGCCGGACGGTGCACGCACACTCTGCAACGCATGCGGTCTTCACTATGCGAAATTAACTCGCAAAATTGGTGTCAACAAAGCAGCAGCCATGACAGGATCGAATTTACGACCCAAAGGACTCGATCCTCGGCCTTGACAATAAAGTGCTCCCGACCTCAGACGACATTACGCTCCTGACGAACGGCTGAATGCCTCATTGATGACTTGAATCTGGACGTCGACTCACATATTTCGATGTACATATAGTTCCTTTTTAGGGGAAACATTTACGACCTGAGTATAAAGATATTCCCGGTGTTGACTGTGGCGTTTTGGTAATTGCGAGATGGACGGCTCGCTGTATAGCGGATCAACTGGTGCGACACAAAAGCTACCAAGACTGGTGCCTCATCGATCTGCCTTTTCAGAGGCGTTTCCATCACGAGCATTGCGACCATGGATGGTCGAGTTGAGATACCCCGGCCTTACTAGAGGCCATTTTTCGTTTGACCGATTGGGGATTATGGCTATTGTGACTACTACAACATGGATCAGGCATGACATGGAGATGGAAGTTTGTGATAGTATATGGTTGTGGACATAGTCGAAAAAAAGTACATTCAGCCTGCTAACACCTCTTGCGTGGATCCGACCTGGTGTTACCTTTGCAAGGGCGGCACATGCATTTGAGACAAGTTGTTTAGATGCAATTCTCCGAGTTGTGGCTTGGTACTTGCCGGCAAGGATCGGCCGGAACTTACCAAGTCCAAGAACAACGAAGGTGATCTGTTGCCACTCCAGCCACGAAAACATCGATCCCATCCCGACGACCTGCATGCGTAGCGCTTCACCTCAAACGTTGGTCGCTTCTGGCTGGGTTCGCTTTGCTGCGGCCCTCATGAATGGGCGTGTTCTTGCGCTCCAAAGAGTTGCCTCAGGATCTCGTGATCCAACGTCCCCGACACGGGTTATTCCAGCAAGTTGGACCAGTTTTCTTTACCCGTGACTATCGTCTGCGCAGTAGCCCATCACTCTCTGGAGTACTGGCACCTGTTGGTGGTAAAGCTAGAGTCTAATCAGACAATCTAGCATCCACGGCAAACCTTCGCGACACGGAATCGTCGCCTCACTGGCAGCCAGATGAGTCTACGTACGCAATTCCGGCTTCATTAGCCGGACCCATGCCGCTCAAACTCGGAGGCACGGGGCTACTTCGGACTGGGGTCCCCTGAAAGAGGTCGTGCGTAATTGCACCAGTGCATGAAAATGGAATAACGGGTGAAAAAAAGGTGGCGCTGGGTGGTGTCAGCCCGTATCGAAGTTTACGAGTTCTAAAGTTCCACCGCCAATGATAATGGCTTGACGAAGATTCGCACCCTGCATCGCTTCCTCCCCAGCCTGCATCATCCCCTGTGCCTGCCTGGTTTGGTCACGGGGATCGGGGGCGGAAGATGGGATCTCTCCGATCACCCGCGATCGGCAAGGATGACCGCTGCGTCCAGAGCCTCTTCCAACGTTTGGGCAATCCATAAGCTACACTACGCAACACCTTGGTGTATGCATATTCAGATTCTGACTTTGACGCCGTGGGAAGCACCGTCAATGGGTAAAGCTGATCCATTCAGGGTCTTGGGTGGCGTAAATGAGCGCAACCTCTTTGCCGCCCGAGGTCCCGAGAATTTCAAGCCCAGGCCTCACGGGCGCGGGACTTTCTGGCAGCGGGTGCGGGTCCGGTGGTCTAGGCTCCATCTCAACGACGATCTCCCCCCTTCGGGCATTAGGCTCTCATTGCAGCCCTGATTGGTGATTATTCAGTATAGTGGCATAATACTCAGAAAGTCATCGATGTTTCACTCAAGCGAGCATTTACATAGTGCGTACACGGCAATCAATCTCCCAGATTTCATCCCAGGACCTGATTATCGGGCACAAAAGACGCTGACCCCACTTCAACCTAAGGCACAAAGCCTCTTTCTGAAGGAAGCGAGAAGCTACGGTCTTTCCAGGCTCGATGATCTGCCGGATCAGAAAGCCAATGATGCAACTATTTGCTGGCAAAACTTGATTGTCTCTACTTGAGTTTCAAGCCATTGACCTAGTCTTGGTAGGATTCTCAAACCGTCAGCCTGTGCTGAGCCTGGATTCAGTGATCAGCAGGTTGACCTGACGTTCAGGTCTTAACCATCCCATTGCGAAGTCGGCCCCAATAGAGCGTATCAAGGTACTGCACAAACTTCCGGAAGCGAAGGTCTGTATCTTGCTCCGCATTGCCTGCATGGCCGTGAGAGGCTGAAAAAGCCGGAACGGCTCTCAATGCTGATCAATTAACGTGGGTACCCAAGAAAGGATTCTGTACGCAGCACGACAATGCAGATGCTTCAAATATACTGGCACCTGCCCTCAACCGCTCAAGCGCACACCAATGAATCGTTGTGGGATCCGAGCGGTCGGCCGTGTGCATCATATCATAGAAGAAATGACCATGGCCTGATCTGATCTCACTTTCCCAATCAAGCTTCAGCAAATCCTGGACGTTGAGGACGGTTACGGGACCCGGGCAATCGTAACATTCGTTCTTTGGCTGATCTGCAATTGCCGGATCTTCTCTACCTGTGCCTGATGCAGCTGGGCGCATACGCCACGGCATGTGACTACTTTCGTCTGACCATATATTTGAACTTCGCGAATCACAACCTAAACGAAAGAACGAGGCGCGCGAAACTCCCTAGCCTTTGCGAAGTTGCCGAAGGTGGGTGCTCAGCATCGATGCCAATCCTGAATATCAGAAAGTTGGCGATGAAAACAGTACCAGCATCAGTACTTCCTGCCGCTTGTTACTAAAGTAAGTCCCCGTTATTCCCTCGTATTCTCGTTGGGCAACTGACCGCGTCGATATTGGGCACCACGCAGCAGGCGCTGCCGCGCTCGTTTGATAGGCGTATGGTTTGTCTCCGGAACCTTCCGCCGCCTCGGAACGCCTGCATTCCTCCTACGTCCCCCACTGTCGTGGAACGAAGGCTAACGGTCTTTCGGTGCGAAACGTTGCAGAGTTTATCCGGTAACGTGATTCTATAATGGTGCAGTCTGCGGAATGCTTGTTGCAAAGTGTTGCGAGAAATTGCGAAGCAGTTGCTCGCCATCACCGCCGCAGGTTCATCCAAGCTTTTCTGAAACGCTGGACATGGCACACCATCAGGCCTTCAACCTTCGCTACCATCGAGGATCTGCGGCTAAATAATGTGGGAGACAGATGAACGATACCTGCGCACCATCACTCAAATCAGGATTCTCCCTTCTGCCGTGATATGATGTGCTAAGATACAACACGCAGAGGGTTGCTGATGGGGTTCGGGCTATCAGATGCCTGGCAGGGTCTCCTTGCGCCTGCGCCGCGGAATCTACATCGGTTTACAAACCATATCATGGCCGGTCAGCATCTCTCAATGCAGACGGATCTCGTCGGTCCGATGAGAAGCCTTCACCCTGCGATCGAAGTTGAAGGGAGCTGGGGTTTCAAGGTCTGAAGGGCTAAACTTGACCATACAACAGGACATTTATTCTCGACTGTCGTAGCGCAGATAGTGGAGTGCTGTGCGCGTCCTTTGGTGGAAAAGCTGACTGGTGTGGCAGACCTTTGACCCATAAGCTGTACTTCGAGTCGCAGAATTGGGAGGCTGTGCCCTGAGAGGCGGCAATTCCCGTTTCGCTTACGAGTGAATCGACACTGGAAACACTCAATCCAGCTGAAGATCATTGTCGTTGCCTGCGGCACTACCACCAATAGTGCTAGCCTACAAGCTCGCTACTTGTACAATAACGGCCGTGCTTCGCAGTGTATGCCCACCTTATCTCGACCAATGCATCTGGCATTACCGAAAGAAAGATTGGATAAAATGCACAAGCACACATCCGCCAGCCTTTTCTCATTGTTCATGTTATTATAGACAAGCATGCGATCATGATCTAATGTAGCATATCAAGCCACACTCGAAAGAGGCGACGGGTGCTCCACCAGTTTCCCGCGATACGTCCCCACAGGCTATGCTCGCATAGTTTCAACGGCAAACGGAGTATCTGGCACTCACAAACACTGTTCAAAGACTGCCAACCACGCAGACCTACTTCTAGCCCACTCACACGTCTCGAAACTTCAACACGTCCTTCCATTGATCTTCACTGACTGTCAGACCATTTAGGGTAGATCCCATCACCTGACCCGCAGACGCTCGCAATTGCGTGTCCTCACATCGTCGTATCTCCTAGCTACCTCTGTGGAATCCGATTCCCCCCTCCCTAGATCAGCAAACAGCACCAACTCCGGAGCTCTTCCATCCCAAGCCGAGGCGGTGGCAGCTTTTCCACAGCGCCAGGCGCATGAACTTCCTTCACTGAACCTACAACGGCGTTCTGGTCGCCAGGCCTAAGCGTAGCTCGGTTCCTCCGGTGTGCTTGCGGTGCTCGGACTTGTGGAAGAGAAAGGTGTCGATAAGGGGCTTCTGGATATCACCATCATTGGGCCGGACGTGAAGGCACTTGCCCTTCGTGTGGCTCATGGAAGGGCATACCGACCATGGTCTTGAGAGCCGCGGGGGCGGTGACGTGACTGTTCTGGAAGAGCGTGGCGCTGCGAAATTTCTCTTTGCTAGGTTTCATGCCTTCATGAAAGATCGGAGTATCGATGCTGCGGCCTGATAGGGTGGGACGTCAGATTCGCGGGTGTCATCGCCTGGCTTTGAGCCCTCTGGGCGCAGATGGCATTGACGGGGTCTGTGAAAGGCAACCACATCGTAGTCCTCTGTGCCTGGGTTTATTGGTGCCTTACTACAGGTGAGCCTCCTTCAGGTCTAGGTTAGTCGCCGCGGCGAGGGTCGGACGGCCGATCGATGTCACGTGTCGCCGCAGGTAACAATCCTCTAAGTCAGTGAACGCAACGACCAGTACTGGGATCACGCTTCTGCTCTCCGTGGACGATACCGACTCCAGCGGCGAGGACTAGGAGATCGGACTTAGGTTTGGGCGTTGAGCCAAGGTGGTCAAAGTGGCAGCGTGCTACGGGCGGCTAGCATAATTCAAGGTGGTAGAGGTTGACGGGAACCCTTACCGCCATAGCGGCAGTGGCCAACGAGGAATAGCTTTCAAGTCTTCATGGTTGGATCTGTATCGATGAGGCGAACCCTTATATCGGACTGATCACGCAGCGTTAAGGAACGCAGTATAAATCTCCTCATGTACGCATAGCAAAAGCGCGAGAGCAGCGCTACTGAAGACACGGCGGAATAGTGTAGCGCTCTCACAGTGACACCAACTCTCAATAGCACCGTAGATAGTTTGTCTTTAGGCAGTCTTTGTGAAAGAGCAGTGATAGGGGGTTCTCACCTATCCCCGCAGAATCCCGTTCCCGACGACGTTGCTCTGGAGATCGGGCGGTAGTCCCGTGACTTGCCTTCTAGATGTTGCTGGAAGTAAATTGCATTATTCTCACTGATCAGTCCACAAATTCTCTGGCTCTTTCATCCTTCAAAAATCTTTACCGTGCAGTGGTATCCCTGTGCACTTTTCCACCAGCGTTAACACGACCACCGACCAATCGGTATTGACCACCAAGTCAGGGGTTTTAAGCCTTGCCACGGCCACGCAAGGCTGAAATTCACTGCCTGAAAGTCACCCTCCACCCTCGCAGCCTCGAGTGTCACGAACTATTCTGTACTCCTACTTTTTACTCAGCCACTACCCGTGACCAAGCCCGACCACATTGTCTGAGTTTTAAGTCAACAGACGGAGTCGCCTCCATCATTCAGTCAAGGGACTATGAGGCGCTCCAAGAGTGTTGATCCGCCATTGTTCGACGCTCGCGAAGACGAGTTCAAGGGAACATGCACGTACTGCAACAAGAGCGGTTGGGTGCAACCTTGCTTTGGGTGTCGCCAGGTACAATACTGCAGCAAGGACTGCCGGATCGCTGATTCCCGGAACCATCGCAATGGCTGTGTCAGGGCGCACCGCACATTTCGTCGCGTCTCACCTCAGGGAGGTGTAAGAAGAGATGAACAACCACACGCAGCAGTTACCAATTTCGCAACGAGAGCTGCACGCAATGACGCGAATAGCCCACCTCCACGTCATGAGAGCCCGCGGAGAAACGCTGCGGTGCCAGCAAGCAAGAGCAAACACGCCCGCAACATATCTCCCTGGAAAGCTATCCTTCCACCTACGCCATCGCACTCAAGGGTGAATATCGATACAGCTGACCCTTCTGCAAAACTAGAGGATGTAGCCTCAGTGCACGCTACAACCCAACCATCCTCTACTTCTCCACAGCCGACCAGGGCTAGTGGCGACCGCACTGTCACCTACAGTGTAGCTGCCGCCACCTCCATGGTCGTCAAAAAGAACAACGTTCTATCAACCTCTATTTCCCGCCCTTTCCATGCCCTCTATCGCCGCGTTTATCTCCACTCCATTTCTCTCCGAGACCTTACCACACTGCTCGTTGACGCCTTTCGCCCCCGTCAGCACGAAAATCACATATCTGGCGGCCATGACAGCATGATCCTACGGCCCGACCCCTTCGCGCCGCGTGGTATGGAGTTTGCTCGGTGGGTGGAGCTCGCATTGCAGCAGGACTTGCTGCCGCTAGCAGTGGATGGGAAGGTGGCGAACGAGATCGCCGCACAAGGCTTGGGAAGTGGGTTGGTTGGAGTGCCGCTGGAGGCATCGGAGGCGAAGGAGAGGTACGCGGGAGATGAGCGTATGGGACTGCAGTTGAGGATCCTGGGTGGGCAGGTCATAGGGTATGTGTTGGGGGGCAAGGCGTTGGAGGAACGGACCTGGGCGGAGCTGCTACTCTGGGAGGACTGGGAGGATGCGGCGTTCGAATGGTCGAGTGTGTTCAAGCATTTTTGATGAAGTGCTTGAGTAAATGAGACACGCTGGTGATCGAGAGGTACTTGTATATTTGACTCTTGGCCAGAATGAGCAGGCATGCTGTCCTGTTTGGCTAGAGTCCATTGTATGAATGGTGTACGCGGCGATCGGAGCGACAAAAGTGCTGAATATCTCGAGTAGATGCAGACGCAAGTATGAAAAGGTGCCTCTTTGGATTGGTAAATCCAGGTCTGATCGATTCTGTCTGATCATGTACTGATAAGCTCATAGAAACCTTCATCACATCGGGATACATGAGCCCAAGCCTGATGAGGAAGCTGAATCGTCAGGCTATTGCCAAGCCTGTTGAGAGACGGGACCAGCCAAAAGTCTCGCTTAATCCTACGTCCACCAATAGCATTGCTAAGCGGTCGTTCGTACTGCTGGGGTGTTCTTCAGGTTTGTCAGCATTCACTTCCGACGGAGCCTTCCATAATGGGTTCTCGAAGTATGGGATCTGACCTTTGATGCCACCATAATTGTCTACCAAGCAATCACAGCGACCGATATAACGATCACTTTCAACTTGTCTCGCTACAGGCTCAATGGAAAGTCCTAAAACGACAAGAAAGGTATAGACCCTTGCCCTCACTGTCTCACATCGTGTCCTTGCTGGCATTGCCCGCTAACTTACACTGCCCGACAGTCTTGCGACTTCTGCTATCGACGCAAGATCAAATGCGACGGACAGAAGCCTTGCTGTACCCACTGTGTTACGTATTCAATGAAGTGCACGTATACAGCACCAAGCCGAAAGACCACCCCAAAGAAACAACGAAGCCAGGGAGAGGCCGATTGTAGTGCCCGCAAAACAGAAGCGCGCTTCGAGCACCTCGAATCTCTGCTAGAGCAGCTCAAGGAGCGTCTGGACATTTCCACACAGAAGTCCGGAGCGCAGACGCAGTCACACAGCCCGATGACGTCCGCCCAAGTCCCCTGGGAAAAGGTGTCGAGAAGCCACGATCGACATGCAGGCCACAATGACACGCCTGCCAAGCTCACTAACATACCTCCGCGAGACGAAGTCCTGCATATCGTTCAAGTCTTCCTCGATAAGTTCAATTCAGTCCTACCGCTGTTTCAGGCCGAAACCCTTCTGCTCATGGTCCACGAGTTCTATAACCTCGTTCCTCGAGAACGCAGCCCAGTAGCATACGCTGCCATCAACGTGGTGATAGCTCTGACATACAGGCATGCCATGATCGGTGACAGTGAGACTAGCTACGCGTTGGAGCATCTCCGCAGAGCGCAGTCCGTGCTTTCAGCCGTCATACTGGGTGAAACTGACCTACTGAATATTCAAGTTCTGTTGGGTATGGTGATCTTGCTCCAAGGCTCACAAGACCATCAACCTCCGTTGATCCTGATCGCTACTACTATGCGTCTTGTACATAAGATCGGTCTGCATAACCGTGCTTCCTCGATGTATCTGGATCCAGTTGTAGCAAGACAACGCACTTGCGTCTTTTGGTTGGCATATATCCTCGACAAGGATACGAGCATGCGCATGAAGCAGCCGTCTATTCAGCTTGATGACGATATCGATCTCGACTTGCCTTCTCAAACAGCCGGCGACTATCGATCCGTGGACGCCAGCCGTCTCCCAACTGGTTGCATAACCACGGCGGATGGGACAATGGAATTTGACTTTTTTCTGAGCCGCATTCAGTTGGCCATTATCCAGGGAGGCGTTTATGACTACTTATACTCAACGCGATCTCAGAAGCGTAGCGGAGAAGAGCGGGCCGCTGCCTTGGAAAGCGTAGTTCGTGCTCTTAATCAGTGGAAGGCGTCCATACCTCCCGATTTCTGCGCCGCTGGAGCCGTTCGAGAAGTTCCCCTTGAATCGCTGCGCTTTCTAGCCGGTTTACACGCCACCAGCTTGAGCTGCACAACGCTGATTGATCGGGCACATGCTTGGAACGATCAATGGGTGACTAGCTTGCGAACTAGCGCCCTGAGAGGCACTAATCCTTTGCTTCCTCCTTCATGGGAGGCGGTCGTGGACGAAGCACGCGACTTATTGGCGCTGTTTCGGGTTTTGCCCGTCGCAGATCACTCAAACTTCTGGTAAGTACTCCTTCGATGCCGATCTCGGACCCTCCATCTTGCTCGTCCACGGTCTGAGTGATGAGTACCCTTTCGGTATGCTAATGAGCTATTGGGACTAACAGGATAACTTCATGTACTTACATGTCAGCCATGATGCTGCTCACGGCGAAAGCCATGCAAAAGCCCTTAGACAGAAGTTCAAGCCAGGACGACGAGCTCGTTGCTGATGGCTTACATACCGTCAACGAGATGCTAGAGGAAAGTGGGAGCGAATCACTGCGATGGTTTCGTGACACATGTACGGAGTTGAGCCTGGAGGTGCGGCGGAGACGCGAGATAGCTAGCACGACGGTAAATGGTTGGAACGACGGTATCGAAAGTACCTCTGCAAATCGGGATGTTGCGGCACATAGTAGTTTTGACCTCTAATAAAGCATGTGGACTGTCTGGATTAAGCTGTATTCATCGTTTTCAATGCAATGTGAACGGTCTGCGACCGTGTCCGTCCGTGCCATGGTATGCCAAAAGTGTCCGTGAAAATACTAACAGTCCTCGAGCTTACTAAATAGAACGCCGCGGAGCCACAGTCCGATATTTGTTGCACGGATGCTAAGCCAGCACATGAGAAAAATAGCCCGTGTATCGCATGCCTCAAGAGCTGTACACTAATCCTGGCGGGTTTGACCGGTCGAAGGAGGTTCCGGGATCACTTTCACCAGCTATGAGCCAGCGGAAGCGCTCTCCTCTATCGACTATAAACTGAGTCATCCTCCGGTAAGTTTCACCACGTTCAAACAAATACTTAAGACATCATTTCCACCCTGGCAACCTCATTCATACACCTCCCTTCGCAAACCTAGTCGTTCCACCGAAAACATGGCCAACTACCCCGAGCCTTATCCCGGTAATGGGATCTACAAGTCCTTTACCAAGACCTGGCACAGCAACTCATACCCAGAAATATCGCCCACCCGTGCCGGGCTCGCCGCAAATGGGAAAGTCGTCCTCGTAACCGGTGGCGGCAGTGGGATCGGGAAGGCAATTGCCATCGCCTTCGCTCAAGCTGGCGCTAAATTCGTCGCCATCTTTGGGCGTCGCGTCGAAAAACTGAAGACAGCTGCCGAGGAAATCCGCAAGGCCAATCCTAGCGGCATGACCGACGTGTTCTATGTGTCAGTGGATTTGAGTCAGCGTGCGGCCGTCGACACTGCTTTCACTAGCGCCGTGGAGCAGGCTGGTGGCGCGAAGGTCGATGTCTTCGTCAGCAATGCCGCCACCATGCCGACCAACGGCTGGGTGGCGGGCTACAATGAAGATGTCCTCCGCCAGGGCTTGGAGTTGAATGTGCTTGGTCACTTCAATGCAGTTCAGGCGATACTGCCCAGGCTTGCGCCGACAGCCAAGGTGTTCAACGTCAGCTCAGGTATCGGACATATCAACCCCGTACCTACGGTTTGGGTCTACGCGATGATCAAGGCTGCGATGATCAAATTCTATGATTACCTGCAGGCTGAGAATCCGGGGCTGTATGTTGTCAATATACAGCCTGGTGTCGTTGCGACGGACTTGAATGCTGATCAGGACTTCAACAAAGAAGATTCTGGTAAGCATATTCTACTCCCTTTCCCGCACATTACCTTCTGCTGCAGACTTCTGTCCGCTTTAAAGGGTAAGATTTCATCGACTAATCGCTGGTATAGTCGACTTGCCTGGCCACTTCCTCGTGTGGCTTGCCTCGCCCGAAGCCGAATTTCTCAAGGGAAAGTACGTCTGGGTCAACTGGGACGTGAGCGAACTGAAAGCTCGTGCCGACGAGATCAAGAACTCGCTGCTCTTACGGGTGCTCTTGCACGGTGTTCCCATGTAATATGGAAGTATACAAAGATCAGAATAGATCTTCGTCGTTGTGTAGGGGTAATGGGATGTGTCGCTGTCGAACAAATGCAGTCTGTTGAAAGCAGCTCGCATTATCGCATGTCGATATCGCTCTACCATCACATGTATTTTCAAAATTTTCGGATTGTTTACGAGGTCTGCCTATGCAGGCCTCAATTATGTCAGTAAATCAGGCATCAACAGTGCAGCACAGTCGCTATCGAAGGTAGAGTAGCCGGAAAATTCTGATGGAAGGCATTCAGCTATCCGATAGGCAGGATTTGCGTGCTCCCTACCTAGGGTGTGGTTCGACGAGGTGTCTTTGCGCGGGTCTGTATCAGCCTCACCAGGCAGAGCGAACGAGCCTCAGGCACGACTTCCTTCCAAGCAGCTATTAAAACGTCCTGATTCCCCAGCTTGATATGTTGTTTGAGCAACCAACTTCGACATCTCAAGCTACACTACAACATTACCCGACTCGCACGATGGCTCGCCTTCTCTACCTCCTCGTCGTCGGTACCCTTTACCTCCCCTCCGCACTGGCAGCGCCAGTATGGGACTCTCCAGTAAAGCAAGACCACAACCCTGCCGATCCCGAGGACAACCCCACCATTGTACCCACCGCCAGCGAAGCTGAAATGTTCGGGCATGGACTCAAGTGTCTCTTCAGTATCGGCCTTGCAGCTTGCTGCACCCAAGCCTCGAAGCCCTCGAGCATGGACCCTGAGTGCTACTATAAATACGGATACAGCGGCAATGCTAGAGGCGACGGTCAGCCCGTCCCAGCTTGAAAAAGTTTCGCAGTCCTGGGAGCAGGTCTGATCGCTCGCGTTGTGTGAGTTGGGTTTGAAGGATTCGATGAGAATGCGTGCTGACAACGACAGTAGGTCGAGCAGACGAAGTCTTGGGATGTCTGTGCTTTGGGCATCACTGGTGTGGAGTGGGAAGCTGGCCTTGTCTCAAGTTGATTTCAGCAAGGAGGTGTCGGCAGCCGTGAACAATACGCATTAGTCAACGTAAACACGAATAGGGCATACTTGGAAGTTTTACACCCTCCTTTTTGCTTTGTCCCTATAAGCTTCATGTTTGCCTACCGCAATAAATGCTGAGGCGGTTCCTTGGGTGACGTCAGGATGCAGCAAATCTCAAGCAGCATCGGTAGCGCTGCCAGCTTACCCCGACCGCCATTCGTAGACAACCACACCTCGTTTGCCTTTGGCCTGGTTGATGCCTTGAGTAGCTTATCCGTATCGCGCCTTTACTACCCTTGGTTTCTGGGTAAACACTCTGACCAGCTCCACGCCCTAGGTTGTACATTGTTCGCGATTTTGAGGTGGGAATAGGAGCTGGGCTCGCCGCCCCACCTATCTTAACGCCCCGCATCACGCAAGCCAGGAAGAAGTTTATATCATGCTTCGTTCTTTCACACGTGGCCCATCTATCTCTTTCTCTTCTGCCAGTGCTCGTTTAGCATCCATCTCGAACCAGATCTCACAAACTCGCAAGATGCCTCTCATGACGGGAATGAGTTCAAAGCCCCGCGTCATTCTCGGCCTGATGACGTTTGGGCCTCCTGGAACAGAATCAAAAGGAGCTCGCATCACATCTATTGACGACTACAATGCTTGCCTCGACTATCTACAGAAGAATGGTTACAATGAAGTCGATACCGCGCGGGCTTACATCGGTGGTGGCCAAGAAGCTTTTACACGCGAAGCGAAATGGCAGGAGCGCGGCCTGCAGCTTGCCACCAAATGCTATCCTGATAAGCCAGGGAAGCACAAGCCAGATAACCTCAAGGCGAGTTTCAACAAGTCTCTGCAGGAGCTCGGCACCGATTCAGTTGACATCTTCTATCTGCACGCTCCGGACCGTAGCGTGCCCTTCGAGGAGACAATGCAGGCTTGTGACGAGCTCTTTAAGGAAGGCAAGTTCCAGAATCTCGGCCTTTCCAATTTCGCTGCATGGGAAGTGGCCGAAGTGTACAATATCGCCAAGGAGCGTGGTTGGGTAAAGCCAACCATTTACCAGGCTATGTACAACGCCATTACTCGCGACATTGAGACTGAGCTTATTCCTTGCTGTCGGAAATACGGCATCGATATTGTCATTTACAACCCGGTAAGTGCGCTTCCGTCTGATGTACACATGTACTGACAAAACCCAGCTTGCTGGTGGTATCTTCTCAGGAAAGTACAAGTCTGCCGACCTGCCGCAGGAAGGACGTTATTCGGCCACCAACGCCAACCAAGGCAAGATGTATCGTGATCGCTACTTCAAAGACGCTACATTCGAGGCGCTTCGCTACATTGAGCCCGTCGTTCAGAAGCACAACTTGACGCTATTGGAGACTGCTCTACGCTGGGTCAACCATCATTCGAAGATCAATGTTCGTGGCGTCAGCAAAGATGGCAACGATGGTGTCATTATCGGCGTGAGCAGTCTCAAGCAATTGGAGAGCAATATCACGGATCTCGAGAAGGGCCCGCTGCCGGACGAGGTCGTGGAAGCCCTCGACCATGCTTGGCAGAACATCACAAAGGCGACCAGTCCGCTTTACTGGCGATAATTTCTAGATGATCTATATTTCCCCAATTTTTCAACAATAGCAACAAGACTTACACTTTGCAGGAGCCCCTCAGATCTTGAACGTGATCTTGGAGGCGGAGAATCTCACAACACTTGACAGTGTCGCAAATCTCTTTGCACTAGGATGGTCCTGGTCTCCAAACGTTTCTGGGTTCTCTTTGATGCTGCCACCCAATTTGGTCAGCCCTTTGGCGATTGGAACCTGCTCGCCGAGCTTGTTCTTCTTCACCTCGATATCAGTATACACGTGTGCATTACGATACGTACCGTCAGCTGTGAGAAACTCGAGCGTGAAATGCCACGGAGCGTTCCGCTCGATGTACTTTCGATTGTACTGATCTCTCTTGGAGAAAGTATTGTGGACTGGCACAATGATCAGCCGCGACTTCGACTCAAATCCATGCAAGCGCACATACCTCCTGCACGGACGGCGATACGCTTGTATCCGTACCTCTGTGTCATGCCCAGCGCGATTCGGTCGACCAACGCTCGATTCTCTTCCTGAACGTCGCAATTCCAGGTCACCTCGTACGAGGAATTCTCCACTACTGCGATGCCCTTCCCAGCTATCTTTGCCCAGGTCATCGTGGGCAGTTGTTCCTTGCTTGATTGATGATTTAAAATGGACCAGCTATTTTAGGCGTATACTTGCTCGGGCACCATGGTTGCCTGAGGACCATCATATTGGCTATATGGTGCTATCGGTCCAGTAATGATTCATTCATGATTCGGGATGGTGGCGCAATATGCCCACAAACACAACGACTTGACAAAGAGGGTTGAGCAAAGATAGCCCAGAGCAGAAGGATACATCCGAAATTAGCCATCGCACGGTCCAGAATCATTGTTTGTCAGCTTTATCGAGACGTTTCGTGTCGACGATATATCAGCAAACGAGCACGCGTCTTCCTTTGAAGATTTAAACACTATCTATGGACCGGTCCCCTGTACAGGCAGCCTCACGTGATTTTGGATATCGCCTGTATGTCGAATTCGTCAGACGAAGCTCGATTGGGAGCAAAGCCTCCGGCGTCAGACGAGGGTGCGAACGAGGTACAATATGCCCACCGTTACATGCTACCACCATGCGATTGCGAAGATCTAGAGGAGAGCTACCAGCCAGGCGGCCTCCATCCAGTCGTAATCGGTGAATGCATCGCTAATCGCTACCACATCGTCCACAAGCTAGGAGTAGGTAGCTCGGCGGTTGTATGGCTCGCTAGAGATCAATCGCATGATCGCTATGTCGCGCTGAAAATGCTGAACTCATCGTGGTCCTCGGAATCAGGTGCAAGAGAGCTCATCGCTTACAATTACTTACAGTCTCTGCTGCCTGCTAAGCAACAGGATCTAATGGTACCACTGTACGACTCCTTTGAGATTGAAGGTCCCAATGGCAAACACCTTTGCTTGACCCTCGGAGTGTCCGGACCGAGCTTATCCAGTATTATCACTCGCAGTGCTTCCCATCAACTTCGGCCGGACGTGGCTCAGTTACTAGCTCGAGAGCTGACATACAATCTCAACTTGATTCATAAGGCTGGAGTCATTTACAATGACTTCAGTCCCAACAATATCCTTTTCAAGCTCAACAACGACGTTAATGAGCTATCTATTGAGGAGTTATACGAGGCCTTCGGGCAACCGGAGGCGTTTGAGGTGCAAGCATCTAATGCAACTGAAGATTTCACGAGAACACATGCACCAACCTATGTCTATCCAGCACTCGACTTCACCAGACCCGAAGCATTGAAGTTCGTGAATCCAGGCCTCACCCTAATCGACTTCGCCGAAGTGCGCTATGTTCGCGGCCCCGAAACGGACGCTAAGCACGGCGTAACAATCCACTATACTGATCCAGAGAGCCTCTTCTGGAACGAGAAGCCCGTGCAAGCATCAGACGTCTGGAGTCTGGCCTGCATACTCTTCGAACTCAGAGGGAACGATACGCTTATTACATCAGGAGTTCGCGGCGCAGAAGACGTCAAGAATGGCATGATCCGCCTTATTGGCGCCCTGCCGGATGATTGGCGCAACCGTCGCGAAGATCAACTCCGTGCGGAGGCGGAAGTGGCGGGGATCAAGATCATTGAGCATGGAGAGAGGACCGACACTCCACCAGACTTTGACTTCAGCGACTTTGATTGGAGCGGCATGGATCGACAGATGGCGGAGCTTGATGCGCAGTCTAGGGAGCGGGAACGAAAGAGCAGGACAGCAGTCTCTCGCGTTATATCAGCCATCTCCAAGCTGAGGCGAGCAGTCCGTAGTCTCTTCCGCCGAAATAGTCAGCACGAACCCTTTATTCCGCCGCCATTGTCGATCGGGGAGGGTCTGCCAATGGTGTCTCTGAGCCTAGAGGATGCCGTCAAGAGCATTGGCAAATGGACCGACTGGTGCCACATGACGGTGGAAGAACGCATGGAGAAGCTTGTCGCTGTCCGTCAGATCTTACACTCGCTTGGAGAGGAGCCTGTCACGAGAGAGGAGTGCGATACTGGCCAAACTCCCCACGCGCCTCTTTCGGGAGAGGAGGCGGTTGACTTCATCGATCTGCTCAGCTCGATGCTCAAGTGGCACCGGAGTGATCGCGCAACGCTTGATGACGTGCTGAAGCATCCCTGGTTCACGAAGGACTACGGTCATGACACTGAGAAGCCGTGGCTGGAGAAGTACCATCGTGGCTACATCTACTATGTGAATGGTAAGCGGTGGATATGATGCCGTTGGTTGAATAGCGACACTTGTGTTCGTCTTCTATCGGGACCAATTGATAAGCTAACAGAATGTCCATGCGAATCTTTAGCATGTTCCTGTGCTAGCCTGTTCTTAATTCGACAATCATTTCGATCTCTCGCTGGCTTCCGCAGACTTACCTTCTCGAAGCCTTGTCAAGCGGGGCGCGCTCGGGTTTATGCTTGTCAACAGCATTAGGCTCCTCTACCAATTTGCGATGCCAAACAATTGGTATCTTCGCAATGCTTTCATATAGAGGTTTGCCTTTAGCCTAGGGTACCTCCGCGAAGGGAAAATCTCCTGGGTAAGAAGTGTTACCTTATCGTCTCCATCAATACGCGCCAGCTTACCAGTTGAGATGCATTCAACATCTTTGCCGTCGATCTTCACGGCCTTGGTCTGACAGTACACATGCGCATTGAACCACCTGTTGTCAGTCATTCGATGAAATTCACCCGTAAAATGCCAAGGCGCAGATACATACTCTTCAAAAGCGAAGACTCAGAGCGCGAAGCCTTGCCCTTAGGACCCGTCGGCGCCACGAATGTGGTTGGCGTGAAGACCGACTTTGTGTTATGGATTTCGGCGCGAACCTTGATGATGTCGCAGTGGTACTTCAAAGCGATCAGCTCAGAGACTTTGAGAATGAAATCCTCGTTCTCGGGCACTGGCTTCTTCGAGACGTGCCAAAAAACGTCAGCATCGCGGAAATTTACCATATGTGCTGAGCAAGTCCGCGACGGCTTCTTTGGCGTGTGGGGATCAGGACCAGCACGGCTAGCTATTCCAACGCTCATATAGGGGAAGTGAGGTCTTCATTCAAGGGGCATTGTGTCTCCACCAGAAGCTAAAGCAGAGGGAAGTTCTCATACTCGTGCGACGGTAGACCCAGATATATGGTCTGATCTTCGGAAGTGCTTCGATATATCAAGCGTTTCCTACTTACGTCTCCCATGGTCCGTCTAAGTAGCACCAAGAGATATTGAAGCATCGTACGATATATCGTCTCTTGCTAAGTATCCGCGGCTTTCAGAATCTTTACCGCTGGCTGACTTTGAGCGTGGAGCTCAAAACATTATCGTTGCAACTGCTCAAACATCAGGTCTGTGCAACTCTATACATGATGCAGTGACTAGGAGATTGTATGCTGTCAGTCCCATGCTTAGCTGCAGGCTGAATGACTAGTCTGCGTGACTAGACTTCCATCTACAAGGAAATCGTAATGACCTGTAATTAATCAAACTGTATAGCTCATGCCCATGGCAGCCTTGTAGGACGCCTCTGGCTCACACGTGACTGACACGGAGATTAGGAAATGGCAAGTCCGATCGGCGCATAAATGAGCTCCATCGGGTGAACCTTTGACCCTCAGCATTTCCTGCCGCAGTCGGCATAATTGGGGAAAGACTCACAATTCCTCACCACCTCCGCCCTCCCCTGTGTCGCGCTCCTTCAGCAGTCGGATCTCGTCCGAGCACTTCGAATACCTACCATAGGAGCTGACCAGCGAACCGTCCACCATGGCTGCCGCAATCAAAGCCATCAATGCGAAGATCCGCTCCAACAAGGCGCTGGACTACTTCTGCTCAACACGTACGTCCTACCTCGGCCATGAGCCGACGAATGCTCCAGCGCTGTCGCTGTCTTGACGTTTGTCCCGCGAATGGTGTCAGTGACAAGAGCGAGCAAGCTACTTGGGCGCACGCGACCACTCCGACAAGCGCGCAACTAAAACACACCCGACATTCAGGAAGTCATGGGCTAACATCTATTGCTACATCCAGATTTCTGGGGTCCAGCCTCAAACTTTGGTATTCCTCTGGCTGCGATTGCCGATATGAAGAAAGACCCTGAGATGTACGTTTGCGCCGATTCGACCCGAGCCACGAATTAGTCTAGCGAAGCCCAGCTCGAGAGGATGCAAGGCGCTGGAAGACACACACTAACTTGACTTTTTGTGCAGTATCTCCGGGCCCTTTACCGCATCCCTCGCCTTCTACAGCGGCACTTTCATGCGATACTCTATGGCTGTGACACCCAAGAACTACCTCCTATTTGCATGCCACTTCATCAACTTCAACAGTCAGCTAGTGCAAGGTTACCGGTGGTATGACTACTGGTAGTAAGTTTACAATTGGACAAGGGAATGAGAAATATAGGCGCTAATCATCGAGCAGCATGGGCGGTAAGACGAACTCCGAGAATCTGAAGCTACAAGCCGAGGGCAAGGCATCTGAGCTAGAGACAAAGGCGGAAGGAGCCCTAGATCAAGCAAAGCAGACCGTACAAAAGGGCGTCGAAGAGGCAAAGAAGAAGGTGTCGTGATCGGCTAATGTGGAAGCTGCGCTTGCGAGTAGAAGACCGGCGGCGGACTTGGCGACCAGTGCGCGAGTTTGTTTGCCGATAGCATCCTGGTGCAGATGGCCGATGAGTCGGAGGTATACATAATGTCAGGTCTGTATACAGCACAAAGATCAAGACTTTACGGCCCTCATCTTGTCCATCTTCGCGGGACATGGCGCGAAATACGGTCTGCTGACTGAGTTCGCAAGCAGTTCCAACCGGCTTTCTTGTTAAAGGTGAATACTGACCAAGATGTAGTGCTCATACGTTGCCCGGCTCACCCTTCAGAGGCATGCTCACCTGGATCGCAGCTGCCATACTGCTCTCCGGCTTTTTCTCGTACTGGATGCAGCCTTTTGAGTTGCTGACTGGACACCAAGCTTGACACCTGCTGCACGTCCATCACTCGCCTTGTGGGTTGTTGTTTCTCTCTTCTTTTTCATTTTCGGTCATCCACGAAATCAGCATAACTCAACCTCGTCGCCGGGTATTTCCAAGTCAATGGCAGTCTACATCTACCTTTCATGGCAGAATCTTCCACGAACCCAGCATTCTGTCGTATTACAGACGGCTTTTTGAATCCCCACGGACAACCTGAGGCTCACGGAGCGAGCGTCTACATTCCCGTCATTCCACGATCGACCGATGCAAGGCTTCTTTGCTGTCGACCTTGAGCTCTCCACATTAGAGCTTGCGCTTCTACAGGCACTTCAGAATTACGGCAATCACAGCGACCAAAGACGCAGCAAGGCACGTTCAACGGCCGAGATCTTGAGAATGCCTTTTAACCCTACACACCCTTCTGCAGACTTCGAGGTCCGTGTAGGGCTTTGGCGCAAGCCACATCTACCCGTGGGTAGGATTCTTGTTTCGTGGGTCGGCGACTGCACGGCCTGAGGGGCAATTTTCTAGAAATATGCTAATCCGTGATAGCCTCCAGTATTGGAGCAGTCATGAATTGGAAGGTTTTATTAGCATCTGTGGCTGAACAAGGGCTCTGTGTATAACTTTCGGATTGCCAACGACGATGGTGCTGGTATGGGTGGACAGCAAGGCCACTCGGCGAGGATTTTCCAGCACACAATGCCACAAATGCGCGATCGTCGACTCACACACGGGTCAACATACCTAGGACGCACCAAAGGCAATCGAGAGCATAGCATTGATGCCGTTTGTATCAGATCTGCGGCGGAGTTCATGGCCACAAGTCTAACTAGGGGCGGAACACGCTCAGAGCGTGACGCTTACGGTCCAGGTCGGGAACGAGCTGTCTGAAAAATCTTGGTAGAAATGAGCATGCGGTTTGCAAAACACTCTCAGCTATCCATACAGATAAGTAGTTGTCATCACATCATAAGAATACACGATTCCAATCCCGACCTTGCGCCAATTTTTGGATCTCTCAAACCCACAGTGCCTTGCGCCGTCAGACTTTATTTGCCCTCACCCTTGGTGAAGCTATTCCACATATTTCCCAGCATGCCCTGGCCGGCCTGCTGATCGGTGAAGCTGGCCTTCTTGGCCGTTTGGCCTTCGTCCTGGCTGCCACGTTTGTGGGCGCTAAGGCCGGCGAACTTGTCCGAGGCAGATGACTGCGGCGTGCAGGTTAGTAGATATTGGGGAAGAGGGGGTTCCTAGAGGATGATCGGATGGAGTATGAAATGGAAAATATGGTAAGGACGGGAAAACGTACGCGTCTTCGACCAGCAGCGGCACCAGCGGTAGGGCCAGATGCGGACGTCTGGCCGAGAACAGAGGTCGGGGTCTGCTTGCTGTCGGACTTGGGTGGTGAGCCGGCGGCAGAGCCGTCTTGAGATGAGGTGCTGTTGGAGCGAGGCTTGTAGTTGTACTGCTTCATGAACATATTGGCGGTATTGGCTTGGGTGTTTGGAGATCGAGTAAAGTGAGGGTTGGTTACTGGATCGATGAAGGTATTGTGGGGGACGAGGTGTGTGCTTTGGGTTGAGAAAAGGCAGATAGGAAGAAGTGCCAGACGACTCGTAGGCCTTGCTTCTGAAGGAGAATATAAGGATAGTCAGACACACAGCGCTTCACGTGCTTTCAGTAGGTTGATGATCGCTGCTCAACTCAATGACGTAGGCGCCGTTGGAGGAGTTCGATTGGCGATCGAAGGCAAGCGCAACCCTTAAAGCAGTTGCTCCCGTCAGCTTGAGCTGAGATTGTGTGGATACTGGAATGCAAGACTGAGTCCTGCGAATCGTGCGAGAGACTTCAGGATTTCAGAGCAGCACAATGTAAATCGCCCTTAGGAACCCTTGAGTAGAGTCTGTAGGCAATATATATTTCGTTCCTCGTGAGACTTACCCCTCCTCAACCCTCGAGATATCTTCGTATCCGGGATGGCCGCTCATTATTGTTGGAGGGGTCAGGCGTCACGGGCCCGGAGTGAACCCTTAGACTGCGGTCCTTGGACCTACCATTTATTGCCTGGTGGTCTGACTATCCGTATCCATTGGTGGCCGCTGCTCGCTTTGACGTTACAGAATCGTCATTCCCGATTTTTGGACCCACTGACCAGCTTGATCAGCAAGGGGTACTGCTTGAAGCTAGGTCGCCCATTCTTACTGGAGAGGATGTGGGTGCAGCACTCTTTGGCTATGATCTGTGGGTAGCTAGGTGGGACGTGCAAGGAGACTGCACCCCGCAATCGTACGGCTTATGTTATGGAGCTTCGAGACGAGTAATTCCTCGCCTGTGATAGGCCCCGAACCATTGGGTAATTTCACATGTGATTCTCGGGCACACTGAGGGAGCAGAGAAGGTACAGGGGCGACATAGGGGTTGAGCTGCCGAATGGTTCGTACCAATACTTGACTTAAGCCAGCTCTGGCGCTGCTGATAAACTAATGATAGACAACACCCGGACACCGTACCACCCCTTTTCCCTTGCCGTGTGGTATCTTGGATGTTGTATAGCGGGACCGTCCCAGCGATTCAATCAAGTCCCTTGGATCTAGGACTTTGCAATCTTGCACACCAAGTCCGATCCGGCAACCGAATCACCTTCCTTGATGCTGAGATTGCTGACCTTGCCGGAGTGAGGCGCACTGATGACCATCTCCATCTTCATGGCTGACAGCACTGCGATGGGGTCGCCCTTCTTGACTTCCGCACCCTCACCAGCACGAACCTCGACGACCACACCTGCCATAGGTGCACCAACTTGGCTGCTGTCACTAGGGTCAGCCTTGGCTCGGCTGGTGTTCTCAACGGCGGCCTTCTTATCATCGATCGTGACTACACGCACTTCGCCGTTCATTTCGTAGAACACCTCCCGCTGGCCAGTCTCATCAGACAAAGGACCAATGGCAAGCATCTTCAGGATCAGGACCTTGCCCTTCTCGAGCTCGATATTGAACTCTTCACCAATCTCGGGCTTATTCAAGAAGAACTTGGTCGGCAGCACTGATAGATCACCATACTTGGCCACAAAGGCCTTGTAATCCTTGAAAACTCCAGGATACATGATATGGGAGGCAACGTCGGTCTCGCTCGTTGTGTTGTACTTCTCCTTGAGCTCCTTGCGGACGTCGTCGAAGTTAATCGCCTCCAGATAATGTCCCGGACGCTCGTCCATCTTCTTGCGATCGCGGAGAGCCCTGGACCGGAGCGGTTCGGGGAACCCACCGTATGGTCGGCCCATCTCACCTGCCAAGAATTCGTAGACGGAGCCGGGAAAGTCGAGTTCTCCTGCTTTTTCAACAACGGCCTCGGGAGTGAGCTTGTTGGAAACCATGAATTGCGCAAGATCGCCGACGACTTTGCTAGTCGGCGTTACCTTCACCACGTCGCCAAGAAGATCATTGGCTTGCTCGTAGGCTTTCTTGGTCTCGAGCCATCGAGAGCCAAGACCAAACGTGGCGGCTTGGAAAATGAGATTTGTAAGTTGACCCCCAGGTATTTCGTGCTCATATACCTGAAGACGTCAGCAAGTCTGTTGTATAAAGGACGGAAGTGGAGAACTTACTTCTGGATCGGGACCGGTCAACCCAGCCTCGAAGGGAGAGTAGAGGAGGCGGAGCTGCGACCAATATTGATCGAGAGCGCGGACATTGGCAACGTCTAGTCCAGTAGCATGGTCGGTCCCCTCGAGAGATGCCATGAGTGCTCCGATTGAAGGCTGCGACGTCATACCAGAGAGCGAGTCGGTCGCAGCGTCAACAGCATCGGCACCAGCTTCAGCACAGGCCACCATAGAAGCGACGCCGGTGCCAGCGGAGTCGTGGGTGCTGAGAGTTTGGTCAGCAGGTTCGGCGACTGAAAGTTGCTTGAGACATACTGGACATGAATTGGTAGATCCGGGTACTTTTTGCGGATGCTGCCAATAAGGAGGCGAGCAGCCTTCGGCTTAAGGACGCCGGCCCTGTAATCGTCAGCATATTTGAGTCGACGATGATGATGAAATTGCTCATACATGTCTTTAATACCAAGAATATGGGTTCCGATGGCGACGATCTGGTCCACAAACTTCATGTAGTACTCGAGATTGTACTTCTTATCAGGGTTCTAGAAGGGAAGTTAATTAGCAGATGCAGTGAAAATATGCGGGTAGCATAAGAGGGAACCAGTCCGTTGTAGGGCGCGTCCAAAGATTTAATGTAATGTCACTCTGGTCCTGGATCCCATGGTCGCGCAAATGAGTTGGAAGGCTCCATGAGCAATGTTGTCGTGACCCTGGCTGATCTAAAGTTCAGAATCGCACCTGAGGTATCGAGGCTATGGGCCGGTGCCCTCTCTGAGTAGGTTCGTGTAACCTGACTGGGGCAAATGCTTCGACCGGTCTTTCCGGAACATGGTGTGGAACAAGAGACCGCTCACTGAGAAGGCGAAGATGAGTATGGCACATCCGTGCTGGACGCCATCAGAGGTGCAAATCCAGGTCGCTGTCCATCGAGGATCGAAATTCACGGCACAGGGAATGGGGAAAGGGAAGTGTTCAGCATACCAACATGTCCCCAGAGTAGCACTAGTCAAGTAGTCAGCTCCGCAGCGGCAGTCGGATGAAGGTATACATACGACCGTTGCTTCAAGCACGCCACCAGCCTCCTTCACAGCCTTCATGCCGACCTCTAATTGTTCTATGTCGTTAAGGGCATCAAAGACTCGGAAAACATCCATGCCATTCTTCTTTGCCTGCTTGCAGAAGTGGTAGATCGCATTGTCGGGAAGCGACTTGTAAGCCACACCATTGGCTCCACGTAGCAGCATTTGGAATGGAATGTTTGGCACGAGTTTGCGCATCTTACGCAAGCGATCCCACTGTGAGGGCAAATGTCAGTGACCTTCAATCGGAACAACTCACGTGGGGAAGCTCACTGGGTCTTCATAGAGGAAACGCATGGCAACGTCAAAGGTGGCACCACCCCAGCATTCGAGGGCGTACGCGTTGTTGAGAGCGTAGCTAGTCTCTCTGGCGATATTGCATAGATCGACAGTACGCACACGAGTAGCGAGCAGCGACTGGTGAGCATCGCGCCAAGTAGTATCCATGATCAAACAGCCCTTGTTGGCGCGAACAGCTTTGGCGAAGCCCTCAGGGCCATCTTTGTCAATGATTTGTTTCCAGCCCTTCGTACACGGCTGCGTAAGATCGACGGGCGTCTTTCCGTCATCACCGAAAATGGTAGGGTATATGATATCCCCTTTGAACTTGGATTCGCCAACCTGGCCAGCAATGCTGCTTCCATTGACAGCAAGATCGCCAAGGTACTGGAGTAGTTTTTGGGCTCTGTTCTGAGTGCCGATAAGCTTGAATAGTTCGGGCGTATCGTCGATGAAGGTGGTCCAGCAAGTACCTTCGATGAAGGTCGGATGGGTGAGAAGCGATGCCAAGAACGGAATGTTGGTCTTGACTCCGCGGATTCTGAACTCAACCAGAGCTCGGAGCATTTTCCGCCGAACGATCTCATACGTAGATCCGTGGCAGGAACATTTGACCAGCATGGAATCGTAATGCGGGGTGATGATAGCACCGGCAAAACCATTACCGCCATCAAGACGGACACCGTTACCACCAGCTGAGCGATACACCTCAATTTTGCCAGTATCGGGCTGGAATCCTTGCGATGGATCCTCGGTAGTGATACGACACTGGATCGCAAAACCACGAGTGGAGATGCGGTCTTGAGTCAAGCCGAGCTGCTGCAATGTCGCGCCAGCAGCGATTTGGATCTGTGCAGCAACGATATCGATGCCAGTGATTTCTTCCGTGATGGTGTGCTCGACTTGAATACGAGGATTGATCTCGATGAAGTAATGGCGGTTTTTCTGATCAACCAGGAACTCGGCGGTGCCTGCGTTGCGATAATTGGCAGTCTTCGCAAGCTTGATGGCATCGTTGAGAATGGCATCTCGGGTCTCGGTAGGGAGATCTTTCGCAGGAGCCAGCTCCACCACCTTTTGGTGCCGACGCTGTACAGAGCAATCGCGCTCGTACAGGTGAACGACGTTGCCATGGTTGTCACCAAGCAGCTGCACTTCGATATGCTTGGGTCTGTCGAGAAAGCGCTCAACGAACACTGTCCCGTTGCCGAAGGCCGACTTGGCCTCAGAAGTAGCACGCTCAAATGAATCCTTGAGGGACTCTTGGTCACGAACGACACGCATACCGCGTCCACCACCACCAAAAGCAGCTTTGATGATGATGGGGAAGCCATACTTGTCTGTGAATGATTTGACCTCCTCATATTTCGCAACTGGGCCCTCAGTACCAGGAACGCAGGGCACATCAGCCTTCATGGCGAGGGTTCTGGCTGAGACCTTGTCACCTAGCTCTTCAATGGTCTTCCAGCTAGGACCAACGAAGATGATGCCAGCCTCCTCGACCTTCCGGGCGAATTCAGAGTTTTCTGAGAGAAATCCATAGCCGGGGTGTATCATCTGGACGCCGTGGGTGAGGGCAATCTTAATGATCTCATCTCCAGCAAGGTAAGCCCCGACAGGAGTGTATTGACCTCTCGCGCCGATCATGTATGCCTCGTCCGCCTTTTGTCTGTGCATGCTGAGACGGTCTTCGTGGCTGAAGACGGCAACTGTCTGGAGGGAGAGCTCGTGTGCGGTACGGAAGATGCGAATAGGGATTTCACCTCGGTTGGCAACGAGGATCTTGTTGAGCTGCATAATGGTCGAGTTGGCTCTCAGTCTGTTGTGGACCGAGTGCTCGAGGTGCCCGTCAGTCTCGACGGGCGTTTGAGTACCATCTTGGGTAGACATAATGGTGGGCGTCTAGAGCTCGACTGCTGTTACGAGCTGTTCGAGGGGTGAAGGGAAGCTCGCGAGAGCTACAATTGAGCAACGTAGACGGATTGAAGCTAATAAACAATGAATAGGTAGCTTGCTGTGCCTCCGGAGGGGACCGGGGTGTAGGCAGGGCCAACGGAATGCAGTCCGTAAGCTTGTAGCGTGCTAGCCGCGTTACACAAATGATGAATGCGGGACGCTCCCTTAGGATAACCTCGGGCTCCGAAGGTTATGGGTGAGGGACGACAGCAGCTCTCGATGTTTGGGTAAGTATGCTATGAGCGATTGTATGCTTGGGATGCTGATGTGATGCGATAACGGAGGGAAATGAGCAGCTAGGCGCTCCGAGCTTTTCTTCTGTGGTGTTTTGCTCCTTCTTGCCTGATGGCTGCGTCCCCACGCTCTTCTTCACTGCTTTGAGCTTGGGCCAGTGCCATGACGCAGGAAAAGCCGCGGGGCACCTGCTGCATACCTTTCCCGCTTTGGTATGGCGCCCAGGCTTTATCTTTGTTTCACCTCGTCTGGGCATCTGATTCATTGCAGATTCAGCCTCTTTCTGGTACACGCTATCCTTGCTATAGATAAGCCGGGCTCTCGTCAAATGTGGTCAACTAGACCGAGTTGAGCAGAGCCACGTCTCAACAAGAACTCACGATGACAGAGCAAAAAACGATCTAACACGATTGGGCGGGTTTTCGTAATGGGATTTGAATACATGTCGCCCTACAATGGTGTGGGGGTTTGGGCTGTGCCTGGATGCTGAAGGGCCGTAGCCTATGGCTAGAGGCTCCCCACCACCATCGCCTGCCTGCAGAAAATTTATCTAGCTTCAAGGAGCTTTTCTGAAGACTCCTCAAACCACAACCCACAAGCCTTTTGCATCGTGCACAATACCGGTTACAACTCGCATCTCTCACCGCCGATGGTCTGCCCTGGCCTCGGTCGTGGGACCGGAGCATCAAGAACATCCCGACTCCACCCGCGATCCATGGCGCCACTGCCCCAGCATTGCCAGATCGTCTTTTGGGCTTACTCCGATCTTAAAAAGCTCGGGGGAAGCCGGTCGGCTGAGGGGTGATGCCGTTGGTCTGTCCATAAGGAGCAGGCGACGGCGAAGGGTTGGTCGGACCTTGGGTCAGCATCAGCCGGCCGCCAAGAATGGGTGTGTTGTCGTCGTCCTTCTTCTGGGAAGCCTCACGAGCCTTGCGCTCGTCATTGTCCTTCTTTAGCTGCTCAATGGTGGCAGACTGTTGGCTCATGTAGGAAATCATGAATGGCATAGTGTAGTCATTGAGGCCATGACGCCAGGAGATTTCCATGACAACATGCATAGGAATGAGGTCGTAGCAGGCGTAGAGCATACCGACATAGCATTCGCGGCTGCCAATGTCCACAAACTGTGCTTTGTTAGTAAGGGTCAGGTAGAAATAGGAAGAAACTCACGTATCGTAGCAGCTCCTCGACCACCTCGGGCTTACCAGAAATGGCGGAAGTTTCAATAGCATCTTTGAACAACTTGTCCTGCTTGGATAGAGCAATCGACCGGTCCCACCGCTTGTTCTTGCGATAAATTTGGGCAGCGATCTGCCGGAAAAAGACAAGCTCGTGCTTCTCAAGTCTCTGGGCAAGATTCATCGCGTCGTAGTTATCGTAGTTTTCGACGGAGTCTCTCAGAGTCTTGTAATCCTCCTCCTCAATCAGAAGCTCGTGAATGGCATCGTTGACAGTCCGCTTGTTCTGATTTTGCACATTCAAGAGGAAGGGCTTGATCATAGGGACATTGTCTGAGGTCTTGAAGATCTTGACAACCCGGTTGACGTCAATCCGAGGAGTCAAAGCTTGCAAGAGATCTGTTAGAAGCAGTGGCTGCTCCTGAAGGTAATGGTTGATGGCACGGTAGTAGATCTCCAGATTGGCCACCTTGACAATGATATCCTTGAACGAATGATGCTCCCAGGCGTCAGCAGCCCGTTCCATCATTGCGAGCGCCGCGTTGTCCCACTCATCGTAGTGGCAGTACAAGAAAATCAGCTCAGGCCAAAGGTGAGCATCTTCACAAGCCCGGATCATCTTGGGTATGTTAATACGACTCCAGAAGACCGAGAGATGATTCATGACACGGTCGGGATGGTACTTCGAGAGAGCGATGCCGAGTTCGGTGAACATTCCCATATGCGCACGTTCCAGCCCAAGGCCAGCTTCCAAGAGAGAGATGAGCTCCTCGAAATAGCCTTCGCGCTCATATTGCTTAACGAGATCCGAAAGCTCCTCGGCATGAACAATGAGGTTCAAGCCACAGATCTGAGCAAGTCGGAACTCCTTCTTGGCAACACAGGCCTCGTTGACTTGCTTCCATACTTTGACGCTGTTGGCACGACGAGCACAATCAACAGCAGCCTGGTACTCCTCGAGATGCACGAGAGTGGTAGCCAGCTTAGCCCAGTTAGAGACGCTGGTGAAAAAGATCTTTGCAGCCTGATGGTAGCCTTCTTCATAGGCTTTGTCGCCGGATGCCTCGACATCAGCAACATTAGGAGACCGAAGGAAGTCCTCCAACTCGGGGAGCTGATCAAGACGGGCATAGCTAAAAGCCAGAGCAGTGTCAACAGCAGGCTCGCGCTGAGTTTTGCGGGCCATCTTGAGATACTTGACGAGCTCTTCGTCTTTTCCGGCATGAGTGGCAGTCTCGATAACTTCATTGAAATTGCTGGGGTCGTTCGCTTTGATGTAGGACTCGATAGAATCGTTGACGCGGAGACCGTCAAGTTGGGCCTTAGCAACCTTGCTCCAGACTTCGGGCAGATCAACTTCTTCTGCGTAGTCCTGAGCGCGATCAATGCTCACAATGTGGTCAACCAGGACATTGGCAGCCTGGGAGTGGTTGTTGACCTTCTTGTGAATAGCTAATGCCTCCTCGTAAAGTCCCTGATCTATACAAAGGCCTGCAATCTCATCCACAGAGAATTGATCAAGCTTGTGAATGTAGTCCATGAGGCGACCCTTGTCTGCTTTGGCCGCAGTCAGCATGAGCAGATTCTGCAAGCTACCGTTTTCGCTGAACGGAGACGGCTCAAGAATGATCTTCTCCAGCAAGTCGATAAGCTCACCGGGCATATCGGCGTCGACGAATGCCTTGACCGCAACGGAAACCTTGTCAGGCTCTGTTGATTCCGGGACGGCGGTGGCGGTGACTTGATCCACGAGCGAGCGACGGTACTCGTTGTTCGGACCCAAAGCGAATGCCCAGACCTCAGGATCAGCACGTTCCAGAAGGTAGCGTGCCTGAGCGCGGAACATTGAGTTCTCGTTGGTGACATTGATAAGCTCGATATCATTCTGGCCCTTGCGATAGGCAATATACGCAAGGTTCGGGTCCCGCTTCTCGCAGTATCTTCCTATGACCAGGGTATCGTAGTTTTCGGTCTCTTTTAAGAAAGCTTCGGGATTGTGGTTGGAGTCTGTGTGAGATGTCAGCATCATACGCGCGACCCAAAGAACAGAAATGGAGGGGTCAGCGTTGAACGGCCTTGGAGGGCGCCAAACCACCAAAGGGGGCACAACAAAACGAGGCTGGGTCAGCTTTGGACCTTCCCAGGAGGGCGCCAGAGTACCATAGGGGGCGTAACAAAAAAATTTGGGGAGGGAAACGGACCTATATAGATCTTTGCTAGGCCGTTGGTGACACTCTGGGCCTGGTTACCACTCTGCAGGGTGGACTCGAGGAATGGCAGCAAGATTTTCAGACGATTCTGAGACTCGACTTCTTGAACAAGCTCGTCCATGGGAATAGCAGAGGCGTCGACTGACCGCAGCAGATCCTGAATGACACGCTCCTCACAGTCGAGGGCAAGCAGAGCACCAACAACAGCAGGAGTCCTCGAGGGGTTGACCTGCTGAACGTAGACTTCGATGGACTTGTACTGCTGGTTGCGATAAAGATAATTGACTAAGTCCTTGACAAAGTTGAAGCGATCGCAGACAATGATGAGGGGAAGCTGCTCAGAAAGACGTGCTTCAATTAGGAAGGCTTTTACCTTCTCAGGATTGAAGTGGTTGTTTTCCCGGCAGATACGCTCAACTTCCGTGAACTGTTGCATGGTGACAGCGGCCTCGAGGTACTTAAAGATTACATCGGGATCCTCGCTCAAGTTGACAATGCTCCCAAGGAAATAATACAGACCCTCAGCAGTGCGGTGACGCTCGAAGAGTTCAATCAGACGGCCAGCGCCAAGAAGCTCAGAGTACTTGGTGGCAATCTGAAGGACAGCCTGGAGGTTCTGGCGGATGTTGGAGTTGAGCATCTCGTTCATGGCATCAAGGGAGTCGTCGACTGATAATCTACCGAAGTATTGCTGGAGGAAGTCGGGGCTCAGCTTGTCGGTTTGAACAATGATACGCTTGATAGCGGCAGGATCTTCGGTGTTTTCGAGAGCACGCTGTAGAAGACCCGCTTGTTCACAAAGCTGCGAGATGCGAGCCTTGTCGTAGTGGGTAAACATTTGGTTGCCCAGAATAGCATCGGCGACCTGAGGAGCATTGATAAGATTCATCTCTAGTAATCTGGTCTGGAGTTGACCCTGGTCTTCACGATTATCCTTCAGAGCGTCCAGAAGGAAGGCAGTGGCCTGCTGAACCATGTTCTGGGACATGAAAATGTCAACAACACGGCCAACATCAACCATGGGGCCGCCCTCAGTGTTGGCAAGCTGAGTAGCAAATTCGGCGCCCTTTTCGGGATTGACGCGCACGATGTGCTGCAACAGCTGAACGAAGTCGGGCTGATAACCAGTCTGAGCAGAATAGGGAAGGATCTCGTCAAAACGACCAGTCTCAGCAAGGGCAGCGACGGTCTTGGAGGGCACACCGGCCTCGCGGTAGATGGTCAGAGCAGCCTCAACATCGTGGAGACGGACAACATCACCAAGCTCCTCCGAGTACTCAAGTTTGCCTTCACTCATCCATTTGGTGAGCAATTGCTTACGGTTCTGAGCAAGCACAGGCTTGATCAGCTCGAGGGTCTCGTATCGGTTTAGCTTGCCCTTGTCAAGCAGCAGGCCGAAGTACTGGAGAATGACAGACATCTGGCCTTGACCAGCTTGAACGCTCTTGAATCGATTGATTGTCTCCGCAGTACGGAGGAAGCCGCGTGGAGAGTTGGCGGCAAACTTGGATGCATCCTGGTAGTTACCAGCATTGAATGCGTTCTCGAACTGTTGGCGATACAAATCATCGGCGCCCGCCAGGCCAGCTCTGGAAGCTAGCTTGGTAGCCAGCTCAGTGTTGGCAGGGTTCTGAAGAAGATAGGGAACTGCATTGTTCTCGTCGAGGCTGACGGAAAGGACCTGACCCTTGCGGTTGATACCAATGATGCCAGCTGAATCGCCATCGGGAGCCGTTACGAAGATGGTTTCATTCGAAATGCGGTTCATGAAGATACACGTACCGGTCTCCAGGTCGTACAGGTGAATGAAGCCGTACTTCGTGATCATATAAATGATGGAGTATTTTGACGATACCTGCATGGCGACAGGGAAATCATTCACAGCCTCTTGTGGGAAATAGACATCAACAGCCTTTTTCTGGAAACGGGCGTTATTCTGGCTAGGGTCGATCTCGACAACGTGCAGCTTAGCACCGGTGGCAGTTCGGACGCTGAAGGTGAACAGCTTGTATGGCTCTGGCTGACCTTCTGCGTGGAAGGTAGCGAAGGCTGCAGCATGGCCCTCAATGTTCTGAGAGATGCCACGGGCTTTAGAGTAGAGCTGCATTGAGCCGGCAACGCGACCCTCTTTCTGAGAGATGCCAACCACGACCATCCACTGCTCATCGTCGTTGACACGGTAGTTGATGATCTGATTGCCGCTCAAGTTCGGGCTCCGCTCGAACATTTTGACTGGCGCATCTTGCGTAGGGTCGAAGACGTTCCAGTGGTAGACGGACGTGTCGGTGACGAGGCCGAGTGAAGTCTCGCTGAACCACTTCCAGAAGACGACGTCTTCGGCCATCACCGTGGACTTCAACTTCGACTTGGTCGCGAGATTGAAGACTTGAATGGTCTTGCCCTGAGCCTTGAGAGCAAGGATCTCTTGCTTCCAGTGCATGATAGCACTGTCGGCGGAGATGGCTCGCTTGACGATGTCATTGTTGTTTTTGAGATTGACTATTATTACTTGAGGCTTGTCATCGTCGTTGACTTTCTGTCGCACGCAAACGAAGGAATCGGATTCTAATGTCTGTCATCTTGTCAGATCACAAATTCTCGAGATTCGCAAGCACGCAACTTACACAAGTGTTGAAGCCAATGGACGCAGGCTGGAGAAAGTTGTTAGCAGGTGTTGATATGGCCGAGCGCAGCCTGCGCAGCCGCGCATCTGATCTCGGTGGTACGTCGAACTTACAGCAATGCCGAGCTGGGTCAACTATACTCTCGTTAGTGTTTTCCTCTCGTAGCGAACGCGAAACATACCTGAGCCAGTTCAGTGAACTGGATGGGCAGCTGGCCAGCCATGATGTTGCGCAACTACCACCTCCCCTGCGCTCGCATACACTGTGAGCTGGCAACTGCAACCTCTTTTTGAAAATCGTACAGGTCGCAAAAGAACTTTGAAGGGATACCGCAATAAGGGCAAGAAGGTGGGAGTCGTTTGTGGAATTACAGTGCGGAGGGTGGATGAGTGAGCTCCTGAGATGGAAAGCCAGGTCACTGAGAAGCGCACGAAGCCTGACGCGCTGCGCTGGCCTTTCCCAGAATGGCCGCCTTAGAAGCCCTAACCCTAAACATTTTGGGCAACTCCGTCATGCTGCATCTCAAGCATGCCATTTGACAGACCTTGATTGACAGCATAGTGACCTATCGCACCTGCATTCTACCTCTACCTTAGGGTCACCAAGTGATGCTACGAAGCCTGTCTCGAACAACATTTCGCTCAGTTGCTTCAATACCAGGAAAGCCACTCCTGCAAAGCAGACTCTACGCTGCCGGAAAGCCAGCTCCGCAGTCTTCACACCGACCTGGTGGGCAGGGAGAGCCGATCAAGTGGATTCCTCTGGTCGCGTTCTTCTTCATTGGCAGTGGCACCTACGTGTTGATGGTCAGAAAGAGAGCTTCTCTGTCTCAGCAAGAAATCTCTGGTGAAACTCGCAAGACCGGTCGTTACCAACGCAACGTCTAAATTGGCCACTATCAGACATGGCTGCACCCGCTACCGCTCTGCCAGACCCTGTGGCACAGCCGGACCCACCTTTGGGCAACACGAACCTGTCCCCAGTCTTCGACCCTCAGAAAGTGACTGTTGTGTATATCCTCGGTGGCCCAGGCGCCGGCAAGGGCACTCAATCAGCACATCTCGTTTCAGACTACGGCTTCACGCATTTGTCGGCCGGCGACCTACTACGAGAGGAACAAGGCCGAGAAGGTAGCGAATACGGCGAACTCATCAAGAGTTACATTAAAGAAGGTCTCATCGTACCGATGGAGGTTACGGTCAAGCTTTTGGAGAACGCTATGAGGGCCAAGCTTGACAACGATGGGAAAGGACGGTTCCTCATTGATGGCTTCCCTCGAAAGATGGATCAGGCCATGTTTTTTGAGCAAGCTGTGTGCCCCTCCGCATGCACTGTCTTCCTGGACTGCCCTGAGGAAGTAATGCGCAAGCGCCTGCTGCACCGTGGGTTGACGAGCGGCCGAGCCGACGACAATGAGGAAAGTATTGTAAAACGATTCAGGACCTTCGTCGAGACCAGCATGCCAGTGGTCAACTACTTCGAGGAGGAAGACCGAGTTGTCAAGGTGGGTGCTGACAAGGAAGAAGGCGAGGTCTATGCTGGTGTTATCAAGGGTTTGGCAGAGAAGGGCATCAATCCAACCAAATGATCACGCCGGCAGGCTAAGGAGCATTTGCAAAGATTGGACACACAAGAGGTATCGGATGGGGTATCATTGGCTTAGGCAGACCTGTGTTCAGTGCACTCGTCAGCATCCATAGACCATCAAAGCCATTATTCCTCGGCATCTCCATCCTCCTCACTGCTCTCATCTTCACTGCCACTGAAGCCTTCAAATTCTGAAAGGCCGAATTCATCATCTGCCTTGGCTGGCAGCATGGTAAAAGCTCTCAAGCACGTGATGCGGTTGCCTGTCTCGTAGGTACCAATGAGCTTTCCACATTGCCCACCAGCGTTCTCTTGAGCAGACCGCCACTCATCTGACGACAGGTACCAGACTCTGATGGCGCCGTCACTGCTCGCCGTCACAACGATAGTCTGACCTACAGCGCCGTTGACAGATAAGACCTCGAAGTCCTTGACCCTGCCAGCAACACCCGCCGCCTTCCCACCCAACTGCATCAGCACCTTCGCATCCGGTAGCTCATCCTTTGTTTGTTCAGAGGCTGTCGACTCTGCGCTGTAGAATATGATTCTTCCGTCTTCTGTACTAACAGCCAGCACCGGAATCACATCCCCCTTCTTTCCCGGCAATTCGAACCAAGCCATCTGGTGCACTTTCGTAAGCGGACTGGGTAGCACCCTGCACTTCGGCTTGCTGTCTTCGCCGAAGACCACTGCACCTCTCTCGAAGCTCACGACAAACTCTGCTCCTTTGGGACTCCACCGTATTTTCCTGCCCTCACCTCCGCTGTACTTGCCCTCCTTGACACCCTGCAGCACGTGCTTTTCAAAGTTGAGCACGCCAGCCTTCTTCCCGGTCACCAAATTCCACAGACGCATGCACTTCTCGCCTCGTCCAACGCTGAGCATCAATTTCATGGACGGATGAATCGCGAAATCATTTACGCCCGCAGGCGTAGCCCCAGGAGGAGCAGTATCGCCTGAAGGCTGGCCAAGGGCCTTTGGCCGTGGAGCTTTGATAGTCGACACAGTTGTCAGATCGCGTAGGCGGGAGATGGCGATGGTGTTGTCTTCAGATGCGGAGAGAAGTTTTGATCGTGAAGGGAAGTGTAGGGCTGAGATGTTCGAGGCGTGTGATAGGAGAGCTCCTATCTCCCGATTGCGAGGATTTTCAGAGACCTTGGTGTCGCCGAGGGTAGGCATGATAGGAACGCCGGAGTTGCTTGCCATCGGTGAAGCAGCCAAGTTGAAAACATTGACCTTCTCATCGGATCCGCCTGTAGCGAGGTAAACACCTTGGTCGGAGGACGACGCATCCGGCAATGGGGAGATAGCGAGGCAGCGTATGGATGAATCGTGAGCGTTGAATAGAAAGCTGTCCGCAAACTCGACCGTTGGCAAGACATCATCGCCGACGTTAGATATAGAGGCACTGATTCCGTGGAGCACACGCTCGTATGAGCCAGCAATGATCTGGATGATAGGCGTTGATGTCTTAACATCGACATGGCCGTTGGTTTTGGCTATCTTGGAAACCTTGCCATTGGGCCCTGAGCCATTGCTGCGGCTTGTCGGGTGGCTAAGAACGGGTTCTTGCCTCTTTCGTTTCGCCATGACAAGAGGGCGCAATACAGCACAATTCGGGCGCCGGACCAGCTCAACTCTGAGCAAAGTGGATGGAAGGTATATGCAGTTGCTAATACAAAATATTTGGCGACGGTACTGCCCGGTGTCAGAGGCACCTGCAAATAATTACCTGAGATACAGCAACGCCCGGTCAGGCTGGCTCTTAGAAATTTTTTGCAGACTTAGAAAAAAAAAGGCAATTGGCAGGGACCGACTGTCAAGCTAGCGCGAAAAGAGCGCCGATGAGGTCAAGGACCGAAATTAACGGGCCATTGGAGCATGCTGGGGAGGGGGTGCCCTAATCGAAGACAGAGCAGCTGGTGGGTGGGCGTAAAAGGGGCCTGGCGATGGGCGCGCAAAGGCTTGATGGGTGGTGCATCCGCGGCATAGTGACTGTGTTCAGGGTCGGGCTCAGGCTCAGCCCTTCGCTTGGTATGGTTTGCCCGCTTCCGCCTACATCGCTCTTCCGCAACATCCATCTGGCATCAACACAACGCCAGTACTACAACAAGCCTAAATCCACCACACCACGCTCAAATAAATCATTCTGAGCGACTTTTTCATCACTGTTTACTTTCATGCGTCCATCGTAGGATTTTTCCGATTTGAATTGCTGGATTTATGGCCAAAACTGGCTATGCAGCCATCCCAGCAGCTGCAATGGAAAAGATCCCAAGCAGAGTGAGCAACAATTCTTTGAAGCGACTCAAAGGCTTCTTCTATGTGCAAACAAATATCTGACGAAGTTTCGTTGTTTATAGAAACCGTCTGGCGTCTAGAAAGCGGAAGTTGTCTGAGCTGTTCTCGGTGACCGCGCACCCAGACCTCGACAACTATACCACCAAACTCCAGGCATTTCATGACGCAAATAATCTCAAAGGGTGTGTTTTCATCACAGGAATACTATCGCAATCTCTGCTTGCACCTTAACACACGTTATCGCGTCTTTATGATGGAATACTGACCTTCGACAGTGGCCGCCGCTTCGACGAGTCAACTCTTCCTCCACGCGCTCGAATAACTCGACTGCAAGGCAAGTCCCAGACATCCCCGACTATCGGCAGTACCTTAGCACCACATGCGACAACGCAGCGACAGAAGTCGCCGTCAAAATTCGATGCTGCCGCGTCACCTTTGCCATCATCGAAGTCGCATGCGCCATCCTCCGGTCGAGCGTCGCCATTATCCAGCATCACACAAGATGCTGTCGCGCAACCTGTTGACAAAGATAATGGACGCTCTAAAGGAGATGGCGGAAGCGACGGAACGGCCATAGTTGGACGCGTTGACACGCAGGTCGAGAACGCTGCGGGAGAGCTGCTCGATATTAATCCAGGCCTTCCCCCTGCTCTATCGGAAGATATCGACATGGATGAGGACACTGCGGTGCTTCAAAAGCCGCCTGCGCTGCCTTCAGATATAGTGCATACGTCTGGCCTAGATTCTGGACCCCCGCCCGATGCAAGTCGACGCAGCCACAGCCCGCTCGTCCAAGACAATCGATCGACACCAGTCTCGACACAAGACGCTGCTATGTCTCCCACATCACGGCAGAACGCTGTCTCACCCGACACAAGTCCTGCAGATGAAGGCTCGATGTTCGAACATGGAGATTCCGACGGCCGGAAAGGTATCAGCATCCCGAAACAGCCAGATACTCCGGACTCCACTCAACAGATATCCCCAGAGGATGCTCCGGCATTAGATATGGAGGCAGTAGCGGAGACAATGTCCAAAGTCGAGGGTAAAGCACATTCACAAGCTACTATTGCGCCTACGCAGTCCGACGGGGCAGTCGAACGGTTATCCCGAAAATCTACAATTCACCTCGATACAAACAGTGGCTTCAAACCTACCCTCTCCACGGGCATGGTAGAGTCGCCGGCGCCAATGACCACCGTCACCGCCACTCCTCGACGACCACAACCATCAACGCCATCCGCCGAAGATTCCTCACGACGGGCAACTCGCATCTCATCTGGTGTGCTGCAGAAGAAGTCCGTCTCCGAGATCCTGAACGAGGCTCAGCGGTCTGCGTCAGCCGAGTCTCCGATGTCTGACTCGCGTGATTCTGTTGGAGTGGCAGAGCGACGAGACAAGGAACGGAGCAAGTTGTCAACAGTCGTATTTGCCAAGCCACAGAAGACCGCCGATGGCGACAACGGTGAACTGGTGCAGGTGGATTCGAGTTCTCCACGGCACGGGTCGCCAAATCACCGGGACTATCTATACACACTGTTCGAAAACAAGGCTCATTCGATGACTCGAAATGGTTCGATGAACTACCTCATCCAGAATGCTCACAAATGTCTGTCTACCGCAGATCATCTTGTAGAATATCAGATGCAGACGGACTGCCGGATTCTGAAGAGAATATACCAGCTTCAGGAAAGAGGAAGGTGGGCATTAAGGCAGCACAAACGAGCGGAGGAAGCCCCACGACCAACTTCGCATTGGGACGTCTTACTCGATCACGCGAAGTGGATGCGTACCGACTTCAGAGAGGAGCGCAAGTGGAAACTTGCAGCGGCCCGTGGACTCGCCGAAGAGTGTGTGGAATGGATTCACAGCTCACCAGAAACCCGCAAACATCTTCAAGTCAAAGTTCGGCCACCGACCATACTACCAGAAGGCACCATAGGCCCGACAAAAGAAGACGACCGTGATTCGACAATGGACGATGGGCCAGGTCCGGCGCTGTCATCGCAGCCAACACCAGAGCTTATTCCTTCGAACGAGGATGACTCGATGAGCGATGACATTCCAGATCCTCGACACATCATTACCTCGATCTCACCTGCAGCAATATTCTCACTTGGCGCGTCCGAATACACATTTACAGTGGATAGGACTCCTGCATTCGACAAATTGCTGAACGAGCTCCCCCTGTACGAACCAGCTCCTATCGTACCGGATTACTCGAAATCTGATTTAGCGGAACGCCTCGATGCACGGTGGAAAACTGCCATTGTGCCTGTGTCAAAGTACGCTACTGAGAAACTCCACGTAACAGACGACCAGCCGCGGCGAAAGAAGAGCAGGTACGAGTACGACCTCGAAATGTCACCTACACGAAAGACCGATCCGCTACCACCTCGAGAACAGAACGTCGCTTTGTTCATGTCAGAGAACAAACACATACGGGATCGTATCCACCCTGGCCACTCTTTTCGACCACCCTCTGAACACCCCATGCCTACACAAGACTTCTTCCAAACTCGTTCCTCATCCCAATGGACGACTGCCGAGGATGACGAGCTCCGGAAACTGGTCAAAGACTACTCGTACAACTGGTCACTCATCTCAAGCTGTCTCACGCCGAGAAGCCTATACACATCCGGTGCTGATAGGAGGACACCCTGGGAGTGCTTCGAGAGATGGATCGGTCTGGAAGGTCTGCCGGCTGATATGTCCAAGACACCGTACTTCAAGACCTATTCCGGCAGAATTGAGGCGGCAGGTCGACATGTACTTGCTCAGATTGAAGAGGCTCAACGTAGAGCTGGAGCTAATGTCCAAATTCCTGCTCGCAAGAGAACCACCCAGCCTGTCCGGGTCGATCGTAAACGAACACAGCGACACTTGGCTATGCTGGACGCGATGCGGAAGAACGCGAAGAAAAGAGAAACTGCATTACAGAAGCAGCAACACCAGTCCGATCTGGCTGCTATGCGCAAGATGAACAACAGCGAGATCAACCAACCAAAGGCGCCATTCAAGACACCACGCGAGTTCGCCGCCCTCCGGCAAGAGCGGGATGCGAAGCGGGCCGAGCAGCAAGAAATCTACAGACAGCAGCTTCTTGCGCACCAGCGAGCTGCGCAACAGGCACAGCGAGGCCAGAATGCTACTCCCAACGGTCTACCAAGTGGCATGCCCAATGGTATGAACGGCCTGCGAGTCCCTACTGGTGGCGTTCCAGGTATGCCCAATGGAAATCTGCAAGTGCCGAACGGTGGTCGACCGCACCCTGCTGTAATGGCAGCAATGAACGGTATGCAGATGCCTCCAGGCATGATGGGTCCTAAGAACATGGCTCAAGCTCAAATGCAGGCTAATATGGCCCGTGGGATGGGGGCTTCCCCAGAACAGGTACGGATGATGCAGCAAGCCGGCAAAGTGCAGCAGCAACAGCAAGAGCTCTTACGTCAAGTTCAGCAGCAGGGTGGCCAGCACTCTTCGCCGAATGGACCCCACGCCTCTCTCTCCAATGGAAATGGAAGTACTCCCTTCAATATGGCAAACGCTAACGGCGCACCCTCACCCCACGGCAACGCTTCCTCGCCACGGTCTCAAAATTCCACTTCTGGACAGCTCTCTTCTGGACATGTCCCCGTACTTGTCCAAATCGCCAATAAAATCAAACAGCAATACCCCAACATGAATGACGAAGAAGTACAAAAGCACGCCTCCCAACAAATCCAGATGTGGCAGCAACAAGCTAGTCAAGGCGGCCCTAAGCGCCCTCAAGCCACGAACCAAGCGGCCCTTAATGCAGCCGTCGGCGCGATGAATTCCGCCGCTCACGCCAATAACAATGTGAACGCCGTGAGCGGAGGCAACGCCGGCTTTCCTCAAGGCATGTCCATGACGCCAGAGCAGTTGCAGCAGCTTCAGCAAGCACAACGTATGCGCATGATGCAAGCGTCACAACCAGGTGCTGCCGGTAGACAAGCTCAGCAGAGCGCGGCGATGCATGGCATGAACGCTATGGGCATGGGTGGCATGCCGATGCCCAACGGAGGGCAGGGGCAGGTGTCAACCAACAGCCCGGTGATGAATATGGCAAGGCCAGTCAGCCAGAGTGGCCAAGGGCAGGTGAGCAGGAGCGCCACGCCCAGTGCGCGAAGTGGTAGCATGTCTGGGCCCGGTCCCCAAGGTGCACTGAGCCCAGGTGGGGGGCAAGCGAGGCCTGGGAGCAGTCGGGCTATGGTTGGCACGCCGCAATCGCAAAGTGCACAACCCGCCGCGGCGCCGACACCACAGCCCAACGGGCAGAGCGCTTCTTAGTTGGAAGAGGAAAGGGAGTTGGATTCTGGTTTTGCCTTTGGCGCTGATCGCAGCTCGTGGACTACAGGGCGATTGAGGAGATTCGAGCCATCCGCGGATGATCATTGGGTCGAGGTTGCCAGGCCGGATATTGTAGCCCGCTCTAGTGCAACGACTGTGGCGGAAAACGAAGATGAATACGAGCGGCCGTTGGGCGACGTAGCTAGTAGTGGTAGTTGTACGACGCGCGATCTGACTTTGAGTTGGAGCTTAAGGCTCGATGTTGGGAATCAAATTTGAAGTTTGAGCAGCCGAGTTCAATGCGACGTCCGAGACCTCGAGCAGCGGTTCAGGGTGATGATGAAGGGTGTCTCGTGTTTTTGCCACGGCAGCACTGCATCCCTACCCCAGGCGAGGCGCGTGGTCTCGTCTGGGTGTTTCGCATTGGGAGCGCTGAGCTGGGATGAATTGGGATGAATTACAACCCGTAACAATGAGAACCTTTTTGGAGCTATTCAGCTTCATACGTGCACCTCTGTCTCGTTATAATCTCAGACAGAGAGTGCGAGAGACAAGCACGGCTTCTCACAAGGCAAACATCTAGGTAAAGAGATATCTTGGTGGACTGGACTGTCTGTGCCCGTGGTACTAGTGTGTCGTGGTTATTGATCTGCAAATCTCGATAGTATGGACAAGAACTTTTATCCAAACCAGGAGAGCCAAAGTCCTACACGTGGTTCCCCATACGCCGCGCTATGTCCTCGCAAAAATGCAAGTCGGTCTCCCGTAGAAGAAGTACTCCAAATCTCATTCCTCATCATGTAACCCAAATTATATCAAAGCCAACGCACCAACAACGGCGGCAACTGTTACCAGTAGCCCACTATTGCTGAGGGTCATCACCGTGGCTGCACTCTCCACGTTCACGGCTTCATCTGCAATCTTCAGGGTGGGATCGTACGGCGCTGGCTCTGTGCTGTTGACCGTGCCATCCCAACAAAAGTCCCTGAAGCACTGTTGGCATGATTCCGGGACCTCAATGCCCGCGCGATCGAGGCTGCGAGAGATGATGGCGCAGCCCACACAGGTTGGCCATGTTTCATCAAGCGTAGCATTTCCCATGGTCGCCACGTTGTACCCGTTAAGTACGATGGCATCACGCTCTGAGTTGTTGGTCGCCAGCTGGAAAGTGGATATGTTACTGTTGTACACGTAAGGGGCATTGGGAATGTACACGACCAGAGGCACATTGAGACCATCGGTCATGTTGGACGGGTCGCATCCGAAGAAAGTTGGCCGGGTATTAAGACCGAGGTTGACGAAGGTGTTCTGGTCTGGGACGCTTGGAAAAGCGGTGTCATTGGCAATGTCGCCGAATTGGCGTGAGTAGGTGGCAACCAGGGCGGTGCCATTTGGCCAACTTTGACTGGTGTCGGCGGAGGAATCCACGGCGAAGATCACATCAACGTGCCGGGAGGGTTGAATCAGAGGGTGCAGAGGGATGTTTTGCAGATCCTCACCACCATCGACCAGCGTCAAGCGCTCAGAGTCTGCATACCGACTCTCCTCGGACCGGTAGCCAAAGAACGGATTAGGCGTATAGTCGGCGATATCATTGTCGTCCTCATCAATGGCGCCCAAAAAGCCTTCAACGAGCCCGAAGAGCGCCTCGGGAATGTCGGATCGGACAGAGTCGAGATTGAGCAGGAGCGTGTTAAAGAGCGACGAAGAAGTTCCCATGACGAAACCTGCATTATCGAATCCGACCACGCACTGGGCATTCTCGGTGACCTCCCCATCTGTCATGTTGGTGCCAACATATTGAAGCGGCATAAAGCCAAACAGGGTGGGATCCCAGGTGCCCATTTCGAAGGGATTAAACTCGAAGACGGATGTGTTCAGAGAAATGAGCCTCTCGCCAGGAGCGCGAGCGTCGGCAACGACAATGGGAAATGGCATGTCAGCGTTTTGGAAGCCGTCAGTGAGTGCGATCGACGACCATGTGTACGCCGGGCCTCCTTCGGTGGCGTTGATCAACTGGAAACTGAGACCCCTTCCCCACAAATCTGTGATTGAGGTGTTAAAGCCAGCATCGGCTTTGGCTTCGGTTTCGTGATAGAGGTCGGTCCAGTAGTCAGCAGTAGATAGAATCTGGATGCCCTGGCTTTCGGGACCTTCGATCACGCTGTTACCAAATTCCCAAACAGAGCCACTGTCATCTTCCTGTAGAGCACCAACAGTAGTGATGTTATTGACATAGATACTGCCGACAAGCCAGGAGCCGCCGGACAGACCGGCAATATAGGTAGACGACTGGAACAGCCCGCCGAGCCTTCCCCCAGTCTCTGAACCAGCTGTCCTGCTGTCAAAGGCCTGCAATGCACCGGCACCGTTGAGCAAAGCACGCCAGCCGCCTCCGGAGAAAGCGATGCCAACATTTGGCAGTTCCGAAGCGTTGTTTGAGACCCGATCAAAGAACGCAGTGGTATCAAATCCTGAGATGTTCATGCGGCCAAGAAACTCCCGCATAGGATCGATGGTATTGTTTCTTCTTAATTCCAGCCACGATGTTTCATTTGGCGACAGGCTTGATGCAGACCGGACGGAGGGCGAGTTAGACGGGCAATCGACTTCTGAGGGAGTATAGCCACGTGGTGAGTTAGGCAGGGCACGGTTTGTTAGCGCAAGCCTCTCCGTAGAGACCGCATAGGCTGGTCACATGTCAGTATCAGAGCAAGATGTGGTGGAGATTTCTTACCGTCGACCAGACTGGTCGCGCATGCGGCAATGGACAGGATTCGGGGTAGCAATTGCATTTTGGGTGGTGTTGCTGAATGTTAGAACGCTGTCAACGGAAGAAGTAACTGGGTTATAAGAATGTCAACAATTAAGAGATTTTGTGGTTACGCGTAGGAGCCATGTCTTGTGCAAGCACATTCGGACATCCCGGAAAGCGATCATGCTGCCAATGCGACAGATCAGCAAATGATGCTGGAGCAAGCCCAAGGCTGTTCGTGCTTCAGACACGAGAATGATGTCAATTTGACCTCGTCTCCTTGCCGCGTGGATCCGGCCACTTCGTGGCGGAGGGCTTCGCCATTCTGGTTACCACTTCTAAGGTAAGCGTTTCGAGGTCGTATGCGCAGTCGGGCTGGGCATGATAAAAATAGTTGAGCTTGTCTCTACCAGCACATAATTATGCAAGGGACTAGAGGGAGATATTATCCCCGAAGATCATCTCACGCGACACAACCGTTGACAGAGCCGCAACCATGCAGGCTTGAAATTAGGGTTCGCTTGAGCAGGAAGGCGCAGTCATCCTCGAGGCTCCGGCGTTGGGCCTTGCCTGTTCAGGCGCCGATCATGACGCTAGCCAACACTTGAGATGCATGCTAATCCCCAGCCAGTATCGTCCTCCTATCCTTAGTTGTCTACTTCAACGAAATACTCCCTCTCCATGCCTATAACGTGTATGCCCCGGGACTTGGAAGTGAGGTGGTTGCTTGATCGCCTTATTCAAGGAGAAACTGTCTCCTCTGGTCTGGACTGCGAACATCTTGCAGATGCTTGAGCCCTCCTAAGGAGTTCAGCTTTCTACAGCATAGCACACTAGTCATGTGAGACGGGTACGAGATACAAGTCTGGCAGACTAGTGAGAAACATAGCGATTGAGTCTCTCGTCAGGCGTGGTCCCCAAGGTCTCGAGCAGAACCCGAGATCGAGATGTCAGTCGCCGAACCTGACACTTCGAAACGACTTTGAGGGCAAGGCAAGTACAGGAAAGGTTATTAGCTCGTAAGGACGGCAAGATCAGGTCATTGCAAGAAAAGGCGGAAGGCTGGTAGGCCACCCGAGACCTAACGATACAGAACCGGACGTCTTCCGTAAGTGTAAGAACTTATGCCGTGCCACCGAATTTTGTGTGACTGATATTGAAGACCCTGCAATAAAGACGCCTTGCTCCATTCGATGCCTTTGAGTCTACCATCCCCCATGTACTCTCATCTCGACCAGGAGTGTCCAGCGCGGTCACAAGCCTTTGCCGGTGTACAGCGAATTTGGTCGGAAGCCTGGAGCTGCTGGCGTAGGTCCTATTTCTTGTGGCTCCCGAGATTACTCAGTCTAAGCAGTTTGCGTCCCATAGCCGCGAATTTGCTCGGCAAATGCCCAGCTCTGGTCTTCCAGACGCTCCTCCTCATTCAGCTCCACACCATCCTTTGTGACGATAGCCATACTATATCGATCCAAGCTCCTCGCGTCTCTGTAGAAAAGCACTTTCATGCACTCCTGTACCGCCTTGATCGCCTGTTCCCGCGTCACAAACGGCACGCTCTCCTCATCACGAGGCACCAGTTTCCTTAACAGCGGTTGTGCGAGATGTGCACCAAAGCCAGTCGCTAGCGTCGGCGCACTGAAGGTCGTGCCGAGGAGATCCGCAGAGGCGAGGAATGGAGCGCCAGAGTCGTCGAACCCTGCGACCAGCAGCTGGTTCCACAGTGGGTTGAAGTCGGTGCGGCGCTTGTAAAGCACTTTTGACAAATAGGTATGGATGTTCTTAGCATTGAGAGTGTGCTCGGTGGATGAGAGGTAGTTCTCGCGAATATCAAGGGAGGCGAGAAGACGGTCGAGATACTGCATGTCTGACACATCACCGCCAAAGCCGACGGCGGTAGAAGGCGGAAACGTTCGCAGGCGCTTGACATCCGTGAAGCGAGCAAGGGAACCGTAAGATGCTGTGATTTAGGTCAGACTGGTATTCTTCCTACATACAGCGCAAGATCATACCTAGGTTGTCCGTTGCCAGCACGACGCCATCCTTGAACTTGACGCCTATTACTGAGGTGCCAGTGACGGCGGGAGACTGTGTGTGCGTGATCGGCTGGGATTGTTGGAGATACGACTGGTCGTACGGCCCATAGACATCATCACAGGGCTGCCAGAATGTGAGCTTGCGGTCGCATGCAATATAACGGCAGACTTACTCGACCCCAAGCTTGCGGGTAGTGGTTCATCTCGAGAGACGCGGGAAAGAGATAAGTCAGAGGCTTCGGCGAGAGAGCGTAGCACTCAACGACACAGCTGTGGCGAGAACGGCACAAGGGAAAAGGTCAATGGAGATGGGAGGTGATGAAGTGGACGGGCAAGGTCCACGTCCGCCGCGTCAATCGCTTGAAGCCTTGCGGTCAACGCGCGGAGCGGCGCTAGGCTTGGCACTGCGGATATCTTCTCCGCCCGATGCCTTGCACCGATCACCATCACCTCAACTCATTCAACTGCAGCCTCTCCATGCTTCAGTATTACCCCAGCATCGATAGTCAGGAGTTTTCAGTCGCATGCCAAGCACTCGAAAGGAGATGTCACGACAATTTGAACGGCACGAGCTGGTTAAGCGTGAAATGGACTGGACAAGAGCTACAGATCAGGCAAAGGCGCCTCTGCAAGGCACGACAACATGCTACAGGCAGCTCGGATCTCAATGAAGTAAACGTAGATTCAAGAAAAGCCACAAGAACTGAGGCAAGTCCTGAGCTTGAGGTGGAACACGACAATGAGGCTGCCGCAGTACGTCCATATCTACGACGTCTAATATTAAACTGACCCGATTAAGATCAAGTCTCCTTCCCACGACGACCAGAGCATGGATATCATCTTCTCCATCATTCTGTCAAAGACATACTCGGTCCCTGTGCTCTGGTTTCGAGCAGCAAGTATGGCATCTCTTGATGAGCTGTACGAGGTGCTTGTACCGCCTCATCTGAGCGACTCGGTGCGTGACGTGGGCGTCCTCGGAGGCATCAGTCAAGCAGTGAGCGCTCCCTTCTCAACGTGGCGCCGCCAATCTGACATCGTCAGTACCACCCTCTAACCGAAATTCCGGCATATTTCGTGCATCCCTGCAGAACCCATGAAGCTCTCCGAGGGGTCGATGATGGCCAAAACCTGCCCGCGGAAGAATATCTCCTCGTTTGGTTCGGCATCATTGCAGCTGCGGTAGGCCTGTATGTTCCGAGTAAGCTCATTTGCGGTCGCAAATGACATCTCGTAAACACCCTCCGGTGACATGTCGACGTTTCGAGCTGCGCAGGGTTTCTGGTAGGGCTATTTGCGGCTTCTCGGTCCATTTTGAGGGGTTTCGCGCAATTCGTCGAACGGGCGGAGACTACGCTGGTTCGTATCAACAGACATGGGTATCTCGCAAACCCACTGACGTATCAGTCAGAGTCTTCTTGCATCGGCGTATCATCTTCGTCCTCTTCCATGGGAGCATCGGACTGCTCATCCTCATCCGCCTCTTCGCGCGGCCTTTTCACACCATGTGGTCCGTCTGCGTCCAGCGGCTTCACGCCATTCTCGACTGGCTTCGCAGGAACTCCTGAGGGAGGCGCATTGAAGATGGATTTTTGCAAGTCGGTTGCCTCTGACACATTCTGGGCCGGTGCTGGCTCGAAAGTTCCTCGTAGCTTGGGAATAATGTTCGATTGTCCCTTGCCATAGACAATGACCTGCTAGCTGTCAGCGGAGCGCTCGAGATGATCGTGTGACACTAACCATTTCTTTGCCAAACAGATCAAAACTCTGCAGAGCGCGCATGGCCTGCGTGCTGGTTTGAATATCTCTGTAGACCACGTGTGTTTGCCCTCTCATACTTTGCGTTTTAGAGCCAACTCTTGTGGTTATGATATCCAGGACTGGTCCATAGGTCGAAAACACCATGTACAGTGCTCGCTTCAGCTCGCCTTTGTTGATTTTGTCGTTCAAATTCTTTACGTAAAGACTGAGAATGTTAGCAATCGCCTGAGCGAGTTTTTTCTGGTTGCACACACGTTTGGTTTGGAGGGCCAGGATCCTTGGCCGGAAGGCCGTTTGCAACTTTTGGCGGCATCGAAGTGTGATGTGGAAGAAGCGAAGCGCACTGCGCAGAATGGCGGAATTGGGACGCTTTTGGGCAGTGACCTCCTGTACTATCTCGAGCCCATCGTCGAGACCGGAACAGCAGTGGGACACAGGCGCAGTTTAGGGGAGAGTAAGGTCACGTATCTGGACTCTACTTGCGCCTTGGTGATGCAACACTTTGGTGCTTGTCATTCAGCCTCGCGGAAAAAATTATGGTCCACTATATCTTGGCACCCCAGTCAACTATGGTTGTCTCGTACCTACCATCTGATACATGTGCACTTCACCAAACACCCTGGCTGGGCCGTAGCAAGCCATAAGTCAACTGAGTTCTCTCCTTTGAATCATAAGCAAGAGTTGGCTTTCAGCGGCTGTCAGCTACTGCGGCTGCTACCGGCTCCCGAACTCCGAGAGATTCTCCTTCGATGAGGAACGGAGTGAGTGGTAAATTCCCTGCAGAGGTCGACAATGTTCTCTAATGATTATCTCCTTCACCGGAGCTAATTGCTCTTCTTGCTTGCAATGAGCCAGCTACTCTCAATTATGCAACGCTCCCACTAGCGTGCAGCTGTGTTGTGGTCGGCGTTGAGGATCGGCTTTATGTTCAAACGGAAAGCTATAACTGGATGCTGAAGCTGAAGCATTGAGTCATGCTTCATCATCTGTTCAAGCGACAGGTTGGGGAATGAAGTAATGTGGACAACATCCAAGGCTCAATGATTCAGACAGGAACATCACCAGGAACACACTGCGTGCAATGCGTTGCATGCGGTCAGCAAAATGGAATTTCCTTAAGTGCACGCTGACATTTAGGCCTGCTATGTGCATAGTACAGGGTATCGTCGCTGACCCGACGAGTTCTCTGCCCCTGTCTCGAACCTAGCTGCTACAGGCTCCTCCTGCCGCCATATGACCAGCATGGTAGGGCTGAAGGACCTGTGAAATCAGCTTTAGCCTGTGGGGACTAAAGCCCACCACTCATCATAATTGTGTGCGTCAAAGTGAAGGCGCTATGGTCGTTAGCGTTCTCGTACTCTATGTAGCATATGATTTCTAGATATTGCTCTTCATGATCACATACAAGCATCATGCTCTACCCCTGACTTTTTCGGTGTTCCGAAGCGTACACGATACTGTGGCTCTTATCAGACTCGGCCTAACCAACCACACTTCACTTCCCGTTTCGTAGAACCTGCGCCTCAGCTACCACCATTCCTCGCCCTGCGACTCAACATATCTTGAACACCCCCATCGCATCGTCCGCCGAAAACGCATTATTCACCCTGCTGCCTCTAGACCAGCCAGCCGTCACCGCAACCCACAGCATATTGAAAGCCTCGGCTTCGCTTGTGCGAAATCCACAAAAGTCCATGACCGTGCCGTAGACCTTTCAGAAACAGTAGGTACTGCCGATGCTGCTTCGGGATCGATGATGGTGTTCAAATATCGCTCGACGTCTCCAACGTATCCCGAACGGTGGTGGTATAGCCACAACCTGATAGTGGGGCTTCCATTCATCCACTGCCTCTTGGCAGCCATGAAAGGGGTCTAGCCTGCGAAGCATTCACCGCTCCACCCCACAGTCGACCTTCACTTGTGGACAGCTAAGCGCTTCTACTTGCAGCCAGTCTTACAGAAGATGAAGCCGCACTTGAAGTTGTTTGATTATTAGCTTGCGCTGGAATTTACTCCCGATTCGGCCAATCAAAAGAGCTCCTTGTAAGCATCTACTCACATAAAGAGTTGAATGCCTGTTAACAACCTCGATAGTGGCTAAGTGGTATAGCGTCTCACTAGTAATGAGAAGATCACTGGTTCGATTCCAGTAAGGAGCAATGGAAAGCTGCTTTGAGTCTTCTGGGACTGCATTTTTGGTTTTTGGCTGGACTGTGCGAGGATGTGGTGCGTAGTAGGAGGCGGTGAGGGATGTGGACCCAGTTTGCTCGTTTCGGTAATAAGGGGATGACCGTGTATCTAAGGGGTGATTGCGAACATATGCGGAACCATCCCGAACAGTCAGTCTTATATACGACCTCACCTTGCCATGAATGGTAACAATGAGCAGACGAATCACCGTCTGCTGTCCGGTAGTACTTCAGTGCATCAAGAATGGGACCACGGCGACGATAACGACGATCATGACAGCTTGTGAAGTATTGCGACATGCAATGCCCCCACGTCCGGATGCCAACCAGTATATGGGACGTTCTGGAGACATGATATATGTCGTCCAATACGAGGCGATACTTGTCCGAGGTCACAAATGCTTGACTGAACAAGGAGGGGAAGCTGTACTGAGCGTTGGCTGTCCCCGCATCAAAGTCAAAAACCCGGGGTACATCAGGCTCGCCATACAGCATAAATAGGTACCTCTCCAACGGTGACACACCCGTGGCATTAGGCTTAGTTTCTATTTTGCTTTCAGCTGAGGACCATCCAGTCGCCATCATGGCAGAGAAAAACGAGCTCGTCCGCTCCCATGGGATCTTTCATGCACTCCCGACCTACCCAGACGCGCCCGAATATCAGAATCTCACGGCTATAGTCACAGGGGCCAACGGCATCTCAGGTTATCACATGGTAAAGGTGCTCTCTGCGGCGCCGGAACGCTGGAGCAAGATCTACTGCCTATCCCGCAGGCCGCCTCCGGATTACTTCTTCGATGATCTCGGCGAGGGTGCCAAGCGCGTCGAGCACGTCGAGGTGGATTTCTTGGACACATCGAGCATCGTTGGAAAGGCCCTGAAGGCCAAAGTACAGAAGGTGTAGGGCTGCTGCACGCTAACGGAGAACGAGGCCGTGTGCGCTGACTGCAAGCACAGCGATCACGTCTTCTTCTTCTCCTTCGCCACAACCAAGCAGGAAGGCCAAGTGCTCGGTATGTGGTCCGATGCCGATGCTTTGGCGAAACTCAATAGTAAGTCGCTACTAGTGTCTGACCAAGTAAAGCTTCTGACAGTGAGCAACAGCCGATCTAATCGTCAACTTCGCCAACGGCCTGAAGGAAGCGGGCCTCAAGCCGAAGCGCTTCCTTCTGCAGACCGGAGCCAAGCACTATGGTTTCCATATAGGCCCAGCTACCAACCCGTCGTTCGAGACCGATCCGCGCGTGACGCTGGAGAACAATTTCTACTACCCACAGGAGGATGCGCTCGCCGCATACTGCAAGGAAGCGGGGGCGCAGTGGAATGTGGTCCGGCCATCGTACATTATCGGCGCCGTCCGGGATAATCTGCTCAATCACATGGTGGGATTTGCCGTCTATGGCGCAGTGCAGGCTCATCTCGGTGAGCCACTAGCCTTCCCCGGCGACTATCTGGCTTGGGACAGGGAGTATTGTCAGAGTGAGTGGTCTGGGAAGACTGGGAATGTGCACTGTCTGACGAACGACAGGTACGGCGATGCTGAACGCTTACCTTGAGGAATGGGCGGTGCTGAGCCCAGGAACCGGAAATCAAGCGTTCAATGCACAAGATGGCACGCCTTTCACCTGGTCCCGCTTCTGGCCGTACTTGGCTTCGTGGTATGGGACGGATTGGACGCCGCCGGAGGACAACCCTCTCAAGTACCGTACAACTGAGTCGCGGTGGACCCAGACGCCTCGAGGGTACGTGAAGTATAACACACACCACATTCGTGCCGAGTGCTGACACCTGCGTAGATACGGGCCGCGAGGAGTAGTACGCTCCACTTTCTCCTTATGCGAGTGGGCAACGAGCCCAAAAGTGCAGCAGGCTTGGAAGGAGCTGGCTCAGGAACATGGCCTCCTCCTGGAACCTTTCGAGGACATTGGGAAGACCTTTGGCATAACGGATTCTGCAATCATTGGAGGATGGGCGCTGTCGCTCAGCACTCGGAAGGTGAGGAAGATGGGGTTTTATGGCTCGGTCGACTCTTATGAGTCCATGTTTGAATGTCTCCAGGGCCTCGTAAGACTCAAGGTCTCGCCTCCATTGACTGCCAAGGAGTTTGTGGAAGTGGTCCAATAGTGGCTTTGTTCCATGTACAATGATCAATGGTCAAAGACGCTGGTGAACCCCGCCATGCAAGGCCGCAGAGTCTGGGACAGCTGGGACATCGTATACTCCTAGAGTAACAAGTTCACACTTTGTACCCATTTGATAAAAGGCATGTGTCGGGCTTCTTGTGGGAGTCTCCTTTCTATGCTCGTGCTCGTGCTCCATAGCAGTAGCCTGTGAGTCGAGCTTTTCAAGATCGTTGACCCTTTCACAAGGCCTTGTAGTCTCTACACGTCAGTATCCTCCTACAAACGCTGATGGCATACGCGACCCGAGCTGTAGGCACGCTTTATTCTGCGAATTGCTGCGGTTGAAGTGAACGGGCCAGAACACTACCCATGATCAACACGCAACGAATATGCGAGTATTGGTAGTACTCATCTGCGTTCGTGGTGCTAAGAGGCCAATGGCTTTCTGGTGGTGAGCAGTCACAAGGCTAAGCAGGCAGATTAGCGAAATCGCCCCCACGACCCAAGCGGGGAATGGGTAGGGTGAGCGGCAGATGCGGATATCATCAGCGGCTTTGCTTCTCGGCGTGCCTCTACTCCAGTTCGTCTGGTTCCTTGGTATCAGGTGTACGAAGTACATACAGAAAGCTCAATTTCGGGGTTCCCGGTTAATTTTGACTCCGGTAACCATACGGTTGCGTGATATCAGTTGCCCTTCAGACATAGTTCAATACTTGGCATCAGGCAGCTAAAGCTTGGTATTGGGTTCTATACTCACCTTGTCGCTCTTCGTACTTGGTAAGTACTCCAACATCTACGGCATTTCTCTGATCGATCTCAATCACCATAGCCTCGAGGAAGCTAGTATCTTGTCCTCGTTGCATGAAGCCTAGGGATGCCGTAGCGTACCTGTCTGGTACTGGTCATGATCCCTCCAGACGACAATCTGTCAGTCAAAATCTTCGAATGAGCGATCACTCTGCTTTGTCGACATGTTGGCAGGGAATATATAGGTCTCTTGTTGACCAGAAATCCGTGCATAAGTGGGAACTGAGATACTGCCCTTGCACGTGATCGAAGCCTTGGCACGAAGTTGGCTGTCAGTCTTATGGGTATACACATATAGAGTCACTTTCTCAGGAAACTGCCCTTGCGCTGTAAGGGGCTCGCGCACTTATGTACTTCATTCGGGCGGACAGAGTACAGCGTTGAACAGTTGCAAAGCTACAGCAGCGCTAACGCTTAGGCACTGACGCGTCAGTTTCACCGACCGGGTCCACCACACTTTCCTCACTGCCACCCGACCAGGATGCTCCAATTCTAATGTCTCTCATTGCCTCTCCAGGACAAAGATGAATCAATGGAGGATCACTGCACAGATTTTGCTTCCAGTTCTGACTCTGGTACGCACTGAAAGAAGTGACAATTATGCTGAGACGTTTCACCGAAGGCAGTCTGTGACCGCCAACTACAGGTAGTGACGACGTCGCATAAGAATGGTCTGGCCAGGCAGGAACAGGGCCCGAAGATTTCCGCCCCCGGATTTCGCTTGAGCCACCTCCCTGCTCGTATCCGCTTTGGGCAGGCACTCGCGTGCATTTCACACAAACTTCAAATCAAGCTTCCATGTACGTCCTCATGGCAATTGACCTTCTTTCTACAGAGTGTTGCTTGGGCAGAAACACAAAGTCGTTAGCATGCTTTTAAGCAAGTCTTTTCTTTACTCGGTCCTTCTTACAGCAAGTCTATCTTCCAAGATCATTCATTTGGCCAGCCATCGACACTCCTTGCCAATCCTCCTATTCGCTCTCTACTTGCCAACGTTTCTGCTGCCGGACACGATCCTAGCGATTGCTGCTCGACTGCTGTTGTCATGTCGATACAGCAACAGCTATGTACTTGCTGCTATACCTGTCGCCGTATCGGTGTTGTTCGTCAACTCTCCACGGGATCGGAAGCCTACTAATGCTTCTTCAGGAGTTTCATTACCCTTTTTGCCTCAGCATCCCAGATCGCATTTCAAGTTGAGACTGGAGGCGAAATCCGCTGGTCTGCTGCGAGAAGTCTTGCACATGACCCTGCAGGTGTCAAGCTTTTGGCCTCCGGGTCTGTCGGAGTCGCCTTGGCACTTGGGGCCATCACTTGTATTGCGACAGTGCTTGATCCTTGGCTGTACAACAAGGCTGGTAATGTCCTGGCGTTCGTACGAGACGTCTTTGATACATCTGACTCGACTGTATCAAACCATCTCCCCACAAACCTCGAGCCAACAGCCAACAACATCAAGGTCCCAGGCAGGCCTCAGGCACGACGAAGGGTCCAAGTATGGAGGCTTCTGCTCATCTTCGTCATTGCCACGATCGGTCTGCTCCAGATTGTTAGACCCAAGCGGACACCATTCGACCACCTTTCGGTCACCCTCCCTTTCACCCTATACCAGATCTTTGATACGTCTGAATCGGCCGTTTGTGGTGGACACTTGCATAGGCTTCCCTTTCCCAAGCCGGAACTGGTTTATGGCCCAAACAATGGCACACACATTGATCAGCTTCTCGAGAGACCTTTTTGGCTTCCTGAACACGAAGTTGTGGGCTTTGATCGATGGTACTCGCAACCACAGAATGAGAGTGCGAAATTTGACGGCTGGCGACCATACGATATGAAGCAAGATCCCCTCAAGATCTCAAACCTCGACAACGATCTCTTCCAATCACTTCGTAACGCGTTCGACACCAACAATGTCCTCATCAAGCACGTTGTCCTCTTCCATTTAGAAAGTACTCGACAGGATGCCTTTCCGCTGACAAATGGCTCTCACCTACATGAGATGATCGCCCGGGAGATGGGTCCATTTGCTGACATCGAAGATCTGGACTCCAAGCTTGCCAGTATTTCCCTGAACGCAGCAGCTATCACGGGCTTAGATACTGGACTCGAGCAGTCCCATGATCAAAAACGGCTGCACGGTTGGCGGAGTCAGCTTGAAGAAGGCCTTGGCGGAATCAGTGTTGCTGGCACGCTCACCACAGGGACTGCGACTCTCAAGAGCTTGATTGGAAGTGTTTGTGGTGCCGCTCCTCTACCCGTAGACTTCACGGAAGAGGCCGCATTGTCGATTTATCAGCCCTGCTTCCCTCATGTCTTGAACATGTTGAGCGATGGCAAGAATGGAACACATGTCAACATCGAAGCTGCAAGGTTGACCGAGGAGCGAGACGCCGTGTTGTCGAGGCCGTGGGTTTCTGTTCACGCTCAGGCAATCACCGATCAATTCGACCGACAGGACGTTCTCAATACCAAGATGGGTTTCGGTCGTACTATTGCAAGAGCCTTTCTGAGGGATCCGGAGTCCAAGTATTTTCCTCCGAGCGAGCCTGAGAGCAATTACTTCGGCTATCCCGAACCGGTGCTCAAACCTTACTTGCGTGACCTGTTCTTGGATGCAGAAAAGGCAGAGCAGAGGCTGTTTCTTTCACATCTCACCAGCACCACACATCACCCCTGGCACGTACCAGAATCTTATGCTGCCCACGACGAATACCTGAGTAGGAGACGATGGGGTCGAGAACGGCCGCTCAATGGCTACTTGAACACCCTTCGGTATCAAGATCAGTGGATCGGCGACTTCATGGACCTTCTTGAGGAGTTGGATGTGCTGAATGAAACGCTTGTTGTCTTTGCTGGCGACCATGGCATGGCATTCCGGGAAGACGCTGAAGCTTTCACCACGTTTGAGAATCCACACATCGTCAATTTTCGGGTGCCTCTAATGTTCTTCCACCCACGGCTCCCTCGCTTGCAGCTCGATGCCAATGCATCAACGCTCTCCATCCTTCCCACCATCCTCGACCTATTATCTCAGTCTGGCAGTCTGGATACGCAGGACAATGCCGTAGTGTCACAGCTGCTCAAGGAGTACGAGGGCCAGTCATTGCTGCGACCATATGTGGTCGAACAGGACGGAAGGGAGGCATGGCACTTCAGTGTCGTTAACGCAGGAGCCGCGATGCTCTCGGTCGGCTCCGCGTCTGTGCCGTGGCGGCTGGTGATGCCGCTGTGCAGAGAGGTGCCATACCGCTTCACGCATCTGGCAGACGACCCCTCCGAGCTACGTCCGGTGGAATCATGGACCATTGGCGGGCTCAGTCGCGCCGTAGAACTGGCTAAAGGTCCCGATGCGGCTGCCTGGGTGCGTGATGCCGAGCAGATGGGCTTGTGGTGGGCATCGGAACAGAAGCAGAAATGGCGATACACCGGGGCCAGCTTGCAGGATGATAAAGCACCAGGCAAACACCAGGGCGTAGGCAGGAATCGTCTTGATCATTGGTGGAATACTTGACCGACGGCTTTGGCAGTGTCTCAGTGGAAAGAACACCACAGTTCAGAGCATGTTTACTCAACTAGGATAGGAGCATTACGTTAGCAAACAGAAAAAGATGTTATTGTCTATCTTCTGAAAACTCGTCCATTTTTGGTTCAAAAAGATAGGCGTGGACCTGCTACAATATAAATCGGTTCGCGGAGAAGTCGAGAAGGCATCTTTTGATGCGGTATGAAGTGAATTATTATCACCGGTCGGAGGGAGCAGTAGTAATGATAAGCCTAGCTGAGATCTTGGCAGTCGACGTCACCCGGCGCCCTCCGCTTCAGAACATTTATATTTCCATCTTGCTTTCCCCAGCACTACCTATGATGCCGGTCACTTAGTCATACTCCGGTAAGGCTAATGCAATAGTGAAGGTTGTAACCTCAGAATACGCGTCTGCGGAGTGTCTAGCAGCAGTAAGTGGACAGCCAACGTCGGTGACTGGCCTGGGATCGAAAGCAGGCTTCTTCCCAAGATTCACCCCGGATGGCAAAAGGGGAAATGGATGAGGGCCGTTCCGCTTGCGGCAAACACGTTGACAGTCGATTTCCGCCCCTTTCCGTGTTGCATCCAGCCGCTTGCCGGCACTCTGTCCAAGACCTTGGATGTGACCGCCAAGGGAAACTTGGATCTCCAATGGAATCCGCCTGCCGTCCCCCGCTCCGCTGGGGGAGCAGAGAGAGTTCAGCGGGGTGCAGGGGGCTTTCGAGCCGCTTAGCCGTCTTCCGAGCACTTTGCCTAGCACGTAACCCAGTGCGCCCAGACTCGCATGCCAGGGAGAATGATGGATGCCAAAGACTTGGCTCCGCTGATAAGGTTCTTCGGTTACATCGTCGTGCGTTGCTATCGCTGGCAACCAGGCCTCACGCGTCGGAAGAAGGAAGGACGACAAGATGTATGCTTCTGGGCAGAAGGGCAACTGGACAGCTTGGTGTCCCAATCAGCGCTGCTCCAAGGATAGGCCGTGTCTTGGGAACAATGTCGCTTCGTGGGTTGCGACGGGGGGTTTCGTGGTCGCGCGACTCATACATCTAGCGGGCGGGTGCTCGACTTAGAATCTCTCGATCCTTTCACCATTCTGCAAACATGGGTGTTGTCAATATCCTTCGCAAGATCTTCGTGCCCGAGACCAAGAAGGCTCAAGATGGCCGCGACCAATGGCCCTCGCGATTGTCCTTCATTCTCGCCGCCATGGGTGGCTGTGTGGGATTGGGCAACATTCTGAGATATCGTAAGTCTCGTGGCTTCTGTCTACGCTGGCATGATGCTAATGATGGCCTCAGCTTCTCAAGTTTACAACAACTTCGGCCTTCAAGGTAAGCCCTCACTACACTCGAGTCGATACGGCGCTATGAGACATGTCTTCGGAGCCCATCAACGGCATGATGGTCGATTAGCCCAATCTTCAGACAGTCCTGATATGCCTAGTAGCAACTAGTGCCTTGATACTGTCTTTCTCCTTGTAAGCCGAGAGGTTATCCCCGCTAATTTGATCGTGATAGTGAGTACCGACTGGAACGAATCCCACCCAAGCCTTCACGCTGAGCTTCGCTCCCTCGTCAATATCGAATCAAGCTGACTAAGGCGGTATGGAGTGGTTCATACCTTATTTCATAGCACTTCTCTTCCTGGGTATTCCGGCTCTCATCCTTGAAATAACCATCGGGCAAGCCTACCGCGGGGGCCCAACGCTGGCATATGACCACATGCACAAGAGATTGAAAGGTGTCGGCTTCAGTTTGGTATACAACGGCCACATGATTGTGCTCTACTACGTGGCCATCCTCGCGTGGGTCATGACCTACTTCAGACACTCGTTCAAAAGCCCACTCCCGTGGAAAGGCTCAAACGATGAATTCTACATGGGCAGTGTTATCCGAAATCAGGACCCCATACCTGGAGAGATCGTGGACGGATCGGTTGTATCCTACACCAGCTATCCAGGGAGCGGTCTGATTGGAGAGACTACGGGGTGGTGCGCCTTTACCTGGTTCCTCGTTTGGCTTTGCATTTGGAAAGGCGTTGGCTTGACCGGCCGTGTGGTGTACTTCACCATGGGTCTGCCCATTCTGACCATCATCATCCTCATGGGTCGCGGCGTGTCCTTGCCCAACGCCACCCGAGGCATTCGTTACGCATGGGCAACCTGGCGCGGAGACACCCTCGCCAACGGCCAGATCTGGCAAGACGCCTGCGGGCAGATCTTCTTCAGTATCGGCTTGGGTATGGGATATTTTACCTCGTACGCCTCATACAACAATCAGTACCAGAACGGTGTGCAAGACGCCCTCATCATCGTATGTTCCAACTCCATCATCGAAATCACCTGCGGTATTGCCGTATTCGGCGTCATTGGCTTCCTGGGCATGGATCCCGCCGAGGGCGATGCCCTAGGCAGCTTCGATGTCGCATTCCTGACACTCCCCGAAGCCACGGCGCAGATGCCTGGCGCGCAGTTCTGGAGTTTCCTGTTCTTCACAACGCTCATGCTTCTTGGTTTCAGCTCCGCGTTCGCGCTGACCGATACTACTATTACTATGATATGCGACAGCGAGTTTGGCAAGAATTGGAAGCGCCCATTCGTCTCCACCTCTGTCATCATCGCTTCATTCCTCGTGTCCATGGTCTTCTGTACCGAGTTTGGCTATTACATGCTGGATGCTGCGGACAGGTGGCTCAACAACTTCGCTCTCGTCTGGACCGTTCTGTGCGAGTGTCTTGGCGCGACCGTGATGTATCGGCATAAAGACGTGGTCGGTCTGCTAGGCTGGGTTTCGTACTTGACCTACACTGCCGCCTACCTTCTTGCGCTGATCCTCGGCGTCGCTGTCGGTCACGCGGTGCACCCCGGCGCAGGCGCTGGAGTCGGCTTCGGCATCTTCTTCATCGGTCTTGCGGTTGCCCTGGCGCTCGCCAAGACCCCTGAATCCGGGCCTCCGCAGTTTTGGAAGAAGAATGTCTGGCTCGAGAAGATCTACTACCTCATGTTCTACCAGGTAAGCCTTTCTTTCACAGAAACACATCATCAACTCGAACTGAACTCACTAACCACCGCCGCCAGGGCTACCAACTCTCCCTCGACCTCAACCTCGTCATCGCAACCGGCAAGAACTGGAGCATCCCCTTCTTCTGGGGCCCTCTCTTGCGCTACGTCTCCGCGCCCATCCTCGCCATCATCCTCGGCTTCGCCTACCCCAGCTTCCACGCTGTACGCAACGACCCTCTTCAAATCCTCGGTTTCACCGTAGCCAACTTCACCATGGCGTTTGTGGCCATTGGACTGGTCTTCCCGCGCTACTTCATCCCCTTCGTTCCTAAGGAGAAGCGAGGCATGGGCCACATCCCCTTCAAGCCGGATGTGTCGGTCGCGGTCGTGGATGTGAGTATGGGCAGGGTCATTGAGGAGGGTGGGCAGCGCAGCAACAGCTTCGACGCACCCGTTGCGGCCAAGAATGATGGTCATGGTGCCAAGATTGGCGGTAGTGATAGTGACGAAGGTCTCGCGGAGAAGCGGGCGGCGGCGGAGCGCGGGAATGAGGTCTACTAAAGCAGGCGAAGGCGGAGCCGCGGAGGCTGATGCCCGTCAGCTCCTGGATGGAGAGTCAGAACACGATCGCTGTGGCGGTAGGGACGGAAGCCGATAGTCTGCAGCACACCATGATATTAGCGGTTGACTAGCCCGAATGGACATTGTATAATCACATGCCTACTCGGTCCTAATTCGTGGTCAGCTCCGACCTTCTTCCACATCAATCTCGAGCTCAGGACTCGGCTCGGTAACCAAGTCATTCTCTACACCTCTAGGTCCGCTCGTACAACGCTCGTTCACTTGAAAAGACCCTACACGATCCCAAACACACCATCTTCCAAACCCCCACTCTGTCTACCACGCAATCTTCTCCCAAAACCCACCACCCTTTGAGCGCCTCACCAACATCTTCCTCACCTCCTCAATCGACAACAGCGACACCCCCCACGCAAAACCCAACCCCCAGTACTCCCCCGGAATTGGATTACTGACCGCCACCTCCTGCAATCCCGGAATGTAGCAGAAGATGAAGACCATGACGAGCGCGACCACTATGGCGGGAAACAGGTACCAATTTCCCTCGACGTGCCATGATCCGTTCCAGCTCGCACTGTGGGGAGCGGTGGCGGCGGTAACCTTGCGGAAGCGGAGTGGCGGCTGCGTGAAGAGGCTGGTGCGGCGCGTGCGCAGACCCATCAGGTTGAACCACTGCATGACGACGAGGTTGACAAAGTAGATGGCCGATGCCACGGAGAGGTGGTGGGTGATATAGGCGGCGTCGTGGCCTGCGGGCGTGACGTAGTCACCGAACGAGAACCACAGGGAGGAGAAAGGAATGCCCTGGCGTTGCAGGTACCAGAAACTCATGGCGAAGGAGGTGGTCGTCTCGATGATCCCGATGAAGCCGTACGACTGCAGCAGCAGGCGCCAGTCGACGAGCTTGTCTTTCTTGACGTCGCGCGGCTTGCGCAGCATGACGTCTGCCTCGGGCTCCTCGTAGGCCAGCGCCGTCGCGGCCGCGCAGTCGGTGAAGCAGCAGATGACGATCATGAGAAAGCTCGACAGGATCTGAGGCAGGCCGAAGATGACGGATGTCATGACGGGCCAGAACTCGGAGAAGCTGCCGGCCGGCAAGAGGTAGGCGATGGTTTTCTTGAGGTTGTCGAATACGGTGCGGCCTCGCTCGACCGCGATAATGATGCTGGCAAATGAGTCCATGAGCACCATGTCGGAGGCGGCAATGGCGATGTCCGATGCCGTCACGGGGCAGATACCGATGTCGGCTTCGCGTAGCGAGGGAGCGTCGTTAACGCCGTCGCCTGTCATGCCGACGACGTAGCCGCGGCGGCGAAAGGAGCGCGTGATCAGCAGCTTTTGGTCGGGCGTAGTGCGTGCGAAGACGACGGCTGGGTAGGCGGTAATGAGGTCCCATTGATGTTCGGACAGCCCCATGATCTCGGAGCCGGAGACGATGAGAGACTTGCCCAATTCCTTCGAAAGTGGAACGTTCTCGAGACCGGGAATGGTAGGAGTGGGTGCGCGGGGGAGTTCTCCAACCGTGTCGACCTTTTCGTTGTGGGCTAAGATGCCACAGGTGCGGGCGATGGCTTGAGCTGTGAGCCGGAAGTCTCCAGTGACCATGTGAATTTTGATGCCTGCGCGACGGAGCGTCGCAACAACTTCGGGGATCTCATCCCGTGGGGGATCAACGATGCCGGCAAGGCCAATCAACGTCAGGTCACTACTGGCATGCTTGAGGGCCTCATCTTCGAAGTCGCCATCAGCCGGATTGGCAGATAGATCACTACCGTGGACGATTTTGCGTGCAAGGAGGAGCACACGCTTGCCTTCAGAAGACCAACCGTCCTTGAACTTCTCAAGATGCTTCCTAAAGTCGTTGTCAATAGTGTGGACTTCGCCGAATTGGCCCACAAAGCCTGTGCATCGGCTCATGAGTATGTCCGGAGCGCCTTTGATGAGAAGAAGCACATCTTTCTCGGTGTTGAAGGTCTTGCCCTCATCGATGCTCATGGCGCTATTGACAGCCTCGCGGTCGACCGCGGAAGCCACACGGAGGGCGAACTTATTTTTGGAGTTGAAGGCAAGGTCGTAACGTGTCTTCCAGGAAACTCTAGCTTTCGAGTGTGAGCCAAGCTTCTCTGACAATCGCAGAATTGCAGTATCCGTGGCATCGCCGATGACTTTGCGGTCGGCGAGAGGCAGATGGAGTGTGGTCGGATCGAACTCGGCGGCGTTGTTGACCGCGGCGGCTACTTGCAATTGGGAAAGCCCAACGGATTTGGTCTTTGGGCGGGAGGTGTCCGTATCCCTGCTTTCCAGAAGTTCACGCTCAGCTTCGTCGACACTCATGGAGTGAAACCCAATAAGGCAGTCAGTCGCGATCATCTGGCCTTTGGTGAGTGTACCAGTCTTATCTGATAGTAGGACTGAGACTGATCCAAGCGTTTCAACCGTCTTCAAACTTTTGCAGAGAACGTTGTGTTTCCTCATGGAGTTGGCCACAATGGTCAAAGAAGCTGTGATTGCCACAGGTAGCCCTTCGGGCACAAAGGCAATGGCGACACTGACGATGTTGACAATCAATAGATTGGGAGGCATATAATCGGGGTAGGTCTTGCGGATGTAACCGGCCCAAACAGCGATGATGATTATGTTCATCAGAATCATTAACGACACAATAATGAACACGAAGCGCAGGATCTCCTTTTGAAGGGGGGTGCGTTCTGTAGATGGCGTCGAAGTGAGCTTCGCGATGTGACCGAAAACAGTTTGGTCGGCGGTGGCCTGCAGTCATTAGAACAAGTTTGCAAGGCACGAATCGATGGACTTACCACAACGATGCCAGTGCCCGAGCCTGATGTGCAATGCGTGCCTTGCATACCGATGCACCTTGTCTCCAAGTAATTTGATTCAGACGACTCAGTCACCGCAGGAACAGGCGCAGACTCGCCCGTCAAGATACTGCGGTCAAACTTGGCATCAGAAGATGTCTGGATAAAGCGTATGTCGGCAGGCAGTTTTGAACCAGCCTTGAAGTATAGGATATCGCCAGGGACCACCTCGGCCGCTGAGAGCATACGTTGCTCACCATTGCGCAGAACGTGACAGTCTTCAGGAAGCATGCCAGTGATGCTGTTCATGACCCGCGACGATGAAAAGTCTTGCCACGCATTGAAGACAGCCTGTATGACCCAGACTCCAACAAGAACAATGGCAAGAGCCAGATTTGCGACTTGTGGAGGCTGTCCAAGCGGCTTCCAGGCGATGAAGACCAGGACGGCGCCCACGAACAGAATGGACCCAAAACCTCCGAAGAAGTAGCCGAATATCTTGCGTGGTAGCTGTGAAGGCGGTTTGCTAGGTACATTACGCCCGTACGTGGCCTGTTTTCCCGCGACCTGCGCCGTGTTCAGACCACATCCGGGATCAGACTGCAATTTCTTGTATATGCTGACGTGGTCGAGAATGTGCCATTCAGCGTCGGCAAAATCTGCGCCCAGTTAGTTACAACACTGCCTAGTGAAGGACGCTGCCTACCATCTCCAGTCTTCTGCTTGGCTTCTTTCGAAGCTTCGGCATTACGCTCCTGCGTGGTTGTGATGTTGAAGCTAACAGTACGGTATACAGCAGGCAGCGCCAGAGCTGGATCGATTGAGCGGCTCATTGAGCGCTCGCTGCGTATGGAGTTGGCCGAGCCATGTCGTTTGAGCTTTGGCAAGTTGGACCAGGGAATGTTGTTGACGACCCCGTCCGGAGCCGCCTCAATGTCGTCCTCTGCATAGCGGATTTTGCGCTTCGCAGCGATCGCAGGAGGGAGGTCAGATCCACCACTCATAGTAGCTATGATCAGGGGAGGAAGGAAAAAAGGAGGGCAGAGGCGGTTAGACCAGGGGCGCGGAGGCTGCTAGCACGAGACGACTGAGGAACGAACAGGAGCAGGTAGAAAAAGAGAGGTGCTCAATGCTTGAGGGTTGCTGCTGGATTTATGGTAAAGAGGGGCGTGAGGCAGTCAATGCACGTGTCCAAGAGGCACGATAGCCACTCTTGGACGATGTGACAGTGCCCCGTGCGTCTACCGCGTTAGACTGGCACTGTTATGGTGGAGTTGAGCGATATACACCGATGCGATGTGGACAAAGTTCGCAGGTAATTAGCATATTCGCGGGCATGTGCTGTCCACACCTCTCAGCTGCTGCGCCTCGCTTGGGGGAAACATGCTGCTGGTTCGCTTCCCGAGTCAGACGTGTAGATACTATGGAGCATGCGCCCTGACGGATGAGGACCGTGCGCCAGGTGTGCGCCAGGTACGCGGGTAATTTGGAGGTTAGCGGTGCGGGAGCAAGCTTGAGGCAGAGCCACCGTCGAATGATAAATGCCTCATAGATACAAGCTCCCAGAAGTTGAAGTTACGTGCAGATCTAATCGTCAAAGCTGTGCGCACAGCCACCCTAGGCTGCAATGGGCAAGGTGATGACCGCTATTGGCCTAACCGGCAGGACGGCGATGGCCAAGACGAACCTCATCGTGTTGAGTTGTGTGGGGAGTTTTCGCTTACCTGTTTCCTGTTTTGCAGCAGCTAGGTGACTCGTGCGTGGGTAGATTAAGCACGATAATGGAAACTGCTTTTGACTTTTGCAAGCCGGTGGGTTGTTAGCGAAGCACAGGCACAGCCGAAGCTCGATGAGACCAAAACTCTCGCCGTTGTATCGTGGATGCGTGGATGCGTGGAAGCACCTATGTGTGAAGCTGAAACTCATTGCTTGACAAAGAGAAAGGCGATTTATTCGCTCAGCGAAGACGAGAGAAGGTGGTTGAACCCTAACCCTCACACCCTTCTATTCACCGTCCTTGCTCTTGCCTCGAGCCGGGTCTTGAACGACAGGGAGACATATTGAACCTCTTTATCATAAGCCTCAAGCAAGCGGTGCATAACCAAACATCCGCCCTCGTATGCTCTGTGAAGACAGTCAAGGCGCTGCTCTGCACCCGTGCAACGTAGTCTTGAATGGAATATGCGCTTCAGTCTCGCGCATGCAGGCGTCGAGTATACATGATTCAACGTGATCAGCTGAATGTGGAATTAAATCCAGGCAGGCTTCGAGCGGCAAATTGCGAAAAGGGGAGTCTGTACTCCATAACACTATGGACATTTGCACCATAATCGCCCTTGGTAGTATTAATATGAGGACACGAAGTCGTAGCGAACACTCTTTCCCCTTCGGCGCATGAGACCAAGCACCACGTTGACCTGCGCTGTCATGCATGAGCGACATGATGGCCACTTCTGCGGCCAGAGTCTGATGATCGATGAGAGAACAAGAGTAGGTCTCCTTGAATTGGGTATGTGACTTGGTCCTAGGCGCATCTAGCCAGCCAAGCACGATCGAAAATGCTCTGCTCATGATAAGCCATGCTTCATAACCATACTGGCGCCGTGGACGGACGCCGCGCCCAGACAGAACATGCCATTATTCGTCTATTCACCGCCCACGTCAACTTCTCTGGGCTGCTGGTCTCTCTGCTGGCCGTCGCGCTGATTCCGCCGACCACCCTGCCGTCTCTGTCCACCTTCATTCTGCCACCCGTTTCGCTGACCGCCTTGCTCCTCGTAGTTGCCCGGCCCTTCCCTGAGGAAACGCTCCCGCTCACTCCTCACCACCTGCAGCACGCTCTCCAAACTTCTTCGCCACACCATGAGGCGTCCCTGGATCTCCGCCCACTGCTTCTCACCGAACACTCTGTAAGTCGCACGCTGCACTGAGAACTCCTGACGGAGCTGAGAAAGCTTGCCTTCTACCAAACCGGCTCTAATGGTATCGATGACCCACATCTCAACATCTTCCGCAGGTATTTGCAGGGCAGAAGATATTGTCGAGTATGGAACGGACCGTGTGGGTGTTGATGCGGCGATAGAGGCGAGTGTGAGAAGGCGGATCTTCTTGCTGAGGATCCCACCTGCCGACTCGGGAAAGCCCAGCGAAGAGAGCTCATTGGTCTCGAGGAAGTCGACGAAAGCCGAATAGTCATCGGAGGAAAAGACTTCGAGCAAATCGAAAAGCGCAGAATCGGTCTTTCGCAATGCCTGGATGGCGTCGGAGGCAGTGAGGGGGGTAAAGTCGGTAACGGAAGGGTTCGCGAGGGCTTGGGTGAGAACTTTCTTCGCCAGGTCGTGGGCTTCGGTCTCGGAAGCGGAGGAAGGTGGCACAGTTTCCAGAGCGCGGAGGTTGTACTTGTAAGAGAGATCTGAGTCGCCAGATGCTGATGCGACGTCAGCAACCGCTGTGTACAGATTTCGGACGTCTTCGTCATCGAGTTGCCATGCAGATGTCCAATCGTTGATGTTGGATTCGAGCTGGGGAACGAGAGCGTCAAAAGCTTGTTGTGAAGATCTTGCACGGATGACTTTGACAATGGCTAGGAACACGTGGTAGCGCGACTCGCTGTCGGGCGGGAGAACGTTGAAGATAGTGGTGAGAGTCGCAATTGCAAGTGCACCGGCGTGGCTCGTTGAGGATGTGATGGGCTGTTCGAGGTACTGGCACATTCTCGCGAGGAGCTGATCCCGCATTGATGACTGCGCGCATAGGCTTATGAGGAGGTTGTAGGCGGCAGTGAATTCTGGGCACGGTCAGTTCAGTATACAGGCCTGGCTACAGCCATCCGCAGCGTACCTTTCTCTGGAGCATTATTGAGCGCAGAGGCCCTTGTGACGATCTTCTTCAGAGCATCATTCTTCAACTCTTCCAGCTTGGCCTGGTCGACTGACTGAGGATCCTCTGCTTGCTCGATTTGCTGGATCTGTTCAAGGACAGACTTGACCTCGACTTGTACCCCACTGCCTTCTTCGGGCTTCAAGACGCCATCGAGAAATTGGGCAAGTTCGCCGGCGAGCTCGAAGAACGACCCCTCAATGAGGAGCGTGTTTGTGGGACCCGGCATCGCGTCTGTGTGTTCTGAACAACCGGGAGACAAAAGTTCGCGACTCGATGAAGTCTGCCTGCGGTCGACCAACTTTGCGGCGCGCACACGCCAAGATTTCACTCCTTGGCAAATTCGGGTGACTAAGCAGTGTAGGCAATGGGGATGGTTGAGACGCGAGCGGGCCATTGTCAGAACAGGTCAACGCTTGACAGCTACAGAGTGAGATGTGCAACATTGGGCAAATATTGATGGCAAGATACGATAGGCATGCGCACGAAGGAGATCGATGTTGCGAGGACATCTCGTGCTGGACCACCCTTTGGTCTATCAGCACTTTATATCCCACCTCCAGCCCGCCTTGTAGACTCTAGCAGCAACCATCAAGCTCGTGCCCAACATGGTCGCCAACCCAACTCCAAGCTGTGCTGACATATACCCTTCTTTCCCGCCACCATTCGTTTGTATTAAAGCTCCTCCAATCGGTGGACCAGTCAGGCCACTAAAGCTGAAGATGCTAAATGCCATCCCCAATCTCACACCATTCTTGGAGAGGTCCTTGTTCAAGCTCGTGAGTGTCGTGGGGAACAGGCACTGAAAGGCGCCCGCCGAGAGGCCATTCAATGAGGCAAAGATATAGAGACCGGTGCGTGACTTGACGGCGATCCAAGCAAAGGCGAAGATTCCATTGAAGAATAGGAGTGGTACCATGCCGTTGAGGGGTCCAACGTACTTGTCAACCACCCACCCTGTAAGTAAACGCACAGGAATGCCGACCCCGTTGAAGATTGCGACCAGGTTTGTAGATTCCTCATACGACATACCTATGACATCCCGCCCATAAGAACCGAGCTGCGATTTGTAAGCAAAATACCCCAGTGATAAGTACTGAGATGAGTACATACGTAGTAATAGGTGAAGAACAGTCCGCCAAACACCAGAGACATACCGCAGACCATGCAGGTGTAAGGCACTTCGCGGAAAGCCTGCCACTCAATGAGCGGACCTGCTTTGCGCGGCGGAAGTCGTGGACGCATGAATGCCAGGGCACAAGCGAGACAGGCCACATTGATGAAACCGAGCACACGCACAGTCCACGCGAAGCCGATCTGGGGCAGCAAACTTCGAACAACTAAGGGGTAGACAGCACCACCGACGCTGTTCCCAGTACTAACAATGGCAACAGCAAGTCCACGTTTCTTCTCGAAATAAGTCGTGACTATGCCCATTGCAGGGCAGAATATGATACCGCTCCCTAGTCCAGTACATAGACCCTGGGCAAGTACAAGCTGCCAGAACTCCGTGCACAGGCTGTTGGTGAAGATTCCGATCACTTGGATCACCGAGCCAACAAAAAGGGTCGGCAGAAATAGTCCAGCGTCAAGAGCACGGCCAGAGAAGACGCTGACAACGAATATTATCCATAGCTGGACAGAGCCTACCCAAGAGATAGTCGACGCTGTTTCGCCCAGGGTCTCTCTATAGTACGTGTCGGTAGCAGATGTCAGTAAACCTGTGGAAGATTCATGTCGAAACTATGGGAAGACGACGAGAGCCACTCTGGGATAGGACACCAATCGACGTTCGCCTCTGCGCCAATTTTGCAGGGGAGCTTACTGAAGACTCCAAACGAGTTCACATAGCCCCAGGTCGTGATACAGACGAGCCACGCCATGGCGACTTGGGTCCATCCTTTGACGCCACCATCAGGTGCCGGACCCGGATCGATGATATCTCGGTTGGTGATCCGAGAGTACGTTCTGCTTAGAGCGTTGCTGACCGTGTGCTGCAGCGCAGCATTCTTGCCGCAGCCCGTTGGCTGCACAAAATCTTCCTCGGTGGGATGCTGCTGCTCTGTTGGATAACGGGTAAGAATGTCATACGCGTTGTCGTCGTTCGAAGGTGTCGACTTCTCCAATTTGCTGGGATCCATGTCGCTAGAGTTGTGGCTCATAAATCTTGCCGCCGTGGCCACAAAACCAGCTTTTGAATCAAAAGAGGAGAACCCCGACGAGGGCGGTTTGTAAGTTGTATATACGCCACGGCAAAAATCCCCAAGCACAGCGTCAAGCTATGCATGGTGCTGGCAATCGAGGTGCCGCTTTGCCGGGTTTGGAGTCGCGGGGAAGATTGGCAAGGCTTGGAGTCGAAAAGAAGTCCGAGGCCTTCTTTTTTGGGTTTAGGCATCTCGGAAGGGCGCAATTCTGCTATCATGATCTCGAAGTAGTGGTGTTGATTCGTTGGATACCCTCGCCGCGATGCGCCTTTAAAATACATCGTCCACCGCTTTCGCGGCTGCAGGCAGTTTAGATCTGGGAAATGTGGGGTTGGGCTCTGCCTTTTCGTCTTCCAGGAACACACCTAGTCCTGCAAATGCGGACAGGAGTGACTCTTCCACACGCTCCTGTAGCGTTGTCAGCATATCGAATGAAAGTCTCGCCACTCAGCAGGACACTTACCATGAAGTCATAGCCGCCAGCCCGCAGGGCGACACTCTGTTTGCCTGGCTTCCAGACATCTTGATACTCTTCCTTGAGCATGAAATAATCGTATGATTTGGGTAAGTCCTCGAATGGATCATACTCGGCCACGGGCGGGGGTGCCACGATCTTCTTGAGACCTTGAATCAGGCCGCTGGGGTCCGCGGATCCTTCTTCGCGGGCCTTCTTGAGGGCGGCTTTCGATTTGGCGTCTTCAATATTCTTGTCGACTTTGATGCCATTTGCCTTCTGGTAGTCCCTAAGCTTGCGGTTGGTGGCGTTGATGTCCATGTTAAGAACCAGATTCATTGCTAGAGTCTCTCTGAGTTCAAGGAAATCGTTGTATGCCCGAGCAGATTCAAATTCATTCTCGTCACGATTTAAGCTGAAGAATCAGTGGATGTGCAAGAAAGACCTGAGCATACTTACATTCGTTCGACTCGCTTCCTGATTTCAACCTCGCGCTCGACTCTCAGGTCTTCGAACGTCTGTGTTCTCCAATCGCGCTTCCAGAGTATCTTATCACAACCGTAAACGGGACAATTCTTTGCGCCAGAGTCACGGTAATGTCGATCGATACAGCTCTCACAGATGCGGTGATAGCATTTTGTGTTGATCTTGAATCTGATGTCCGGGTTTGTGATCTGGTCACTCTTGCAAACCGGACACTGATCTGGCTTTTCCACAATCGGAGCCATGGTCGCTCTGAAGAGTGTCGAAGGATTTCAGAAACCACGGGGTTGCGATCATTAGAAAGTTGAAACAGGCACAAGGGAGGCCGAGGTTAGTAAAGAAGGCAACCGGTTTGATTGCGTGATGAGCGTGGCCAGTGGATCGTTGAGGGGCAAGGCTACCGACACCTGCAAGGCTACCTGTCTGTTTCTTGGCGCTTGTAAAGATCTGCTGCCAGGCCGGTTTTCTTCCTCCTGTGTCACTTACCATTCTCACGACCTTCCAGCATATTACACCGATCTTGGCTATGGATCCAGCGGTACTCGTAAGAGTTGAGACACAGCGACTGGCATTAGAGGAGAGCGTAGCCCGACTCCGAGAATCCCTTCGCCACTGGCAGAATCTTGAGCTCGATTACGAGGGTCTGAGAGAAGAGTTCGAGCTGCTCCCCGACACAAGTTCAAAAGAAGAATGCCTCCAAGCTGCGCGAGACTTCAAATCCGTCGTCGTCGACGAGGATGATTTGCAAAGCCTGATGAGGGATGCCAAAAATGGCGACCGGTCTCCGCGACAACTGGCGAGCCTGCTGTCGAAACGAGTTGACTATGTCTCCAGGAATGCTGATACGATACGGAAGCAGATACTAGCAGATGAGAAGAAGCTCAACGCCTTGCTCCTTGTTGAGGATCCGGAGCTGAGGGAAGACGCTGGACTGCCACTTACCGAAATCACCGAAGAGCTGGACGACTCAGGAAATGTGGTGTCCAGCAAGGTAGAGAGACCGGGTGAGGAGACTTCGGCTCTTGCAGACGTGCTGGAGAAAGCTGGCGTTGAAGGCTTGAAGACCAAGGATGGCAAATTGGAGGTGTCCGATGAGCCACAAAGCACCAACGCTACGGTCGCCAGTAGCTCCAAAGCCTCTTTGATCAAGCCGAGCCTTCCGGACGTCAATGAAATGGATGATGACAGTAGCAGCGCTGATGAAGAGCTGCAGCGAAAAGATATGCCAGTCACAGTACCCGTACCTGGCGAAAATCCTATTCCTGTCAACATTCGAGATACGGCAGAAGAGGCCAAATTACGCCGCGAGATGCTTGAGTATGGACTCGATGAGGTTGGTGCTATTGTTGCGGAGTTGGACCTGCAGGAGAACGCCTCAGATGTCTCATATGACGAGGATGAAGATGTCGGCCTCGTAATGGACTCTGATTTCGAGGATGACGATGACGAGGATGCGTCTGAGGATGAGTTTGGCCGTGTCAGAGCGCCAGTTATCTCGGAGAAGTACAAGCAAAAAATGGAAGAGCTCGAGAAGAAACTCGGCTTAACTGATCTAAAGAATCTTGGACCGACTCCCGAGCTGCCTTCGCATATCCAGGAGGCTCTGAATCGTCCGCCTGCGGCAGAAGCAGCACGCAAAGCGGCAATTGCCCGCGAGGAAGCTGTTTCGTCTCAGTACACAGCTGTATCGAAACTTGACAGGAAAGGAGAAAAGGCCAAGAAGAAAAGTGTCGCCTTCGCTGAAAATCTCGATATCGCCAAAGAAGCGCCATCCCATCGCAAAGCTGAGGAAGCGCCGCCAACGAAGTCTGCCATCAACCCAGTGGGTGAAGCGGTCATCGAACGCTCCGAACCTGCCGATAGTGAGCCGCCGGCACCGCCTGCTCCAGCACCTACCAAGAAGACATCACATTTCAAAGCCGCCCGAGAAGCTGCTGGTGCCTCTCCGCCTGCTCAGACCTCCACCACCTCTTCCCAGCTTCCGAAGTCGGCGGCTTCCACAAAGAAGAACAACCAACAAGCACAGCCTCACCCATCTGGTCTAGCTCTCAACCAAGAGGATCGCCCTCTCGTTGCACCCACTGTGTTCGAACGCGCCACCCCCACGTCCACCCTAGCCCCTCATCCAGCCGACATCGACGACGAGATGCACCGCCGTGAAATCGCCATGGACTACCACAAGCTCCGCAACCGGCGCATTCACGCGCAGGGCGGCTTCGTTCGCAGCACCGCAGAAGAAGACGAGGAGATGGAAGAAATGCTCGGCAACAGCGTGCTGGAGGATCCAGAGACCGGCGAAGTGAAGCGCGTCAGTCGCTTCAAGGCCGCGCGGTTGATGCGGTAATCCTCTTTCCTTCGTTCTCTTCTCCATGAGATCCCCAAATGCGAGCCCCTCATTGAACAATGCTTCTCCTTCCTTATCTCTTGTTCCGGAGAGAAGAGTCGACCCTCTTGAAGCCTGTGAAAGACCCAAACCCACGGAGCGTCTCCAAACAGCAAAGGCACGACCATCCTCACCCTTGACCATGGGAGGTGTGGTCACTCGACGCATTCCAAGAGCAAGAATCTTAGTAGTTCAAAAATTTCCCAGGGCTCTCTGACGCTGTGTCCGCATGTTTTCGATGGACATGGGGATTCGTTTCACCCTGTACATCTACGCAAGGCTCGCTTGAGGCTTATGATCTTGTAAAGTGTCAAGGCATGAAGGCAAATGGTGGACAGACATGAGAGGCGGGAGTAGAAAGAAAAGAGGTGCTGATGTGAAGCTTCGTCAGATTTGCCGTGGTCAGGTAAGGGCGCAAACCGACTTCTTGAGCGAGGCCAGTGGTATGCACGTAATGGCACTTGGTACGCCGGCGCCATGATAATACACCTAATGTGCACACGCCACGCGCTCAAATCGGCAACCATTTCCAGTCCTAAACACCGTTTTTGAATGCAATCGTCTGTTGCCAGCCGGCCCACTGGATAAACACAAATTCACTGGCCCCTTGCTGCATATCATGCATCGACCATCGTCGGGCAGACAGTAGCTTACTCCCGCATCCCCTCCTCTACATCTCGCAATTGATCGAGATTGACTCTGCACTCCTCCATTTTGCGACTCCAGTAGGACATTTCCTCTGCCACCGCGTTGTGTTTCTTACTGCTCTTCGGCGCCTCGATCTCGTCATATTTCTCCCAAGCTTCACCGTGCTTCAGCTTCGCCACATGGTACTGGTCGTTGAGCAACTTCTTAAGGTGCGCGAGAGCGTGCGCGGGCGGGATCTTGGGGCGAGCAGTAGGCTCGTCGAGCGCGATGTCTTTCATAAGGGCAGTCACTTGGGCTGTGTAGTCACCGGTCTTACCGGCAGAAGTGGTGGTTTTTGGTACAGGTTGAGAGGTAGCCCGGGTAGATTTCTTGGAGCCAGTGAGACGCTGGCAGACCGCGCATGAGGCGATGTGCTGTGGGTCGTGATCGTGGAGGACAGACTGCGCTTTCTCGGAGAGTTGTGGTTGGGACGCTCGGCGCTTCTTCTCTTGAGCTTGCTGTTGCTGTTGCTGCTTGAGAGCGAGTGTGATGTCGGGGATGATGTAAGCGGAGGTCATATTGTCGTCAAGAGAAGGCCGGCGGCGACGCGAGATATTAGACGCGGCAGTATTGTCAACAATGCTCTCCTCGGTGTCCTGGATCATGGCCTTTTTGGACGCCCGGTGATCGCGGGATGTCGAAGCATGATTGCCGACGCGTTTCTCGATTTCTGGAGACATTGATGCAACACGCTTTGCCGGCACGGTAGAGATTAAGCGTGCCTCATTATCGGTCGAGGTCTTGTTCGCAGATCTGGCGGTAGATTTGTGTTGCCGTGAAAGTGACATGCGTGGCGAACCCTCGACTCGGCTTAGGTCGAACAGCTCCTCCTCGATCGTAGAGTGCTCCTCCTCCTCCTCGGACTGTTTAGCAAACGATGCTCTTTTCTTGTGGGACTCGCGCATGCGGCTTAGCTCATGAATTGCATCATCGCGTTCCTTTGTGAGGTCGGCAATCTGGACAAGAGCACGGTCAAGTTGGTCTTGCAGTGCGCGAAGAGACGCCACGATCTGCTTCTCGTCGGGTGGGATGTTGTAGTGGACATGGACATCGCGTAACGTGCCACGCTCAGGAAGAATCTGCGATGAGTTCGGAATGTTTGACGGCATCATGAACGATTGGGAAACAGTCGTCTGTTTGGCCTTGAACCGAGAGCCGCTCTTTTTGCGGTTGACGGGTGGGGAGGAACCAGGGGTGTACATGACTTGTTGGCGTCCGATGTACGCGTCGATGGAGTGAAGGCTGCTGTAATTGCTCTGATATGTGCCCCTGTCGAAGGCAGCAGTGTCAGGCATCGTGCTCTACTGTCGATGTTACCGGAGGCGAATACTGTTAATTGATGGGTCGAGGACGGGCAAGTCAAATGTTTTGGGGAAGTTGGAGAGCACGGAAGTAAACAAAGCTGCAAGGCTCAGATCTCCTACTTGGCAAGGCTGCCACTGTGGCGGAGAATCACCCAATCATTAGCAAGGCGCCACAAAGACCCCGAAAAAGAACAGGGTGCAGGTAAAGTTGAGGGCTGTGTTTCAGAGAGCATGTGAAGCGAGGGCACTTGTGGTTGTGGTTTTCGAGCAATGCATTTCGCTTGAGGCTTTTGATTTGGAGTCTTTGGTGAGCCTTCCGTGCTGCCCACCAACGCCTGTCATATTCTGCTGGCGAGGAACACCCACTGACATTGTAAGCAGCACTCGTGTCGCTGCGCAAAGCTAGCTTCAGCGGGCATGGAGGCCCTTGCTCAATAAATCTGACAGTGGCAGCAATACTCGGCAGAGCAGTGCACGAAGCAAGTGGGAGACGATCAATGATCCGCGCCTCAGATGGTCCCTTGGCTGACAGAGACTACCCCTGTCGAGGACTCGTAAGGCGAACCTTAAGCGCGCGTCCCGGGCTGACAGTGCCTGGAACCCACCTCCTGCAACGGGCTGCCAACTCTTACTGTAGTATATGCTGGTGTAAGACAGTGGGTCAGTGACCATCTTCTCGTTGCCATCTCTTTTGGACGTTCTCCTCATCGCCGCTACGTTCATTGTACTGTGCCTTAAAAGTTGCTTGTAAGATAACGGTATTGGGGCTTTGCATTTGCCGTTCCTGCGCCTCAGGCTTACCTCGATACTCCACATGGATTCCTGAACAGCCGTCGAGGTAGCTAAACGACCGCGATCCGCCCTGAGACGTTCCTGATCTCACTTGCGGGACCGAGAATCCTGAACGATTATTTACATTCGATTTCCTGCGATCTTCCTTTGAAGCAATGTATATTCAGCTGAAAGAAGAGGCGGGAAGATTGGTATTCAAAAGATCAAGCTCGTTGGAACCACGGCAAAGTAACGGTACCGACTCTGATAGTGGTGGAGGCGGAAGCGTAAATTATGTGGCAACTATAATCGTAAGTGCCTGAACGCCTTGTGGAAGATCTCGCTAATGAGCACAGGTTGCGGTAGTAGTGATATTCCTCCTCACCTTGGGAACCCTATTCTGGACCTATTTGCGCCGAAAACGAGCAAGCGGTCAGGTACCAAAACTTTTGCCGGGTTTTATGCGCAAGAGATGGGACGCATGGAAACCACGACAAAAGTATGCAAGCGTCGGCGGTGGAAGCCGCTCAAGTCTAAACGCAAACACTTCATACAATGGAAATGAGACCGAGGAGCGTGCGGCCACCCAGGCGGCAGCTGCCGGAGTGGACCGACATACCAGTGTTCGCTCCGTGATGACCCTTCCACCATACTCACAAAGTGCTCAAGACTCTGAGCAAGTGCTTGGCCGCGAAGGTGAACGAGCAGGAATGGACACAGTCGTGGAGTTTCCAGAAACACAAGACGAGGAGGAAGCTCGTCGAGAAGAGCAAATGGATTCATTATATCAGATTCGTTTACAACGACGCCGTGAAATTGCGGAACGAGAACAACGCCGAACAGAACGTCGCGAAGCTCGTGAACGAGGCGATTTCGCTCGCCTTGAAGAACTCCGCCGGGAATCTCGGGCACGCGCCAACAATCAATCCTCCTCTTCCTTGAACGGTGGTCTATCCGTCTCAGCCGCAACCATGATCGCCGAGCATCAATCCAGCAGCCGTGAACGACGAGTCTCATCCGTTGCATACGCCGATGTTGGGCTAGCCCGACACGATGGAACGCGTATCCGCGCCAACAGCACTGAATCTGAACGAGGCGGTTTGCTTGAACATGCCGCGCCTATGGGTGACGACAACAGCTCTCTACATCCCTCAGTGAGCCGCCCTTCTCACCACCGCGAGCGCTCTGGCAGCTCTGCCCTCAGCATCTCCACCAATGCCTCCGATATCGAGCCTACGCCTCCCACCACAAGAGCCGGCTCAACAACCCAGCCTGTTCAGTCCGACAGCACTGACTCGTCATCACCTACCGCAAATCGCTTCACACCTGATGATTCGACCGAGGGCGAGGACATTGGCGAGTCACGCATCCCCCAAACAGCATCGGATCCGAGCTCACCACAGCCTCCCGAGTACGCCCCACCGGAAGAATGGGGCGAGGCGCCGGCATACACCGAGCGCATGGCCTCTATACGGAGAGCTGCCGCGCAACGCCAGGATGCTGCTGGCGTTCAGCGGACGGGCAGCCAGAGGGCGTTTGATGAAATGGCGAGCTTGGGCCGGACGCCGAGCGGCCCGCCGCAAGTTCCGCAATTGCAACTACCGAGCATCAGTGTGGAGGCGGCCACAGCGGACAACAGTCCTCTGAGCCCCAGAGAAGGCGACGGTCAGCGGCGAAGCGCTAGTGGGAGTCGCAGCCGGAGAAGCCGCTATGACAATGAAGAGTTCATGTCGTAAGTGCTGAAGCGAGTGGAGATACTTTGGTAAAGGGAACAGCGGCAGACACTTGGTTACGATTCACATGAGATACGAAGCGTTCGACGAATTGGAACGCTCGAGCGAGGCGTTTTGTGTTGGATATGGTGTACATATTGTCGTCAACGTATCAGCAGGAATATAAGTCGGATCTGTCGGACAACAGCGATGGGACAACAGCGGACACTTGGAAGGGCACAGATTCTGAAGCTTTGAAGTTTTCATATGAATTTCCGTGAGACTGCTCGCTGTACGGCCCGCTTCTTGACCGAAAAGCCGATGCTGTCCCGTTCATCTTGGTATCATCTACCATTCGGCGGTAGCTTGTCTTTGCCGCTCAGCTGAGTCCATACTGCATGACAGTAGACCAGCCTTCCACTCCCAGGTTCCATTGATGCAAGAAACGCTCATCAAGTTCATCAAGTTTTCAGCTCGACCAGGTCACCAACTCCTCTCAGTATCGAGTCACTTATCGAACGATGCCCTCGAATCTGTTCTTGAACCACTTGACGGAATCGTCACGGCGGACCTTGTGGCTACGACCAACGGCGGCCTTTGTCCGTCTCCGTCTCGCGACACGGGCACCAGGGCGGGTCCTGTGATTCGCATTAGCACTCCTTGCGCCCCTCGTTGCACATGCCATCTGTCACTTACATGCAGCAGTAGAAGTCCATGCCGTAGATACCAATCGCGGGGTCGTACTTGATGCCCAAGTCGATGTGCTCGGAGATACCGAAGCCGAAGTTGCCAGTCTCGGAGAAGTTCTTCTTACGCAGCTCATATTCCTTGACTTTGAGGCCACGCTCGAGGATTTCTTCAGCCTTGGGGCCACGGACGGTAACGTGGACGGCAATCTTCTCGTTACGACGGATGCCAAAGGAGCGGACGGTGTAGCGGGCCTTGCCTGTTTCGCAATGTCAGCGTATATTTCTTCACTGGCGGGTATCGATCGTGTTCGAAGAGCCCGAGGAAGGGGTTGACCGTACTGTAGACGGGGGTTTGACCAGACAGCTGCTCAAGCACCTTAGCGGCACGGGTCAGTCTGTCGCCAGACTCGCCGACAGAGATGTTCAGAACCAGCTTGTCGATGCGCAGCTCACGCATGGGGTTGGAGCTCTTGTCATTGCCTTCCGCCATCTTGACTGTATTTTGCAGATCAAGTGGTGGTATTAACGAAGAGGACAGAGGTGAGGGTCGAATGTGTGAGCTTGCGCAGGATGCCGAAGAACAATTGAGGATGTCGTCTGAGTGGGCCGTTGACAATTTTGCGCGAAGTCGGTGGGTCTTGGCAAGCCAAGATATCTTTCCTCTAGTCCCAAAGCAGATTAGATGCATCTCGCAGCCTTGCGGTCCCTCAAAGCTCTTGTGCCCTCGCAGACATCTTTTCGACACCGCATTTGCGCTCTCCCAAAACACATATTCCTTGCCTTCTCGAGCCTGCTCTACTCCGTTTTCGCGTGAGTCCAGCAGCCATCGTCCTGGCAGCGTTGTAGAGCCGCGGCACTTACACGCATCAATACAGTTTTTGCACCAAAGTCGCACTTCGGTGCGCCGTTAACAGCCATGGCCAACAAGCAGGGCAAGATGCAGAACCTGGTCAACTACCGCATGCGCGTCACGCTCAACGACGGTCGACAGATGACTGGGCAGATGTTGGCATTCGACAAGGTATTTTCTCACGCCCCCACCCAACTTCCAAATTACAATCCCACCCTCCTTCCATCAGGTACTGACCTTGCGGCTCTTCCAGCACATGAACCTCGTCCTCGCCGACACCGAAGAATTCCGCAAGTCCCGCCGCAAGAATGCGCCTAAAGCCACCGCTCCAGGCGCCCCAGACTCCGCCGCCGCAACCGTCACCGAAGAGAAGCGCACGCTCGGTCTCGTGATCCTGCGCGGCACCAATATCGTCTCCTGCTCCGTTGAAGGACCCCCGCCCTCCGATCCCAGCGCTCGCCTCGGCACATCTGCGCCAGGCGGCGCCGCTACAGCTCTGCAGTCCGGCGGAGGCATCTCGCGACCTGCCGGCAGGGGCTTGCCGGTGGGCTTGGGAGGGCCAGTAAGTGGTGTAGGTGGGCCGCCACCCCCAGGAGGAGGTTTCGGATTCCCGCCGCCAGGTGGTATGCCAGGACAGCCGCCGCCGTTTGGAGGCCGAGGAGGACCGCCCGTGGGTGGCCCGCCGCCAGGTTTCCAGCCACCGCCGGGCTTCGGTGGACAAGGGAGGGGTGGGTTCCAGGGTCCGCCAGGATTTGGTGGGAGGTAGAGTGCTGTTGATGGTACTCTGAAGACGAAATCAAGCCGAGGGGCAAATGTCGAGGTCCCAGTTACTGAAGCCTCCATTTATATCCGTTAAGTGCTCCTGCAAAATCGAGAGATGCCCTGCAAGCACGGGGCACGAAGCCACGTTCTCCCACGCACTACAGGACTCAGACTCGTGCTTCGGCGGGAGCGACATACCTCCGCCCTACCACGCAGGGTTGGAGTCATGGCACACCATTGCGTACGGGCTGTGCGGAGAATGTCATCGCTTTAGTAGTGGCCACAGAGCATGGGAGATGCGCAGTAGCTGATCGAAGTCTGCTCCCAGCGTAGCGCTACATCATGAACGAAAACAGAGTTGGAGGCAAGCGCTGAAATGGCAGCGCAAATATGAAGATATGAAGAGACCTCCAATTCTCAACTCTCGTGCTACCAACTACTAGCATCAATGTTGTCTCTGCTCCATCACGCTTGCTCCACCTTTCCCCTGCTATTCTGGCGCTCACAGAGCGCCTTGGTGTCCCATCTATTCCCCTTCTTTGAATTGAAGGTTGAGACTGCACCTCCGGTGCGAATCCCTGGATTAAAGGTAAATGTAGTTCAATCAAACGCGGTCGCTGAATATCGCTCATACTGTGGAAAGGGGAGGTAACGAATGAGTCGCCGGATGACGCATATCTTGGGTATCGATCGTGAAATGAAGTGAAAGCCTCCTGTGCTGCAAAAGAGCTGTAGCTGTAGTATTCAATTTTTGTAATCGTTTGACTAGGGCCAGTGTGTGTACTACACGGTTGCCGAGTCTGCTTCTGTCGTGGTAGCTGGAGCTTTCGATTCCTCTGCCTGGGAAGCCTCGGTCTCAGACTGAGGAGGCGCGGGGTCTGCAGCCTTTGCCGGGGTGCTTTCGGGTGCTGCTGCTGTAGGGGCTTCTTTAGGTGACACTCGCTCGGATTCGAAAGAGACAACTGCAGAAATTGCTTCAGGTTTCGGCTCGTCTGTCTTGGGCTCCGACTCAACAGTTGCTGGCGGGACCACGGTTGGTGCTGATCCTTCCACTTTCTCTGCACTGGTGGCCTCTTCTATGGCTACGGTATCGTTGCCTGCCGCTGACTCCGGCTCGGGAACAGCAGCGGACTCGCTTTGAGTAGTTGTGGCGGAGTCCACAACAGGCTTATCTTCAGCAAGCGTTTCCTTGACAGGCTCGTTTGCAACAACTCTTCCATTGTTAACCTCGGGTTGCACGTCCTCCTCGAGCACGGTCTCAGGAATTTCTTGGACCGGCTCAGCCTTTTCGTCAACAGGAGCTTTGACGGCAGGCTCCAGACGATTCACGACGGTAGGACTGCTTGGCGATTCATCAGCGTAATCGCCTGCTGGGTCCACATGATCATGATGAGAGCGACCGCCCAGGCTTGCTCTCGGCGCAGACTTGGCTTTGGGTGCAGCAGGCTTTCCCCTGGGTGGACTTGTCACCTGCACCTTGTCGTGGGTCTTCTGCGAGCTAGCCTGAGTCGGGCGCATCATCCTAGCGAGGAAACCGTCGTCGGGCTTGCTATGGCTAGTCCTGGATTGGGGTCGCTCTGCGAGCGACGCACGGGAGGCCTTTTTGGCCAAAGACGCTTGAGTACCTGTAGTAGACAATCTTGGATGGCTTGAGTGTGCCGCTGATGCTCTCCGGGATGTAGGCTTCTTCGCATGCGCTTCGGGCAGGGCTCGATCGTGGGCAGCGGAAGCCGCAGTTGTCGCTGTAACAGCTGAGGGAAGTTTGGCCGGTTTGCTTGAATGGACGGGCTTTTTCTGGGGCTCCGGCTCCGAGCGAAGGTGTGCAGCAGAAGCAGCGGTCGGCGCGGTGGCTGCAGATGGTAGCTTGACAGGCTTTGTAGTAGCTCTGGGGGAATGTACAGTCCCCTTGTGGCCATTCGTCTTGGCTGGCGATTCGGGGGCGGACTCTGCTTTGGCTGCATCTGCTTTCTTTGTTGCTTCACGGCCCTCTGCAGCTTTCTTTGCCGAGTCCATGACACCCTTGATCTTTGCGACGCCGCCACGAGGCTTGATCCCGGCGCTTGTGGGTGTTCTGGGAGACTGTTTGTCCGGTTTGGCAGGGGCCGTGCCCTTCGTCTCGATCGGCTTAGGATTGGGCTTTGCCGTAGAAGGCTTGACTTTGTCCTGAACTGTTCTGGCTGCCTCTGCACCTCTGGCTGCGACTCCATTTGTCTTTGGTTGCTTGCTGTGATCATCTGTAGAGGTAGGCTTCTGCGGTCCTTTGCCCTTCTGTTTGACTGACTCCATCTCGTTCGGCTTCTCTTTCATAGGTGTGCCAGAGAAGGATGAGCCTTTAAGAATCTGGCCTAGTCCACCATTGCTGCCCTTTTCGGGAGTTGTATGAGTCGTGGCGAGGGGCGCGCCATCAATCAGGCTTGACTCGTTCTCCTTGACTTCTGCCATGCTGCTGACGTCGCTGGCCTTTCGCAGACCCCACAACTGTCCCTGTTCGCCCGATCTTTCGACTGCAACGAAGCTGGCTCTGACTTTGCTTACAGGCCTGCTGTTGGTGGAGGCGACTGATCCGCTGGGTGATCGACCACGGCTTGGGGGAGAATTTGACTGATCGCCAGTTTTGTTCTCAAACATAGCACGAAGATTTCGCACACCACCGCTTGCGTTGCCGGCAGACATGACTGCAGAGAGAAAGCGATTAGCTTCGGCGTCGACTTTAGAGGGAAGGTACGAGTCAGATAGGTGACATAAGGAAGGAGCGGTGTCAGAGCACAAGAAACGCTGTAGCTGTCACTGCTATGCTTTGCGCATAGTGGTGGACTGGACCGGCTGTAGCAAACGGAAACGTTTCGAAATGAGGGCGGGAGGCTAAAGGAAGGAGTGGGCCGTGGAAGAGATGGATGGGGGCTAAGCAGAAAACCAGCAGACAGGGGCCTATGTCACCTGGTTCCGCGGCCACATGAAACGCATCTGACGGGGGTCTGGATCTTGGACTCACAAGTTTGCAAAGGGTGTGTAGGTGTTGCTGCCGCTTACGACGTCGCCTCGACGCGTCCTTAAAGAAGGAGGAATGCAACAAGAACGCGTTGCATGGGCCTCCGGGGGTTAAGTTTTGCAGATTCAGGGGTCTCGGTAGTATCGAAGGCATCGACCAGCACTGATTCCACGTGACTGCAGGTAGCCGAGGACCGACCTCTATCGATAGTAGTGGGCATGGCGAGCATGGGTGTGTTGCTGGTATCTCCAATGATACTGCCAGTGCTTCAGTATGTAAGCAGCTTGAGGACAGCCAATTCACAAGTCATACACATCATTGGGTGGTGAGTGCAGTTTAAACGGCGCGAGATTCACTTTCTGTAGACTGCCGAATTCCACTGCCTGCATTCCGCTACTTCGTTTTGCGCAATGCCGTTCCGCAGTGAGGTCGACCCTCTGTTGCCTCAGAATGAGCCTGCACCTGAGATAGCTGGCTACGGCGGCAAGAAAGTCAGCTATGGCTCCCAATACATACAACCCGAGGAGCCCCCAGCGTATGAATCTACGATCGAAGAGGAGGAGGATGATACCCAAAGTTCCACGAAACGCGCTCTGGGTAACATAATTGCAATCTTCAGCGTCGTAGTATCGTTCGCCTTGATCGCTCTTTTCCTCAGTCCGACGAATCCCGCTGATCGCGACCCAATACACCACCTCCCACCTCCACACGGCGGCGGGCACGGCATTCAAGATCGAGTATCAGCGATACTCAAGGAAACGCCGTTGCTTGACGGCCACAATGACCTGGCTATCTTCATTCGAGCGGCGTACAAGAATAAGATCCACACGAAGATTTTCAAGAAGAAGTTTGAGAAGGGTGGAATGGAGTTGAACGTAGACTTACCAAGGCTTCGCAAAGGTTTGGTTGGTGGTGGCTTCTGGAGCGCCTTCGTGGTCTGTCCAGAGGATGCCAGTACAGACTTCTCCGACCAAGAGTACGCCGAGTCGGTCTCACACACCCTTTCGCAGATTGATCTGCTTCGTCGTCTCCAGACACAGTACCCTGCTCATTTCACATCTGCCGATGCAACCTTGTCCGAGGCTCTTCACAGGTTTCACGCCGATAGGTCCCTCATCTCGCCCATTAGCATCGAGGGCCTCCACCAGATCCCACAAACCGCTCCACTGGCAACCCTTCGGTTGTATCACACCCTCGGCGTCCGTGCCGCCACTCTGACATGGAACTGCCACAACGCTTTCGCCGACGCGGCGTTGATCTCCCGCAACGGCAGCACAACAATCGCACCCTACCACCGAGGCGGGCTAACTCCGGCCGGTCGAGACGTGGTTCGTGAGATGAATCGCCTGGGAATCCTAGTGGACATCTCGCATACCTCTTACTGGACACAGAAAGCAGTTCTGAGTGACTCGACTTCCGCGGCGCCTGTCATCTTCTCGCACTCCTCTGCATATTCGCTCTGCCATCATCCACGCAATGTGCAGGATGACATTCTGGATCTAGTCAAGAAAACCAGAAGCTTGGTGATGGTCAACTTCTCTCCCAGCTTCATCTCCTGCCACCCTTCGAAGAGTGATTTCGAGCTTCCGGAGTTCTACGAAAAGAACAACACGCTCCACCAAGTGGCGCGCCACATTGTGTACATCGGCGAGAGAATTGGCTACGATCATGTCGGTTTGGGTAGCGACTTTGACGGCATGGGTGAACTGACTCCCCGCGGTCTCGAAGGCGTGGACAAGTACCCAGATCTGATAGCCGAATTGTTGAGGATGGGCGTCGGCGATAAAGAAGCATCGAAAATTGTCGGTGGGAACCTCCTGCGGGTGTGGAGTGCGGCCGAAGACGTAGCAAAGAAGCTACGCAACGAGGAGCAAGAGGGTGAGGACGATGTTCACGGCTATGAGCTTTAGTGAAAGGGTCAATGAGCGATTGGATCACATGCGAACCCTTGTTCCTTTCACTGCCTGATTACACATTCGTCAAGCCATTGGCTACTTCGGGACTTGCTCGATTTACTGGGCACGCCAGTGTATATTCCGAGGCATCCGTGGCGAACCCACAACGTGGTGGCTGTAAATTGCGAACACAGGAGAAATGAACAAAAAGACAACATTATCGTGTCCAAGCATCCTAGTGGTGGTCGATACTTTGCAGGCAAGCAGAAAGAAGGAACGTCTTGCTCTCCCCGACAACGACTTGAACGTTGACCCCCCGCGAGACAAGCGGGGATGCTACCCAATTACACCATCGGAGAGGAGAGGGGTCGATTGTTGAAACAGATATGGATTGCTGCATACTATACCCATACCGCGAGGCACACGCGAGAGTCCAAAAATCGAAAATTGAGAGTGCCTCCCCAGCACTGGACTCGAACCAGGATCCCGCGGGCGACCACCACGGATGCTACCAGTTGCACCACCAGGGATGAATTGCTAACGAGCTTTGCAACTGATGTAACATTTGTATGTTGCTTGCATTCGAGTATTTGGACAGTGTCAGATATGAGCATATCGGCTGCGCGGGGTCAGGGCGTTGGTAGGGTGGTCAGAACCTGAAGCATTCCCGGAAACGGTATGAGGTTGCTGAATCAGCTGCATCCAGTGAGGTCGGTCATTTGAGTCAGCTGGCTTGATGGAGGTTCGCTTGCCGTTGAGCGTGGGATATGTGATCGTTGAGGAACCCAGCGCGGGCGCGGGCTTACCACATGTTTAAGTCAGAGTCTCTTGGGCTAGCCATGAGATGCCTTCAGCTGAGCGACACAGATTCTTGAGAGACGGATGACAACGATATGAGTACAGCGTCGACGCAGTCGACTGTGCTGACAATTCCCGCATGCGGCAAAGCGTATGACATGGGGTTCGTCCTGCTGTCCGATGGTAGACACATGTCGGACATGACTTTGACTCTACAGATCTGAGCAGCAGCCGTTGGCTGTGACTTCAGCAGAGGCAGTCGGTCGGAATAAAGTGGCGCCGTACGCCAAGGGAGGAAGTCAGGAGATCCCAGCTTCCGCCCGCTAGTCTTTCCTGAACTACAACGTCTTATTTCAAATTCTGTGCCACGCACTGACCCATTGATGGCTTCGTTACTGACGATTAGGCCTCATTGGCATGCCAACAGCATTCAACCTGTGCACGAGACAGCGGGGACTTCAGATTATCGAAAGCCGGAGAAGCGAACCTTGGCAACCGTTTCACTCCGTTGTGTGAGGGAGGTTCTGCTTCATCGCAACATCGACGCCTTCTATATCCTGATCCAAATAGACACACGCTAGTGGTTGACTACGCTCGGTCCAACAGTGAGCCGTTCGCCCTCCGTCGCTGCCGTGCTTGGCTGAGGACCGAGCTCGCCCATTGTGGTCCTCTTTGGGTGATGCCAATGACCAGGTTCCTGCTTTGGGACGGCCGTTACGGGCGATTCATGTTATCCGGGTGTTCGAGTAACGCTTTCGGTACTCCTACCAAGAATTCTCAACGTCGCACATGCTGCTCCTGGGTCGAAATTACCCCAGGCGCAAAGTGATCCGGTCGGAACGGAACTTGCAAGCTGACGAGCAGGTCTCTATATAGGTTGCGGACCGTCCCCATGCTGTTGATATTGACCACACAGGCTCTCCTTCATTCACAGCCAATCAGGTCTTTCATTCCTCAAATATTCACTTCTTCTCATTCTTTTGAGATTCGTTCCTGGTGAACGTTGAAACATATTTTAATCTACAGAAGCCTGGAGCTTATCTGACGACTATCATTGAATATACGAACACGATTTCTTACGACAAATATATACACATATCATTCATCATGAAGTACTCGGAGATCGTCGCTCTTTCGGCCCTGGTGGCCTCCGCTGCTGCCAGGCCCGGCCTCCACAGCAGCCCCCTCACCCGTCTTCACGCTCGGGACATGAAGATGCGCCGTGAGGTACCCCAAGAGCAGTCCCACCGCAAATTCCTGCTCAAGACCCAGGAGATGCTCCAACTCGACAACCCTGATGAGATCCAAGACCCCGTCTTCGGCCTCCTCGGCAACGAGGCTGCCGCTGACGGCATTGGCTTGATTGAGGACGCAGACTGCCTTCAACAAGCCACCGCCGACCAGGCCTTCACCAATGCTGTTGCTGCTGGTGATCTCGATGGTCAAATTGCCGCCCTGACCTATCGCGCTCTTGAGCGCAACACTGGCTCCGTTGGCCTGGCCTCGGTTGCCTGCACCGCCATCGAGGCTGTGAACCCTGAAATTGCCATCCTACAGCAGCACCAGGACCCTGCCTCCGATGGCGCCGCCGAGATCAACAAAGAGATCACTCTTAACTTGGCTGCTGAGATCGCCAAGCTCGGTGGTGACCCGCTCCTAGCCCTCGAGTCCGGCACCTTTGAGCCTGGCGAGCTCGGCGACGAGACCGGCGCCGGCAACACCTGCAACGACGAGACCGATGACGAAGGCTGCATCTTCACCGAGGGCCTCCTTGTGGCGGATGCCTCCGAAGAGGAGATTCTCGCGGCTGTCGCTGGTCAGGATGCAGCGGTGGTAGAGCAAGAAGCTGCGAATGCTACGCTGGTCAACGCTGCCGAAGTCGACAAGAACGAGGACAAGGACGACAAGAATGGCAACGGGCGCGGCAACGGACGGGGCAACGGACGGGGTAACAGGAACAACAACAAGGATCTGGACGAGAAGAAGGTTGGCCTCAACAACGCCCAGGCCCAGAAGTTCAAGGACCAGGCTATTCAGGGCATCAACCTCAACGACATCAACCTCCAGGCCAACGCCTTCATCAACCAGCAGTTCTTTTTGGACCAAGCCCTCTTCCAGCAACAACTGATCCAGCTCCAGCAGATTGACGCCATCCTGCTCGCTCAACAACAGGCCCAGCTCTTCAACATCCTGTTCCAGAACGCGTGGCAGCAGATCGCCATCCAGCAGTTCATCCTCCAGCAGCAGATCCAGCAACAGCTCATCAACCAACAGGTCTTCCTGCAGCAGCAATTCGCCTTCCAGCAGCAGATTGTCGGCAACGTCGTGCAGGTCGTGTCCCAGCGTGTCGACATCATCAGCCAGAATGTCAACGTCGTCAACCTCGGCGGCTTCGACATCTTCCAGCAACAATTTGTCCAGCAGATCGGCGGCCTCGACAGCCTGCAGCAGCTCCTCAACATCGGCGGTGGCTTCGACATCTTCGGCCAAAACATCGAGTTGCAACAGCTCTTCGGTGGCGCGAACCAACTGCAGCAGCTGGTCAGCTTCTTCTAGGCGGACGTTGTGGACCTTGGCGCACGGGCGAAGCATCCTTCTGGAAAGGCACGCGTGTGTGCCGGCATTGAATTTGATGTTGGGACTTTGGAACCTTGCGGGAGTATGTGCATGGATGGGATCTGGCTTGCAAAACGCAAATCCGTATACATTTGCGGCATTCGGTTAGGAGGACTGCCTTGAGGCTAGCATGAGGACTTGCGCTTCGACATTTCAAAGGATTTTAGGACTAAATTTGCTACGGCTAGCTAGTGTCTGATATTCCAATCTGAATCTTAGTGTCATCCGAGTTTCGTCTCATTGATGTCGCCTCTTCGCCGTGTCTTCCGGGGATGCGACACGCTCGCCTTGAGCAGCCGATGTACCGAAAGTTGGCGGAAAACGTGCGGAACCTCTAGCTTCCGATCGGTGTGAACGAACATGTCGAGGTGGCGCTCGGCATAAGCTCTGCAATGACTGTTATGGCCCATGATTCGCTGGGTCCAGCGCACTGTGGTGCAGCCTTTCCCAAGCCAAAATACAGGTGCGATTTGATGGAAGACGTGGAGCGTGCGTAGCCGCCCGGGCGGGTCGTCATGCAAAAGAGTTCATATTTTTTGATGAACATGATCTGCTCCAACAATAACACACACATGCACCAATCGGTCGCCCAGCGACCCGTTGTCTTCATTGGTCTAGTGGTCATGATTTCCGCTTGTCATCTTCCTCTGCAGGAAAACAAGCGCGGGAGACCTGGGTTCGATTCCCAGATGGAGAGCCATCCGCGATTAATTTTTGCCTTTTTGCCTTGTGGATGGTAATAAGCCAAGGTCTTTTTGGTGTGGTTAGGAGTAAATTGTCGTCAGTAGACCTCCACCGTCATGTGGAGCCCTGGCACAAACGGTCGGGTATCTCACCCCGGGAGGGCCTCTGTAAGTACCCCGGGGCTGGACAGCAAGGTGCTTATATTCTTAGGCTCCTTCAGGGGCCTTGAAGCTGGATCAGAGGCCACCCAGTTTAAGCATCGCCTAGATGGACCCAGGAAGCGCTGCACGAAGGAGCTTATGTATACTAAGGAAAACTGCCTGTGACAACATAGTATTGGGTAGTACTCCTGTAGCGTCGAAATGCAGCGGAGCACAGGAAACTGTGCACGGTGGCACAGGACCATAAAACGTACATCATGGTCGAAAAAGATCGCTGCTTTCATGGACCTAGTCGAGCGCAAGTCGACTCATGGTGCTTGCGAGGCTTGTCAGTGATACGGCAGCCCACAAATGCCGATTACGCAAGACCGTACACTTCAATGACTTCACCTGATCTTTTTTCTGGCCCTGTCGCTATATCACAGACCCTATCACCGCCTGCCCAGATCCACGAATCCGGCGACGCGTACGCTCGCCTACCGAACATGACCTCCCCGAGCGACACGTCAACACCATCCTCCACCAACAACGCTTCGAATCCGTCCAACCTCTCCCAGAACGGCCCCTCCGAAGACACGAACGACAGCATGCCCGCCCTGCGCGTCGACCCCGCCCGCCTCTCCACCCTGACCGCGAATATATCCTCCATCCGCTCGCGCATTGCCGCCGCGCTGCCCAAAAGCAGCAACAGCAACTCGCCCTCGCGGCAGCCGCGCCTCGTTGCCGTTTCTAAGCTCAAGCCCGCGACTGACATTTACGCGCTCCTGCAGCAGCAGCCAGAACAAGAAGGACAACGACACTTCGGCGAGAACTACGTGCAAGAGCTGCTGGAGAAGTCGAAGATCTTATGGGAACAGTCGGACGGGGTGGGGAAGGCGGTGCGCTGGCATTTCATTGGCGGGTTGCAGAGCAACAAGGCGACGCAGCTGGCGCGGGAGTGCCGTGGGTTGTGGTGCGTGGAGAGCGTGGATTCGATGAAGAAGGCGAGGGGGTTGGAGAAGGGGTGGGGGGAGAGGATTTGGAAGACGGAGGATGTGGAGGGAAATGACGATGGGAGGTTGAGGGTCATAATCCAAGTGAATACCAGCGGGGAGGAGAATAAGAGTGGCGTGGAGCCGGAGAGCAAGGAACTGGTGGAGCTGGCGAGGTGTGTGGTAGATGAGTGTAAGGGCTTGAGGCTCGCGGGATTGATGACGATCGGGGCGATTGCAAGGAGTCGCGCGGCGAAGGAGGGGGAGGAGAATGAGGATTTCGAGAAGCTTAAGGATGTGAGAGGCTGGTTGGCTAAGGAGTTGGGATGGGAAGAGGAGAAGCTGGAGTTGAGTATGGGCATGAGCGAGGACTTTGAGAGTGCTGTCAGACTGGGGAGCAGTGAGGTGAGGATTGGGAGTACGATTTTTGGAGAGAGGCCGCCGAAAGCTGAAGCGAAGGTTGTTTGAAGAAGAGCAATAAGTTGCGTGGTGTTGCAGACCGACGCCACTATTTATTATCACAGGCCTTAATCGATGGACCGCCGGCAGTCGCATCGGGAGCGGCAAGGTGTCGACTGTTGCACAGACTATCAGCTACAGAGAGACAGCGCAGCAAGGCTCGACTATCGCCACCAGGGGTTGACGAGATTAAAGGCAAGCCTCCTTGGTTCCCTGGAAGGTCACAGTGAAGGACCAAGAGAGTTGATGAGCGGGCGGCCAGGATTACAGCACATCAATTTTGGGAGCCCATAACATTGATGGGCGCTCTCCTCGAAATCACAACAAAGACTTTGGGTCGGTAGTCTACTGTGAGTTTCGGGAGTCTTCTCGTTAGTTTTGTCCGTCCCTGAGGTGCTGTGTTAACAGACTAGAGCCCAGTCGCTCCGCATTCATGATACTATAGCTCATATTTGCAACAGGTAAAAATATGGCGCAGGGCATGGCATCTTCTTGCAACAGCAAGCTGTGCTGAGGGATGATCTTCTGGCCAGTGTATGGTCGAATAGCTCTTGGTCGTGAACCAAGGACATCATCAGCTGAGGCTTACTTCCGGATTTGAGGGCCAACTCAATACCTACTTCCTCATTCAGAGGGAGTGCGACACCATCGAATCCCTGAACATACCGGTTACATCATGCCCTCCACCTAGTGTTCGAGGGTGGTTGCAGAAATGAGTTCCTTGCATCGCCATTTGTGCTGAAGACAGGGTGTCGGGGGATATCTCGCGACCTCAGTACTGTACTGGCACGCTCCGATTACTATCCAGCCGAAGAAGCTTAGGCCCTTGTCTATCTCCATTCAGTACCAACTGTGATCGGTATCACAAGCTTGTATCTAACTATGAACCATGCATAGATCTATAACAGGTATCTACTCCTTCATGCGCTATTCCAGCTTGGGTTAGTGCATTGGTGCCAGTATTCTTGGACCTCAACCTCCCTTGCTCCTTCATACTCAGCAACCTTTCTTTCACGACCCGTCAAGCTTCTCGTGACCAGACGACGGCGGTCTCGGCTTCCAGCTTGAAATCAAGCCTATGGCAGCATGTCTTCGAGTCGCAGCACACGGCCGTTCACACCTTTTATTCTACTCGGCGGCACCATTGTCGGATTCTGTGCAATAACATACCTCTTCTTGAGCTTCAGCGACACACATTTCGTACATATATTCTCTAGCAAACAGCATCGAGCACGCGAATGGTCTCCAATCCCCAGATACGTCAGTCTTGAGCAGTCAACTCAGGTATTCAACGGCTCCTTTCAGCAAAAGACAATATACCGGCAACCGCCGAGTCCAGAGACCGATCAAGCCTGGCACGACCTTGGAATTATGTATGGGCCTGTATTGATTGCCGAGGACGACGCATCCACGTTTGGGATTTCGCAAGATCATTATTCAGTCTCAGATGGCCAGAGTAGTCACGCCTATCCGGCGCATGTTGAGGTTCTGCATCAACTACACTGCCTGAACCTGCTTCGAAAGTCTCTCTTCTTCAACGCGGATTATTACCGACAGCAACAGCATGAGGAATTTGTCAACGAAGGCGAGATCTTGGAGACGCACATCACCCACTGTCTCGACATTATCCGCCAACGCTTGATGTGCACCGCAGATGTCGGACTTGTGCCATACTTCCCAGTAATCCACGCAGATGGTCGACATTCGACCACACCGGACTTCTCAAGACCACACAGCTGCCGCAATTTTGACGCCATCCGGCGGTGGGGAGAAGAGCACAAGCACGACGAGTTGGGGCACCAAGAGCATGGCTAGTTTCACGCTACCCGAACATTCCCTCAAACTACGAATACACCCTCGAACTTCCGGTGACTACTCCTCGCTTCTCTTCCATGTGATTAGCGTATATCAAGGCCGCCGTGATCGTCTCTTACGAGAGCTTAGCGGCTCATGCCAAGACTTCGATGTAACAACACTTGCATGACTGCTTGCTTGTCCAAGCCAGATATCTGGACGGCCCCCAATCCATGACAGCTGGTTTTACCGAAATGGGTATCCACTCAGATCATTGACGAGGTTTTGTTGTCGTTCTTGCACAGGAGATACCTTACGGTTGGCGTTCTTTGCCGACGCCAGCCCCGCGGGTCAACTCGCAAAGTAGCATCAGCGGATCTGTTGCTCGAAGATCAGCTCTTAGTGGAGCCTGATGAACCCTTCATGGAGCAACTATTGGTCTCGGGACTCCCTGGATGTGACAGACTTCATGCAATGTTCTATCTAATGCCAGCTATGCACAACCAAGGCCCTTCACCAACCGCAATCCAACATGCCCGCGGGAAGCTACCTAGACCCATCAAGCCAGGAGAGCCACACGTTGCTATACATGCAGGGGTCTTGTGCCTCTAGTCGATGTATGCGATGAAGTCGACTGCCTCAGGCTTGGCTTCTGCTACAGGTTCCGCACTCTTCTTGTCGATATAGGCGATGTAGTCAACAGGTTCCGCTTCCGCCTCCGGCTCCGCGTTCTTCTTGTCGATATACGCAATGAAGTCCACCGGCTCAGCTTCAGCATCTGCTTCTCGCTTGTCGATATAGGCAATGAAGTCGACAGCCTCTGCTTCAGCTACAGCTTCAGGCTCTGCACTCTTCTTGTCGATGTAGGCGATGAAGTCCACGGGTTCGGCCCCCGCCTCGGCGCTCTTTTTGTCGATATAGGCAATGTAGTCCACGGGCGAGCGTTCAGCTGCGTTTCTCTTAGTCGTGGTACAGGGTATCTAGACTTGAATCACCTTTCATAACTGGGGCGGCATGGGCCAGGGCTGTCAGGCCGCCAAGCACGAGGAGGGCTTTCTGGGAAAGCATCTTGAGGTCTGTCGAGGCGGGAGTGCTCCTGAAGCCACCCAAGCAGGCCCATTCGACATCTATATATCGACTGAATGGTCTACTGAGTATACCGCGCCCAGTGCTCGAACGGAGCTCTCCCTTGGCTGGTTGCATCAGCTCGCATCGGTACCGGGTTCAGCAGAGTATCCTGGCTAGAGGCTGTCGTACCACACCAGAACATTGCCTAGTGAACGATGCCAATTCGTGCTCACTGGTGAGCTCCACCATGCGAAGTACGGTTTGTGTTCGTCTCTAACGGTTCTCAAGACTAGTCACTCCTTGGGCAGCATGTCGGGTACACAAGATAGTTGTCAGTGTTTCATCGTGGATATGGATCAACCATTCGCCATCCAATGTATACGGCAACTCCCTGGTAAGCAGCTCAGGCCAAACTCCGCCTGACTTGGCTGTGCGCCTGATGGCATGCGAAGAGGAGATGCACGATAAGAGTGCATGAGGTCAAGGTCGCACAAGCATTCCGCTTCTTGGGGGCCGAAAGCTTCTGCGTAACTTCGTGCAGCGATTGTAACCCAAGCCTTTCGGAACCCCATACGCACGGGTCGATCAGGAGGTATTGGTCCAATGCATACCTGTCCTTTGGCTATGAGGGTGGAAGCATACCTCAATTGCTCCGCAGAGATACCGACGGCGTAAGATACGACCGTCCTTGGCGTATGGTAAGCCGCGGAACACCTACTGGGGGCGGAGCGTGTCCCGCAGTCTTGACTCGTGCGGATGACTGGCCGTGACAGCGTCAGTCTTTACGTGCTCTAATCGGTAAGTGAATGTCGGGAAGATCGGTGTAACGGGAAGGTTTGCGAAGAAGAGGCGCGATATCTTCGCAGTACAGCTTTCGAACTGCTCTGCAACAAGAACTACGACCTGAGGCTGCAAGAAGGGGGAACAGAGCCTGACGAGCACAGGACCGTCCGTAGTCTTCGCGATTTCGACAACTTCCATACGTTCGAGATCCAATTTCTGCCACAGCGCCCAGTGACGACGCATGCTGCGGTTCGCACGACACATCTTGCGCACTTGCTAGCATCAAAATGTCGGATTCAGACGACCTCGAAAATCTCCAGTGCAGACCGGAAGGCTACGACATGGGGCTCGCGTCCCAAAAACTACTAGACACACCATTCACGCCAAACGACAACCCGGCAGATCGGCATAGGCCTCTACATCATCGACTGCTTCCGTCTGTGGTACACATCTTGCTCCTCGCCGTCGGTATCTGTTTGGGCGTATTCTGTGGTTCCTTTCTCGGTCTTATACGGCCGCAGAGTCCTCAACAGAGCCTTTCCAGATTCCAGAACTCGCCTGCTTATGGAGCAGTGGCCGCTCACCCGCTGGAGACCAGGCCTGATATGCATGTCGGACCCCGCAACCCTTACAGCGGCGCGCCAAAACCAGAGACGGACAATGCGTGGGCAGCTTTGTTGAAGGGCTACAATCTTCGCGTACCTAGCAGTTCGCTCAGCCAGGAGCACGCGCCATCAATACCTTTATCTGATGGTTCAGGGAACGTGTGGGTGTCTCTGGGCATGTATCACCACCTTCACTGCTTGGACTCGATCCGGCATCAGATACATGGCCGGAATTGCATCTCTCAGGACTCGACGACAGAAGCGGATGGATTCCCCAAACATCTAGGTACGGACCCCGCTGCGAGGTATATAGAACGATAATGCTTACGTGAAGTCAGATCACTGCATCGATACATTGCGACAGTGGCTGATGTGCCAGCCGGATCTATCTCTACGATCTGTGTACTGGCGCGAGGATGGATTGTCCGCCGCCGCAAACAACTCAATCACACATGAGTGCGTCAATTGGGATGCACTTCAAGAATGGGTGGATCAACATTCTATCAGTGCTAAGGACGAGGCTGTGCAAAGGCCGGATGGTAAGAACTACATATTCCATCGCCAGCATTTCCACGACTAATCTTTGGCACAGGAGCACTGTTCGATGGTCCCGAGCCACCGCCTCCTAGATGTGCTACAAAACAGTCTTGATATCATACCGGTCATGAAACAAAAAACAATGAGAACAATCTCTATTCGTTGGCCCTCGGCAGAGCCCGGCCTTTCTTCCCACACATACAAGTGCAAGATCCCACAGTGCCCCTCTCAAGCTCCCAAACTCCCGTCCCACACAGCCACTATAGTCCACTACCCAAACTTCCACCACCTCCCCTCCCTCCCCCACGGCAACTCGACACAGCCCTGCACCATAATCGGCGCCGTGCTCGTATGCCCAAACCTCTCCTCCCCGACCGCATACCCGACGCTAAACACAAACCTCGCAATCCTCTTGGCGCAGTGCTCGCTGTGCGCCAGACTCATCGTCTTGGTGTCCAGCCAGCGCCAGCGGTGCTGGACGGCCAACGCCAGCTTGCGCCACGCGTACAGGCAGTGCTCGTCGTGGAACGTGTTGGTGTAGGCCGTCAGGTTGGCGCCGGTGCGGAGGGCGTCGAGGTCGGTGGCCGAGGTGATGGGCTGGGTGAGGTTGTGGTCGTAGTACCAGGGGCGGTCGTCGAAGGGGGTGTAGTCTTGGGTGGGGGCGGGGTGGTAGCACAACGGTGGGATCCAGGAGCGTAGCATGGGCTCGTAGGTGCAGTTGTTGTGCTGGGCGGTGGCGACGGTGGGGCCGCAGGTTGAGGCGAGGGCTGGAGAGGTTGGGGAGAAGGGGTGCATGGTGAGGAGAGCGAGAGGGAGGAGGAGGCTGGCGGCGATGGCGAGGGTAAGGGCGAGGGTGCGGTGTCGGCGCCCGCGGGTGTTGGTGGTTGACGGCGGCTTTTCTGAGGTCGAACAGGATGTGGCGGTATTGTCGCTGACGTCGTCTACTGATGACGGTAGGAGTGCGTACTTGTGTGGCATTATGGGCAGGTTTTGTCCGCTGTCCTTCCCTTCATGAATGCTGTTGAGACTGATGGGTTGATAGAAGGCCGATGACGGGGAGTGTAGCGAAGAGATGGCGGAGGATAGTGAAAGCCGTACAGCTCTCAGATCCGTACAATAGCTGGTAGGAACACTGTAGTCGATGGCCGAGTCTTCCCGTAGAGAGAGAGAGATCCCAAGAGTAGATGTGTTGCCGCCAAGAAGGGAACAGGCAGTGAATGGAGCTTACGGATCCACTTTACAATACACTGCCTCGTAATACAGATACACAGGGATCTCGCATCAACCCACGCAAGGCCCCCTCCGCGCGGGCCGTGAGCGCCACTTTACTGGAGCATCCGTCACTTGCTCCAAGGAGGCTTGCTGTAGATCACCTTCTGCTTTCTGCTCCGACGGTGTGCTAAGTCGATGGGTGTGGTCGCCAGCTTTTTCTCGTCTCAGCTAGAGTCCCAGGAGCATTTATGCACGAGCTGGCGCATGCAACTGTGGGGTCTCCAGAGTCTTGCAACTCCTCTGTGGCAAAAGACGTGGATAGCCTCGGGTTATCCTTGTTGAAGTGCGATAAGACTCGTGCCAGCTTGTGCAAGGTTCGCTGCATAAGGTAGTCGGGCTTGAGTTGCGAGACTTGGGATCGCAGGCCCAATTCCTACGGAACCGAAGGTGGCTTGTCGCCTTTGCCTATCCATTCCAGAAATCGAGGTTTGACGCAGTTGTGCTGAGTTATTTCAGCCCAGCTACAATTCCTTGTACGTGTGGTCTATGGAGAGTTCTAAGCCATTGCTGCCTCTCTGCGAAGAGGATCCATGGGATGCAATGAAGGATGAAAACAATTTTGGCAGTGACACACAGGCACACGCAGTGTCTACACAGCAAAGCCATCAAAAGTATTTTCTTTACGCAACCTTGGTCCTACTTCTGGCATCAGTCACGGGGAATGTGCTCTTAATATGGAAGTCGGACAGCATCATCAGCTCAGCACCACATGGTAGCCTATCATCCACCTACGAGACTCCTCTTGGTCGAGACACGCGGTACATGACACTCAACCACACGTCCGACGAGCTCTGGGAGCCACTGCTCGAAGACAGACTTGGCGAGTTCTCCACACCGGCCGACGAATTCGAACGAGGCGAGTACAGCATGTTTCATCAACTGAGATGCCTCGCCAGATTTCGTCTGACGATACAGCGCGCTGCAGCGGGACAGGATGTCGGTGTCGACTTCAGAGACGACCATTGGGCTCATTGCCTGGACTACATGCGCAGGATCGTGCTTTGCAACGCCGATGACTCAGTCGAGCGCCCGAGAATAGCACTGCCTCAGCCTGATGGATCGGTACGGTATGGCATTGAGGGCGCGGAAGAGTTGCGGGTCTGTCGATCGATACAGCCGATGTGTGACAGGCTTGCGGAGGCTGGCCTGGCGGAAACGTCGTGCATTGAAAATCTGGACTCGACGCTCAACCCTTGGCCAGGACTCGACACCCGGAGATGAGCGTAGCCGCGATGGTCGCCCATTTCGGGGACTGACACAAGAGACAGCAATCGTGGGGGCCGAGCAATCCTGACCCTCAGGCACCCCCTCTCCCAGGCATCTTCTGGGTCGAACTCTCTGGGCACTCTCTTAGGACACCCTGACAGTGGAAATCGAGCGAGCACTCGACTAGAACCTGATGCCAATGCTCGACCAAGTCTATATCGCCGTCTCACAAATCGCGCGAACCCCCAAAGAGCAAGAAGGAATGTTTTGTGAAGAAGCAGACTGCGAGTCAGTGCCAGCAGGCAGTGAAATCTTGGCAAAACAACGGGGAGGCGAGGCTATCTTCCCCCTGCCAAGCGTAAGGTGTACTGATTTACCCAGCATACCTGTATAACATATTTACTGTAGCCGGGTGCGTATAAAAGACCTGAGTTGCATTTGTCCTCATCATTACCTCGGAACAATACGAGACGAACTGAATACCACGCTCCTAACACCGAGATCATGTTCCAAGTCCAATGAGATCGTGTCTTTGAACGGACTTCAATTATAGTTAATAGTTATTTGTATTACAAGTCATATCATGCAATGCCCCAAGCGCATGCTTCCCTCGCATAGTCCATTCGCCATAGTACATCTTCTAACCAAAAGACTCCGAATCCCGAGGGACATCCTGGAAAACACCCTCGCTGTTCCTATCCCAAAGCATCATCACCTCAGTACACAAAACGAAATCAAAGGGGGTAATAGATTCTCAATCACTCTCGTCTCTCAGTCCAACCACAGCATCCACCGCGCCGTCCTCGTCGTCCCCGTGATGATCAACAAGAGAACTCTGACCACACTCACCCCCGCCCAGATGGCCCACAAAAGCCCCACCACCGTATATTCGATGCTCGCGTACCACGCCCGACGCACCCACCGCACCGGGCCCCGACGTCTTCGCATCATCGCCTGATCGATCGCCTCGTTGACACCCTTGATCGCCATCGTGCTCGTCGTGCTCAGCTTCATGCTGAGCTCCCCTGCCTCGTCGGCACTGTTGCGCACCCGTGGCGTCATCTGATTGTCCACCAGATCCTCGAGCTCCTGCAATTGGCGATGCAGCTGCGGCGCAAGCATACCCGTGAAGTGCTTGAGCGACTCGTCGAAGTTGCCAGCCTGCTCCGTGATCTGGTGCATAATGCTTCGTGCAGCAATGACGTGCTCCTGCTTGCGTGCCACCATCGCGAGGTCAGTCGCCGGCTTGTCGCCGTTGCTGATTGCGTCTGCCATAAACGAGGGCATCTGCCGTGGCTCGTCGGCTCGACGACAGATCTCCTTGGCCTTGACCGCCGATGACAATATGAAAGCGCCCGCGCGCTGAATGTCACGCCAGGTGACGTACGGAGACTCATGGTCGAGATCGTGCGTGCTGATACGAGAAATATCTATCGCCGAGTGCCGGCTCTTCACAGCGGCGAGACCAGGCGAGGCACCGTCCGTGAGTGCCGTATTCAATTTGTCAGAAGCACTTTGTGACGGCGTCAGGTTGAGGGCTGCACCAGAAACGTTGCTGTTCCAGTGTTCCAGGCGATTAGGGCTGCGAGAGCGGTCTCCGGTATCCAGCCTAGGAGGAGCGAGACGGTCTAGCCGTGGAGACCTGGAAGCAGAACGATGCTCGGCTGCAAGACGAGATATGTGGTCGTGAGAGTCCGATGTAGGTGGCGTGAGCATTGCCTGCTTCCTCTGCTGATCTTCTCGATCTCGGTCGAAAGGTGATGTAAAGCTCGGAAGGTTGGGGTTATTGTACTTGGGGCGGCCGCCAGATCCAACAGGACTCTTGTTCGACACGACCGGAGAAGTGTCACTCTTCGTACTCGACAAGGTAGATGAGCGCGACCGGATCTTTGGACCTGGCGGCGTCTTAATCACAGTCCCGTTTACAGGCTCGTCCTCTCCGTCGGACTCATAGCCAGACTTTCCACTGAGCTCCGAGTCCCTGCGCTTATAAGGTGCAGGCGCATCCTTTTTCCAGATGAAGTCGCCAACCCGGGACACTTCATGGCCCACAATCTCAGCGATGCGACCGCCTTTGAAGATGCCCCTGATCTTGGAATGGTCGCTCGAAGCTGCAGTAGACTTTGTGTTCACTTTGCTCATTCCGGTATGCTCAGAAGCAGGCGGAGCAACGGCTGCATGTGTATCCTTCTTCGTCGTCGGGCTCTCCCCTCGCGTCATCGGGCTAGTTCCACGTGATAGGTCTCTAGAACCATCTCTCAGGCCTTCTTCTCCAGTACCCACAGCGACAGAGGATCGTTTTGAGTTGTCCCCAAAATCCTTCTCTTGCACCGACTCATTTTTGTGGTGCCGATGCAAAGGCTTCAGAATCGAAGGAATATGTCTTTTCGATGGTGAGGGTGATCTGCTGTGTGGTGGCGAATCCAGGTTGATGGCGATGCTCGGCCACCTTGGATGAACTGGTGAGTTAGGTGCGGTACTATCGTACTCACCCGAGCTTCGCGGCCTTTCATCGAGCCCAGGGAACTTGAAAGCTGACTCTTGACGCCTATGCTCTGCTCGTGTCATTGACCTGGAAACTGGGGTAGGATTCTTGGGATGGGATTCCCGCTTCAAGAACCTTCCCAGTGATGTACCGTGGTCGACAGATGTTCGTTTGGAGTTCTGCTTCGATGACGGCAAACTCTGGTCGCTTGCATGCGTTGGATCCACTGGAGCCGGATGTCTTGGAGGCGGCGGAGGGGGCAGTTGGCCAGGAGAGATATCAAGCTCCTGTTTCTGCCGCTTCCTTAGACGTTTCCTACCCCTTTCCGCGCCAGGGCTTTCCGATCTAGAAGAGCGTCCCGAACTATTTGAGTCTGAGTCTTCCATAAAGACTTTGATGCCTTTCGTGAGACCCCTATCATCTGCCGCAGCAATCGAGTCTTTGATCTTGTTCCGCTTCCGACGCGAACCACCTTGACCAAATGCGTGCTGATGTGCAGAACGGAAAGTCGGGAGCTCCGAGACAGGATGCAAAGGCTCGTGTGCTTCTTCCTCCATTGGATCTTCGGGTTCTGGCGGTGGGGATGGCTGTCGGAGGCCCTCTGGTACATGAGCTGGAGTCCTATTCCGCCAGCCAGAGAACATGAACTGCGTGTTTGGAGGGTAGATGTTGTTGTTGTCCCGGTCCTGAATTTTCAGTTTGTTCATACCTTGTTCCAGCCAAAAGCAGTCGCCGATAATATCTCCTGGATGCGTGACCCAATCCGATCGAGGCCGGCGCGGCCGAATGAGCTGATGATCATGACGGCCTTGGCCCTGTTGGCTCTCTTTTGAGCCGTGCTGAGATGCCTCCCGACTATCGGAGCTCCCGTCACTCTTCGCCAGTGGCGGGAGTCTCACAACCTGTGCAGGATCATGCCGAGTTTCGGTATGGCTCTCAATGACCGCATTGACCCAGGAGCGAACCTTCTCCACGTCATGCCAACCTTCAGCCTCCGCATCGATGGTAGTCTTATCCCAAATTCTCAGTTTGCGATTTCGGATATACTGCAACGGATTGTACGCCTTGCTCTGCTTGTCAGGATCTCCAGGGTTCACGTCAGTGCCAGGCCGGCGTATGGGTGGTAGATGGGATAGCAGCCTCCGGTGCTCATATGCTAGCTCAAAAAACACTCTCGCTTTCTCCACTCTGGCCTTCGTCGCGTCAGAAACCTCTTGGTCAAAATCATCTGCAAGACTGTTCTCATCGCCAATCGGTACCTCTGGCGTGCCGACCTGCGAAGCCCTTCTGTTATCCGTCGATAGCTTGGGCGTCTGTGCACCTGCACTGCGCGCGGAAGGTGTCCTCTGTGCCTGGAGATACTGCGCCACGCTCCCGATGGATTGATGCTTGTTCCTGGAGCCAGGAGCGCTCGCTGTAGATACAACCCGCTGCCTTCCAGGTTGAACGCCTGACACGTATCGCCGTTCGGAGGCCTGCCGTCGGCGAGCTTCGGATAGACTGAGTGCCATATTCACGATCTGCGCTGGATCGGTATCGTAGCCCACACTTGTGGTTGGCCGCTTTTTGATCTCAATCCTCTGCTCCGGGACCTCCAGACTTCCAGATCGGCGGGCCAACGGCGACGATGGCCGTAGCTGGCCGTTCGATGGTTTCGGAATGAGTGTGCCGTTCCCCTTAGACTCCACCGCATCAGGCTTCACCTCGCTGCTCAGCGGCGAGCTCCCTATGCTCGAGCTTGGTCTTGAATGCGAACTCCGTAGCTTCGACAAAGGCGTGTGCTGAATCTCCTCGCTATCATCACGGTTTGTGGCACCCGTGCTCTTGGACCCCTTCCGATCTCCCTCTGTCAATTTCGTGTTCTTTCCCTGCAAGATCTTGGGTATGCGACTTCCCTTCCCTATGCTTCCAAGCAGGAATCCGCCGGAGCTCCGATTCGAGCCCCTCCGAACAGGGTGCGCATGAGCAGTCACAGCGGCCTCTTGCCGCTCTCTGTCTGGCGTTGGGCCACCTTCAGTAAACATCCCTTTCCGACTGAAAGCCGTGCCACTACTGCTCCCGATGCTGTCATGCTTGTCCAGCATTCCGGTCATTCCACGCCCTCGATCTTTGCTTCCGCCGTGACTTCTACTCCTGATGGAGCCGGAAGCACTGCTCTCTGCTCGGCCGTCATCGAAGGAGTCGGACCTGCGCGAATCCTCGCGATTGTGATTCTGACCGAGCGAGGAGAAGGTGGGGAGTGCCTGGCGCGGCGAGGGGGATGTGGATACCGCTTCGGCGTCGGGGTGGCCATGGGCTGGCACTTGGAGGGAGGCAGACATGGACGCCGCCAACCAGCGGGTCTGCGATGAATCTCGTGTCGCGGGAAGCTATCCCGGCCACCTGCACGTTTGCAGAGTCGTGGACATTGCAACTCCGGGCGGGAGGGGTGACAACGCTGTGCTAGTGTAGATCGCGTTTGGGGTGCCTCGATTGCTTGGATGTGCCGCAAGAGAGCTACGTGACTCAGCAGTGAGTGTAAGGGGTACAGGAGTTGATAGGCTTCAGAGCTAGGTCCGCGTAATTAGAGAAGAAATGACATGGTTGAGACATCAAAGGTCGATCGCCGGGGCAATCAGACGTCTGTCTGTAGATCCGATGCATCGCAGCCAAAAGTTGGAGGCGTCATGTGGAGCACCAAAAGACCGCGATTCGTTTTCCTTGGCATCATGGGCTAAGTAAACTACACACCTACCTACTCCATCATGTCTACCGACCCAGCGACACAATCCGTCTACAAGGAAAGACACCAACATCTAGCTGTTCGCTCTATCGTGGCCGTAGAAACGTCAGGATATTTAAATGCTCCGTAGTCTGAAGTAAGATGCGGGAAGCCCCCAGAATCAACCCTTTTTGAGAAGCCCACAGCCTCATCCACCACCAGATTCTGTACCTGGACCTCGTCAAGGACGCGAGAGCTGCGCCCGCAATGGAGCGGATGGAGCTCGCTCCCTGTGAACGCGATGCCACATACTTGAGATACGTCAATGGGATGTAGCCAAAACTAGCCTGGGACAACTAGCCTGGAACGCCACGTAGGAACTGCCGGAGGAGATCACAATGCGCAGGACAGGCACGATCGAGTCAACACATTTCCGAGCCCGTCCGTTCAAACAAGAGCGGGCCAACGGGTCGATTGAAGATACCCGGCAGACCTGTGCGAAGTACCTTCTCGTTTTCGACTGTTGTAAACTGACCGTCTCGTATTGAACGGCCCCGGGGAGGAAGATATAGTAGTGCATGTAGTTCAGAAAGAGTAGCTTGATCTTGCCTTGTAGGGGCCGACAATGGCTTCCCTACTCGTGTCAATATGGCAGATTTTGGCTTAACCAAGGTGTTGGTGTTGATCAAGAACCCTTGGCATCAACAACACATTTCGCTCGAACTGATTTGATACCAATTCGTTCCACGGTTCTAGGTGCTCCGAGAATATTAGGGCAAGCGTGGGAGACCCGAGCACTAACCTTCCTGGAGTCATCAGACCATGCGGATCGTTCCAGACGACAAATTCTGTACGCATGCTGTGGAACGCCTCATTTATGGTCACATCTAGGACTATGCTCCCTTCGGCCGTCTCAAATGTCGCGAAAGACTTGAGGGGGATCGGTCGACTAGTATCCATCAGATGCGATAGGCCGAGGCTTCGAACGAGTTCGAGGGTAATGGCGTTGAACTTAGCGCCAGTATCGAACAAAGCAGAGCTGAGTTGAGCTATGTTTGCATCCAAAACTTCGGAGGGGCATCTGAACGTGTCCCATAGCTGATCTGCAGGTATCAAAGCCGAAGACGTCCGAAGTGACGACGTTCCGAGAAGCGTACAAGACTGTAGGCGACCTCTCACAGCGTAGCATCGTAGCAAGCAGGAGACCCAAAGTGACCAACACCAGAAGATTGCGCAAAGACGCAATAGAATGATGGTGCGAGGTGGAAGAAACCCGGCTTATCTTTCCAGGTGCGGTGGTGTTGACCGCGTATGACAGGAATATGACTGCAGCCACAATAGCGGCAGTCTCAAGACATGTTTGCGTTGTAGCCATGGCTCCGACGGTGGCAAGCCGTGCGGTCTTTGGAGTTGTGAATGGAAGCGTGCCTGCGAGTCTTGCAGACTGCACAGTTTTGAGGCCGTTAAGCTGTCAGGCTCGCTCGACCACCGCGTGCTGAGGCCAATCAAGGTCGCCAACCTGTGGCGCAGCCGCGGAACCTGCAGCACGACGTCAGCTTCAAAGGATATGCCAATAACGACGCCAGGACTGGTTCAGAGTCCTTGGGCATCGTGTTATTGTGCGATCGTATGCATTGCGCTTCCAATGGCAAGGTGCCTTCTGAGATACATGGCATGTCAGTGGATCACAAGGCGTAGCCCCAGGCCTCGATGCCTTGTTTAATGAACCCTAAATCAAAGCCGAGATTTTCGGCCAATGAAGAATGTATGCCTTGAATCCGACTTCAATTTTGAAGCACCTTCCATCTCATGCAATCGATCCGTCGTGTTTCGAAACGTATCGAGGAGTTGATACCAGGCTCTGCAAGTTCTAGTAGAGCAATGCCCTGCGTCTACACCTGAGTTTACGGAGCGCGGTGGGCGGACGCACCGCTAATGATCGGTGTATAGAAACCCTGCGGTGGCGGCGTCGCATTAGCCAGCGCCATAAGCAGCTGTGCTGAAGGCGACTCAGGCTCGACGCCTTCTTCGACCGCATGCCGTTCCCGATAAGCATCGTCTCCGGGGTTCCTACCCAGCAGCGGCGGCCGTGGAGACAAGATCGGTGTAGAGAACAAGGCGCGTAGGTCTCCTGGATCCGTGTTCAAGGTTGACATGTGATCGGGCGCGGGCTGCCTCTCCACTGGTGTATCCTCCTCACCAGGCGCATCCTCGTCCGATTCTCCCGGGTCTTGTGCACGTCCAAGCACGTCCACTGATCCTGGGAACGGCGGGAGCGGTGGCAGTGCCGCCGGTCTGGGCGGTACATGGGAAAATGAGAACCGCGGCGCCAAAACCGGCCCACCACTCTGTTGTACGATTCCAGCTGGCGAGGAAGCATTCGGCGCCATCGTACCATTGCTTGCTCCGTCTCCCAGCTTTCGCTGGTGCTCCTTCCTCAGCTCGAGTAGGCGTTGCATTTGCCCACTCGCTTCATTTATTCTCCGCTTTTCTGCAATCAAGGCCGCAATCCGTGCCTGATCGCTGCTGAGGCTGAGCGCGTTATGTTGGCTCCCATCATCAGGGCTCCGTCTCGGCTGCCCACCCAACGCAGGATCAATCATGTTTAGCCCTGTCGCCGAACGTGGCCTTTGCTCCTCTCCTACTGCTGGGCTCCCTTGCTCCCGTAATCGTGCCATAATCATCTGCCGCCTCGCCTCGACTTCCTTGTCATACACCTTCGATGCGGGCTTGGTAGGAGTTGGCCTGACCCGAGACTGAGTGTCTGAGAAATTCCGTCGCTGAAGCTCAACGAACTCGATCTTCCTCTTCTTCGAAGGTCCAGGCTCGCTGTCCCCACTACCGCTGCCCCCAACACCAACACCTATGACGCCCCTCACGGCTTTTTCTGGATTCACAGTCATCCTTCCATCCAGCCGCACCTTCAACGTTGACATCGCCTGAGGGTTGGATCCCGACACGCCCACTGAGTCCCCGGTAGAGCCCGCACCAGTCGCGGCATTCACAGCCTCCACCCTGCCACCAGCACCATTACTGCCCGTCCCAGCCTGCGCCTCCAAAGCCCGTCTCTGCAAAAACGTCGCGTGCCCTGCACTTCTCGCATTCTGACTGGACGGCAACCATTTCTGGTCCTCGGGAAACCCTTGCTGCTCGAACTTCCAACGCAGGCCCCTGTTCTTCGGTGTCTGCCTGCGACTCTCCTGGCCCTGCTGACTATGGCCCTTATCCCGCGAGGGCTCTCCGCCCGTGAGCGCCTGCGCCTGCCGCACCACTTCGCTATTCCGCTGTTCACCCGATGGTTCGGCGCGGCGTGCCAGGCTGGCGCTGAGGGCGCTGAGCTGCTGCAGCGAGGCGGGGATCTGGAAGGCGCGAGAGGGACGCGGGGATGGAGGGGGGGTGCGCTTGCGGCGCGTCATTTTCCAGGAGGCAAGGTTGAGCCAAGGGAAAGCAAAGCGCCGAGGCGATCCGAGGTAACGAAAGAAGGGTGGTAGGGTATGGATGGATCGGGTCTCCCACTACAGATATTGCGGCGCAGCGGCGGGTGGGCGTCGCATAGCTGTAGGCGTAGAGAAGTCGGCGCCGCTGACGACGAGGGGAGAGGGTGGACGCGCAGTGCTGTGTCGTGCTGTCGTTGTGGTGCGGCAAGGCAGCTGTACAGGCGCGAGGTGTGGTCTTTGCAGTGGCCCTACTCGATTTGGCAAGCCCCGGCCTTCGGCACCGCAGGGGCGGGCGTGATGGATCCCGCCAAAATTGGAGAAGTTTCTTAGAGCACTTCAAGTAACGAGGGCGGCGCTCAGTGGGAGCTGGGGGATTATAGGTGCCCTCCAGGTACCGCTCTAGGTACTACACTAGCCATTATTCCAGACACGACACGATGTCATGGTCCAAAGATACGGGTTGAGTAGACGAAAGATGAAGCTCTTCATTGTGTCTTCGACTCTAGCGCTGCGGCTGCGCAGTTGCATTATATCATTGACTCTCTCCCACACACCGTCATCGTAATCTAGACATTACTCTCTTGCAATAGTCATCTACGTACCAACACCTGAAGTACTCGCCTACGCCTTATTCTGACCCTTCCACTCCGCCGAGTGGTACTTCTCACCATACGTCCCCTTCAAGCCCATGCAACTGCCATAGTAACTCACGCTCGAGCTCCAGTCACTGAAGAGCCCCACAATGCCCACCTCCTGCGCCAGCATGTCGATGAGCTCGTAGAATTGGCCGTCGGTGTGGACCGCGTCAGCAAACGTGCTGAAGTAGTAGTCCTCGGAGGAGCGCACGTCTGTGAGGGGCCCGGAGCGCTCTGCCGTCCAGGCCACGATGTCCAGGCCGGCTTGCTTGGCCGTCAGCGCGTAGCTCGAGGGCGCGATGGTCTGATTGTCCTCGCCAGTGGCGATGAAGAGGTAGTTGATGGGAGGAGCGATGATGTTGACGCCGCGCGCCTTCAGCTCGGGCAGGCGGGCTACCGCGGCAGGGAAGTCCGCTGGATCGTCGCCTTCTTCGTCGAGGTAAACGGCCTGTGGGCCGAAGCTGTCGGGGTATTCTTCGATCCATAGGTAGACGTCGTCGGGCAGGAAGGACTGAGGGAAGACGCGGTAAGGGCTGATGCCCTTGTTGGTGAAAGTATCGACCATGTCGCGGGCAAACTGCGCTTGAGTGTAGCCGTTGAAGGGCATAGAGACTGCTGCAGGAGGCGTCTTGAGCTCCGGCGTGAAGTTGCGGTAGCCCGGGAAAGAGTTTGTCAGGTCGATGTAGGACTCAAGCGTCATGACGGTGCCGCACGTGTCGTAGAGCGTTGTACGCCAGGGCTGAATGCCGCCGTCGGTGAAGTCTTCGGGAGTCGTGGCCTGATGTCAAGGTTAACATCTAGGAACCAGAAAGGCCGGTGCAACTTACACTAGCATTGAAGCCATCCATCTTGCTGCAGAGACCCAAGAACTCGTCCAGCGTGATGTCGCTGGTACAGCAAAGAGCTGAAGCATCCGCAGTCTCGTTAGCGGGCGTGAATGGTGTGGTGCACTTTTCCCGCAGCTCTGGTCTGTTCATGATGTCGGTCGTGGTGTGCAGGTCGCACTGGTCATGGCGGCAGACAAGCTTGAGGTCCGAGGTGAACGCAACATCACACTCGTTGATGCCAGCGCCCATTCTCGCACCAGCCACCGACGACTGGACTGTCTCCTCAGGAATCTGCAGGTCCGCACCACCACGGTGGGCAATGCTGAAGGCAGTGATCTCGAACGGCCCGTTCTCACAGCTTTGAAGCTTCTGCTTGAGTGGGGACTCGGTCATGTTGTTGATCAGGTAGTAGGGACGAGGTCCGTATGAGACAAAGTACTCAGCCTCAGGCGTAGGAGCTTCGAGGGGAGTATGATTGTCGCCGAACTTGCCGCTGCTGCGGCCTGCAAGTGGGACAGCATTGACGGTGTTCAACACGGCTGCAGCTGCAGCGAGCTTGGAGATAGCAGACACCATACTGTATGACCGCGACGGAGCTCTGAGGCTACGAAAATGAAGCTGTATAGGGCACCACTGGAGCTCACAACTTCAAAATCAGGGAGCAGGTCCTACCTCTTGAAATATTTATGGGCGCAGCTTCAACCCCCAACCTGAACAGCCGTCTGGTTAGCGCAACGAGCTATGTCACCTACTCGAAGAACCCTGCTTGCATGCAGGTAGCAGGCGGACCATCGCTTCGTCCCACGTGTGCGCGCAACGATGGAATATCTGCTTGACCAGGCACTGCTCTTCGCTTGTCAGCTGTCTTCCCGACCGAGCTAGAGATGCGGGAAAAGAAAAACAAGACAATTGCAGTGCTTACACCTTCGGTTCTGGGGCAAGCTCTTGTCTTGGCTAGGATCATCAGAAGCTACACGAGCCAATTCGACTGCCGATTCGGTCAACGTGAAGTTAGAGCTGTGCAGCATGCAGGAACGCCCAGACTTCAGGACTCCACGCCCCCATCCTTTGAACGCCTTGCCCCGCAGGCTAGGTTGATAGGCGGTTGATAACGCCCTCTTAGTGTTCTGGCTCGGGTAAGGCGTGGTCCTTAGACAAGTCCGCTCGATCGAAGGAACGCGAGGATGACAGCAAGCCTTTTGCGATTCACGGTCTGTGCTGACGCCTTACGTCACCTTGATCGGACACCACTGGGTTGCGACTGCCGACAAGCCGATGCAGCATACCGTTCGAGCGAGAGAAGTGGATTGTGTAGGGCGCGACGGTTTCGAAGCTTCTCGCTGCTCGGAGCGGAAAGGCTGCAGGTGCACTTGTTGCACCCAAAATACATCTGCATGCATGGAGGCTTAGTTCGGGCCCGGGGTTGTCGGACTCGAGACAGCTCGACAGGCTTCGAGAAGCCCGCAGTCCTCCGGACCACTAGCGTCCCCTCAATTGACCACGTCGACCAGCACGAGTCTTCCACCTCCCCACCTGCCCAGCCACATGAAAATCCACGTTAGTCTGTGGTACAAAAGCTCTTCCTCGCGTTGGCGCAGCCAGTGCTCATCAACGACAGCCAGAGAACCCCCAAGTAGCTTTTCCCACACCTGGTCTGCCACAAGGAAGTTGTGCTCCGCGTGAAGACTACCCGTCTCATCTGCGATGCCCGCGATGATCTGGGGATTGGGTCTGAGCTCCAATGCTTTGCCAGCTTGACATGCAGTACAGGAATGTATCAGGGTGTTGGCAAAGACAACATTCCCGCACTCGCATGGCATGCAATACAGCTGCTGCCTCTGCCAGGTGTCGACGAGGCGGATTTTCGTGAGGATGCCAGACAAATACATCAGATGAGTGCCGGCTTGTTGAAGTACGATCTGATCTGCAAGAAGTTTGAAGGTCATCTGCGGTCGAATTCCTCGCCTTTGCTCTTGATATTTTACCATTATCTCGTTAGGCACGATGACATTGTACGGTGTGACGACCTGGAAGGCTGGGTTTCCATCTTTCTCAGGAAAGCAGGCGGCACCAGTCCGCGATGCGGTGGTGGCAAGGACATCGTCAGGGATAGATGGGAGCTGATATAGAGGGCGCAAAGCTGGGATGTGGAGCGAGATCCTGTCCCCGAGTCGCAGGTGGTAATTGAGGTTCAGAGATCGGAGCGAGATCTGTGGAGCACTGTGAGCGATAGCCTGACACCGAATTGAAGACTCTTCACCAAGATTCGCGAGTTCTTCGGAGTCAGAAGCTCCAGATGTTGGCACTTGGTGAAGGTGGATTGTGATCCGGCAGCATTGGCGTTGCCGTCCCACTTCCGAAGGATCACGCCTGTCACGCGAGTGCCCTTGATTCTGTCCTCCGAGGCCATGATCTCACCGGCACCGAACTGTTAAACTCGGGGTCTTAAGCTGAAGACTGAGATGCAACTGCAACTGCGCATCAGACGTATCGTGCCAAGCTTCAGCAGGTAATACAGAAGTGAACCAAATCTGAGGTTAGTTAAGGGGCAAGACTGCCAGAAGCCGGAAGCAGCGAAGCAATGGGGAGTCTCACACCGACCAACATCTTCGAGTAATCATATTCGTGAATTGAACAGCTTATTATTAGCTACCTCGGTATGAGCCAACCTGCCCTCACATCCGCCACACCACTTCTTCTATGTCTGATTGTAAAAGAGCGACGATAGTTGGACCTGACATTCTGTACCCCAAGCAAATACTGAAAAAACAAGGCTTCTGTGCACTCTATGCCGACGGGCAAAAAGAGATGGTATCTCGCGGCGGCCGTCACCTCGTGTCAACATGATGCAAAGAGCTCAAACTATACAATAACCTTGGACTTGGTCATTGCAGGAAACAGTTTGTGCTCGAGAGTCATGTCGGACTCGGGCTGCAGACCCACACAGGCACGGAAGATGTTGGTCAGGCAGTTGCGTTGCTTGGCCAGGGCGTTCACGACTGGGGTGCCGGGAGGTGTGAGAGGGGCCTGGAATTCGTTAGCAGACGGATGGTGCGAGGAGGGATATGTTGATGCTTACCTTGAGCATGTAGCTCAGAACGCTCAGCACCGAGTGGAAGTTCTTGAAGTCCGACTCAGTGTCTGCCTTCCATTGGATGCGAGTGAACATCTCAGCTAGGATGACGAGGTCGATGATCAACGGCGAGGCGAGCAGTGAGTCCTCGCAGACGTTGAAGATGCTGATGGTCTGATGGCCACCCATGAAGATTTCAGCATAGTACTCGTCGAGCGCACGCTTGTTGTCGCCCACGGCAGGCATGTACTTGATGACAACGGTGTGATCTGGATGCTCATCCTTCTTGTACAAGACGGAGTTGGCAGCGACCATGTCATCCACGACATTGGACTTGGAGATTTCCTTGGATCGGAATTGCTTCTGTGAACTCAAGTTCTTGCCGTCATTGTTACCGAGATGGTTGTAGCTGGCAATCGAGGTGAGCTTGATGCCGGCATTGATCAAGAAGTCGACCAGTGCCGACTTCATCTTGGTCTGGCCGGACTTGAAGTCGTCACCACCGATGTAGGCGTTGTGCTTCTCAGCGAGGTGGACCGCACCTGGAACAAAGGTATTCTGAGGCGAGCCATTGATGAAGGGGGTACCCTCAAGGATGCAAGCGACGGCGAACACAGTCGACGGCGAGATCTCCTCATGGCCTTGCTCAATGGCCTTAAGCAGATTGTCAGCTGTGTCGTTCACGCCAGGGACGACGTCGGCGTAACGCTCAGTGTTCGCTGTCCAGAGCACGATGACTTTGTCGAGGTTGTTGGCACTCTTGAAGTTCCTGGTACTACGTCAGGTGACCACTGATGCACGCGGCCAAGGGTAAGCTTACCTGATATCCTGGCGCAAGTGTTCGACGTGGGCATTGCAGGCCTTGGAGCCCTCAACCACGTGGTCGGCGCGATCCTCCTGATTTGCCGCGATGAAATCCGGATAGTAGATGCTCTTCAAAGGCGTGATCGCAGCCATCTCCTTCCGGACTTGCCGTTTCAGATCGGGCTCCAAGACCTGGGCGCGATCCATTGCTTCGGCCAAATTCATGCTTGAGATATCCCAGCCGCCAACGACCAGATCGTTGGGGTGGACCATGGGCAAAACATTGTGGAAGGGGATGTTAATCTCTTCACCAGTTTGTGCATCTGTGCCGAGCTTCATGGTTGAGCCCATGACGAGCGAGCCGTAGTAGTTGGATGCCCGAGGACCTTCCTTGGTGTCGAAAACCAAGCCACGCTTGTTGGCGAGAATTCCAGCCGTGACCGTGGTGCCGTTGTTGCCACCCAAGCCGACAAGCATGACACCGACCTTGCCAACCTTGCGGTCGACCTTGAAGTCGTATTTGGTCTCCTTGGGAGTGGCCACATAGCTATTGCCGGACTTGGACACGGCAGTCGTTCGGTAGACGTACTTTGACTGGATTTGCTCGCCGGAGTACTGAACGTCTGGGGAGTTCACGACGAAAAGTTCCTGCTTGGGGTCAATGTATTCAGCGGGCGTTGCAGTTCCATTGGTACCAAACCCGTTCATGTGGCCGTCGCTCTGTTCCGCGTGAGGGGCCATCTTGAGTGACGGGTGAATTCTATTGACAGAAATTGAAAGTAGTGGTTAATCGGGCTATTGGTGTAAGTGGATCTTTATCGAGTTTTGGCTGAGCCCGAATCCCCTCCACGAGCGGCAGAGCGACGGGCACCCTTGAACGGGTTATGTAACCTGAGAGGGTGACATGTCAGTAGGGGGTTGCGGAAGCGGCAGCGTCGTCGTCTACTGAACGGGACGGGTCTCAGAAGGTTTGCGAACGGAGCCAGAACAACGTTGATGTTGTCGACGGCCGGCCGCATGAGGCGGTAAAGAGCTGGTCTGGGTGGGCGAGACTTACGATGGCAGCAAGTTAGAAAACGTCTTGACTGATTGAACGGGTCACTCGGAAGTGAGCCCTTTGTGAAATCTTGATAGGGAGGCCGTAGCCCTGGCTGGTTGGCAAGATCAGCAGTGAATTGGTTTGCGATATGATGTGTACGATGCAAGATGCTGGTAGGAGAGAAACATGAAAACACGGCGGAGGGATGTGGGATTGAAATATTTCCTGTAGGACTTGACTAATGTCAGCCGCGGCCTTCCACTGCTCCCGACGCGAGTCAAGGCCAGAGAATGACTTTGTTCGCTTCAGCGGGAGCGCTCTAAGCTAGCCATAGATTGTGCATTAATGTTGGAAACATGTGCACTCTGAAGTCCAATGGCTGGCGCAATCTCTCGTGGCCTCCGACATGTTTTCTTCTGTCATGGAGTCCACGCCCAACGTATGTGTCCTAGATTGGTGCCAGGTCACGCGCCCACCACTCCAGTTCTCGGCGTGGGAGTCGTTTAGCTTGAAGATAGCTGCCTGGAGTCCACAATACGAATGTGTTGGTCCTTAAGCTACGCGCAGCGAGGTACAAAGGGGACGGTGCCGGTCTCGGCCCTGCTGCCCCTCTGCTGCCCCTCCCAGCGCGACACAGACCCCCGCGGAAATCAAGTCCGTGATCGCCTGTGGTCAGACAAGGTCCCGTATCTGGGATCTGTTGCTATCTCATACTGCAGCACAACAAGGAGAGTGCAAAGTCAACGAGACAACGAATGGGGCCGGGAATTGTAAGATCGACCAAGATATGCGGTGAGCCTTGGGCCAGGTCACACCCGAGGCTTGGATGCATGAGCACCTTTAGTCTTGAGATGTGCACGGCGCCGTCTTTTCGGTCGAATTAGATTATGCCATTATGCACCGCTATCTGCAGGGCTCGATCTTACCGGCCACGGCTTCTCAGGCTAATCTGCACCCTTGCTGCCATGTTGATGGCCCCGTCAAAGGCTGTCCAAAGGAGAGTAGTAGCCTGTACCTCGAATCAAATCTGCTGTATCACACCATTCTTCCAAACTCGCCCGCTTGATCTCATTCAATCGTCATGCTGTAAATGCCATCTCAAATAGTCTAATAACTCGCTGACTCCGTCGCTGTGAGTGCTGAATTGCATTGTTGTTGATGAATCGAAAACACATGAAATCGAATAAACCGGCCTTGATTTATCGAACGTCCAGCCTTGGTCGGTTGGTTCGACGCTCTGGAAAATTGCTTCCCTTGATCGCTCCTGGGTCGCCGCTCCTGATGTACTCGCGTACAAGCGGACTCGGTCGTGCTGGTCCTCTGCTGTGTACCCGGGGGTGGCTCGCCAGCCGGAACGCATCCCTTTCGCAGTACACCTTCCCCGACAACTCAAAGTAATCATTCGTCAATTGCACTCGACATGTTGCACACTTCAAACACGCTGGGTGGTGTTTCTCCTTGCCTCGCCCAGCTACGTTAGCCGTCTCCATATACAGTCCCTCGATGCCTTTGCCGCACGTGGCGCACAGCGAATCGCACATCTTGTGATAGTGGTGCCCGCAATATGGGTGATCATCGTGGACGTAAAATTCCGCCGTGGCAAAAGGTTCTTTGCACGTCCGGCACACAAAGCATTCCTTGTGGTATTTGCCACTAAGCCGCCCATCCGCACTCGATACGGATTTCTGCATAGCCAGTATCGGTTGCGAACAGCCCCGACAAGTCCCTTTAGATCCGGCACGACGCCCTCCAACGCTGGCCATCGAGTCCTTGCGTGGCCTAAGTGCAGGCGGGGCGATATCTGCTGGGTTGCTCAGGTCGAATCGAGGGCTCGGCACAGGCTCCTCCAGTGCGGCAGGTCGCTGGAAGAGCGGTGCATTGCTGCTAGCCAGCGAGCTTTTACGTGGCCGAAATAATGGCGCGGGTACTGCCGAATCCTCATGATCTGAAGACAAGGTCTTGTCATTGTTGGTCGGTGGCACAACCTGTGCATCGATCGAAGAGTCCGCCGAAGTTCTGTCCTTGTCATTATTCAGGATTGGGGACAGAAGCCCGTCTGAATAGAGTGGGTCTGTCGGTGAATCTGCAGCTGCTTCGGCTATCCGGGGTCGTAGAGGCGCAGGCATCTCGAGCATGCTCTCTTCCATATCGACTTTTGGTCCAGCGTCCGATACTTTTCGTGATTCTTCGGGTGGCGGCGGACTGGACCTTGAACTAAAAGTCCTTTCGGTAAATCCAATTGATCCGTACGAGGACACTGAGTCTAGAGATGCTCGCTTTATCCCTGCGTTCTCCTCCCCCTGCTGGTTCCTTGCTGGCTCCGTTGGCTTTTTCGAAGTCGGCGCGGCACTTGCTAAGACTGGAGGTGCAGGTCCATCAGTCTCGCCAGGCGAGCCCAGGTTGAAGTCAAATTGCTGCTGCGGCCCTTTGGCCTCGGACTGCGTTTTCGGCTCTTCCACGTCAGGGTCCGATGAACGGGCGGCACTGTCCTTCGTATCCTCCCCGCCCAGAGCAGCAAGTGATGCTTTTCGGGCTTGTTCAGCCTCCTCTGAGATAATCTCGGGTGGCGACAGCGGTCCAGAACTCGAAACGCTGGGAATCAAGGCCGGTTCGGGAGACCGGGAAGGTCGTGGTGGAGGTGCAAATGGCGGCGCAGAAAGTGGTTCTGGGGAGCGACTCGGCCGGGTCGGAGGTTCCACTGCTGATGAAGGAACTGATGAAGGCATTGGAGGGACTGGGATCGGTTCGGGTTCGTCACTCAGAGCAGCCCTTACCATAGAACGACGACCATTCGACGGTCGGCGCCCAAAAAGCTTTTGCGTCAATGTTCGTCCCAAGCTTCGGGACGATGAAGGGGAGGGCGATTTCGATTGTTGGGGATTGTTGGGCAAGGTAAGGTTGCTAGCAATAGGGGGTGGGCGCTTCGACTTGTATGCTGGCTCCCTTACGGATGGAGGCCGCTGGAATGAACGGGACTGACCTCCGAATGCAGCAAGCTCGGCGCTGTGGACTGTGTTTCCAGTCGAGTCATCCGGGGACTGTAGAATATTGTCAAAGGTCACCTGGCGTGTCAGAGGCGGCTGGACGTCGTTCGGTCGCAACGGGGCGGGAGTCGTTTCGGCACGTATCAGAGGCGATGGTACGTTGACGACGTTTGGCAACGGAGGAATGGCACCTGTTGGATGCTGTGCCCCGAAGGTAGGGGCAGGTCCCTCTGGAGCTGTAATCGGGCGCGATTGCTGCTCCTCGACAGTGATGGGTTTCGTTCGCCCTCGTGACACCGCTGAGACTGCGCTGTTTGCGGAAGTTGTTCTACTATGGCTGAAGGGCACTTGTCTTGATGACCTGGAACTGCTTGTTGTAGATGGAGCTATCCGGCTTTTCCCCGCCTCTTTCCTGGACTTTGGTGCTCGGTCCTTGCTCGAGCTCTTCTGCTTTGGGGCGCTCATCCCAGGGAAAGGCGGAAAGGCGCAGTCCTGGCTGATCAATTCCGGTGAAGGAGGTCGTAGCACGCTAGAGGGTTTCCGGGGTCTCGAGGGTGATCTTCGACTCGATCCTGTGCTTACGGGTGAGGCCAAGAGAGAACTATGGCCACTGCTTGCGGGTGTCAATTCGCCGCTTTGCCCTATGGTGTGTCAGTCATTGATCGGCTTCACCAATGCGTGCTGAAGCTTTCGCCAAAGATACTTACATGCGAACGATGGATCAATCTTCGGCAGAACAGGGCGACCTGGCTTCAAGTACAGAGAAGCGCCGCGCTGGGGCAAGCTTCGTATCGACCCTGCGGGACTCGGTGGAGGGCGGATCTGAGGTACGCCAGGATTTGGATATTGGAGTCCATAGTTGTGCGTAGAGGGCAGAGGTCCGGAGCAAGTATGTTCTGCGATGAGACCAATGTCGATGTCCCTATGGCAGTTGGAGCATGTGACTGTCGCGGAGGTGTTGGTGGTCTGCGAGGTCGTGGCCATCATCTTTCAGCGAGCGACTTTCTGAAGCTCCAACAACAGACTTCTTCCCAAGCTTCCCCAAACGCAGGTGCAATGTATCGCATGGACTCAACGTCGGCTGTAGAAAGTAAGGACCGGCAGTGCTAAAGGAATGTTGGAGGAATTGGAAAGACGATGAGGACTGTGGGCCGGCTCAGCGTCCACTAGAGGGGGTAGTGTGTATCTCGCTTGGAGGCAGCAATATCAGGTCAGGATAACAATGAGAGCCTTGAAGAAACAACGGTAGCATGCTGAAGTAGACAAGCGAGCTGCCCGAACAAGGGTTTTGTTTGGTCGGAACAGGGAGATGAGTCTTGGAGCCCGGTGGGCCTGAGCTTGATGGGAAGCATGTGTCGATCACTTGCTTGTTAGCGCCGAGTCCATCCACTTTAACTATGCTCTTCTCATGCTCACCAGCAGTGGCGGTCTATAGGATGCAATTGCTGCATTCCTCGGATCGCTTAGGTTACCCAAGGCTCTTCGACATGGTTTGACGGTGCTTCGTGGCTCTGAACACTGGATATGCTAAGAGCCCAGTAGATGTATGTTGGCATACAAGCGGCAGTACGGCTCGTGCCAGAGCGGCAAGCCCTTTGAAGGGGCGTCTGCACCAGCGGGAACAACGCCCCGGGCGTCATTTAAGGTGAGATATGCTAACCACAGCAAGGTTAGCTCACTGCCACAACAAGCCACTGAACGATTGTCTGGCCAATCTTAGTCGAAGCACTAGAGCAGAAGTGTCGACTTTGCCATCCTTGGCCGGATCGGGCTGGAACGTTATGGAGGCAAAATGGAATCCACAACGCTGGAGGCATGCGCTGCGACGTTGGAGATCTACTCGTATCAAGGTCCTTGTCCTTCTCGGAGTCGCACAATCACGGAGCAGCAAGTCATTATGGACCAACGCTCCATTGGATGATGGTACTGCATGTGCGGGCGCCAGTTGCACCGTAGGGCCTCAGGAGAAAGACATCTTGCGGAGGGCGACAGCTGACGACGACGAAGGGCGATAGGGTTGGGAGGCTTAGCCAGTATTTCTTGCGGGCTTGACCGGGAGATCTCCAGGGGCTGCAGCGATCGAAAGAACGCGGCAGCAGTGGGCGCCAAAAGATGAGAGGGTCCGGAGGGGGTGAGCAGGAGAAAAGGACAACTGGAGTCGTCAAGCAGAATCCAATCTCCGGGGTACCACGCTATCCCTCTTTGGAAGCTTAGCCGAGCATGCGACATTTCGCTACAACGATAAGGAGCATTATTTGCCGCCGTCCTCCTGTTGGGCCATCTCGGCGACAAGCGCCTGGTCAGCGCTCCCATCCAGTGCCCACATCGCTGTATAGCAGTCTGCTCCATGGTGAGAAGATGCTGGCTGCTATGTGTAATTGTACAGCGCTCTAGAACATACCACCTCCTATCTCGGCCGTCCGCCGAGCAATCTGCGTAAGCTCGATTACCTACGATGATCTCGGAGAATAGTCTGGCACGAACAGTGGGTACTTGGAGATCAGAGGTCGCCGCGGCAGGGATTTTATGAGCAGAGTTGTTTACGACACTTGTTGCATCAGGGACCTGGTTGTATCAAATCTGAGCAGAGAACGCTTCTGCCTGGAACTCGACACCCACCTGTTCCTGAGTTGCTGACAAACCCCAACACTTATTCTCAGGGCCTGATCACAGATATCGATGCTATGAATCGCAACAGTGATGGTACCGAATCTCTGTCAGCTGTTGACAAATCCTCCAGACAGCTTCTTCTCCAGCTCCAAGACCTCCTTCATCATAACGCCCCCGACCTTGACCTTCTGAACGTCGGCTTCCCAGCCGTCTTCGACATCCGGATACGGTCCCATAGGCGTAATTGCCTTGGGGTTGATGCCGCTGTGACTTTTGGTGTAGTTTTCCTTGATATGCTTGAAGTTTGTCGTCTCCTTGAAACCGGGGATGCTTTCGTAGAGCATCTTCAACCAGTTGTTGATCTGAGGATAGTCATGTCTGACGGTTCCCAAGTTCACCTTGAAATGCTGGACTGCAAGTTCTTAGCCACCTTTCCACCCCACGGATCGAGAATAGCTTACCGTAGACTGGGTCGAAGCGCACTAACGTGCAGTATGCCCTCACATCCAGCTCCGTCAGAGCCTTGCCCAGCAGAAACGGTCCGCCATTTGCGAACAGCATCTTCTCCACTCGATTCATTGCGGCAAACACCGGGAGAACATTTTTATCATAATCCTCCTGCGTTTCCGCAAACCCCGCCTTGTACACACCGCCGTTCAAGTCACGTTGCATCCACTCGCTGACTTCGTCGATCACACCTCGAAGATGTTGCGGATACAGTGCCATGGCTTCCCTGCCCGTGTCTATAACTCCATCGTATGCCTTTTGCAGCCACCGCATCATCTCGGCGCTCTCATTGTTCACCATGGTATTGGTTTTCTTGTCCCATAGCGCCGGTACCGAGTAACGCCCCTTGTATTTCGGATCGGCTTTGAAGTATATTTCATGCAAGTACTCACTCCCAAAGATATGGTCGACTGTGGCATTGGGGTACTCGTCAGCCGTTTTTGGGAATCGCCAACCAGGCCAACCACTATCATCCCCTTTCGGGTACGGCCTGACTACCGACAATGGCAGCACGTCCTGCAGCTTGAACAGGTGTCGAACGATGTTCGCCCGGTGCGCGAACGGACAGAATAGGCCAATGTAGAGATGATAGCGGTCCTTCTGCGGCGTGAAGGGGCCGTCCGGCGCGATAGTCCCATGCCAAGATTCAGCACTTCTCGCGAGGTGCTGCGGGACCGTGGTCGGCAAGGGACGAGGTTTGTCGAGGGTGCTGGTGGCAGCCATGATTGTTGGGGTCGCCGATGTTCGTTACCAAAGATGTGTTCAATAGATGAGTCGAAGTCCGAGGGACATAGTTGCCGGCTTATATAACGCGGAATATATTCCACCACCATCCAGCAACGGCGACCACATCCAACCAGCCAGAGGACCGCCAACCGGGGAGAAAGGTCCGATCCAGCAAAGCGTTTGATCGTGTCGTCGTGTGTACACGATGGTTTCTTGCATCCAACCACTATTACTTGGCGACCATGTGAGTAGTCTAAGACCGCGCCATGGCAGTTGTCAGGAGGGGCAGCTGCGCCAAGACCGCGAAGCTTGACCACGCCTTATTGTAGCTATCAGAACTGTTTCCTCACTGTTCTTCCATCCTTGCATCAGGAGGATACAGTGACTTCTGATGACGGAGTTTCGTTGTCTTTGTCGGGTGAAGATTGAAGAGGTGAGGAACAAGACGCACTCAATCTGTGAAGACGATGCCTTTGCATGCTCACGAGAAGTTTACCATGACTTGACCACCGTGCTTGATCTGCGATCTCTAATGATGTGCGAGGTCATTAGATCTCTGCAATGCAGTCCGGTCTTGAAACACTGATCAAGTCGCCATGAGGTTGTGCCGTTGCATAACCTGCTTGTTGGCTACTGAGCTCCGGCAGGGCCCCCGCGCAGCACAATGTTGCATTGCAGACATTAGTATTGCTACTGTGTATCACAGGAAGCCGTCGTATCTGATACTGAACTCCACGACTTGCGAAGATATGTCATCGATGCAGATCACTGGTGCTGTTCGACCAGCAGGGCGGCGCATCTTTGCGGGGGAGACTATCCTGCCAAGATGGCCAAGGAGCGGAGAGGACAGTCGATACCTCGAGACTGAAGATCAACGCTCACAACTCGTGGATGCATTGCTGCTAGACTGCTTTGGTCCACTCTGGGGCTTTCATGTCCCCTCTCTTGAGCCTATATTCGACGCACGGCAAAATGCCGGTGGGCAAATGTCCGGAGTGGAGGATGACTTCGAGTGGCCTGCTGATATAAAAGAATCAGAGCCACAGTCCGCGCTCGAGATATGTGCGAGGAGTCCAGGACAACCAACAAACCATGGCGGCTTCCGTGGGCATGTCATTACCGGGAGTCGTGCCCGACTGGACCAATCTCAGTGTCTTGCACAGGAACACCTTGCCACCGCGAGCACATTTCTACAACTTCGCCTCTGAGACTGCTGCCCTGTCCTTCGACAAATACCAGAGCGAGTATTACAGTCTCAATGGCACGTGGAAATTCCGGTACGATTCCTCTCCTTTTGAAGCTCCTGCCTGGGAGTCTGTCGATCCTTCCGAATGGGACGACATTGAAGTTCCAGGCATGTGGCAGACACAGGGCTATGGACACCCACACTACACAAATATTGAGTATCCATTTCCGGTGACTCCTCCCAACGTGAGCTATATAAATCCAACTGGTTCCTATTGGCGCGAATTTGAAGTCCCTGAGCGTTCACCAGACCAGCAGCTACGGCTTCGCTTCGAAGGCGTGGACAGTGCCTTTCATATTTGGGTTAATGGCGAAGAGGTCGGCTACAGCCAGGGGTCTCGCAACCCGAGTGAGTTCGACATTACGAACTACATTTCAAATGGCACCAACACACTTGCTACAAGAGTTTATCAATGGTCGGACGGCTCCTATATTGAAGACCAGGATCAATGGTAAATCTTTTCCCAATGGCCCAACTTGCAGAAGAGACCGAGAATTCGGCCTTCACGAGGAGTCAGCTTGGACAAATCTTGAGGCTTTCTTCAGCAACTTCTCCCCGGTCCCCACTCTACTGTGATCCTACTGACACTTCCTAGGTGGCTTTCTGGAATCTTCAGAGATGTATATCTGATACCTTTCCCACAATTGGCCGTGGTTGATTTCGAGCTCGTTCCACACGTAGCAGATGACTATTCTAGCGGCATCTTGAGCGCAAATTTCACTCTACAGGGAGAGACATCTACTCCTCTGAACGTAACACTCTTCTCTCCCAATGGCGACGTACTCCAGCAATGGAGCGGCGGACCCTCGGAAGCCTGCGAATTCGAAGTCACCGGGTCAGAATTCCATCTATGGTCGCCAGAGAATCCAACACTTTATTCGGTCGTCATTGCACATGGCGAGCAGTACTTGAGCCAAAAAATCGGCTTTCGCCGCGTCGAATTGACTGGTTCCAACTTTCTTGTCAACGGGGAGCCTGTCATTATCTACGGTGTTAATCGTCACGAGCACAGTGCGCTCTCTGGACGGACAGTCCGGTATGAAGACATGCGTGCCGACCTGATCACAATGAAACGGAGCAACATCAACGCTATTCGGACTGCCCACCAGCCTCATCACCCCGACTTCTTCGACGTGGCGGATGAATTAGGATTCTACGTCATCTCTGAAGCCGATCTTGAGTGCCACGGATTTGGCACCATCACCTATACTGGCGAGCAAGCTGCTTCGTGGCTATCTGACAATCCCGATTGGGAAAATGCTTACCTGGATCGAGCCGAGCAACTTGTTGAGCGGTTCAAGAACCATCCATCCATCATTTTCTGGTCTCTCGGCAACGAGTGCTTTTACGGCCGGAACCATATGGCTATGTATAACTTCATAAAGCAGCGCGACCCCACGAGGCTCGTGCATTACGAGCCGGACAAGAACGCCACTTCCGCAGACATGTACAGCGCCATGTACTTGTCACTAGACTCGATCAACCAACACATCGGAAACTTCACCGACAAGCCCCTCCTGCTGTGCGAATTCGCTCATGCGATGGGCAACGGTCCTGGTGGCCTGCCTGACTATATCGCCAGGTTTCGCGCCGAGCCTCTGCTGCAAGGTGGTTTGGTATGGGAGTGGAGCAATCATGGGCTCCTACATGAAGAGAACGGCACAGAGTACTATGCTTACGGTGGCGATTTCGGCGATGAGCCCAACGACGCCGATTTCATCATGGATGGTCTGATGTTGTCCGACCATTCTCCCATGCCGTCGATCTTCGAGTACGCCAAGGCCATTCAGCCCGTCGAGGTCAAGTGGGACAATGACACGGGCGAGGTCAATATCCACAACTGGTACGCATTCATCGATCTGAGCGGGCTCAATGTGTTCTGGCACATCGTCACAGACGGCAATGTCACGGACCCCACGACGTGGGATATTCCCAACCTGCTCGCAGGGGAGAACATCACAGTGCCGCTCCCGTTTGACCGAAGCCAGCAGTCTTCCGAAGCCTGGTTCACCGTCGAGTTCCAGCTGGCGAGCAATGAGACATGGGCCGCAGCTGGGCATGTCGTAGCTTGGGAGCAGCTCCACCTACCTTATTCGAGCACTTTGCCCGGACATCGCTACACGCGCTCTCCAGCGCTGCCCCGGCGCCAGGCTACGCCCAACGTGACCATAACCCCAACGTCTCTTCAGCTCAGTTCCGACTCAAACGCCTTGAAATTCGACCTCCTCCTTGGCAACGTCACATGGAATACCTCGACCGGCCTCTCCCTGTTGCACCGCGGCCCAGAGCTCTACCTATACCGTGCCATGACACAAAACGACCTCGGCGGTGGCGGTGACGCGCAGTACTGGGAGGAAGCCCGCCTCGACACCACCCACACGCAGATCCGCGATGTCTTCTACGACATTTCTGATAACGGTGATACCACTGTGACCTACTACGTCCGCGTGGGCCCTAAAGTGCTCGAATGGGCCGCAGAGGCGATTCTCACGTACACGATCCCAACGTCTTCGTCTTCGTCCTCGTCATCGGGCTTGCAGATCCGCGCCCAGGGTGCATTCGTAGGCAACAACACTCCTGAAGTCCTGCCGCGCATCGGCCTGCTGACGTACCTGCCGGAGACCTTCGAGGAGGTGACCTGGTTTGGGCGTGGGCCTGGCGAGAGCTACAGAGACAGCAAGCTCGCGCAGCGCTTCGGCACTCACGAGTCCACCGTCGACGGTTTGTTTACGCACTACGACTTCCCGCAGGAGAATGGGAATCGGGAGGATGTGCATTGGTTGCGGCTGAGTGACGGAGATGTGACGCTCGAAGCGCGCATGACAGACGCGGACGGCGCGCCGGACCCATTCAGCTTCACGGCCAAGCACTTTACAGACCAGGACCTGGATAGGGCGGGCCATCCGTATGAGTTGGAGCGGTTTAACGCGACCGTCCTCAATTTGGACTATGATACTAATGGGCTAGGGAGCGCGACTGTTGGGCCACGGCCGTTCGAGTGGTATCGCTGCTACTCAGGACCATTCGACTTTACCTTTGAGTTGACACTGATTTGAAGAGCCTTTGACATAGATCGAACCATTTCGTAAGGGTAATCAAGTAGCCATTTCTGTGTAGAAGCTGGGACGAGTCAAGCACCAACCGCCCCGTAGTCCGAAGCATCCAACGCCAAGAGGCAGCGAATCGGCGAGCTGTCAACGTCATCTCCGCATAGAATTTCTACCATGCCCTTCACGCCCAGATGCAGCATATTGATCTCTCCCATCTCAACAACCACCGATTCCCATCAACATGATACCACGGATACCGGCCGCCTCATCCCGCCTCGCGCGGCAGGTAGTGTGTCCTCGCTGCCGCCTTTCCCTCTCCACCACCGTCTCCGCGCGCCTCACCCCAACGCGGCTCTCACCACTCAAGCCCCCAACACGCCTCCGCTCCCCCCTCCTCGCCTCAACACTCCGCCCCTTCTCCACCACCCCCCGCTCGCTCGCCTCCCCACAAGGCGCCGACCCCATCGTCGAACGCCTCACAGACCTATACGGCACGGCGCGCGACGAATTCGAGATCGCAGCTGAAGAAACCACCAAGAAAACCGTGTACGCCGCGGACGACCGTGAGGCCGCCAAGGAAGCTTTTGAGGAGCTGAAGACCGCGTTCAGCGATGCGGTGAGGCAGAGTGATCCGGAGGTGGCGAAGGAGGTGCAGAGGCGCGTGGAGCAGAGGATTAGGGAGCTGGAGAATGCGTTGACGGCGTTGGAGGAGAGTGCTTTGGAGGACTAGGTTGGTGTAAGGGCGGTGGTTTTGAGGGGGCGAGGGGGATGGGGGATTGTTGATGATAGGAGGAGTAAAGGATCTGGTCGGCTGGGGAGGATATCTGCAAGAGCTTGAGAATGTGACTTCGCTGAGGCGCTGACGCGGAGTGTTTGTTTATAGCATGAACCGCCTCTTCCAGGGGTCCGCAACGGCAGCGCTGCGTTCCAGTCAATCTACAGGTCCTAGAAGATTGCAGGCGATCTTATCACACTTCTCCGGCGTCTACGGCGTCTAGAATACAATAAACACGAGCGGTCACACAATGGTGCGTCGTCTACAAGAGGGAGCCCAGACGGCACGCGAGCCACTCTACTAATGTAGGACAGAATGTGGGACGGCTAGGAATAACAGCCAGCACAGTAAAAGAATCTTTGAATGTTTGTTCATTTGCACAGCTGGCTCAATTGAGCAGAAGCGTGGACTTGAGACCCCGTTAAGCCTTTTGAAAGCCCTCGTGACCAAGTGTAAAATCGTGGTTCTCTGTCATGGTCAATGGCTGCTGTGGCAATGTCAATCGTGACGACGCCGTGTGTTCCCCATCGCCATAGCGGCTGCACGGCATGCTCTCAATCACTCCCTACGCTCTCGAATGCACTTTCGTTTTCTCTCCACCACGACTCGTGATCTAGTAACGCTTGCCTTCCCGCAACACATCACCGTACTCTTCCAGAGGGCTGCGGATCAGCTTGTTGTCCTTCCACAGATTGGGGGTCAGGAAGCCGTATGAGTTGCCGACGGCAACGAAGGTGGCCTTGAGGGTGTTCTCAAGGGTCTTGGTCGAGCCGGCGGACGAGGAGTAGGCGTCTTGGACACCGGCCAGCTGCAACAGACGCTTGACAGCGGGGGAGGCGACGATGCCGGTACCGCGAGGAGCAGGGATCAGGCGCACGGTGACGGAACCGCACTTGCCGGACTCCTTGGTGGGCAGGGAGTGAGGCTCACCCAGGTTGGTACCCCAGTAGCCGCGGCGGATGGGCAGGACGGAGAGCTTAGCGATGATGATGGCGGCGCGGATGGCGGTCGCGACTTCTTTTGAGGTCTTGATGCCCAGACCGACGTGGCCCTCGGAGTCGCCGATGACGACGATGGCCTTGAAGCGCGTGCGCTGACCGGCGCGGGTCTGCTTCTGCACTGGCTTGATCTGTAGGGACGGTCGGTGTCAGTATTCTGTGGCCTCATTTTGTCTGTGCTTGTTCTTTTGGGTGTACAGTGTTCGTAGATTGTGGGACTCTCATACCTTCATCACTTCATCCTTCAGCTTGGGCAGGAAGAAGTCAACGATCTGGTACTCCTTGATGGGGAGCGAGTGTAGGTAGATCTGCTCCATGGATTGGATCTTGCCGGCCTTGACGAGACGTCCCAGCTTGGTCACGGGCTGCCATTCCTTCTCCTCGTTCTTGGGACCGCGACGTCCGCGTCCGCGTCCTCTACGATCGCCCCGGCCTCGGTCGCCGCGGCCACGGTCGCCAAAACCGCCTCGGCGGGGTGCTGCGTCAGCCATATTTTGTGTGTGTGGTTGACGGGTATGAGGAGTTCGATGGGTGAGGTGGGAGACAACAAGAGGTTGAGCGGTCGTTGAAATGCGGTATCTCGTCTGCGCGGGCGGCGTGCCAGTGTGCGAATTTCCATAGGCTTGGCGCAAAATTTCGCGCTTGTATGATTTGGGTCTAGGGGCAGATTGCGACGAACTAGAGCGAAAGTAGGAGCTTTACCGGAGCCGCTCTTATGACGTCTCCAGAAATACTAGCCAAGAGCCTCCCTGATACACAGCACGCCGAGCACGCTTCGATTCTCATTTTTGCTTTTTTGTTGTCATCGCAGAGCGCCAGTCTATGTTCAAATGAGATATTGTTAGCATAGATTGGGCTATAGGAGAACAGCAGCCATGGTTTTACGATGGTATGGGGATTCGACTTCAGACTAGGGATTCGGTATTGATCTTTTATGCAGGTATCAGGCAAAGCTTGCTCAGCGGCCACTGATGACGCAGGCGGTGATGAGTGCAGTAAGTATAGAGGAACGAAGTTGATGCGGACGCTTACAGGAGAAGGTTCTGTTTGGCGCTGGTGACACTTTGGCTCAGCAGGCAGTTGAAAAGAAGGGGTTCAGAAACCAGGATGTGGCTCGCACAGCACGAATGGTAGGATACGGTGGCTGTGAGTCTGTTCCATGCTGAACTGCCTGAATACTGACAAAATTAGTGGTTTTCGGTCCGGCGGCAACCAAATGGTATCAGTTCTTGCAGAAGAAAATCAACTTTTCGAGTAACGCAGCAACGATTGCTGCTCGAGTAGCGGCCGATCAGACGATATTTGCGTCCACCAATATGGGCGTGTTTCTTTCGACAATGGCCATCTTGGAGGGTGGCAGTCCAGCCGAAAAGCTCAAGAAGAGCTACGTTTCTGGCCTGACGGCGAATTGGATGCTGTGGCCACCGGTGCAAGCCGCGAACTTCAGTATTGTTCCACTGGAGCACAGAGTATTGGTCGTGAATGTGGTCAGTCTGGGCTGGAACTGCTACTTGAGCTATCTCAACTCCCAGTGAGCAGCAATTGAAATAGAAGGCCCACGGAACAAGGCTAGCTTCGAAGAAAGGGGTGTGCATTAGCCTGCCATCAATGTCCATAGATGTATAATATGAACGGCCAGTCCTGTAACAGATGAAGCACCCAATTTGTCCTTGTCATCGAAGAAATTGAGTAGAGTGTCACTTCGTGGGTAGGAGCCATGTATGCACAGGTGGAGGCGAGAGCGACGCTAAGCCGTTTTTGTTGGCCACCACCGTTAGGCGGCCGCCTTTTCCACTTGCGATTTCGAGTCCGTGATTTTTATGCTGTTTTGACGACATTGAATATCTTCATCACCTCCATCAACGCCGCCTGTTGAGTGACCGATTTTGGCGCAAAGACGATCTTAAACGCTCCTGCCTTGTTGCGCACCTTCCTGCGGTCCCATAAGCCGTGACTGCACCTGACTTTTGAAACTTCTTGTGCAGCAGTCAACCTCTCTTCCTCAAATTCACATCGATCTCTACCGACCACCTCCCGATATTCACGTCGAAACTCATATCTCTGCATCATAACATAACCATGGCGGACGTTGCAGTCGCCCAGCCCGCTCCTGCCGGCCCTACTACCAACGATGAGAACACCGCCCCGTCCTCGACCGACGAGATCAAGACTGTTTTCCATGATGTGAACAACTTCAACGTCAAGCATCCGCTTCTCAACACCTGGTCCCTCTGGGTACGTCGATCGATCGGACTGGCAAATTCTTACTGACAAGCGCAGTTCACCAAGCCACCTTCGTCTAAAGGCGACAACTGGAACGATTTGTTGAAAGAAGTCGTCTCCTTCGACACCGTTGAGGAATTTTGGGGAGTCTATGTCCGTGTGTGCATGCCTATGTCAGATTAGAGCTAACAAGAGCAGAACAACATCACGGCTTGTTCCGACCTCGGCCTCAAGTCAGATTACCACCTGTTCAAGAAAGGCGTGCGACCCGAGTGGGAGGATGCTCAGAACAAGCACGGTGGCAAGTGGTCATATTCCTTCAAGGATAAGAAGTTGGTGAACATTGACGAGCTCTGGTTGCACACCCAACTATCTGCCATCGGCGAGACGCTGGAGGATGAGGGCGACAATGAAGTCATGGGCGTTGTGGTCAACGTGCGTAAAGGTTTTTACAGAATCGGCCTCTGGACTCGTACTAGCGGCAAGGCTGGCGGCAAGGACAACCTACTGAAGATTGGCACCCGATTCAAGGAGGTCTTGCAATTGCCAGCGTCTGAAGTGGTAGAGTTTTCCGGTCATACCGACGCCGCTCATGCTGGAAGCACACGGGCCAAGGCCAAATTCTCTGTCTAAGAATCAGTGTGAGGGTGATAAGGCTGATTAAGTGTCAAATGGTGGAGATTGACATTAGTATCATGGCGGCACGGCGATATGGCGTTACGATGGCGGTTACGGCAGACATTCAGCATGAATACCCCAAGCAGCGAGTCTTCACGTCCAAGACTACTTGGGCCTCGGTGATGAGGTACAGACGGCGTTATGCACAGTGGATCAAAAGCAGCATAGATAGCAGAAAGATGACCTTCCCATGTCCGGTGTGTGAGAGCGCGAGCTGCCGATGCGAGCTGACATGGGACCAACACGAGGCTGGGACAATCGCATCGCGACGTGTTGGAACTTCGACAAATACAGGCGTGAAGGAAGGAGCGACCGGTGAGAGAATCCTGCGGGCGGTGGCAAGACCGGTTAGAGGTCGCGATACATAAAAGACTGCCAGCACCGCTCCTGCCTCCCCAAAGTCCTGGTCCTCCTCCTCCTCTCCTCAAGCACTCTTCCTCGTACTGGCCAGTGTCTTCTGCGTTTCTCCTGATTGCACTTTTGTCCTCTGCGCTGAGCTCAAGAAATCCCACAACATAGGTCCTTCCCTGCTCACCTACGGCCAGCTGCGCTTTGGGGTGGGGAAGTCAGCTGCTGGCGAGTATGACTCTGCCCTGCGCCTCGATCGCACACAGATCTCAGCCCAACTCCTCGGCCAGTGGTTCTGCTTCACAACTGCGATGCTGAAGCAAGCCCGGTGCGAAAACCAATCGCAGATGTCTGGCTCATGCAGCATCGACTATGCAGCAGCAGGACCACTCACCGGGCCACTGGGACTCTGGCTCCTCAGCTCGCTTGATCCAGCAGCCATTCAGATGTTCGGACGGTGGGCGAAGCATCCACAATTTCTTAACCGGTCTGCAAGGTACCGGAGTCTAAATCTCGTCGCTCAAAGCCCGAAGATCGCCGAATAAGGCAAGGCGTGGCAAGCATCACACGATCGTGCAGCCCGCCTAGGCACGCTTACGGCTACAACACCTCATCGTGTCCCAATTTCCTTGCTTCGCATTGGATGAGTCCCACCTTACACTATGGCATCGCTATCGCATTCTCAGAGAGCTATCACTCGAAGTATGACCCGTTTCCCCAGTTGTTCGTCGGCGCAGTTCTCAAGCATTGCCAGCGCACCAAGTCTACCCCTCCACTCTCCCTGGCAGGCCTCAGGCAGCTCAGATATACCCTGACTATTCTGCTGTTTGGCTCCCACTTTCCACCATCACGGAGCCCGTTGCCACTGTCGCTGTCGCTGCTGCCTTCCTTGCCACCCGGAAACCCTCTGCTTTCATCTGCTAGTTCGCACTCGACGCTTGCTAAGCCGCATTGGCCGTTGCCTGACTCACTGACTCTTCTGACCCTAGCTGGGCCACCTTGAATGGCTCGCAAACAGACCGCCTGCACTAGAAGACCCAGCCGCCATCAGCCTCGCCAGTCGCCTTACCTACGCACCTTGCCCATCTGCGAGGGGCCGCTCTACCCAAGTCCGTCAATTGAACCTCCACTCGAGCAGTGGGACGAGGCCCAGGAGGTCACCCGCGAGGTCCGTCAGGCTTTTGTCCGGCGTCTGCAGACTCCCTGCTTCGATGATCCTCCAACTCCAGACAGCACTCTATCGTCGGATTCGATAAGCAGGACTATCAGCCCATGCTTGACCACCACATCCTTGGCTGTCGAATATTCACGTCACTTCTCCCCTTTTGGCGCTCCTACTCCTGGTTCTGAAGAGTCTTCAGGCTTCACCTTCCTTAACCATCATCATCAAGCGGGAGGCTCTTACGATCTCGCATCACCACATCAGTCATACAACTCGTGGCATGGTCATAGCCAGCTATCCGGTACCTGTAAGTGTTAAATGCCGTCCTCTGCCATATCGTTGCTGACCAGGTCAGTCACACCACCTGATAGCACAGACTCTACAGTGGTCGGGATCGTCTCAAGCCCTGAAACTGAGAGTTTCCCGCGGCAGAGGGTCGAGTTCCTCAACGGCTCAGCGCCGGCCCAACTGCAGCGCTATCCACAAACAACGGGGCCCTGGACGGGTTACCCGCTTCGGCAAAATGATCCTATGTTGATAGACACGCCCAGCCCTTCTTCCAATGGCTCGGCGTTATCCCCATCATCTTCCAATGCCGAGCGGAGCAGCCGTCGTTTGGGGCCCCTTTCCATTGAAGGGCGTAGAAATGCTAACCAGGTCCGTGACATCGGAGCTTGCCTTCGTTGCTCTTGTATGAAAGAAAAATGCGACAGAAACCTGCCTTGCGGCAACTGTCACGACAAGAAGGGCCGGAAATGGAAGCTCGGCTGTGTGCGAGAGACTCTTGAGTACCGTGGCAAGCACTTGTTTCCTCCTCCTATCGCAAATCGATATAATATCGACCATACAAACCGATACGTTGACAGTAGCGGCTTCTTCTACTTGAATAAGGACGCTTTCCAGCTCAAACTCAGCATGGGTTTGGGCGGGCCTCCGTTCGAGGTGACAGTCAAAGAAATGGAGCCAGTCGAGCATCAGAGGCTACTACGCTCATTTCAAGCTGATACCAAAGACGAAGATCTCAAAGTATCGTCTTTCTGGGATCCGCCAATCGTTCTTTACTTGACCAACAAAGACCAAGCTGTCGACGACTTGCGCAGCCAGCTTCATCGATCCATGCATGCCATTTTCAACGAGCGGCATGAAAATGGGTACCACTGGCCGTGGAAGAACTTTGATTTTCAACGGATGGACTGGGTGAGTGAGATCGTGGAGAAAATCCACGACTTTGGCCAACACGCCAGTCAGATGTCATTCTACTCGTCGCTCCGCAAAGCCCAAGGGCTATTGTACTTCAACTATATCCTGGACCATCCACTACTCGTCCTAGAAGAGGAGCGAGAGAAGCTCTTTGCGCATTTGGAGCCTCAGGAAGGCGTGGAGCACAAGTATGTCAGCCCTGAGACGATTCAGCGGTTCATTAAAGCGATTGCGTACCCTTTCCTTACCAACTGGTCGACCGCCATCTTGAAAGAGCTCCACGAACTCCTTCTCTCAATGGCCAAAGCCAAAGAAATCTCCTCAGCTAAGAACGACCTTGCTTTTTGTCTCTCATTCATGATGCTGGTCTTTATCGGGCAAACGCAAGCGCGGTTGGTCCTGCTGGCGCAAATGTCCGAGGAAGAGAAAGGCATCAACATGACGCAGTCAGAAGCCCAAGAATATATCGAGGCTCTTGAAGAGCAGCTGGGCACCTACATCATTCACTTCCATGAATTCGCAATGAAGAAACGACGGAAACCGCAGGCGCCGTCGGGTGACCCACGCAAGCCGGAGGAACAGTATGCAGCGCAATACGGCTTGATGGGCAAGATCGCCGAGATCACGCAGAAGTTCCGTGCGTATTACTCCTTGTCCTACCCATATCATCAGGCGAGTTTCGCCAGGCAAAACACCACGAAAATCCCACGCAAAACCAAGAATCGTACTACAAAACTTGTTAAGGATGAGACTGAGACTTTGTGGCCCGCAGACGACTGGAAACCGACGACGTTTGACCTCGGCGAGCTCGACTACGCGGAGTTTGAAAAAGAGAACATCCATCGCTTATGCTGGAAGTTTGTCGATGCAATCATCGTGTGGAGTGAATGAGACAATGACGATGACGATACGACGATACCAAGCGAGCTACGATGACGACCACTGACGATTGTACAATACCTCCCCAATTTGCATGACTTTGGCCACCGAGCGCAGGCGATCCGAGAGCCAGCGACGTCCAAATCTGATCGAACCTTTCGAGCGAACATCGAGCAGAAAACACATTGTATTATTTCCTCCTTGGGTTGCTTGGGTATGCACGCTTCCACCATGCATACATAACGCATGGCCTGCGGTGATGCCTCACCACTGCCTGGCGGGCGGCGTGGGGAAAACGTTTCCATACCCAGACTTTTTGGAATTGAAAGAGCAAGGTTGATATACTCACTCCATTTACACGTGGCACGAATCAACACCCCATGCCATGCCATGCCATGCCATGCCCACTCAACCGCCCCGTGCCAGATCCAACAATGTGCATGTGTGGTGGGTGGGAGGGTGGTGCAATGGAGGCAGTGAGGGGGTGCGTTGCTTGCCCCGTTCCGGCGCTAACGTCCCTTCTGGGCTGCCAGAACGAACTTGGAAGAGGGGGAACTCCCGACTCACCCTGGGCGGAGTTTCGGGAGAGGCCTTGAATGGCCACGGCCACTTTCTGCTTCTTCGTTTACCTTGTAGCTAGCTACCTTATACTTGATATATATATATATATCACGGAATGAAAGCATGTGCATCCTTTCGTGCATCGTTGTTGCATGATTCTTATCATCACTTTTTCACACGTTTCCCCTAAAGTCTCCAGATTTCCTTTCGGGTTTGGGCCTTGGGGTTTGGTGGTGCTCCTAAGTATCTCCCTCCGCCCCTATCTACACACGTTACACCTGCCCTGGATCCCTTGTCTTCTCCTGTTTCATACATTTTCGTCCATATATCATGTTTTTGGTCCCCGTGCTTCCCCCGACCCCCCCTTCTGCTTTTCCTTCGGGGCTACTGCTGCTACTGCTGCTTAATGTCAGAAAGAGGGGGTGAGCATGTGGTTTTTTGCTATGCTATTCTGACTCGTGAGGGTTAGTGCAGTCTGTGTTGTGTTCTGGTATCTTGGTATCTGGTGTTTGATCTGAGGCTAAGTATGTGACAAAAATGGTGGTGGTGACGGTGACGAGGACGAGGACGGCCGCAACGATGAAATATGATTAATTGGAGCCGTTGATGATAACGATGATTCCGACAAACTCCCGACGCGATGCAATGCTATGCGATGACGACGATGACGATGATGATAATGATGCCTTGATATCCTCGCCCGCTCAAGATGCTCCAACCAGATCTCAGATGTTAAATTACATGCGACCAATGATACCGGCGACAATAACGATAGTGTTGAGGACAGTGACCTCCATGCTTCACCTCCGACCGATATACCACCAAAGTCATGAGTACCAAATTCCTCCGTCCTTGAAGTCTCAGAATAAATTGCAGATAAAGATGATGGCGTTGGCGTGAGCCAGCTAGTCTTTGACTCATTTTCTAGGGTATGAAGCGACAACGATGATAAAGACGATGTCCAGACTGGAAAGCCGAGAGCGTGAAGCGAAGGCGAGGCGACGGCAAGATGGCGGCGTCGATGCCTAAGGGCTACCGGAGCCTCAGGCCGGGCGCCGACCACCTTGTTGTGCCATGATCGCTGACTAGCGACCACCCCTTGTCCTTACGTGCTATTGCGCAATATTAGCAGACGATCGCGCCAGGCACCGACGTCGGCGAGCTTATTTGCACATACCCCTCTGCTGTTTGTGTCTGCGTTAAGGACGCTTTGGCCATTTATCCTCGTCGTCGTTGGCTCCTGCGTCACTCAGCACCGAACCATGCAACGATGCGTATGCCATGTGGGTGGTGCGAGGTCGCTTTGGCCACGGGTCCGGGTTCGGCTTCCCATTCGTGGTTGGGCGGCCGGTGAAGCCTTTGATGTTGGCATTGGCAGTCATTTTGATGGTTGGGATGGCGTTGATGTTGCTTAGTATGGTTGGTATTAGGCGACAATCTGGTTTTGCTATGGTGGTGTGTTGATGTTGACGGTGACTTGTTGAGAGGATGAACCAAGAGTTGTGAGGGTGTGTTGAATTCGAAAGAGAGGGTGCACGAAGGCATCCAGGAGCTTATATCAGGCAGGAGTGAGTCAAGCCCAAGGCACCAACGGTCCAGGCGGAGGGCAGTGAGTGGTGGAATGCACCGATGAGGGAAGGACGAGATGAGCGATATCCGGTCGATCAAGATGAACAAGACGCAATAGCCGTTGAGGCTCCACTGGACACTAGCACTGACGCTGAAACGGTGGCACCGGTGCTGGTAAGCGGCGGCAGTAAGTGGCAGTGACTGGGAAGGTGGAGCAGCAAAGGGAGAAGCCGAAGGGCGCAGACGAGAACAACCGCCACGAGGCAACAGCTGTTGACTGGATCAAAGGACCGTGACCATCAAAAGGACGAGTGGGTTAGAGTGGAAGAGTGCAGGGACACGCCAGGTAGAAGAGCAACATGGCGCAGGCGCAGGTGCAGCGCGGCTATGGGCCACTCAGATGGTAATGTAAGGGTATGTGCAAGGCAAATGGAAGAAGTACAACATGGGGACTTGTATGCTGGGGGGTGACTGGATCTTTGGGAAGGGAAGAGTGAGGCAGTGGCCCGAAAGGACGAACCAACGACCGGCAAACTTGACGAACAAGGCACCAACTTCAGAAGAGCAGAGCCTCCGCGTGTGCCTGTTCTTAGCTCACGGTGGATCCGATGGAGGGAGCGAAGGGAAGGTGGGCGGCAAGGGGTACGCAAGAGACATGATACGATGCGATGCGATGCGCCGAGCGGATAGGCCAGGAAAAATCAGAAGCGGCAGTCGAACGATAAGACGATGGATCGTATATGGAGACCCTGTGCAAAAAGTCCTGTGTGTGGAAAGACGACCGGTCGAGGAAGCTAGAAGGACGGAGGTGGGACTTGTTTGATGGAACGGCACGAGTCCATCAACCCGCGCAGGAAGAATCGGCAAACGCCAGCAAAGGAACGGAGTCACAAAGCAACGGGAACAAAGCGAGCAAAACTTAAGGATACTTTGCTTGCTTGATTTATGACGCTGTGCTGGAGAAGACAGCTTCTGGTTGGGTCGAGGTTTAGAGACGCAGTCGGAGGGGGATTTGGCAAGGCAGATTATTGGGTCGTGGTACGAACTCTTGGAAGGCGTCGAGGCTGATGCCTGGGTCCCACATTGCAGCGAAGTGGAGACCGACCCTTTGGCTGTTCCGGACACTATGAACGGATGAGGAGGCTGAAGCACTGTAGCCTGACAAGGGGTATAACGAGAGAAATGACCTCGCCTGCCTGTTGCAAATCGACGAATCCGATCGCTGGCCGGTTAGAATCATTGCAGAGCCGAATATGAAGAAAGCACCAAGCCGCCAAAACATGCACGCAACACGTAGCTGAGTCACTGGCCCTGTCACGATGGGGTGCTGGTGCCGGAGGGACTGTGGCTTGGACTCAGCTTTCTTAGCCACACCGACTGCTGACTGGCTAGATGGGCGTGGTGGGCACTGTGGGCGTCAGGCGAACCACGTCCAAGAAGCCCCGAGCCACAGTCAAACAGCCTAACAGAACCTTCGCAAAGAAGCGAAGTCGAGCTAGGGTTCTGTATCTGTGGAAGGTCTAGGAGATTTGGTCGAGATAGGTAGGTGCTCTGCCTGAAGCCGAGACACAAGAAGATCGAAAACTCCGTAGGGCGGCTTGAGCAACCCCAACTAGTGGGATGGCGACAAGGCAACCGAGACTTGGGAGAAATATTGGCGCCTCAAAGTACGGATACACTTTGGACAAAAGTTCAGTGCCTCCCACTTGAGTTTCGAGGGGTCAGATAGGCGCGAGACAGGCGCAAGAATTCCGTCAGAGTGTCAAAGTACTTTGAGACTGAGGCTAGTAGGCCCCATTATTCTTACCTTGTCTCAAGGAAGGGGGACTTTTGTGCTGTCTTGATTCTCGTGATCGCACGACTGTGTAGACATCACGATGCTGCTAGAAAACGACCCGTTTTGACTTTTCTTCGAGGGTGCTTCGGTTGGCCACTTCGTAAGCGGGGAGCACGAAATCCGTGTCCATTTAGGCGCACGCCCACCCCGAATTTCAAGCAGCCGAAACGCAGGCACGCGATGGCAGAGGGTGTGTCGACAACGTGGCATTTTGTCTCTCCTGCAGCTCAAATACCCCGGCAGTTGCCAGTGATCGGTAGGGGTTGAAAGCCCATCCTCCTGGACACGGAACCAGCGACCCAGTGAGCACCGACAATTGCGCAATGCAAGCCCAGACGCTGCGAGCAACGTAGTCGATCGGCCCCAAGCCGCCTGACCCTGGACAGGGACATAGCGCATATTGCGGTCGAGCCGATCAACTCATGTTCTCCCGAAACTGCACTCAATAAAAAAACCACAAAAGCCAGTAACTACTTCTCACAATTGTGTCCCGTGCAATTACGTTGGCGGTCACAAGGCAGACCCGTGCCTCCAAGGACTCCCCCGAAACCGCCTAGAACCTCTCGGGGTTCGGAGGGGGACTTTCGCACCCCAATGATGTAATCGGCGGGTTTAGATAGCGAGCATAGCCCGACAGTATGGAACTCGATAAGCGCTTCATGCCAGGCATCGACAGGGTGCCAGGATGCCAGGATGCCAGGACATCGAGGGTGTTCCACTGGCCGTACACTGATGAATCACCAAGGGAAAATGGTGTTCTCACCATGGGGGATTCGATGGTCGGTCTCCCCCGTAGCCAATATGTGCAACCCAGACGAACAGGTAGCACAGAGTCAGGACCAAGACGACGGCAGTGGAAGTTATTCACCGAATCAAACCATGTCTACCATCCCTCCACTTCGGTATTACCATCTGCCAGGGACAGGTATGCTCCTCGACCTTGAGCCTCTTCTCTGCTTGGCAAATGTTTACATACCTCGTCGCAGATCGGTCACGTGAAATCTTGCGACAGCCTTGCGGATCTGCGCAAGGCTCGACCTCCTGCCAAGACATCTGTGCACCTGTACCTTTCTTACCAACTTGCCGGTACCCATTCATCTCTGGTACACGGATTCAATCGAGCCCTGTAGACAAACGCCAGGCTTCTATCATCCTTTGACCCACCTGAACACCGGAGCCATCGTCTTCATCGGCCGAACCAGCTGAAGCCCATATGCTCTGTTTCTGGTGCCCCAATGTGACCAATCGCTGCGTCTATACTTTAGGCTTCTATCATTTCTATACTCATCTGAATACAAGAACCATATTCCTTCATCGGATGTGTTAGCTGATGCTGGTGTGCACCTTCTGTGATTGGCCAGCATGCCCGTTGAGTACCTTCTGTGTGTTGATTCGCTTTAGCTCGATGAACGGCTCTGGTCAACCATTGAAAAACTTTGCATCTACTCGAAAGAGGTACTCTTTGAGGGTGAAAGGTACTCAGGATATGAATCGTAAGCATACTCCGTCATATCGTAGACTTCTCTCTCTTCCCACAGCACTCCGCAGCAAAGCAACAGGTTGAGTGACTTCAAACTCTCACACTCACTCAACACCACTTTTTCATCACCACGACATAACACCACACTACCCCACACCACACCACTGCAAAGATGTCTTTCAGCACGATGAAGAAGTCCACCTTGAAGGAGTTCTCCGAGTTCGACCTCATGGCTCCACCACGCGAGCGAAGAGGACCAAGAAAGGACCCCAAGGACCTCCACAGCCCCGCAATGTCGAGGGCCGCTGCATCCGGTCCCAAGCGGACCATCTCCTCCAACGAAGAGTTGCCGCCCAAGCCAGCTCCTCCCCCCGGCCAATGTGCAATATTCAATCAGACAACGCGAGAGTGGGAATTCCGGCCCAAGAGCCAAAACGCCGGAAAGAGGTTCGCCCCCTCCTTCCCACCCAGCAACGAGGCCGCCCGCCTCAAGGAGGGTATCCCGCTCCCGTCCTCGTCCTCGTCCTCCTCTGAGGACGAGCTCGAGGTATTTGGAGTCCTCCCTGTCCGCAAGCGGCGGAACCAGAACAGCAGCGACGGGCCCGCCATCCCCGTCCGGCCTCGCAAGGCCAAGAGCCCGCCAGCCATCTTCCGCTCCCGCGCTGGCATACAAAAGCCAGCCTCCACCACACCTCGCGGCTCCTTCGCCGCCGCCAGCAGCAGCACCAACACCTACACCAGGCCTCGTCCGTTGTTGGAGGTCGAAGAGCTGAAGCGCAGACAGACTTCCCTGCAACAGGAGCTCGAGAGCGTGGACGCCGGCCTGCGCCTCTTAGAAGCGGCGCAGAGGCAGGAGGATGTGGTGGCTCAGCGAGAGACGATGACCTACCAGCTGGCCAAGACGTTGACGAAGAGGGATGCGTGCAGCAAGTCGAGTAAGGGAGGAGTATGGTATATGGGAAGACGTTGAGAGGAAGAGAGGACAGTCGAGGCAGGAGTTGAAGGGGGAACCTCAGAGTGAGAGTGTTGCCTGTAGGATGGCAATGGTGGACCCTGTTGGAATCGATAATGGAACAACTACGAAGAGGGATTTTAGGCATCGGTTTTGAATGTTTAGCAAGGCGTTTGAGGTGGCTTGTGGATGTCGCAAAAGATTCTACCGTCGATGATTGCACCTCGAAAGATGTATAGACCTATGAAAGCAGGCATCAGTCGTCTGCTCCGAGTGATGAGTCTTGACGGACGAGCTGTTGACTGTCTTCTGTGCTCTCGATGTCCTTTCAAGCATGCCAGCCTCCATCATCGCCACATCATCTACCACCAGACCAGACTGAGTCCTGACTCTTCGAGTCTTGTCTCGTTCTTCACTGCCATTTGACCCTCGCATGACATGGGATTTGCTACGAGCTTGCCGATCTGACGTTTGAATGACAGGAGCTGTAAAACCAAGGGCGAATTCAATTTGCTTGTCGATTGCTAGCTGCACCGTCTTGGCTTGTCAGAGTTGCAAACAGTACAGCGCCGAGCAGTCAAGCAGTATTCCCGTCCAAATAGTCGCAGATTCTGTGTTGATTCTAACAAGAGCCAGATGAGCTATGCTGACCATCAAGGCTCACTGGTGCTTCGGCATTGGTGTAGTGATCAGTCAATATACGCTAAAATTCCGCTTGGGTGCTCGAGTATTACTCACCGGCCTCTGGCATTTCTGCGCAGGTTCACTCAGCAGATCACTCTCCGAGGTGATTTTTCTCACGAGGCAGGATGCTCATCTCTGGATGGATGGGCTGCTCCTGCCTGGTGGGAGGCTGTTGGCTCAGGGAGTGACAACAGTGATGCCCCCAGCCTCCATATTCCGCCTGCGTGACTTTTTGTCACGAAGTGACGCGACACGCGTAAATGAATGTAATGTTCATCAGATGGTGCACTGCTTTGTACTTTCCCAACTGAACGCTTCCACTTGAAACATCGTTAGATATCGACGAAAGCCAACGTTTCTCGTTCCATCTGCTCGCATCCATCGAGCCTGTCTGTTACTCGTCTCCCAACCACAGTTCTCTTCCAGACTAAACGATACAACTACTCACCATGCCTCAGCCCGAAATGGTCATGGTCCCCGGCGTGAACGGCCGCCCTGCCGAGTTCCTCACTCGCAAGGCTAAAGCCAAGCGTGATGAGCAAGAGGCTTGCCGTAAAGAGAAGGATAATGAGGCTGAGGCTCGTCCTGCATCTAACAATGCCAGCGAGACTTTCCCGAGCAGCAACATTTCCGACCGAGAAAATGATCAAGGGAGTTCCGCGGAGGCTATGTTCTCTCGAACCTCTCCTACCACGTATGACTCGTGCTCCGATCGTCTCAAGAAAGACGACATCGACGATAAGCTGTCAAAGAAGATTGGTGGCAAAGGTATGTGTTGTCATCCTCGTCCATTTTAACAAGCATACAGTACTAACATGACTCAGTCGCCAAGAAAAAGCCACGGAAGCCATACGACATCGGCAAACTTCGTCAGAACTTTGCTGGTACCGTCTATGGGGACGACCGACGCTCCGCGATCCAGTATCGTGCCCAGAAGTGGTCATCCCACTCGCGTCGCTACAGAGATAGTTCGAATGGTGAAGAGAGCCGAAAGCACACACTTCAGATTAGCGAGAAGGACAACTCCACTCCAGGCCAGACCAATCTCGTCCCTCGTTAAAACGCAAGAGAACTGATGTGGGTGTTGACCGGGCCAACAAGAAGATCAAGCTTGAATCTTCTCAAGACACCAAGGCTTCTCCCACAGGCTTAGTGAGCAAATACAAGTCAGACCCCGGTCCCGGTATGTCGAAGGCTGCCAAAAAGCGAAAACTGTCCGCGAGCTTCGTCGAGGCGGAGAAGGAGGACGTGACAAGGAAGAATGCCAAGCCCACCAGCCTTTGTAGACACAACAACTCTTCCTATGTCAGTGGCATCGCCAACATTGTCGAAACCAACGCCTGTGATCTCTTTTCGCCAGTGTGCAAAACCACCGAAGACTCCAGCATCACCAAGAAGTCCGGCATCTCGAGGGCCTCGGATGACAAGAGGGTTTCGAATTCACTGCAGCTCACGCTCACAGCCCTGTCCCAACTTGCCAACTTTCAGCGCATTGAAAACTCCAAGTCCGATGCTTCTGCCGACAAGTGGCCCGCAATCTCAAAGCTTTCGCGGGATGAGCTCGCCACACTATTTCCGTTCGCTGCGTACGGCATCACGTCCGTGGCGAACGAAGCGGTATTGCCACATGACCACCCACCGACCATGGCAAGTCCTACCCATACCCTCGTCGCTCGTGATACGATGGGTAAAGTCGTCGACCTTGCGTCCCAAGGATTCGATGGCCCATTCGCTGCAGAAGCCGAGCGTATCAAACAGTCGTTCCTTGTGCGCAAGGTCGAGCACTTGTCGGGTACAGGACCCGGTTCGCTTGAGAAGCACACCGCTTTCATCTTTGATGGCGAAGAAGAAGACATTGCAGCCATTAAAGAAGCGAAAGCCAAGGTTGAGGAGCGCGAAGGTTGGCCTCTGGGTTTCTTGCAGAGCTTAGGAACTAAGTGGCTTGACTGCGTCGACCGTTTGTTCTTCAAGTTGAACGACAAGGACGTTGCAACTATTCAGCTAGCAACGGGGATTGAAGCCGCTGCTGCTGACGATGTTGGCGGTGCCGCTAAATAAGTCAACCGCACGTCAACTAATGCTGATACGACATCGACAGAACATCTTCGTGCAGCCTCTTGCTGCCGCGGATGAGTTTGATGCTCTGCAGAAGGGACAATGATGTAGAGAACAGGAGGGAAGGCTAGAGGCGCTGGATGCTAAGTGGATCTCGATGAACCGCCAAAGTTAATCGCGGACTATGCAAGGCCTGAAATAGGAGAGAGGCGAATTCATTAGTTACGACTGTCTTTGTTCTGACAGAATGATCTTGGGCGACGGTATGGCTTTGCTGTACTTTGAGCTGGATTGATGTTTTGGATTTGCTGCATCAACTGTGCGTGCTGACATGGCAGGGGATTAGGCTTGCTATCCGGGAGAGCGATCGGGGGCTCTGACTGGAGGTGCGCTGAGATCAATTAGGGGGGATAGCTCCTATGGGCTTCCCACCGAAGTAACAAATTCTGCCACAGCATCTCTGACTCGTCTGAATATTACTCAACGCTGGTAAACGCGCTGACCCTAACCTCGCAAGTCGTTGACCTCAACCTTCGTTCTACTTTGCTCCCGTCCAAGATACGATGCGCCCTGTGGCGCAGGTTGGTGTTAGATGAGCGCAAAGCCCATGCAAACGAGCTCCTGCCGGTAGGACATCTGGACGTCTTCCAGCATGGGTCAACTGTTGGATCACTCAGCTTGCTTCGCCAGCGCAGTCTCTCCTCACGAGATCGTAGAATGGTCCATTACAGCTGTACCTCTCTGCTCGGAGGCTCTGGCAAGGCGACGACGCATATGGCCGCTTGCTCGACAACAACACCACCTCCAAGAGCAGCCCGAGTCAAAACGCTTCCCTTCCCGCATCTCGCCTCGTCTTCCATCCACCACACCGCCTAAGAAACGGGCGGCAGGATACAAACGCGCATGGCAAACGCCTTCACCACGTGCTGACGCCCTGCGCTGCAAGGCTGTCGACAAGTGACGAGGCAACCACATTTGATTGGCTTCGTGCACCCTCCCAACCCCCCTCCCCTAAAGAGGCTGCGCCGCAAATCGACCCACCCCGCGAGTGACAGCAAGAGTGACGCGGTTCGTGAACTTTGAAAAAGCCTTCTTACTAACCGTGTGTCTCTTCTTGAACTCTTCGTACCACTTCTCGCAACAGACTTGCACTTCGATCTTGACAACCTTCAGACTCAGACCATTCGATCAAGTTTCTTTGACACACCGCACACCTCCGTTCGATACTTCCTCGAAGAGTCCGGTCCCAGGTCTTGAATTCCTCCTACTTATCAATCATCAACCAATATTGTGACTCCATACTAGTCACCATGTCTCCCTCCAAGTCCTCCCCCCTCGCTTCTCCCGCCGCTGCCTTCCCTCCCGTCGGTGAGAAGCGCAAAGCTACCGCTGCCTTCCACGAGGAAGAGCCAGCTTCGTCCCCTACCACTGCCAAGAAGCAGTGTCTCAAGTCCGTGACCAAAAAGCAAGTCACCGCTCCCAAAGTCACTGCATCCGATGTCGCTGCCGATGCCACCGTCGAAGCGGCCACCCCACTCCGCAACCAAGCCAAGGCCTCAGAGGTCGAGGTTTCTACCCCTCCTGTTGCTGGCGAGAAGCGCAAGGCTTCCGCCTCCAACACTGAGCAAGACGAGTCCAAGACTGCACCTTCCAAGAACAGAAAGGTCTCTAAAGATGAAAAGTTGCCAGAGAAGGATGCGACTTCCAACGAGATGGCCGAGGGCAAAGGCACACCGCAGCCCAAAGCCACCAAGCCGAAGACCTCCGGCATCTTGAAGCGCAAAGCTTCCGAGTTCACTGGTGAAGACGAGCCTGTCACCAAGAAGGCCAAGACAGTTTCTCGCAAGGACGGTAACTCCAGCCAGAAGGAGAACATTGATCCGGAGACTGGCGAGACGGCTCCCGCTCGCAAGAAGCGAGCTATCGGCCTGGAGAAGCGTACGCTGTCTGCTGACAAGATCAAGCATCGTGCGAGGCGGCTTGCGGAGCAGCGATTGGCTCGCGAGAGAATTGAGAGGTTGGAGGCTGAGCATCGTCGGGCTGTGGAAGAAGCGGCAAACGCTGAAGCTGAGCGGCTAGCCAAGATCAAGGCTGCGCATGCTGATTATCGCAAGAAGATCGCGGTGCAAAACAGGGCCGATGACTTCTGTTACAACATGGGCATTGGCGAGTTCATCTACCTCGAGCTCGACGAGCAAGAACGCGTTCTGAAGGAGATTGACGCCAGGGAGAGTCACGCACAACTCAAGCGCCTGGAGAAGAATGAAGTGTCTGCCTTGAAGAAGATTGAGAGGGATTGGGATCGCCGTGGCCAGCACAACAACGGCACGGCCATCAACAAGCACAACCAAGCGACGGCGTTTGCGAACTCCCTGATCAGGGCTGCTCGCAACGAACGAGAGAAGTTCGAGAAATCCCACGAGGCATTCTGCAAAGCCTTGGACCAGGAGGATTGGAAAGCTTTAAGTAAGAAGGATGCTGACCAACTCCAGAAGGGCGATCAGTACAATACCATCATGCGGCGCCGCCGGAAAACGTTGTTCGCTGGCAAACTGCCAATTGAACTCTGAGGTCAGCCGTGAGTCACGGGTCAAGAACCCTTCGTCGGCCAACGCCTTCTCTCCGACATCGACCGTTCACCACTCTAGCATACGACACCGAAGCCGTTCGACAAAAGCGAGAACAACCAAAAACAAGGTCGGAAAAGATGACAAACCTCACGAAAAAGGTGAACGAAACAAAGCAACCAAAAAACGATATGAAAAGTACAAACCTTTCCTGCATTGCGTTCTTATTCGATTCCGACAGGGCAGCGTTGCGTTCAGCAGACAGCAAAGTTGTTGATGATCGGAAGAAGGAAAGCTCTGCACCAGGAAGGATCGTGCGGAGGTGGGAAGGTATTCCAGAAACAGGATTGCTAGCACCTAGAGTCTGCAATAATGTCTGATCAAAGGGTACTGGTATGGGGGAAGCGTGAGAATGAAATTGCTAGCACCTTTGGTCTTGCAATACCGTTTTTGGAAACTGGCATTGATGGGTGAGAGCAAGAGGTTTTGGTACTGGCTGGCCAGCAGTGCCATCGTCTCTGCTGTCGCTGGGAAACTGGTATGAGGCGGCATGTCGAGAGGAGAGGTAGGAAAAGACCATCGATTGGGCAGCGATAGCGTTTCAAACCTCTTCGGGGATCATGCGCCGAGGGCACAGGAGGACGGAGGGATGATATTTGAATCTGCGGGCTGCTGGTTGGCATGCTTGATGAACGCGTTGCGACTGATTGACTATCGACAATTTGATATTTTGCTGCGTTTGGGAACGTGTGGTGTCTGGCGTTCAAAAGTTTGGCATACGTTGAGCGAGGACCATGCTAGGATGATATCTACCATCAAAGTCCAATGAAGATTTGGATGAGAGAATCCGAGATATTAATGAGTGTTCTTCCATCTTCGAGTGAGAGTAGAGTACAGTGCGTGTGGAGTGAGGAGTGATGCAGGGGTTGAGCCGCCCCAGTAGGACCAACCCGCTGACAGGTATTTTACCGCTTGAACAAGCCCAATCAAGCTTAATTCGGGGTCGAGTACGAGATCGATACCAAGACCCTATCGATACCGAGATCCCCAGACCGCCCCGCCGTGCCCACTGCTCGCCTATTGCTTGCTCCCGCTTCCTCCAATACACAGCGCAGCGCCGCAACCTCTCCTCGACCTCCACAACCGAGCAGCAAGCAACAAGCAGCACCTCCCGCACCAATCTCCCACGCTCCCGCCAAAATGCACTCCCTCTCTGCCCTCCTCTCCCTCGTCGCCCTCACAACGCTCGCCAGCGCCTCGAACCTCGAAATCGACTACCTAACGCCAGAAATCACCTGTGACCGCAAGACCAAGAATGGCGATCAGATCAGCATGCATTACAAGGGCACCCTCTACGAGACAGGCGAGCAGTTTGACGCCTCGTACGGGCGCGGCCGGCCGCTGGACTTCAAGCTGGGCAGCGGGCAGGTTATCAAAGGGTGAGTTTTGTACTCCTGCCATTTAGTCTCTTGTCATGGTTCTGTGTGGGGAATTCGCGAAGGTCGACTGCGCGGTCTTGCCGGCGTCTTTTTGAGTCTGCAGCTTTTCGAACTTGTTGGTTCAGCACATCTCCCCCCCGTCTTCCCAAATACAAGCGAACAACCATTTGCTGACAACCATTCTCAATTTGAATCTACAGGTGGGACCAAGGTCTGCAAGACATGTGCATCGGCGAGAAGCGCAGGCTGACCATCGCGCCCGAGCTGGCGTACGGCGAGCGAGCCGTCGGGCCCATTCCGGCCAATTCGATCCTCGTCTTTGAGACGGAGCTCGTGGGCATCAAAGGCGTGGAGGCGCCGAAGAAGGCGGAGCTTTGAGGGCGACGTTGGCTGAGAGATGTGGGAAGAGCTTGGAGGCAAGCACCATCGTGGTCTTCGCTCGACTTGAAGAGAAAGGTGGGGAAAGAACATGTTCCGGGCTTTGCTGTAGCGCGGGGCGTGGATCGTCATGCAGTTGAGCACGAGCGGACATGGGAGCGTCGTGGTGATGAGCGATAGAGGACATATTCCCGAGAATCGGGCATGGATCTAAGGCTATACAAAACGCGCTCATAGACAACAGTCATCCGGCAATATAGACAGCGTCTCGAGGTCTAATTTCACAGAAGACTACGTCGCGATTGGCGGGCACGATAAGAACCCAGTTTCACTAGTGCACGTAGAAGCAAAAGCAGTTCAGTCCTTTCGATCGATTCCTTTCCATTGCTGTCTCATTGACAAAAAAAGAAGAACGCCCTCTCTCTGTATCTCATACCAGCCGATAAGTACCAAGTAGTAGCAGAGCCCACCCACTCTCACATGCATACAACTTGCGCGGCGGTCGATTGAACCTCGCGTCACCCATCTGTGAACCATCGAGTCTAAACCTTTGTATCGATTCCGTTCTTGTGTGTCTCTCTTTCGGAAGTATTGGTTCTCTTTCCATGGCGTATGTACATCCTCAGCCGGACAGCCAGCTTTCCTCCGGAAGCGCAGGTCGGCTCTCACTTCTGCGGATCCTCCAGGATGCCTTCCTTTTCCAACCGCCTCCTCGCCTCCTCCAAGGCCCAAGTCTGTATCCTGTAGCAAAGGTTAGCAAATATCGCAGCTCATTTACCGTTGGTAAAGTAAGCCAACCCAACACCGCCCGCCGCCTGCGTCGGGGCATCCCCCCCCAAAGAAAGCCAAACAACGCAAGGCTTTCGAAAGAAGGGCAAAACTCACGAAGTATCCTCCTTCATAGTATACGCCACAACCGCAATCACCAAGCTGCCACAGTACATAGTGAAGAACGGGATCTCCCAGCCCTCGCGCTCCCTCTTCTCCCCCGGCGGCACGCCCCACAGCCACCCGCCGGGCGGATCGTAGTGCGATTCATGACCGTGGTCGTCGTGCGAGGCCGCGGCGCGCTGCGCGTTGCTGGTGCTGAGGGCTCTGCTGGTGGCGGTAGCGCCGCGGATCGGAGTGCCTGCGGCTCGAGCGACGATGCTCGAGGGGCTGCGGGACGAGGCCGCACGGACTGTGCGGGGGAGGGCGCGTGGAAGCATCGTGGTTGGCGTGTCTGGTGGTTGAGACTGGGGTTGGAGGGGGGAGGGTTGAGGTTCAGGGATCTTGGCCCGCGGTGTCGGCGCCGGCGGTCAGTCGTGGCCAAAGGGGCGCCAAGAACGTGGTTGAGAGCTGCACAGCTGTCTAATGGACCAGCTGGAATGCAGCGAAGGCGGTTTGAGGGTGATGGGGTGGGATGTAGAGGGTAGATGGTTGGGCTCGGGTGCGGTGACTGCAGGATGGAGGTTGCGTTCCAATGCCAAGCCCGGACAAGGCTCTGACTAAGGTATCGGAGAAACGGCAGCTACGTCAACCACAGCGATTCCCTGAGCTGGGAGTTCACAGCTTCAAGTTGTTGCAGCAGAACAAAAAAGACGATACCCTGCTAAATTGTCTCGAACCATTCATTGCTCCATCCATCATGTACAATGATCTGCTTGTCCTCGTTGACGGCGTTACTAATCGACGTCATCCAGACCTGCTGTATTAGAGTGCTGCCAGAAAGGCTTCTCTGCCTTTCAATCCATGCGTAAACTTTTTGGTTGGGTTCCGATTGACATCCTTTTCCACTGGCCCGTGTGAACCTCCAGTCTAGTAGTCGGCAAGCAATGCTTGCTCTTTTTGGGTTGTCCAAAGCAGACGCAGACGCAGACACGGAAAGAAAGAACAATCATCGCTCGTGCTCATCTCAGCCCCCGCCCCAGCGTGTTTCGTTAGTCCTCCCAAATGCATTGCCAGAGTCGTGTCTAGCATCTCCAACGTACCCATCGTCAGATGGGCCGACCGTGAATGCATTGTGCGCCGGTCCTATGCAAATAACGCGCCCATGCCTTTTTATGCTGCCGAAGGAAATTCAAATCATCATACTTTACAAATGCTGCTCCGCGTCTTCTGGCATGACCCTTTCCTTTTACACCTCAATCATCGTTAGCTTTAATGGTGGGGGAATCTCGTTCTCCGTGCCAACGCTTTCGCTCAGATAGCTGTTGGCACTGTGGCTCTTTGGGATACCAGCCCTCCTGAGAGGCGGGCAAGGAGATGTGTCGGGAGGGTTGAAGATGTGGCTAAAGGTCGGATCGTGCTGCTTTTGTGGTGTTCTTTCGGGGCTGACCTGAACGCCTTGGGCTTTCCGGACGATGTCCTTGAGAGCTCTCGTGATCACGCCGGCCTTAACAACCAGATCTCGGAGGTCTTGGGTATCAAAAGGCAGCTTCTCGCGCTGAGCTCGCACCTGTGGTGGTGTCAGGTCGATGTTGCCTCGGTGTTGGTGAATGGTCTGTAGAAATGTCTTTGCCTGCGCTAGACTCTCGCCCCGCGGTCTGGTAACGCTGGGTGGGGTCGCAGGTCCAGATGTCGACCGAATGCCAAATGAGTCTCGCTTCGAGTCTTCGGCGCTGATGCGACGACTGCTTGGGGAGGTATCGTCGCCAAAGATGTCTGACGAGATCGGGGACCCGGGTCGTGCGGGTACCTCGTCTTCATCGTTGAGAGTGGCCAGATTGATAATGTTCTCTGCGTCCTCCCAGAGCTGCCGGGACTGACTTTCCAGAAGATCCAACTGGGCGCCTTGCGTCCGGAGCCGTCTGAGCTCTTCGACGAGCATCATAAACTCCTGAACTTGTGAGAATTGTTGATGCACACTCGCTTGACGATCAATGATCGACTGTGGGACCTTGACACTTCGCGTAGAGTCTCGGGGTCCGAGTTCTTGACTTCCACCCGCTAGCTCGAGCGGCGGAGTATCCTCTTCAGTGTCATCAAACTCAAAGTCCTCGCTCCATTCCTCACTGACAGGCTTATTGCCTAGACCCCAAGTTCCGAATTTCGCATTAGATGCAGGAATTTCCATATCAGCTCCACTGTCGCGGTTGACAGGGACACTCTGGCTGCGCAAATGGACGGCGCTGGGCCCCTTGCGACCAGCTGTGCGACTGCGGCCTTGTTCATCGCCTTGCTTGCCATGAACTGTCTTCGGCCGCGGACTGATACCACTGCTCACATCTGCTAACGGCTTTTGATTCTCGGACCAGTCGAAGATTGATGCACGTTTGGTCTCAGAGTCGTAGTCAGCATTCAGTAGCCGAGCAGTTCGACGGACAATCGGGCTGTCAGCACCCATCGCAGCATTTCGCTTGCTCTCTTTATCGGACTTTGGCGACCAGTCGATAGAACCATCTTCGTCCATCTCAATGTCTTGCGAGACTGAGAAAGCGAGCCCCTTGGATTGTGGAGGGCGACGAACAACACTCGACCGTGGTGAAGATCCAATAAGGGTCGCAACGCCGCGTCTGAATGCGACGGGCGTGGCGTTCAGCTCCTCCACGCTGCCATATGGATGTTCTCGCACAGGTGTAAGTGTTTGAGGCCCCTCAGAATCCATTCTGTCGTCAAAGTCGTCGTCAAAACCTCTAATGCCTATACCAACATTCTCAGACCATGCTGAAGTGCCTCTGGTACTCTGCAAGTGATTGTCGTTGATGGTACTCCGCTGCATGAGAGCCTCCAGAGTGTGCACTGGAGCACCGGTATGTTCCGAGTTGGATTCGTCAAAAATGGTGTCGATTTTGGGTTGACGATGCCCAGATTGGCTGCTAACTGTGGCTCGGGTGGCCAAAGAATCGTAAGCAGTATCACTGTGGAAGTCCATGGATTCGTCATCTGAGAATAAACGAGTGTCGTTATCAGAACTGACGGTGTTGGGATCGGAGGGAGCGACTGAGATGCGTTTGTTAATAGAGGGGTTGGTGCGTGGGGCATGAGCTACGGGCGGGCTTGACGTAAAAATAGGCGTTCCGGGCGGGAGGTCAATATCAAACGTAGAAGTCCTCGACACCGGCGAGAGCGGAGATTGTTTAACTGGCAGTATCGAGCCATGTGCATTTTGGCTCGATATTCCGACGACAGGTTCGGTGAAGTAACGCTGCTGGCCATGTTTTCGAAAGGAGCTCAGAGACCTGCGAAGTCGCTGGCCGCGGGGAGCAGTGCTACCAATTGCAGGCGATGACTGGAAGTCACGGTAGGTGTTGTCTTGGTCAAGGCTCTGGCGTCGCACGGCACGAGCGTTGACCAGGGTAGGCTGCTGCGCGTACGATATTGAGATCGTGCGAGCGGTTGATTCGCGAGTCCCGGGGGTAGTAGGCCGCTTCCTCGCATAACCACTGCTGAAAAAGGGCCGCCACACCGAGGCACTTGACATTGGACGATCCTCATCTTGCCGATAGGCTTCACGGAGATTTGATGGAGGTGGCGTAGCTGTAGGAACAGTCATGAGGGAAGCCGAGCGCTGATGGCTTGTAGCCGGTCGACGGAACAGTTTCTTGGACGAGTTACTAGACATAAGGCGCTGTGATGTTGCACGCTTGACTAAGCGGTTGCTAGGCGGAGCGGCTGGTTGCACAGGCGTTGAGGTAGGTGTCATATCGAACTTGTACGTCGAAGGTGCCGGGCTCTGGGTATGGAGAGACGACATGGTCGAGAGGCGTCTCATCCATGATGAACGCGGTCTGGACTCATCTTCCTCCACCGCCGGTGCCTGGGGTGATGATCGAGAAAGGACGGATCTTCTGTTCGCCGAGCTAGAGCGGGACTGTGTCTCTTGGATGCCATCGGTTGAGCCTTGGTCAGAGTCGGCCGGGTATTTGCGTCGAAAGAGAGAAGTCGACAACGAACGGGGTACAGCTGGACTCCGAGGTTGAATTGATTCGACCGGGTTAGAGACCACTCTTCGTGAGGGAGGAGGCATGGGAGGAGAGTATGTGTAGGCGGTATCGCTTCCGGGAGACTTTCGCTTGCCAGGTCTCGTGAGCAAGGTCTCTTCACCAGCACCAAGTGCGAGACCTGCGGCAGCGAGACCGAGAGTGCCTAGGGCACATAGCTATGCCAGAAGTCAATTCCTGTTCCAAAGTCAAGTGGTAAAAGAGTGGAAGTCACCGTGGCAGTGTGCTCGTGTGTGTGGTCCATCATGTAGACAGACAGTGCCAACCGCTCGCAGTCCAGGAAGCGTAGTGACTGGCAGGGAACAGTAACTTCATCTCGCAGGCAACATCGAGGTGTAGACTGTTGGAAATTCTTGGAATGATGAGTGGGTAAACAGATCCCCGGACCGTTGTGCTGCGGCCAGACGCAAGGGAGGTAGAGGCAGACGGGGTCGAGACGCGGAGGGAATAGGTAGACGGGTCTCTCTCGCGATGGCACAACAATAATCGACAAGCAACTCGCAATCTCGCCTCTTCCTCAACAGCAACACGCTCTCAAAGGACAAGACTATTGCAGAGCAAAACGAGTGCGTGAGAATTGAAGACGGCAAGTGGACGTGGTAGAGTCGAGACGAGCGGCCCTCAGCTTCCCTGTTGCGCTTGGCTGCGGTGCCTGGCCTGCAGTGCGCTGGGGTGGCTAAATGGGCGGCAGACCCGCCTAAACAACCTTCCCAGATCTACGGCAACCCGGCCCTGTAAGACCTCGCGTTTCGTGCATTTTGGGCCTTCTACTGCAGCAGCTACTGTATGTATTCTTTGCCTAGTTCTACGCTTCCGCACGTCAACACGCATTCTCGACTTAGCGAATCTGGATCGTTCCCGACTGGAAGATAGCCATCGTCTTCACAGCTCTGTTTCCGTATTATCACAAATTCCTCACGGACGACGACATGTAGTGATCGCCTGAAGTGTTGCAGGTATCTGTACATAGCCAGGCACTGTGCTACCATGTTGTCACCCGTCACGCTGGGTGGCAGTACAGCCCCAGCACACAATCGAATTGTACTCGGCCGTGGGTGAAGCAAGCTAAGCAGGAGAGCCGCATAGCCGCCTGATCGTCCTGACCAAACCGATACACCGACTCGAGCACGCAAGGCTAATGGCAGGTAAGAGCAAACGATGAGGGCAGGGCGTGCTGATTTAAGCACGGCCTGTCCAACTTAGCAGTTCCAGAGCGGACTTTGACCGTAAGAATCTTACCGGAAATATCGGTGGTGGACCTGAACCGGTGGCAAGGTTTTCTGATGAAAGTTGGGTTGGCAACGACGAATGACACGGCAAAGCTCCAAGTTGGAGCGGCAGCGAGCACCTCCTGGGATCCATCCGCCAGGCGGGCATATCCTTGTCCAAGGAGCTGGAAAGTGTCGGATGCGGCAAATCCCCAGTCAAGAACAGGCAGTCAACCAGGAAGACGCGCCACGCTCTGCAGCAATAGTGTTGTGCCCCCCCACCAACAACCAGGATGCGTGACGCGACATGGAGGTGAAGTACGAGTGTCAGCAGTATCATGTTTTGGAGATGCTCGAAAAAGTCGAAACATAACAACAGAACAGGACCCCGATGCGGCTAGAGCATGCCTTCGTACCCCATGTGTGCCAACGCTTTGAGTCAAATCGGATGTCGCTCACAGTTCGGAGGCGAGGTCAGCCACGACAGCATTTGGCATAGGGTCGATGGGGTCCACCAAATCTATCGGCGACAGGCCGGAACGAGCAAGGAAGCAGAAGGATTCACAGCCAAGCGAGTCAGGGCTTGTCGACGCTAGAGCTAGGCGTGTCGGTAGAGGTACGCTGATCAGGTTTTTCGGGTCACTGCGTGCGTTTACTCGCTTAAGTGGTGCTGGCTTAGCGCTGGAAATAAGGGGCATGTCGACCTTGCATCCATGCAAATGGGCGTCACTATGGGGCATCTTGTCTTGCGCGTTGCAACGATAGGGCGGGATCTGGCGGGGTAGGGATACGACAACACCCAAGGTGGAAACTCAAGGCGGCAGACGAGAGACATGGTGAAATGAAAGGCTTTGTTTTGCCGGGATGGTTCAGCGTGTTGGACATTGCTCTCGTATCTTGCAAGGACTGCTCACGCTCACGCCACCCAGATCGCCGGTATGTATTGTATCCATCGGACGCAGGTGTAGACAGTCTCTAGTTGTGGCCGGGCCTAGCATGTCTTGCGGAAGTTTTATGTGAGATGGCGGCTGGCGGGCGGCCTGGTGCGGTCTCAGGCTCAGTTGGAGACCAGAAGGAACGTTATTTTGCCAATCTCTATCCCAGACGTGCTGACTTGTCCGTCAAGCGTAACCATGACAAGCAAAGTATCGCCGTGATTCCAAGGTCGAGAGCTGGCCGTCGTGCCGCCCCCAGCGAGAACGTGCAGTGCAGAGTTCCGGCAGCTTTAAACCACGCCAGCCACGACAGCTGGCCTGAAATCTCGCCTGAATTGAGCCTGAAGTCAGCCGGGCCTGGCGTGTCTGAGAGTGTCGCAAGGGCCCGGTTGGGGGATGGGGGCCGCATGGGCACGATGCGTCTGAGAAGTCTGACGAGCATCAATCAATTGAGTGCAACTTGCGCAACACGCCGTCCTACCGTTGACGTACCCACGGCTCGTCTCCAAGCGCCTACTCGCGTGCTCCAAGTTAGACCCCGGCTGTGGCTGAGACGTTTTTCATTCGTGGCTCACGACGCGTGTGGAAGACACGCTAGCGGCGGCACAAAAGCAAATCCGGCGCTGAGTTCTCTGAGTTCCCTGAATTGTACCTGACGTGCTTGTCCTTCGCTTCCCCGGTGAACCTTCCGCAATCATGACTTGCGCCCCTCGGCTCTTATGTGCATGCAGGGTGGATAATTAGCTTCACTAGTTCGGAGCTGGAACTGGAAAGCTGGTACATGGGACACGTGCCCGAGTACTCCGTGCGAGGCATCAGTAAGAAAAGACCATCTCGTTCTCCGTACAAGCGTGACATCAAAGAACACGGCGGGCAGCGACTCCTTCCAGGGCGATGAAAGGTTTTCCTGCCACCACAGAGCATGCCACAACAGAAGGCAAGAGACATGGACTCGTCGACACATATGCCAGAGGTAAGCCAAATATTGCCTTGAAAGTACCACACCCTCCATCAAAACAATCTTGTCCAATCCCAACATTAGACTGGTCGACCAACGACACACAACACCCGCACTTTGTCTGTTGTGGGTGAGTGGAGGAGCCGACATGGATTTCCTGTCTTCGTTAAGCAGCACTGGTCCTAGAATGCCAGAAGCTCAAAGGTCGACCCGGGAGCCTGGCCGCGCTCTTGCACACTGGCAGTATAGGAGGACACGCATCAAGGTAAGATGTTAGGTGAATCTCGCTCGTCGACAACCCCCCTGCCAATATCGTGACAGGGGTCTTATACCAGAAGGGCGAGTACACCGACCCCCGCACGGAATTCGTCGCCGGCTGCTGCCACTTCAGCTGGGACTGCCACGGCCACGTCAAGTGGTGGCGCCACATCCAGAACACGACGGGATTCCAGAGCCCAGACCAGAAGCGCCTCGCCGACGACAAGACGACGTGCTGCCTGTTTCGCTATCAGAGCAGCTGCGAGGATCCGGTGACGGATTTGGAGTTTTTGAGGCGGGAGAGAGGGGGGGGTTACCTGGAAAGAGCCGCCGGCGTGCACGAAGCGCAATAAGTCGATTGCGGGTTGAGACCAGGCTGCGGATCGACGAGATTGTATTGGACGAGGAATGCAGCGTAGTGACAGGAAGGGCATTAGGCAGTCGCAGCTGGGCAGTGCTGACGAGAACTCATTGAGTAGCTGCTCGATACTTCTCGTGGAGGGCAACGACGGCGGTACGCAGTAACATTTCCTCATCATTCATCATATCTAGACCCCTCTCCATCCAGGATCTCCCGGTGACCACACCCCTCTTCTAATGCGCCTGCACCACGCCAGCCGCGTCGGCCTGCGCCGTAATCTTCTTCTTGTACGCTTTGATATCGCCGGGGAACTTCTCCACCCTCCCCTTGTCACACACCCACAGACTATCACACACGTTCTGCAGCATCGTCACGTCATGCGACACCATGAGCACGCCGCCCTGGAAATTCCGCAGCGCCGTCGACAGCGCGTCCATGGCCTCGATATCCAGATGATTCGACGGCTCGTCCAGCACGAGGATGTGCGGGTTCGTGAGGGAGATACACGCGAAGGCGACACGCGATTTCTGGCCTCCGGACAGGAGCTCCATCTTCTGCAGGCCTGTCATGCCCGTGATGCCGAAGGCGCCCAGGTGGCGGCGGTATTCTTCGTCCGTTTTGCCGTGGTATTTCTGCTGCATGAAGCCGACGGCCGAGGTGTTGAGATCGAGGCCGTCGACGTGGTGCTGCGCGAAAAAGCCGACGCGCAGGCGAGCGTGTTGGGAGATGAGGCCGGAGGTGGGGGTGAGCTGGCCCGTGAGGAGCTTGAGGACGGTGGTTTTGCCGGCGCCGTTGGGGCCCACGATGCCGATGCGGGAGTCGAGCTGTACGTCGAGGTCGACGTTGCTAAGAAGGGGGACTTTGGGATCGTAGCCGAAGGCGACGTTGGACATCTGGATGATGGGTGGAGAGAGCTTTTCGACCTCAGGGAACTTGAAGGACACGGTGTACTCGGCCTCGGGCGGCGTAAGGATCGGCATGCGTTCCAACTTCTTGATGCGTGACTGTGCCTCGGAGGACTTGGCTGCGTTGTAGCGGAATTTGTCGATGAAGGCTTGCAAATGGGCGCGAGCAGCCATTTGGTTTTCGTATTCGCGCTTGGCGGTCTTGCGGCGCTCTTCTTTGGTAGCGTAGAAGGAGGTGAAGTTGCCACCCTTGTAGTAGTCCAGACGCTCAGAGTGTTGATGAATGATATCGGTAGCCACTTCGTCGAGGAAAGCCCGGTCGTGAGAGACGACCAGAACAGTGGAGGGGTACGTTTGAAGGTAGTTGGAAAGGAAGGTGATGGAAGGAACGTCCAACATGTTTGACGGTTCGTCCAGAAGGAGGAGGTCAGGCTCGCAGAACAAGGCACGGGCGAGCGCGAGACGCATACGCCAACCTCCTGAGAAGGTCTTTGTGGCGAATTGCTGACGCTCAGTGCTGAACCCGAGACCGGCCAGGATAGAAGCAGCACGAGATTCGGCTTTGTCTGACTCCATCTCGGAGAGCTTGGCGTGAATATCGGATAGAGTTGTGTCGAGGCCTTCTCGCTCTTGATCCAGACGGACAGCATCTTTAGAGGTGTCGGCAAGGCCGCTGCGCTCGGTCTCCAGGGTGGCAAGCTGTTTGCTGATCTTCTCTTGTTCAGCGAGAAGATGTTTCCGCCAGACATCAGCATCAAGTACGGCTTGCAGAGCTGGCGTGTCGTCACCAGCAATCTCTTGTTCGACGTGAAGAATGGAGATATGCGTAGGAATAGCAACCTCTCTTCGGCTCAGTGCGCGTAGTAAGGTGGATTTACCGATACCGTTCTGGCCGACGAGACCGTAGCGACGACCGTAAGCGAGAGTAAGATTCGTATCGGAGAGAATACGCTTGCCCCCGATAGACACATCAATACCATCGACTTTGATATCTTTGCTCTTGGATTGGGCGTCGGATCCGAGCTGAAGAGGATTGACAGCCATGAAGAATTCTTCGTAGGACTGAGCTTCGTCTGTCTGATCAAGCAGTCTTGATGCTTCATACTCAACATTCTTCATGGTCTTCTTCTCCTGCTTGGCACGAATCTTGCGTTCCGCCTTTTCAAGCTTCTTCTTGTCGACCTTGGACTCAACTTTGCGGGTATTGGTGGCTTCCAAATCCACACCACCAGTAGAGAGACCGAGAGTAGAAGAGATGTTGCGTTGTGAGCTTACCTGAAGTGTCTGGTCTAGGCGCTTGGGAGTGAATGGCATCTGCCGCTGCTCTCCATTGACGCCATTGGCGGCGCTGAGTTCGGAGATCAGCTTTTCGAGGAGGTTGCGGATGTTTAGCTCGTTGTCTGGAGCGAAGTTACCAGAAGCTGATACTAGAAGCGAGGTAATGGTGCCCAAAGCTTCGTCAAGTGGCGACTCAGCGCTCTCCTCAGACACATACTGCTTCGAAGCATGGTCAAGGTAGCCAACAGAGTACTCCGAAATTACATGGTCGATGTTGGGTATCTGCGCCTGAATTGCAGCTTCCATGGTTGAAGGTGTTAAGAAGTCTCGAAGGGTTTATTATGCTGGAAACACCGAATGGAATCAATCCGGGACGAAAAGTGGAAGTCGGTGGCACCTCGGTGGACGTTGATCAGGCTAAGCTAGACTTAGTATGGGTCTGACAAGGCTGCGTTAGTGGTGGTACGGCACCTGAATTTGCGACAGACTAAGCCAGAACCTCGAAACTGTGCTGTTACAATAGTGGGCCATCGACTTGCTGACGGCAGGCAAGCCCAAGATTGAGATTTGCTGAAGCGTCTCCCGGCACATCTCATTGAGAAGCCATGTGGAAGCAGTGCTATACTGCCAGTGCAATGCTAGGGTTAGGGTTGGTACTTCCGGCGATCCCTTCTCACCTCTCACGTCCCGAAGACTATCTTCTATACCCCTATCAAGACTCTCCATTTGAACAAGGAGCAGACTCTGCACTTCATTATCTCAACCATCAGAGTGTTTTGCATGGGAATCCCTCTGTGGCTCGAACCTCCCCTCCCATTCGCCAATCGGCAGCATCAGGCTGAGGGCCGATTGGCGAATGGGAGGCTTGCCACTTGAACGCGATTCAGCCTGACTACACTTCAGCTTCACACAGTCGTGTCTTTCTCATCTAGGCCAGTACGAACAAGCAGACAGCGAATGTGTTTAGAATCCGGATTTCTTAGCCCACCATGGATCCTGTGACGGCTCTGAGTCTCGCCTGTGGTGCCGTCCAACTCGTCGAGACCGGAGTCAAGATCACCAAGCAGATCAAGGAAGTCTACGAGTATGGTTCGGACTCTGCATTGGAAAACATCAGCTTGTGGACCGATCAACTCTCCACAGGGTGGAGACAGCTCCAACAAGAGGTGCAAAATACCGGTCCAATTCGCACTTCGTTCGATCTTCGTATTCGGCAGCTGGTGACCACGGCCATCGATCACGCTGTGAAGCTAGAAGACTTGCTGAAGCGTATTGCCCCTCCGCAAGGCCAACCAGAGAAGAGATCAAATTACCTTCAACGAACTTTCCGAGCCGTTGCCCAGGTCTCTCGTGCGAATATCAACAAGGTTGAGATCGAACACCTGAGCGCCCGACTACGAGAGTGCAGATCAGACATCGATAGCGCCATTCTCAATGTCCTTTAGTAGGTCTTCCCATGTTGTCGGTCGCCGGTGGCAGCAATTGTTGTTCTCAACTTATCATCTACCTCTGTTGACCACCCTCCACGTGATGCTTTTTCTGCTGCCATTGGGCCTTCTCAATACTCGCCTGATTCTCCTATCATCCGTCAAGTTAACACGAGAGTATAGTGCGCGTCGCGATGAAGGCCAGACTCTTGCCACTCGAATCATTGCATCGCTTACCGACGGTCAGCAGGACATCATCAATCGTATAATTGCCAGCAACGGACAGCTGTTTAGCGATCTCGAACAATCCATCACCGAGAGTGAAAGGCGAAATGCCAAACAAGTGATCGTCTCCGAGCAAAACATTGTCGGCCGTCTACAGACAGACAAGGATGATGTCCGCCAGCGCGAGGCGCGACAACGGCTGTTGAAGAGTTTGGAGTTCGACACCATCAATCAACGTCAAAACTTCATCCGGAACCGAGTCGGAGACTATGGAAAGACTTATAGCTGGATATTCGAGCCAGGACAGGGTCATGGTTTTCGTGAATGGCTGGTGTCTGGCAACGGCATTTTCTGGATCAATGGCAAACCGGGTTCCGGGAAATCTTCTCTTGTGGACTATATCGTGGACCATTTGCATCCCGGGAAGCCAGCTCGGCCACTACTTGAAGAATGGGCGTCTCCATTGCCTCTCAAAGTCTTGAGCTTTTTCTTCTACAAGCCGGCTAACGAGGAACTCCAGAAGACATTCCATGGTTTATGGCGGTCTCTCTGTTTCCAAGTTCTTGCTGATGACCTTGCACTTTGCGACACTATCCTCAACGATGCGGACCTTCCCCTGGCCCTCAAACGATATCTAGGCATGGATCTCGACTTCCAAAATCACTGGATGACCAAAGATCTCAAGACGTTTTTTCTGTACCTCAAATACAAAATCTCACACAAGGTCTTTGTCATACTGGACGGCCTCGATGAATTCGCCGAGAACCACACTTCTCTACTCGAGACTGTCAAAGAGCTATCCAGTGTATCCGACCTGAAGCTTTGCTGCGCCAGCCGCCCAGATGCACCGTTCAACCAAGGCTTCTCGACCACAGCTAAGATGAGATTACAAGATCTTACGTACGGTGACATCGAGCACGTCGTCCACGATCGGTTGCAAGGTACACTCGCCTCTTCGCTGGCGGAAAAAATTGTGTGGCGATCAGAGGGTGTATTCCTATGGGCTCACCTGATATTGCAGGACATAATGAGAGGCATCGCGGAGGGTGCTGATCTGGCAGAATTGACCGCTCGAGTCGCAGATGTAAGTGCCTTAACATCCTACTCCACGCATGTGTTCGACGCAGTGACTAGTATTGCCAACTTGACACTAACCCTTGGCAAGGCACCCGGAGAGATGAAGGACCTGTTCAACTCCATGCTGGAGCGTGCTCATTCCTCGTATCTGAAACGGCCCAAACCATACCTTCAGTATATCTTGCTTGGCCGACAAATGCGCCAGAAAACCCTCATATCCGAGTTACTGTTCACCGAAATGAATCAAGAAGAATTGGAAATCTGCCTTCGCGATGGCTTCTCGGTTGATTTCATACGCCTGCTCAACGACGGGGCACGCACGATAAAAGCCCAAGTTCTTGCACGGTGCGGAGGACTCGTCTATACGGCAGACTCTTACGCCCGCGCTGGTAACCCCACGGGGAAATCGATCTGCCAGACGTCTTTCAGTGTATCTCTCCCTAAGGATTTCGACCGCTCTGCGCTAGACGAAGCTTCCGGTACCGTGCTCGAGTTCATTCACAGGACTGCTTTCGATTTTCTGACCGAAGACTCCGGCGGACAACATTTCGTTGCGTCGTGCTCCATTTCGGAGAATGAAGCGTATCTGAACCTTCTCAGGGCAAACGTGGCAAGGATATACCTGGGATGGGACCACCCACTAGAAGATTGCGAATCCGAGTATACAGCATATTTTCACCTTGACAAGATCTCTTCGCTGGAATCGCGCCTGGAAAAGGCGCCGATGATGCATCAGTACTACCACCACTTGACGGCCTCTTGGCTGGAAAAACTGGTAGCTGATTTTTGGCTGTCTTCACAGTCACCCACTCTTGAGCAAGCAGGACATCAGAAAGTCCACCCACTGTGGAATGTCCTCGGATGTCGCCGGTATCCTGCCGGCGTACCCCTGGGTTTGATGGTTGAGACGGCTCACGCTTGCACCCACGGCCTTTGGAGTTTCTTGACCATGCGTGCGCTATCACTGCCACTCGAGCAGCGACAAACACTTGTTGCCATGATCTGGATTCTTGCCTCAGACTCGTGGACATATGAAAGAGGTCAACTTCAGGACTCGCGCATCTACCTTGATTTCGTGGCGAGCCTTCAGTGGGGAAACGCTGAGCATTTGGTCACTCCAATGACGAACGTGAGGAGTCTGATGTGCACGACTCAGGAGGACGACGTGATTGAGCTACGAACGCAACGCATCTACATCTTGATGTTGTCCGTGCTCTTGGAGCGCGCGCTGGCTGGTTCCGGTCGTCGTATGCGATTTGGACACATCGACGGTACAGCACGCGAGGTTTTCGGAACTCTCCTTTGTACGGAAGTTTTAGCGTCTGGGTCTTTCGATCTAACCATTGTTGGCTCTCACGCGGAATTTTGGCTCGTGCTCCCCGAATGGAGGTATTCCATCTCAGACATTTTACGACATTACTTGTGGTTGAAGATCCGCTGCACTATCGAGAATCTGGTCTGTCTCCTCATGCCTGGACGCGGCTATCCGGAATGGGGCTTGCCTGGCACTGGCGACCTACCATGTCTTGTACAATGGTCACCGCATTCTTGCAATCGATTCTTCACGGTGGGGCAGGAGCAACCTCCGGAGTTATGGTTATTGAGGGATGGTCATTTTATTCTGAATCCCGAGTGCGTTGTCCACGTGCCTGAGCAAGAGCTTGACGAGCTGAGCGAAGCGATGAGGTCCGACTTGCGCGAAGATCACAGCGAGGCCGAGCCTGGGCGTTTACTTTGTTTCACCTCTGACTTCCGGGACACGCTGCGACGCACTCAGCAATAAAGACCGAAGGTAGCAAAGATCCAGCCAATGAATACAGCTTGCTTGCCGAGCATACGCTGCGCACTTCCGAGCCGGATATACCGAAGAGAAATATCCAACATACGCGCAAATATATTGCCCAACACATCTGTAGCGTTTCTCCCAACACCACCAACCTACTGCCCCCTCCGTGACTCCACAGCAAGAGGGCATTCGACCCGTGCATCGAACTACACTACAGGCCATGTCTGTGGATACACGGAACACGGCCGAGACTGAGCCTGAATCCTAACGCAAAACCCTGTGCAACCGCTGCCGATCTGAGTAGCAGAAGCACCCATCCTGCGCAGTGGCCGAGTGTATGAAAGCCACCGAGACCTAGCTCAGCAACCCACGGAGCCAAGCAGGCGAATGCACCATGAGCTTGAATGCAACTCAGGTGGCATCGCGACGTAGGGGCAGCGCACCGGAAGAAAAAGTGGCATGATACGATATGACAGCATATGAAGGCGGCCATAGTTCTCTACATATCTACAAACATCGCGCGCCCCCAGAGCTCTATACACCGGACCATGCCAAATTATGCCATGCAACTGCGAACCCAAGAAACGCCATGCCAAAATATACATGCCAACCTCATGCACATATGCACACACCATGTTATGTCCACTATCGTTTCTCCACCAGCAAGAAATGCATGGCAATATAGGCAATGACAATGAAGGAGCCGCCGAAGATGGCGAGGCCGATGACGTCCTTCCAGAGGGCGAGGTTGTCGAAGCCAAAGGCGGACAGGATGGAGGCGCCTGGGACCTCGATGTCGAGGCCGTAGCGGTGGTCTTTGAGGCGAAGTTTGGCGACTTCGTTGACGATGAGGCCTTCGTAGCCGTAGTGGAAGATCGATAACTATCAGGAGTGAGAAAGTCAGTATCTTGCGTGGATTTTCTGGAGCGGATGCAGTGGAGAAGAGAAGGGGAATGCGAAATACATACCATTTGAAGCCAGCCAGCCGCCGTCTGCACGGTGTCGTGGTTGAGATTAAGTAGCAGGCCGGCGAACAGCAAGCTGAAGAGCATGACCAGACTCCCGATCAGGTTGGCGACGGCGACGTCGCGGAAGACGATGCCAATGAAGAGGCAGATAGCAGCGGCTGCGAGGTTGAAGAGCACCAGGATGAGGATGAAGGTGAGGAAGACACTCCACTTGGGCAATAGGCCGGACATTGGGTAGACGATCATGCCCATGATGATGGGCGGGATGAGGCGCAGAGGTACCATGTCGAAAATGACCTTGGCCGCGAAGTAGGTGATGGGCGAGTAGTATCCGTTAGCGCGTTCGCGGACGAAGATGGAGCGCTCGGAGCTGAAAGTGTTGAGCGATGTCAGGGTGCTGAAGCCAAAGAGGGCTAAAAGGAAAAAGAACAGGCCGAGACGATTTTGGAAGCCGCCAATGTCATCGGTGAGTCCGTAGAACAGCCAGCCGGAGAGCACCGCGAGCAGGATCGCAACCGCATAGTGTGTGAGCATGAGCATGGGATTGCGGTAGAGATTGCGCCATGTTCGACGTGACAAGATAAGAAACTGCCGGGGCCAGGAGATGCGCCTGAAGCCCTTGATAGAACCCGTCACGGCCTGGCCGTTGTCTGTAGAGGTTTGGCCGTTGGCAGTAGACGCCGCATGGACAGATGCCTCGATCTCGTTGTGCATTGATTGAGCCACGTCTGAAGACTTGAAACCTGAGACTAAAATGTCCAAGTCCGTGTTTGCGTCCGGCGGGAGGGCGTCAGGATCTTCTATGATTTGAGGTGGATTGGGGCCATCCCGCTTAGCGAGGCGAAGCCAGCTGCGAGTGCTTCCACTGGATGGCAAGAGCCCATCGTTGTCCTCGTCGTCCGTTCGCGGAGTTGGTGGGCCAGTCTCGTCGTCGCCCGTACGCTTCCTGGTGAACAGAGCACGATCTTGCTTCTGCTTCAGAGAAATACGGCGAGCATTCTTAGGACGCACTGAAGGAGTGTCGACACTGACGTTGGAGATACTTGCAATGGATTTGACTGCACGGGTGCTGCTAGATTCCGTACGAAGTCCATCGCCCCCAACGTCGCGCTCGCTGAAGTCTGGAGTGATCTGTTCTGGGTGAGGTGACCGAGGAGCACTTGCATGCATGGTTAAGTCAACTAGGTAATCGGCAATGTTGAAGCCAGGAGGACAAGTATATCCAATCGAGTCGAAGTACGCTTGACAGTCCGAGAATGGGCCGGAATATACAGTGCGACCCTTGGCTAGTAGTACCAACTGGTCAAAAAGTGCGACAATATTGGATCGTGGCTGGTGAATCGTGAAGATGACTGTACGGTTGTATGTCTTCGCCAATGTAACCAGGCACTCGACAACGTTGAAGGCATTGAACGCATCAAGTCCACTGGTGGGTTCGTCCAGGAAGAGAATGGACGGGCTCGTGACGAGCTCGCATGCGATACCGACGCGACGCTTTTCGCCGCCTGAGATGCCTCTGCCTTTACCTTCTTCAGACCCGATCATCTGATCTTTGATATGGTAGATTCCAAGCTGCTGCATGACCTCAACCACACGTTGCTCTTTCACGGGCTGGCCCATATCGGCAGGCAATCTGAGCAAGGCGCTCGTGAGGATGGTCTCGTGCACGGTCAGTGTTGGCATCAGAGTATCTTCCTGATCAACGTAGCCGATAACATTACGGTACTCGTTGTCGAGTATCTTTTCGCCGTTGATATACATTGAGCCGGTAGTGTGCCCACGTTTGTTCTTGCGCGCCAGTATGTCAAGGAAAGTGGATTTTCCAGCACCGGATGCGCCCATAACAGCCATGATCTGTCCAGGCTGGGCGATGCCAGAAATACCAGTGAGAATTTGTTTTCCTTTCAGGTTGTATGAGACGTCCTCGAACTGCAAAGCCATAGGCTTGTGATTGACCATAAGTCGGGCGGCATCGTCGTCCATGCCTTCACCAAGGCGAATCGCTCCCCATTTCTTGTACGCCGCGCGGCGGGCAAGATACCAAGAGACCAGAACAATGGCCACAACGAGTAGTGCACAGCCTGCAATCACGGTAGCTATAAGTGGCGTGTTGATATCTTTCACGGGCTTGCTGTAACCAGGGACTTCGGTCTCGTACAAGCATTCGCCCGACCGGCATTCCATAGAGATATATTCGTCACCAAAGATTTGGGAGATGAGGTCATTCATGGCGGGTTCTTCGAATCGTGTGCCATCTTTGGAGTTGCCGCCATAGGTATGCGTCTGGATCAAGGAGGCCGGTCCTTTGATCTCCTCCTGGAGGAAGTCGCCAATGTCGACCGTCCCCTTTTCACCACACAAGAAGCGATCTGGGACACAGGAGCATTTAATATTCTCGCACTCGTATTTTGTAACATTCTTGAGATTGGTGTCTTGAACAGTCCAGGAACAGGTGTCCAGAGCGCAGTAGAATGACTCTTTCTCGTCGACCCAGAACTGGAAGTTGCATGTTTCGGCTTCTGCGTTGCACGAAAAGGTAACCTGGGCAGTCCTCGGATCGATCTGATCAAGAATCGGCTTGTTGGTAACGTTGCACACCTGGTAATTCTCATGTACGACCACGCCCTGCTTGTAGCAGACGCCGCCAGTGCCTAGAGGCATGAGGGCATCGCAAGCTCTGTTTTCGGTACAGACATTGCAATTGATGCCTTCCCAGCCGTCTTTGCATTCGCACTTGTCGCCTTCCCGCGGGGATCTATTCTTTCCGTCCGGCAAAGAGCCACAGAGAGGTTCTGCACAGTCTTCTCCTCCAAACCCAGGAGGACATATACATTTGCCGTTGGTGGCACTGCAATTGCCGTATTGTAAACACTTGAATTCATCGTAATGGCAGTCGAAGCATCGGGGACACGGTGGGCAACCGTCTGGGCGGTCATCGAACACGCCGTACAGGGGCGACTGCATGGAGGTCGGGCTCGTGCTGTTGTCAAAAGCTGTAGCAAAGGTGGCAGCCAGTCCAGCCGTGAGCTGCAAGAGGAGCCCTCGACGCATGATGCGTAGCTTCGTAGAGGTGTGGAGTCTGGGGAGCTTCAGGACGACATGGAGCAAAGCTCGACCGGGTGCGAGACGCAGAGAAGCACCACGGACCTACGCAGTTGATCGGGTAGTGAGGGTGCGAGGAGGCTGTGGTGCATACAAATATGATCGAGTATTAGGCAGATAGATAGAATAGAGTAGAGTTGTCTATCCACCAGTCGGAGGCGAGTGTGGCTGTGGCGGGGAGTTGGAGGAGACAGCTTGTGCCGCGGGCGTGGGTCATGCTACACCGAATGATACGCCATGCAAAGGTCGGAGCACTCGTCCCGCTCTGCCTAGGCCCGATGAGCCTGTAGAAACATTTGGAGAGAGCGAATGATGATGAGATGCTTGCCACATTATACGAGATGCTTCGTATAGATGGCGTGTGGGGATGAAGTTCAGCAGCAAGTACGCGGGTGTATCCCGTACGCGTCTGCGCCCTTCAAGTCGAGGGGATCTCACTCATAATCCCGAATATGACTCCTAACAAGCTCCATTCTTCCGTCATGCCTTATAAAGATCCCCTCCTTCCCCCGAAGCCGGCTTCTGAAGGACTTACCACCCCCTCGCTTTGACACCATGGTCAAAATCCCCCACTTCGCCGTCGCCGCCTGGTTCGACGAAAATGCTCACGATGCAAAGCACGATCTTGCAGGCACAGCCTCGGCGACGCTGTCTATCAAAGATCTCATAGAGATATCGGAGCACAGCGAAAAGACTAAAGAAGCGCTAGATTTCAATCTCATCAACCTCAACTACAACAGCCCCATGCGAGGTGGACATCAGTTGAGAGACAATCTGGCTGCCCTCTACTCTGCTCGGGCTGGGGGCGTCACGCGAGATGATATTCTTACTTGCAATGCCGGCATCGACGCCAACTACATCGTTCTGGCTGCCCTGATCGAGCCAACAGACCATGTGATTTGCCATTGGCCTACCTATCAACAGTTGTACGAAGTACCCCGCTCGTTAGGTGCAGAAGTCTCGCTGTGGAGAACGGACGCATCCAAGAAATGGCAGCTAGACATCGAAGAGCTCAAGGGACTCATCAAAGAGAACACCAAGATGATCATCGTCAATGTGCCGCAGAATCCCAGCGGTGCCATTATTCCGAAACCCCAGCTTGAAGACATCATCGAACTTGCAGAAGAGAAGGGTATCATTGTCTTTTGCGATGAAGCGTTCCGACCGCTGTTCCACAATATTCTTCCTTCTGACGATAACTTTCCCAATTCCATCGTGAATATGGGATACAAGAAGACGATCGCCAGCGGCACAATGAGCAAAGCCTACGGGCTGCCCGGAATCCGCGCCGGCTGGATCGTCTCGCGAGATCCGCAGATCATTGCGCAATGCTTCAAGATGCGATACTATACCACCACAACGGTTTCGCAGCTGAACGAGGCGGTTGCGGCTGAAGCTTTGAGCGACCGGTGCATTCATGCGTTATTGGCAAGGAACATTCAATATTGCAAGACCAATGCGGAAGCCTGGCAAAACTTCATCGATGAGCACAATTGGGCCTGTTCATGGGTCAAGCCTGTCGCCGGAACGACAGCCATGGTCAAATTCCACAAGATGGGCAAGCCTGTCGATGACGTCCAGTTATGTTTAGCTCTTCAAAAGAAAGCAGGAGTATGCCTCATTCCTGGAAGTAGGTGCTTCGGCGACGGAGAGTATCTTAAAGGTTATGTTCGAACAGGAATCGGTCTCGATCCCAAGCAGGTAAAGGAGGGTTTGGCTGCTCTAGCAAAGTTTATGGAGGATGACTTTGCAGACGTACCTGTTGCAGCGAAGTAGCTTATACCTAGCAGAAACAACGAGTGGTGACAAAATCCAGCTCTCGGATCTCCATACCCCCTCGCCTGCTACTAAACATGCATCCTTCCAAGTCTCTGGTCAGAGATGCCTTTCATCGCGTTCGTGAAGTAACAAGATGGGTGTGCCGAACGCAGATATCATGCTCTCCACCCCATCGGTCGACAGGTCACTTGAGCTCCAGATGGAGAGGGCTTGCGCAACCGTTGGGGCGAGAGGCTTCAACTGCTACACTCTAGGCTTTCATCATCTGGCAAACAGTCAGTATAGCCATTCTCTTGATTCTGAGCCGCATGTGGCACTTACATTTTCAAAACTTGGAAGGATGTAAGGACAGTGAAAAGCGCGGCCGCAGGCGAGAAATTTAGATGCCGCAGGCGCACCGGTCTTGGCATTTAAATGGCAGCTTCAGAGTCCGAGTCGGCTCGCCCTCACACTGCCCCTCAAATTACTCTCCAAGATACTGAATGACATGGCAACGAGCTACAATTGCAATGTTTTCATGTCATGGAATCTGCTAATTACTATGCTCTGGCTATCACGTCAATTCCCGAAGCCTCATGTCTTCGTCCACGCAGTAAGTGAGCAGGAATGTCCTCCTGATGAAGTCATACCGGCTCAATGGCTCTTACGTGCTGGAGAGGTCTATGACACGGAGAAGCACTGGCCAATGGTGTCTCAGAGTAACAGAATACCCTGTGCTATACAACAGCCAATCGACAGTGTCCTTCGTGGCCTCATGCCCTTCAAGTTAGTACCAGACTTCTGACGGTCGAGTCACTCCTCTCACGAACCCTTTTCTCGCCCAAGGACCCAAGTGCAACTTTGGCATGGTAAAGATAAGCTTGATTGCACTTACTCGATCAGCAGTGTAGGTACCTCTTCTACCACATCTGCTCAGACGGTAGGGGCCCCCAATTTCGCCTGCCAGGCACGTTTCAGTTAGTATGCTTGGCTGTTTCGAGTCCAGTTCTATGAAGACCACTTGCAATATCTTTTTTATATCTTGACCGCTTGCCCTGGCTACTTCTGCTCTATGGGCCCAATTATGGCATCTATAATTTGTACTGTAATGACACAGCCTCATTACGGCATATAAGTACTGATGCTACCGCGATGTCTACAAGCATTAATGTCAGCAGCGACAGTACAGTTTTCGGCAAGCATAAGGGTCTTTACGCAGAAATACCGATTGTGCTGTCCGACCTAAATGGCTCACGCAGAGACAGCGGGCCTATTTCTGAACCTGGATCGCTGAAGAATCATCGTCAGTGGCCTTTCGGACGTCAAACGAAGGAAAACGCTCATCGTTTCTTTCGGATAGCCGAAGACGGATGGCTTTGGGAGAATGTTGCTCTGGTCGTCTCCATTGCTGCCATCCTGGCGCTGTGCGCCACTCTAGCGATACACGACGGCAAACCGACGCCATCCCTCGCATATGGACTGACGTTGAACGCGGTGGCGGCGTTTCTGTCGGTCATTTCGCGAGTGGCCCTTCTCACTGTCGCCAATGCCGTACTACATCAAAGCAAATGGCACTCGATCGTGCAGAGGCATGGTTTCAAGAAGCTTGCAGAACTGGAGCATTTCGAGAATGCCGCTTCTGGGCCATGGGGATGCCTCATCTTGCTTTTTAAGGGACGCGGAAGCTGGCCAGCGTGGATTGCAGCCGTCGTCACCCTGGTCTCACTTCTTTTCGACCCATTTCTGCAGCAATCAGTTCAGTCAGAGATGCGAACCGTAGCCCTAGCAGAAGCGAGTAGCTCTCTGAGGTATTTTAAACCTGATGGATATACATTGTTGCCTGCGAGTAACCTCCAGATCGAAATGGCCCTAGCCGATGGCATTTACGGAGGAGACTCTGGGTCTTGGAGGCCGCCCTGTCCATCCGGCAACTGTACCTGGCCAGAGTATCAACAGCTTGGTTTTACTGCAAAGTGCGCATCTAAGCTTACCGACGTGCGCATTGAGCCCAATCGCAACAACACAGGCTTTGCCGGCATGGCTGAGAGAATCCAAGCAACGTGGACGAACATCACGGAGACAGAAATCACCGGGCAGTGGTTGCAGCCACAAGAGCGACCGGTCTACAGCTACCACGTCGAATTCTCTGACAACTCGACGGACACTGTGGTGGGTCTTGACCTGAGTTGGATGGAGCAAGCTACAGCAGACAGCGGTAAAGCCTTCCTCAAGACAAATTGGACGAGCCAAGTTATCTGGCCTCTAAATCTGCCCGAGGTGCCTAATAGCACTTCAAGATATTTCGGCAGATCGTTCGACCCATCACTGGCAATGTGGCAGCAAGGGACTTTTGCAGGCGTAGAGAATCCGCTCTTGGCTCTGGGATACGTCCACCTTGGCTGGGATCTTGAGCGGACTGCTGACGGTCCGGATGCACCCCTGACCATACTCGACGCGCAAGAATGCGCGCTCACACTGTCCACATCTATGATGAACACATCGATCGTTGCTGGTGACTTTCAGAACGTTGTTGCCGAAGAGCGGATCGGACGGATTACCGTCAAACAGCCACAAGGTAATGATTGGTGCTGGTACTCAAGCGATGGTACCGACGATGTCCCCCGTGCTTCGATGTGTAGCATGGACCGGGTCTTTTCTCTTTCGACAGCCATAGGCCTGTTGGTTGACAATATCATTGGGTCTATTGGGGGACAAATGACATTCTCATGCCCTCTCAACGCTGATGGCTCGATCTCGCTCCCGGAGTGCAATGTACCCGAAGTCACAAGCTCCTTTAGCGATCCAGAAACCTACCTGAACAACCAGAGTAGCTGGACCACTCTGACCACAGCGTCCATGGGCAGCCGTGCTCGCGACCAAGGGTTTCCGGACTTGCTTGACGGGATTGCGACATCCTTGACCAATACGTTCTATAGCGAGGGCAACAGTACTTTGGACGGCACGAGCTATGTGGTATCGAGTCATGTCAAGATCGAATGGCCATGGCTGACTCTGCCGTTCGTACTCATCTCGGCAACTCTAGTGGCTCACATCGGGGTCCTTATCGAGACTCGAATGCTCGGGTTGCCGATTTGGAAGTCCAGTATCCTGCCTTATTTGTATTCCAGTGAGGGCTTCTCACTGCAATACTCGGCTCAAACCACAGGTGTCGGTCCAAAGACGTCGGAGATGCTGAGCGAGGCAGAGCAGACTAGTGTGAGCCTGCAGAGAGATGCAAAGGGAGCTTGGGGCCTATGGTCGGTCGATGATGGAGGAGCTGTAGACCGTAGTAGTCGGTGACAACTTCAAGAGACACTCTGGGTAGATATTAGCAGCTCACTAAGATCTGAAAGCATCTACTTGCACATCCTCCCTTCTCGGGGCTGAAAGAGTTTCTATCATCAATTCCAGAAGTGTCGCATTGACACCTCAAAAAAGGATGTCTTGTCCTTGGCAAATGCGAATCTATGCAAGGCTGAGATCTTCCGCGCGAGGCTCCGCAAAACGTTCCGACGCGCCGTATTTATTGGAGCATTTCGTTGCTGTCACATCAGACGATTGCTCAGTGCATACAAACTTGCTCCGGGAAGCTGTCGCAGCCATGCATCGACTCTGCGGTACCTGTGCTCGAAACTCAGGAGCCCGTGTTGAGTATCTACGGCATTCGTATGCTGAGGTGTTCAGGTTCGTTCGCAGACGATACTCGCAGACCTCCATCAGCGCGAACCGAGATACCAATCGACCTTTCAGCACCTGTATCCCTCAGCGCGACCCCACCTCGCCATACAACGTACCTCTTGTACCGGATGACACCAATGCGCGGAAATTGTTTGAGGACTTTAGCAAGCAGAGTTCCTTCGGGTGGACGAAACGAGGTTGGGGAGAGATCGAACCCAAGGACAACAAAGTATGGCGCCCTTTGCAATCTGAAGACCCTCAATGGGGCATCTCACCCATTACGCTGAGCGGTTTCATAACCTCTCAAAGATTCGCTGGCAAAAACCTGTGCTTCCTTAACCTCGTCGACCCGAGCCTCAAGGAGGCCGTGCAGCTTATGGTCAATATTGAGAAAGGAAGCACGGCTGCCGTTTCAGAGCCGAAAGAGTTGCGCGCATACACATCGATAGCCAACGATAATGATGCAAGGAGCAAGAAAGAAACTATAGGAATTTCCCGCGAGTTGCTTGCCCAACTTCTGCCGCACACTCCCGTAGAAATCAAGGGGAAGGTGATAAACCGCCAGGCGCCACCGGAAGACTCATCACTGGCTGATAAGTATGTTGGAAACGTACCACGGTATCACACAACAAAGGAGATAGAAGTCACAAGCGTGCGGCTGTTGGCAACATTCCCTTCTGACTTGGTGGCTCAGCACGGCGTGAACTTCCCCCCAGAGCAGCGACATTTGCAGTTTCGAACAAACGACAAACTTCGCCAGAACATATATACAAGGGCAAGAGTCTTGGCCAAAGTGCGGATGTGTCTGGCCCGGGCTGGATTCAACGAAGTTGAGACACCTGTGCTGTTCAAATCGACGCCTGAGGGTGCTCGGGAGTTTGTGGTCCCAACTCGTCAGAAGGGTTTTGCATACGCTTTGCCTCAAAGCCCGCAGCAGTATAAGCAGCTTCTCATGGCTTCTGGATTCCACAAATATTTCCAGATAGCGAAATGCTTCCGTGACGAGGATCTCCGGACTGACCGTCAACCGGAATTCACGCAGCTCGATCTGGAGATGTCGTTCTCCAGGCCCGAATCTATAATAAGGCTTCTCGAGACACTGTTGACCAAGTGGCTACTGCCAGCCATGGGACTGGGTCTCCCGGCCCCCCAAATAATGGAGTTTTCGAAAAAGGTGATCTACGAGTATCCGTCGTTTCCGCGGCTCAGATATCAACAAGCAATGGCCATCTACGGGAGCGATAAACCTGCGCTACAGATACCTGGCACCATCTCGCGCATCGAGCAGTTGCTACCTGCAGATTCCATTGGAATGCTCACGTCACTGTCGGACCCGATCGTGGAAATGATAGTCCTCCGCACCACAGAAGAAGATGCAGAGGCAAGCCGGGATTTCATGAAGTCTTTCATGGACTCGGACACAGCTCGATCGTACCTCAGCAATCCTGACGGGGCGCCTGGCGTGGCGGTGTTTGACCCAACAAAGCCATTGAACGGCTTGGCAGCGTTTGGCCACGACGGCGCGGAAAAGATCACTGAGCGGTTCCAGCCACAGTTCGGAGATATTCTGATCACACAAGCTCGAGCAAATGTGCCTTTCTCGGGTGGCTCGACTATGCTGGGGAGCATGCGGGTGGACGTATCAAAGGCAGCCATTGACAGTGGCCTGATGGTAGCTCACGAGGGCTTATACCCCCTGTGGGTGACAGATTTCCCCTTGTTCTCTCCGCTAGGCGAGGGAGATGTCGGACAAGGTGCGACCAACGGGCTCTGCTCAACGCACCACCCTTTTACCGCGCCCAAGCCGAAACTCGACAATGTCTCCCTCCTTGCAAGCGACCCCATGAGCGTCGTAGGAGACCACTTCGACCTTGTCATCAACGGCGTTGAAGTGGGCGGTGGCTCCCGACGTATCCACAATGCCGAACTCCAAGAATACGTCCTGCGCAACGTGCTCCAGCTGCCGAGCGAGCGTATCGAGGACTTCAGGCACCTGTTGAATGCGCTCAAAGATGGCTGTCCACCGCACACGGGGTTTGCTATTGGCCTCGACCGTCTGTTGGTGCTGTTGACTGGCAGTTCGACTGTACGTGATGTTATTGCCTTCCCCAAGAGTGGGCGTGGTGAAGACCGGTTCGTGGGAGCACCCTCACGATTGACTCAAGAACAGCTCTCTACGTATCATTTGTCTCTTTCAGATGAGCCAGCAGTAGAGGAGACGTTGAAAGTTTCGGAAAAGGCATGATGTGTACGATATCAATCAGAGCGGATGTACAAAAGCACAGTAGACTATGGCACGCGCCTATTGTACACTAGCATGGGTAGCAGAATAATTTCGACAACTCTGTTGACCTGATTGATTTCATATGTTCCTAGAACTACGACCCGTTCTCAGTGTCGACGAGGCTGGTTTTACTCCTGGAGGAGGCGGGAGCGGCGTATCCTAATGCCGAGCCTTGGCGCGGTCATTGTTGATTTCCGTGGCGGTCAATGCCAAAGTTGGAGAAGTGTTCAGTTGTCTCTTCTGGCTGTCCAACACCCTGCCTTGCCATTGGCATTGCCTCATCAACCATCGCGATGGACCAGCTACAGTCGCTCGTCCTCAATCCTCTCAAGCCTGTCGTCCTTCCCATCACGACGAACCTTCCTGCGCCCGTCCAAGATGCGATCACTACCCTCCTCGGCGAGACGTGCCACAACGCGTTGATCCTGAACCTCGATGTCACCTCACACCCCGAATGCCTCTCATTGGCAATTTCAAAAGCACTGGGGATTGCTATAATCACGGCCGCGTCGGTGGTGAAGGTCCCACAGATCATCAAGCTAGCACGTTCTCAGTCCGCCGAAGGGCTCTCATTTCCGAGCTATGTCCTAGAGACGGCCAGCTTTCTCATCAACTTGGCCTACAATGTCCGCAGCGGGTTCCCGTTCAGCACCTATGGCGAGGTGTCTTTGATCCTGGTGCAAGACGTTATCATCAGTGTGCTTATTCTGTGGTACTCGGGCAAGGCCACGCAAGCGGGCGCATTTGTGGCAGCCGTCGGCAGCGCCGCCTTCGCGTTGATGGGTTCTGACATTGTCAGCGAGAGCCAGATGACGAGTCTTCAGGCCGGTGGTGGCCTCCTCAGCATTGCCAGCAAACTCCCGCAGATTCTGACTATCTGGCAGCAAGGCGGCACCGGGCAGCTGTCGGCATTTGCCGTCTTCAACTACCTTGCAGGTAGCCTGAGCCGTATCTTCACCACGCTGCAAGAGGTAGATGACAAGCTCATCCTGTACGGGTTCATTGCAGGTTTCTCACTCAATGCAGTCCTGGCTGCACAGATGGTGTACTACTGGAACAGTCCAACAACCGCTGGGCACGGACAGGAAGTTGGCGGCAAGAAGCAAGGCGTGCTACAGAAAGGGTCTGCTGGAATGGCAACAGAGGAGAATATCAAGAAGCTGGGCACTCCTGTCGCGACGCCGACTGCTCGACCTACCAGCAGCAGTGGCCGGAGAAGAGGCTGATGGACTTGAAGCGATAGTAGCCATCACCAATAGAATTATGCTGCTGACCCTTTGCATTTTTGCTTCCACGTGTGCGCCCAACTCGCTAGGAAGGCGTCGCCTGCATCTCAAGATCTACGTTGACAGGGATCGCAGCATCGCACAATCGATAGTGCCATCGCTGCTGCCGTCCAGACTCGTGTATGGACTATTTGCGTGGCGCGAACCGCCGAGCCAGCCGTGCGCCCCCTGCTATCTCGCTGATTTCACTCCAAACGGCTACCCCCACCTTTCTGTATTCGTATTTCCAGATCAAGGGCAGTCACACGTCAAGCAGGACACACGACGAGGCGTCTTCATCGACTGGTCTGGTGGATCTACCGCATCTGCAATTCTGCGCTGCCACGGCTGTATCATGTGGGACAACCCCAGTCTCCGACCAATAACCTCGGCGTCAGAGAAATTCTTGAACGGCTCGTACGGCTCTCGAGAAGATCCTGGTTCTCGCCGCGTTCCGCGTTCCGCGTACTGGCTTGCCTTGCCTTCCTCCACCAAACGTGCAGGGACTACCTATCTCTGAACCTCGATTCCGCACGACCCACCACTCCGGTCAAGCTACCGTCGGCCCCTCTCGAGCAGCGGCGCTGCGACGATCTTTTGGTCCACGCTCAAGAACTGGACACAAGCCTTTAAATGGCCCCCTCTATCCAACGCTACCAGATGTTCGTCCAAACGCTAGTTCCTGGAGGAGCATCCCTTCACCCAAAAGAGAACACTGGTGCCATGCCTCTTGCGTTGATATGCCACCACTGAAAAGAGGCCAATTTAAGTTGATTGAGAGATTCCTGCCCACTAACCGGCTTGACGATTCCCAGTTCATTACCCCCCATGCTGCGCTTGTATGCCACCGCCAGTACTCCGTACCCGTTCTCCCACCTCCCACAGACCGGGGGTAGGTTCCAAGAGATTATGGATTTTCCTGCACTGGAAACACAACCTGAAGCATAACCGAGAGGTATTGACACAACTCGTAGCTTTTTTATATCCCCGTCTCTTCCATCGAGGTTGTTCCCTGTTGGTTACTGCTACTTCCTGCGAAGTTACCATGGGAAGATGTTCAGGCCATTTATGAAAATACCTGCTCCAGTACGTACGGCTTTTACGAATCTCAGCTATATACTGACTGCTACAGGTCGTCGATGACTCGTCTAGACCGGCTTCGCAGACCTCCAACTTTTTCCGCCTTCCACCTCACGTCGTCGACCTCATTTTTGACGAATTAGATATTCTCGACCGATGTAGCATCTCACTAACCTGTAAGCGCCTCTTGCGATTTGCCGAGACGAACGAACACCTCGACTACATTATCAGCCGCCCTCCGAGTGTCTTCCGGCTCGAGCAGTTTTTCTATCAACTTGGACGTGGTTGGATACCACGAGACATGCGCTACTGCTCGGATTGCGGAAAGTTCATGTCCACGGATCCATACCATTGGCGGCACGTCAGTGAAAAGTATACCAGGGAACACACAGGTCGCGTTGCAGAAGTCTGGCGCGAGAGAAGAGAAGATGGCTGGCTACGGTACTGGATAGAACGATGGTGCAACGGAGAGGACCGGCATTCGACAGCTGCGGCACTGAGGCATGAGGATTCGACAACGCTCCTGTGTCCCAAGTGCGCAGTCATTAGCCCGGAAACGAACCAATGGAGAATTAGCCGGCTGGCAGCTCGGAACCAGCGACATGCTGGTGGAGGACAAGCGAGACGCATTGTCTCGCCAGGAATGACTTCGCCGTACACCGGTCTTGGAACACAAGCGAATGCCAGCTCGCCGGATCTACGAGGCCGCTCACCTGTACTGGATCGCAGGCAAGTGGCAGGTCGAAGTCCAGCAGCGAATAACAAGGTCTCCGCTGGATTGGGTATCAGGACATGGATATGAAACCTGTGTGGCGTTGTCAGCATGTGGGCTGGTCCCAAGGACTGCGCTCGGACGCTATCAGCCACGGAGCCGAGTCCAGAAACACCGCCATCCAACTTCTTCAGGAACCGCGATTGCAGGGTCGTCATCAATCGACAACTGCCGACTCGCTTAACAAGTAGCCGATTCCAAGTGTGCCAGGGTCTCTGTTTCAGACTCAGGGGTCGTGCAACTCGCATCGGTTTCCCTGTTTCAAATAGTTGGACTACCAGGTACCTTTCCGACGGCTCTACGAACACCCATTGCGCCGAGACGCAGCAATCCAGGTGTATGCTGTCAAATGTGCGGACCCGTTTTCCGACCGTTTGTTGGAGACCAAGGCCCGTCCCGTGAAGCCTTGACATTTTACGTCAAAGACGAACAACGTCAATGTTTTGTTTCACGTCAGTCTCAACCAAGTCACCACATCAGTCACGATGTATCCAATTCAGTGACTTCGGAGAGCGACCTTCAATCGAATGGTACACTCTCGCGTCTCTGGGGATTCATCTGCCGACGCAACAAGAATCCGGCATTTCGCCCCAGAACGCTTGGATTAGCAGACCTAGAGACAAGGGTTCCCTTGCTTGCCATGGGCGGTCAACTCCAGGTTTCTTGCAACGTAGCTGCATATCAGCCTGAATTCCGCATGGGATGATTTTCTGGCCCTGCAAAAACCGTTGGCGCGACGCCAGTCAGTGCTCGAGCAGGACTTATGGCTATAGCGCAAGAGTATAGCACCATTGTGACGGACACGTTGCAAGGATGTTGAACCGGCCTAGGCATTCCTCTGAAATTGGTCGTGCTGTGAACAGTTCTACGGCTAGAGTGTGGTTTTTGGCTATTGTTCGATACAGCCAGGGACAGACCAAAGAGTCCTGTGCCGTATGCTCGAGGTACCCGGGGGTGATAACTTGTATAACGTCCTAATGTGAGCGACAGGCTGCCAATTTCAAGTGGCCAAGAGCACACCAACGTCGGCATAGAAGAGGAGAAGAATAGTAGTAGTAGTAGAGGAGGTCACGCCCCTGGAATGGCGCAATCACCACCGGTCTACAGGCTTGTATCACTTGCGTATCGATCAGATAAACCAGAAAGAAGCAAACAGCTGAACGGCATATATCGTCCGTGCCTCAGCTGGTCCGAATGCCGACACTGATATTACTACTATCTATTCGGGTACAGTATATAATTGCGGGCGGATACCATGATCTGTTGGTATCGGGTATACAATTGCTACCAGGTAGGACGAGATTACAGCATGACACTATTGGGAATTCAGCAAGCTTGGAGCATAAATCAAAATCAAGAGTAAAAGCACCTAAACATGATCATGAACATGCATGCACATGCCCAGACCATCAACGCTCGCTGTTCAATGCACGGTCAACTTCAAATCATCAGTAAAGGTCCTCTCTACGCCTTACATATATAGAATCATCCATGCTGAACCAATTACCAAGTGCCCAAACCACGGACGTCTATCTCTTCTACTGTCTTGCTGTCCCACAACCTCTAGTGCCTCTATACAGGTCCGCTATACCGTAGCCACAACCACAATACAACTTTCCACATCCTCCCTCCCCAAGACTTGATCGCCGATGTGGCTGGCTTGTATTGTCTCATGCTTCGTGCTGCATTCACCATGTACTTGTACTTGTCCATCCTACGCTTCAGATATCAATTCCACATATCCCCGCGCCGAACCTGCGGTGATATACAAGTAAGTTTTACCCTCGTCGGTGAACTTGTACTTCCCGTTCGGCCGCGCTACTACCAGCAGCCCCACTGGACGCACGCACGCACGGGCAGTTCATCATGGAAGGTACTGTATGGCCGGTGAGACCACGCATCACCGGGCATTTCTACACCGTTTGCCAGGTTTCACGACTCCCCGCTACCGAGAGGCACACCACCAAACAAATCAGCGTGAAAATGGAACGCTCACGTCGCCGGACGCCAATGGAGATAAAGAGAGGTTGCGATATAACTGCGCATCTGTGGTCTTGACGCTTGAGATCGAGCGATGCACCTTCTCCATTCTCCCTCCTCCCCTTCTGCCGTGCTTTTACAGTAGAACTAGTTGCGGTACCGTGTCCCAGCACAATTTGGACACAAGTAAGATAGGATAGGATAGGATAGGATAGGATTCGATTCGTCGCATCTCTTGCAGGGCCCGCAGTATCGCGTCGTTCAGATACTGATCTGACTCAAATGAATTGCTAATACTCTCTCTCTCTCAACCCCAGGCTCAACCTCAAGCTCGGGCTCAGATCTCAACCTCAACCTCGAATCTCTGGTGATGCCCGCCTCGCCTCGCCTCGCTTCGCTCCAAAAAAAAATCCAAGCCGCCCGCCTCGCTAACAACTCCCGTATGCTAGCAAACCTCAAATATCGGCTGATCTTTTGTGAATAACGCTGGTTGTGGACGTAAATCTTGAACACAAGACCTGCCACCCCATCAAATCCTGCACCCTGCACCCTGCATCCTGCACCCTGCATCGTGTCCCACGAGGCCCGCCGGACCTCGATAAATGACAAAGTCTCTTCTGCCGAGCACGTCGTTGAACCCCCCAAGGCACCCCTTGAGAGCCCACTTACCGGACAAAGGACAAAGGACAATGACGAAGCCCCGCGAGGCGAACGCGACGAACGCGACGCGAAAGGGGGGCAAACTTTTGTCCAGACGTACTCGCCTACCCCGTCTCGGCTCTCGACCCAACACGCCATCGCATAGGCCCAGGCGTCAAGTAGGTCTGCGCGGCAATCCTCTGCGCGAGAGGTCGTCTGTGCGAAACACTTCGGTCACCATATGCAGGCGGAGAAGCGGATGACTTTGGAGAAAGCTGGAGAGTTGTATGGCTGAAAGCGTCGTAAAGTTTTCGGCTGAAAGCCGACGAGCATTTAGCACATGCTAACAGCGCGGTCTGTGTGGCCTACGCCCCCAACGCCAGACGCTCTTTCATCAAGCCCAGCAGAACGGCCGGCACGCTATCCTGCGTCGCGCGGATGGTGAGGCGGTACATCTAATTTCGCCGTGTCAGTACCCTCCCAATCATGTGGTGCTGGAATGCGATATCACGTACCTTATCGCCCGTGTTGGGCTCACACCGCATCAAGCAGCCCATCTTCCCGCCCTCGACCTGATAGACACCACAGCCGACCTTATTCGCAGCGTTGGGATCCACGCCTTCCAACAGTCGGAACCCAAAGCCCTTCAGCACCGCCACCGTATCGGCGTCGCGAATGCCGCGGACTTTGTCCTTGACTTCGAACGTGGCCTGGGCTTCCATGCCGTTGGCATTTCCAATCTGCCGCCATCGCTTGAAGAAGTCTTCTGCGTTCAGGTCGCTCGGGTCCATATACCGATGGGGCAGGACGGGCAGTTTCAGTGTGTATGCTTGTAGCGCGCCGGCGAGGTAGCTGACGCGCATGGTGGGTGCGTCTGGGAAGGGTTTGAGTGAGGTGATAACGACCGTCATGACCGTCTGTCCATTGGCTTCGACATTGTTGTCGGCCATGGACTTGGTGTCGATGCGTAATGCCTCTTTGTATGGGTTGTCGATCGTGACGGTGAATGAGCCAATCGCGAATGACGACTTGTTGGAAAAGTAGAGCTTAACGACACCCAGATGAGCCCGGAACTCTGCACGGACGCCCACTTGGATCTGAGCATCTTCGAACAATACACCCTCATTATCGTAGTAGAGGCGATTAAAACCTGGTTGCCAATCCGGCGAGAGATGTGCTGCCGAAGCCAGATTCGGTGCGGCTGGAGAGCCATTCATCTCCAGACCCATAAGGTCGGATGAAGCCGAGTGACCATTGGTAGGCGGGAGAGCCTTGTTGGTGTTACCATTAGCCTGCGGTTTCCCGCCGTTGACGATGGTGGTGAAGGTCCGCTTCAAACCAGTATTCTGCGCAAGGATAACTTCCTGCTTGTCGGCGTTGGCGTCTTTGCCACCAACCAGCCACGTGCGGCGCTCACTGGTACCGGCGCTCTTCTTGTGGAGACGTTGTAGGAGGATTGACGCACGTTCCGAGAAGGGCGGCATCTCGTCGCAAACAGTGCGGAGTAGGTCGTCGGTAGGCATATTGGCCAATCCAAGGTACTCGCAGGCTCGCTGCTGTAGCTCAGAGTCCGGCGAGTAGCTGTAGAAGTTAAACATTTGAAGTAATTGTGGCTTGATTTCGGGAAACAGGTTGACGAATTTGACAAAGGTGGACAGAATCAGTGCTCGAGTGCCATCGGGAGAAGTGAGCATCTTCGACTGCAATGCCATTAGCTGCTCAATGGGACTGCATCCCTTGGTGTCCGCAATCAGGTGGCCGAACTCGCCCAGCAGATATCCACCGATCTTAACCAGAGTATCGTGGCAGTTCTCCGTTTTCATATACTCGAGAATGTTCTGCGCAGCATACGCTTGCAGTTCCTCGTTATTCGTGACAATTTGTACGACACGCTGCCACACTTCGTCACTAACATGGTCGCCAGCCAAGGCAAGCAATCGTAACGAAACATCAATGTACCATTGAGCTTCGGTGGCATACTTTTCGGTAAGAATTGCAATTTTCAGGACCATCTCCTCTCGTATCGAATAGTCGGCGGATGTCAGATAGCGCATGAGCTCGTTGACAATCGGCTGTGCATTTGATGTGTCACACATGCTGTACACGAGATCCAGGGCTTTCCGCCGCACACTGATGTCTCGGTCGCGTAGTGAGCCGATAATAACGTTCTGATGTCGTTTTATGGGATCGAGCGTGTCTGAACGGGCAACGAAATGAGTCATGGCGTCAAGCCCGAGGTATCGTATATTGGTCTCGCGTGACTGAATGTAACGGCCCAATTTGGAGGAGATCTGAATCATGAGGTTTGACTCAGAGTCGAGATGGATGAGGAGGTTGATGGCTTCAAAGAGCACAGCATTTTGAGCGTTGTTCTGTTGTACATTTTTGGGCATTTCGTTGGCAGCCTGGAGGATGGCTGCAAGAGATTCGCGGATGATGCCGCGAATGTAGGTGTCATCTACAGGCGGTCAGAGGGTTCAGTCGTACGCGGTGAGTGCTGCTTACCTGAAGGGGGATAGAACTGGAGCAGTTTGAGGAATTTGACCTGTATCCAGGGGCAGGGGACCTTGTAATAGAGATAATCTGGCGAGACCTCGTTCTCAATCACGACCTTCCGCAATCGTTGCGCGGCTTTGATGTAGCTCCCCTTGTATGCTTCTGGATTATCCTGAACCAGAGCCAGGATGAGAGAGGTGACCGACAGGACAACACCCATGTCCGGATCATCCATGAGTGAAATCATGCGCTCCGCCCACTCTTGTTGGATAATGTCAGGGTGTTTTCGGTACAGTCGAAGCAGCGTCAGGGCAGCCTTCTTCTTGACGAACGCTTTGGACGTGGGTGCAATGAGTAGTCTGTGGACATCGGCGGTGAGGGCTTCACCCATCTCTCTCCCACCGACGTTGGCGACGGCGTGCAGGGCCAAACAATTGTTGAGTTCATTGTGGTTCGTCAGGTCTTTCCGAATGCTGTTCACCACCAGATGCAGCAAGTCGTGCTGCTCGTGCAAAAACAGCGTCACAGCCAAATAACCAATCTGCTTCTCCGAATATTTGGTGGCCGAGATGAGGTTGACGGCCTCCAGATGGCCAAAGTCGACGTTGTATCCCTGAATGTAGATGTACAGCAGTTTGCAGACATATTTCTTTTTCTGGTAGCCGTCAAGTTTCTCGCCGCGGAACTTGGACCGGATGTTGGCCAGTTCTTTGTTGATTCGCTTCTCTTCGAGCTCTCGGGCGCGGGCGTTGCGGAGGTCCGCAATGAACTGGACCAGCCCACGCATGGACGACATGTTGAGGGGTCGAGTGACACTTCTCAAGGGCGAGGGGGGATATACGGCCGTGGCCCCATAAGGAGCAGCCGGACGGAGGCGGCTGGTCAGGTAGTGAATGGCCAAAGGAGGTGCGGTGGATTCATGGGCGGTGGAAAGCGAGGTCGCTGCGCATGTCTCATGGGGCGGCCCTGGCGAGAGTGAGAGGCCGTTAATAGAGACGCTTGGTCAAGCGAGTGGTCGTTGGCAACAGGGGTAGAGACTAAGACTTGCCCGTTCTGACAGGCCCCTGTGAAAACATCCTACTAAAGTGTCTACCACTCATCCATCCACCACGTCTCACGTCCCGTTATCCAAGTTTTTGTGGCCAGGCAGCTATGGACTGCAATGCGATAACTCTGATGCCCTATTCTATCGACTCTATTCTCATGAAGCAAACACCTCGATGCGAACCTCATTGCTCCATCCCGAGTCGAGCTCCATCTCATCCCATGCTTTTTCCACGTCCACTTTGACTATCCTCGCAGCATCGCCTTCTCTGATTCCTTCACTGCTGACCTCTACGCAGTCTTCCGGCACGGCCTGGCCCTGGATCATCACCATCATTCCACCTTTTTGCCACCGATCTTGGTCCTTTGTCTTCTCGCTGTCGGCATCACATATCCAAAGTCCCAGCACTCCAAAGGCTTTCAAGGCGACCTCCACCTTGACACGCTTCCCATTCTCGCTCGCACCAACCTCACTGCTCACCAACGCGCACGCTCCCGTAAATTTCCCAAGCAGACCCAACACCGCCACCTCTACCTCCCCTCCATCCCCCATTTCTACCGTCCTCACGGGGACCGCGCTCCACACGTCAAATCCGCACCGAGGTAGCTTGCAGTGCAGCAGCGCGCCACTTTCTAACGGTGTCGTGGGTTGCATCGGCCGCGTGACCTTCCCACTGCCATGGCTCCGCACCACCCACCGCTTGTTGTCTGCATCTCCCATGACGCTGCTCGGCCCGCTTGGTGGTCTCGACCCCAGAATGCGCTCATGTTCGCTTCCCCTTCTGCTTGGGTTTTGAAGCCCTTCATCCTCCGGCTCGCATCCTGGGAACTTCGTGATAGGCAACGCAAAGCTGATCTCCTTCTCGTCCATGTTGAACACGCCCAGAATACCTACACCCCACTCTGCTCCACCGTCGTAGCACCCGACCTTGAGCACGCCCTTCTCCTCATATCGGTCATAGACGCCCATGGTCTTTCCCACGGTACTGGGTCGAAGCACCACTCTTTCCCCCCTCACACTCCGCGCGCTCATCATGTCAATCAACGCCACATCATGCCTTCCCGGCTCGTCAGTAATGTAAATCGGCCCTCCACTAACACACCTGGCCGCCGCATGAAACGCCGCATAATCCCACTCCTCGCTTCCCGTAGCCGGCTTCGTCTGAAACATGTCCCAGTCCGGCAACACATTCAAATGCTGCACCAACACCGCATTGTGCGCATTGCAAAACACGTGCCACGGATGACTGCTCTCGACGTCCGGGAAGAAGTCGTCGCTCGTGCGCAGCAGGATCCGCGGCGTGTCCGTCGGCAGGAACAGGTGAAACAGAATCTGCGGCGTCATGCTCATGCAGCTGATGGCCTTGCCGCTGAGGTGCCGCAGATGCGCCTGCGTCCATGCCGCTAGGTACGGCAGCGTCAACTCGCGCCGCTCCCGCGATCCGCTCAGCGTGTCGAGGTAGAACTGTACGTCTGTCTTGACGCCCGTGACACCCGACTCGGCCAGAAACGTGTAGAAGGCCGCGTACATATCATGTATGGATTCGGCGTCCACGGCTGTTTTGGACCCGCCCGCAGGACTGCTTTCTTCCATTTTCACCCCGCGCGTGGCGTACGTGCCCGCGATCTCCCCGTCCGACGCCACCAGGCCCCAGTACCCCATCAATGCGTGCCATACCGCGACATCTTTGATCCAAGGAAAGCGCTCTCGCAGCGTGCCCGTGAATGCCTTGAGGCCCTGCGGGAATCCTTCGGCGTTGGCCTGGAAACGTGTCCAGCCGCGTGAGAACTGATTGGTCTCCCCTTGCGTGCCGGTAAGAGATTGCCAGTTGTCGTCGATGATGAGGGTGGAGAGCTTGACACCCGCGTCTGCCAGCGACTGCATAGCTCCGAGGATCTTGTCCGCGTTCAGATCCTGTCCCAGACCGTTCCATGTGCAGTAGGCGAGGGAATCGTACCAGGACTGGAGATACTGGGGAACGGGGGCATTGGAGTTGGATCCGTTCGTTCCGGTGTGAGCGGAGGCGGCGTCGTCAGCACTGACCAAGGCGTACTCACTCTCAGAAGAGATGGAGTGGGCGCGCATCTGCTGCAGTAGCTCTTTCGGGAAATGCTCGAGGCTTTGCTGGTAGGCGGCCGAGGTGCGTACCAGCTTGCGCATCTCGTACATGACAGAGGCCAGAGCGACCTCGAACTTCCAGGCGCAGGCGGTGAGAACTTTGAATTTGCGAGGCTGAAGTGTGTCGTTCCGCGCTTGGATGACTATTTCGCCTTCGGGGGTTGATGAAATGGTGGTGAGGACGTCATCGATGCCATTGATGGCTAGTAGCACAACGTGCAGGCCGTCAGAGCGAAGGAAGGAGACAACAATAGCCGGCTCCGAGAGGTGAAAGCGATTCGTGCCATGACGTGGACCCAGCCAGGGCGACCATATGCGCACGAGGGCGAACCATCGATGCAGTTGCAGGACACGGCCTAGGACGCGAGCTGAGGCTTTTGCATCCTGGCCTTCTGGAGCAGGGGCGATGGGGTCGGAGGACTCGATGAAGTAGAGGCGAGCGTCTGGTGATTCGCTAATGAGTTTCCGTGCGGACCAGCCAGGCTTCAGGTCGATAGGAGTGACGCCGAGGAAGTTCGGGTCGACCGGGGGTTGGAGGATGAGCTCGCCGTCGGCAATGCCAAAGTTGTGATAGACCCATTGCCACTGTGAGTCCGGGTCGATGCGATATCGAACCGTAAAGGGAACGCGACGACCACGGTGGACTTTTTCGCTGGGTGGGAAAGGGCTGCTGAGGCTGCCCGAGAATGCATATCGGTGGAGTTTACCGGTGTGGTCAGCGTGCATGGAGAACGGGCCGGGGTGCACCAGTTGGAGATCGAGTGCCTGCCAGGGCTCTTTGGTGCCGCTGTATGCGCCATGGTCGTACCATATCGACACTTCCCACGGCCGCTCAGGCAGTGATGTTGAGGATTCTAAAATAACAGTGAAGTTGAACTGTATAGACCAGGTTAGTCAGCGAACGAAGTCCTGGTATTTTTGTCGGGGCGGTGCGTGGGGCGGAGATGGCAAGCCGGGAAAAATGTGGCGTTCGGTTGAGACGAATGGGGAAAGGAAAACCAAGTAACGGACCTGCTTACGACTGGGAGGAATAATCGACGCCTGGGCCAAGGGAGGGTATGTGACGATGTGCGCAAAAAGCGCCATCTGCGCCGGGCGGTAGAACTTGATCTGTGAGGGCTTCTTGTCTGGGGTTGTAGCAGGGGGAGTGAGAATGGAGAAAGGAATAGAAATCGGATCATGGGCCCAAGAAGATGAAGAAGAAGCGGCAGCCCCAGCAGGAGCCCCAGCCCCAGCAGCAGCAGCAGCAGTGGACTCGCTAACGGCCGACATGATGGCGTACCAGTGGAGGAGACTTGTCCGTGGCCCTGGTGTGGCAAATGCAGAAAGGTAAAGCTGGAGCACAGGTGCAGTGTTGGGATATCATAATGACAATGATTGCACCGAAGAATTACATCGCCGGGGACGTTGGGGTCCGTCCAATCAAGCCCGACATGGGCTGGATAAGCACCCAGCTTTTCCGCTGGGGGTTTGGGACAGGCTGGGGCGCATGGGCGCAGGGGCGCAGGTACCAATACGGCCATGCGCATGTGAAGAACGTACCAGGTAAACAGCCGCACGCTGAGCCCGAGAAACGCCCGTGTCTACTTCTAGCTCGTGTCAGAAAGCATCAACCACAATATGCCTGCCGCAATGCCTGTCGCAGTGCCTGCTACCCAGTTCACCACCCTGCTGCAACATTGAAAGAGTTGGGGAAGACTCATGCTACTGGTAGCTACATACTCCCCCACCTTTTCTTCATTGCTGCCCCGCTTCGTTGTGAAAAGTCGCTCCGGATCACACGGAAGTTGTCCTATACCATCCCTCTTCAGTCGTGGCCATAAAAAGCCTTGAGCTCGTCGTCTTCCTCGTCGCTGCCCATCTCCACCCCACTGTCCACCATCTCGGCGGAAGGGACCTCTGAACCAGCCACACCCTTGTCGCGAGGGAGTTGGTGCACCAGATACTCCACCGGCGCGCGTGTCTTGGTCTCGAGAACTTTTTTCATATGCTCCTGTACTTCTGGCAGTGTCCGTGCTGCCCGTGCTATCGTCTCAATCGTCCGGTGCTGATTCGCCCGCACTGAGATGGAGATTGGCTGATAGTACTCGACATCCGCTTTCCACTTGACGGCAGTTACTGTATCCTCGTCCGAATTACCCTCGCCGAGAGCCGCACTGATCTCGGATCCGGGCCGTACAACGAGGAATGATGCCATCATTTCAAGTCCGCCATAGCGAAGATCCAGTGCCGCATAGTCGGGGAAAAGGAATCGGTCCGTCGAGGTCCCTTCCCCATGGAATTCCACCACTATATGCTTGATGATGGCTTCCATCCGAGGGGGTGCGTACGCCGGGAATTGAGTGGGCGGGCGCGAAGCTTGTGTGCTGTAGTTGGACGACGGAGCAGTAATGGCCGCGGGCGTCGCCGCAGCTGGTGAACTGGCAGCCCGCGATGCTGCCGTAGCAGTCGTTGCCACTGCGGCTCCTGCTGCGTGCTGTGTTGCTGGACTTGCTGCTGGCTGCGTAGGACCTTCTTGCTTCGGCAATGGCTGAACGGCTGGCTGGTTTGCTGTCGCTGTCGGCGGCGGTTGTTGTTGTTGCTGTGGCGTAGCCCGTTGTGCCTGCTGCGCCTGCTGTTTCTCCTTCGCCGCTTTCTCAGCTTCCTGCTTCTTGACAACTGCGTTGAATTCGTCAATGTGTTTCTGGAACTCCTTCAACTGTTCCGCTGTTGCCTTAGATGTGGCAACAACTTTCATCAATTCCTTTAGCTGGGGATCAGTTGCTGCCCTCGCCGCCAGCATTTGTATGACAGGATCCGAATTCATTTTGGACGCCGGTGCCGGCGCCTGAATGGTTTGCTGAGTTGGTGGATTACCCACTGGCGTCGAAGGGGCCGGCGATGCAACTACAGGTTGCGAAGCTGGAGCCGTACTTTCCTGTTTCACCACTGGTGTGCTGACCGGTGCCACACTTGGTTGCTGCGGTGTTGGAGGATTCGGGGGCGCAGGTGAAGTACTCGCTGTTGGTGTGAAGGGTGTGGTAGGGGGTCCCATCGCTGCTATGCCGGAAGCTGGAAGCTTGGGTGTATGTTGATTTGGATGTTTGTAGTAAGAAGGCGCCGGAGCCGGTACGGGAGCCTGCTCGCGGACTGTGTAGAAGGTGACGTCAAACTTGTGAGGATCGATGATTATTGTGCCATTGCCCAATTTTGTCATGGACTTCGCGTCTGGGTTGTTCGGCGGTTGCTCAACTACACCCTTCCTCTTGACCGGCTTGACCCAGTATTTCTTGAAAATGCCATCCGACAGCCATTGCATGCGTGACCGGTGAAGTGAGGCAGCTAGTATAGCGCTCTCTGCCACTGACTGGTAGTCCTTGGGTGACAATTTGGAGGCTTGCTTCTGCTTAGTTACTGGTAGCGGTTTGGAATTGGTCACTTTCGTTGGCAGGATATCCTCGACGGGCGGCGTCGAAGTTTCTCGAGGAGTGGACGTCCTAGCCGTACTCGTCCGTTTGGTGTATTTTCTCTTCGGTTTCGTATCAGAAGCAGGACTTGCGGGTTTGCCTGCAGCCACTGCTTTCTTTGCCGTAGAGGGCGGCGCAGGAGAGTATCGTGCTCGCTTCACCGTAGATTCTCTTCGCTCTCTCGACGGCTGAACTCTCTTCGCACGTGTCGAGTCCGCCATCGTGTTGTCCGTGATTCAGTCAGTTGCCTCAGGCTGGCGTGCGCATGGTATTATGCGCACTTCTAGTGAGGAACGGATGGAAGACTGACCAGGATTCCTCGAGCATTGACGGCACCTGGACCGTACGGTGGATTTAGCGGCAAAATGGCTTCATTCAGCTCGCCACAGCAACGTAGCCATATCGGCAACGGCGATTGACGATATCATGCCACCTTGACAACCAAAGTTTCGTGACTGTGATCAACTTCTGTCATACGTCTGTTGATCGCTATATATCTATATCATCTACTACCGACCTTGGAAACTTCCTCAAAGGACAGGACCGTGGCTCAGTTGCGTTGTATTGCTCTATCATGAACTGATCCAGAGAGAGCGGCTCAAACCCATCACGCCGTCTGCAAATCTGATCTCCAATATGGGCCTCTTGTCGAGAGCGTACTGGACGCTAGCGGCCGCCGGGGCAGCGTATGTGCTAGCCTTGCTGGCACTGACACACCCTTCAACACAGAGGGCGGCGACCTATGCTCATCTCGTGAATCCGACCTACTGGCAGAATCTCTCCGATGTCGAGAACTTCGGCTTCCTTCGGGGTCAAGTCCAGCCCTTTACTGTGAAGACGCCCGACGACCAGACGATATACTGTTGGCATGTACTGCCACTCCATCTCTACAAAACGTCTGAGACCTCGCCAAGGACTCAACAGCCTGTTGTCGAGGACTACTCGGTTGCGTCAAGGCGCCCGAACCTTCGACTGCTTCTCGAGGATCAAAATGCAGTCCTTGTAATCTTCTTCCATGGCAATGCCGGCCACCTCGCGTCCGCTCACCGTGGCCCAACCTACCAGAACTTTCTCTCTCTGTCTACGCCGGAGCGGCCGATTCATGTCATTGGCTTCGACTATCGCGGCTTTGGGCTGTCGACAGGATCGCCAACAGAAGAGGGTGTGACGCTGGACGCAATCACGCTTCTCTCGCATCTGACCGGCCACGATATGCCATTCTCGGTTACAGACAGCACAAATGCGGCTCTTCAATCTCTCAAGACTACCAACAACACCATTTCTCCCGATCGCATTGTTCTGGTCGGCCAGTCCATGGGCACTTTTGTCTCCACGGCAACCTACCATGCTTGGACAGCGCAGCTGCAACGCCCGGCTCCACGAGCTCTTGTTCTTTTTGCCGGCTTTACGTCACTCACTAAATTGTTGGACACGTATAGCATCAAAGGCCTGACGCCTCCTTTGCTCTCTCCGCTGATTGCCTGGCCGTACGCGCAGACTTGGTTCCTTTCCAGGATTCACGACAAATGGGATACCCAGTCGCGTCTCGTTGAATTGGTCCGAGCACCCGACATTCCACTTGACCTTACGATCATGCATGCAAGGGACGACTGGGAAATCATGTGGGGCAACGGCCGAGGCAACTGGGAGGCAATTCTAGACGCAGTGGGCGAAAAAGATATCTACACAGAGAAGGTCAAGACTGGTGAGCTCTCTTGGTCGAAGCTGAGATGGGATGGTGGTGGGGAGGCTGGCACGAAGGTGGTGAAGTGGGAGTTGATGGAGAGAGGTGGGCACAACAGACTCACCACGAGTGAGCAAGGGAAGTTGGCAGTGTGGGGTGCAATTGAAGGATGGAAAGATAGCCAAGCTGTCGACTGAGAGTCCTCCCGACGTGAGGATCCCACCATCTCGGATGGTTAGACTGTTTCTCAAGTGTAGGAGAATATAATTTCACAGCATGTTGAACAATCAGTGAGTACCACTTACCACGTACCAGGATCGACCCCTCTCGCGGCAACAACAACATTCCCTTACCCACTTGAAACCACATCTAGACCGCCAAAAGCCCTCAGACCACCACCCAGCACCTGACGCCCCTTGTCAATTGCAAATGAAGCGCCTCTGACTGGCCGCCTTCGCGGAGGAGGCAACTCTCTCTTGGCGCTCCACCCAGTCCACCAATCACCGCGCCGTCATTGTCATCACCTCCGTCATGCACTCAGCCTCGCCAGAATCTATATATTGAGGGCAACCGCCACTCGTCCGACAGTCGTCAATTCCTCTTCCACCAAAAACAACAACAACATCAAAGTCAAAACACTCAACCTCACCAACCCTCTTACCCAACCACGTCTTCATTCCCAGACATCACCACACAAACCCGCCCAAAATGGTCAAGCCCACCACCTGCTGCGGCCGCTCCGACTCGTGCGTCTGCGCCGAAAAGGCCACTTGCTCCTGCGGCAAGCAGAGTGCGATGAACTGCACGTGCGAGAAAAAGAATCAGGAGAATACCCTGTCGGGCGCCAGGTGTTCATGCCGTAAGTCTTTGTTTACCCTCTCCCCTATCCCCTCTTCCCATGTTCCTATATATCCTAGGCGCCGCCTAGGCCATTCATGTTGTGTGGCACAAACCCGCTGACCATAATGTTTGTAGGAGCAAGACCAGCAGGCGAATGCACATGCGACCGCGCAGCGACGGAGAACGCGGGTGTGGCGGGCGCGAAGTGCGCGTGTGGGAAGCGGAGTGAGGGGAGCTGCACGTGCGAGAAGGCGGCGGATGGGGGGTTGTTGCCTGGCGAGGTTGACTTTACCACCAAGGCTTGATGTTTGAGCGAGTGCTTAGTGAGGTGGTCTCGGCGGCGAACGCGGGGATAGCCAGTTGGAACGATTCACACGAGGCGTAAGGGAGCTTGGAGAGTGATTGAGAAAAGGTCGGCAGGGCAGAGACTGGTCACGCATAGAGGCAGTGGCCTGAGCTGCGAAGTAGTTGGAGGCGATAAAAGCCTCAGCTTCATATTCTGACGACGAGAAATGAATACCCTTTAAAGTTAGCCTGCTGCCCCTACGGTGCGCATCGCTGGAAGTGCCGCTTGCTACGCCGCTTGCTACGCTGCCCTTGATATGTGGTGTACGCTGAGATGTTGGCGGTCTCCAATCCGTCCCATCTAGACCAAACACCTGCCAAACCAACGCCGAAATGGCATGACACTGAGGTTCGGCCCAGCATCGCGAATTTGCCTCGCCGCATCTTCCTTTCGTTGTCTCTCTTTCTCACGTCCTCCATATCTCCTTGATACACCGAGCAACTTGGAAGATGTGAAACCCTTGCAAGACCTGACGGCTAAGTCAAAGTCGCGCCCGCCTGAAGCCTGCCATGCTCCCACCACCTGTTCGTGCCCAGAGCTGCGACTATTACGGAGCCGTTCGCGCCAGCCCTGTCGTTGCCTTCTTGTCCGCCATAAGTAGAGTCTTTTCCCAGCCCTTTCTGTATTTCCCGCTCCCGACACCCTCAACCCCTCAGTCATCCGTGCGCTTGTGTATTGCAGCTGCTCTGTTGGAGTGGAATGCGGCGAACCACCCCAAGCGTTCACAATGCTGGAGTGCCGATCGAGCTCGAGCTGGCTTGCATCGCTTGACAGTGCTGAGTTACTAGCTCGTTCAGAGCATGGACGGCAGTCAGGACGTGATCCTTGGGGAAAGCGGAAAGGGCTAGGTCAAATTACCCAGTCCCGCAAAGCTCACAGAGGCGTTGCCTGCCACGGCAAGGCAGCCATCCGAAATCAGGCAATTGCCGGGGCGCTAGTTCGAACAAGGTTTGGGACAATCCGGCCACGAGAGATTGGGGTTTTCACTGGAGGCCCGTTGATCAGGTGCTTTGCCGGGGGGATCTTCAGGTAGTACTGAACGTGCCTATGGCGGAAGCTCTTGATGAGTCGGCGTACTTGAGGTACTGAACAGGGTGTTCCTCGCCTTGGGAATCAATGGCCTTGCGCTTTAGCTGCAATGGATGGCATAACTCAACCAATCCTTCGAGCTAAAACAGATGCTCTCCCACTCAGGGCCTTTTTGGCCATTGACGATGATCAAAATGCGGGCGGACACTTCCACCAATGGAACGAATCGTCGCCTCGACAAGATGCTCTGGAACAGGCATCTTTGGTTCCTTAGTCTGAACGAGTGGTTCCGGGAAATCTGCAGCAGCTGCATTTTGAGAGAACTCCGCCTCATGAATTCCAGTCTCGTTAATCGGCGGAGACGACAGGTCGAGAGTCTTCGTGTGTTCGTGCTTCATGTGTCTCATACAAGCATCCGCCCGTGTGAATATCTTATCGCAAACCGTACATTGAGTTGATGACTGTGGACCTAAATGATATACTTCCTTATGTCTCTTCAAGTCGCGACGGGTTGCGCAGCGATACAGGCAGAGGTCGCAAAGGTACGGCCTCGTGTGTGTCTTTTCATGCTCCCTGGGCCGGGATTAGTGGCATGTATAGAGGATAGATATACCGGCGCTGCTGGACTTACCGAAGCTCACAGCCTCGTCTGAAGCTCTTGCCGCAGTACTTGCACACAGCGACCCTAGGTGATGCAACGGATGACTGTGATATTGCGCTCGCAACGGAGTCCGAGAAGGATGATGGGGACCAAGCCGGTGGAGAGCCTGAGTAGGCAGAGCCTATCTCTCCAGGAGAAGTAATCGCGTAGGATTGAGGCGTGACCAAGTTGCTTTGTTGAGCATGACTGTGAGCAGCCGACACGGGAGACAGAGGTGTGAATCCTAGCTCGGAGACAGAGGGCTCGTGGAAGCTGCTGATATTACCAAGATCATTCACGTCACTCACGAGTCCATTTAGGGGCCGTGATTGTAGGTGAGCGGCTGCTGCGGCAGGCTCATCCCAGTTCTGTACAGGAAACGGTGTGGCATTGAAGCCCGTCCATAGCGCAGAGTCCAGATGCACGTCGTCTAACACGCACTGGTTAAAGAATTGAGGCTCAGAGTCCAGATCTGAAATGGCGGCCGGGTCGAAAGCGAACTGATCAAACCCCAAGGTTGATGCTTCGAATGCCGATGACGGACCGACTGCTGACCCAGGAGGAGGTCCATGGAGTGCCTGCTGATTAGGTCGCGGTGCTAGTCGTCTCTGTCCGCAATCAGGGGGCAGGTGGTTAGTGGAAGTGCGCCGCATTTTTTGGGATGTCAGTTCAGGGCGTGGTGGCAGTCCGTGGCTGCGGACACCGGTTTTAGAGGCACCATTACGAAAGATATCTGTGTCAACAGATTGAAGGCTCGATGTTGAGCAGTAGCACCACGCTAGACAGCCCTGTAATCCATCGCGACCAATACATAAACTCGAAGAAAGCCATAGTAGTCCGGAAAATAGAAGGGTAGTCTGCACAAGGCATGCTCATTGGTTCGAGGCTGCCAAGACAAGGGGTGGCCCAGTGTATGCATCGAAGGCTAGGTGATGTTAGGATAGCGTCTGGACATACAGCCAATGACTAGCTATGTATCCTCGACCGCAACGTCAGCAGCATAAGGTGGCTCAGCTTGGAGATGTCAGTGGTTTTTGTCGAAGCTGTCCATATAATTTGTGCCAGATTGGACGATGATCATTGTTAGTGATGGCGTGACCTCTGGCTGATCCTGCTGCAGTAAGACCATGTGCTGGCATGGTCCCAAGCAGCTTTCGCAGCAACCGACTTCGTGAACCACTTCGGCACTGATTCCGACAGCCGAGGGTATCGTGAAGCCCGCTGTCCAGGACAGGATTGGGGAGGCATGTTCCCAAGCAGCAAGAAATTCTGGTGAGGAAGGAGGACGGCCACACCCTGATATATACGTCTGTGGGCCTGAGTTTTGCCTTCAAGTTCTCTGGAAAGGACCCGCACCACCGGTGTCAGATAGAGGACCTACTCACCGGTCGGGACTCCTGGGAGAATTCTGTGATCAGAATGAGGCTGACACGGACCAGGGACGGCTTGTTTGACCGCAAGCACGCCGAGCATGCCTGAACAAGGCATCGAGTTTGAGTTCAACTCGTACTTTGAGAGCGAACAGGAGCTCGCACTGTCATGAGGCTCAGCGTGACGCAGCTCACGCCCAGTGTCGTAAGGATGGCAGGGGGAAGCTATTCCGCATGCATGTGAGCTGCACAAGGTGGCCCTGTGTTTGCAGTAGTGTTATGCAGCCACGGCTAAAGGACCACCCAATGATTGGCATATTTGAATGATAGCGAATCCTCGAATAGTCGGCGCGTCAGAAATCTGTCCAATGAGCTGTAATTACATCGTCTTTTGCGGGTCACCGTGAGGCTGATTCCAGGTGGTGAGCTTGCAGACGCCGAGCCACCTTGCATTAGCATGCGCTGCTTGAGACGGTCCGGAACTTCAAGCCTCTCGTGTTCGGACACAGATTGGCGGAGGGATTGTGGGTGGCCTTCTATAGGGATTTGACGTGCAACTGATTTGCTTGTCCGCGTCCATGGTCGGAGACAGGTTCGCTGAGGCTTGTCGTCTTGGACAAGCCCGACTCGCGCACCGTGACTGCGCCAAGAGTTCAGCCTGATCAGGTGATTTGAGCCTCAACAACTCACGTGACCCAGCCTCGTGTACCTCGGCTCATACGCGAGCACCGCCAACGCTGCTGATAGATTGCATAAGCTGGGTTTCTAGCGTGTGTGCTATTATATTTCGAACCGGTGACCGTCGATTGCCATAGCTACATGCAGGTGAGCCGGTGATCAGCATCTTCCGTCGCTGCCAAGTGGGTGAAATTGGAGACGTCACATTCTCGGTCGGAGGGCAACGTATTCTTCCATGTTGCCGTGATGTAAAGCATTTTCCTTTCGGGACAACTACTACGTAGCTAACTCGTTGTATCTGCCTCGACTGACACTTGTATGGTCACTACCTCTGACTCACTCTATACCAGAGAAAAAATATACGCTCCAATTGCCACGCAAGACGATCTCTATCAGCAGTCACCCCAACGGTAGATACTTCATGTGCTGTCCTTGCAGCGAGGGTCAGGATGTCACAGACGCAAGTCGAGCACACCGAGCTGAGGACTATGCCCCAACGGCCTTCTCAAAACAACACACCTGAAGTTGTCATGCGCTCGGCCAGCGATGACACCACGGTTGACGGTCTGGCCCCAGTAGACAGAGGATGGCCTGCTTGGAAAATGCTCCTCTCAGCATTCCTCTTCGAGTCACTCTTCTGGGGTAGGTCGACATCTACCGATCTGACCACTGCAGGCTGACCAGCGTTCTAACAGGGTTCCCATTATCTTTCGGTGTCTTCCAGAATTACTATTCCCACCAACCCGAGTACGCCAACCAGCCATACGTTTCCGTCATCGGCACCGTCGCCTCCGGCATCTCATACATGGGAGCCCCCATCATCATCCCCTTCCTCAAACGTGCACACAACCACCGCACCAAAATGATCTGGGGAGGTTGGGCCCTCGCCATCATCGGCGTGCTCGGCAGTTCCTTCTCCAAGTCCCTCGGCGCCATCATCTTCACGCAAGGCGTCATGTACGGCGTCGGCTTCACCGTGTTCTACTACCCTATTATTGGAATGGTGAACGAATATTGGGTCGCCCGCCGGGGCATGGCCTACGGACTCCTGTGCTCCGCGTCCGGCGTCTCGGGCATCATCTTCCCCTTCAGCCTCGAAGCCATGCTCAACAGGTACGGCTCGGCCACCACGCTCCGCGCCGTCGCCGTCGGCCTCACCGTCACCACCGCCCCCCTAATCCTCTTCATCAAAGGCCGCCTGCCCCACACCACAGCCACCGAAACCCATCTGAGCAGCACAACAGACTACGCCTTCCTCCGCCGCCCCCTCTTCTGGATCTACACGGCCTCCAACCTCGCCAACGGCCTCGGCTACTTCTTCCCGCCCCTCTACCTCCCCTCCCACGCCTCCTCGCTCGGGCTCTCCACGCGCGCCGGCGCCATCCTCCTGGCCCTCATGTCCATCGCGCAGGTCTTCGGCCAGCTCTCCTTCGGCTACCTCTCCGACCGCCGCCTGCCGCTCAACGCGCTAATCCTGACCTCAACGCTCGTCACCTCCGCCGCCGTGCTGGCGCTGTGGGGCCTGGCGCGCAGTTTTGCCGTGCTGAGTGTCTTTGCTGTCATCTACGGGTTCTTTGGGGCTGGGTATACGGCCATGTGGGCAAGGATGGGTACGGCGGTGGCGGGGGACGCGACGGCCGCGTTTGCGGCGTTTGGGCTGTTTAATTTTGGGAAGGGGCTGGGGAATATCTTTGCGGGGCCGATTAGTGGAGGGTTGCTGATGAGGGAGGTGGATACGAGCAGGTATGGTGCTGCGAAGTACGAGGCGATTGTATTGTTTTCGGGGTCCTGCATGCTTGCTAGTGCAGTGTGCGCCGCGGGTGCGTGGCTCAGGCCATGGAAGACAGCCACTGCGTAGGAGGACTTCGATTGTGATACCAGCCGCACTGGGTCGTGAAGCTATCATACTAGCAATAAAGGTATGTGACTATCTTAGTAATGATCAATGCGCCATGTAGTCTTTGCACCAAAAGTCATAGTCCCCATAAGCGATTGCTTGAGTCGTCCATCCGTCCATGTCTATCGTTTGCTGCAACGTCTCTGGTTTATGATGACCGTGAGATCACGGGACCAAGTCTATTGTCGACGTAGACCTTGCCGCATTCATGGCAGGTATCATCTGCCTTCGGCCGACCGCTGAGAATGTCCACCGTGTCCCTCATGGGGAACCAGAATTCGCTCTTTGGGCGCCTTTCCTTCCAGTTGGTTTGCGTAGCTTCCAGTCCATCCGGTCCACCCAAAGGACTGAAAACCACCTCGGATCCGAGGATGCCGATAACGACAGCAGACATGGGGTCATCAGCACATGCCTGTTTGGTGACGCCGGTAAATTTGTCCTCGAGGTATTCCATGCACTTGATGGCCATCCGCAGGGATCTGATTCGGTCCATCGGCGACGGCTTACCACCTTGTTGATAGTGGCCTGGATTGGCGGCACGTGATTCGAAACGACCGCGAGCTTCCTCTTTGATCATGTCAGCAATGAGGTTGGTCGTATATGTTTCGCTAGCTTTCTCGTTGCGAAGAATGATCTTCCCGGCACGGGACGCTCCCCGATCGTTGCGGAAGTTCTCGCGAAGGTATTCGATATCTCGAGCAAGCATATGGAGATTGATACCCTCTTCTGGAGTGTAGACAGCAAGGGCACCGACAGCAAGCCCAGTCATCGTTGCCAGATAGCCCGATCGGCCACCGTGGGTTTCAATGACGAATACGCGGCGGCGAGACGAGGAGGCTGACTGGCGAATGTTGTCGCAGAACTCCAGAAGAGTATTGAGGCAGGTGTCGCTGCCAAGTGAGTATTCTGTGCCAGGAACATTGTTGGACACTGTAGCCGGGAGTACAATCAGGGGAATCTTGAACGAGTCGTATTTCTCACGGCCCTTGCGAATTTCACTCGCCGCTGCGAAAGCCTCGAACCCTCCGACAAGCAATAGAGCATCGAACTTATACAGCTCGAAACACTTGGCGGTCGTCTCAAGGTCGTCACTAGGGAGACCACGGTTTGTACCAATCTCGGACCCACCTTCATTGACCCATGGGTCAGCATCGAGCCATTTGACTTCTCGTACAGAACCCAAGGGTTGATCCGCATGATGGCGCTGAAGACCTGGGAATCCATTGTGGATGGCAATGGGGGTGTGCCCTCTTGTCAGGCAGTAAGCGACTGCGGCACGGGTTGCGGGGTTCATGCCACCTGCTGGTGCACCAACATGGACGATAGCAACGCGCATACGTTGATTCTCGGGCAGCCGGAGTTTGGGGCTGTCTGTTGAGATGGTCATCAAGTAACTTTCGAAGTAGTCACTGAACTCGACGTCTCGTAGATGCATGGCTCGGTCAAAGTCTTTGGCCTCAATGGCCTTGGCCACCGACTTTGTCAGGGCGACGCAATCCATGAGATTAGATCTCTCGATCTTGTTTTCTCGAATGGTGATGACTGGACTGGGAGTCTCCGGGGTAGCCTCGAGAACAGCATTGACCGCCTCGACACCCTGCATAGTGGACAGCCAGCGATCGTAGAAGCACGCCGTGCCACCTCTCTGAGTGTGACCAAGAACTGTGACACGAGTATCGAGGTTCAGGCGATTGGCAAGGACGTCGTTCACCTGTTTGGCTGTGATCTTGTTTAGGTTTTCATCACAAGCACCCTCGGCAATGATGACAATGGACCTTCTCTTTCCGCGGGATCTGTGCTTGGTGATGATGTTGCACATCTGATCTTCCCAGCCCGCCGAGGGAGGCTTTTCGGGAATAAAGACGTAGTCTGCGCCAGTAGCGATGGCAGCCATGAGAGCAAGCCAGCCACAATGTCTGCCCATGACCTCGACGACAAAGCCTCGTTGATGAGATGCCGCAGTATCAAAGACTGAGTCGACGGCATTGCAGATTTGGCCGAGTGAGGAATAGCAGCCAATGGTCGCGTCGGTGCCGGAGAGATCATTGTCGATAGATCCCACCAGGCCGACAATGTTGAGGTGTTTGTAGGGTTCAATATCCTGTGCGTTGAGCTCTCCCGCCTTGACCAACTCTTCAATCAAGCTGGGCCATTCTGAACGGAACTTGTCAGCACCTGTCAGACTGCCGTCACCGCCGCAGATGACTAGAGCATCAATGCCTTTCAGGATCATGTTCTTCGCTGCCTTTAAGCGGCCAGGACGTTCCATGAAAGCCTTGCAACGAGCGGTACCAATGAGTGTTCCACCTTTTGAGAGATAGCCTCGGACGTCCTCCCAATGCATTGGCGAGATCATGTCGCCGCCGTTGACCAGACCTTCGTATCCCTCATGAATGGCGTAGGCTTCGCAACCCTTGTAAATAGCAGTGCGGACAACTGATCGAACGACGCCGTTCATGCCAGGTGAGTCGCCTCCACTGGTCATGACACCGATACGGCGCTTCTTAGGAGGTGGAGGGGCGCTTGCCGCCATGTTTGTGGTTCGTAGGGTAACTTTTCAAGGTATGTTGAGCGTGGTGTGATTTATGCTGGAGCAGATATTGAAATCAGCTTGGTTTGGTGAGGTTAGGAAGGGGGAGAGAAAGGTAGGGAAAGAAGCAATATATATGTCACCGGCTCCAGACAGGCATAGGTTGGCAGGTGTTGAGAGATAAAGAGACTGGTAGTGTGGTGTGAACTCAGTGGCATCCCACTCGCAATTGCAGTGCTGAGCAGCATGCCCCGCGTGCCCATGTCATTCGCTCGCCTCTTTTTGACTTCACCACTCGGCTAAGTAGCTGTTCTGGGAACTTGGCCTTGTTAGCGTCATGTGTCCAAGACGCTAGTGACAGGGCTGAACTCTCTGCCTTTAAGCGCGGTATTAATTCAACCTTGCTCAATAACATCACGTCACCTTTAACCTCAAGGACGATGTCGACCAAGATCCGAGTGCCGGTGGACATTCCACAGGGCGATGCCGCAACTTCTGGAGATCTGTCAGTCAGGATTAACCAAATATTCGTTCAAAAGGGCCCCTTCCGGAATATCACCGAGCAGACTGTAGCTCTTGATCCAGACACCGACGAGGATGACTCGCCCACGGATCAAGAAGATGACGCCGATAACGAGACCAGAGAGGAGCGTCTTGAAGTGTTGGCCAAGTCTCGAGAGGAACTGTACGCGGAGATTCACCGAGGGACTCTCCAATGCAACCAGGCTCTCGACTTCATCTCCTTGTTCTTGTCAAAGCACTCCAGAGCAGCACAAGGCACCTTTTCCGACACTCTCCGACAGTCCATGAAACCTGGAATGTTCGATAGTCATATTCTCGAGGATGCCCGGTACGCGCCAACCATCAGACCTGTGGCAGAATTGTCCAAAGGATGGAGGACCGAAGGTTTTGCATCCGCGTCAAACGCGCTTACCTCTGCCTCTGAACGCCTGAAGAAAGAGTCGCAGCGCCAGTCTTCGTTCTGGCAACAGGTTGCGGATGTGGGTCAAGAAGGCTGGAAAGTGTGTCGTCATCCGAGAGATCGTCGTGCCATGGGTGTCCATTTTGGCATGACTGAATCAGCTCCTCAGTTTCGCAATCAAGGCTTTGCGAAGCTGTACCAAGATTCTGAGTCGGATGTTCACCTAGCACGTCAAGTAGCGCCGAGACGAGTATCTGTTACCGTCTCTCGGGGTGGACGCGAAACGGGAAGGCACAGCCCTGCTACTACGCACTCGGAGCAAAGATCGCCGGCGAATCGAGAACTAGTGGAAGCACGTGACAGCTTGATTGATGAAGAGCTCTTTTTTGAGCTCGGAAGAGAAGCCAGATTGGCTGCAAATCAGGGCTTCATTACCAGAGGAGAAGATATCGAGTTCACAATCGACGAACAATACACTGTAACGCTGTCGCTCACGCCAAGCAGAGCCGAGACTGACCCAAACGACTTCGACAACGATCTAGCTCAATACATCGGCTTGTCAATACGCAGCCTGCTTTGTCAGGCTCATCATGAATCCAGAATTCGAAGAGCTCACCCACCACCACCAATCTCTATGCGACCTGCGCATCTGCCAGAATATGCCATCCTCAGACCGCTGGTTGCGGCGCTCAAACAAAGCATCGCAAGTCCAGCAGCCCGAAAACATCTCGATGACTCCGTCATTGGCCCACTCAGGCGAGCAGGTATCGATCTCGAATTTGCCGAGGCCGAGCCCCAGGAGTCAGATCTCCCTCATCAGACTCATTCGATGCTTACTACCGGACTTCAACAATCTATCTACACACTGAAGCTACCGACCGGCATACAACATAACCTCAAAGTGACATCGTACCTAGGTCGGCCAATATACGGCACTGTATATGAGGTCGATGACGCCAAGTACGACAGCATGAAGCACTTCGTTACCGTCATCAACGATCTTGTGACCCGTGACATTACGGCATTTATCGCCAAGGAAATATACACCGAAAAGAGACGTTGGCATATTGTCGACGCATACAAAGGTGATCTCGCATTGGATTTTGAAGGTGGCGGTCAAACGCCTTGTACGTTGCGGGTGGGCCTGAAAGGCGGCGTTCTATTAGCCAAGCTTTCCAACGAGCAACCCATGTCTTGGAGGTCGACCTCCGTGGACGTCAAGTCGTTGATGGATACCATTCGTGACAACATGCCGAAGGATTAGATGACAAACGGGCATCATTTCGAAGCCCTCGAAAGAGGTCACATTCGCGCTCTGGCGCGATGCCAGACTCACAGCATCGTCATCTCAGAGGTACGAATTACCGACAACTGCCAAGTCACCTCCTCAACGATCGACCCATTAGCACACCTGCGAGTAATCATTTAGCTTGTACGGATGCGTACAGAATTAGCGCGACCGCAAGGCAAGTTACAACCTCCATCCAACAGCCTCTTCTCCCACCCGTCACCCCAACAAAACCCACGGACCAAACTCATCTCATTCACCCCCCCGAATCCCTCACCCCTCTCCGCCCTCCGCCCTCACCTACCGCTTCGTCGTCATGGCTACATACGTCCCCGACTGCCCATCAAACTCAAACCCAGCCAACGAATCAGCCGACGCGTGCGGCTCGCGGTAGAACAAACCGCCCGCCAACGTCCACGAGCACGGGCATCTGGCGCACGTGTAGCTGCTTCGTGTCGTGCTCGCCCCTTCGTGCCGCGCGTTGACCCACGAGCTGGCGCTGTCGCGGCGCAGGATCTGCTGCGCTGGAGTAGGCGCAGACGCAGACGCGCCGTTTATGTCGGGACTCATGGCTGGTGGTTTGTGTGGCGTGGCCACCACAGCCGGCGTCTTTCTGCTGGTGAGGACGGACAGGCCGAGCATTGTGCGGGCTTTGCTCCAGAAGCTTGGTGTGGGAGCAGAAGTTTGAGTTTGGACTGGTGTACGCGCTGGCTGTGTGCAGGTCACTGCTGCTGCCTGAGCTGCTGGAGTCGACATTGGGGCTGGATCTTGATGGATATTTAGATACAGTATCCCCCCTTGCGCGTAAGAGGAATGATGGAAGGCGGGCTTGGAAGCGCGAGGCGATGAGACGGCGCTTTATCAACTATCGATTATCGATGCTGGTCGTTTGGGTTATCCGTTTGCCTTTGCCACGAGTGCGGTGACGAACGCGAGCGGGGACTGACTGGTGGCGCGTCTGCTGTAAATCGCACTCTCGGATGTCTGTGGGCGAACTGCCGTTGGGTCAGCGCAAACCGTTTGGTGCTGCTTTCACTGGCCCTCCCTGCTCTTGTCCGAGCTAGATGATATCTTGGGGTGGGCGCTGCACGTATCGCGCAGCGCGAGTTCGTCAGTTTTGCTGCTTTCGGCGTGAGAAGCGTGGCAATGGTTTGCCTGCGCCGCTACCTCACACGCAGTCTTGCCTCGCGCCTTGAAAGCGCGTGTCGCTGATGTAAGGGGGCATAGACTCAGAATCTATCACGAATGAGGAGCGTGGATGAATTCATCTTCCATAGCTTCGGGTCTGGTTGCTGATCATTTTTTGGATCGTGTGCGAGTAGTCCAGGACAATTTATTGTCTTGATTAGGTGTAAAGGTACAGTAGCTACAGATTGATCTTGCAGAACAGTACTATATGCTGGAATTCTTTTCACCATCATACGCGTGTGCGAGCGTCTATTGTTGTCTCGGGGCCGTGGTGCAATGAGCGGACAGGTGTTGTTGCGGATGCTGCTGCCGCTCAAGGGTCACAGCCGTTATATCCCTTTTGTTGCATCATACGCACGCGCTTGACGACCATCTCTCCCCCTCCTTCCCACGTCGGATACCATGTATCGCGAGCATTCCAAAAATCCTTTCTCGGAGTCTTGCTCGAGTCGACCCAGGGTTTATCGCTCTTCCCGTCTTCGAACCAGCCATTCGTGCCCCCCACGGCGACGTTGAGGATGAGATAGAAGTCTTGGTCAAATGGTCTGGAAGGCATGGGTTTGCCGCCGTGGTACCACGGATCCCGCAGCTCGGTGCCGTTGGTCTTGTCGTATGTCGGAAATTTGCCCCGATCCCAGAGGCTGGTCCCGGGTTCGAAGTCGACGTACATGACCTGCAGGAGGCGGGAGTCGACATAGGTGAAGATGTAGCGCTCGCTCCACTCAACGCCGAAGGTGTGGAACTTGCTGGAGTAGGTGGTGTGAAGAGCACTGCGCTTGTTGTTGGTGCGCCACCACGCGTCGTGTGCTGGGTTGGGTCCCCAATGAAGTGCGGAGGAGACGATGTTGTTTCCACCTTGGAGATAGGTGTGGTTATTGCCTCTTGACTCTACAATATCGATTTCGCCTGACTGTGGCCAGACGCCGTAGGCGGAGTTCTTTGGGAGGAGCCAGATGGCAGGCCAGAGCCAGTCGCCTCGAGGGAGCTTGGCAGTGACTTCAATCCGGCCATACTTGATGGATCTGGACTTTGAGGTACTGATACGGCCAGATTTGACAGGTGGTACGATAGTTCCGTTTGTAGTGTTAGTCGAGATGAGGCAATTGGACCATACATCAGACGTGCAAACGCCGTCTTTGCGAAGATCGATTACGTTGTTCGTCTCGATCAGCTCTGGATCCTGAAGTGTTGGTTTGATGTGTAACATGCTGTCTTTGACGAAGACGTTTTCATCTGTTGACGTTGTCTGCTCGAATTGTCCGTTACCGAAGCCTCCGACTTCCGCCTCTTTCAACCAAATTTGACCATCAAGACCGTCAGTGAAGCTGTCGTCGAGGATTGTGCAATATTCATGGTCCACAACTGTGAGCAAGCCATCCCAGACGAGCAATGCCGACAGTGCCAGACCGATAAGGATGCCGACTAGAGGAATGAGAGACACCCATTTCTCTTTGGAATCTTTAGTTTCGTTCCAGGGCTGTGAGACTTCACCCTTCTTGACGCGCCGAGATCGGAAGTAGTTCTTGGATGCTTGGACCTGCTGCAGCTCCACGAACGAGGAGAGTCTGGAAGGGACGTGTGACTCGTACGGGGTATCGAAGGGGCCCTTCTTCTCCGCGAGCTTTGCCGAAGCCACTTTGATGCTTGGTGGCCTTTCTGGATTTACTGGTGCAGTAGTGATAGCGTCTACACCACTGTCTGTAGCGGTCGACGTAGCTGATGCCGGAGCTCGCGTGTATGCCGGACGTTTAGAAAGGGCCATGCTGTACTTGAAGCCTAGATGCCGCAAGTGGGAGCTAAAGGGAAAGAGAAGCTTTGCTGGGACTAATTGGCACAGGGCAAAGTGTTAGTGCATTGATCCTGATGAAGATGCTTGTTGAAGGAGAATTCCTCGTCATTCCAATTACAGCGCCCCTTAAGGCAGGTACAGTAGCAGCTGAGGACACCGTCAATTGCTGTTTCGGGTTCAGTGTTCGAATTTGGCCTGATACAAAGGGCTCCTAAGATCGATGGCCTGAACGGCCCGGAGATTAAGCACAGCATTAGCAAGATTGACTCGAATAGATCTGTATCCATCGAACGGGTTGAAGACGTTAGCATAAGCAGCGTCCACATTTATGGGTACCTCGCACGACGAGCGACAGACGAAGATGGAGTGAGGGGAGAAGGCATCCAAAGGTCCTGACTGAACGACGTCTCGATGAACCCAGGAGCTAGTACAGAAACAGACTAGCGTTATTTGTATCTCAACCACGTCCGTCTTGAATCTTCAGACTCTTCTCCTGTCCCGCCAAACCTACCCTCCGCCTACCAGGATTATCTCCGTCCCTTCATAAGGTCGCTCGTGTCAAGTATATGACTCTCGTGTCAACGTGCTGCGTGATTACTGCACAGTCGAGAAAGCCGCAAACATATTGCTGTCCCTGGCAGCATGGCCTGTTATGATTTTGACGTGCCACCCGCTAGTGTGGAGAGCACCGGCAACCGCTTCGGTCGTATCATGCACTATTGATCTTGCTCCGAGACCGTCAGGTAAGGTAACTCGGCTCGCTGACGCTGCACTTGCGTCAATAGCCCAATAACGCCGAGCTCAATGGCTAGGGATGAAATTTCTCGAGCGTCATCCTGTCTCTCCGCGATCGCCCCCGTGGCTGACCATGAAGATCTAGATTAGCATCTGGCAAAGTTGCTGTGCCGAGCTGAAGACGTGAAGCTAGGCCGATGAGCATTAAGGCATGACCCTCGATGCAATTTTCCTCTCTTTGATAATCTGCTTTCATCTGATAAACGCTGGAACTTACTGCATATCTTACTCTGCACCAACATGTCCAAAACCTCGAGCTTCAAGGAGTCATTCGAGGGCGCTCATCCTGGTCGACCTTATCGTCCTGAGGATCCTGGCTTCTTCAAGAATTTGCCGCTTGACTTGAATCCGGTCCTACAGCTCTCACGTCCGACCACTCCACAGTCTGTTTCGCACCTGTCGATGTCAAACGAACGATCGAGCGCGCGATCACCCACAACTGGTCACAGTTCCAGTATTCCAAGCAATGACCCGCAAGCGGACATACGCTCGGTCCGCAGCACGCGCAGCCGCATCTTTGATGACATCAAGCACGAAGTCATGGTCAATCATCTCTACCAACAGCAATGTTCACAGCTTTGGATTGATCACAACAATCCCGCAAATTCAGAAGGCATTTTGTTGAGAAGGGTGAAGGGCAAATACCTGGCCTGTCCTCCACAGCTAATTCATTCGACGTTCGCTGAGGCATGCAATCAATTGAATCTGCAAGTAGCCATGACTGTCAACTCTAGAGTCATCAAGGCTTTTGTGCAGTCTTCGCCAAACAGCCACGAGGTACCCTTAAAAGAAGGCCTTCGCATTCAAATCCTGTCCAGTATGCACCAATTGCCGCATGCTCGCAAATTCCATTTTGCTGCATTCCTTGCTGAAGAAGAGCTATTGGTTGTATGGGACGACAATGCTTCGAACCTGATAAAGCGCGCTAAAGCTGTCGAAGCTGCCCTTACGGAACTTGTCTGGGGTGATCCCGCAGAGGAGAACGACGACGAAGCACAAGAAGAAAAGGAAATGTATGAGATTGATCCCGAGTCTGGCAATCCCATTGTGGAGAAGAGATCGACGAACCTTATGAACACTGTTCTTGTGGCATGTACCCTGATCGTCGTCATTGTGTTGCTCGGTCTTGCCGCGAGATCTCTCGCAATTGAAATCGCGGTCGATCGTGGCTTCATTCGCCTTGCCTTCCTGGCTCTCGTCCCCGTTCAAATATTCTTCACACTGGTAAGTATCACCGCATATAGCCTCCATCCACTAACGTATCTAGTTCTTTGCTCAAGTTATAGTTGGATGTGTCGCCCAATGTATCGGTCCCATCCAGCAGATGCAACTCAATAGCAAGTACTACTCGGCCAAACTCCCAGTGCGCCTTTGTCGGAAAGAGCTGCCACATATCACTGTGCAATGCCCCGTCTATAAAGAAGGCCTAGCTTCTGTCATAGCTCCAACTGTCCGTTCCATCAAGCAAGCAATTTCAACCTACGAGCTCCAAGGCGGGTCCGCTAACATGTTCATCAACGACGATGGCCTGCAGCTCATTCCTCCAGAGGAACGCCAGGCTCGGATCGACTTTTATGCTGACCACTCCATTGGCTGGACCGCCCGACCCAAGCACAACTCTGAGGGCTTCATCCGCAAGGGCAAGTTCAAAAAGGCGTCAAACATGAACTTCGGCTTAATGCTTTCCTGCGCCATTGAGGAGAAGCTCGCCAAATACGACCGCCCACATAATGCCTGGACCCAAAGCGACGAAGACGAAGCCTACAACTCCGCTCTCAAGGACGTCCTAGCTGAGCATCCCCGGGCTTGGGCCGAAGGCAACATACGCGTTGGCGACTATATTGTGCTCATTGATTCCGATACACGCGTGCCGGCTGACTGCCTCCTCGATGCCGCCTCTGAAATGGAGCAATCCCCCAATGTGGGCATCATGCAGTTCTCTTCAGGCGTAATGCAAGTGGTGCACACGTACTTCGAGAACGGCATCACCTTCTTCACCAATTTGATCTACACAGCCATCAAATACACAGTCGCGAACGGCGACGTGGCGCCCTTTGTCGGCCACAACGCAATCCTGCGCTGGAGTGCCATCCAGCAGGTCAGCTACGTGGACGAAGACGGCTACGACAAATTCTGGTCCGAAAGCCACGTGAGCGAGGACTTTGACATGAGCCTACGCTTGCAGTGTCAGGGGTACATCATCCGACTGGCTGCCTGGGCAGGTGAAGGCTTCAAGGAGGGGGTGTCGCTGACCGTCTACGATGAGCTGGCCCGCTGGGAGAAGTACGCTTACGGCTGCAATGAGCTGCTCTTCCACCCAATGCGCAAGTGGATCTACAAAGGCCCGTTCACAGAGCTGTTCCGTCGATTCCTGTTCAGCAATATTCGCTTCACCAGCAAGATTACCATCATCAGCTATATTGGCACATACTACGCTATCGGTGCCGCGTGGATTATGACGTTGGCGAATTACTTCGCGATTGGTTGGTTCAATGGGTATCTGGACAAGTACTACATCGACAGCTGGAAGGTGTGGTTCAGTATCGTGGTGGTGTTCAATGGACTAGGAAACCTCGCTCTAGCGGTCATGCGATATCGGATCGGGGAGAAGGGCTTCTTCCGGGCGCTGCAGGAGAACTTCAAGTGGATTCTTATGCTGTCGGTTTTCCTGGGCGGCCTGAGCTTGCACGTCAGCCAGGCACTCCTCGCGCATATGTTCGAAGTGGTAAGCCTACCTGCCCTCTTGCCACTTTGCCTAACCACCCCTGCTCCAATTTCCACAACACACCTGCACTTCCGCCCACTGTGCCCCTCCCATCCCCTGCCCCTCCTCCCACTCACACATCAACCCAGGACATGACATGGGGCGCCACCTCCAAAGAAGCTGAACGCAGCAACTTCTTCCTCGAAGTCCCCAAAGTCGTGCGCAAGTTCAAGTTCAGCATCGCCTTCTCCGTCATCGGCATCTTCGTCACTATCTGGCTGGCCGTTAACCCCGGCGGCTGGATCCCGTATGACTGGGTCATTACGGATTTCATCGCGATACTGCCCATGAGTACGGTCACGGCGAGTCATTTGTTGCTGCCGATTGTGCTGAATCCGGCGTTGATGACTTTTACTTTCTGAGGAAGTGCTGGGAAAAGGATGAGGAATCGGGGGGAGGCTGGGACCGAGGAGGTCGTAACGGCGGGAAGTGGAAGAGCAGCAGAGGTTTTTGTTTTCTTGTTAGAGGATCGTGTTGTGGTGATCGAACATGGAAACGGTATAGAGGGAAAGGGAAACAGAGTCCCGGATGTTACACTGCAGCAATATGCCCTATTAATAATATACACTAGGTCGGGATTCAATACTATTTCAAGCAAAGACACTGTTCCAGTCAGCCGACATATTTCTCCCCCATCAGTCTCCTATATCAGCCCACATCACTAATCCGCAGTCTTCTACCTCGTCCTCCACAATACCCACCCTCCCTCCCATCAGCCCTCATCATCCCTGACTTGGCCACCGCGCATCCGCCCTTCTCCCCACCCGCTCGTTCGTCGAACCACGCCATCCATCCAAATGTCAGACATCAGTCCTGCGGTGTCCCCCCTCCCCTCACCTCCCCTCCCTTCTCCTCCATTCCCAGCTTGTCTCCCCACGCTTCCCCGTGCCTGGCACCACTGGCTGCCCATGCGGTGGATGGCTTCTTGGCGCGCCTTGCTGGCAAGCCGGCACCGCGGCGGGGGTTTACGGCGGGCGTCCTTGACTCGGAGGTCCAGCATCATGCGTGTGGTAGTGGTAGCGGTAGATTGTGCTTGCGGCTGGGCCTTGTGGCGGGCATGATGGCGGTGGTGGGGTGGGCGGAGGAGGCGGGGGAGGAGGGGGGTGGAAGGGAAAGGGGTGGAGGTAATATGCTGGTGGGAAGGGTGGTGGAGGTGGTGGGTAGTCGTGGGGAGGACGGTGGTGGGCTTGTCGGATTGGGGTGGGAGGCTGGCCTTGGTTTGGCGGTAGACCGTTGGGGGTGAGGTAGTGGATTCGGGTTGTGGAGCTGTGGAGTGGTGCTGGCATTGGTGGATGGGAAGGTTGTGTCCTGGGGTTGCGCATCTTGGGAGGCGTGGACTGTGCGATAAGCGTGAGTGAGTCAGTGTTGGACAGGAAGGGTAATTAGCGATAGCGATGCGGACATTGAGGTGGGTCAAGCATTTATGTGTGACGTAGCAGAGCAAATCCATATTCATCTGGGAGGCTGGTCTGGTCCGGCCAGGCCTTTCCTACACATCACCTAAGGCGCGGGCGGCCAATGGGGCATGGTGTTGTTTCGAGACATTGTATACAGAAGTCTGGATCCTGCAATCAAGTAATAGGAGGCGAGGCACAGCCAGGTCTCGTACGCCCTTGCAGGTGACAAGTGAGCTCAAGGACCTGCTCGAGCATGATTGCTGTTGCGTTGACCTCTCTGGGGCAAACGACGAAAATCATAGCACACTCGTGAGTCCTCACGGTGTTGAAAGCACCGTTATGCAATCGTTCACACGCTCGCCTGTATAGCCCAGAGAGTTAGCAGTACAAGACCACCAGCCCAGCCATAACCCCCGACCCACACGTAAGACACGACTAAGCCGCCCTTTTACACACCATGACCTTTGTCAAACCCACCACATCCTCTGTGAACGGCATCCGCGGCGCAGTAGCCGAGTCCACCTTCGCCGTCGAATCAGCCGCCACCAACGGCCGTCAACGATTACCAAGCAATGTAGACGAGGCGACACTGCCCAAGCAGGAACTCGACATGCAGCAAGAAGAGCTCGAGGCGATGCAAGACGCGCGGGTCAGGGACGCACGGGAGGAAAAGCGGTGCAGCCATGGCGGACGGCCTTGGGACATGGAATCTCGGCCTTCCGAGCGGAAGCATTCGGGTTAGCGGACGCCTCGGCAGGCAAATGATGGCGGTGAGCGGGATTCCTGATAGATGGCTCCTTTGATCCGTGCGAGGTCTGGCGAGGTGCGGTAAGGGCTGGAGTGAAAGCAGAGCGCGACTCGAACATAGACACATACAGAGAGAGAGAGAGGGGTTTGGACCACCGATGGTTGGGTAATTCGAGATCAATTTTATCTATCATCACATACCTCAGACCCCACATACACATAGACTTGCCAATTTCCAAGCAGGGTATTTTAGATCGACGCACACTGTAACCCCGTGCTCTATATTGGGCCAGACCCTGATCATCAACGCCTCATTGCGATTTGAGACGCCTTCCTACGCCTATGGGTGGCATAACGCTTATTGACAGCTTCTTATCGCGTTCAGCTCACTGTGCAAGCTTCTGGAGACCCTCCAAATTGATCGACTTGGGGCGCTCGATGGGCATGCCCAGGGCACGATCCCAAACGAGCTGAGCAAGAGGACCAAGACCTCTGCTGACACCAAATGTCACAGTATAGTAAAGAGGGTCGCGGAAGCCGTAGTGATGGAAAAGAACTCCAGACGCAGAATCAACGTTAGGGTGAGGGTTCTTGGTCTTGCCATGTTCGGTCAGCACACCGGGTGCGATCTCGCTGTTCTTCTTGACTAGTCGGTAGACAGGATTGCTAGCAATGTCTTCACGGGCATCGCCGAAGTCGATAAGAGCTTTGAAACGAGGGTCAGGTTTGCGAAGCACACCGTGGCCATAGCCAGGAACGACTTGGCCAGACTTGAGGGTAGTCCAGAGGTAGTCCTTAACATCCTGATCGGAGAAATTCTCGCCAATCTTGCCCTGCATAGCCAAGATCCAGCGAAGAACTTCCTGAGCAGCAAGACCGTGCAATGGGCCCGCCAGGCCGAGCAAGCCGGCAGAGTATGAGAGAAAAGGGTCCGAGAGGGCAGAGCCAACCAGATGCGTAGCGTGTGCAGATACGTTGCCACCCTCGTGATCGCCGTGAAGAGCGAGGTAGAGGCGCAGCAGATCTTGAAAGCCTTCATTCTCCTTGCCGGGCTTGCCAAGCAGTTTCGCAAAGTTGTAAGCCCAATCCTGATCCATGTCCAGAGGCATATCCACCGCCTCCTTGTTGAAGATGGTGGCTGCAACACGCGGAAGTTTGGCCAGAAGCGAGATGGCGTCGTCAAAGGTAGGCTCCCAGTAGTCGGCCTTGTTCAGGCCTTCAGCATACTTTTTGGCAAAGGCAGACTCGGTGTTGAGGGCAGCAACGGCGCAAGATAGCTGAGTCATGGGGTGTACGTTCTTGTCAAAGGCCTTGAGCATCGAGACAACGTGCTTAGGGAGCTCCGATTTCTCGTTCAACTCGCGGGACAGAGCTCGAACTTGACCAGTGGAAGGAACTTGTCCGGTGAGTAAAAGCCAGAACATGGCTTCAGGTAGCGTCTCGGTGCCGGAAGTGCCCTTAGGAAGCTCTTTTTGGCAATCGGCGATGGTCTTTCCGTGAAAACGAATGCCCTCGTCAGCGTCCAAGACTGAGCCTTCCCAGACCATAGACTTGAGTGTACGCATGCCACCAATGACCTGTCCGATGGTAACGTCTCCAATCTTCTTGTCTGCACTGGCTTTGACCTGCTTCAGCAGCTCCCGCTTTGCCGGGATGGCTTCTTGCAGAGTGGCCTTGAGATCAGGTTCTGCAGCAGCGGCATAGTTCCGTCGCTGAGGGCGAGGCAGAACACATCGTGGAGAGCTTCTGAGAGCTTTGAGAGCGTGTGAGGGAGCTCGGGCAGGCATATTGGATCTGACGGCACTATAATTCGAGGAAGGGATGCGAAGCGGGGCTGGAGGGGCTGCGGCACAGACAATGGAGTCTTATACCTGTCTGTGTCCGAGCGATGTGGTTTGCAAAGGTGGCAGACTGGAATGTGAGGCTCAGCTTCCAACCAAAAAAGACCTGAAGGTTTTGTTTCTAGGGTCCTGGGCGTGATGCACGGTGAGGTCGTTGTGATGGTGTGAGTTGCGGGTAGTTCCTGCGGAATTCCGATGCCTCGGCTCTCCGGCCATGCCGCCCGCGGTTATTATCGGAGTAAAGTTGCCCGATGCCGGCCTTGTCCCTGCATCTCCGCACTTCTCTCCAACGCATCTTTGCCTCATCTCAGATTCACGCGTCTTTCACCAGGTATGCTTACCAACATACCGTCCCAGAACAGGTGAATAGATCAAAGTGCTTATGAGACCAGTGAACCGCGAATCCATGGGCTTGTGAAAAAGTCGAACAGCCTTCCTTCCACGTCTTGATCACCACGATCTCTCCTACCCCTCCGCAGTACCCATTGAGCCAGTATAAATTTCTTTATATCAATAGCTTCATAGCTGTTGACGATGTTTCGACAAGCTCCTCGACTCCTGCGCCGTCCTGCAGGTCAGCTTGCTCGATCTGCACGCTCGGTCAAAGCGCCCCGGGCCATGGCCTTCACCCGCTCCGCCTCGAGCCTCACTCCAGTCAGTCCACCAGTATCGACACAACTACCCTCCGACTCGTTTCAGCTCCTATCCACCGCCGACAAGGCAGGCGCTGCTGAGGATGCACTCTTTGAACAGCAGGTTCAAGATGTCAAGGCCTGGTGGGCTACCGATCGGTACAAGGACATCAGAAGGCCGTACAGTGCTGAGGATGTTGTGAGCAAGAGAGGCACACTTCAGCAGTCATACCCAAGCTCCATTACAGCACGCAAGCTGTGGCAACTCATCCAGGAACGAGGTTCTCAGGGCCAGCCAGTTCATGTCATGGGCACCATCGATCCCGTTCAAATGACCCAACAAGCCCCTTACCAAGAGCTCCTATACGTTTCTGGTTGGACATGCTCCTCACTCCTCACCACCACCAACGAAGTCTCGCCTGACTTTGGCGATTATCCGTACAACACTGTCCCTAATGCAGTGCAGCGATTGTTCAAAGCTCAATCAATGCATGACCGCAAGCAGTTCGACGCCCGCAGAAAGATGTCTGCTGAGGAGCGAGCAAATACTCCATATGTCGACTACTTCAGGCCCATAGTGGCTGATGGAGATACCGGCCATGGCGGTCTTTCTGCCGTCATCAAGCTGGCCAAACTCTTTGCAGAGAATGGCGCCGCTGCTGTTCACTTCGAAGATCAGCTCCATGGCGGGAAAAAGTGTGGTCATCTGGCAGGCAAAGTTCTTGTGCCCATGGGTGATCACATCAATCGACTGGTGGCGGCTCGCTTCCAGTGGGATCTGATGGGTGTGGAGAATCTGGTTTTCGCCCGCACTGACGCAGAAAGTGGCAAGCTTCTCAGCAGTGCCATCGATGTCCGAGACCACGAGTACATTCTTGGCGTTGCAGGAGATACTGAGCCTCTTGCTGAAATTCTGCAGCAAATGGAGCTCGACGGCGCACCTGGCTCGGAGATCGACAAGTTCGAGGCCGCCTGGGTCAAAGACCACAAACTTGTCACTTTCGACGAGGCCGTAGAAGCCCACATCAAGTCCGAGGGTGGCAATCCTGCCGAATACCTCTCCAAGACAGCGGCGGACCGCAATATGTCCCTGACTAAGCGCCGTGCTCTTGCAGCCAAGTACTCAAAAAGCCCGGTGGTCTGGTCTTGTGATGTACCACGAACCCGCGAGGGTTTCTACCATTACCAGGCTGGAATTGCTGCTGCTACCAAACGTGCAACAGCATATGCGCCATATGCCGAGCTCTTGTGGGTCGAGACTGCGAGACCCTTAGTTGAGCAGGCCGCCTCGTTCTCGCAGGAAATTCGTGCTGTACACCCCAATAAGGGCTTTGTGTATAACCTAAGCCCGTCCTTCAACTGGAAGAAGGAGGGCTATGACGATACCACCCTGAAGAACTTCATTTGGGATCTGGCGAAACATCGTTTCATCATTCAGCTGGTCTCGGTGGCTGGCTTACACACCCAGGCTACCATTACCACCGAACTTGCTCGAAGGTACAAGGACGAGGGTATGCTTGCATATGTCAACATGATACAGAACAAAGAGCGTGAACTCAACATTGATGTGCTCACTCACCAGAAATGGAGTGGTGCTCCCTACATGGACGGCGTCCTTGGTGCTATCCAAAGTGGTAGTAGTGGAACCAAAGGGATGGGTGAAGGCAACACTGAAGACACCTTCTAAATGTTGGTGGCTGGAAAGGCAGAACGTCCCTGCCATCAGAGGCGGTGTAGTTCTGCCAGTGCGGGTGCGGGGTCATGAAGCTGGTTGTCCAGCAACTTGCAGACGCGGTCGCGTAAATCAGGCAACCTCATCAAGTTGTGCGGAGATTATACCCTCAGCCTTTCCACCCGCACAACCCATTCCTTATTACGTCGCTATCTTATCCCACGCATCACTGTGCATCTATCAAGCGGATCCAGCAGTCTGCTTGCTCCTGCGATACTGTCAAGTGAGTAGATTCGATGGGATCGATGGAAGGACGCAACTAACCATCTTCAGCAACTTCCGAGGGTCAGAGCAGCAAAGACAACCAAAAGCACTTGAAGTTTTCCTGTCAACCTCGACAGCCGCTTAACCAGCATGTCTGGATCTAATGAAGGCCACGGCCGCAAGCGCGGTCGCGAGTCTGAGAGCAACTCGCCAGAACCCAACAATGCTGCAAAAGTTCGAAAGACCGTACAGCTTCCTACTCGTAAGAAGTCCGAAGACAAGATGAATGGTGTCAATGGATCTCAGACCGATCAGACTGTCATTGCCTCAACCGAGCAAGATGACCAGAATGTTATCGTTGTCGCCTCCCAACAAGAGGGCAATGTTGATCAACCGGAGGCGGCCGAGCGGCTTCGTCGTTCCGACACCCCTTCTGTCAGTCCTGGTAGACTTGCCGAGATCCAGCAGCGCCAGGCTGAGGCCGGCATGGTCTCGCCTCGAGCTTCTACCACTAGTCAAGGCTCTCACTCAACAAGCAATGGTTTACCCGAAGCTTCCAAGAATGCCATGAACGGCCAACTCGACGGTCAAGCTCCTTACTATTCCACCGACGCCCTTCGAAATGCGATGGTTCGTGATTATTTCACGCGCAATCCGATCACTGACGTTGAGAACGTTCTCCAAGCGTACTATCAGAAATACTCAACTGATCTTGCGCCGTTCGACTATGGAGACAGCACCCCGGACAAGTTGCTCATGTGCGTTTGCCTCTCGACTGATGACGGTCGTGAGTACATCGAGTGTGATAACGGCTTCAAATGCATGAAGCGCTTCTTCCACCCCGGCTGTGTTGGCATCTCCAGCGTGTCTGACCTTGAGCAGGGCGAGGAATGGTTTTGTCCGGACTGCATGAAGGAGGGACTTGGTGGTGCCGCCGCTTACCGCAAGAAGCTCGCTCACCTGAAGCGTACGCCTCCCAACCTTGTCCGAGGCGCCGGAGCAACCAATATCTCTGGCCAACCCATCATCGCAGGACGCTTGAATGCCGCAGCACCGATGGTCATGCCTGCATCCGCTACCGTCAAGCCCTGGACCGCTGACCACGATACCAAATTTCTCGCCAACCCAGACAACCTTCATGATCTCAACATTGAGACTCTAGCCATGGCTAAAGAAACCCTCCGTGCTCGTGCCGCCCAACCTCTGGGACAGCCCGTTCCAAGCGCTCCTGTTGTCGTTAGCGGTACCATTGTCAAGCAGCCCAACAAGAATTCCTGGTCGAAGGAAGAAGACGCTGTGCTTATCGAATGCATTGGGGCTGCTGTCAAGAAAGGCCTTTGTGGCAATCCTCTTTGGGACACCGTCATCGGCGAACTTCATGCCAAAGGGGTTGACCGCAAGCTCGGTGCTGCCCGCAACCGCTGGATGCGCGGACTTCGAGAGGAGACCAAGTTCGACGAGCGACGCAAGAAGAACTCCAAAAAGCTAACCACTGCCGTCCAGATCCACAAGGATTTGCGTGACCCCAACTCTCCTCGCCGCAAGAAGCGCTACCAGGTGTCTCGCAAGTACAACGATCCTCCTGGGACGTTGGTCAATCCCAGTCCACTCAAGCAAGCTCTGAGCACCAAGTCCTACGACGTTGTCCCTCCTTCGGATTCGACTGCTCCCTCCAGCCCGTTCCGTCCTGCTGCCGTCGCTTCGAGCCCGGTTCTCAATCATCACGTTCGCTTCGCCGTCGATGGGGATGTTGACATGAAGAACTATGGCGACAACGCTGGCTACATCACTGATAAAGACGACATCAAAGACCGTCTTGTTCGTCGTCGCCCCCGCAATGACTAAATCATTGTGTATTGCGAAGCACTTTGTTCGACCGATATGATCACGCATGACAACAACTGCTGCTTACATCTGTCATGCTCAGCATGAAGTCAAACTCGTCATGCCTCCAACGAATGGCTTCTATCATTATTCGCCATAGCTGTCCCTGTTTTGCGGCTTTGGCATAATATTCTCATACATGTGGCTACCTGCGAGCATTGCCGGCTATCGATATCTGTTCGCGGATGCTCTGGCCGGCAATGTTTAGCAGTTGTCCTGTGCTCTTTTTTGTGGTTTTTGTTCAGCAAGGTTTGGAGAAACGGTGATACACGGCCTGAAGGCTTTCAAAGTCTGGTTCAGGATATTGAGGTGTTGGTGTTGTTTCTCGGGTCGTGGCAAAAGCCTGGATGGCTCCACCCGTCCAGTTTGAGATACCCCATAGGATCGTTCCAGGGCTGTAGCGCCTTTGGCAATAAAAGAAGATTAGAAATCAGGCTTGTCGTACGTGATTGCAGGTGCCCTCCGTGCCGTAGAGGGCTGAGAGCTCGCTCCTTTGATCCCGCCTCAGGTCGACGAAATTAGCGGAGGCTCCTCGATTTCACAGCAGAGGCTTTGAGATGTCACTTGTTGTATGTTTGGGCAGCGTGCCCGTCTGGGTGCAGAATCTGCATCGAGTGCCTCGTCCTTGCGCCGCACTGCCTCATCGACATATCTGTTATCTACCTGTCCACCTGGTCTCTATCTTTAACTACTCTCACCTATCTACCATTGACACGCACTACACAGCTGCTCCCATCAGAGCCCGCAGTCTATCCTCTTCCTGCTGCTGCTGCTCCTCCCCCTCCTCCTCCTCCTCCTCCTCAAAATCCTGTCCCGCAGCGCGGGTTTCAGTAGCGAGCCCATTTCTCAAGAATAGAGTTTCGAACACCCACCCGTGAGCCATAAATTTGCCGCTCCGATTGGTCATCCCATCGCCAAGAGAGGAACCGTGAGCCGCGAGGCTCGCACCTCCTGAATCCCCATGAATCCGGTGAATCCGGGTGGGAAGCTTTTCGAAGCGCCTGTGAGGGGGATTTCATCCGCGGGCTGCGTGGCATGGTATGCTCGTGCTTGTCACAGCGCATGGACGGGCTTAAGGAGAGTGCTGGGCGATACCAGGTCTTGGTCTATGAGGGGAAGATGGTGGTGGTGACGGCCAGCATGGCGACACAGGCGCTCATGGGAACTTTTGGGTAGTGGCAAAGTCCAGCAGACTTGGAAGCGGGAGGTGGTGGCCCTGGCCCATTGAGACTCCGGGATTACATGTTGAGTCATCTTGAGGTGTTGCGTCTACAATACGCATCGCATCGCTTTTGACCGGCGATCGTCCACTAACTATGATCATATGCGATGACCGCCAACGCGCAGCTGTCATGCGTAACCTTCAACCCTTGGAAAGCGAGGCTGATACGACGTTCTGCAATACAAATTTCCCGCCAGAACCATCAGCTACTGGAGGTGAGCTATCCTTTGGCCAGCCGTTGCATGCTGGAGTAGCCTGTGATGCCATTCGGGCCCGCTCAAATTTGATCAAGCACGTCTGTAGCACAACTCTCAGGCTTTCCGTCCATGACTCGTCGTCCCTCCGTAGGTGCTCTCTCCCACAAAGTCATGCTCGGTCACGCCGTCCACGGCATAGAGGCTACCACACACCCGCGCCTCTAATCTTCTTTCCGCCGCAACTCTCACCACCCCGGCACGCCGAAATGCGCATCCCCCTCCCGTCTCGCCCACGGCGGCGTCGCAGCCCTCTTCCCAGGCCGCAGACTCTCAGGCACATCATTCACATTCACATTCCCTCCCCGTTCCCCTTCCCGCCCCCCCACTGCGCCGTCACCATACACACCACCCGGACTCGCAGGTGCAGCACTCATCTCCAACACCCCACCACCAGCCGCCGGCATCGCAGGTGCAGAAGCTGTACGCACAGGAGGCTTCTGGCGCATCGCCGCCGTCATCGGTCCCGGCCCCGCTGCGGACTTTGCGCGCATGGGTGGTGCCTGCGACGGTAGTGGAGGTGGCGGCGGCGGCGGCGCCTCGTACACCTGCTGGGTGGGGTCTGCCTCGGCGGCGTAGAATCTTCCGCTGCCGCTGCCGCTGTCGATGCCGCTGAGTCGGTTCTGCTGCGTGGGTGTGAGACCGCGGTAATTGCGGGTGGGGCTGCCGATGCCGATGCCTGCGCCGGTTCCCATAGCAGCATCATCAGCAGTGGCGGCAGTGGCGGCGGCGGTGCTGGGTTTTGCCATCGCCATCATCGTTGTAGTGTCCTGTGGTGGTCTCGACGGGTGTGAATCGTCGGGCCAGGGACCGGGGAGGTCGTCGCTGTCGTCGGGAGCTTGGGCTTTGCGCTTGTTGGTGCGTTTGCGGCGACGGAGGAGGATGAAGATGAGGATGGCGACGAGGATGGCGACGAGGGCGGAGCCGATTGTGGCGGTGGTGATTATTATGGGGCCTGGGTTTGAGACTGGGTTTGGGTCGGGTGATACTGTGGGGGGTGTGGTGGAGGTGGGGGTGGATGGAGAGGTGGTGCTTGGGCTGGTGGCAGTGGGAGTAGGAGTCGGGGAGGGGCCAATGGTAGTTGATGAGGTAGTTGAGGAGGGAGTCGAACTTGTAGCCGTGGAAGAGGAAGTTGACGCAGAGGAAGGATTATTGGAAGTCGAGGATACATCTTCGCTTGTAGTGGTCGCTTGTGCTGAGGATTTGCTCGAGCGCGAGGTGGAAGGATTTCTGTCACCTGTGTCAGAGGCCGATGATGATCGGCCAGACGACGACTTGGACGAGTTATCAGCAGAAGTAGAGGTAGAAGTGGAATGATCTGCATCCGTTAGCTTTGAATATCTTGTGCTTGGAGGTATGTTTATGACCTTACCAGAGTCGGAGCTAGTCGTGGTGCCAGTCGACTGGGAAGAAGACTCAGTAGTGGTTTCGGTCATGGTGTGAAGGACAAGAGCAGTTGTAGTCTTAGTCGCTGGAGTATTGGGGCCGAACTGCCACGCGGAATCGTCGGTGCCTGTAGGAACCGTCCCTTGTTCAGCATATAGGTCTGAGAGTGGTTCGTAGGGCTTACCAAAGGTGGTGACACTGAAGGCTCGAAGGCATAACAGCGCGAGGACACAACAGGCGTGTGTCAAGATCATGGTGAACTTCATTGTGTTTGTTGTGGCGCTTGACAAAGAAAAGACTGCCTTCAACTCAGAAGGATTCACAGGTGTGACATTAAGTAGATTAGGTGATAGACAATCGAAGCAGATCTCGAGGACGTAGAACAAAGTGCGACTTCATGAGCCGTGAATTGTAGCAGTTGCCAGCAAATAACAACAAGGGTGCAGTCCGCGGCCGCCTTGTCACCGAGCACCAGGCTACCAGCGCCCTCTTTGAATGTTTATATATCATAAACTGCAGATTTCCCTCCAACAATTCCACCAAGACTGAGACTACAAGGTCTCCTAAGAGCCAAGCCTTACGGAATTTACTAAAACCGTCTCCCATGAGGTAGACTCTACGTGGTGAGCAAGACTATAGGTCCTCTGCAATCTGTCAGAGACTCCTCGAGACTGTTTAGGGGGTTGCAGTCCAACTGTAACTTGGTTTTTTGCTTTTCGACTGTTCGAATACTGTACAGGATTGGAATGTTTTGTGGCTTTTTGGGTAGTGCGAGCAGCAAAGCAGATTACAGGCGAGGCATGAGGCTGGTGCGTTTGCCTTGTGCGTTTGCCAAGACAAGGCAACAACGCCAGGCGCGGAGTACAATTAATTTTGGTCCTGGCTTCGCTTGGCTAAGCGTATTGCTACGGGTATCTCAAGCACCTAGCATCTCTCTGAACGCCTCTTCAATTGCGCCGCGTCTCTCTGAACCCATTCTTCCCCTCAACTAGCGCCTCATGGGGTTCATCCGGGATCATTCCACTACAGTATCAGAAGACCTCTTACTAGAACTCGAAGGCGGCACCTTCCTCAAGCCATCATAAGACCACTGATGGAGCTCCGTCTCCGATCCCACCCTCCTACCCTTCCGATCACGTTCCGCCTGTGCTTCTCTCCTCACGTACCTCAGGTAGATCATGGCCACCAGCACCGCAGCGATGATGCCCACTGCTGCTGCGAGCGTTGCGCCCACGACCACCGTAGTCCTGCTGTCGAAGAGACCTGGATTTCGGCCCGCTGTCTCTGTATCGTTATGCGAAGTGCCACTGGATGAAGGCAATATCAGAAGCGCGGTCGACGACGGAGTGCTCGACGGCATCGCAAGCGTAGCCTCGCTGGCAGACTCATTCTTCGGCGTAATGGCATAGTCGCCGTAGATACGACACAGGAATTTCGGCGTAAAGTTGATGTCTGGCCTTAAGCAATGGTAGCCCCGGGGACAGCAGCCTGGGCCGCATTCCTCCAAGATGCTTTTCTGGCGGAGCAGGAAGATTCTTGTGTTTGGGTTGATGGCAGGGTCTTGAGCGATTTTGTCGCAGCTGATGGGGTCGATGCGGTTGCAGTTGGCGTGGGCGGGGCAGCAGTAGGCTGAGGTGGAATTGAAGAGGGAGATGCAAACGTCGTCGTTGGCAGGACATGTCCAGTCCGTGGGGAGGTAGGGATCCGTGGCACTGCAGTTGGCTGTGCCGCTTCGTGATTGGAGTGAGGATGAGAACAGCGTATCGATGAAGTCTGCCATGGAGGATTTTGGTAGAAGGAGAGAGGGTGAAATCTGTCTGCGGTCTTGTAGAAATCTAGCCGCTTTGATACTGTAAAGTCGGAGGGGCGGGCTGATCGCGGATCAAGGATAGCTTTGAGCTGTCGGTATCAGAGGCTGGATTACGAGTAAACACTGCTGCTTAAGAGGCGAGGAGAGGTGAGGAGGCTGCACACAGAGAGAGGTTGGCAATTGTGTTGATACAATTGCGAAAGTCGCGCAGGCGATACATGTTGACAAATACAAGCGACCACGTCGAAGCTGCAAGCCAGTATGATGCCATCAATCCCACGCTGCAAAAATTGGACGAGCTGCCTCATGGTTGAATGTCTTTGTCACTCGTGCTGCTCAGTTGTGAACTGAACAGCTAGAATCCATTATCCCTCCGTACCAAGACCGGTATCGTGACACGGCCCATTCCACTTATCTACAACTGAAACATATCAGCTACTCTCATGTACCTCCTTCAAATCCACGCCGGTTCAGCATCCACAGGCTTGATTTGCTTTCCCCATCGTGCCATCCCATACGCCTCGCTCTCCTTCAGGTCACCTGCAGTCGGATTCCCGTCTCCACCAACGCCAACCGCTTGCGCTTGCATACCCTGAGCGATGGCGTTATGTAGACGCTCTGCTCGCTGCCGGTCGTCAAGTTCGCCCTGCTCGTACGCTGAAACTGGCGATATCGCAGCACTCACATTGTCCCGTGCGGCTGCCAGAATTGCGCTGAAAGAATCGCTCGCGGACTATTGAGGAGAATGCTGCGCCGGCTTGCGTGGAGATGTTGCAGCCGCAGTTGTGCCGCTGACGGCTAGACTACGACTTCGTGCCGAAGAGTCTGACGAGAATCTGGAGGTCGGTCCAGCATGGTCTACGACGACGGTGCTGGCCGGCGGACCACTTGGCCGACCCGACATGTCTGGAGGAGGAACGGGACCGCTCTGCTTGCGCTGTTTTCGTCGCCACCAGAAGACGATGCTCAGTAGGGCACAGAGAAGAAGGAAGCCACCCACCAAGCCGCCAGCAATGGCTCCAGCGTTGATCGCGCTCGAAGCTGGTTTCTCAGACGGCTGGGCAGTAGCAGTGGCTGAGGATGCGCTGGTACTGCTGGATCGACCTGTTGTTGAGGCTACGGTAGAGGCAACTCTTGAACTCGTGGGGTTTGCAGTCGGTGTATGGCTGCACGTGCCACCGTCGCAAAGCAAGTTGCAGCAAACATCGTTGCTGTCGCCTGAGAGTCGTTAGCATGGTGGAAAGAACCGCGTCAGCTTCTCGACTCACAATCTCGGCGACACAAGTCGCGTTTCCCTGGATCGACACTGGAAGGATACACGGCCGCGGCCTTGTTCACCACGCAGTAGTCATGATCCCCCGTCAGCCGCGAGCGATCGCAACTATACCCAGGTGGGCAGCACAGGCCGTTACCACAGCCCACAAGTTGCTCTTGCAGGTTCGTGTTCTCAGGCCACCAGATCGTCCACTGGATACTGGCAGCGTCGCAGCTCACAAGCGGGATCTTCGCGCAGGCTTGCACATCCGGACAGCAGATTGCGTTCTGGGCATCATTCAGCGAGATGCAGAAGGAGCCGCCGTTGCAGCTCCAGGGGTGGTCGATCCGAGGATCGGCCGTGTTGCGGCAGTCGAGGGTGTCGCGCTGTGCGAGGGTACTCCTGTGGTTTCTGCTGATGGCGATGGGGTAGGAGCATAAGGCGGATGTTAGCCAGTGAAGGAAGACTATGAGCATGTAGGTTTGCCAACAACATATATTGTGAGCCATCTCTTCGGCTGTGAAGATGGTGCGATATTGGCTGACACTGCTCGTACGGTAAACAATGCTTTCAGGTGTCGATCGACCATTTGCTCGACTTGACCTTCCCAAATTGCTGGGGTAGATGCGTTGCGAAGGAGAGATGTAGGTGTGTCGCCAGTCGCGTTGACACTGAAAACCTTCACGCGTTTGTGCTGCCTTTGACACCGCCAACGGCCTCGCTCAGCCTCAACTACCATCATCGTAACCGACACAGCCCGGCGTGACAGCCTTCGATTCCAGCACCAAAGCGTCAATAGCCGAAAGGCGGGTATGATCACCGCATCCTCTGTCCGAAAGCTCTTATGATACCTCAGCTCTCGCCACAAACTCTAGGCCTATGTCCGATGTTCTTCTCACCGTAGTACCCAGGTTGAACTCCGTATCCGTCAAACCCTCCTTTACCCGAGCCGTGGCCCTTTCCATCCCCTCACCTCTCTGATCCGCCACCCTGACTTCCGCACGCAAGAGCAGTTGGGCGATAGCGCTGACGAACTCGACCTGACTAAATTTCTTACCAGGACAGACGCGCGGGCCCACAGCCCAGGGAATCCAGCCTTGTTTGGCGAGCTCGTTATCGCTCAGAAGGACCTCTGCGCCGGTGGAGTCGAGGGTCAAGAACCTGCTCGGGGCGAATAGGTAGGGATCTGGGCCGTTGAACTCGGTGGGAAGGTAGCCGGAAATTACGACCGGTATCGAGACCAGGGATTTGGGTGGTATGTCGATGGAACGGTTCAGGGACGGAACCTCGATCGTGGTCGGGTATGAGGGCGATTCGTGCGGGAGGTGGGCGACTGACGAGTGCAGTCTTAGGGTTTCGTACTGTGAACAGTTAGATCGAATTGGTGTTGGAAGTACGAGGCGACACAACGTACCATGACGGCGCGGACCCGAGGAAGTCTCTCATACGCCTCTTCGTACGAGAGCGTGTCACTCTTGCCAAACACTTCATCCACCTCGTCTCTCGCCCAGGCTTGCACGTCTGGAAAGGCGGCTAGGTACGGAATGGCGAAGCTTAAGCTCATGGCTGTTGTTTCGTAGCCCGCAATGTTGAAGATGAACATGTTACCGTAAAGCTCCGCGGCAGTCAGGTGCCCAGATTTCGGGTCTTCCTCCTTCTCAGCGTCGTTGGCCCGAACAAGCAGGGTGGCCAGATCTGCCACAGCTCCTCCCTGCTGTGTGCCTTTCTTTTGCTGCCGCTGCACTGCCTCAAGCAGATACAGTCTGTACTCCTCGACAGCCGTTTTGACCCTCTTGAGAGGTTTCGGCAATATCCAGTCCGGCACCGATGTCTTTAGGCCTCCGAACAGGATGACGCCCATTAGGTTCGGGTACATGACTTCCAGACATTCCAAGTAGCTCAAGCGATGGCCCGTATGATTGGACGCCACGCCTTCCTCCCCATGTCCGTGTGCCGAGCCAAATGCTGCTTTGCCCAGCACATGCATGGCCAATATGCCACTCTCCTTTCGCACCTCCTCTAAGGTCATTCTTCCAGCACGGACCAACTTTTCCATCAACTCATCCATCCGCGCCCAACTCTCGCGCCACACGGTAGGATAGACAGCCTCGCGGAACGCACCCCCAACTATCTTTCGATGACGCTGCCAGTCCGGCCCGTTCGCTGACAGCAGATTTGGCCCAAAGACGTCGAAAACGGCGTACAGATCCGGAGGATGCTCGTACTCACGCCAATTGCGCTTCACCGCCACAGCGGTCTGTGGATCCGTGGTGAAGAACTCGGTGCGCGACGGCGAGACGACGATGAATGCGGGGCCAAGCCCAAGTGGTGGCGGGCGATGAATGCGGCCCTTGTCTTGCGTGGTCCAGCCCATGTAGCTGTAGGGAATCCATGTGCTGAACCAGGGCAGATGGCGCAGCCAGAGGAAGCGCGGGGCCAGCAGCATCCAGAGAGGATCCTGCCATGACCATGGGAGCACGATGATCGGGAGGTTCTGGTGTCGCGCGAGCGCGTAGTTCGTGTAGAGACGGTAGAGGCGGGCGAGTACTAGGTAGGCTAGGAGGAATGAGAACAGGTATAGGGGGGTGTAAATTGTCGGGGTCAATGAGGAAACCATAGTGAGATTCGACGGCTCTGGAGGGCCAGTAGTCCTGTTACGTTTTGCCAACGAGCCACTCAGCAATTACTGGCCTTGTGGTAAGCTTCAGGGAGTTGATGCGCTGGAATGCTAGGATGAGTAACCAGAATCACGACGCCAGACGTGCGTGAGGCAGGGTACTTGAACCGGGGAAGGGGTCGGTGAGAACTAAACACAATGAATAAGCTGACTTATCGCCTCATAGATCTCCGAATGCGGGAGAAGGAGTGAGGGCCCTGAATTGCATATAAAGTTTCTTGAGGCATCCCCGCTCGCCGCCCTGCTGGAGGCCTGAAGCCGCAACTTTCGGCAACCTCGCCTATCGAGGCTTGAGGTTTCGGACCCACGTTGCGAGGCAGTATGGGCCTGAGATGATACTGGACCGCAGACAGAAGTGTGCTGCAAATAAGCATGTGCAGTCAGAGTAGCACCACCCTTTAGCTGGCGGACTGTTACTATCAAGGTGGTGAGCGGTGCCAAAGATGATACTCAACAGCGCCTTGTATGACACTTGTGAATTCTGAGCTGAAGCTGGTAAGAGTCTGTGTAGATAACAACACTGTTCAACAAGACTTCTTAAGGTCGTATACAATATACAGCGAGGGTTGAGGTTGATGAGTTCATCCGCGCTTAAGCGCTGGCGCGCCAAGACGCTAAGGCCCTGCAAGGCAACCTGGTTACCCTGGTAGTGAATCTGAGAAGTCATGTACTTTCATTGCCTCAGCTCATTGACGCGTACGTAGATAGTAATGACATTTCAGCATCTTCTAGCATCTAAGCCCATTTTAGCCCACTTCATCACCACAAGAGTCAGACACAGCTCGCACGAAGTACCAGGAGAGAGGCTACCATTGCAGCCGACATGGGGAAGGTCTAGAGATATCACGAGCATCGTTGACAATAGCAGTAGAGGAATGAGAAGCGCTCATGACACAGATGTTGTATCGAATTCTGGTCTTGATTCTGATGCTTCTTGCATACTACAGACACCAAAGCATCTGACCAGACAAGTGGTATCTTGTGTTATCTACCAACGATAACTGCTGCATGTCTCCTGCTTTGACTAGCATTATTTGTGCCTTAGACACGAAATGTCGTCTTTTGAAAGACTCAAGATGTTCAGGGCAGACCTAGCTGAACATCGCAAGGCCGGCCCCAAAGAACAACAGGAAGGCCAAAGTGCTCTCATGGTAGATGAATATGGCAGCGCCGGACGTCGAGGTAGGAGAGGCTGTGGTGCTCTGGACAAAAGTGTTGGACGCATGGACTGTGCTGACGAAGGTACTATCATAGAATGTGATCTCGCCAGTCGCAGGGGTCCCATCAGCTGCTGTAGAAGACACCGTCGTCGTCATATTGGAATTCGTAGTAGTGGCATTCTGCATGAGCATGGAAGAGGTCGAGGTCGAGGACGAAGCAGTCGTGGTGGGAGCGGGGAATGACCAAGAGGAATACGCCGGATCGACTTCCTTGGTACCATTCGCGGTCGCTGTAACCTGGTCAGTGCCTTCATAATTCAAAATGACAAGAACTCACGGCAGAAGACTCCGCTGACATAGATGAGGATCGCAGCAATCGTCTCGTCACTCTCCTCCTGACAGCCCCCGCCCTGTAGAAGAGCAGTATCACCCTCACGGACGCATCTAGCGCAGGTACTCTTCCACAATCCGAGTTCGCAGGTGCATGTAAGATTTCGAGAGGAGCAGTCTCCGGGAGGGATGCCGGAAGCGCCAGCAAAGTTGATGCAGGTTTGCTGCAGGAGTCAGTGTTTATCGACGGGCTGGGGCAGGTAACTCACCGCACACTGAGGAAGTTCAGACCAGACTTCGTATGGTCCAGCTGCTAGAGTGCATGTGAGAACACCGACGAAAGCTAGGACAGCCAGGAAGAACTTCGAAGAACCCATGACGAAAGGCTGCGACAGACAGTGTGTGAGCTAGCTGTACGTGAGTAAGGCAATGTCCAGGATGGTAGTCGAATTCGCGGGAACAGTAAATTGCGATGCTGGTCGTCGAAGAAGAAGGATGAGGACAAGTTCAGAGTCAAGTGATGAAGTTGATCTTGGCTCTCACGGTCGCGCCTGCCACAAGTGAATGATCGATTGCGCGGCAACGGCACCTTGAAAATCCAGCACTCAAGCCACCTGCTGCGCCCCAGTCGAGCCTCATCACAGAGAGAAAAATCTTCGCCTCAAGCAACGCGTGGGCAAAAAAAGACCTCCTGCTTTATCCAATCCAGAGCCATGATCTCGCGGCAATTTGCAGTGTCCGCTTTACGCAAACCTGCAGAGAGCCGATTGTGACAATAACACCTACCTCTTCCGACATCCGCATCATCGACAGTCGCCAGCCTCGCTCCTAGACTGATGCCTGATAACCTGGAGTCGGACATTCAGGGGAGGTTAGCTGCATCCTTGGTGACGTAGAGCTAAGTGAACGAAGGAGAAAGCCATGAGTGAGGTCGACTTCGCGCCAATCAATAGCAAACCAAAATCAAATGACATGTTCAAATTACTTAGCCTTGGTACTACCTGTGTGGAACGCTCTCTGGATCGTCCAGTGTTCCATCCGACCTCGATCAAAGATAGTGCACCTCTTGCCACCACGCGCATCTCTCGTTAGCTGTCGGATCCTTCTCGGTCTTGACGCCTGACGCACCCCAAGCATTCATGCTCGCGTTCCCGTCTTGAATCGGGAATGTTGGCAGGCCTGGTCCATTCGGGTCGCCTGTGGCGATGAAGTTGGTGATGTAGCCTTGGTGAACCGCTGCTATAGCGGCATCAATATCCCCTTGGCCGTTGTAGAAGGTATAGAGCACGTCTTGTCCGTGAGTAGCAGGTGGCACCTGAAATTCATATGCGTGCCCTGCGTTGTCGAAGGCTCTGTTGAGATAGTTGGTGTTGCAGGTGAAGATGAACTCACTGACCAGTAGCATGCTCCTTTGTAGTGGATCATGGTATGGCAAGGAACCGTCATAGACATCAGGGTACAGATCATTGATGATATAGTCCAGGACTGCGTCGGAAGCGTCCGGGTGAACGTTTGCTACGAAATCTCGTAGCTTTTCGTTCGTAATCATGTCTGGCGGAGTGAAAGTCACTCCTTCGTTCTGTTGGTGCCCAGTGAGAATCTCGACGCCTTCGGGAAATCGTCCATCGGCAAGCAATCGGCTTGGAACGTCTGGAACAAAGGTGCCATCCACAACAGGATTGTAAACGAACGAGCCGTATTCCGCGTTGAGGATCTGACGGGCGTTGGCAAGGATCAGAGTATCCGAGTCAAGCGCGCGAGCTTCGTCAACAGTGCTGACGTTTGCGAAAGCCAGGAACGTTTGTAAGACATCCTCCTGTTGCTCCGGAGTTGGTGCCGAGTAGAACCCGGGAGATTGAGCAACAGCTCGCTGGAAAGAGATATCCTCCTTGCCACCGAATGCTGTGATCTGGTGTTGAACAGAGCCACCTAGCACAGTGTCAGTATTGCTCCAGAGCCCGACATCTCTGTCTTACCTCCAGCGGATTCACCCATGATCGTGATCTGGTTGGGGTCGCCTCCAAACAAGTGGATGTTTTTGGCCACCCATTCAATCGCCAAGCGTTGGTCGTAGAACCCAATATTTGGCAGTCCTCCCGCAGCTTCCCATGTTGGGCCACTCGAGAAACCAAAGACCCCTGTACGATAGTTCAAAGCCACATAAATGATACCTGGATCGCCACTGGCTTGGCTGGCTTTAATAAGCCCGCTCGGGTCGTAGAGATTCTTGTTACCCGTCGCATACCCACCGCCGTAGATCCTGCGATTGTCGATTGGCATCTGAATCATGATAAAGGATAGTACTCACCATATCACCACGGGAGCACCGCGACTGTAGTCATTCCAGCTTTGTCGTCTGTTGTACCGACTTTTGACGTTATCAAAGACGGCCCGCGGCACCACAACGTCCAGAAACAAGCAGTCTTCCGTCGTGCCGAGTGGAATGTCAGGCGGCGGATTGGTCGCTAAGAATGCATCGAGTTGTGCCTGAGCTCCCGTGTAGTCGAATAGAGACTCGTTGCCGGCCGCCCACCAGTTGCTATATACCAGAGCGATGAAAAAGTACCATGCAGGATATCCCTGTGGACACACTGCAGTGAAGTTTCCAAGCTCAACGTCGCTGCTCTCGCCATCAGGAGACTCTGGCGCTGCGAATCGCAATTCGCCAATCGGCGGCTTCGCGTATCGAATGTTGCTAAACTCGTACAGATTCGTCGAAGCCTTGAGAAGTCAGTCAAGCTTACCAACCCGCCAGTCAAGCTTACATTGTACACACCCTCGTGGATTTCATAACCGAGATCAACCTGTGGTCCTGCTTGCTGGAAGCTTGAGGCACAGAGAGTGCTCAGCACTGTAAGCGAGAGACCGAACCCGGCTTTGGAGCACCGCATTTTGAGAATTGAGGGCTGCAACACGGCATCTACCTCTCAAAGGGCAGCATTGGGTGGGCTTCTATATATGTACCTTTTCGAATAGCTCCTACCGCGTATTCTACCTTTTTGGGTTACGGTCAACAGCCACTGGTTGCGACCGTCACTCAGACAGATATACTAGCCCTTGCTGCCCGGAGCATTCCGGAGGCCTGAATGTGGCCTTCGTTGACCAGGTCTGGACATTTTGACCGGCGCCATCCCCTGTAGAAGGAACTGAGCAGGGCTCAGGTCGGTCCCTGCTAGCATGAATGCGGGGATCCGAGCGAGATACCTCTTGCAGCGCGGGGGAACAGGCTTATAGGGGAGGAAAGCGACCACTTAGTGGCTCCGCAGATGCGAAGGTCGCATCATGCCAGGTCAAGCGACCAAGTCGGAGGAACATTGAAACGTTAAGAGCCCGACAGTGCGTAAGACTTCATTTCGCATAGCGAGAATCCCCGTCGTTTGACACCGCGAAGAGGGGGAGTGGGTCAAAGGTTTTGTCCATCATCCAGGTAGGGATTCTGGTTGGCGACGCTTGCAACAAGCCGCTGCGTACGGAACCGATGCCATGCCCTTCGGTTGCGAGCTCAAGCATTAGGGGAGGTCCAGCTGCCGGTGACAGGTGCGGTGGGGCTTCCGAAAGGGCGGGGAACATTATTCATTGTTCATTGGCTCCGGTGGTTCGAGAGCAGCCTTGTAATCTTGGCTAGGCGACGAGGCTACATCTCACAAACAGCCTCCGCGTGAACTTCATCTTTGTCCACTGCGGGGGAACTCTGTGCATAGGCTTCTTGTCAAATCGCTACGGGCAGACAGCACAACTATATATTCCCTACTGAGAACAATTCAAGCTCCGGCCTCCTATACCCAAGACATGATAGGTCAAAACGACCAGAGGATCGATCTCATGTCTAGACAGTGCCTCTACCTTGAAACGCTACCTCAATGAGGAGTACTTCAGACTACTGCTTGGAGAGTAGATTGGCGTTTGGCGTGAGCGTAACCTCATTCGCGGTTTGCAGGTAGTACGGCATTTCTCACCAGCCTGCTCGGACGGTGGATTTGCGGACCTTCGGCATGTCCCGGCCAGGGTCAACTCTGAGCCATGGCATAGCCCAGCAGCTCAGGAAGTCGACTTCAGCGTTGTTCGAAGACTCCAACAAGTCGCAAGACAAGAAGCCTTCCGGCAATACTTATGTTGCCAAAGTCCGGATCGGGCATAAATATGACATTGTTGGCTTCATCAGTAGTGGGACTTACGGTCGCGTGTACAAGGCGCGCGAGCGTAATCCCAAGGGCGACACGTCGAGTCCAACCACCAACGGACCCAAAGAGCTCTACGCCATCAAGAAGTTCAAGCCAGAGAAGGAAGGAGATAACATCCAGTACACGGGGCTGTCGCAGTCGGCCATCCGAGAGATGGCCCTCTGTACGGAGCTGTCTCACCCCAATGTGGTACACCTCGCCGAGATTATCCTTGAGGACAAATGTGTCTTCATGGTCTTTGAGTACTGCGAACACGACCTTTTACAGATCATCCACCACCACACACAACCCACACGCCGACCCATCCCAGCCTCCATGATCAAGTCCATCCTCTTTCAGCTCCTGAATGGCCTCTTCTATCTGCATCAAAATTGGGTCATACACCGTGATCTCAAGCCAGCCAACATTATGGTAACCTCATCAGGGCACGTCCGCATCGGCGATCTTGGCCTCGCACGTCTTTTTCACAAACCACTTTCCTCCCTCTACTCCGGCGACAAGGTTGTCGTGACGATCTGGTACCGGTCCCCCGACCTCCTCCTCGGGGCCCGCCACTACACCCCCGCCATCGACATGTGGGCCGTCGGCTGCATCTTCGCCGAGCTGCTATCCCTCCGTCCAATCTTCAAAGGAGAAGAAACGAAAATGGACTCAAAGAAGACCGTCCCCTTCCAGCGCAATCAGATGTCCAAAATCATCGAGATCCTCGGCATGCCGCGCCGCGAGCACTGGAAGGGACTGGCCGACATGCCCGAATACCCGCAACTTCAGAGCCTGATGGTCGGCCGCGGCGGCATCCATGGCACCGGCAGCCTCTACCCGTCCCACGCGGGCGGCGTACCGAATCGCGCCGCTGGCGCCGCCACCCCCGGCGGCGACAGAGGCAGCAACCTCGAAACATGGTACACTAATTGCATCCGTGCGGCTAACTACCCAACCGGCAAGTCGCCTGGCCAGCGCGGCCTTAAACTCCTGACAGACCTATTCGAGTACGACCCCGAAAAGCGGCTCACGGCCGAGGCGTCGCTGAAGCACGAATACTTTGTCTGCACGGATGAGAATAGCAGGCATAATGGCGAAGTATGGGTGACGAACAACTGCTTCGAGGGCCTGGAGGAGAGCTATCCGGCTAGGAGAGTCAGTACGGAGACAAATGATATCGGTACGGGGAGTCTGCCGGGTACGAAGCGCGGTGGGTTGCCGGATGATAGTCTGTTGCCGCCGGCGAAGAGGCGCTAGGGGCACCAGATCCATCAGTGGCAAGCTGGGGTGGGCGCGGCGCATGCAGAGGAGGGCGATGCGGTAAGGCGGCTGGATTCGGTGGAGGGGCCGGAGGAGGAGAAGGATGGGGTCAGTCACTTGAAGGAGATTGCATTTGGCGAGAGAATCAGTGCTGAGCCGAGTTCTGCGCATGCACATGATCCCGACTTCGAGTCAGAGAGCGATGAGGACAGCCTGAGGGATAGCAATAGGTTGTTGCCCCGCGAAGAAGTGCTCCGCCGTGCGTTGCTAAAGAGAGAGACTACCAACTGGTAAGAGGCATGGGAAAAATCCACAGCAGCGAAGCAAGGATTTCGCGTCTGCTGGAGTATTAGGAGGTATTGGTTCAAGTTTTGGCATTTTTCGAGCCCGTCTTCACCATTTATGGTGGAGCGTGCTTGTCTTATCTTTGCTGCAATAGCTTGGGCATTGCAAAGCATTGACTAGGGTGAACACCCATACCCGCTTAGGCACCACTTTCTTTGCCCTATTTGGCCCTGACGCCGGCAAAGTGCGTCGCTTCTCTAGCCATTCGTCACTGCCACCTCGCATCATGCATACACACTCCATTTCTCTCGTCGCCACAAACTCATGAAACCTGCCACCAACACTTTGGGCCTGTAGCATCTACCTCAGAAATTTCTAGGAGGCAGCACCTGCCACTTTAGGACCCTGCGCGGCCTGCTGGGGGTTGACCTTCTTGCCATCCTTGTTGAACCGGATTCTCGGGGGAGGGGCACGGTTGCGGCGGCCGACGCGCGAACGGACGCGCACGATCTTGCCGTGAATGGCGCACGAAACGCAGTACTGTAGCTTCAGGTACATCTTGGGGACGGCGTAGTCGGTGAAGACGGAGGCATCTGAGATATCACCTGTGGAAAATTTGTTAGTGTTTCTAGTTCTGAATAACGTAGAGTGAACGCAAGGCGTTTGAGGTGAGAGCGCTTACGGATAGCGGCGGACTCGACCATGTTGCGGATGGTGAATCTCTTGATGGCCTTGTCCTTGGGAGTGCATCGCGAGCAGTTGGAGCATCTGATGGGCTTGACGTGGCCGCGGCCCTTCTTGTTGCGTCCGCTGTTAAATATTGTCAGTACACATTCCCCATTATGATCTTCGTTGGCTCGTGGGGCAAATTTCTGAGAGGTGTGGTTCGTGCTAGGATTGGGACGTACTTGGACGCTCTCTTCTTAACCATGGTTGCGGATGAGAGACGATTGACTTCTGCGGTAGCGCACAGAAGTCGGTATCTCAGATGGGTGAGGGTCGAGCAATAGCGTGCAGTTTGGCGGGCACCGGGAATACTAGAGGTCTGAAAGTGTGCCAAGTCTTCGACCGATCGAAGGCTTGGCGAGGGCTTGCTACGGCTGCCCACTGCAGCCGAATCCGCAGTGCTCCATCTTGCCTGACCCGCCAGAGCGGTGTTTACTTCCCGGCCTAGCAACCGGCCGCAGTCCAGAAACCTTCATCGACCACTCACGTCTCCTGACAACACAGACCACTCCTGCCCAACTCCCCTGCATAACCAGATATCCGTGAAGCGACCTGCCGAATAAGCTGGGTCAAGATGTCGCATGTTAGTGGAACCATGCGTGGTACACCCCAGCGGCGTGGTCAAGTCCCATTCGAGAACAGCCCTTCGGCCATTCCCAGACCAAAGCTGGAGTCTACACCTGGTGGTGCTCAGAGTGAGATGTCAGGGACTTCGACGCTCTCTGCCAGTCGTCAGAAGCAGAGCAAGAGAGATGAAGTATGAATGTGCATCGCGAAATGGACCTTATCGCTGATAACCCCAGGCCATCAGGAGGAAGATGGAGGCCGACCTTTCCAAGAAGACTCGAACCACCGGCCGCGCCCGACATACTCGCAAAGCCCCTCCCGGCACTGTGCTAGCCCTCAAGCCCAGTCAAGCCCTTCAGATCAAGCCTTCTACCACCGTCGCCGAAGCCGCTCAGTTGATGGCCGCCAAGCGCGAAGACTGCGTTTTGGTTACCGATGATGATGACCGCATCGCCGGGATCTTCACGGCAAAAGATCTCGCTTTCCGCGTTGTTGGTGCGGGCATCAAGGCGAGGGATGTCACCATTGAGCAGATCATGACCAAGAACCCCCTGTGTGCAAGAACTGATACTAGCGCAACGGATGCATTGGATTTGATGGTGCGGAAGGGCTTCAGACATCTGCCGGTCATGGACGAGAACCAGGACATCTCCGGTATTCTCGACATTACCAAATGTTTCTACGATGCTATGGAGAAGCTAGAGCGTGCTTACAGCTCTTCACGCAAACTATACGATGCTCTGGAAGGCGTGCAGTCTGAGCTCGGGGCTAGCCAACCGCAGCAGATCATCCAATACGTGGAGGCTTTGAGATCGAAGATGTCCGGCCCTACCCTGGAGTCGGTTCTGAACGGCCTGCCGCCCACCACTGTTTCGGTGCGCACTTCAGTTAAGGAGGCTGCCCAGCAGATGAAGGAGAACCATACCACTGCTGTGCTTGTACAGGATCAGGGTTCCATCACTGGCATTTTTACCAGCAAAGATGTCGTACTCCGAGTTATCGCTCCTGGCCTCGACCCCGCCACCTGCAGTGTGGTTCGGGTCATGACGCCCCATCCCGACTTTGCTCCTACCGATATGAGCATCCAATCGGCTTTGCGCAAGATGCACGGTAAGTTCTTTCCTGTTGAACGTAGGCGTTTGAGCTGATCCTTACAGATGGCCACTATCTTAATTTACCTGTTATGAACGAGACTGGCGAGATTGTTGGTATGGTCGATGTTTTGAAGCTCACGTATGCCACACTCGAGCAGGTCAATACCATGAACACCGGTGATTCAGAGGGTCCAGCCTGGAATAAATTCTGGATGTCAATGGATCACGCCGACACAGAATCTATGATGTCTGGCGAGGGCAGCAATCGCCCTACTACTCCTGGCCATCGCTCAGTGATGGATTCGGAAGTTCCTCGGCCCGCAGTCGAGCGAGGCGACAGCGTCATGCCGCACGACTCGGCCTCACATCGCGGCGACGATGTTCAGTCTGAGATACAATCGCCCGGATTACCTGTTGAGCCTACCGAGGAAACGCCATTTCCCTTCAAATTCAAGGCGCCCAGTGGCCGTGTACATCGTATTCAGGTTGTTGCTGCCAACGGTATTGCAGAACTTGTGGACAATGTCACGTCTAAGTTGGGTGCTGAGATAGAGGCTGTGGGTGGTGAGGCTTCGGTCAACGATGGCAAATTGGGCAAGGCTGGGTACGCTCTGAGCTACATGGACGACGAGGGCGACACTGTCTCTATTACCACTGATCAGGACCTAATTGACGCCATCAGTCTTGCAAGACACGGCAAACGGGACAAGGTCGACCTTTTCGTTCACGACCCTGCTCAGCCTCCCATCGCCGCCACTGTCGACCCAAGACCTGCACTGTCAAAACCCCCCACCCCTCCTGAGTCGGTGTTGAAACAGGAACAGGACGTTGATGAGAGCGAAGTGGACGGTCCTCGGTCAAGGAGAAGACAGCACATGGCGCAAAGCGAGGAGCAGGTCATCCAAGGAGTACCAAACGATCTGCTTCTCCCAGGTGCGATTGTGACGCTTGCAGTTGTCATTGTTGGTGTTTTCGCAATCAGCAGAGCGACCTCAAAGTAATGTTAGTGCTGGCCGATTTCGATGATACCCATGAGATGTATAGTGTTTCCACTCCTCTAGCAGGCGGCTATAGCTTTAATAGAATATGTTCGACCGAACTTCTGCCTGTCATGGAGAGCATTCAACTTGGTATTGAATCTCTCTGGTGTCCGTCAGATGGGTGAAACAAAGACTTGGCGCGGTCTCCCCACCTTCTAAAGTCAATTGTTCGGCGTCCCCAAACGCCATGTCAATAATAATTTTGATCGCGACTTGTCCTCAAACCCCTAGACCCTCTCAAAGACTTGCTCTTGGACTCGACCTCTTTCGACTTCGAACTATTATTACAACTAATCACGATACCTCAGCTGAACACATCTTCAGGCCACACCGACCTTTTCTCGACCTGCAAAACATCCCACATTCAACCGGCCCGACCCGATCTACCAAGTAACGCGCAGGTCAACCATCCCTCCTTTGCCTTACGTGCAGGCAATAGCACAAAAGCAACATGTCACTGCTCCCTGCTGAGATGCAGGGGGCTCTTGCCCAGCTCCTCCAGGCTCTCCAATCTGGCGACAATAACATTCGGGGCCAGGCAGAAGAGCAACTGAACAATGACTGGCACGCCAACCGCTCCGATGTGCTGCTCATGGGTCTTGCAGAGCAAATACAGTCTGGTCAGGACGCACAGGTATGTCGCTTCCGTCTCCAGCGTGGTAACCACGTCTCATCAACTTCTAGTCGCGATCCTTCGCCGCCGTCCTGTTCCGAAGGCAGGCTTCCAAAACCAAGAAAGGCGCAGACGGCAACTCGAGAGAAACCTTTCTGACCCTCAACGGCGACGCGAGGTCAGCCATCCGATCAAAGTTGCTTGAGTGCCTTGCCAGCGAGCAGATCAACCATGTACGGAACAAAGTTGGCGACTCTATTGCAGAGATCGCGCGTCAATACACCGATAACGGCGAGAGCTGGATCGAACTTCTGAGTGCTCTTTTCCAAGCCAGCCAGTCTCCTGACCATGGGATGCGGGAATGCGCTTTCAGAATATTTTCCACAACCCCTGGGATCATTGAGAAGCAGCATGAAAGCGCGGTCCTGGAGGTTTTCGGCAAGGGCTTCAAAGACAGCAGTATCGATGTGCGGCTGGCGGCTGTTGAGGCCTTCGCGTCCTTCTTCAGCTCGATCACCAAGAAGAACCAGTCGAAATACTATTCGCTCATTCCTGAGATCCTCAATATTTTGCCTCCATTAAAGGAATCAAATGATGCCGACAACTTGTCAAAAGCTTTTGTATCACTGATTGAGCTCGCTGAAGCTGCACCGAAAATGTTCAAGGCTCTCTTCAACAGTCTGGTCAAGTTTAGCATCTCCGTCATTCAGGAGAAGGAGCTCGGTGACCAGACTCGACAAAACGCACTCGAACTTATGGCCACATTCGCCGAGTACGCTCCTGGCATGGCGAAGAAAGACCCCGATTTCACAGCCAGCATGGTCACTCAGTGTCTGAGCTTGATGACTGACATTGGCATTGACGACGACGATGCTGCCGAGTGGAATGCGCAAGAGGATTTAGACATGGAGGAAAGCGATCTCAACCATGTCGCCGGCGAGCAGTGCATGGATCGCTTGGCGAACAAACTGGGAGGGCCCATTATGCTCCCTGCGACCTTTACCTGGTTGCCTAGAATGATTCACTCCACATCGTGGCGGGATCGTCACGCTGCTTTGATGGCCATCTCCGCCATCTCTGAAGGCTGCCGAGACCTCATGATCGGCGAGCTCGACAAGGTGCTGGAATTGGTCGTGCCCACTCTCAAAGATCCTCACCCGCGCGTCCGTTTCGCTGGCTGCAATGCTTTAGGTCAGATGAGCACCGATTTCGCAGGTCCCATGCAAGAAAAGTACCACGCAGAGGTCTTGGGCAGTATTGTACCAGTGCTGCAGTCTCCCGAGCCACGAGTGCAAGCTCACGCTGCCGCTGCTCTGGTTAATTTCTGCGAGGAAGCTGAGAAGGCCATTCTCGAGCCCTACCTCGATCCTCTTCTAAACAACCTGCTGCAATTACTTCAATCGCCTAAACGCTATGTCCAAGAACAGGCGCTCTCGACAATCGCTACCATTGCTGACTCGGCTGAGAGTGCCTTTGTCAGGTATTACGATACTCTGATGCCACTCCTGTTCAACGTCCTTCGCTCAGAGCAGGCCAAAGAATATAGGCTGCTCCGCGCCAAAGCTATGGAGTGTGCTACGTTGATCGCTCTGGCTGTTGGCAAGGACAAGATGGGCCAAGACGCTCTCACTCTTGTTGAGATCCTGGGCAGCATCCAGCAGGGTATCACAGAGGACGACGACCCACAGGCGCAGTACCTGCTTCACTGTTGGGGACGTATGTGTAGAGTGCTTGGCTCTGACTTTGTGCCATATCTGCCTGGTGTCATGCCTCCATTGACCGAGCTCGCTTCAGCCAAGGCCGATATTCAGCTCTTGGAGAATGACGAGGAAGGCATGATTGACCAAGATGAGGGCTGGGAGCTAGTGCCGCTCAAGGGCAAGGTGATTGGTATCAAGACACAGACACTCGAGGACAAGAACACTGCAATTGAGCTTATCACGATCTATGCTCAAATCCTCGAAGCCGCATTTGCGCCCTACGTCCAGCCGATTGCCGAGAAGATCGCTCTGCCCTCGCTGGCATTCTTCTTCCACGATCCGGTCCGCGTTGCTGCTGCGAAGCTGATCCCTCAGCTTCTTAATTCGTATAAGAAAGCTTATGGCGACCAGTCACCACAGCTAATGCAACTGTGGAGTCAATGTTGTGAGAAGGAAATTGAGATTTTGTCGGCGGAGCCAGCGATCGAGACGCTTGCCGAGATGTTCCAGTGCTTCTACGAGTCGATCGAGGTTGTTGGCAAAAACTGTCTGTCTCAGGCTCACATGAATCAATTCATCGAATCGACAAGGTCGACACTAGAAGAGTACCAGAAGCGTGTTCAAGAACGAGCTCAGGAGCGTGCCGAGGCTGCGACTCAGGGAGCCGAGGAAGAAGACGACAGCATGAGCATGCAATATGCGATCGAAGACGACCAAACATTGCTTTCGGACATGAACAAGGCCTTCCACACCATCTTTAAAAACATGGGCACCAATTTCCTAGGGCCATGGGAGCAGTTGATGCCGTTCTACGATAACTTCATCAACGGTCAGGACCCCACCCAGCGGCAGTGGGCCACCTGTATCTTTGACGATGTGCTTGAGTTCTGCGGCCCTCAATCATGGAACTATAGCTCACACATCATCCAACCGCTCATAAATGGCATGCAGGATACCAATGCTGCCAATCGGCAAGCAGCCGCCTATGGTGTTGGAATTGCTGCACAGAAGGGTGGTGAGCAGTGGTCAGAATTTGTTGCTGCTAGCGTCGACATTCTGTTCCAGATCATTCAGATGAACAACGCTCGCAGTGAAGACGAGGTCTTTGCCACTGAAAATGCTTGCGCTGCCATCGCAAAGATCCTACACTTCAACAGCAGCAAAGTACCGAACGCCCAAGGCGTCGTGGAACGATGGATTGAGACTTTGCCGGTTACCAACGATGAAGAAGCCGCCCCATACGCGTACAGCTTCCTATGTGAACTGATCGATACGTAAGTGCACCGCCCTTCCTTCACCACCTAACAACTAACAGCTCTGTAGCAATAACCCTGCAGTCAACCCCAGGGCTAGCCAGATATTCCAGCAGATTGTCCTAGCACTAGAAGCAGAGACTCTGCAGGGGCAGACGGCGAAGAAGGTAGCGGAGTCGGCTAAGAAGCTCGTCGAGAGCAATCCTGGCGCAATCAACGCGGATGCCGTACTGGGTAATCTCAGCGCCGAAGGCCAGGCTACGGTGAAGAGTTATTTCGAATAATTGAACGAAGTTGGCCGAAAGGTGTTGAAGCTTTGAGGGACAAGAGCGGCAGATCAGATCACAACGAGATAGAATACCATGTCCGCAATGTGAGCGCAATCCATATCAATCAATCTGGTCAATGCTTCTACCCCATTACGTAGCCCTCAACATGTGCGTGGTAAAGAGTTATCGTTTTGTCAGTTGTCGAACTCCCGCCCGACATTCATATTTGTGCTTCGGTATGGCTGATCGGTTGCAACTAATGTTGCCTCGTCGAGAGACCCTCGAGCGCAGCATGTTTTGATCACAACGGGTTTTCTGAGATACTAGAGTGTCTATTGAGCATACAAACAGAGAGGTACTCCAGGAGAAGCCGTTCCCCAACCAAAAGGCGTTGGAGGCGCACGAGGCTGAAGGGGGCGATATTGGCCATGCCGGCTTAGGCCTAGCCTAGGCTTACTCCCGACAATTTCGAATCCCCGGCTATCGATAGGAACAAAAATTCCTGCGCTGCTGGGGGCTGAGGGACAATCTACGTCGCAGAGGGGCTCTGGGAAACATTTTCTTCCTCTTCTTCCTCCTCACTCACTCCCTTCCAAGCGGGCAATTTTCACCTACTTAGACGGCGCTGAGGCGCTTGGTTTGTCGACTCTCCACTCCATTTGCTTGCTTGTTGCTACTGGAATATGCCGCACTCCGTGCCTGTGGCACCCAACATGTCGACAATTACTGTACCCTCGAAGTCCACTCACTCTGGCGTGGCTCCCACGCCGGAGGAACTGGCAAGCCTCCTCGACTCGATCATTTCGACCGACAATGCCCAGGCGTCGCTCGACGCAGCCTATGCTATCACGAATCTACTCATTCAGTCGGTTGGCATTCGCCCGATGCTCGAATCGGCCATAATTCCCGAGACCAAGAAGGCTGCTACAGACAAGAAGAATGCCGCCAAACGAGAGAGCGCCATGTTCATCCTGGGCGCCATGTTTGAGCGCTTTCCCAGGGAGCAGCCTCTCAGCGAGGTCATTTTTCTACTTCACAATGGCGGGCTCCTGAATTTGGTGTTGGATTGCCTGGCTGACAAAGGCGGCTCCGTGCGCGAGTCTGCACAGTACGCTGTCGATGAGCTCTTCAAAAACTTGTCTCCGGAGTCTATGGTCGTCGGCCTGCTGCCCGCACTGCAACAATACCTCAGCAAGCCTACCGGAAAATGGCAGGGAACCGTGGGCGCTCTCACCCTCCTTGGCAAAATGGCCGACAAGGCACAGATCGGCGATGGCTCGAAAGAGGAAGAGCAGGCCAAGGATGTCCTGCGCGAGTCCATGGGCCGATGCCTCAAGGACCTGATCCCTATCGTTGAGAACGGCATGCACGACCTGAAGGCTGAGGTCGGCAAGGCTGCTACGAAAGCCATGACATCTCTTATGACACTGCTTCAAAACGATGATGTCGCTCCTCGGATACCTTTACTCTTCGAGGTGATGAAGAACCCGAAACCCGAAAACACCTACAAAGCCATCCATGCGCTTTCCCAGACAACATTCGTTGCCGAGGTTACATCGCCAGTGTTGGCGCTGCTGACTCCCTACCTAGAGCGCTCGCTGAACACGCCAAGCACACCACAGGAGGTACTCCGCCAGACAGTTGTGGTGACGGAGAATCTGACCAGACTCGTCCACGATCCTATTGAAGCCCGAGTGTTCCTGCCGAAACTGCAACCTGGTGTCCAGAAAGTCAAAGACTCTGCCGCATTGCCAGAAGTCCGCGAGTTGGGCGCTCGCGCCGTTGAGGTCATGAAGAAGGCTATGGGCGAAGGCGCGGACGCTGAGACTAGTGGCCAGCTATCGAGAGCTAGCACTGATGACGTTCTTAAGGTGCTAGAAAGCAAGATCCGTGCCCAGGGAGGTATCCGAAAAGAGGATGCTGCGTTGTGGAAAATTGGGCAGACATATGTTTCCGACCTCGTCAAAGAAGATGTCAACATTCGTGTTTTCGACCGCATTCCCGATCGTGTCACGCCATATCTCCGTTATATTCTACCAGACGAGCTTCGAAAAGCGGTTGGGGAGGCTGTTCAGAAACACTTCGTTGACGAAGACCACAAAAAATACGGTTCCGCTGTCGCTGATGACCCGAATGAGGTTGTCGTTGTAGATGCGGATTTCTCTTTAGGCTACGGAGGTATGCTTCTCCTCTCCCACACGAATCTGCGCCTCATCAAAGGCCACCGTTACGGGCTGTGTGGTCGAAACGGCTGTGGCAAGTCTACCCTCATGCGAAGCATCGCCAACGGCAAGCTTGAAGGCTTCCCTCCCCAAGACGTGCTCAAGACCTGCTTCGTCGAGCACAATCAAGGCGAAGATGCAGAGATCACCATTCTGGATTATGTCTCGAAGGACCCCGAAGTCGCCAAGGAGGGTAAGGAGCGCATCTCTGCCGTTCTTGAGGAAGTCGGCTTTACTGCGGGCCCCGAAGGACGCCAATCTCACAATGTCGGCTCTTTGTCTGGCGGTTGGAAGATGAAGCTTGCTTTGGCTCGAGCTATGCTCATGCGCGCCGATGTCTTCCTACTCGACGAGCCGACTAACCACTTGGATGTTGCCAACGTTGCATGGTTGGAGAACTATCTCAACACTCACAATGAGATCACTTCACTCATTGTGTCCCACGACTCAGGCTTCCTGGATGCTGTCTGCACCGACATTGTCCACTACGAGCAGAAAAAGCTCAAAACCTACAAGGGCAATCTGGCAGATTTCGTCAAGGTGAAGCCCGAAGCTAAATCCTACTACACCCTATCAGCTTCACAGATCCAGTTCAAGTTCCCTCCGCCGGGTATCTTGACGGGCGTCAAGTCCAGTACGCGCTCGATCATCCGCATGACGAACTGCTCTTTCACCTACCCCGGCGCGTCCAAGCCATCTCTCAGCGACGTTTCTTGCCAGCTTTCACTGTCCTCCCGCGTTGCTATTATTGGTGCCAATGGTGCTGGCAAGTCTACGCTCATCAAGCTCCTCACAGGCGAGACGATTCCCCAGACTGGTAAGGTCGAAAAGCATCCGAATCTTCGTATCGGCTACATCAAGCAGCATGCCCTTGAGCATGTGGAGATGCACATGGAGAAGACTCCTACGCAGTATCTCCTTTGGCGGTATGCAAATGGTGACGATCGTGAAGTTCTCATGAAGCAGACTCGCGTACTCACTGCCGAGGACAAAGAACAGATGGACAAGTGGATCGATCTTAAGGATGGTCGTGGTGAGCGCCAACTCGAGGCTCTCATCGGCCGTCAAAAGTACAAGAAGACCTTTCAGTACGAGGTAAAGTGGCGGAACTACCTACCCAAGTTCAACAGCCAAGTCTCCCGCGAGACACTCATGGAATGGGGCTATCAGAAGCTGATCCAAGAGTTTGATGATCATGAGTCCTCGCGCGAGGGACTTGGCTATCGTGTCCTCGAGCCCAAGGTCGTCGCCAAGCACTTTGAAGATATCGGCTTGGATCCCGAGATCGCCGCCCATAACGAAATCAGTGGCTTGTCAGGCGGTCAAAAAGTCAAAGTCGTGCTTGCCGGTGCCATGTGGAACAACCCGCACTTGCTCGTCATGGACGAACCCACCAATTTCTTGGACCGCGACTCCCTAGGCGGTCTCGCGACCGCCGTTCGCGAATTCAAGGGCGGCGTTGTCATGATCTCACACAACGAAGAATTCGTCGGCGCGCTCTGCCCAGAGCAGTGGCACGTCGCCGACGGCAAGCTGACGCACAAGGGCCACCTGGCCGTGGACCTCTCGCGATTCGAAGACTCCAGACCGGGCTCCTCAGCCGTGTCGTCTCAGACCACCAGTCTGCAAGCCAGCCCGCTGGCCAGTCTCGAGGGCACACCCGTCCAGTCCGGCACCGAGGACAACTCGGAGATGAACTTCCGCGCCAAGAAAAAGAAGAAGATGACCAAGAAGCAGCTCAAGGAGCGGGAGGTGCGCAGGAGGCTGCGTCATATCGAGTGGCTCAACAGTCCCAAGGGGACGCCGCGACCGGCGGATACGGATGACGATGAATAAAGTGCTTCAGTCTCATAGAAGTGTTTGGAAGGCCGGGATGCTGATGACGAGGAGGGATGGGTGGATGAATGAATGTATGAAGGAGCTCCGTCATGATAATAAATACGAGCGAGGATCTCATAGCGCCGGCGTTTTGTTCTTTTGAAAACCTGATGTTGCAAGGTCTACAATCTACTTTTCTAGCAGATTCAGGAGGGGCGTCTATCTAGACCTGCATGGGCGTGAGACTTCTATGGTGTCCAGGATATATAGACTTGTTACGGCACACCGGTCTGGCTGGCTGGCTGGCTGGCTGCGTGCCAACCAACTCCATAAAAAGCGATTCCCTTTTGCCTCATTCTCACTCCACCGCACCTTTTTGTCTGGACCCCCCCTATCCGCTCTCTTTCAAGTCAGGCAGTCAAGACCCTCGTGCCCCAGTCCGCATAAACACATTATCCGGCAACTCTCCCCTCCCGCTCCCCAACTCCTCTTCCACCCCATACTCAATCCTCCGCACCACCCGAAACCCCACCTTCTCATACACCCGCCTCCCCATCACGCTCGCCTCCGTCAAGCACTCCAAGCCGCCCCTTCTCCCCGCCTCACTCACCCCCCACGCCACCAGCGCCGCGCCCACCCCGCGACCCTGCCACTCCGGCCGCACCGCGCACAGATCCAGCACGTACGCCGCCGGTGTCGACTCCGCGGCTTTGGCGCGCAGCACGGCCGTGCGGGGGGCGTGTAGGCCGGCGTCGACGGCGGCGAGCCAGCGCTGCGTGGCTTCGTCGTGCGGGTACAGGGCTTCGAGGCCCGTGGCGGCGCGGCGGGCTTCGAAAGTGGGTCCCGTGGGAGGCTCGCCCCAGCCGGGCACCAGGGAGGCTTGCACCCAGATGGCGATGCCGGCGACGGCGGTGCCGGTGCCGTCGGGGCTGGGGGCGCGCGCTTCGAGGATGGTGACGCTGCGGTCGTTGGAGGCGTCGCTGTGGGGGTTGTGGGTCACGCGCGGCGCGGTCTCCCAGCGGGTGGCGAGGCGGGCGGCGCCGTCGGCCAGGCCGGTGGGGGTGTCCCAGTGCGGGTTGAAGGCTGTCCAGATGAGGTCGTGGGTTTGTGAGCCGAAGGCGGCGGCGGCGCAGGCTGTGAGCGGAAGAAGGGGGTTGGTGAGCTTGGATCGTTGGGTGGAGAGGGGGAGAGGGACCTGTATGGACGTTTCGTGAAAAGAGGGGAGCTGGGATGGGGGCGGGACATGTGAGGTTTGCAGCTGTGTGTCTGCGACTGGAGATGTCTTGACGCGAGTGACTTACCGAAGAGGTCAGGGAGCTGGGATGTGGACGTTATTGGAGCGACGATGATGTCGGTGGTGGGTGGGACTGCCATTTTGACGGACTAGTGGATGTGGCCAGGTGTTCGAGGACTGTGTATAGATTTGTTGCTGTTCACACTTGCCAGGCAGTAAAAGTCTTGGCAGCGCCATAGAACCAAATGACCAATTCAAATGACATCGCCATAGATTTACCCGTCTCTTGTTCTACCAAGACGATTCACTTTTGACTACGATGACGGCCAGGCGAGACACGATACCCTTCAAGTGAGCGCACCTGCGAGAGCGTCAACGCGACCGCTCGATAAGAGACCCTCAGACATGCAACGACAGGCACTTTGTATTCCTCCTGACCCATTCGATATCCTGCCGACCTCGAAAGCCGATGTTATGCTCAGCTGTCTGAGGGCCTTTTATCGAGCGGTCGCGTAGGCCAGAGCAGATGCGCCTTCGGAGGAATCTGTTGTGCCCATTTACTATGATGGCGAACAGGTCTGAGTCTAGTGTCGTTCTGGTCGGGACTGAGACGTTAGGACCGAAACCCAAGAGCCAGTCTCGCCAGCTGGATGTAGTGGGAGAGTGATTGTCATTCATTGAATTGTAGTGCACTGAAGCCAGTGAAATCTTTTTCATGCTACTTTGAGAATGCCGATGGAACACGAACACAAACATACACATATTGTCCGTCATCTTACCCACCAAATTTCCATGTTCAGGTCATGATTCGTCGTAAAAGTGTCGCTGCGTCATATTGCTTGGTCGTGCCAATACTCTAGAAGGCACTGCTGCCTTGATTTATGTTGGTTTGGAGATAAACGGCATGGGTCTCGATGTGGGAGTCGGATACTTGTAGCCGTGTAACGTATATAAAGTCGTGCCAGATCTCGTTTCCGTGATTCCTTCTTTCTAGCAAAACATCACGTGGCCAATGCTGGATGTTTGTTGATGCTCAAACACTGAGCAACTCTCCCGCCACATTCACGCCCAGGTCCTTAGCTGTGTCCTTGGGCTTCTCCAGCTTCGGATTCTTGGTCGGATCATCAGGTTTCTCACGCCGATAGCGGGACCGCCGGTCGTCATAATCATCGTCGTGAAAGTATGCCTGTCGCAACCGTCGAATCAGCCGTGGAACTTTTCTCCGGAGGGCTCGAGACTTGGTGTTGGTGGAAGGATGTGTTCGAGGGCTTGAGGTGTGCAAACGCCTAGTATGTTTCGCTTCGACCTACTCTGCTATGAGCTCGGGAGCGGTCGTCCCGGCGTCTACTCTTGTCCCTGCTCCGTCCGTCTTCACTGCCCCACTTGTCATAGTCGTTTCTGTAATGGTCGAAGTCATACTCAGTATCGCCCGCCCTGTGCGTGCCCTTCTCCTCATATTCCAGCATCTTCTGTTGGCGTTCGCTGTCTTTGATGGCCCGTTGATCGTCATATCGGCCATCGTTGTTTGAGCTCTTGCTCTGACTGCTCTGAGGCATTGGTCCGTCATAGTACCATTGGCCATCACGGCCTTTGTAGTAGCCTCCTCGCTCCTGAGCACGTTTGCGACGCATTGACTCCAATCGCTTCTTGTGATGCATTTCTTTCTTTTCCATCATTTCTCGATGTTGCGAATGTTCTTCCTGCACTTCGTGCCACTCGGAAAGTGCACCGCGAATACCCAGAGCAGCAATACCGATGGCGGCTGCATCTTGCCAACGGGCACTACGTTGTTTTTTGTGGGCTTCTTCTGGACTCATCTTGCCAGTTGCGACGTCCTGGACTCGCTTGTCGTGAGCCTCTATACTGCTGTAGACTTTGGTCGCGGCATGGACGGTGGCGACTGACGCAAAGGCTGCCGTGATCCATTTCTTACGTTGCATCTTCTTGACATTTTTTTCGTCTTCAGTGCTGGAGCACACGGAGCTGCTGTCGGACGAGCTGGAATCGGAGCCTCGGCGGCGACGGCTTGCGTGACTGCGGCCACTGGTCGACTTGGGTCGCACACGCGATCGAGGAGGGATTGATCCTTCGCTGTCGCTGCTATCGCCACCGCGACCTCGACCATTGCGATACGGCACCATGGCGCCGGCGGCTCCACCTCCTGCCGCAGCTGCCTTGCCAGCAGTCTTGAGATCGTCAAAGCTGCTGGCTTTGCGGGCCATCTCTTTCGGTCGGCCCGGACGACGCGGTAGGATCTCGCCTCGATGACGAACAGTCTCGACTATTTCTTCATCAGAGCCGACGTCCCGGCGGCGACGGAGGACATAGCCTTTCTCTTCTGGAGTTCGGTGGTCTTGGACATCAGGGTCATCTCGATAGTAGCCCTTGCGCTTGTAGTACTTGTGCTTCAGTGGATCGTAGACTTTGTCAAAGTGCTGTGCACCCATATTGACCCCATTGAGGGCGATGGGTATAGCCTGATCCATGGTTGCGGGCAACTCAAGCCTACTTAAAGGGTTGCCAGGGTAGGACGTGTGGAGGGGCGGTGACGCCCGGCTTGAGCTGGTTGGTCGAGGGGCGGTTGTTTACGCCTTCTGTGTGCCCTGACACGCGCAATGGTTCTCGTCTGAAACGCAATGGGTTGCTCTTTCAGGGAAGGAGAGTTTCTCGAGGACGCCCCGTTAATATGGGAGCGAGCTGCAGGTGCGGTTCGGGGCAGCAGAAAGCTGAGAAGTGATTTGCTCAGGTGGTTGCCCGGATGTGGTGCGATGAGGCTTCCTTGTGCAGGAAAATCGGCTCGGGGCGGATCGTGGGACTTGGAAAAGGTAATGCGTTATATCTCAAGACTGAAGGTCGTTTCTCATTAATTCGTAAGCTCTATCTCCCCTGACTGTACATCGACTCCCGATTCGCTAGGCAGAGTTGAGCTCGTGGAAAAATTCCAAGAATCGCAAATCCGAAGCAGGAATGAATATCGTCTAAAGGAACGGTCGCAATTGTGCTCTGGCAGGGTTAAAGGAGCAAAAGGTCGAGAGGTGGAATGAGAAAGGATCGCCGATAAAGTAGGAGGGTCAATCTGATGGGAGGAGTTCTAGACAATGCCGCGGCCAGAGAGCCAGAGATGGTGGAGCAACGTCACCTTTGCTAGAAGGTTTGGCAAGCCTTTCTTTTTCTCACCGCTCCTCATTTCGAATCAGAAGTGGCCTGTGGACGACCGCTGCGAAACAGACCATCCAGTCTCGCCACGGGTCAGGTGGACACTAAAGAGGTCATTGCTCTCGCCATCGGCGCTACTGGACGGCACTCTGGACCACTACCCTCCGGGCAGCGGCTCTAAACGCGCGAACCCGGGTGCTTGTTTTGCGCCAACCAATGATGCAGGACAGTAGCTTAGAATATGGGTATCATAGGCCTCAAACGCCATGACAGATCCATGAAATGCCATGTCTGATTGAAGCAGCCTAGGGATCTGCCTGGCAGTTGTCTTGGTTGGGAAACTCAAACACAGTGGTTGGTAAGGGTGGCCCAGCCGGCTCAGCGTGAATCTTGACTCCAGAACATTTCAGCCACGTCAACATGTCTAGAGCCGCCAACGAGGCACTTGGACTTGGGTATGAATGCCGGCTTTTAGGCACGAATCGCTCATGCCCGGAGACCGACCGTCGCCGCCCGAGGGTAACACTCGCGAATTGATGGCGGGGGGCCATACTGAAGAGAGCATTTGTATGCATGATGACGGAGGACTACGGTAAGCGTTCGGCATGAGGCAGGTGGCGCCGACTGCTCCGGCTGTCGCACGCTGCCATTTGGCTCTGCTGAATGGTACGATAGTGTAGAGAGAATTCAGGACGGCGACTCCTTCGGTGACTCAAAGCAACGGGCGGAAATTGGCCGTGTGGGCAACGGTCGAGGGCGCTTTGCTGTGGCTGTGGCTGGGGACGTGCTGCAACTGAGGCTAATCGCGGGGAATTTCTGCAAGGTACACTGGTAAGTCATAGCATTGAATCAGGTGTCCTGCATTTACCACCTTTCGTAACTTTGCGGTCGGCCTGGAAACCTTTTCCAGGGCGCTGTTCCATCTCACTTTGGTTCGCCTTAATGCTGGCGTCTTGGTGGTCCAAGATTCAGCCTGGTGCCCCTCCTCCGGACAAGGCTAGGATAAAATCTTGGCGGCTACGGCAGAGTACAGCGCGGTCAGCCGCAGTTTTGAGCCGCAGTCGACTTGCGTAGGCAGTAGCAATACAACTCCCGTTGCGCTCCCGACCACGGTGCCCTCATAGACCTTCGCGCACACACTCGAGACGCTCCACAGCTCTTTGGCTGGGCCATGAGGTAGTTCCGTCTCATCTTCACTCCTCCTGTAATCATGGCGGAACCACCCATTGGTAGGTCGTCTCATCGAGGTTGTCCCACCACTACTCTAACGCTGCTTCAGTTCTCGATGGAGGTACCGGTTTCCTCAAAGTCGGCTATGCCGGTCAGGTACGGTAGACATGACCTGTCTCAGACTAAGGCGACTGACTCTCCAATCAGAACTTCCCCGAAGTTCAATTCCCCTCCATCGTTGGGCGTCCCATCCTCCGAACAGAAGAGCAGGCGGGGGATATTGTTGTGAAGGACATCATGTGTGGCGATGAAGCCGCTGCGGCTCGATCAATGCTTCAAATCAGCTATCCCGTACATCCGTACCCTGACCTCCCGCGCCGGACACCACACTAACCCGGGTACAGATGGAAAACGGCATCGTCAAAAACTGGGAAGACATGCAACACCTCTGGGACTTCACATTTAGCGAGCGATTGCGCATCAATCCCGAGGGCCGAAAGATCCTGCTTACGGAACCCCCGATGAACCCCCTAAAGAATCGTGAGCGCATGTGCGAAGTCATGTTCGAGCGGTACGGCTTTGGCGGCGTATATGTTGCCATCCAAGCCGTCCTCTCTTTATACGCACAAGGTCTCTCATCTGGTGTCGTAGTAGACTCAGGCGACGGCGTGACCCATATCGTGCCAGTCTACGAGTCGACCGTACTCTCCCACCTCACGCGAAGGCTGGACGTTGCCGGCCGTGATGTTACGCGGAACCTGATTGCTCTACTTCTACGACGTGGTTACGCCCTCAATCGCACTGCCGATTTCGAGACGGTGCGGCAGATCAAAGAAAAACTGTGCTACGTCTCTTACGACCTTGGCCTCGACCAGCGTCTATCCGAGGACACCACTGTTTTGGTAGAGTCTTATACCCTGCCCGACGGTCGTGTCATTCGCGTAGGCAGTGAGCGCTTTGAGGCACCAGAATGTCTCTTCCAACCTCACCTTGTCGATGTCGAACAGCCCGGTATTGCCGAATTCCTCTTCAACACCATTCAGTCAGCGGATGTCGATATCCGCTCGTCCCTATACAAGGCGATCGTTCTTTCTGGTGGAAGCTCCATGTACCCCGGTCTGCCGTCGCGGCTTGAGAAGGAACTCAAGCAGCTGTGGCTGACTCGTGTACTTGGTGGTAACCCCGAACGACTGAACAAATTCAAGGTGCGTATCGAAGATCCACCGCGGAGGAGACATATGGTATTCCTGGGCGGTGCTGTATTGGCAAACATCATGGCGGACAAGGAGAACATGTGGATCTCAAAACAAGAATGGGCCGAGCAGGGAGCGAGAGCTCTGGAGAAGCTGGGTCCCAGAGGTTAGACTGAAGCAGCCAATAGAGTCAATACGAGGTATGTCCTGCATAACAAAAGCGAGCCAAATGTCAAGAGAGTCGACCATAGCAGGGTCTTATTCAGCTACTGCTTCTTAGGCTCAGTCTGTATTCATTGACGCTTGCCAAACCCTATCGTTGCCCCCCTCCACAGAGTTCTCACTCCATTCCCATGTGCTGGCAACGCTATTCCCGCTAACATCGCACCAAACGCGTTTCGTCCTCAGAACGAAGCTCACGTAATCGTCATGTGATTTCCCCTGGATCTCGTGCCATGACTTTGCCATCGAATTCCCTCTTGTATCCGGAGGTCGCCCAAGGCGGCATTTTCTCAAAGACCCTCCTCAGACTTTCAGCAAAGGCTACCTACCGCCATTATTCTGCGCACTTCGTCTTTAATGTAACGTACTCTAAGCTTTTGTCAGGGTACTACTCACAACGATGCTCCGCACAGGCTGGGGGGAGGGGAGGGGTTTACCGCTTACGAAAGCGTCATGCTCGGGCTTGAAGCAGTCATGGCTCCGCCCGCACACTCACTGCCTTTCAGCGCTCTAAACAACCCCCATGCACACGTCTCTTTTCCCCACAGCTACCGCGCTTGCAGATGCTTTCTATTAGGTCACACTGGAAGGTCGATAAAGTCACATCTACCGTATGCTTTGGGTGAAGGTGAAGAACGTTCCACCTCTTTGAACCCAGCTCCATTTCTGGTATCATTGAGGCGGCAGTAGAAAGCCTACCGGTCTGCCGGCTGATGACTGGAGTTGGGGTATGATCCTCGTCTGATCGGACAGTCGAGAGGTATAGATGCATTCAACGCCGAATCCTGCTCCGTCCGACCGCTGCCGTGTGCCAGTGGCAGCAAAAAGCAGCGCTCCCATCACCGGTCGCGTCTCTAGGAGGCCGGATGTTGTATCTTTTCTTACTAAAGTTGCTGTACTGGGACTTCTGCATCCTGAGGAGGTTAGAAGGAGGGATCTGTTCCTCGCAGACGTCCAGGACGTCAGGGGCTTCACGTCGAGACCACCTCGATTCTAAGACTATAGCGAGGAAATGACGCTGGGGTATGGTTGTACAGAAACAGTTCAAGGGAAGCAGAGGTATGCCAAAGATCTCGCCCGGCTTCAGGATCTCCACCAGAATTCCACCCTGGATTTGCAGGCCCTTGTTGGTCAGGCTGTATGGCTGGTCGAGCTTGGCAGAAGAAGCTGTGTGCTGCGCTAATCAGGCGATATGAGCCCCGCAGAGGGGAGATGTTGTGGCATGAGTTGAAGGCGCGAGGGGATTCCGCAAGCAACGGTGCATATTGGGGCGGTTCAATTGTCTGCCACGCAAACATCGTTGCGTCATCAGTCGAGCGGATGAGCTCTTGTTGAAGTCCTGTTGAGGTCAAAGAGACTGATGAGACAGTGCGCCGTCTCCGGTTCGACTTCGGGCTCGCGAGTCACAAAGTCCCGGAAATCCCAATCTTCTAGTCCGTCTCCGCCGGGTTGAGGAAGCTGAATACCGGGTGTTACTTGTGTTGCAAACATCTTGTCCATGACGTCCCAAAGTTCATCCATCCGATCCTGGACTCGGTGATGAGTCCATTTGACCTTGCCTTTACTCTCATTTCGCCCTTTCTCTAGCTGTCCTGCCTCGATCCGGGGTAGAGTCTGATTGGGTAACCTTGGGCTTACCAGACCATATTCGCTTGATCATGTTCTTAACGTCAGTGAGTATTCTATCTGAATACTTGCGGGATTCTGCAGCGGGTCCTTCCACCAGCTCGTCCCACCGTGCCGTTGGCTTATCTGTGAATGATCTTCATGACAATCCTGCCACAGAGAAGCGCGTACCAGGTGGAGAAGAGCATCTGCGCCATTGACAAGTCGACCTCGCCTGTCGCCACTATCCCACAGCACGAAATATTGCTTGGCGGCAGTCTGGATGCGGCTGCGGTACTCATTGGGACTGAGATGTGATGGCCTCTCTTTCTCACCAATCGCAAAACCTAACCCAGCGTCACCGAACGTGGAGATATTGATCGTGATCTGTTTTAAGCCACAAGCGGACCCTTTATCATGGAGTTCGGATCTCCTGCTGTTGTATTGAGCTTCTGATAGACTTGTTCCCGTCAATATGGAGGTATATCAGGCAAACTGAGGTCGCCATACCTGTAGGATTGTTGTCTTCGTCGCACCAACCGATGATATTCCGGCACTTTTCGACCTCAGACGTAGTCAAGCACTCGGCTTTTGCGGTATTCAAAACAGAATGAAAGATGTGACTTCCGTCCCTGTTAAAAACGTGGTGCCAGACACTGAACCCGAACGCCACCTGAGTTGGAAATAGCATGCTGGAAAATTCTTTAATATATCTTACACCGAGAGAGGTCTACAATCGTCGGGTTCGAATTAGAAAAGTCATCAGCTCCACTGGCATCTCTAAACCGCAATTGGGAAGAGCACGTTTTGATGATTGGATATCCTCTAACGAGCGTCGGGTTCCGAAACAATTCACACCAGCAAGATCCTATAACTTCGCAGCCTGAAGTCTCATCAGCGCGGCGTAATTCCTCAAGACTGCAACCGACTGAGATACGGACGAACAGCGGAAATTTGTTGCTGGTCATTTCTCCCAGACCATGGACGGCGTAAATCTTTGATCCTGTGCCGGTAGAGGAGTTCGACGATTTGAGAGACACTGACAGCACCGCAACGTTTGAAGGGGTCGTGTCGAAGAAACAAGCCGCATTCGGACCTGCACCATTCAGAGGCAGGAACCACCTGGTGCAGGGTGGGTAAATTTCAAAATAACCACCAATCGCTCAATCATATCATTCCAGCTCACGTCGCTCGCTCTCCCTTTTTACGCAACTCTTGCGGCCCGTCCTCCCACGGCTTCCCCTCGCGCCAGAATCCTTCCACTACAGACTTTCGCCCCGGTCTCCCATTGCGCGGCAGCTCATTAAGCCAGTCCCATCGACATGCCTCCTTCCATCCCTCGACTTTCCAGTTATTCAAGGAGAGGTTCCGATCCGCGTTGAGCGTCGGAAGATGCTTGAGCAGACCGGGATCATGAGCAATGCACACGAATACGGAAGGCGAGCTGTCGAATTCAACGAGTTTGTCCACCGAGTGCTGAGCCATCGGCGGGTTTTCGTATTGAGACTGCTCGCCCTGGGCGACTCTGTAGAATGGAGTTGTTCTTCTTTTGTTGTCGTCCCGAGAATCAGAGCTGGGGACAATCGGATGATTATCGGAGAACAAACTGCAAGGACACGGGATGGGGAAGTATGGAGGATCTGATGAGTCTAAGGCGGTCGCGGGGATTTCATCCGGGAATGGAGTGGCCACCGTAGGTCGTATTTGCCCGATGAAATGGCAGATGTCACCTCCAAGAAGCAGGAAAGTGCTGTCTGGGCCCGCTGTCGTCCGAGCAAGTCCACATATGTGGCCCAGGCAATGTCCCGGCGTGTCTACATTGGTTGCCAGTCAGATGAATGATTTAAAGAAAACTTAAATTGAGAACAAGAGTATTGGAATGGGTTGTGGCTCACCAAGAAGATAAAAAGAGCCATCGCCAAAAAAGTCATAAGCGGAGAAACCTCCGATATGGAGGCCCGTATCGCTGAAATCAATCTCTCTCAAGGTACGACCTTCAAAATCGCTTGCGCAGACTGGCGAATGCGTATTCTTAGGGAAGCCAGGGAGCAATGCTGGCGAAGATTTGAAACCAGGCCCGACAACCACTTCGGTTGATGGCGGCAACAACGACATATCCCCCGTGTGGTCCCAATGGTAGTGAGACCAGATTACCGATGCTGTAAGTGTTTGCGGGTGGTCAGTCAAACAGTGCAGTCAGAAATGCCGCAACAGGGGCCCCACTGCTCTCGAAATGAATACTGAGTAATAGTGTCTACTCATGTTCTTACAAATTGAATCCAAAGACACTCCACAATCCTTTAGGACATCGCTGGTGGCTTTCTCAACCTTGAGACCTTTCAGTTTCCAGACGGTCTTCAGTACGATGTCTGGGTAGTTCCAATAGTCGACCCGACAACCGAAGTCGAACATGACTTTCTTCCCAGAAAGTTCGTGTTCGATCATGAAAGCGACACAGGGCAGATTGAGGGCATTGTGGCCCGCTTGGACGGGCTCAGCGAGCCAGCCTGTCGGCACAGCCAGGAGCGCCGTGGTATCGACCATACGTACGGTGACATGGTTGTTCGACGGTGGTAGCACGAGGTGAGAAATCGACATGTTGCCGATCGATAGAACGGGCGCGACAATGATCGGGAACAAATCTAGAGGAAATTCACGGCTGGGGCGAACGATCGCGTACTGCCCAATGTGTACTGTGGTACAGACTGCAGGTTGCGATATCCGAGGTATGGAGAGTATGGACTTTGACCGGGGTTGCTCCAAGCTCGGAATGCGGAGCAGTTGGGGCTAATGGGGTAATTCGAGTACGCCATTTGATCTGGGAGCGTCCATTGGGGAAGCCCTGGCGAGCACGCCCAGGCTAGTGGTCGGTTTGACAGTTTTCGTCCAACAGTCTCTGCAAGCTCTTCAACCCCATGATTTCGTCCTCAAGTCGTTTCCATCCCTCCGGTCCCGAGATGCTGAACTTTCTCCAACATGTTCAATGCTAATATAACTCTGAGGTGTAGCAAGGCTCTCCAACCAAATGGCGTTTGAGCTTTCTCCGACACAACGACGATTCTGCCAGTTACTCGACTGTTGATATCTTGCTTTGCTCGAGCTCCACCCCAACCACGATCCACGTACGCATCCTACCTGTAGTACCATTGGCAACACAAAGAGAATGCCGAGGGCAAGTTAATTCCTGCCCAACCCCACTTCTCAGCGGCATCTATGTACGGTGGATTGCACCTAATGTTGTGGAAGACATCATCTCCGCCCAGAACCAACAGGTGGTGTGAAGGATCCGCTCACTAAAGGCGATAGCAGCGCCAGATGTCGTTTTCGCTCTGGGGATTGGTGACGATACGAGGATGTGGAAATGAAGACCGCGTTCAAAGGCCTGTTCGGTGCACTTCGAGGTCGTGCTAATACATAACAAGGATTTCTAAACAATGATCTTTACATGGAGCTTATTTTGACCGCATTTGTTGCCCATGCAACAGCAAGACTGTAAAAATGTTATCGATGCATTTACCGGCCTGCGACAGGTATCGGCGAGTGTCCACAGCATCCCCAACTACTTCCCAACTTTTGCTTGGTTAGCTACGTCCAACGATAGAGATTCAACGACTCACCACCTGGTGCGTACACAGTTGCTGCTCCGTCGACCGGCAAATTGATACCACTGACGAACGCAGCTTCATCAGAGCACATGTAAATGGCTGCATTCGCAACATATCCGAGGGAAGTATTGGATTGCAGGGCTTTGCCCAGTGGCAACGAGGACTCGAATTTCGCACGATTTTCAGGAGTGTCTTCCACACCCATGAATGACTGGGCTCTGGTATGTTTGTCAGCGATTCTGTGTATGTCCGCAGCGTGCTTCTGTTTTGACTCACAGATTTGTGTACCCAAGAATCGGGCAGATAGAATTCACTCGAATTCCAGAATGCCCATACTCGGATGCCAGACCTTCGGTGATCTGGTTTGTCCTCTTGTCAGTAACATTCGTCGGAGCAATCGTGTCGAGTAATCAATCACCTTGTTCACAAAAGCTTTAGACCCTCCATACCACACCTATAAGACATTAAGAGATGCACGCGCAGGAGACGGATAGTCGTAGAATCTTACTAAACCATTCTTAACTCGGATTCCACCGACCGAGCTGATGTTGAGGATAACGCCGGCCTTCTGCTCCAAGAAATAAGGAACAGTAACAGCAGTACAGAGGTAAATGGACTTCATGTTGACGCTGATAACAGTGTCCCACTCATCTTCTGTCACCGTATGGGAGTCTTTCTTTGGATATGTCGTCCCTGCATTATTGACCACGATGTCAATTCTGCCAAATGCCTCTAAAGCTCGCTTGACAACTTGTTCCCACGAGCTTTTCTTTGTGACATCTGTCTGCTGGAAAATGGCTGTCTCTTCAGCCCGGTCGGACTGGATCTCGTTCGCGACTCGGACACCCTGATCGGCGTTGATTTCGGCAACGACGATTTTGGCACCTTCCCTTGCAAATGCTTTGGCCATCGTCTCACCGAAGCCATGTCCAGCACCTGTGATGATGCAGGTTTTCCCTTGAAGTCTACCCTTTTCCGACATTGCAGAAGGCTTGTCGTGTTTTCTCTCAAATTCCAGGGAATTTTGACGATTGAATTGGGCTGGTGTCAACTTGATTCAACGATGTCCAATCAAGTCAGAATACTGTAGGACTGGAAAAAAGATCGTGGAAGGGGTTTCTGCTTATAGTCCGCCTTTGCTCGTTCAGGGTTCCCTCCATACTTTCTCCAAAAGACATGATGTTTGGAATATTCCCAGTGAGGAGAACCTGCTGCGCCTGATGCCAAGTGGCGTGCTGTCAATTCATTCCAGATGGGCTGTGCGGGGAAATGCTACAGTACCGAGTACTAGACAACAAGTCGCGACACCCCCCACTCGCTCTCCAACGCACTCTCCAGTATCTCACCCTACTAATCAGGCCTGCGCATGATTTTTGGTCGGATCCGCCCAGAAACTAGTGTTCATAGGCGATTTCGTGCTTGGGTCTCCCGTTAAAGGCGTCGAAAACCCTTGCAGATCTATTGTATGCGGCATGGAGAATCGCATAGACGTCAGACCTGTTGTTGATGCAGGGATGAAAGTTAGCAGCTGAACGACTAACGACTCAGACATGCCCCTGCATGCGATATAGTCGGGCGTGACAAACATTCATGAACGAGCAACTGTCGACGAAGTAACAACTTCCGTAAGGGTCACAAGGCCGATTCCAACGCGTGCTGTGTTGTTTCGGGGCCAAATAATGAGGACGGTGCCATTTGCATTGGAACCCATCCGGTCGAGCTGGTAGTACTGTCTTCCTTGCATCGTGACGACGTGTAAGTAATTGCCGTGTCTAGCTCACGGTGCCGTGTCTTCTTCTCTCACACCGGGCCTGGACAGGGCGGGCGGGGCAGAAACTCGAAGTTGAGGCATGGGTCTCATTGGACGAGGCCATGCGCCAAAGCCCGGGAGGCAGACCTAAGGGCAAACAAGGGAGAACAAACAGAGGAAAGCCAACTGGGGCAGTCTCTTTGCATGAACCTCCTGAGCGGGTGGAGAAACAGTGCGCGATGAGAGTCCTGTAGCACAGCCGCTGGTGTCTCGTGGAGCTCTCATAAGCTCGCCTGAGGCGAGGGTCCAATGTATCTGGACGTGATTTGCAAGAGGGCTTGGAAAAATGTAGCTTGTGAGCATTTTTTCGGAGGGAGCGCGAAAGGACGTGATGAGGATTTGTGTCAAGGTTATCGAAGGTTCGAAGTTCCAGCACTGACGCTGGCGAGTTACACCAACGTGACAGTCGAGTATTGCTTAGAGAGGACGGGAGAGGAACAAAGCGGCAATGGAACTATAGGGGGGTCTCCATACTGTTTAAGTGCCCTGCAGATGTGGCGGCAGATACCGCCCCTTTTGCAATGTAGAGTCCTTGAGAACGACATTCCTGTGTGCAGCAAGTATCGATCCAGCAGTATTGGAATTCGTCTCGTCCAGCCCTGTCACAGGATGCCTGGACCTTGGCAAAGCCTGGCTTGCCGCTCAGCTCAGCTCACCGTTTCGGCTTGGTGTCCTTGAAGGCGAGCTCCACATCTTGCCAGCGATGTGACAAGATGGCGTAGCTGGGGATGTTGCTGTCGAAGAAGACTTTGAGCTCCAAGGTTTCGGAATCTAATAGGCGCATGATACGAGTTCGGGCGTCTGCTCCTCTCGCGGTCTGACCACAGCCAATCAATTTTGGGCTGCATCATGAAGATGGAGCAGCATGAACAACGTTCCCTGTCGCTGTTAAGGGAGGGGGCCATTCCAGCGCATCATATTCTGGGGATGCGGCCTTAGCCTGCCCGTCTCATTTGCCCTTTCTTGCATCTCTCCTCCCTGTGCTTCACCTACTTGTGACAGCCCTTGCCTCCTCTACCATTTATCTCTCAATCATTCTGTCTCTCTTATTATTGCTGCCATTACCAGGAGCTAGCATTCTGGTTCTCTGATGTCCAAGTTCGTACTATCTGCGCCTCAAGCTCGGTCATCTCGGCTTCGCTTACGAGGGCTTGCCCGCTCTCTGGGAGTCCTGCTATCAACCACGACGACAGTCTTTCCAAGACCAACTCTCGTCCCTTGGATTCAAGATACTTGAATATCTTGAGAGAGTTGATATGAACAGCAGTAATTTCCGTGTCAAAGTCCAACAGCGCTGCTGGCAACCAGGCAGAAATTACATCCCTTCGAGCACAACCCAACGCTGGTCCGACGGCAGAGCCTCGTAGATCATACGTTGAGTCGCCTGGACCGCCACCAATGAGCATGCTGGTTGTGAGAAAGTCCAGACGGTGGAAGTAGTTCATCAGCATCTTCGTTGAGTTTGCGAACTGGAGCATCGTCCAGGCCAGCTCAAGATACAGAGTAAGCTGAAGTGCCTGCGCAACATGGCTTTGAGGTGTATTGCCAATCTCAATTACCAGCTTGATCATCTGGGCTTGCAATCTTTCGCCGCTTTCGGGTCGAGCTGTGTCCGAACATGGGAAATCGACGGTGGAGCACAGCGGCTTAGTGGCGTGGAGAATATGCAGAAGATCAGCCTTCCATCTGCCTTTGACCGACTCCAGGTGGCGTCGACTCGAGAAACGACATTTTCCCAATGAAAACTGAGCTGCGACGAACCAAGGCTCTGTGTTCGCTAGGCCGGCCAAAGCCTTCTTCAGACTGCCTCGCGACCGAAGTATCATATCAGTCGCTGTCGCATGCAGATTCCTTGATCTCTCGTTGCCGAAGATGCTTACCTCCAGACCCTCAATAATCAGTGCCAGTATTGCTTCCTCAAAACGTGTGCTTCGAGCACGTAGCGCCTCGTTCAAAAGGTGATAGCCTCTTCGCTTTTGCAAAATCAATTGCTGACTCGGCGCCCTCTCGCCCCATGAGAAACGCAGTGTCTCGTCGGTAAGAATGCAAATCCATTGCAGTCCGACCGCAGAATGGCTCGCAATTGGTATACCAGTGGCACGAGTTGGCGAGTATCTCGGTCGATCTGACATGCCGAACCAAAAATTTCCGAGCGAGAGATCTGCTACGTCAGGGACACTGAGAGCCGAGTAAGCTGGAGTAGACTCACATATCTGCAGTCTCGATCGCTCATAGTCCGTTACGCCATTTGGTAAAGTGACAAAAGGATCAAGGGTCGTGTGGATCTGTCTCGGAAGCGAGACAAGAGAATCCTTGTGTTGCGCATTGTCATCCTGCGAGTACTGCTCCTGTCTGGAACTGTCGCTGGTGGAGGTGTCTGGTCCAAAAGAGGATAACAACGTTTCGGTCTCCCTGGCAAGCCGAGTCAGTGTCCTTGCATAGGCAGATTCACTGCTCGAGTCAGGTGCTGAGCGCTGCACCGATCGGCGTGCCATTGGGTAGAGTCGCCCCTGGTACCGCTCTTCTCTGCTGATACTACGGCTGCGAGGGAGGTGCTTATGGATATGTGACTGAACGTCAGATGTCCTCGAGCCTTCTTGCTTTCTACTCGATCCTTTCGAAGGCATGATGACGTTGAGTCCTTAGGCTCCTGCTCGACGCTGAAGAAGCCAGAGCCCATACTAAAGCTATATCAACGAGGGTGAAATTCGTGAGCGGTTGCGCGCCATTCGTCACACGCCTCACTCACGACTTAGTCAGAAAGAAAACTCCGCATTCAAATCCTGGATCGACCTCGGCCTGGTAACAACTGCTTATCTGCAGGACACTGTGTATGCTAGGCGCTTTCCCGCTGTACTTGAATACGTCGCCAGACTCTGAATCACTCCTTTTTGCTCCATAACTTGTTATTGTTCGGAATTCATGCTTGATGATACTGTCCTAAGCAAGGTCTTAGTGTGCGTTTAAGGACAGATTCACTTGATCAAGACAGCAAGTTGAGATCCAGAAACTCTGTCGGCTGCAGATTCCCCGATTCTCGAGACGTTGCTGAAGCATCTTCCTGATATATTAGTACTCAGCATTCCACTAGAGCGCCTTCCCAATATGGTAAACAGGACCACAAATCCGACTTGTCTAAGACCCACTTTCAAGAGGAAGGAGCCACCCACAAATGCTTGAACCGTCAAAACGTGGAGTCTACCTGCCAGAAAGAGTAAGCCGCCCAGCTTCATCAATCGCTCAGATTGCCGTCAAGGTGCAGCTCATATTTTCTCTGATATCCATGTCGGTTGCCTCTTTGAGCCGAGTTCTCATTTTCATGTTCTGTGCATCATCCACTGAGGTGATGCGAGCTTCCAGGACCGCTGCAGGGTGACTTTGAGCAGATCGCCATGTCTAAGGACAACCCACATACACAGTTTATCCTCTCCACGCCAACTGACCGTGGAGCATGGTACCAAGACAGAAAGCCAGCAGTATCAATCATCAACTCACATATCGCCAGCTTGAAGAGAAAGAAATCCAAGAAATCCGCGGTTCCAAATCAGCCTCAAAACATAAACATAGAATTGCCTCGTCAGGGTGACGACAACAACAGCATCTCCTCGACTATCTCCCTAGATACACCACCTCAACCTGTACCAGTAGATTACACTGGCCTCTCATTACGTGTACTGGAAGATATCTTCGCGAATGAAGACCTAGATACGAGCGAATGGCAGGATTTGGAACACGTCGAAGAAACGTCGGACCATCCCAACGCCTCACGACAGATTATAGCTTACAGCCATGATGGCACAGGTGCTCAGAATTCGAACCGAGGATCATCTCTTCACAAGCAGACACGATCGTCAGGGACTGCTTCGAAGATGTGGCACAATCCAAAGTCGACAGCAATAAGCAAAATCAATCCAACTATTCACCCGTCACGAGCGTCTCGCAAAACCAACACTGCTAAAAGCACAAACTCTCGTTGTGCATCTCCTCCGAGTGTGTCCAGCGTACCAATCCACATTGGCGGCAGCCTAGATCCCTTCCTTCGCTTGCCGATCCAAGTGTCTATGAAAGAGCGACAGCTGCTCTACTACTGTAGGTCCATAACCCGAGGTCAGTGAAATCCTTGCTAACTCATGACGAGTTCTCACCGAGGGACGTCAGCGGCTATTTGGAACTTCATCCATTCCGTTATACTGCCCAGCGGTACACGTTGTCAGGAACGGTGCACTTGAACGGCTTGCCGCATATGCCGAGACTCATATCGTTCTGGCTGAGCATACAATCTGCAAACTTCGAGGCACTCCGTTGTCTGCAAATTTCTTCCGTCGTCGGGCAAATGCTTATAGGTCGGTCGCAGAGCTAATGCGGAACCCAGATGCCAGCTTTGACGAGCAGATGATGGCGATGATGTGCATTATGCTTACCGAGCACTTTCTTGGTCGATCTGATCTGCAGCTTCTTCATCTCAGAGCCATGCATGACCTGGTGGAGCGAAATGGTGGTATACAAGCGGTCTTTCAGTCTCCAGACCCAACTTCTCCGGATGTTGGACCACTGATTGCGCCCGGTTTTTACATATCCCAGTATCATTTTGTTGAATTCGACTCCGATAGAACCAGTTTCGCTGCTGCGAAAGCGATCGATGCGTTCTTCTGCTATCTCAGCCAGATCCAAGCCTGGACGCTTCGTCACCAGGTACTTGGAGCCGCTTCGGGCGCGCATACGGGCGCGCATTCCCCAGTCTACACGTCAGAAAGAGCAAACAACAAGAGTCTCCTACAGAGACTTCGAGCTTCCTTGCTAGCGGCCGTGGACCATTACCTACGCGACCCAACAGCACCTTACTATCGGGCGGCTGGAATTTTCCACTTATTATTCTTCCTGTGCGCCAATATGACCGAGTTCGACCTGGACGCTGATACAGCAACGAAGTTCCTCTTACTATCGCAGTCATACATGAAAAACAGTGTTGACGATCGGTTCGGGGAGCCTGTATGGGATCAATCGACCGACAGTGTGGACCTTCGCCGACTCCATCCTGCTACTTCCATGTGCCTCATTGCTAAAGCCATGGAGGGAATCCAAAGCGATGAGGTAGGTGGGAAGTGGATCTATAGACCACCAAAGCAGCGTGTTCGAAGCGCAGATGTTTCTGTTGCCGAGGCCACTGTCAACGCCATGAAAGTATTCGCGCTACTTGGCACGTCTGCAAGGCTGCGCATAGGTCGAGGACTGTACCGGTGCTGCATGATAACCAGTGAGCTGACACTGGGTGAGAGTTTCTCTGAGGAAGAACTCGATGATCTGAAGCTGGAATTGGGGCGGGGACGTATCTGAACGATGGGTGTTGCACCAAAGCAACATAGACTCATTTCTGTCAGGTGGGTGCAGAGTGTTCATAAAATTCTCACACTGGGACCGCATTTCATGGTCCTTGTGTCTTCCGAAGAACCCCCCAGATCCACTCGTTCGTCTCCTTCTCCTTGCTAGCATTGGCGCAGTGGCCCGCATCGATGCCAGTAGCGTCGACCTTTCTCCCTCCGCTAGCCTGCTCAATCATGGCTATCATCTCTCTCTGAAAGTCCAGTGGACCAGCCACATCCCTTTCGCACAGCAGGTGACACCGGAATGTCGCAATAGCCGGCGTGGGTGAGCTCGTTGCCGAATGCTTTGCGAAGCCGCGCACGAGAGTTTCGCCGTCGGCGGCAGGGGGGTCTTGGCAGTCCATAGCGGCGGTTGCTTTTGGATCTTCCATGAGCATTCAGCCGTGGCCCTGTCACTATGGGATCAGTAAGGATGCACCGACGAAACCACCTTCAGTACCGGGAGGGGGGGTGGGAGAGGGGGCTCTCACATCGATCGATACAGCAGGTCTGCTACTATTTGAAAAGCGGCTTAGCAGCGAGCTGGCTTATTGTCCCAGTGCTGGGACGAGCGAGGCATAGTAGCCAAGGTGGAACGGTCCCACCCGGTTTGCCCTGCTGTTGCCGCTCGACTCGGCTCAGTCCCTTGGTGCACTGGGACATGGGTACTCCAGCGTAAGAGTGGCCGGTCAATACCACATCTGTGCCTTGGTCCGCGAGCTGCTCTGCCTCGTCCGCAATGGCGGCTACGTCGTCGTACATCGAGGGTGCCGGACTCGGGTAACCCTCACTGCTGCATGGACCGATGCTGGGTAAATAGATGCCATTGATCTCGTAGCCAGCTGCGGAAACCGCGTCGATGAGCGGTTGGTGGACGGATAGGACAACGTAGGACCCCGGAATGAACAGAACCGAATGCTTAGCCATGCTTGATGGTGCGGTACCGAGACTTGGGCTAGCGCACGTGGGTTCAGATCGTTGTTGAAGTCGAGGTTGATATATTCAGTCCTTCGGATAGATACACTTCGCTGGCTGCATCTGTGGGCGGCTTACCAATGCTTCTCGTTGCTCGACTCGAAGGCATCATGAGAGTACAGATTATCGAGGAATGACCCTTCCGATTAGCGCACCATCCGCCTGATGTCCACTCCAGCACAACCGACGCCACCAGCATAGATTGGCAGGTGTGCTGTATTGTTGACTGGGAGATATCGTGCTGCGCCTCCGTGGTTGGAAAAGGGGCTTGTCGAGGCGTCGCTCAGTTGGCGCCCGAGAAGTTTATTAGCGAGGAGGGTGCCACATATCCTGGAACTTTGGTTCGAGACCTCTCCAATTGGTGGCGCTCTTGTGTCCCAACTTCAAGAACTTTGGTAAGCCAAGTGCAATTCGATGATTGGAGACCTTTGGCACGACAGATGTACTTTTGTTTCGCTCTCAAAGAGGTACTGCTAGTATATCTCAAAAGTGCATAAAACCATGCGCTTTCTCAGCCTTGTTGTTGTTTTTCTACTTTGGTGGCAGGAACGATGGCCTGAGGAAATGGCGCTTTAGCATCTATGTCTATGTTACGTTCCGAGCCGTCTTCTACTCAGTAACTCGGATGGTCAAACCCTTTCACGGCGTCAATAATTCCACAACAACTTTGCCAATGGTGGCAATTCGAGACCTCCTCGGAGCAAAGGCATTACAGTAGACCTCACAATGAAGCGCTTCTTCGATGATCCCAGGCTACACATCGCGCGTCCATTCACTCACACCCCACTTCAGCATCCAAATACCAGTATCCGAGTCCTGAATCTCGCAGCGAGTTCTGGTGGACGTCTGCGGTTTTCCATGAAACAGCTCAATATCGCAGATCCACCCGAGAAGCGGCCAAGATTTAAAGCTCTTTCTTACACGTGGGGCACTGAGAAAGCCGACAAGGCAATATCCATCGACGACAAGCTGTTCTACATTCGTCCAAACCTGCACGCTTTTCTCGACAAGCTAAACACCGCACCATGGTTCAATCGCAATGATCTACTGTGGGTTGATGCCGTATGTATTGATCAGAAGAATGTCAAAGAGAGAAATCAGCAATTGCGCTTGATGAGCTGCATCTACTCCTCCGCTCAGGTGGTGCTGATCTGGCTCGGCGAGCTCGATGTCTGGCTTGACCCTGATGAAAGCACTAATGATGAGACTGTAACGGGCACAGCTGGGTCATACATTGCGGCACGCCCGTACTGGTCGCGATTGTGGCCTTGTCAGGAGGTCATCCTAGCAAATCAGGTGGAGATGATTATAGGAAATCAACAACATTCATTCGAAATGTTTGAAAACAAGGTATACGGTTCCCGATCCGATGCCGCTCGCTCTTTGTACATATGGAGATATCTGAATCGCGGCGCGACTTCGAAGCCTCGACTGATTCAGGCTGTGGAGGTATTCGGTCACCTAGAATGTTCCGACGCAAGAGACAAACTCCTGGCAATTTTGTCCTTGATTTCGGAAGGCGACACATTCCCCATCGACTACAACGACACAATAGAGGCGGTCTTCTGGAAAGCCTTGGAACACTTCAATGGCAAGTACGGCTCCTATCGCTATGATGACAGTGTTGCCGCAGGACTGCTCCTCAAGAGAACGTTCAAACTTAGCGACGTTCCAGAAGTTCCGAGTCTGCATCAGCTCAGTAACTCACGATCTCTCAAGAAGTCTGCTGGTTTTGAGACCCTTCAGAAATCCCCCAATATACACCAACAAGTCTCACCAGAGACACAGCTGTCCGGGATGACTAACAGTCCGACCACACGACATCTCTACCCGATCGTCATCAACAGGCTCGCTGACGATGCAGTCGAATACTTCAAGAACTTTCCGCGCATCAAAATGTGCCGTTGCACTAGTTGCAGGTTGATCGCAGATTTCAGGACCTGTATAATCTCCTCGAAGCCGGGGCGGAACACTGGATACTGGGTGTTTCGAGTGCCCTCAATCGACGCCGGAATTTTGATCTTCGCGTCTCCCAGTCGCAAAAACGGAGCAACCAACGTTTGGCAATGTATTGGCTTTGGTGACATCGAATCGGGTAGCCGGGGCAAAATGCGACTGAATCTGTGGCCTCCGCCCGGCGGGAAAGGGGCGGCGAGCCTCATAGACAGCTCTGACGAGAACGCAAGACTGCGCAGAGACACACTGGAAAGCCAAGGGTCGACCGTGATGAAAGTCGGGGCGAAAGTGCTGTTGGATTTGTTGAGATATGACCGCAACCCGACGCATCACGGTGCCAAGTGGGAAACGTACGAGAATCCAGACTTTAAAGATTGACTTATCTAGATATTTGGTGCCGTTCACCAGTTTCAATCAAAACTACATCCTTGTAATGCTGTGGGCGAGGCTGGGCCCCGTGACAGCATGAGAACCTGCCGTCCAGACTCCAGTTATCGAGACGGCAATGAATGCGGCGGTTTCAGCAAGCTGATAGAACCCCGCAGATGCATTTCTTTCTTCGCAAGCACTCGAAGGAGATATTACCGGCTGTTGGCTGTCTTGAGACCTCGAAGGTCGAGAAAAGGGCTCTGTCTTGGGATTCAGGTCTCGTATGCGATTTCTCTCCAGGTTAGATTTGTGGTCCTAGTACATTTTGTCCCCGTTTCTTCGATCTAATTGGAGAAGATCAGGCGTGGCTTGGAGAGTTGCCGTTTGCTGAATTTGCCTCACTCTCGGCCGCTTGCTCGGTGGAGTTCTCAAATAGGTACAGTTCGGACCGTACTCTAGATGCTCGTGAACCACATCTCGTTTAGCGAAGATTGTGACCCTATGCTCACCAACTCATTATGAACACCGCGGGGCTTTCGCTACAGCCATCTTTTCGCGCCCGACATACTTCGTATGCTCGAAGCGTTCTTGGACGTTTAGCACGTCCTGAATGCTGCATCGTAGGAGTGCCGCAATACAACAATTTGATGTAGCAGATGAGAGTCTATGTCAGCGTCGGGAGTCAACAGAAGCATCGACAACGTAGAGACTGAAGTAAGGAATATCCCGTGCATGAAGCCGGCTATACTACATACGCGTAAGTTTTGTACAGGAGCAACGAAGAAGGCTCAACCGCCACTCGTCTACAGACCATCACCCGATTGCTCATCATCGTTGTCCTTTTCGCTCTTTTTCGCTTTCGCTTTCGCTTTCGCTTTCTTTCGGCTATTGACCTTCTTTTCGACAGGCTGTGTTCCATTGCTGAGTGGTTCCATCCTTTCCAGCTTGAAGAGGAACTTGCCTTTAAAATGTGGCATGATCTTCTGACAGGAATTTCGACACGGCTCTCGAAACGCGTTTTCCAGTTTTGCCGGGTCAAATGTCGTCATATCTGCGAGATCGACCTTCGTAGTGTCAAGAGCAAAGCCGTTGATGAGTGGTATATCATGGTCCCGCCTGCGTTTGCACGAATTATCAGCCTGTGTCAGCGCTTGGGATTGGAGTCTCTCACATGTGCTGGCCCATCCAGATGTAGGAGAAGGTCTCGGCGCAGACACCATAAGCCGAAGAGCCCACAGTATAAGCGGTCTCGTCGGTGTCATCGACGAGTTCACCATCCCTGTTGACGTGCGTCAATAACTTATTTTTATGTGCTGGATCTTTTTTCCCAACTTGAACAAGATTTTCCTCATCGCCAGGCGGTACGGGAACTCGGAGATCTCGCAGCATTTGTTGTCGCGATCCTACAACATCTTTACCGCGATGACCTTCATATGACCAGTTGATTTTCTCGTTCGAGGGAATTGACTTGAGCTTTTTGCGCGACTCTTCTGTTTGAGGCTCTTTTTCATGGTAAACCTCCTTCTCGCCGCTCCAATAACACTCATCGCCACCTGGGGTAGCGCCAATTATCACCACATTTTCCTCGACCTCGGGCTTTTCCATCCATGAGATGTGTATCATGTTAGGCTGAGATGTTTTATCTGGCAGCAGCGCCCAGCACCACTTCCCAAAAAGGGCCAGCAAGGGTAGATAGAAATTGTTCTGTGTTGCCTTGCCACCATCCGGCTTGGCTGTAACAGACAGTATCCAACCGAGTACATCGAAAAGCGTGCGTACTGGTAGTTGCTTGCCGTCAAGTACCGCATCGTAGTCCCTGTAGTCAATGTTGCCATCCTCATCTTCACCCATGAAATACGGGTTCGTGATCCTTTGAGTCTTGCTACCGCTCCTCTTAGCTGAGTTCGTCTCTCCCTAATGGGCTGGGAAACTCACACCAGATGCTTCATGTAATCGATAGCAAAAGAATGGGACATGGTCTTGCTTTTGGGCCCCACTGTCTGGGCTATCCTGTTTCTGTCCACTTTGGTAATACCATACTGTGGAGGGGACTTGCGCACTCCTTTGAGCCATTCCAGAATCTGAGGTCATTCGTTAAGTCAGTTATGATTCGAGGTGATCTCGACTCCATTGTGCGACTTCCATTCCACAGATACACGCACCTGCTCTTGACTATAACTCCAAGCCTTCTCAATATTCAACTTCCCGGCCGCGCTGGTCAATATTGTGGCTGCCATCTCCCAGCAAGCATAAGTTGGCGGAGCTGTATGTTCAAGCTGCAGTCAAAGGAAACACCACAGGCAGAGGTGTAGTCACGTTTTTATAGCCGTTGCTTTTGCTGACCACAAGACAGCGTACGCCGCAGGGTAATCATTATCAGCACCTACCCGATATATAATTGATTACATCTCATAGAAGTCATAGAGCAATCAGCGGCCAATGCGATGTGCTAGGGGCTGTGCTCAGTAGCTGAAGAGCGCCGCGGCCTGAAAATACCCACTGTTCTTATAGACATAGATGTCTCGGCGCTAGATGAGCTGTCTTACTGCGTCCAAGTCGTTGGTTGATGGCGTAAGACTTACCGAGGATGCGGAAAGATTCATGCCTCGCTGACCCAAGGTCCAGGTGCCAGATTATTCTCCGGACTCACTGAATGAGGCTCCCTGTCATGCAATTGCAGTATTCATGCGAGGATGAGGAAACACAACGCTAAAACAGGCATCGGCGTCCTTGTTAGGCCAGTCTGGACCGAAAGAACGACTGCGATCATAAATGATTCGTTCCTGCCTTTCAGGTTCTGGATTTATCCCACAGAGTGATTCCTGCAGCAAAGTGCCGCGCAGAATGGTCTCGCTGGGCGAAGATAAATGTTGAAACAAGTGTCGCAGATGATTTGCCGTCTGCACAAGCTTTCGAGTTGGGGGCGGATCCGACACAGCCACGCTCCAGTGACGAGTCGTTCCACTTTAGTCATCGCCACAACCACCACCATTATCATCATCATCAACAAACCCAGGCACAAAGATTGCCCGACCTCTCTTCATTCAAGTTCACAAAAAATGCGTCAAGGATGCAACCACTCCCTGTGGCCGCCCTGAATCCCAAAATGAAGCGAAGTCGAGTCCTTGCTAAGCCCCAGTCGCGACTTGGATGCTACACGTGCAAAGAGCGCAGAGTTCGATGCGACGAAGCCAAGCCTGTCTGTCGGCGATGTGCTAGGGCGAAAAGAGTGTGCGATGGATATCCGAAACCTCGAGCTAATGATTGTTATCTCCTATCCCAATCTTTTACTACCAACTTGCAATTGGTGGCGCCATCGAACATTTCATCGGACTCGAGTCAGCTAGACCAATCCACCCGCGCGAACATGGAAAGGCGATGCGTTCGAGCTCTTGATACGACTGGCCTTGACCGCCCGGGTAAGAGTGCTTTACGAGAAGTCCTACGCTTGTGCCCCATGTACCCGACCTCCGCGATTGTAGCTCTTGAAGCCCTCGAAGCACTAAACGAGCAGAATGCCATTAAAAGACCGTCCCAATCAGCAAGCGTGGATAGTCTATATGGCGAATCGGTACACCTTTTGTCGAAAGAAATATCGAGCAACAGCTCTTCGCCAATGTCACTCTACATAACAGCCTTGCTACTGCTGGCCATCGAACTGCTTCAGCGACGGCGTCAGAACGGCTTGAAGCACGGAATTGCTGCAGTCCAGTCACTGTCCACATCCACTAATCAGCAGCCTGGGAGCCGTAGCATCGGCCATCTCGGCCGTATCTACGACCTACAATGTATGTTGTATTCCGAAGGTGTCCGGCTCCCAACGTTGGAAGCTGCAGATCCTCCAGTATTCTCCATCCACGAGGAAGTTGACTGGCGGCAAGTGGAATGCCGCAGCATTGAAGCCTTGCATTATGCGCAGGCATGCATCGCTCGAGTCTACCATGACTCGATTGCCGCAGACACCGGCATGCACGAGTCTGCCATATCAGGCTGTACCCAGCGGCTTGTCAAGTGGCGGGAGTGCTTGCAGAGGCAGTTGACTGTCATAAAAGATGCCTCAAGCAGGTCAATCTTACTGATCCTGCAGAATCTGTTCATCTTGACGTTGTTGCAAGTCAAGTGTCTCTTCGTCACATATGAGATGCAGTGGGACGCTCATCGAGACGATTACGATGCTATTGTGCAGAGCGCTGACGAGTTCTTCGCTGCCTGTGCCACGGCCAGCGACGATAATTGTTCGTCCTTCACACTTCAAGTCGGCGTCATCCCACCGTTGCACATGGTCGCTCTCAAATGCCGCCACCTTGACCTGCGCAAACGAGCAATCGCGCATCTCGAAAGTGCCGGATGCGAGGGTCCATTCATCGGTCCGCAACTGGCGGCTATGGCAAGGAGTTGCATGGAACTCGAGCGACAGATGACCAGCGACGGCGTCGCATCCACGGACGCTTCCGCGAATCAGTTGTCCTCCAAACTGCCAGAAGAGCACCTTCGAGTGGCGAACTGCACCCTACTCGAGCACAACGGCGAAGCCAATGGCTCAAACCGCTCGAGTCCCTTTACCGGGTGGACGACCGTAAGGTTCCTCAGGAGAAGAAAACCCGGCACAGTGACTCGTGCGCGAGTTCTAACATCGACCTCATTTCGATCTGCACCAGATCTTGGCCAATTGCAGGGCGAGGAGCTAGATCCAGAGATGTGGGAGGAGTGGACCGAGAAGATCTTGTTTGGAAAAGAGGTGGATCGAAAAGACCAGCTATCTCGCACGGCAAAGTTGGCTGGAATAGCAACCTCGAAAACCCCGACCCCACGTAACGAGCAGTGACTACCCGGGGCGCATTCTGATCACCATGATCACCACAAATCTAGCAGATGTTTTGCGACGAAGGTCCAAACTCGCAACTCGTACAAAACAAGGCGTCGACGTTTCTCCTTCAGGACATACCAACCGCTCGCCTATCGGTCATTAAGTTTGGCGCTAAACTTCTAACGGCGCCCCCTAGCGCCAGGGGTAGTGAGCGAGGTCGATCGGTCTTTTCCCTATGCGGCAGAAAAGTTGCGATAGATGGCATGCGTTGACGGGGCTGTGCCACACATGTCATCCCATATTGGCGGGAGCGCAGAAGCGCAAATCGCAATTCGCAAATCGCACCACCAAAAAAGAGATGAGTCCGCCAGAGCGATGAGCAGGCAGCAGGAGATTTTTGTTCTTGGGTTTTGGGGTCTGAAATTAGAAACTGGCCAAGCAAGCAAGCATGAATGAAGGAGGGTGACACCGACGGAGCAGTTATTATTTAATATAGCGATTTGCATGCATGGCAAAACGGCTTTTGGCTATCGTCCAACCTGCGACACTGCCCTACCACACACACACTCTCTACACCACACATATACACACCCAAGAAAGGCCACTCGTTCATTTCGTTGCGCATTCGGACACGCCCAAGAAACGACTATTCATTCATTTCATTTTCATTGCGCATCTATCTGGTCTGTCTGGTCTTTTCTGGTCCACCCTCCCAGACGAGGCAACCTCGACCAAACCCGACAAATCAAAATCCCAATCGAAAATCGAAAATCAAAAATCAAAAATCAAAACCAACATGCTCTCACCAACCTCCCTCCTCGCGCTCTACCTCCTTCTCTTCCTCTTCGCCTTCGCCGCCCTGGGCCAAGCAGAATCAAATTCCGATGCACACGCAATTGCAAATTCTGGCCTTGGCCCTGGCCGGAACGACCACGGCATCGATCCTCACGCCGCGACAAATGGCAATGCAGGACTTTCAGCACCGGATCACGGTGACTACTCAATGGCGCAGCAGTTGCTAAGGCAGGACGACGCGGATGTGGATACGCCGTCGGGCCTGTCGGGGGAGTGGCGGCGGAGGTGTGTCGGGTGGCGGTGTCGAAGGTCGTGGCGGTTTTGATGATGATGGGCTGAAGTAAGATGAGTTGAGGAGAGGGGAAATTTGAGGGGGGAGGGGGGGCCTGTGGACTGGACAGGACTGGACCAAAGTGCGAGGGGAGGAGAAGAGGAGAGGATAGGAGAAAAGGAGGGGAGAGGAGAGGAAAGGAGACGACAAATCGGCACTTATGTTCTTGGCTGTATTTCTTTGGGTGGTTGCAAATGGTATTTCAGAGAGTGCATAGCGACAGGGATGGAGGCATGATGGGGCGTGAGGATTTCGGCTCTTAGGTGTTCTTGTATCTGCATGGCTGCGAGCGGGCGTGGACGAGCCGCATTGTAAGCTGGAGTCTGGTCGCGAGGGCGAGGAGGTGTGTTTTGCACAATGTATGGAGTAAGGTCATCAAGAGGGGCAGGGAGCATTGAGGCGGTGTCGGAGAATGTGAGGACTGTGTCGTGGATGGGCTGTACTGGTCCGCATGTAACGAATACTTGGTCGTTCTCTGTCTGCTGCGCTACATGTCATTGATCACGCATAAGTCTCTTGCAGCCAGCTTAGCAAATCCTGCCCGAACTGCTCCGGTCCTGCCAGCAGTGCCCAATGACCACCCTGCCTGGTGACAGCCTTGACGTGTGGAAGAAAGCCAGCATCCACCGAAGCCTGCAGTCCCGCCGGCAGACACACATAGTCCTGCTCGCCGCCCCAGTACAGCGTCGGGACATTGACCTGCTTTGCATCTTCACGAATCTGCTGTTCGTCCTGGCTCTGGATGCCGAACGTCGAAGCCTTGTACCAGCAGCTCGGGGCGTCAAGACCATCTTTGCGGAAGCGGTCCATGAAGTCGGCTTTGTGGGCGCCTGTGGCGTATGGCAGCACGGGCTGTGTGCGACCCTCGCTGACGTACTTGCGCATGCCACCGGGCGTGGTCCAGTTGTCCAACCATGTTTCGGGCTTGCCGTGGGCTACGGTGTAGACCGACTCGAGGTTCTCGTTGCTGATTTTGGCGCCATCGTCAGCAGTGAAGAAATGCCAGTATTCAAAGACACCATGGCCGAAGGCCTCCTTGGTAGCTTTGTTGACGGCATCGAGGTCGAATTGCCCGCCGGGAGGAAAGTAAGTGACATTGATCATGATGACTCCAGACACACGTTCAGGGTAGTAGTTGTACAGTCGTTGGCACAAGACACTGCCCCAGTCATGGCCGACAGAGACGACCTTGTTGACCTTTTCGGCATCCATGATTGCGACGGCGTGAGCCGTCATGTTTGAATACGCGTACGCCTTCAAGTCCAGCGGTTTCGAGGTCCCGCCATAGCCGAGGCAGTCCAGCGCAATGACTCCATAGCCATTGGGGAGAAGATAGTTGTTGATGAACCCTGCCCAGAGGCGTGCTGTATCCGGCCAGCCATGAAAGAGAATCAGAGTCGGCTTGGACCCCTGCGCAGGAGAAGTGTAGTAGGTGTATGTCAAGCCACCTGTGACGTCTAGCGTCTTCTGCGCGAGTTTCGAAACGTCGAGTTCAGCCATTCTGTTGGAGACCCAGATACATGAGGTGGACAGAAATTAGCATAGCACGATAGATTTTTGACCGCCAACGGCGCTCATGGAATACAGCCTTAGCGAGATTCGCGCTGACGGCCGCAGCGTCTGCAGGTAAGACAAGTGAGCCGGCCGCCATAACTTGAACGGCCGGGATCCCTGACCGACGATGACTCGGCACCTCAGAGTCAAGCGACCAAGACTGTAGTATCGAGCGGAATATTCCGAGTGGGACAAACCCCGCTCCACCGGCGTCGAGTGACACCTCTGCTTCTCCCCCAACACAGTCGGGCAACCGGCATGACTGGCCCAGCGCAGTCGACTGTTGCCAAACAGTCCACATGGGTAATAAACGTTGCCTGGACCCCATACCAGCGTTCCAGGGTTATGTCATGTAATGTAAACACGTGATGTATTCCAAAGAACACGCGCGTAGCAAGCTGTAATACGAGTACCGGAAGCCGGTAATTTTACCTACTTGGGTTATCTTACTCTATCAAGCGCAATGTCAGCTAACGTTCTTACCCTTGTAGACTGTAGACGGTGTTGAGTGTCTTTCGAGATTTCCTTTGGAGATTCCCCACCGAGCTACCACAGTACGCCATTCTCCTGGACAGGAAGACTGGACCTTCTCAAGCCCAGGGGTCGCGCCGGCGGTGGGCCTCCATTCTCGTTCCTCGGGGGATACTGGAACGAAAAAGGATTGATCCCTATTGGCCCCAGCTGACTGAAACGATGGGATGGCAACGGCTGCAGACTGATCGACAGGACCGCATGTTAAATATGGAAAGGTGGCTTCACAAGGCGACCGTTAGGCGATAATCCACAGACGCAAACCGGACTGGCCCGCTACTAGTTTTGGGTAGTTAGTCGACGGTGGACATGATCGACAGCAGCCTCCTGAGTCCTTGGCTCCTTGGAAGGAAAAGATGCGACAAGGTGGAGGCAAGACGGGAATTGTGATTGATCTCGCTGGAAACGCGGGGAAGCTTGTCCAACTTCTTCCTGGGTTCTTCTCTCCGGCATCAAAGACCCGGAGTTTTGGTGGCAACTCTACTCCCTGTCGGCGCAATAGCTGAGACACAGATTCTCGTGGACTGTGTACTCAAGAGCCTCCATCACGTGCGAGCCATACTCGTTTCATCCTTGATCAACACCTTGGGCCAGGCATGACCCAAGCACGAGACCTGCCCCAAGATCAGCACGAGCAATCCTTCCTCCATCTCCGCCCAGACCACGACAGGCATGGACGTCTTGGACAGCCCCGCCGACGCTTGCTGGGGAAACACTCCGGCCCGGCATCTGGTGCTCCATGATAGACATACATAACCTCCCATTGCTCAAAGCAATGAGGTCCTTTCTTCTGCCAGACGCACTGCACCCGCTTCACCATGCAGACTGTACCACCGCAGGGCGATGGCCTTGTCACCTTCATTCTCACCATCGTCATGCTGGCCATCTGCTGGCCGACTCTCATCGCCCGCTTTCTCGTACGCATCAAGATTAAAGCGCTAGGTCTCGATGACTGGCTCATGGGACTGGGTCTGGTCATGTCCACTGCTTGGGGCGGCATCCTCATCGTCTATTGCTACTCGGGCGGCGGCTATCGACCCGAAGATCCACGGATTACCGACGAGCTCGCTGAGCGGACGCTCAAGGTCAGTAAAGTGTTTCCTCCAAACGACAACGCTGACCCTCCCCCAGTTTTACTTCATATGTCAAAGCCTATACTGTCCCTCGACGATCCCAATCAAGTTCAGCATCTGTGTCGCGCTCCTTCGCATCTGTGGCACCCGCTATGTCTTCAAATATTCCCTCTGGGCCATCATGGCCATCACCGCGGTCGCTGGCATTGGAAGCATGATCGGCATCGTTGCATCATGCAGCCCACCCTCAGCATTCTGGGATCCAACCAGCGGCACATGCAACGCCAGTATCAACACCGTTGCAGCCTACTTCATCTCAGCCTGCAGTATCCTCACCGACTTTGCCCTAGCAATCCTGCCAGGCCTCTTGCTATGGAATGTCCAAATGAAGCGGACCATCAAAGTCTCCGTCGGCATCATTCTCGCTCTAGCTGCCTTGTGAGTCTCCTCCCCCGCTTCCGATGCTGAAATTGCTGACCCAATCTAGTGCCTCCTGTGCCACCCTTGTCCGCCTCCGCTATCTGCTCGCACTCCTGGACAGCAAGAACTTCCTCTTCGCCTCCGCCAAGATCGCAGTTTGGACCGTCGTCGAGCTCGGCATCGGCATCTTTGCCGGCTCCCTACCTCACCTCCGCCCCCTGCTGCGCTTCATCCCTTTTCTCAACCACAACAGCACGGATGACTCGCACCAAGACCAGCACCACACACCTGCACAATACGGCAGGAGTCGCGATGGCGTCAAGATGTCGACCTTCAAATCGGCGCACGACCAGGGTGTTCGTGGACAATGGAACAATCTGCGTGATGATGGAGACAGCCAGGAACACATTCTTGACGATGCCCCAAGCATTTACACCGGGCCAGGCATTCGCAAGCAAATGTCCGTCACGGTATCGGGGACCATGACCGGGCAACAACCCCGGCCTGCGTGGCCCCATAAATAACGCCATCCACTTCCGCTACCTTGGACCAGCTTTGCAGTATGTTAGCTTGTCCTGAAGGACCACAACATCACCCCCCGTCATCTCTCGCGCGGGGTCACCAAGCTGCTTTACGAACCAGGGGGACGCGAGTGTGGTTGAACCCTTGTTCTAGATAGTGTGTTGATGATTCGTCTATACGCAATGCTCCAAAAATGTCCACGATGTGCGTTGTATCTACTGCTCCAAGAAACCTGCCATGCTACGAGGACGACATCTTGGCCTCTACGAGCGCTCCCGTGGCGCCATCCTCGCGACTGCGCCAAATTCTGACCAATTCCAACCCGGCCTCTGCCACGACCTTCTCGAACCCTTCAGCCGTGCGTTCCTTGCCACCCATGATCATCATACAATTATCAATGGCCGCGGCAGGGAGATCCGCCTCGGTGACGCGCTTCGGCATGACCATGTCGGCAAGCAGGACGCGCGAGTCCGGCAGCATGGCAGCCCGGATGTGCTTGAGGATGACGACGCAGTTGGCGTCCGAGAAGTCGTGCATGATGCGGCGGAGGTAGTAGGCTTTGGCGCCCGTTGCGGCCACCGGCTGGGGCGCGAGGAAATTGTGCACCAGCATCGTCACGTCCGACGGCACGTGCTTGGATGTCTTGGCCAGCTCGATCACGGGTGGGAGGTCTTCCATCACCATGCGCCTCGACTCGAGGTTCGGAAAGGAATCCAACATTTGCTTGATCGACTGGCCCTGGCCGCTGCCGACGTCCACAACGGTAGGGCGGTCTCCGTCCTTCTCGGGGTCGAAGAGCTGCCCGAAGTCATAGTAGCCGGTGATGGGCACCGCGTCCTCCTGCGCCATGAACCCGAGCTGGAACTCCTTGAGCCGTTTGGGGAACTGCGCCATGATGTCCAGCGGCGAGAGCCCGTCCTGCTTGTGGTGCGATGTGTACGGGTTACGGTAGTAATCGCCCGGCTCCTGCCCATCATTGCCGGACGTCCTTAACCAACTGTGAAACCCGGTAAGCGGCGTCAGTCCCTCATCGAACATGGCTTGCATGAAGTTGCCCGGACCTGGCTCTTGGCAGTACGCCGAAGAGAACTTGGTGTGCCGGTACTGATAGTCCGGCGTCATGTCCAGGAAGCCGGTCCCTACAAGAAGTCGAGCGATCCTCTCGAGCAGCGAATCTTGTAGCCCGGTCTTGGCTGCGAGGTCCGCCAGGCTGATGGATTCTGGCGGCGCAGGGATAGCCCTGAGCACGTCGTACTCCCGAAGCGTCCGGATCCCAACCAGCTCGAACATATTGACCGTATGGTGCAGAGCCATGTCCGCCGGCGCCATCATCAGCCGCTGCATCTCCTTTACCTTGGCCGTGATGTCCATACGGGCGGCGTAAGCCTCGGGTTCGGGTCCAGGCCGGTATGCCCCTACCGCAGCCGTGAGCTGACCGAGCAAGGTCTGCAGTTGAGCTGAGTCATCCTGGTGGGAAGCCATAGTCCGAGATGGAGCGTGACAGGCGGGAGAGATTGTGAGGGGAAAAGAGAACGGCGCGGGGATGGAATGCAGTACGATCCATGAGGTCGGTTCCCGTCAGGATGTGTTGTGGGAGCGATTTGCCGATGGTACTGCATCAATTGGTGTCTTTCGGCGACTTCGTCGCGCTTGGCACAGCTGCATCGTGTGTCCTTTGTATTAGCCGGTCGAGTAGAGTTCCGCTCCTGGCGACGGGGAATATTTCCCGGCTTGCCTGAATGCACAAACATATGGCTTGGCCATGCACAATCCCTGCTCTCCAGGACACATGGTCCACAATCTAGATCCTGATGGACGCCCAACGCTTCTAACAACCAACGGTAGACACCCTCTCTGGCGTAGTACCACCTGCCGGCATGTGCTGTGCCGTGTATGCATAGCATCGAAAGCCACCCCCGCCGTAGAAGCGCTGGGCTCTGGAAGGGTGGTGTGGGTGTTGATGTATAATCGCGGGCGCAACCCGACCGTCGTCGGCGCGCGACAACCACCAGCACACAGCTCTCAGCTCCGCAGCCTCAACCCCTTCCCCCCAAAGCGAACCGGCGATGGAAGCAGCCGACAACGACGACATCTCCGACTCGGGCTACGCCGAGTCCCTCAGCTCCAACGACAATAACAACGATGCCAACACCAGCTACGTGACGTCGATCGCGTCCAGCATCCGGCGCGGCGTCATCGAGTACGGCCGCGTCTACGCCGCGCACGGCCAGCACTTCTACGGCCTGCCCGTCGACGACGAGGAGCAGGAGCGCAACGAACTGCAACACTCCAAGTTTCTGCTGCTGTACGATGGCCTCTTCCACCTCGCGCCCATGTGGACGGCGCAGCCGCAGAAGATCCTGGATTTAGGCACGGGCAGGGGCTCGTGGGCCATGGATATGGCGGATCAGTACGCCAGCGCCAAGGTGTTGGGTTTGGACATCGCGCCCGTGCAGCATATGTGGGTTCCGGGGAATTGCGAGTTTGAGATCCTGGATATCGAGAGCGAGTGGTTGTTGGGGGATGGGACGTGGGATTTCATCCACGGCCGGGAATTGCTGTACTGTATCCGTGACTGGCCGCGGTTGATTGCGCAGGCGTATGCGCACCTGCGGCCCGGGGCGTATTTGGAGGTGTCGGGCACGCTACCGACGCTGGGGTGCGATGATGGGAGCTGGGAGCGGGAGGGGTCGGCGTATCAGGAGTTGAGTGAGGTGTTTTTCGATATTGGTGATGCGTTGGGCACGGATGGCTGGGCGCCCGAGAAGTGGAGGGCGCAATTGGAGGAGGCGGGCTTTGAGGATGTGCAGGAGCGCGTGTTCAAGATGCCGACCAAACCGTGGGCGAAAGACCAAAGGTTGAAGGAGCTTGGGTTGCTGGAAAGGGTGAATTTTATGGAGTATCTCAACTCCGGCATGGAGAGGGGGTATGTGGGTTTGTTGGGAAGGGATCCCGCTCAATTACAGGTTTTGCTGGCGCAGGCGAGGAAGGAGAGGCAGGATGGGAGCGTGCATACCTATGTGCACTTGTGAGTGTTCCTTTCGTGTGTGGCCTAGGGGCCTTGCTGACGTCGTGCAGTTATAATGTGTATGGCAGGAAACCTGGCCGCAACGAAAGGTAGAGGCGCCGTCAACGTGTATCATCAGGGGATCTTCATCTGGTGGCTTCGTTCGCGTTGAATTGCTGGCTGCCATGGGACATGAGAGAGTGTTGGCGTTAAATCGGGGGATTAAAAATCCAGAGCGGCAACCGAAAAAGGGGACTGGTGGCCGGCGCGCATCTGGACTGAATAATGAAGTATAGCATCTGTAACGGTTCACTTGCAATGGACTCGACTTCCCGTTCGGCGCTGGAATGGTGTGTTCTTTGATAATAGTCGAACATGTCTGCATGTACCTGTCAACAGCACCAGGATGCTGGCGACATTTCAGCCGGAAAAGGTGCCCCTCAGTACTGTAGACCCATTCGTCAAGATTGCCGAGACTTGGTTCGCTGAAGATGAGGTAGAAATACTTCAGCGTTTCTGCCATCCAGTAGCTGTCCAACTCCGTCAGTATGGAAGTAAGTGAAAGGATGTCAACGTACCTTGACATCGAATCCACCTTTCTTGGCATCCCAAATGTCACGGTCACATCTGCGAGCTCAGCATTGCCAAATTCCGTGCGAGTGAGTCGACTAATCTGCTGGAACATTTCCCAGGCAACATCTTGCAAGGCGGTGTTGCCAGTGATGCGGTACAGATAGAACAAGCTCTCGATAGCCTCTGGCCGCAATCGATATGCAGGGTCAGTAACAGCAAGTATACCAGGGGGCAGAAGCCTGAAGCTGTTCTGATCGTGATCTTCCCAGACACAAGGCTGTCTGTCGCAGATCATCAAATAAGAGGTCTCCGGCATAACGCCCAGAGGAAATGCATTGTACGCCCAGATACATCCGTTGGCCAATTTCTCGGCTATCGATAGGTGCTCGGGAACGTCAAGCAAGCGACTTCCCAGTGCGAACATACCTCCCGCGAAGCAAGATAGATGCTCAAGTTTCGGGTCTAGTACCGGCCTCGTACCCGTGGCAGCAACCGATGTGCCAAGAGCGAGGATGCTCTCGTTGTCAGGTGTTGCAGGTTGAAATAAGAGGTGTTCGACAATTGCATCGGTGGCGGCACGATACATCTCCTCATATGTAGACACTGCTCCGCCTACTAGTTGATGAGTCTTCAGCAAGTACTCGTACGCGGAGTCACTGCAGCCACCTAGGGAGCATGACGAACTAGGCATTTCTGTGGACAGGGCAACGAGCATCAAGATCTTGCGGCCACATTCCTGGTAGGCTAGTCTTGAGTTGTATGCCTCGCAGAGAAGCGTCGTAGAAACGCATATCCCCAGTCACTTGGGACAGATGCGTGAACTCAAGCGAGTATGATCCTAGCTCGGCGATGGTCGTGAACGAAGTGTTCTGAATTGCTCCCGATGCTGCCTCTTGCCACCTGAACTTTGCAACAGGCAGATGACTTGGAGTATCGAAAGCCGCCAGGAGCAGCTCGCCGACCTCTATCGCCTTGTACAACAAGGCGTGATCTCCGCTCAAATCGTATGCGGCGAGAAACGCACCGAGGTATCGGATGTTGGTCCCAAAAGTGCTGATTTCGGCTTCATGTGACCAAGCGAAGTCCAGAGACGTCGAAGCTTTGGTCGCATCCTTGAACTCCTGCATCAGTCCCAGAATCAGCAACGTGTCCAGAGAGTCCACCAAGGTTGTGGCCCAGCCGCCATATGCCATGTTGCCAGAGCCAGTAACGCGCGCGAGTTCATCCGACAGCCACGCTCCGTCCTTGTATGAACGCCAACACCGGAGAAAGGTCTCTTTGACGATCCCTCGGCGATGGCTGCGTATTTCCCTCTGAAGATCGGACTCGCTTGGGAAGTCGTATTGGATTCTAGGCATATGTTTTCGGTCGGCTGGCAGCTGATGAAGAGATGGAATGGGAAAATGCGCTTTTCGGCGGCTCCAGATTGTATCAGGGGGATGATCGAAAACCTTGGAGGGGCAGATTCTGTGAGGAATAGGCAATGAGAAAGACTAGGACGATGGCTACCAGGATGTAACGCTGGGCGAGACGTAATCCCGCCATCTCGTTGATGTAGTTGCCGTTAGTGCGGCGATGAGATTAGATTGGCATGTACGTAGCCACAAGATAGCTTCGATTCACATTGTCAGCGAGCGAGATCAAGACGAACTAGGCGCTCGTTCCTCAAGGATTGCATTGATACTCAGCTCATCACATTCGTAATAGGCGAAGCTCGGGAACGAGGTTCAACCTGACTGAGTTGTACCGTGCAAGATTTATCGGCAAAGGCAAAAAGTGTTTCACAAGCAACACAAGTTGTAGGCAGGAACCAAGCACTGTACGACTTCCAGTTATGCAGGGGTGAAATGCATCGGACTTGGCACTGAGCTGCCTCAAAGCTCGCTGACACGCATCCGTCGAAACGATGCGTGCTTTCATTAAGGGTCACGCAATATGAGAGATGGCTGGGCGAAGGGCGAAGCTATCATCGAGCACGGGCGACGAGTTCGGTATCCGTGCAGCGTACGGAGCCACTCTTGCATACCGTCAAAGAATCTGCTGCATTTTGTCTGGTCGAATATGATAAGAACACTTCATCGAGTATCTTGGAGTTCATCAATTGTCAGTTTCGAGCAAGGTTGATTTTAGCACTTCTTCGGCACAACAGCGGTTATTGGAGGAACCGAGTTGCAATTTGACATCCGTGCTGAGGGATCTGGGGAGGGGACGGAGAGCTCTGATCAGTGTTATGTGCATTAGGACAGTGTTATGCCTTCCAGTTGACCTTAATATGTGCGCTATAGCTCCTTCTTTATCGAAGATGCAGCCGATGCAATGGACGACGTGATAGCTTTTGCTGCCGAGACCACAGGAGGATCGGGATTGGGGTTGATGAGCTTGTTGTACAGTTCCGAGCCACCTTCTTTGAGTTGATCGATGACAAGGTCGAACCGAGCACCAAAGAGCCAAGCAACGCCAACCTGAACATGATTAGTGACATCCTGCACATTATTGAGCGGTGTACATACCATGATAGCAGAAATGATGAAAAGTGTACCGAACACCGCCAGTGAGAGCATGAAAACATCCGACGTTCCCATGCTTGTCGACTCCTGCCCTCCAGCTTGAGCCAGTCTTGCATCGGCACCTTCTTTCTGAGCAGCTAAGCTTTCCGGCGTCTGCTTGGGGAAGATGGACTCAATGAACTGCTCAACCTTGCCGCACGCAATACTGATCTTGAGGAAATTGGGGTCTTTGGGATTGTTCTTCTTGCGAATCGCGCGGATGTGTTTTCGGAACCGTTCACAAACCAGCTCAAGGTTCTGTGTTGACTCAATCATAATTTGACAGGCTTCTCCTTTCGTAATTTTGATGTTGCGTTCGAACATGGCGTAGTTCTGAAAGCACAGCTCCAGCGTCGCAATGGCCATGGTTTGAGGAATGGCGCAGAAATTGAACACGCTCTGCTCCCGAAGGCCGGCCAGGTAGAAAAGACACTCATCGGCGTGATTGAGGGCGTTCAAGACCATTTCGGACTGGCAGGCTAAGGCAGCGGCTTTGTGCTCGGGTTTGAAGAGGTCTTCGAATTTGTCAACATGCTTTCCCCAAATCTCCTTGGGCCAGAAGCTCCGTTTGTCGTCGAAATCTTCCCGAATGTCACGAATAATGTTGGTCTTCTGAAGGAACAAGCCCATGGAGTCGTGCAAGTTAGGGCGCTCGAGGAGGCGTGGATTTCCGAAGCCACTCTCAACAAACATGCGCGTCAGTCCCTCACCCACTAGACCCGCGACATAGTGGCAGTAGAGATCGTAAGCCTTGACGGTCTTGACACCCTCGTTGTTGAATTCGGCATCGAGGCAGTAGTCCGCCATGCCATTGCCCATCTTATCGCAAATATCCTTGATGACGTCCTGGTAGACCTGCTTCTGCTTCTTGTACTCCGCAATAACATATTGAAATTGGACCAGCAACTCTCGATCTTTCTCTTCCGGCCTATTGCCGTTGAAATTCCAGCCGTCGACCTCGAGCTTGTCCTTGAAATTGCGTAGTAGAGGTTCCTTGGTTTTTGCGTCGATAGACGTGTCGTCTTCAATGGTATCGAGACCTCGCAAGACCAAGTAGAAGAGGCATATCGGTATTAGGAGGTCTGGATGAAGTTCCTTAATGACGGACGCGAAACTGCGGCTAGTCAAGTCAAGAAACTCGAAGCATTTCTTCAGCTCGGGCGACTCTTTGGACTCGTCGCGCTCATGCACAGGGTTGTGCCAGACTTTCCTGCGTGTTTGTAAGCTTCCGTGCTCATTGCCCAGGACGGGTGTGCAAGTACCATTGAATGATCGACCTTAATTGCTGGACATGTACCAGGTAGTAGAGCACTTCGCTAGCCTTTGGCATCTTGATTGTGTCCCCGCAAGGCCGCAATTGGTGGTGGTGAGAGAAGGAGTGTAAACTGCAAATAGGGAGCGTAATGGTCTAGAAGTGGCCTCAAAGATCGGGAAGAGGTAGATGCGAGTCTTGATTACGCTCCGGTGGTCGACCGTCAACCTTTCTCTGGGCCGTCTCGCGTGCGGGCGTGGCAGATCCCCGGCATTGGGGAACTTGCGCGGCGGATCCGAATCGTCGCACTTTTTCTGACATAACCCTAACCCTGGCAGCGATACGCCAAGACGACGACAGCGCCGGCCAATCTGAATCTGATTTGCCAAGCAATGACTTCACTCCCGCGTGGCTCAGCCTGATCCTGTTCCACGATCAACACCGCAACTGCAAATAGCAGTATCCCGTTTGCTGCCTGACGCCTCCTCGGTTGACGCGGCTGCGATTTCGTATCTATTCCCCGGACAGTACTTGAGCGTTCTTGCCTGCTGCCTACTAGTCAAGAACATAGATTGCTATCTCTCTATCGCTGACGTGCCCCACCTACTCTTGTGCTTGATCGAGTTCCTCGACCCTCGACAGACACAATGGTGGTCGATACAGCCTACTACGATGCCCTCGGCGTGAAGCCCGACGCTTCCGAACTCGAAATCAAGAAAGCCTACCGCAAGCTCGCCATCACCACTCACCCGGATAAAAATCCTGGCGATGAGCAGGCCCACGAAAAGTTTCAAGCCATTGGCGAGGCGTACCAGATCCTTTCTAACAAAGAGCTACGCTCCCAGTATGACAAGTTTGGCAAAGAGAAGGCCATGCCGAACGCCGGCTTCGAGGATCCATCCGAGTTCTTCTCCATGATCTTTGGTGGCGACGCTTTCGTTGACTACATTGGCGAACTCACGCTTATGAAGGATCTTACCCATACCATGGAGGTCACTCAGGAAGAGGCGCAAGAAGCGGAGCTCGCCCAGCAAGCGGAGGAGAAGCTGAATGTACACGATGAGGCCCAGAAGACTGCGGCCGCCGAATCAGTCGGTGCAAAGGCTAAAGAGGCTGCCGCTGACTCCCAGCCCTCAACTTCTGCACCCCCGCCCCCATACGCTGCCGATGCTACTCCTGCCGATATCCCTGCTGCTTCACACTCGCCCGCTCCGCAAGCCGCTTCCGGTACCTCCACACCGCGCAGACAGTGGGGTCAGCAGGCTCTTATGGACAAGTCTGAAGAGGATGCTCGTATGGAAGCCGCTGGTCTGACCGAGGAGGAAAAGGAACTGCAGAAAAAGAAGAAGCGTGGTGGCTTGACTAAAGAACAGCGCGAAAAGCTCGAAGCCTATGAAGCCGAGCGACGGAAGAAGCGGGAGGAACGTGTTGATACGCTCTCCAAGAAGCTTATTGACCGCATCAGCGTTTGGACCGAGACCGACAAGGGCGCAGAGGTCACAGCAGCTTTCCAGGAGAAGACTAGGCTGGAAGTTGAGAACATGAAGATGGAGAGCTTTGGCCTCGAGATCCTACACGCCATCGGCACCACGTACCTTCAAAAGGCCACATCGTTCCTCAAGTCGCAAAAATTCCTTGGCATCTCTGGCTTCTTCTCTCGCCTCAAGGATAAGGGCACACTCGCCAAAGAAACCTGGACTACGATCTCCACCGCCATTGACGCGCAGCTTACCATGGAGGAGATGGCCAAGCTCGAAGAAGCCGGCGGTGCGGATTGGACGGACGAGAAGAAGGCCGAGTACGAGCGCAAGGTCACTGGCAAGATTCTTGCAGCAGCATGGCGCGGCAGCAAGTTTGAGATCCAAGGCGTGCTCCGTGACGTCTGCGACAAGATACTGAACGATAAGACTGTGAAGCTAGAAAAGAGGGTAGAAAGAGCGCACGCATTGGTGCTGTGCGGTACGATCTTTCAAAAGGTAAGTCGATTCCTTCCGAGAATGAGCCGGCTGAGGCCGTGCATCTGTGTGAAGCACAAACATTGACCTTTCGCAGGCCGAGCGAGACCCCGAAGAAGAAGGCGATTACATGGCTTTTGAGCAGCTTATGGCTGAATCTATGAGAAAGCAGGACAAGAAGGGAAAGCAAAAAGAGGAGACTACGAAAGCTGAGAAGGCCGAGAAAGAAAAGCACGGCTTCTTCCACCACCACGACCAGAAGACCGCCCCTCCGTCCTAGACCGCTTTCCCGTTCATCAAATCGGCTGCAGCTTCCTGGCACCGAACATTGGTAACTGTGACGCCATCGTCTGCTGCGGCCAGATAGGGTCTCAACTTCCAGAACCTCAGGGCAGACACGCCGGCCCGTGGGCCAGACATCTATGGTCTGGTTTCAGACGGTCTATCGCGCCCGAAGTGGCCGCGCAACGAGTCCGAACCAAACGCGCGACCGCCATCGGGTACAAGAATCGCCCCTCAACAGGGCGCCGTTCGCGGGGCGTGGCTCACAAGCAAGTCCCATCTGTTCAGCAAGGACGACGTTGCAGCACGTTGGATAATAGACTTGAGCCAAGACGCAGATTGTAGGTAGATGCATAGATTTGAGCGGCAGCGTCCCGGCGCCGCTTGTAATACGATGAAAGACTTCACGACTCCCACACCATCAGCCACTCTGCCTACTGTATCAGCAGCCGCGCTCGACGAGGATACATATCCACAGTCCTTCGTCTCAAGAGTCGACTGGATGTGGCATTGTGTCAGGCAGGCGCAACCCTCGAATACAACGGCCAACCGCTAGCGCGCCAGTGAACAGTTCACCTTTACAGTAGCCAGATAGGAGTCAGTCTCGTTCCCCCTCCCATGAACATGAAGCAGCGTGATGGCGTGCCCTGGGGTCAGAACAGTTGAAGTGCCACCGCCAGCCTACCTAGTTCGTTAGCTATATACAATACTTGGGCTCTCTATCCCCCTCTCCCTGACCGATCTACCCTTCAAGGGAATTGACTCGCTCACGACGACGACGTCCCGTTCCCTTCATGTCTACGTTTGAATGCCTGCCTAGGGTCTGCACATGCACAAGCTGTATATCCGTCGGCGAACGCCCAGCTCAGCTACCTGATACCGTGCATATCTCCAACCCACGACACACTTTCCTTCATCTTGACCTTGACCTTCATCTTGACCTTGAGCTTGAGCTTGGCATGCAAGCTCGCGGGGAAGCAATTCAGTGTTCACATCCACTACTACCCGCCCCGTGGGGCTTTTTAGGTCCTGCCCTCAATGCTCAAGCTCCGAATCGATCAGCCAAGCAAGGTCTAGACATGTGTATGTTTCTGCAACACCGCACTCAAACTGTAGGGTTAACTCGGCATGGGTCACGGACACGGACACGGATACGAAGCAAAGAAAGGTCACAGTGATAGGGAGACGTGGACGTTTGTCCTGACGGGAGGGCATTGCGAATTACTTCGGAATTGGAAGTTCTGGAGATTCTCATTCCGTCTTTTGTTTCATGTCCATGTCCTTGTTCGCGCACAAGCTGATCCTTCTTCTCTTTTGACTTGATCTTCTTTCCTGTATAGCGCAGCTTCCCTACCTTTTCCCATCTCTTCGCGAGCATCATTGAGTTGGGGGATGGTGGGGGGTATCGTACAGACACTGCGAAAAATGCAAATATAAACGCCAGCCAAAGCCAAGCCAAGCCAAGCTAATACAACACGGTGTATTGGTCGTGGCAGAAATCAGCAGTCTCAATAGAGGTGAGATATCCAATAAATAAGTTCGCTTGATAACAAAACACAGGGTTCGACACATGATTTGGGAGTCCCGTCCTTTCTCTTTCGCTTCATTCTTCCCCTCTCCTGCCATTATAGTCATTAGGTCGTGACGCGGTTGTAGTTGGTTGTGGAATAAACACAAGGGATTTCTGCCATGATTGTTGGCCTCCGGTCATGGTGGTGGGCAATAGCGGTCTATTCGATGTTCCAATAGCTGATATGGTTGCCGACGTCGCCCAACTGGCACCTCCACCCCGTCTTCACAACGACTCAGGATCCTGCTCTTGAAGCAGCCGGTCAAGTTCATCGAGAGCAGGCATGCTTTGGCTCTGTCCAGTGTCGTGAGATGGCGACTGATTCTGAGACGGTGATCCAGTGGTATCTTCCAGTATGGCGCTGTCTCTGCTGAGCGGGTTCTGACTGACCCAAAGTCCGCCCTGCAGCCAATCGCCGATTTCGACTCCAGGGCTCAATAGCCCTTTTCGCGCCTCGTCCCCTTCATCGTTATTCACCTCCGTCTCATCATTGGTAAGCACCCTTCCGCCGATTCGAACATCACCTATGTTCACACGATACTCCAAAGCTTTCGTGCCATCACGGATCAACTCATCCGTGCAAGTTAAGCAGCGTTTGATGCTTTGACTGAGCTTTTGCGAATCAAGCAGCATCTGCTGGTGCTTTGTGAGATCCATTATAAGGCGCTTTTCATCGCGTGCTCTTTGCCGGGCTCGTGTAGTCGGAGAGGTAACTCCAGAAGATGACTCGTTTGAAAATGCATCCAGATCCTCCTCGTCAAGCTCTTCGTCTTCACTATCGGAGAGTGAATGTTCAGAGACATCATCAAGTTCAGGAAGAGTGCCAAGGGTACTATTGCTGACATTCCGGCCTGAAGGTGCGAAACTCAGGCGACCAGAGCGTGACAGGCGCCGAAAACGACGGAGTTCCACATTTTGCTTGCGCAGCTCACGCTCGAGAGTCTTGTTGATGGCAAGTAGAGAGGAGTTGGAAATCTCCAAGTCGAGCACTTTACGCTCGCGGCGGGCTTGAGCGGCGGGGTCGGGTGGGTTGTTCGACGGTGGAAGAGGAGGCGATGTTGGCGGTAGAGCCCCTGTAGGGTCGGGGGCTGAGGATTGAGGAGCATTGAGCATTGGATCAGAAAGCGCTGCAACATCGCTTGGGCCTGAGCCAAGGCTGACAGAGCGTGGACTGGTCGAGTCCGGGGACGCAGTCGGTATCAGTAATGAGTCCAACGCGGTTGACGCGGCTCCCAGACCTAGGCGCTCTTCAAGTGTTGGAATGGAGATCGGTCGAGGGGCGCTTAGTTTTCTGGTGGGTGTAGAGGTCACTGAGTTGGCGCTCATTGACTTCCTGTGGCTCAGTTGCGGGTCTTTTACGTTGGATGCATTACTGCCTAGGCTTCCACGACGTTTATCGTCCAGAGGCGTTGCGACAGCCAGAGGCTTGCCTCTGACATCGTTGCCTTTCGAAGTAGGTCGTGCGAGCTGGGGGCCTTTGGCCGGGGACCTTGAGCGGGTAATTGGGCGCCCGGGTTTGCTACCGAGCTGTGGCGATCGAGCAGCTACAGAGGAAGCTGGTGTACTCCGGGGCTGAACTTCCGACCGAGCGCCCGACCTCTGAATGTTCGGTCGAGCTTCGCGGGCATGGAAGAATTTCTCGTCAACATTGCTGCCCGTTGGGCTGTGATGCGGTTTGCTCGAGAGTAGTCTGGGTGACGTGAGAGTCTCTGGTGGGCTGCCGACGTAGAAAAAGTGGCCGTTTGATTCTGCGGGTGGCTTTTCGTGGGCAGAGATGTGGTATGACTTCGCATCTCCAGCACGGAAAAACTTTGCATCATCCTGCTCATCGGCCTTGACCGTACTTCGTGCTCCGGATACTCTTCTGGGGACAGTATAGATCGGTGTGGGCGAATTTGTTGGGTTGTGAACATTGCCCAATGGCGTGGGAGTCGCCTGCACTAGTGGGCTGTGAATCCCTAGTCCTTGCTGCGAAGGAGTGGATTTCCCACTTCCATTCACATTTGGTCCAACACTTCGAGGCGCGGCGGCAGTCCTGGTCGCAGTCGGGGTATTCGAGGGCGATTCTGTACGAGACTTGCGAGCTGCAGACCGTGGTGTGATATTGCCATCGAGTGACGGAACATCCTCCTTACCCGGAGAAGGCTGCCGTACAAAGGCTGTCCGTTTCGCGGTGGCGTGGGAGTTGTGGCCTGCACCGGCGAGTTTTGGGGTCAAGGGGCTCTTGGTGGAGCGGAAGTTGGAACTGAGGGCGGGCGTGAATGGCTTCCCATTCTGTTTATCGGGGGGCATGCTAGGAGCGGGGGAATGCCGACGGTTCGGGATATGTGGCTGCTCGAGCATCGCTATTCGAGCATGGCAGGTCGAAAGTCGCACTTCTCATGTTGCACGGATGTTGTGCTGGGGGCAGTGACTGCGGCTCCATCGACCGTTTCGAAGATGTCAACATGTCGACACTCGCTCGCGGCTCGGCACGGCTGCATCGAGTCTAGCCTGCACGATGATGAATGCCAAGAAGTGCTTGCAGGAAGGCAAGACCGCGCGCGCTTTCCCCAAAACGCGCCCACTCAATTTGACGCGTTCTGCTGAGACCAGGCAGCTAAATCTAGTGACGCCGTAGGTCGCTGCTTACCACCACCTGCATCAACATCGACGGCTGCGGCAACTCAGCTACAGCAGAAGATGGCTACGGCACCACGATGACGCCCGAAGAAGCTGAGGCCATTCTCAAAAAAGCCACACAATCGAGCAATGATGACGCCGCCATTGGCCCCTCCGAAGAGGCTATCGTTGCCGCCATCGAGACTCTGCCCGAAGCCGAACAGCATTCACTCAAGCATCACCTGTTAGGTCCTTCATTGACAAAAGCTGGCCAAGATGGCGTGGATCAGAAGAAAGTATCGGAGATCATCTACGAAGCATCTAAAGGCTCGAAGTTCTTCAATAATGAAGAAAAGAAAGACAAGAATCTGACCAGCAGAATTGAAGGCATCCTCAAACGCAAAGCCGAGCTCGAGAGACTGGACCTCAAACATGAGCTGCGCAGGGCAGACGACTTCATTGCATCGCTGGAACTGTCTCGCGACCTTTCCCAATATGTCGTTCACATCGACTGTGATGCCTTCTATGCAGCCGTGGAGGAGATTGACCGACCAGAACTCAAACATGTCCCTATGGCAGTCGGTGTTGGTGTTGTCACAACGTGCAACTATGAGGCCCGGAAGTATGGTGTCAGGAGTGCAATGGCAGGTTTCGTGGCGAAGAAACTCTGCCCGGAGCTCATTAACCTGCCACTCAACTTCGACAAGTACACAGCCAAGGCCAAGGAGGTGCGCGCCATCTTTGAAGAATATGACCCTCGCTTCGAAAGTTCGAGTATCGACGAAGCCTACATGAATATAACCAACTACTGTGACACCCAGCACCTCGACCCCGAAACCGCAATTCAGCAGCTGCGAGAGGAAGTTCATGAAAAGTGCAAAATCACCATCTCAGCTGGGATCGCGCCCAATGCCAAGATCGCAAAGATCTGCTCCAACAAGAACAAGCCAAATGGCCAGTTCCGCGTACCTAACGAACGAGCAGCCGTGATGGCCTTTATGGATAGTCTGCCTGTGCGAAAAGTCAATGGAGTAGGAAGGGTACTGGAACGTGAGCTCGACGCCATTGGTGTCAAGACATGCGGCGACATCTACCAGTACCGTGCGTACCTCGATCGACTGTTCGGTCAAAAGACATATGAGTTTCTCCTTCAGACCTATCTCGGACTTGGCCGTACAGACATCCATCCGGCTGATGACTACGAGCGCAAAAGCGTCGGCACAGAATCTACCTTTCGAGACATCAGCACCAAAGAGGATCTCAGGGCCAAACTTCGCCATACTGCTGAGGAGCTGGAGAAAGACATGGCCCGCGTCGAGGTGAAAGGACGCACTCTCTGCCTGAAGGTCAAGCTGCATACATACGAGGTCTTCACGCGACAAGTAGTGCCTCCTAAAGCGGTCAGTGTAGCCGACGATCTCTACAATTTCTCTCTGCCGATGATTGCCAAGCTGGAGAAGGAGTTCCCAGGCATGAAACTGCGTTTGATGGGTCTTCGCTGCACCAATCTTATTAGCACGAAAAAAGACAATGGTGATTTCTTTAAGCCGAGGATTGCCAAGCAGCACCCCACAAACACCAACGGCAAGGGGAATGAAGCGGATGAGTGGGAAGTCTGGCCAGACGAAGAATTCGAAGAAGCTGCACGGCGGGAGCGACAGGACGAGATGGACGAGCTTGAAAGGCTGAGTCAAGAGCACGAAAAGAGTGGTGCAGACTGGCACGAGCCGTTCGGGCGGTACAAGTACAACAGCGCGCCTCCAACCCCGGAAAAGCACAAGCCACCAGCAGAGTCGGGCCGTGTTGAGGAATTATGGGAATGTCCTATCTGTGCTGTTCCTCAGCCCGCCAATGACCGCGATTTCAATGCCCACATCGATCTCTGCCTCTCGCGACAAACGATCAAGGAGGCGGTGGCAGAAGCTGCGCCGTCGGAGGAAGCAAAGCGATCACGGAGGAGTAGTCCAGAAGTGCCAAACCGTCCACGGTCAGCGATTGGCAAGCGAAAGGCCACGATCGCCGCCGAGGTGCAGGGGCCGAGACAGAAGAAGTTGTTTTTTGCATAGCACAGTATAGCATAGCGATACCCTGATGTGACACGAGCGCAGCGCCCATGAATGATAGACTAACAGCATGATGCTAATAATGAGACATGAAATTTTTGAATACCCAGCCACGGCTGCTACTGCTGCTCAGTACGACTTTTACCTATCTACCCGCCCCCCCTCCTGCAGACTCCCGAGCCTTTTGCCCACCCATCCAGCCCCTCCCTAGTTCCACTCATCCTCGATAACATGCTTCGCCAACTCGACATTCCCCCGATAATCGACCCTCACGTCCACGACACTGACACCCTCCCACTGCAGCGCCTCCCGCATCACCCCATCCAACTGACTCACATCCTCGACCCTGAAGCCCTTCGCGCCAAACGCCTCGGCAAACCTGACGAAATCGACGCCGCCCAGCCTCACGCCGCTGCTGCGCCCGTACTTCATCTCCTCCTGGAACTCGACCATGTTATACGCCTCGTCGTTCCAGACAAAGTGCGTGATATTGCACTTTTGCTGCACGGCGGTGCTGAGTTCCTGGCTGGAGAACATGAAGCCGCCGTCGCCGCTGAGGCTCACGACTTTGGCGCTTGCGGGGGGGGACTGGGCGAGGGAGGCGGCGATGGCCCAGGGGAGGCCGACGCCGAGGGTTTGTTGGCCGTTGCTGCAGAGGAGGGTGCGGGGGGCGTAGCTGTAGAAGAAGCGGAGCATGTAGATGTAGACGGTGCCGACGTCGACGGTGACGGTGGTGGTGTCGGCGAGGAGGGATTGGAGTTTGGAGACGAAGAGGAGGGGGTGCACGGGTCCGCTGGTGGCGAGGAGTTCCGGGCGGGAGCGCCAGGCGGTGTGTTGCGACTGGAGGGATTTGAGAAACGAGGAGCCTTGTTGGTCGGCGGTCGACTGTAGGTGGGTGGCGATGTGGTTGACGTTCTCGACGATGCTGCCGAGGAGTTCGATGGTGGGGTGGTAGTGCTGGCCGTAGTCGCTGGGGGTGTAGTCGACGTGCACGACGGGGAGCTTGCCGTCCGGGTTCCACACGTTGGCGTCGTACTCGACGGGGTCGTAGCCGATGGCGAGCACACAGTCGGAGCGCGCCAGGAGCTTGTCGCCAGCTTGGTTGTGGAAGAGGCCGACGCGGCCGTAGAAGAGGTGGGCCAGTTCGCGGCTGACGGCCCCGGCGGCTTGGAAGGTCTCGACGGTGGGGATGGGGAATTTCGTGAGCAGCGAGCGCACCGCTGAGACGACGAGTGGGGAGGAGGCGCGCATGCCTAGGTAGAGGACGGGGTGCTTTGCGTTCTGGATCATGTCGATGACGGCGGAAAGCTGCGATGTTGGCGCGGGTCCATAGCGGGGTGCCGCGAAGGCGGCAGATGGGAATGGAAGAATCTTGGACTTGAGCCTGGCCACGTCCGCTGGAATGGAGACGACGGCGGCACCTTTGGGAGAGGAGGAGGCGGTGCGGAAGGCGGAGAGGATGATCTCAGCGGCCTGATCCTCGACATCGATTCCTGTGGCGGCTTTGGCGGTGGGACCGAGGATCTCGAGGGCTTTCATGCTTTGATGAGTGCGCTTGGTGTTCATCAGGCGGGGCACGGAGCCGATTAGAGCGACGACAGGGTCGCCTTCTGTAGTTGCAGTGACGAGGCCGGTGGCGAGATTGGAGGCACCAGGGCCGCTGGTGGCGATGCATACGCCTGGAATGCCAGTGATGCGGCCCATGGCAGCGGCCATCATAGCGGCATTCTGCTCATGACGACAGACGATGAGCTTGATCTCGGGGTGGTCTTGCAGCGTATCAAAGATGGCATCGATCTTGGCTCCGGGGATACCGAAGACTACGCGCACACCGGCGGCATAGAGGCTGTCGACGATGATCTGGGCAACCTGGGCTTCCGCCATGGTGACAATTCTGGCCTCTTGGGACAATTTCGAAAGACCGTTGGGGAGAGGTTGCAGAAGGATGCCGGCTCCCAGCTGGGGCTGATGTCGGTGGGAGAGGTCCGATGAGTGAGCAAGAGCTGGAGTTGACCTATAATACTATCAAGTTATGTGAGCCCTTCGACAACGGTAAGCTCTGCGGACGAGGTCACAATAAGGCTCAGCCGTCTGTCAGGTTTATGTAAGTGTGCGTGGTGGTGGTTCCCTTTTCCGTATTGGTTGATGCAAGCATGACGCACGAGGTGAGGTTAACCTAGACGACCTCTCCCACATGCAACCCACCATTCCGCCTGTCGCCGAAGCGGGTCAGAACGGTGCAGAGCTTGTCGAGCTTGTCCCTGGAAGCTCTGGTGAGCCTCAAAAAGCGTGCTCATCGTCCTCCGGCCTGAACACCGACCCAGCAAGCGTGCGCGATATTGTGAATGATCCGAAGATACCCGGGTTACGCACGACTGAAAGCTGCAATCCGCATTGGGACGAGGGTCAGGCCGCTTTACACGTACTCACTTCTCACCCCGGAACGACATTGGCGGCTAGGCCTATCGGTGGATTGGTCTGCTAGTGTCGTATAAAGGTGAGCGATCATTCCAAGCCCTAGTCCGGCCATATAGATACTATTTAGCTGACTTGGCATTAAGAACTTGACCATATTGTCCTACTACAAGCGCACTTTAGGCACCAATTTGTATCACTCTTGCTCCTCCTTTCGCGTCTTATAGTCTGTGTAGCCCACTTCACGCTTACTAGTCGGCCCGTAGAATCTGCCCCGGTCATACATCGCGAGCTCCCTCCCCTGTCTCAACCTCTCCACCAAGTCTGGATTACTCACAAACCACCTGGCAAACACACACGCATCGACCGTCTTTCCCGTCTCCACGACTCCCCAACAGCTATTCTCATTCCACCCACCAGCACTCAAGATCGGAGTCGGCCCCAAGATCTTCCTGGCAAAGGAGAGATCAAAAGCCATCCCCTCGGGCCAACTCTGCCTCAAACTCTGACTCTTGGCGACATCGTCCTCCCTTGCCTCCACGAAGTGCACGTAGCTGATCCTGGGGAACCGAGCCCTGATCTCGCGCAGCAGGTAAGTATATGTCGCCCAACGATCCGCGTCCGCCATGTCGTTGTACACACCAAACGGAGAAAGGCGAATCCCCACCTTCTCCTCCCCGATCTCCCGCCCAATCTCTTCGATCAGCTGAAGCGCAAATCGACATCTCCCCTCAGGACCACCTCCATACTCGTCTGTCCGCTTATTCACGTTGGACTGGATGAACTGATCAACCAGATACCCGTTCCCGCCGTGGATCTCCACACTATCAAATCCACTCTCCATTGCCATGCACGCAGCACGCACGTAATCCGCCACCGTGCGGTGGATATGCTCTACAGCCATCGCAACCGGCGGGTGATCGCGGTATGCAACGAGTGAGTCTGCATACGAGACCCCCTTCGGCGTGAACGGTGGCGGGTACGGGTACTTCTCGTCGGTGGACCAAGGTGTCATTGATGCCGACACAGGCGCATGTCCTGCGAAATGTGGGATTGCAGCTCGGCCATGGTGTGTCAGTTGTGCATAGATGACTCCTTTCTTGCTATGCACTGCCTTCGTGACCTATCCTCACAAGACCGTCAGCAATTATTGCGAAGAGCAGGTCTCAGACAGATATACCAGCTTCCAGCCCCGCGCATGCTCTTCCAACCACATCCCAGGCACGCCTGGCATGGCTCCTGATTCCGGGCTCGGTAAGATACTCTCCGTGATAATCAGACCACCTTCAGTCGCGCGCTGGGCATAGTATTCCGCCACGAGCTCGTCAGCGACCCAAACCCGGTTCTGGTTCTCCGGAGTGCTCTCGCATCGAAGTGGCACGCCGCGGTTACGTGTCATTGGCGCCATCACGACACGGTGCTTGAGGGTAATGCCGCCATTAGCGATGGCGAGGGGTGTGAAGAGGGCTGAGTTGGCGCCGCGTGGTGATCGTGGGGGGCCATTGAGAGACTCTTCCGTTGAGGCTATGGACATTGTCTGTGTCAATGGCTTGTCGATGAGCACACAGTTGTCGAGGTCAGTAAGTTCAGATCCAAAAAGTGTTGCGCCAGGGTTCCGACCTGCGATAGACTCACATACTCCACCTCGGCCGCCGTATTAAGTTGGTTCCAGGGAGTTGACTGCCTGTAATAGCAGCATTGCGTCGGGCTTGCGATGCAGGTACTTCTGGAAACGATCGATACGGCTCGCTGGCATTGCTAGTGCCCGCCCTGGCAGACAACGTCGGCTTGAGATGCCGCTCCTCTGTAATTGACATCAGAGGTGGAGGAGATCAAACCTGTGGAAGAAGCTTCGAACGAGGCAGAAGTCGGGATTTCTAGCCAGGTGTAGTCACCTGCTGTACATGCTACGGTCATGGAGCTAGCTCCGCCAGCTATGCAGGCAGCTGTTGTGGACTGATAGACTGTCATCACGTCTACCACAACCCGTTCAAGATGGGATTCCGGATCTCAGACATTGCACAGCAAGCACTCAGTGCACCTGTCGGTAACATAAAGGTAGCAAGAGTCGAAATCAGAATTCCACAACGTTCAACTCCGAGCCTTGGCATTATCAACCAACCTTTGATCCGTTCTCCCCTTCGTCTTAGCCGTTTAGTACTTCACCATGCTAAAGTCACTTTGATATGCGTCTTCAAGCTGACTCAGAGCATGAGCAACAGCTGTGGTCCATACGAGAGCTCATGAGTCCGAGCCTGATCCAGCATGTCAGGACTCCGGTCCGTTGTTGTGAGAAGCGGGAAGGGCTTCCGACGCGGTGCCCGCTTCCGCACCTTCACCTCCTGGCACAGCGAGCGTCCCACAGGCCGCAACAACCCCACCGTCGCGAACTATGCCGCCATGTGTCGGACTGTGGCTCATGCTGGGCGCGCACGAGGCGCGAGGAGCGGCTCCTCGCGGTTCTTGCCCGACACGGATTGCAATTGCGTAAACCCGAGTGAGGTAGGACGACTGCGAATAGGATCGGCGCTGTCGCAGTCCTGTCGTCGTGATACTATGAGAGCCGCACTTACCGGAAGTTGAGGAACAGATAGGCTACCATACATATGCACGCCAGCAAATCTGCTTGCTCGTCCCGCCAGCCAACAGTTTCCCCAACGTCACTGACTAGCATTACCAACATGCCATCAGCCTTCTCAAACTGGGCGAGCTGCCTATGCTGCTTCTCCCAGCGAAGAAAACTTCAGACTGTACACGGCGTGTCGCCATGGACGCCTCCAGATCTTGAAGCTAAAGTACCAAGCGCTTCATCCCGATCTGTCGACTCTACGGACCAGGGAAAATCCGACACATCGTCCTTGTCGCTCGTCGAAGAACAGGCAGACGAGAAGATCGCGAAACTACTAGCAACACCAGATCCGATACCAAATGCGGTTGAAAAGGCAGGTCTTGAGAGATCCTTGATCCAACAGAATCCGGCAAACTCAGCATTGCTGGTAACGGCAAAAGGCCAGTACACCTTGACCGACAATTTCGACTTTCCAGCGCTTCAAAACCCGCGAGAAGTCATTATACAGTCCGTTGCCGTAGGGCTGAACCCTATCGACTGGAAGTCCGTCGACTATGGCTTCTGCCTCCCTTCTTTCCCGTGGATCACCGGGCGAGAAATGGCAGGCGTGGTGCATCAAGTCGGCTCAGAGGTAGTGGGAGTCAAAGTCGGAGACCTTGTCTGGACAAGTGAGTAGAGCGTCACACGACGAGATCAACCATGTCCCCAAAGCTGACATTGTCCAAGGCACATACTACCGCGACCGCCGCGCCGGCTGCTTCCAGCACTTTGTCACTGTGCCCGAACACACTGTGCTCCCCTTGCCCCCGAATCTGAGCATGGAGCAAGCTGCCACGCTAGGCGTTGCAGGCCTCACCGCCGCCATGACGCTGTGGCACTGGCTACAAGTTCCGATCCCTGCATCCTTATCCTCATCCACCATCGCCTCCACCACGCCACCCCAAGGGAGCGACTACCTCCTCCTGTGGGGCGGCGCCACAACAACAGGGCAGTACCTAACCCAACTCGCCACGCTAGCCCACATGAAAACCATCGTCGTCGCCTCCGCCAAGACCGAAACCCTCTGCCGTTCCCGCGGCGCCGCACACGTCGTCGTCCGCGACGGCAAGTCCGACGCCGAGCTCGTCGCCGAGATCCGCCACGCCTCGTCCAACGGGCGCATCACCCGCGTCGTCGACCTCGTGGGGCCCAAGACCGCGGCTCTGTGTCTACAAGCCGTCGCCGTCTCTAGCTCTGCGTCTGCAGGCGTGGAGCATGAGCAGGAGCATGCCGAAGTGCTGTTCGCGCCGCTCGCGATGATGGACGCCACGGACGCGGCGCAGGCGCCCGCTGCAAACGTGAGGATCTTGACGGTGGAAATGAAGCAGTTTGTTTTGAAGCAGGAATGTGCGGTCTATGCACGGAAGTTGAACGAGCTGGTGGGCCGCGGGGTGCTGAAGCCGCCGGAAGTAGAGGTTTTGGAGGGGGGTTTGGAGCTCGTGGAGGAGGGCTTGAGGAGGGTCAAGATGGGGGAGAGGGGTGGGAGGAAGCTGGTCGTTAGGTTATAGACATGGTTATACAGGCGATAAAAAGCAAGTATTGTTCTATGTTGCATGCCATCTTGATCTGAGGAATTGGACTCAGCCCTACCTATTTAACAGTCATGCCCGTCTGTGTCTGTTGCGTGCACGACCTTCTAGAAATCTTTGCCCATGCTGCGGCCAGTACTTGTACACAGGACACGATAGGTGAAGAACGAAAACGTAACAATGACTGGAATGGAAAGGAAATATTCCCTTGGAGCAAAGAAAACGTATTCCTACATCGATACCGTGGTCATGTGCGTTCCCAGGGAAGTCCGAGGATCTTTCATACCGCCACATCTCACCCTGCCTTCTTCGCCTTCATCTTCATCTTCACCATCATGAGCAATGTCCCTAGTCTAGCATTTTCAGCCCCTTGCTCCTCTACTCCTACTTCTCAACATCCCTCCCCTCCCCCACCCCAGCAGCGCTCACACTCACACTCGCCCGCGCCCCCTTCTCCCGCACCACGCCACCCACACCCACCTTTTGCTCCTCCTCATCATCACTAGTCCTCGCCGACACGCCATCAATAACCACCACCGCGGCACCACTTCCATTCTCACCCCTGCTGATGTTCTCTCCCGAGTGAAATTCCTCATTAATGCCCAATCCGGGCGGCGGGAAGAGGCGGTTCACCGTCAAGTGCAGCGCCATGCCGAAGAAGAAGCCGATGAGGTAGGTGATCTGGTAGATGCGCACGGCGGCGCCGGTGGTGCGGCCCATTATGGAGAGGACGAGACCGGCTGTGTTTGTATGTCAATTGAGCATTTGTTGGTTGGGGGAAAAGGGGAGGGGGAAAGTGTAGAGGAGGGAAAGGGGGGAAGGGTGCAAAAGACGCAAAGACGCAAAGACGCAAAAACTTACGCAGCGATGGGATAACGGTGACGATATACACGAACCAAGCGCGCAGGTTGATGCCATGGAAGTACCAGTAGATGTACTGCGGCCCACCATGGAACAAATCCGGCACCTTCCACGCGCGCTTGCGAATGACCCAGTAATCCAGAATCAGTATGGCGGTGCAGACGCTGGTGAACACGGCGAAGCTGGAGATGACCGAGATGAAGACGGTCGCCTGCGTGAAGAAGCGCCAGGGCTGCACCAGCACGCCGAAGACGGTGAGCAGGAGGGCGCCGCGCTGCGTCGAGATGTAGCGCGGCCAGATGCCCGCCAGGTCCATGCCGGCGCCGACGTTGTTCTGCGTCACGTTCACAAAGACCTGGTGCGACCAGATGGAGAGGCCGGCGAAAAAGGTCAGCGCCCGCCCGCCGGCCGTGTAATGCTCGTTCTGGGCGAATTCGAGGATCACCAGCGGCTGCCACATGCTCTCGCCGTAGCGCGCGCGGGTGGCGCTCGCGGTCAGGATCCCAAGGAGCGCGCAGAGGGAGATGCACACCGGCATGGCGGTGGCGGAGCCCAGGATGTACGAGTTCTTGCTGCGGGCGAAGCGCGTCCAGTCGGAGAAGCGGTCGGCGGCGCTGCCGTAGACGCCGCAGACGGAGCTGACGCACTGGATGAAGCGGAAGGCGCGGATGGAGCTGGACACCTCGATCGCGGGCGACACCAAGTTACCTGGCGAGCCGCCGTTCTGGCTCACCGCCCAGGCCATGATGCCGAAGACGGTGCCGATGGTGCCGAAGAAGGCGGGCCACATGAACTTCTCGAGCTTGTGAGGTTTGATCCAGATTACCACGGGGAGGTAGAGGATTATGTAGATAAAGAAGCCAACGAGGTCTTTGGTGTCAGTGCCGGCGCTTGAGCCTCCATGTCAGTATCTCGTGCCCCTGTGTTCGCGTGGATCGAGTGAGATCTCACCTCGCGGGAAGCGTGTTGGCCAGATCTTTCCATGAACGGCTCATGGCTCCAAACATGAGACTGAGAGCTTGGCCGCCGTAGACGGCTTGGAGACCGAACTTTGGCCATGATTAATACTATGCTTGAGGAGACGGCACCACGAGGGCCGACTCACAAAGACCATGTTGCTCATAAGCTGGAAGAACAGGGGCAGCCACATGCCGCGGAGGCCAAAGGACACTCTGGCCATCATCGTCTTGCATTGTCCATGTCAGCCACTTTTCAGCTCTCTGACGTTGCCTAGGAGAGAATGGACATACATAGCCGAGATGCTTCTCAGCGCCTGCCCGACCGCAGAACAGGGCGTTCATGCTTGAGATGCAGGACCCAATGAGGACGGCTCCACATGCTTCGCCCGCCGTGAGGCCAACGGCAATGTACGAGCTTCCAATGGCGAATGTCGACAGGCCGGCGGCACAGGTACACCAGTAAAGGAGGTAGGCCGACCAGCCATAGGTGCGCTCGGACGGCACGATGGGATAGAGGTCGTGGTTGCCCCATTTGGTGGTGCCCTGGTCCTGGTAAATGTCCTTTCTCGCGGGCAGCTCGGCCCATTTCATGAATCTCGACATAGTTGATTGCAAGAACGCGTTGGAGCAAGGTGTTGAGACAAGACAGGGCGATGCAGGGCGCGTCAGGGCGCGGATGTGCTGCTTGGTGTACAAGCAGGCATATATGTTTGAAGCCTTATCAGAGAATCTTGCCCTCCAACATCTCGACCCGAGTGATTATCAACATGTGCGGTATCGCTGTGGCTGGACCATCAGCAGTCTCGGCCAGTCTGGAGTTGGTGTGCGGGAGACTGTCCCTTGACTCACTTGACTTGAGCCAGGCAAAACTGGAACCTGCAGCATCCTACATACTGGGCGGAGCACGTGGTGCGGGAGGGGATCCCGATGCTGCAGACGTTCTCTGAGTGCAGTACCCGACATTTTGCTGCACCAAACACCGCTAGCACTGCTCGCGTGGCTGCTAGAGCGGATCGTGAAGATAAGGAGGGACGGGGAGGATGCCGCAGAGATAGCGAGTTCGCATTAGACTCATATCTTCTTGGCTGGTGGGCCCCAGATCAGCAACGCCTAATGCAGATGTAGCTTGGAGACAATGGTTCTACGTAGGTTGTGCTTCAGGGCATGCCTCATATACACGTATACATATCCAATTCCAATTGTCTACCCTGCTGAGTACTCCCCGTTATACCAGGCCAAGTCATTAACGGCATCCCACGTCGTGGCTTGCCCAAACAGTTTCGTCGCAGCTTCGTTGACGCCAGAAAACATGGCATCATCCTCGACATCCTGCCACAGAGAGATCGGCTGACCAGCCATGTCACTAATCATCTGCTCTAGGTCATTAGAGACATTGTTCATGGTCGCATCCATCGGCAGATTCCCCAGCGACGAAAGACGCCGCCCTTCTTCAATGCCCTCCAGCACGCCCTTCTTGACATCCTCAAACAGGTCCCTGTATTTCTTGCCCACGCTCCATCGCTCAGCCATGACGTACAGCATGACGCTACAGTCGCTGAGCGCGCTGAAGTTCTTGAAGCTGCTGCTGGTCGAGGTATCATACCACATGCAGTAGATCAGCGTCAGCCCTGGCCATTTCGTCAGTTATCGAGTGTGTTGGAAGCGGATGTACAAGCATACCAGCAAGAAAGACGGATTGTAGAGAGAAAGAAGAGAAACTGATGGGCACTTTGGAGTGCAGACGCTTGTATGTTTCACACAGGCCACGGCACGCCTCCGCGCACAAGCCCAGATACCGCGGGCTGATCGGCTTGTCGTATAATCTCGGTTGTAGCAAGAGTCTCATCGTCTTATAGTATGATGCCATCTGTTGGATTCATGTTAGCAATCTTGACGCTCGCAAGTAATTTCTTTGGAACCTACATAAGAGTCGTAGCCTCGATACACGTCGCCGTCGTCCGCAGGAGCCGAGTCCAGGGGCGAGCTTTTACTGCTCTCTGGAGGAATGGCATCCCGCCATGCATAAAGTCTCTCAAGGAAACCGTCGGTCGTGCGGCACGTGGACGCTGACGACTTGAGACGGTCGACGCGGTATATTTTGTGCTGAATTTCCGATTCAATAATCTTGAGTCGAACAAGATGTATGAAGGTGGTCATGGTGGTTTGTGGCGAGACCGGCTTCGATGGGTCCTGTTCAGCCGCTCTACGCAGGTCTTCAATATCTTGAGTTGCCTCGTCCACGTCAAGAGGAAGCTCCGCATCGATATCGTGATCGGATATCGAGGGCGGCCGCCCCATGGCGATAGCCACCTCTCGGTCATGCCAGTAACAGCACCAGAACAGACGCTTGTTGTGCTCGGATCGCAGTGAAAGCCGCGAGCGCTTCTGTCGGCGATGCAAACCCAGCTCGACGCAAGTCTTCATGGCAAGGCCAAAAAATGTCCATGCACCATGGTCCTTGGGCATCCGGTAGCAGTGCTGCCCGAGGAGCATCAAGTAGATCAGAGCCTGCGTTCCTTTCATTCCCAAGATGGCTTCTCGGTTCTCCCACGCAATATTGTAATGCGTCTCTGCATTGGGTGACACAGTCGATTCACCAGTTTTGTTCAAGAAATGCCCGCCAAGGCCATATATCAGATTGAGTATGCTGAACTCATAGACGTCCTTGAGCATGTGTCTCCTGTTATGCAAATCCAATATGTCGGTGGAGCACAGGATGGGGAAGTTGGTCTGTAGATGCTTCAGGTATCCATACACCATCATATTCGCCGTCTCGTTGTTGACGTAGTTCAGGCGGAGCGCCGAATCACCTGCGAGCGAGCTGCTCCTGCTCGCGAACGAAATGCTAGGTTGCGTCTTCTCCCAAGTGACAGTTGTTGGCGAGCCTAAAAGCTGTGTCTTGCCAGCCAGAGCGGCCGCTAGAGCGCGGCCTAGCGTAATGGATGAAGCACCTCCGACGTAGGACCCTGTAGCATCGAGCGACAGGTCTCTCACAGCATTCAATAGGGGCTGCATGTCCGCTGGATCGTCCTTGTCTGATTCATCTGGGTCATCGCCATCGGCCCAATGGTCTCTGGAGGCGAAATTATGTCCCTCCTTGGCTAGCAGACCCTCGAGTTCTGCCACACGCTCTTCAAGAGCCTCGATGTATATTTTGGCCTGACCTGGCTTGGGATATATGGGCATCACATAGCGGCAGTCTTGGCCCAGCTTCAAACATCTTGCACACGCGGGCTGCTCACCGTTGCACTGAGCCAATTATCAGCACACAACATCAACAAGTGGTGCTGGCGGTAACGTTGTGGACATACCTTTTGCTTCCTACGCTTGCATCTCTGGCAAGCCAAAGAGACCCTAGACCTTCGCGTGGGGAGCGGTGGGCGACTTTGGGGTGACAGATCATCTCCGCCCTCGATGCTTGACATGGTGGATCTGCCAAGACTAAAGGTGTGCTATAGCAGCGTAGCTCGTGTCGTAGACAGGAGTGTGGTGATCTTCTCTTTGATTATCATACCACGTTTGCTCTGAGCATAGTCGCACAAAGTATTTCCAGTTGCTCCGATGCAAGCCTGAGCATGGGATGGTCTCTTTGCCAGCGTTATCACCGGGCTCGGGGAAGAGCGCACAGCGCCCTATAGCCGTTGGAATTATCGTGGGGACCGTATCGAGGGAAGATAAGGGCTGCCCACCATAAGCGGCTTGCCAGCCACCCCACCGGAGGAACATGGTTCGTTGCCCAAGCCACGTATACACACCCCAGAATGTGTGGCAGAGTGCACTTGCCGAAGTGCGCATCGGTACCGTCTTCCGCTGGGCGGGCTTCACTCCCTTCTCGTATGATCTGCCATCGGCATCGACTTGGGAAGGACTTTCCACTCGGGACGGTGCAGAACGCAGTGGTCTGCGCATGCCGCGTTTGACATATATTCGATATGCCTAAAACCCGCAGATGTCAGTCCTCAAACTGGCTCGACCGTAGAAATTTCGGCGACATTTGTGACCATCAGCTTCGGTGTCGTAGCACAGATCATCAAAATGGCGCCCAAAAAACAGCTCAAGCTCAACTTCTTCGACATGACGTGCAACAGCGCACACATGGGTATAGGGATGTGGAAGTAAGTGCTGCCAGGTGCGCAGCTTTGAGAACGTGGCTGATATCGGCCTGCCAGGAACCCAGGGGACTCCCAAAACCAGAAAGCCAGCATCGATTATTACCTCTGGCTCGCCAAGCTGGCGGAGAAGGGCAAAATCTCAGGCATCTTCTTCGCTGATGTATATGGCGTCGACGACGCGTTCCCTGGGCAAATGGCAGAGCAGTTCAGAGCAGGCGCCAATTGCGCGCAGCTGGATCCCATCGTCTTCGTCTCGGCCATGGCTTCGGTCACAAAGTCGGTCAGCTTCGGTATTACTGGGAGCACTTCATACATCAACGTTCGTTCTTTGCATGCAGGTGGACGTGTGCGCAACGCTGACTGCTTGATAGCCGTTCGTCCTTGCGAGAACGTACTCTAGCCTCGACCATGCGACCAAGGGACGAGTGGCGTGGAACGTGGTGACGAGTTATTCTGCCAGTTCGGCGAAAGCCAATGGTCTGGACGCGATCACGCCCCATGACAAGCGGTATGAGAAGGCTCACGAGTACATGGACCTGTGCTACAGGTACGACTCTGCCCCTTGCCACGGCTGTTTTCCGATATGCTAATGACAAGCAGTTTGTGGGAAGGATCGTGGGAAGACGGCGCCGAGCAATTCAATCGCGAAACCGGAGTTGCGTACGATCCGACTAAAGTCCACAAGATCCACTTCACAGGGAACCACCACAAGACATCAGCATATGGAGCCGCTCACCCGTCACCGCAGCGGACGCCCATCATCTTCCAGGCTGGCCAATCCAAAGCCGGAAAGGCTTTTGCCGCACTGAACGCAGAAGCTATCTTCGTTGGCGGGAGCAAGCCCTCCGACACAGCTCCTTATGTGAAGGAGATCCGCGCCGCCGCAGCCGCCAATGGACGTGACCCCAACCATATCAAGGTGTTCCCCCAGATGGCACCCATAATTGGCCGCACGCTCGAGGAGGCGCAAGCCAAGTATGAGAAGTACAAGTCGATGGCAGACTGGAAGGGCGGCCTGGCGAAGATCAGTCAATACCTCAACTTTGATCTGAGCGCATTGCCTCCGGATGAGCCCTTCGATGTCATGATGATCGGCAAGTCTGACAACTCGATTCATGCTATGATAAACGCTGTGCAACGGCGCAAAGATGAGGTCGTTACACCAAAGATGATGGGGCAACAAATGGGGTTCTGTGGATTCGGCCCGATGCCAGTGGGTACGCCTGAAATGGTTGCCGATGTGATGGAGGACTGGGTCAACAACGCAGATATTGATGGCTTTAACCTCGCGTATGTCTCGAATCCTGAGTCTTACGAGGACCTTGTTGAGCTCCTCGTGCCAGTCCTGCAAGAGCGTGGGCTGATGTGGAAGGACTATCTGGTGCCAGGCGGCACGTATCGTGAGAACCTGCTCGATACACCGGGCCACCCAGGCGTGCCAGACGGGCACCCAGCTGCCAAGTTCAAGTACGATGCCCTCAAAACTCAGTATGGGGACGAGAATGGCGATATCGTCATTGACCGACGTACTACGCCTGTCGAGAAGGTGGAGGAGGCCGCGTCAACGCTTGCGGAGAAGATGAACGGATTGAAGGAGTCAGTGGCGGAGGTCAAGGTTGGTACATGAGACCCCGACTTGCATGATAATGGAGGGTCAGTGGGCAGATGTTCTTGTTGTCGTCAACACAGGTTAATCTGCCGGTCGAGCTTCTTGGGTTTGTAGATTCGAGCAGCCACTCCTTGAACTTCTTGATCTTCTGGGCCATCGTAGTTGGAGATTATGCAACGCGTACCATCGTCGATTGACGCAGCGACGAGCCCGGCAGTCTGAACTGGAACAGCACAAATCTTCAGCTCCGAACAAATGCTTGCCGGGCTTTGGGATTCTCTGAAGTTCCGATTCAAGGCCTTCTGCACAGTGAACCTCATCTGCCATTCAGCAGCGCACAAGATGCCTCGCCCACACAAAGGGGGTCGTTCCATTTGAAACCTTCCTGTGAGAACATTTTCGTTACCAGATCTTCAAATACGTTGCTGACGGGTAGGTGGAAAGGATGTACGACGACGTGGAAGATGGACAAGAGGGAGCGCAGTGGAAGAGGAGTGAGCGCCCGACGCCGCTTTTACCTCGACTTCGCCGCCAAGCCTGACGCCTCGTGCCAACCCTTTCAAAATATACCTCATATACCTCATATACCTCATATATCCATACCTACACACCTACCTCATTCAATTCATCAAGAGCCGCTCTCTCGTACACAGTAGGCCATCACCACCGCCACCATGTCTCCCGTCGAGCCCAACCACATATACCAATACTCGCTCGTCAACGCCCTGATGGCCGGCGTATCCGAATCCGGCATCACCACCACCCAACTCCTCACCAAAGGCAACCTCGGCCTCGGCACCTTCGTACGCATGGACGGCGAACTCCTCCTCCTGGACGACAAAGTCTACCAACTGCAATCCCACGGCAAGATCCGCGAAGCCGCAGCCCACGACCAGATCCCCTACGCGGTCTGCACGCAGTTCGTGCCCGAGCACACCCTCTCGGTCAACCTGGCGCACAAGGACGCCGTGGACCGCGTGCTGCAGGATGTGAACCCGGACGCGGAGAATCTCTTCATGGCCTACCGCATCACCGGCACGTTCAGCCACGCCAGGTGCCGCACCGTCAAGGGCCAGGAGTACGCGGGCCAGCCGCTCGCGGAGCTGGGCCAGTCGCAGTTCGTGGCCGAGTACAAGGACGTCGAGGGCACGGTCGTGGGGTTCCGCAGTCCCAGGGCGTGGCAGGGCTTCTTTGTGGCCGGGGAGCATCTGCATTTCATCAGTGATGATCGCACGTTTGGGGGCCACGTGCTGGAGTTGACGGCCGAGCAGGAGGTCAAGTTTGAGGTGGCCACGGTGGCGGATGTGCATATCGAGTTGCCGAGGACAAAGACCTTTAATGCTGCGAAGATGGAGACGGATGATATGGGCTTGAAGAGCGTTGAGGGTTGAGGAGCACGGACAACGTGGCGTCCGCACTGTATTGGCTGTCAAGAGTGGCGTTGTGGATGAGACGAGGGACGCGAGAGCCGGTCTTCGACCTTGCGCGGCACGTTCGGCGACCATCAGGGTCTCTGGAGGCACTTTGTATATTGTTCCTTGACAAGGGTAGGCGTAGGAGGAGGGACTTGTTAAGTAGAAGCGCTAGTCAACGGAAGGATGGCGTGAGGATAACATTGTGTTCTTCATATCTATCTACCCTTAATCATGAATGACTTAACTTCCGCTTGCTGCTGCTGAACGCTAGGATTTGCCTGAGACTCCTCATAACTCATCTCGAAGCCACAATTGAAGGCGTCTAAGCCACCCTACAATAAAACCTCTGTACTTTGACGCCTTGTGCGTCAAGTTCATTTATGTACAATGGATCTGACTGCGCGTGCAACACGACGCCACAACCTATGTGCGACCCCGTCGCCCCTTGCCTTTGCCAAATCTGAATTTGCCGTCGTCACTGTCATCACCGGAATCCTCCCGCGTGACCGAAAGCTTCTTCTGCCGCTTCGTACCCGCTGCGGTACCTGTTGATGAGCTTGCTGGCCGCTTTGTACCTCTCGCTGCTGGGTTCGTGGCACCTGCAGCAGACGATGGCCTCGATGACGGTTGAGCGGTCGACTGAGTCTGAGTACGCGCTTCATCTCTGCGAGTCCGCCGAGGAGAGTCGATGTCGATATCATGGTCGACAATGGCGGCCGCCTCTTCCTGCAGACGAGCTGTAGCAGGGCTCGTACGATTCACGCCATCGTCCTGGTCGCTGCGCTCACCCTCGACCTGACTAGTGCGACCGGAATTCCTGCCCCGGCCTGGACGGAACCGCCCTTCATCTTCGTTCTCATCCTCATCGTCGATCTGGATTGTGGTTCTGCCGCGGACGCCTTGGCTCTGGCTGAGGCTCTCCTGGGCACGACGTTTCTCCTCCCTTCTTTTCTTCTTCTTTTGCTGTTCGCGCTCCTCCTCCGGCCTAGGCCAGTATTGCTGCCCCATACCACCGGTTTTGCGTTCAACTGGAACCAGCTCAACTAGAACTTTGCCATGGTTGGGTCTTCGGACAGCGTCTTTTTCTTGCGGCTTGAACCGCTTGAAATTCTTGAGACCATTCCAGCGCTCGTCCCATCGAGGGTCGTCTTCAGGGTTGATACCTCGGCGTCTGGGCAGCGAGCGCTGACGTATGGGAATGTCCATGTGTTCGACCGCGGCCAGGTTCGCCGGCTCCTTGTCATTAGGGTCCGGAGGTGGTAATCGTTCTTCTTCTTCGTTATTCTCAAAATCAGCACGTGACTTTTCTCTCTCACGTTGGCGCTTCATAGCCTCACGAACATCAAGCTCCTTCCTGGGTGGCTTAGAAGGGGCCTGCATGGTGGCTGGCTTGACCACTTCGCCCTTACGCCGACGTTCTTGTTCAAATTCCCGACGTTGTCGCTTCATGGCATTGGCGGCCGGCAGGAGATCCTCCACTCCGCCTGCAGAGACATCTTCGCGGTTGGCGCTGGGCGACCGTCCACGCTTTCTCGCGGATGACTGAATGTTCTCCTTCTGCGGAGCAGTTGTCGCTTCTGGCTCAGAGTCTTCGACCTGCGATGCCTCGACAACCTGCATATCATCATCGTCATCGTCGAAGTCAACCACATCGTCAGGATTGAATTCATCATCGAACTTGATCTGTGTTGGCGGTCGATAGCTGGGCTTTTTCATTGATGGTTGCGGCTGGCTCTCCTTAGGCGCCGAGTCATGTGGGGTCCCATTTGGGGCACCATGCGCTATAGCCTGGCCTTCTTGGGAAGGGACCGGATTCTGTGTTGGCGTCTTGCGAGTAGACGCGGAAGGCTGCGTCTGCCGCCCGGAGTTTTGGGTCTGAGTACTCCTACGACGAGCCGGATCTTGACTGTGGTCGCCGTTCGTTACAGCGCTCGTGTCTCTATTCAGCGTAGGTGCTTGAACCGGGGCGAAAGAAGGGGCAGCTGACGGCGGAGGTGCTCTGAATCCCTCTGTATATGACTCGAGGGCGATTTGTTGACACAAGAGAGCCGCATTATTGGCAAGAATGGCATCCAGAAATTCGGACTGATCGATACTCCTCTGGTCAAGCTTTAGAGCAACCTGGCTCTCGAAGTTCTGTGCCCATTCGCTATCGATGCGCTGGTGGTTGAACTTGAGCATTATGACACCTCCCTCACCAGAATGAACCTGATTTCTCCCGGCCGTCTTATGACCAGCTGCGTTGGTCACGAACTCGAGAGCCTCTTCAACTGTCGTCTGGCCCATGGTGATGTTGAAGAGCAGAGCCTTGCCATGACCAAGAGTAATGACTGGAAGGAGATTGTCGTATTGCGCCGGGTCGCAGAACACAAAAGTGTAATCTTCAAAGATATGCGCTCGGTCTGGTCCAGGCTGGTATGATTCAGCCGGTCGAAGAGTGGGCTCCTTGCCTGGAGGAGGGAGGTGCTCAGTCTCTTGCGGCCACGCTGCATCGAAGTCAAGCTCCAGTTGGCAATCATTTTCGTCTTGACTCAGCGTTGTCGGTGTTGCTTGTAGCTGTAGCGCCTCAATAAAAGATTCCGCCACAAGCCATTTGCCGCTGATTAATCCTTGGAGACCTTTTGCGGTATTTCGTTTGCTGGAGACGACGTGGGTGGTGTGGTCTGGCAAGAAATCGGCAATGGCTTTGATGCCGAGTTTTCTGACCCAATCCTGTTTGGCCTGCAGCACGCCAGCTTTGATTTCCTTCTTGAGCAAGTAGAAGGTCACCACGCAGGGCACCCATGTAATCAACAGCTCTTGGTCCAGGGTCCCAGGTCTCACAGAGTTTTTTGCATCTTTCAGCTCCCGTCTCCTAAAGTCCTTGCCCTTGAGCTCTTCTCCATTGACTCGAGTGCCACTCTTGGAGTTCTGATCAATGATTGTGATTTTGGTTCGGGCATGTACTTGTCCAACTTCCCCGTCCGCCACCTCGGAGACATCAATAATGAAATGTTTGCGCGAGACGGTCTTGTGGTCAATGGCAAAACGGACACCGTCCTTCTTCACACGGCCAAAGAGATACTGTTTGCCAGGCCTAAGCCACATGCGCTTCCCCCGCAATATCTCGCCGCTGGCCTCGAGCACCCACATCCTCTCTGCATCGTAGGTGGTTTTGAACGGGGCAGTCTGTTCGCAAGACTCCGCAGGTCTCAACTGCGCTTGGAGGTGAGGAGATAAGGCAGGGCAATAGCGTACCACTTCTACCGGAGAAGAGGCGCGGATAGATCAGTTTCGGCCGCTACTTCAATTAGAAGAGTGTCGACGAAGCATGACAGCAGCTAGGCAGCACCAGTTAGCTGACTTTCAGCAAGGCGCAGGTGAGGCACGCATAGAGAGCGCAGGCAGAAGTAGGTGATGTCAAGTTCAAGAAGTTCGGATAAAATAGCAATCGCGAAATGAGCGCGTCCTCTTGCAGATCCAAGTCAAGCGTCTAAAATGGGCGGGAGCTAAGCGAGCGCTGCCTGAAAGTTAAGCGGAGAGAGGGGCTGATCGGCGCCTATGAGCGCCTAGAGCGTGGACGGGCCGCCTGTGACGTCGGCCGCCCAAGGGTCCCTGTGAAACTGCGGTAGCATCCAAGCCGAGTAGCGTTCCAGTCTCAGCTTGGACAACATCCTTGTCCTGGCCTTCCTTGTGACCACGTCCCCGCGACAACCACCACATAAGCGAGTCCTCTCCTCTACAAATAAACAGCTGTACTCTCAAAGCGTCGACAGCCCCTACAAGCTACAACTCACAATCACTATTCATGATGTCCGCCATCGCCGACGACAAGACCAAGATCGGCATCGACGAGAGCCCCATCTCTCCTGTTGAACGTCGTGACTCGCTCGAAAAGCACCTGCAACACCGCCCCGATCCTCAAGACCTCAAGGACCGTCACATTCTGCTCGATACCAACGCAGCTCCGTTCGTGGCATCTGCCCCACCTCTCCCAATGCCTGCTGACCCCTTCCCCGCTTCAGGTCCCTTCAAGCCAAACAAGTCGAACTCGAACGGGCACAAGCCTCGGACAGTCTTAGAAAGCATCTGGAGAAACGACCTGAGCGTGATGAGCTTGTTGAGCGTACGGTTCGCCTCCTCGCAGCCGTCACGTGTGCTGACAGTGAACAGGTAACATTCTCCCCGACAGCAGCGCGGCTGCTGGGATCCAAGCGAACCAAAAGAGCCTAGAGAAGCACATGAGGGCCGACAGCCTTGATCAGAAGTTGCAGCGCCGCCCGACGGCCGAGCAATTGGTCAAGGAGGGCATCCTGGAAGAGAACGAGGTTCCGGGCAAGGAGTAAATACCATCAACAAAGCAAAAAGTCGGGGAGGGTTCAAGGGATGAATTCATGATCATTTCAGAGATATCCAAAAACGACCGGCCATGGCCAGATCGCAAATGCTTCAGTAGCTCAACATAGCCCAGCATTGAACAGGGACTCGTAGCCGCTCTCGGTGACATCTTGGTCTTTGAAGGCCCTTCACTGCAATCGAGTGATGAGGGCCCTTACAAACCCACTTCCTTATCTGAAACAAACGTGCTGTCGACATTTGTGTTGACACATGCTGTTGACACAGGTCAGTAGCTTTCGATCTCCTCAACGTCTCGTCTCCCATCAGCCGGTCCGGCATCAGGTCGCCAGCCTTTAGGTCTCTCTTTCCCTCGTACAAGCATACTGTAGACACTGTTCTCAACCTTCTCGACTGACTGCTTCGTCACCCGTAGCTTATTGTCGAAATCCTTCAGATCGCGGTTACCGGCGGCATTTAAGCCCTCCAGGTAACCCCGTAACGCCTGCATGTCTGCGAGGACTGACTGCTCAAGTGAGTCGCCGCCTGGCAGCTTGCCATTGGTTGCCATGTAAGTGATCGAGAACCGCATCAGCTCGCCAGTCATGTCAAAGATGCCAAGCAGATAGTCTGATTGGGTCAGTTTGATGCCTTCGGGGAGCGTGGATGCGGCTTCAGCGTGTGTCATTAGCTTTTGGGTTTCGAGGTAGTGCTGGAAAAGTATCGCTTCCATGTACTCCTGGATGCCACCGGAGATGTTGTACTGGTAGCGGTTGGCATTGATGCCTTGGAGGTCAGGTACGATGCTCTCAAAGCGCTCCTTGATCGTGTCGTACATTCCCTTCGTCTGCTTCGTTATCGACCCGTGTATGGGTTTGCCGAGTTCTCGTGTTCTGCCAGGATGAGTTTACGCAGGACTAGCAAAAGCGTTAAGCGGCACTCACCGCTGCAGAGCGAAGATGCTTGAGGACGTCAGTCTCGGATAACATCATCACCCACCTTGAGACTTACATTTTCTTGGATTGAGCTGTGATATCTCTCGACGCCTTGATCGTCCTCTCCCTCCGATCATGATGCTCGTCCAACTCTGAACGAAACTGTTCAAAAACAGGGATATATGGCGACGTAGACGTCGATTCGGCCTCCATAGTGACTGCCTTTCTCTTCAACCCGGCCATTGGCGTCCCATTCGAGACACATAAGACACTTTCGAGGTGATTCGTCGAACAATTGGCGGTTTCGTCGTCGACGAGCAGAGCCTTGCTAGGGTTCGAAATTTCTCAGCCCTAGAGATTTCGACACTCCATCACGATCCCATGGGACCTGTCCAACGACACGTTGACATGAATTGATTACTACAGTCATTCTCTCTACGCACCAGAGTCTATCTTTGTGCTGGGACTTGTCCAAGAGCATCAGCCCCGGTCGCGACAGTCATCATCAAAAGCGCGTCGGACATGCTTGTACTCCGTCGACCATCATGATGAGCTTCTTCGCATCCCCTGCTCTCATCTTTGGCCTTGCATTCCTCCTTCGAGCAGTCCTGCTCATCTATGGCATCTACCAAGACTCGACATCTGCCATCAAGTACACGGATATTGATTATTTCGTCTTCACCGATGCGGCTGCTTATGTCTCCCGCGGATCCTCTCCTTACCTAAGGTCCACCTATCGCTATACGCCGCTGCTCTCATGGATCCTACTACCCACAGCGCAGGGTGGCCTGCTTTTTCATTCTGGCAAGGCGCTGTTTGCGCTGTCCGATCTTCTAGCCGGCTGGATCCTCATGCGTTTGTTGGTCAAGCAGGGCCATGCTCGATCCACGGCCCTCAAGTACGCTTCCGTGTGGCTGCTCAACCCGATGGTCGCCAATATTTCAACGCGTGGTAGCTCTGAAGGCCTGCTATGTGCCCTAGTCCTCTCATTACTATACGCGTACACCGCCTGGTCGCCAACCATCTCTGGGGCTCTCCTTGGCCTTGCCGTCCACTTCAAGATCTACCCATTCATCTACGCCCCAGCATTTCTCCTCGCCCTTCGACTCCCTCCACTGCCACAAGAAGCCACCATGCCGCAAATCTTCAACCACATCGTCTCCACCCAACGAACCAACTTCACCCTCGCCGCACTCGGCACCTTCACGGCCCTAAACCTCCTCATGTTCCAACTCTACGGCCCAGACTTCCTGCAACACACCTTCCTCTACCACATCACGCGCCTGGACCACCGCCACAACTTCTCCCCCTACAACACCCTCCTGTACCTCTCCTCCTCCTCATCCTCCGCCTTTGCCATCGAATCCCTCGCCTTCCTCCCCCAACTGCTCCTCTCCTGTGTCTTCCTCCCCCTCGCCCTCGCCACCCGCAACCTCGCCGGCTGCCTCCTCGCACAGACCCTCGCCTTCGTCACCTTCAACAAAGTCTGCACCAGCCAGTATTTCCTATGGTACCTGGTCTTCCTACCGCTCTACCTCCCCAACAGCAGGTTCTTCCTCCGCCGTCCCAAAGTCGGGTTCGCGGCCCTCTCGGCGTGGGTGCTGGGCCAGGCCCTGTGGCTGCAGCAGGGCTATGAGCTGGAGTTTCTGGGACGCAGCACCTTCGTCCCGGGACTGTGGGTGGCGAGTCTGCTGTTCTTTGCCGTCAACTGTTGGGTTTTGGGCCTCGTGGTGCAGGATATTGTTGGCCAGCAGGGTGGGCATGCGGAGGGTGGTGGTAAGAAGGTAGAGTAGGTAGATCTAGACAGTAATATAAATACATGCAAATACCCCCAATTTTTTTGGTTCGCTTTACCTCTTCCATACGCGCGTAGACCCTCTCAGTTGACCCAGCTCCTCTGGGTTGAGTTCGGCATATCAGTAGCCTGACGCTCCTCCTGTCTAGGTCTAGCGATCTTTCCCTGCAGTACCGTCAGCATAGAATTTACAGTGCTCGAGGTCTCCCTCGAGGTCTCTCTTTAATGGCCTTTTCGCGCGTCAAGCATGTGACATACATCTCCAAACCCGTGCACCAGCTACAGACCGCAAAACAAACTTCTCAACACGCCTCGTTCGTTCGTCAAATGCAGATTGGTCTATAAGATAAGCGATACACAAGGATGCAAATAGCATGCGTAGAGCAGTCATTTTTACATCATTTGCAGCATTTGCGTGGTGAAACCTCAGCAATTCCTCAGTTCAGTTCTGGCGTATACGTATGCGTGTGCGTGTGCGTTTGCGTAGGCCATGCTCCTCCTACAGCACATAGCCCTCTTATAAACATACGGATACGTCTGCTTGGTTCCCCAGGCAGCTTGCGGCAGGTCTCACTACCGTAGCAGTACCTCGGGAGGCCCTGAAAATATCTCTCGATGATCGTAAAAGCTCCAGAACTTGCCCTACTAGATTTCCCCGACCCGAAAAAGAAAATGAAAACGCTATGCATATACACGCACACACACACACACATACCCGATCATCCAAACATGTTCTATAGTGGCCCCCGTGTATCACATCCGCCAGCTCTCACTTACGAGCGATTGCGGTCTTTCAGCTTGACGGCCTCGCCGCCGCCGCCGCCATTATGCGAAGTATGACTCTTTGGGCCTTTGCCTTTGCCGGCCCCAGCCCCAGCCGCGCCATCATCCCACGATTTGTCCACCCATTCTTGCTCCATCTTGGCGAGCTTCTCATCGAGGCTTCTGCCCTGCTCATCAACCTCTTTATTCGTGCTGGCGACAACCACTGGCGGCGGAGGAAATGCATAGCCATCTTCCTCGCCCTCTGGCTCCGCCTCCTCGGCCTTCTTCTCCAGCCCGATGTTCCCAGCCTTGACATCGGCAGCCCAGTCGTCTTTCGGATCAATCCTGACGCCCAAGCCCACGGGTACCTGCTGCCCTTGCTGCGCATCCGGGGCTGGCGAAGCAGCCTTCTTCGGCTTCCGGCTCCAGCCCGTCTTCCACACCTTTGAGTCCTCGATGCTGAAGCGCGGGAAGATGTGGGCCTCGGTGTTGATGACGATATCCTCCAGCTTCGGCAGGCCGTCCTCGCCGTCGAGGTCGCTGAAGAGCAGGTAGAAGTACTTGAGGGTCTCGGCGAGCCAGAAGCTCTCCATGTTGTCGCGGCGGCGCTTGGGCCGCACGGGGCTCTCCGTCACCGTGTCCAGGGACGTGTAGGCGTAGACCTGGCCCGTCAGCTCGTCGATGACTTGGGTGTGGGTGCGGAAGTTCTCGAACATCTCCCAGCCCCACTCGCGGTACTTGGTGTCGCCTGTGATGTGGTACATGTAGAAGAGAGACTCGACGGTCTCGGGCCGTTGCAGATTGTGCTCGTCCTGCGGGTGGATGTCGTAATCGAGGCGCCATGGTGCGTGTATGTCGTCGGATAGCTCATCGGGGGTGGGTGGCGACCAGTCTGGGTCGTCGAAGGACCACTGGCGAGGCGGGTTGTCGATGGCGAAGTAGCTGATCTCCGGAGCCAGGCCGGTGGCCGTCACCTTGTACATGCCCCAGAAGGACTTCATCAGTTCTTCGGCGAGTCGGAGGTCTTCATCGTGCTTCTTAGTCCAGAGTGGACCGAGGCGGGCCTTGGCGTCTTTCACGGTAGTGCCGTTGGTCAGGCTAAGGGCGATCGTGCCTGGCATGAAAGCTACGAGGTGGTCCATTTTGGGTGTCAGCTCGTGATGCAGGCCACCCGGTCGCTCACCAATGATGGCCAGGTTTGAATGCTTGGTCCAGGTGATGAGATAACGTTTGATGCCGTCCATAACATCATCCCACATCTCCTTGTAGACGGGCTCGCCGCCCTTGGTTTGCAGGAACTGTTTGATGAGATATTCGTAGTACGAGTCGCCGCGAGAACCTAGTCGGATGTTCTGACCTCGAAACGTGCCGCTGCTAGGATGCATGAAGATCGGCACCAGCCCTCCCTCCATCTGTTGGTCGTCAATGACCTTTAGAATCTGTTCAGAACGCTCCCAGTAGATTGGCTCGCCGGTGGTTTTGGACAGATACTTCATCTCCAGCTGCAGAGTGGCTGCTTCGGCAGTTGAAGAAAGGCCATCGCCTGCCGGTATGCCTTCGGACTTGTTGAGATTTACAGATGCCTGGGGAATGCCGGATGGGGTGTCGTAGGCGCCGAGCAGACGGTCGGCAAGGTCTGTGGCCTTTTCAATGTATAAGTCTTCACCCGGTTGCAGGACATCGTCGTCCAGGAGGGGCGCAAGATGCGGGTAGTTGGTTGAGAGGTAGTAAGCGGAGAGGAGGCCACCGAGCATGCGGATGGTGGTTTCGAAAGTATTGACATCGTGGTCGGCGGTATATGAGAGCGAGGTAGATATCCATTCCCTTGCTCGGGCCACCTCTGATGTCAGGTTCATGAGTATGGCAGTGTCTAGAGAGTCAACTATGATCCAGCCCATGCCGCCTTCCACCATATTTCGGCCAGTTTTTGACAGTGGATGATATTCGTCCATTCCCCAGGCATGTTTCTCGTAGCCGTTCCACGTTGTTTTAAACACCTCCCTCACAGCATCAGCTCGTTCTCTCCATAGTTTCGGGTCTTTCGTGTACGTCTGTCCCGACGTGAAACTGCTGTAGGATTCCAATTTGGGTGCGGTCGAGAACCATCCCGTTAGCCATAGTATAGTTATGGTAAGTGTCGCCAGAACCGTGAGCGACCTGCGCTGTTGCCACCATTTCCGGCGTCTAGATTGTGGAAAATGAGGCTTGTCCTTGTACATTGGAAGATCATCCGAGCCGCCGAGGATGTCGTTGATCTTGGAGATGGCCCCCTTCGCACTACCGTTGGCCTGTTTGTGCCGCCAGTAGGAATCTTGGTCGCCGGTGACGGCACCATTCTGAAACGACATCTGATCGGCCTCTGGTGGAGGCTAGTGGGTGCCGATGTAGCATGAAGGGGCCCCCAGGAATTTTGGGGCAGTGAATTATCGGGAACGCAGGTCACGGTCGCATGACTCGGTGAAAGGATGGAAAGATCCTCGAAAGAGTGGTATGGAAGTCGAATATACACTGGCTTCTTGAGTAAAACGACAACCAATGCTGCTACAAAGGCCGTATGAAAGTCGAATCGAGGGAGTATCGTTCATCATGACCTGGCCTCAAGCCGTGAAGTGTCGCCGTAGGATGGGCGCGACGCGCAGCCGGGACTTGGTTGGTCCGGCTCCGTGGCAGCTTCCGACATTTGGCCGGCCCCCTAACTCTCAGCCTTCTCGGGACCTCCAGTAGTGAGTACTACACGGGGCGTATGCTGGCGAAGTTGATAAACGGTAAAGACAATTGAGAAGTTGTGACATTGGTTTCGATCATGACTGTCGCACGTCATTGCGGGCTAGTCGCGCGCCGTGGTGTAACAGTAATTTCATTGTGCATGTCTCGAGCATATAATTGCGGTGAGCTTATGCGTGTAAGATTCTATGCTCCATCTCTACTGTCCCTCAGCGCCATGCTATGCCGTCTATCATGTACTTGCGGTCTCATAATCTCGGTCGAAATGCTATCACAGGGCTGGTCTGACACCATCGCGCTCAGCCACCACAACGGATTCCTTCTCGGCCACATGTGACCTGTTCTCCCGACTCCAGGTAGTCTCCTTGATATGCGCATCGCCCTGCGTGGATTCCGGTGTGAATGTGAACTGTCGAACCTCGCAATTGTGGTAAGCAGACCCCAGAGAAGGGTGATAGCCTTCCCAGTCCTCGGTGAAGTAGTGCAGGAAGGCTCCGTGCGTCACAAGGACGATCGTCTTCTCTGATCGCTCGTACAGCCAGGCACGCATGTCGGCCGCTCGCTTCTCGACTGCTTCCTTTTCCGGGCCCCAATACCCCTTCTTTGAGTTCCATCCCTCCTCAACTCCATCGTAATCGATACGGGATCCCACATCGTAACCAAGGTCGTGCCCCTCGAACAATTTCTTAACTTCTGCCTTCAAAGGTTCCTTGGCGAAGCCGACATTGCAATTGCGCTCCGATACTTCCTGTGCTTTCGGGTGAAGTAAGAACGGTACCTCCGTGCGAGTGAGAATAGGTCCAAACGAGTGAACAGCGGTCTGAATGGTGCGACGGAGGGGGGACGAGACCATGAGGTCAACTTTGTCGTGAAATGGGAACCATTCTGCGAGGCTTGCGCATTGTTGCATGCCGATCTTAGTCAGGGTGGCGTCCTTCAGTCTCCATTTGTTGCCAACGTTATGGTCGCCTTGGGCATGGCGGACGATGATGACCGTGGGAGGCATAACTGCGAATGACGTCAAGCGGTGTCTCTAGATGCAGAAAGCGAAGAATCGAGAAGACACAAAGTAAAACGCCCACGCTCTACGCTGGCAACGGATGGGTTGGATATCGAGGGGATGCGCAAGTCGTTGGGGATGGAAGACAAGATAGCAGCCTCGGCGAAAACCTGAAGCCTGAGTCACCACGACTCCGACTCCATCTCCAACAGATCGGTGCGAGTGGGTACACGTGCGTGACATTCACTCTGCTAAGTGGCGTTAGATCCATCAGCTTGGCAAGTATCACATTGTTCCCGCTGTCTTTGGATAAGCGAGACTTGACAGCTGAGCTATACCGGTACGTGGTGACTGCTTGTGTTGTCTCAAACTACTTTCGCCGTGTAAGCACGACGGCAAATATCCGCTTGAGCGATGACGATGAATGAAAAAGTCATGGTGATGGTTGCGCTACTGATGCGCCGATGATGTAGACAAGGCAACTCTACAGCGGTACAAGGCAACCAGCCACTGCAAACTGGAGAAAAGTGCTTGCAGGTCTGACAAGGTAGGTTGCAAATGGTCAGGACCCCGCACGTTACGGACGGTTTCGGGGGTGCATCCCACGCCCTCGCAACCTGGCCTCCACATCGACTGGACGTATTTTCTAGAGCCAACACGACGCTGGCTCCCTGGGGGATCGACTCCATGCAATCTCTGACTTCTTCTTGAACGAGCCTTCGTTCTGACTCCGGCTTCACCGGCTTCCTGTTCAGAGCAATAAATGAGTCCTCACAACCGTTGTACTAAGCTCATCAAACGATTTTTGAGTTGAAGATTTGACATCTCTTGGAGGTCAACGGAAGACTTGTCGACACATCCTGTGGTCTTCTTGTACTGGACGAACTCGAGAGACTGAACCTGACGTGCTCTGTGCGTGTCCAGCGCTTTTCCCTAGCCGCGGATCCAGGTTCCCGAATGAGCCAAGTGCGAGGTGATTGTCTCTGATGTCGGTGTAGGCTAGCTGCCAATAGATTGCACGCGGTTCTTCGTTGTGCAACCATGGGCCGTCCAGCTCGATCAAAATTGAACTCTTCTCGATCGTCCTGTGTACTTGGAGTCGCTCTTGACCACCTTCCCCTTCGCTTTCATCTTGTCTTTCTTCTTCATGATCCAAGCCTTACTGCCCTTGGCATCGCCAGAATTCCGTGCCTTCCCGTTCATCGCCTGTCGAATCTTCCTGCCATCTTCAATGTCTACGTCATCCATACCGTTCACCGCTTGGGTAATGTCACCTCCTCCCACACTCAACACCAGATACGTCTTGACATTCTTCGTACCACCGTCGTCCTCAAGAATACCGGCACCGAAGCCCGCTCGCACAGCAGCGGAGCTGATCATCGTTCTCTGTTGCTCGTTCTTGGGGTAGAATTGCAGGGCAGCCTTGCCGCCCCTTCGTAAGCAGGCGTACAGTCCATCAAAGAACCTTCGTAATCGTCCTTCCGGGGAGACACCACTTGACTCGGCGTTGCACAGCCACTGAACCGCGCTGATACTGACAGCAGCATCGAAACTGCCCGCGCGGAAGGGCAAACCTTGTCCCATATCCGCCAAGAACAAGTCACCTTCAGTCTCTTCCCGTTGCAACGCGATGTCAAGCATCGAGGGCGAAATGTCCATTCCGACCCACGTGTGACCTTCTTCTGAAAGGATCTCGCCCGACAGGCCTGAGCCGCAGCCCACATCGAGAATGAGAGATGGCCCAGTGAGGTTGAGCAGCTCGAGAGCGCGATGGGTCATGGAGGCCTGGATAGACTGTATACGGCTGTTTGACGTGTACTTTTGGGATTCGGCGTCATTGTAGTAGAGGTCCGGAGGGAGGAGATCCTCTGGGCGGGACATGGCGGCGGCGCTCGGAGTTTGCTTGCGGGGTATTTGTGTGTTGCAGCAGGGCTGGACGAGAACACAGTCCAATTCCGACGAGAAGGAGAGCGGACAAGTGCCTGCGAGGCACGAAAAGGCTATCTAGACATGTCTGTTGGAGATACAGAATGTAGACTGAGAATCGCAAGTCGGCCTCGAAAAATAAAGCGGGTCACCTTTGCCAAGCAATTGCGGGGGGGCTGCGGGCGAGGCGTCAAGTCCGCCACGCTGCATTGACATCTGGCCTCATCCCTTTCGTCGTGCATGAGATAACAGCAATGTGAGACTCTCTCCGAGCAATGCAACCTCCAATTGAGCGTTCGATACGATAGCACCGTCGAAATGAGCTGGATTCTTCCCATCCTCGGCTATGTGGGTATTGTGTTGGGCTTCGGCTTCCTCACTCTCTCGATCGCGTCCGGCCTGTATTACCTCTCCGAGCTGGTGGAAGAACATTCGGTCTTGAGCGCAAAAGTTCTCAAGCGCATGATTTACACTGTATGCGGAACTCAGATCCTGCTCTGGCTTGTCGACGGGTTCCCATGGCACCTTACACTACTTGGGGTCTGTAGCCATGCCATATACGCCAGCAACCTACGGCATTTTCCGATCGTCAAACTCTCCGATCCGCTGTTCCTGCTCAGCTGTGGCCTGGTTGTATTGAACCATTGGCTCTGGTTCCGTCACTTCAGCGAGCCACCTCACTATGCCGCCGGCGAGCGACTGTTGCGCGACCGATACAGCACTCCTGTGTATTCGCAACCCAGCTTCACCGAGATCGCAAGCTATTTTGGCTTGTGTGTATGGCTGGTTCCCTTTGCTCTATTCGTCAGTCTCAGTGCAGGCGAGAATGTGCTTCCTAGTATGGGAAGCGAGTTTGCGACTGGTGAGCGGGAGGGCGTGGGTGGGTTCAAGAAAGGTCACAAGAGAAGGAACACTGGCATGGCAAAGGCGGCGGTCAACAGTACGAAGGAGTGGATTGGTGAAAATGGGGCGGTCATGGGACTTTGGAAGCATGAGAATGTGAGGAGCTTCTGATCGACACCCATGGAAGATCAGCAACAAGCTGCGATTGTCTTCCAGCGAGCGAGTATGTGAACGACTACACGAGCAACTTGAGGGCAGAAAGACTTGACGCCGGCAGAGTCATGAACTGTGCGTATCGCCGACGGGGCGCATGGGTCTTGGAGCGCCAGTTGCGTAAAAGGCGATCACTTGCAACACAGAGGGACCGCGCCCCGATACAACCATGTCTCTCAGGTCCGCTGGCTGAGTCAGACTGATGGGCTCTGGCTCCAGGACTTCTCACTGCTACTGCAACGCCAATTTACAACAAGTCGACAATTCAGAAGTGGTCGAGTGGTATTGGTGCCCAAACCCGCGCCGCGCCAAAGCACATCAGAAGTGCACCACGACCTGCACGGAACTTATCGGCAGTAGGACTACCTACTAACGTCGTTCAACCCGTCCGAACCAGAACAGCCACAGCAGGTAGCACCGCTGGCTACTTTTTCTCACACCTGTCTCAAGCCCAGCCTTGCGACTGCGCTTCGCTTCGCTCCGCTTGCTGCCAAAACCCAAAACCACTGCCAAGAGTTTAACTGCCTGAGACAGGTACTGCAACATGAATGCATCTGCTTCTGGTATCTACGCAGCCTAGGGCTGTACAGTCAAGTCACTCTTGCGGCTATCTCAATGACATATTCTCGAATTGTTTGAACTCTTGATCGAATGCTTGCAAGGCGTCATTGGCCAGCTGACATGACATGAGGTATGCCAGAACATGCGTTTCCATTTCCCCTCCTGTATCTATCGCTAAAGTCCCGTAATTGTATTCCACGCTATGCTATGCTCTGCTCTAGCCAGACGAAGACATGCTCGGCGGTGCCGCTGTGCTGTGCTGCTGCTGCTGCTGCTGCTGCTGCACCGTACCCCCTTATCTCCTCCCCTCCGCTCCGCTCCCACGTCTCCGTCTCCGTCTCCATCCCTCCGTCAGTCAAGCCCACTTCCCCAAAAAGCTCATAATCACCAATCCACCCACCAACCCCAGCCCACCCACTACGACCCTCCCCAGTCTCGCCTCCACCATCTCTCCCCCCTCCACAACCCAGTCGCGGGCCCACATATCCACGAGCCCCACCCAAATCAGCACGCCGGCGCTCAAGGCGTCGAGCGTGCCGATGACCCACAATGTGGTGGGGTCGTTGCCGTTGAAACGGTCGAGGACGCCGATGCCGATGCCCATTCCTAGTGGGGTGATGCAGGCGAAGGCGAGGGACATGAGGGTTTTGGTGCGGCGGAGGGAGGTGGTGGAGGTGGTGGGGTGGCGGAGCAGGGTGATGCGGGCGCCGAGGGCGAGGCCCTGTGTGGAAGGAAGAGTGTTAGCTAGGTGCGAGGAGTGTGGGTTTGGGGGCTTTGTTTGGGGGAGGGGTTGGATGGCAGCGGGAATGGGGATTTGCAGGACGAATGCTTGGGCTTAGGCTCAAGCTTACCTCGAAGAACTGGTGGAAGATGATGACCACCAAAAGGGTCTTGTAGAAGGAGTCGCCCGCCACAACGAGCGTGATGCCGATGAGGATGCTGTGGAAGAGCACGCCGGCCTCCATGACGAGCACGGATAACTTGCTGTTGGGGTTGGTTGGTGAGTACGGGTTGCCGTGGTGGTGGCCTAGCGCGGCGAGGTTGGCGCCTGGTGCGGCGGGGGTTTCGCGTGTGGCGTTGTATTGGCCGTGCTCCTTGGGATTGGGGCCGGAGGAGTCGTGCTGCGAGAGGGTGCCGCTGGTGTCGGAGGTTGGGAGGGGCGAAGGGTCGACCGTGTTGCGGGAGCGTGAGCGGGCTAGCACGATGCGGTGGCCGATGTATTCGACAAGGAAGGAAAGGAAAATGCCTGCCATGACGAAGGCGGAGGTCGTGGCTTCGTAGTCGATGGTGCCGATGCAGGGGTTGGTGAACATTAGGTAGGCGTGGGTGTACAGCTGTTGCGGGGTTAGGTGAGCGGTTCATTATGTTGGAGTAGAAGGGGACTTACGTGAACGAATCCGGTTGCGATGATGATACCAGTGCCGAATTGCTTGATGGCTGTGAAGGCGATGTCATTCATGGCGCGGAAGGGTAGCTTGTCAAGGACCTGGGGTAGGAAGACTGCGATGGTGCTTGTGACGAGCATGGCGAAAAGTGTACCGACACGCAGGGGTATGTCGTAGTCGCGTGTCTGCCGTGAGCATTGCTCTGCTGTGACACCGCCGCTTTCTGACTCTCCGGCTGCCACGCAGTGTCTGAAAAACATGAGCTTCGAGATGAAAGAACAAAGAAGAATATACTTACTCGACACCGGCATGAAAGTGGCAATCTTGCCCTTCCGAGGACGTGCTTTCATCAAGAGGATGGGAGTGTTCTTCTTCGTCGTGAGATGTGGCGCCCTCAGCGAGAACCAAGACGTCGTTTCCATCCGGATCAACGCAGTATTGCTCATCATCATGGGCGTGACAAGATGTGTATTCTGCAGGCGTCTCACCGGTGGGTGTGGCTTCGAGAGAAACTAGCACTTCGTCTCCAGCGCCATTGATGCAATATATATCGCTACCGTGGGCATGACACGACGTTACGGCTGTGGTTTGGACAGTCGCTGTGGCTGTAGCGGCAGTTGAAGCTGGACCAGAGGTAATTGACGCTGTACCGGCAGCAGAGAGGGCAGTCTCTTCACCATTCGGTCCATAACAATATTGGGTGGCACCGTGGGCATGACAGTCCGAGTAGGTGGTACCTGAGACGGTCGTCTGCTCCTGTGCCAGGGCACGGACGAGTAAAGTAGCCGCAATGGCAGTGACGGATAGTCGCATAACGACTCTGACAGCCGGCGTGAATGTAGGAGCTTTGCTTCAGTGGGAGGCCGGGACTGGTTTCGTTGCTCAGGAAGTCACTGACAGCACTGCAGGAATACTTCTGGCGTTCGCTTTGTGCCTTTTCAGAGACGTCCAGGATCCTCCACAAGCATTCTGCGCAAAAGTAAGACGTGACTTTTCGCTGGACGATGTAGTAATGCCAAGCACGAACGAAGAGGGTGCTCAGCGGAACGTCGCCTTGACGCAGTCATCTCGCAGACCTCCGATTCTTCAGCGGACGAGGACTGAAAGCATCCCGCGATAGTCGCTAAAAGCCTTGGAATTGAGGACGTTAAAGGTCCCACCAATCAGCGCTGGGTAGGATATCCTGTTGTGGAACTTCCGCTGGTTCCCACCCTGGCGTTGTAATGCTTGTTTGTAGAGATGTCTTGGCCATTATCAGCGTAGATTTACCAATGCTGCCGTGAGCGGAATACCATGGATAGACCCCACGTGAGGGACTTGTCATCAGTTGCACTTTCATAGCTGTATAGGTCGGTTCGATCGCCGCAGCCAAGCCCGACGGAAGTTCAAGGTCCTCCCCGAGAACCTCAATATGATGCTACGACGCCGGCGGACTGGTGGGATGAGTCGCACTCATCTCTGTGTTCGATTGGATCAATACTCGCAAAGATCCATATCCCCAGCCATGATCGAGTTGACCAACAGGTTCTGTACATTGGCAGCATCATAGCTTGCAAAGTCTGTCGGTCAAGACCGCGCCGGTCCTCATCTTTGCTGTGGTGCTCGAGCACTCATGCCGAAATCGGTTCAAGTGGCGCGAGATGGGATGTAGCGAGGATATGCGAACGTGGTGTCCCTGTAGGTACATAAGTAGATCGGGCTCACCACGCATTTACGACTCTCAGCTTGGTCCTTCAGACAGTACTACTTTGAGCTCGGTCTTCCAGGCGTGATTTCGTACTCATTCATCATGGTCAACCTCATCGCAAAGACTGCGCTTCTAGCCGCAACAGCTGTCTTTGCAGCTCCTGCCTCGCGCCTCGAAGCTCGACAGCAGCACAACATCACTGAAGAGGTCGAGCCATGGAATGCTGGCGCCGTCACCGAGTATATCATCCATGAGTCTTGCAACTCCACACAAGCGACTCAGATTGCAGATGGGCTTCGCGAAGCCGTTGAGCTTGCTGAGCATGCAAAGGACCACATCCTCCGATGGGGCAATAACTCGGAATTGTACCGCAAGTATTTCGGCAATGACCCTCCAGTCGCTGCAATTGGTTCGTACGACATTGTCGTCAACGGCGACAAGAACGGAGTGATTTTCCGCTGCGACAACCCGGACGGTAACTGTGCCCAGGAAGGTAAGTGTCGAAAATGCTGCTTCACTCACCTGAACTGACGCTGCATAGGATGGGCTGGCCACTGGAGAGGCGAGAACGCGACGCAGGAAACCGTCATCTGCGATCTGTCGTACGAAAGACGGCGCTGGCTCAGCTCCATGTGCGGTCTTGGGTACGATGTCGCCAATGGTGCCACCAACACATTCTGGGCGTCGGATCTGCTGCACAGACTCTATCACATCGTAAGTTGCACACGCACTTTCTCCCAAACAGGCGTTGACACGGGATAGCCTTCGATCGGCAATGGATACATCGAGCACTACCTCGAGACCTACCAAGAGATCTTGGACGATGCTGGTCAGCCTGGCTCCAATGCTACTCACGACAGCGATGTGCTGCAGTACTTTGCTCTTGACGTCTATGCATACGACATCGCTGTGCCGGGTGAGGGTTGCTCGGGTGAATATGTTGAGACCAGCCATGACCATGGGTCGGCTACCAGTACCACTTCAGCTACGCCAACAAGCGCCGAAGCCGCTACTGGGACGGCCGATGTGCCAGAGAATTGTCACACTCATGAAGGTGGTGAGCTGCACTGCGAGTAGGACAGAATTGCTAGCAATGTTCTTTTTCCCTGTAAGAGGAGAAGCTACTTCTAGAGAACATGGTGATAGATAGTAGCATCCTTAAACACACTGCTCTTTACACGTGACTTTGCCGACTCCGCGGTGGCCTCGGTCCGGGCTCTCGTGGCGTGGTCCCCTAAAATTGGGAGGTGTTCCGTTCTAGCCTCGTTAAGGGCATAGTATGGTGCTTCTTAGCGGAGCGTTATCTCTGGGGTGGGCCCTTGGTCCCCGAAATCTGGGCCGGGACTCGTCGGTCTCGTGCCTCTATCAGTGGTGGCTGACGAACTCCCAGGGTCTCTGCTTCTAACCCATCGACTCCCATGCCCATAGACCTCACATGTGCCGCAACTGCTGTGGGCTTGACCTCCTGCCACCCTTACTGTCGCTCACGACGTGCGCACGTTCCCTCCGCTCCTCTTTGAACATGCGACAACCATTAGCGCCCGTCTACCGCCGATGACCACGCGCGACCATCGGTAGACATCATGTCGATTCCCAACGGCAAGTCGGTGTCCATTATGGACGACAAGAAACCATGGACACCGCAGTCATCCTCCTCCTCGTCCAATCCTGCCGACACCTTCGACTTCCACGTTCACCTCAATACCCGCGACCTCCGAACCCGCGTAATAGACTCTTTCAGACGAGATCCGAACGCAAGCTTAACAAGAAACACCTCGATCCATAGTACCGAAGAACACCGCAAGCCCTACGATCTTGAGAGCGCAGCGCAAGCCACGGCCAACTCTCCCCTCCTGCGAAACCTGAAAGGACGGCACCTGCAGATGATAGCCATCGGCGGCAGTATTGGAACCGGCTTGTTTGTCGGTTCAGGCAAAGCCCTCGCCCATGGCGGCCCTGCTTCGCTGGTAATAGCCTTCTCGCTGATTGGAATCATGATGTACTGCACCATGCAAGCTCTGGGTGAGATGGCTGTAACATTTCCAGTCGCTGGTAGCTTTGCTGCATATTCCACCCGCTGTAAGTTCCCGTCCCACGCTCCCGTTTCCCACGTGTCGGATTGCCGAACCACGGTCTGTGCTTCCCAAGTTTCGGTCACTTGCATGCAGCACGTCCCACTAACAATGGCCTCTAGTCATCGACCCTGCCTGGGGCTTTGCCATGGGCTGGAACTACGCCCTACAGTGGCTGATGGTCTTCCCGCTCGAGCTTGTTGCTGCCTCCATCACCGTCGACTACTGGGTGCACGACATCACTCTCAACGCCGCATGGGTTTCCATCTTCTGGATATTCATTGTGGCTATCAACTTCTTCGGCGTCAAAGGATACGGCGAGGCCGAATTCGTCTTCAGCATCGTCAAAGTCACCGCCGTCATCGGCTACATCATCCTCGGCGTTCTCATGAACATTGGCGGTGGCCCCGGTGGCAGCTATATCGGCTTCAGCATGTGGCAAGAAACCGGTGCTTTCAAAAACGGCTTCAAAGGCCTGTGCTCCGTCTTCGTCACCGCGGCATTTGCCTTCGCAGGTACGGAACTCGTGGGCCTGGCAGCTGCCGAGACCGAAAACCCTCGCAAGGCTCTGCCTACTGCCATCAAACAGGTCTTCTGGCGCATCACCCTCTTCTACATCGTCTCGCTATTCCTCGTCGGCACCCTCGTATCGTGTGACGATCCGCGGTTGCTGAGCGCTTCCTCCAGTGCCGACGCAACCGCCTCCCCCTTCGTCATCAGCATCGAAAACTCTTTCATTGAGGGTCTCCCTGCCGTGATGAATGTGGTTATCATGATCGCAGTCCTGTCCGTCGGCAACTCCGCCATCTACGGTAGCAGCCGCACCCTAGCCGCCCTAGCAGAACAGCGCCAGGCGCCTCGCGTCTTCGCCTACATCGACCGGAAGGGTCGGCCCATCGTGAGCATCTGCCTCGCCAGCGCGCTCGGCTTCCTGTCCTACTTCGCCGCCTCCACCTACCAACAGACCGCCTTCGACTGGATGCTGGCCACCTCCGGCCTCTCATCCATCTTCACCTGGGGCAGCATCAACCTCGCGCACATCCGCTTCCGCCGCGCCTGGGCCGCCCAAGGCCACACCCCCAGCGAACTCGCCTTCCGCTCCCCCATCGGCGTCACCGGCAGCTGGATCGGCTTCATCTTCAACATCCTGGTGCTCGTCGCCCAGTTCTGGACCGGCTTCAGCCCTGTGAATCACCGCGAACTCGACACGGGCGGGCTCGTCACCAATTTCTTTCAGGCCTACCTCGCCGCCCCCATCGTCATCCTCTGCTACATCCCCTACAAGATCTGGTACCGCACCAAGATCGTCCGCAGCAGGGACATCGATGTCTGGACCGGCAAGCGCGAGTTGAATGTCAAGGGCCTGCTGGCGGAGGAGCGCGCTGATCGCAGGAGTTGGCCCACGTGGAAGAAGCTGTATAAATTCTTTTGCTGAAGTGAAATTAGAGAGAGAGAGAGAGGTTTGGCGCCGGTTTGCTTTGGGTTGGGTCGACTTGCCAGCGGATTTACTGCATGATATGCGTTCTAGCGATTGATTCTTTTTTCACGTGGTTATGAAAGTTTGGAACATATTCGGATGGGTGGGAAGAGTGAGCTCACCCAATGTAATGGGCATGAATCTATCTATATTCGTGCTTCGATCTGCATACTTTTTTTTCGTGCGTCATCACATCATCCGTGTTTCACGTTTTTCGCATGCAGTCTATCTGTCTAACCTCAGGCATCCCAAATCACGACTCGCCCATCAACGCCGCTGGTGCTGAATTTCTGCACCCCACCCGCATTGCCCTGGTAGATGCGCACGGTGTTGACGGTGTTCTGATGCGTGGTGTTGAGCTGCGTGTCGTTCTTGTTGCTCTTGCCCTTCAGGTCCATCTGCTTGAACATCTGCAGCGCGCTCTCCTCCTTGGCGATGCCGGGCCCGCGCTGCGTCTCCACCGTCCCCGCGATCTGCCAGCCGGATTCGTTGCCTTGAAACCGGAAGGCCTCGCAGTCGTAGCCTGCGGCGATGATCTCCGTCTCGCCGTTCCAGATCAATGAGTTGAAGGGCAGGAGCTGGGTGGAGATGTTGATCATGGCGTTGGGTGGCTGCTCCGGGCCGGACGGGTAGACGACGGTGATGCTGCTGTCGTGGCTGGAGAAGGCGAGCGCGTTGCCGGAGGGCGAGAAGCATACGCTGTGCACCCAGCCGGCCGCATCGTTGAGGTATTCACCGCACACGGTGTTGAAGGGTAGGCGCTCTCCCCACACGCTGGGCTCGGGCCGCTCGTCGATGCCCTTGATGAAGCCCGAGAAGACGCGCGCGTGGCTGTCAGTGCTGCCGGCCGCGAGCAGAACCGAGTTCGGATGCCAGTTAAGCGTCGTGATCGTGCTGCGGATGGGCTTCTTTAGGTGTTTTGAAACCCACCAGTCATTCTCTTCCTCAAAGTAGCACACGGCAATCAGGCGGGCGCCGGAGCCGACGGCGAATTTCTTCTCGTTGGGAGACCACCGCACGAAGGTGGCCGCGCGGTTGATGCGTAGGAGGACGAGGGTGGGTTTCCACCCGGAGGGAGTTTGTTCCCAGACATAGGCATTGCGGTCTGACTGGCATTAGCGACGGAGGAGGAAGATGGTGGGTCCCCGGTAGATGGACATACCTTGCGAGCAGGTGACGATCATGCCACTGTTAGGGGCGATGTCGACACCAGTGACCGTCTTGTCATGGCCCTTTAGCTCGTCCTTGAGAGCGAAGCGGTTGGCAGAGCGGGCGTAGAGCTCGACATTGTTGTCGCGGGCTACTGCGAGGGTGGAGTGGTCGGCGGAGAAGGAGTGGTCCGCAATGGGGTGGTGAAAGAGGTGGTGGACTTCGGGGGAGGCCATGGTGAGAGAGCGATAGGAGGGGATCTCTCTCTACTATCGCTGCCTGTATGGAGGGGTGCGGTGTGGCAAAGGCAACTTGTAAAGGAGGTCGTCGATGAGGGAAGCTGACGAGGAAGTGGTACGGTGGCCGTAGGCATCAATAAGCGCAAGACGTCACAGGCTGCGTAAGGGCCAAGGCCCGCTGGAACCAGGGGTTGAATTGAGGCTGAGGGTGGCTGCGCAAGCGAACAGATTTCAGGGTTCAACAACGGTCGCCGACAGTGTTGATCTCGTCCCAAGTCTCACCAGTGTGTATACTTTAGTCACAGTCAATCTCTTTCTTAAACCTGAGCACTACAGTTGCAGAAAACCGCAGGCGCCAGCATTCAACGCTCCCCACGCCCCCACAAGATAACGACGCTGGACAGGGTCCGCTTAGAACAGCGCGTCTTGGGCTCCCCGAATTCCGGCTTGTGCTTGTGACCCGCACCCCATTCTCGAAAAAGACACTTATAAGGTCCCATGTGCACCCGCATGCATGACCAATTCAGATAGCAGCGATCCAGGCGGCGACCCAATACTCACCCCTTCATCCCTTGAGTCGCCGACCCTGCAGCAACCTCCCAACCGATCAAGACAGCCTTCGCCGACTCCTTTGCGAATCTCCACCTTGCCCGAAGACGAGCACAAGCCACGCTCTTCGAAAGAAGCGCCGCTAGATGACGGTTTGGACCTGACAGATATGTCCGGTCGGGGTCCTCGAGGTCCCTCGCATGCGCCGCTCCTCCGGGATGAAGACGATAAGGCCGAATACAGAGGACGCAGAACATCTCCCACCTACGAGCCTTCGAACATGGAGTCCTCCTTTCACAGCCACCAAACGGGCCGCAGCGTCCACACATTGCGAAGCACCTCGCCCAACTATCCAGACCCTGAGAACCTCACGCGTCGAAAATACTACTATGCTGCATTCTTTTTGGTGGTGTCCCTGATCTCCTTTGTGGTGCAAACCGAAACAGCCGTGTACATCCAGCACGAGCTCAAATGGGACAAGGCATACTGCATGCTGTGGCTCACCCACGGCTCTTGGTCGTTTCTATGGCCCATTCAATTCGTTATCCTGCGGATACAGAAGCGAAAGATCACCTTTGATAATTTCTGGCGCCGACACAAAACCCTGGTACATACCACGGCGCAGATGGTACAATCGCAGGATATTCACCTCTCACCAACAACAACCCTTAGCAATCCCTGGTCCTACATGATCAAGGCCACCACTTTTATTACAACCTTTCTCACCGTCGCTGGTGGATCGTGGTATGTTGCGGTAAACATGACTTCTCCCTCCGATCTTACGGCCATTTACAATTGTTCCGCTTTCTTCGCCTATGTATTTTCTATACTCTTACTTAACGACAAATTTCGCATGGATAAAATGCTTTCCGTGGGTCTGGCCATTGTTGGTGTACTGGTGGTCGCCTATGGTGACTCGAACGAACCCAAGCACGGCGGTCACTCGGGCGGCTCAACGAATCCCAACCAAGACCCCGATGATCTTCCCAACAACAAGTTCCTTGGTAATCTCATCATCGGCATCGGCTCCGTCATGTACGGTCTCTACGAAGTGCTATACAAGAAGTATGCGTGTCCACCAGACGGCGTTTCTCCTGCCAGGGGCATGGTCTTTGCCAACACGTTTGGCAGCATGATTGGGGTCTTCACTCTGTGTGTGCTCTGGATTCCATTACCATTCCTTCACTACACCGGAGTTGAAGTGTTTGAATTGCCTCGAGGCAAAACGGCCGCGCTGTTGGCGGTCTCCACGCTCAGCAACGCGATCTTCTCGGGCAGCTTCCTGGTGTTGATGTCGCTGACTTCACCTGTACTGTCCTCGGTGGCCGCCCTGCTTACGATTTTCCTCGTTGCTATTACAGATTGGATGATTACCGGCAAACCCCTTTCTGGGCCCGCCATGCTGGGTGGTGCATGCATCGTTGTGGCGTTTGGCATGCTTTCTTGGGCGACCTACCGGGAAATGAGTGAAGAGGCAGAGAAGCGAGCCAAGGAGGACGATGAAGCCAAATGGATTGGGGAAGAGGAAGAGCTGATGGGTGGTGAGGCAGATCGAGATGAAGACGAGCTGGGGAGAGGGAGGAGGCGGAGCAGCGATTCATAGAAGGGCTCTGCTCCTTATTAGGCGTATAGGATTTTCGTAGAGCTGCCGGCGATGCCGGCGTGTTCTTTTTGGCGGTTTCATTAACCACGGCGGCGTTGTATAGATGCTCCCGGCCCATCGACAGGTGTGGTCAAGGTCGAGTTCATGGACACGGCGATGCACCAGTGTCTTAGTATTGGCGTGAAATCATATTTACCATCTACTACACATCTGCCTAGTGCTCAAGGTGGCTCTCGTTTTTTCATCTCTCTCACTCTGCCACATACTACTAGTCGAAGAGTCAGTCAGTAAGATGGTGTCGACGCGACCAGTCGGAAGATCTACTCTGGAGGAACCGTGATGTCGGCTGACCCCCTGTCAAGTATAGACTCTAGCTGCAGATCGCTTTGTCAAGCCTGCATACGTCGTCAGAACACGAAAATTGCAGCTCACAGACGAGTCAACATTTCTGGCGTCTTCATGCTTGGGCTCTCGACCTCAAGACAATTCCAGACGCGTCAGGGCGGACAACAATACCTACGTACATATCACGATGACTCCGTCCTCACGACATTCATAGTCAACCCATTCACACTGACTCGGTTGGGCTGGAAAACACATGCATGCCCGCAATGTTCTTCAGCTGTTACACGATTGATAAGGTCTAGATGCCCGCCCCGGACCCCGCGTTTCGTCAATTCAAAGTGGAGAGCACTCTTCGCGTCGGCAAGCTTGTTTCAGCAAAGGCATCGATGCGAGTTGTCCAGCGTTCCACTCCTTCATTGGCTACAACCGCCAGCTCGATTGGCGGCATTAGTCGAACTAACTGCTTTGTTCGGATTCCCGACACTGACTCGTATTTGCACGACCGGATTCGCATTCTAGACTTGCCTCGGAAAGAAACGCTATGCCATGCCCGTCGAGCAATGGACTCCCCGTACCCCGGAAAGCCATCAGCTCGCGGGGTACGGGCTGCCTGCTGCCGATGGGATATGTGTAGCAAGTACTTAGTCAGCTCTATGCCCTCCTGATCCCTCAAAAGCAAAGCTTAGAGCCATCTCGCAAGTTCTTTGAGCTCCTCCACCGTGAGTTTCTACTATCTCAAATGGCAGTCAATCACCATGAGTCCTTTGAAGACATGGACATCATCTTCGCCGGTGGCGGAACCGCAGCTTGTGTCGCTGCTGGCCGTCTGGCCAAGGCGAACCCGGACTTGAAGATCCTCATCATTGAGGGCGGAAGGAACAACTACAATGACCCGACCGTGACGAATCCGGCTTTGTACCTGAGTCATCTGGCACCGGATTCTCAGACTGCCCTCGTAAGTAACATGAAAGCTCGATTGCCCTTTTGATGGTATCCATGGAAAGGAAGCAAAAAACTGTGCTAAACCACCCCAAAAGTTCTACCAGGCCAAGAAGTCGGAGCATCTCAATGGTCGCGAAGCTGTCGTGCCCATGGGTGGCATTCTCGGAGGTGGCTCGTCGATCAACTTCATGATGTACACTCGCGCCCAGGGCGTGGACTTTGACGCCTGGAAGACGCCCGGGTGGAGTGCGAAGGAATTGCTGCCCCTCTGCAAGAAACTGGAAACCTTCCACCAGGATGAAGAGGGGATCGACCGGAACAAGCACGGCTACGATGGACCGATCCACATCAGTGACGGCGGCTTCAGGTGCAAGCGTGGTGAGTCTGGCTGGATCGACACAGTGAAGAAAATGGGCTACAAGGAGATCGTGGACTTGCAGGGTCTGGACGATAATGATGGGTTTTCTGTAAGTCAGGTTTGGACGGGAGCCCAAAGACTTCCAGCGCAATCCACGGGACTGATTTCAAACAGAGGTGGCAACGCTATGTCTCGAAAGACGGCAAACGACAAGATGCCGCCCACTGTTACATCCACCCTCTGCTTCAGGACGGCGAGCATCCGAACCTCCACCTGCTAGTCCAGACCAAGGTCGTCCGCGTCCTCTTCGATACCTCCAAGACCCCTACCCGAGCCATAGGAGTCGAGTACAGGCCCACTGAGACCCATCAGCCCACCATCGCACTCAGCAAGCCCGTACACCAGACAGTCATGGCCAAGAAGATGGTCATCGTCTCCGCTGGAGCTTTGGGCACGCCTCAGATCCTCGAGCGTTCGGGCGTTGGCGGCGCTGGTCTGCTGCAGAAACTCGATATCCCGGTGGTCGCTGATGTCTCAGGCGTAGGGGAGAGTTACCAAGATCATCATTTGATCTTGTATCCTTACAAGACGTCCTATGGGCCGGAAGATACCCTGGACCGGATCCTGAGTGGCCGCACGAAATTTGAAGATGCGGTCGCGAACAAAGATCCAATCCTGGGCTGGAATGCGATAGGTGAGTCCTCCCAAGAATACTGATGCTTCCAATCACAAACTTCCCCACCTCCCGTGACTTGTGCCTCTGACCCTCCTTCAGATGTCTGCGGCAAGATCCGCATGCCCCCCTCCGCAGTCCGATCATTTGGCCCTTCGTTCCAAAAAGAATGGGAGCGCGACTTCGGGTCCTCCCCGCAACGACCCGACATGCTCGTCGGCATGGTCAACGCCTTCCTAGGTGATCCGTCGGTCGTCGAGCCTGGCCAGTACATGTCCATCGGCGCCTACACAGCCTACCCCTACTCCCGCGGCAGTATCCACATCAATTCCGCCGACAATGTCACGAACGGCTATGACTTTGACGCTGGGTTCTTCAATCATCCAAGCGACGTCAAGAAGCAGCTCTGGGCGTATAAGATGAGCCGCGAGATCGCGCGGAGGCTGCCGCAGTATAGGGGCGAGTTGGAGCTGGGACATCCAAGGTTTAAGGAAGGGAGTAAGGCGGCGCTTACGGATCTGAGCGGTGGCAAGGATGGTGGTCCGGTCCACGGCGACCGCCAGCAAACCAACGGCACCACCAACGGCGACCACGGCGCTGCGGATGTGCAGGACATCGACTACAGCGACGAAGACGACGCCGCCATCGAAGACTGGCTGCGCGGCAACATCAACACGACGTGGCACTCGTGCGGCACGTGCGCGATGCGGCCACTCGAGGACGGCGGTGTCGTGGACGGGCGCCTCAATGTGTACAAGACCGAGGGGCTGAAGGTGGTGGATCTGAGCATCATGCCGGAGAATGTGGCGGCCAACACGAATAATACGGCGTTGGTGGTCGGGGAGAAGGCAGCGGTGTTGATTGCCGAGGAGTTGGGGGTGGAAGGGGTTTGATGACTGCTGCGGCGGCTTGGGGGGGCCTTGGAGGAAGGGGTAGGGTTTGGTGGAAAGAGCTCACAAGTCTGGATCCATGGACTCGGTATATAAGTGAGACCGCCTTCCCCCGCAAAGCGTTGCTGAAAGCGTTGTGAAGAAGGTTGGGGATGAGGTTGTCCTTAAAAAGTGCTTAAACGTGATCGTCGAAAATACGAACTCAAGCAGCAATTGACGTTGGTTCCATCGCTACAGCTGTCCATCACCTACGAATTGATCACGGTTCAGTCACTTCGTGAATAGTTGCGACCGGAGGACACCTCAAAGATGATCCCTGGGGCTGGCTGCTTTGCGGCTGTCGTGGTGCAAAGACTCAATACTCAGCCAGCCTCGTCATCGGCCACGGAAGCTATCTAAGATGAAGCGCTCCGTACCCAATGGCCAGTCATGAATGGGCTATATAGGCGAGCATTGCAAGCAAGCTGAAGATAAGCACTATCGAAGCCTCGCGAAATCAAGATGACCGGGGTTGATTGGGCCTCGAAGGCTTCTTCATGCATCTCGCATCATATCGACCCAGGCGCAGACCCGCCTCAACCCATTCAGACCGAGCAGAGGGCGACTGTCAGCTTACATAAAGCACCCTTCACCCGGCATCATGGCCATAACGCAACGTCGATCTGCGCAGCCCCTATAGGAAATATCTCGATATTCGTCGATTGGTTCTGCCTTGCAGCTCCGCACGTACCACCCCACCCCTTGAAGGTGCCTCTACAGGGTCATTTGGCCCTGCAACCATCTTCCCGTGTCCGCCTAATCGTTAGCTAGACACTAGAGAAGTCACTTCCATGAGCAAGTTCAGCCCTGTCTGCAACGCTGCACCTCGCAAGCGTCAACTGTGTATGGTAAGTGTTTGGAGGATGGCTGTTGTTAAAACAGGTTCTGCGCCGGGGCGCAGAGCCCTCCTCTCACGACAGGTCCTCGCCCAAGCGCCAAAGTGTTTGATCTCAATACACTCAGAAAGAAATCGTTCCCACTCATGGCTTCGTTCGCGCTGCTGGCAGTATCTGTCCTGCTGATCGTCGCCGTCCTTGGCTACCGCTTCTCGGCAACATCTCGTAGCAAGAGCTCTTTACTGCCTCTTCCACCGGGCCCCAAACCGAAGTTTCTGCTCGGAAATGCTGCCGACTTCCCTCCTGCCGGCGCGAAAGAATGGCAGCATTGGATTGAGCATAAGCGCCTATATGGACCCATCAGCTCGCTGTCGGTGATGGGTCAAAACATCATCATTCTGAACGACCATCAAACCACCGTGGATCTGCTCGAGAAAAGGTCCGCTATCTACTCGTCTCGGCCAAAGATGGTCTTCGCGGGAGACATGTGTGGCTGGGAACACTCCATGATCCTCCAACCCTATGGTGACAGCTCTCGAGCCTATCGTAGGGCCACCCAGCCCGCGCTGGGGACCATGTCCGCTCTGGAAAGCTTCAAACCCCAATACGACACCGAGATACGACGCTTCCTTCTGCGTGTGCTTCGCAACCCAGAGGACTTGCAGGCGCACATACGGACAACCGCTGGTGCAGTCATCCTAAGATCCACCTACGGGTACGAAATAGACCCTCATAGCCGTGACCCGCTCGTCGATCTTATCAACGAAACCATGATGCAATTCTCCGACGTGTCGCAGCCCGGTAAATGGGCAGTCGACCTTGTTCCAGCTCTTCAGTACTTGCCTGATTGGTTTCCTGGAACTGGCTTCAAGCAGTATGCAAAGCACTGTAAAGAAACACTTCTCCAAGCGGGCTCGATACCATATGCCTTTGTGGAGAAGCAACTTCGCACTGGAGAGGCGCCGACATCGTATCTATCTAGACTCATCACCTCTGCTGACGCCAAGATGTCTGCTGATGAAGCCTACATCGCACGCTGGACCGCCTTCAGTCTCTACGCGGGTGGTGCAGACACCACAGTGTCGAGCATGTCAACCTTCTTTCTTCTTATGACACTACACCCCGAGATCCAACACGTTGCCCAGAAAGAACTAGACTCGGTGCTCGGCGACGCGCGCCTGCCGGCATTCACTGATCGCCCCAATCTGCCTTGCACGGAAGCACTCATCAAAGAAGTGTTCCGTTTCCACCCCGTTGCGCCGATAGATTTCCCACATGTGAACACCCAGGACGACGAGTACGAAGGCTACTCGATCCCCAAGGATAGCCTCATCCTCGCCAACATCTGGGCGATGCTGCACGACCCGGCCGTCTACGCCTCGCCCGACACCTTCAACCCAGAACGATTCCTCGGCGCCCACCCCGAACCAGATCCCAAGGCCATCTGCTTCGGCTTCGGCCGCCGCATCTGCCCCGGCAGGCACGTGGCCGACCTGACCCTGTGGCTGGAGATTGCAAGCTCGCTCTTCGCCTTCGACATCCGCAAGACGCGTGACGCCAATGGCATCGAAATCACGCCCGACTTGGATTTCACGCCGGGTGTCATCAGTCGTCCAGCACCTTACACGTGCGATGTACGACCAAGGAGCGCAAGGCATGCGGAGCTCATTGAGGCAATTGAGACGGAGCAGCCTTGGTCCAGCCAGGGCGACGCTCCGGAGGTGGAAAGCCTCATTCGCGAGAGTGCGACGAAGGCGTGATACATCGGTTGTGGTAGGCTGCAGGATGTGCGGTGGGGCAAGATATGGAAGATGGTCAGCATTTTACGAAAATGGCCGCCATTGGGCGCCGCTGGCGGTGGGAGACTGTAGTCGGAGCAGCTCGGTACTATCTCACCAAACATCCATCTTGAATGAAGGCCCGTTAGATCACTCCAATTTGATTTGTTCCAAAATGCGAACGTCTTCAGTCGGAGGTTGGATACTTCAGCGGAGGTACAGTACGACTCTGATGCCATCGAGTGACCCCCCCCC